AGCCTGTCAATAAGCTAAATGTAGAGGCTTTCTGCAGTCATCTCTCAATGTCATTAGCCATAAATCAATGGAGGAGATTGATCAGCAGGCAACTTCACCTTGTATGACATCTTTGAAATGGATCGCCCTGTCAAAATATGATCTGTGGTCGATGATGTGAGCTTGCGTGTGTGTGTGTAGCAGTGCGATAGATAAGCGCTCAGGTTATTCAAACATTTTTCAGAGCAGGGGAGATGTTTCTAGTTTTAGAGACTTTTCAGGAACCCCAGGTGATTCAATTTGTCAGGACCAACCAGGCATGCATTTAGCTGTTTTATTTGGACTGCGGGGAGCAATGTGTTGACTCCCAAAGCTGGCGGTGGTAAATTGGTGCTGCTGAAGCCAGCACACGTAGACTCACTCTGGGTGCTGCTGTGCCTGGTTTAAAGTGATGCAGTGATCAAAGTGTTTTTTTATACACAGTGTCTGGAACTGGGTGCTGCAGCAAACGCATTCATCTGCAAATGAGTAACTGTGCTTAGCAACTTTGCACAGTTCATGTGTGAGCCGAGAGACAGGTTTTTGGAGGTTGGCTGCATTTAGTAGAGTCAAAGCGAGGCAGATCAGACCCCAGTCACAGCAGGGCCCGGATAACCAACTTGAATAAAAAAGGATGGAGGATGATCATGAATAATAATAAAAACACAGATTTGGTCCAGTTGCAATAATACTTGGGGATATTCATATTCATAGTCTAGGTTTTGAAGCACAACATTATGGTTTCCTAAAAATCATTTTTAAAGTTGGTTTTGACAGCCATCATACCCCCCAGAGGATAAACTCGGCCATCCTCTGAGCACAACATCAACAGCACTGAGGTCTTGTCCAAAAGGTTTAAGGTCTAGAAAGTCGGTTGTCTAGCAGGTTGGATTAGATACAGTTACTGTTTGGCAGTATCTTTGCTCAGAGGGACAAAGTTTCTAATTATTTAAGTAGCGGGTAGTTTCCGAACATGATGCACTGCCTCTTCTTTTACCCTTTGCCTCTTCACCAGACTAATTTAGTCTAATGTTACGTCTCCTCGTCTTCCATTCAGACTTAGTTTTGTTTAATTTAATGTATCCCAATGTGTGTATTATGCATGTATAGGAAGTTTTGCTCATGCATATGCATGTGACAGAATTACCAGAGGCCCAAAGCACAGGTATGAATCCTGAAACCTTCCTACAGCTAGGACAGCTCGAAATATCCAATTCTGCCGGGGGGACGTTCATCCTTGCAAGCCACTGATTTCACACTTATGCCTTGCCAGTAGAGGAGGCATGATGGGAAATCCCACCGAGGCACCGAGGTCTGGCTAACCCAGTAGCACCACTTACACAAGCCATTGAAAAGGATTATTTCATCGGCCACACAGAAAGTCGTCTCTGCAGCCTGGCTGACTCCGAGTAACATTTAGAGAAACCAAGAGAGGAAGCGGCAGAGGTGAAGGTGTGCATGTCTGTTTCGTCCATCGGGGGAGGGAACACAATCAGGGGATGATCCATCCAACGATAGGGATAGGACAAGTTGCCACGGCAACCCTTGCTCCTGATCCCCAAGACCGGCTGGATCTGGCAGAGAGTGAGAGTATGCATTTAAGAGCGAGAGACAGACCTGAGGGGAGGCAGAAGGGGGGGAAGGTGAGATAGCTTCAGTGGGCTGGAGAGACGCCCGAGGTTTTGACAACAGAACCTTAATGAGCAAGATGAATGGAGCCGTCGAATGTAAGGCAGGAAGCTCCGGAGGAATCACCTCTTAATAGTTTGATCATTTGAGGCCATCAACTCTTTATGCATTGACTGATCACACACACACACACACACTAACATTTATTGAACGTTTGAATCCCCCGCGGACATGAAGGAGTTAAAGACACCGGAGCAGCATAACAAACCATGAGTCATAACGGATAATAAATCAAGACATGATATCAGATATCAGCAGAACTGTGAGAACTCACCACTTTGACGTCAACTTTTGCAAATGTACTTATTGGCTTTGCTGCTGAAAAACGAGAAGATCGATACCCTACTTGTGGGCTAGCTCAGATTAGCATAATTCATAAGGGATTGATAAACTGTGGAAAACTATTTACTTTCGTGACTTTTCTCTACCTTGTCTTTTATTGTGAAAGGGTATTTTCTTACACAGTCTATTTTTGAAGACACACTGTAACCATATGAGCCCTGAATATCATAGAGCTACATTTGGACCAGCTACTGTACTGGCAGCAGATCATGAGGGAAGTACACGGGATTACTGGGATAGAGTGTAATTCAATAGGTAAACATAATCTAAAAATACCTCCGTCCCTGTGTGCTCTGTCAACACCGATCGCAATTCATCATGATGTTGGTCTAATCACGGGTCTCTGTGTGTGTGTAGTACAAGCTGTACTGAGAGTATGCAGTAATATGACCCTTGTTTGGTTTCTTGCGAACTGTTGTAACTGTTTCCAAGGTGAGATTTAGCATGAAAAAATACTGCAGTGACTACGCAGATGAGAAAGAGATGCCAACGTTGCATTTATTGCACCAGCTTATGACTATTCATGTGCATTTTTGTAGAAAGTGGGCCTTATTTAAAAATTAATGTGGCCCGGAATAAATTTGCTTCCAAGTGAGGATTTTTTTCAAGACTTTGTACCAAAAATCAGTCCTCAGCTTCAAACGCCAACTCACTATGGTTACCAGAAAATGATTCATGTGACTTGTTTGTGAATCACCCAACTGCTCTCATGAATAGATGCAATTGTCACCATCTGTAATGGCAATAACTGCTTTGTTTAATTACACACACAAGTGTAGGATGAGGGCAAATCTCAGGTGTAAACACATAATGAGTTATGTGAGAGGGGAAACAGTTGTCAGGAGGTCTCGAACACTGGAGCCGTAATTTCATAAGTGATGGATTTCATTTCAGAGGTCCCTCTGCAGGACAAATGCTAAATTCAGAAACAGACTGGAGTGCTGGGCTCCTGGGTTTGGTGGCGGGAACTGGCACAGGAAGCTTGTCTGAGCTCTGGCTCTGGATTTGTGCTGTAAGTCCAAAAGGAAGCCCCCACTGTCATAAAATCGTACTATTTTTAAATTAATCAAGAACACTTGGCTAAAAATATCTCAACAGTTTGCAGCAACATTTGATTCTATTTCCAATGTCATTATAGCATGGCTAAACCTGCCAAAATCAAGGTCAAGTGTTTGCCACTTACCATCCTCTGAATCAAACTCAAACAAAATCTGTCAGCAGTTGAGATCTCATAAGAAGGAAGTATAACCACTTGGTTTTAAGAATGGAATCTATGCTAAAATACATTGAACCTACAGGGCCAGAAGGAGGGAAATACCTTGTTTGCAACCAAGTGGAAGCGCTTAAAACTGCAGTTCCTTAAATGTCCACTTGAGGCTTGCTGCAAAAGCCCCAGAAGCCACATACACACTCATTCAAAAAAGCCTTCTTTACTGCGATATTAAACATGTCAACAGCCTGATTCAAAAAACAGTTCTTACATCTCACTAGTTTTAAGGATGTTAAAGGGATATTCCACTTATGATCATAAATGTTCTTCCTTGAGCTGTGTCACCCTGCTGCAGTCGATGATGGACTGGTCGAGGTCTCGCTACAAATAAGCGGCTGCTGGAAGAGAGTAGGTGAGTTGTCTTTAGTCTCTTTGCAAAAGAAATGAGTCAAAGTTAAAAAGATGTTTGGAGGCCAGTACTATGACTGGGACCCTATATGTCCTGTTGATGAAGTTAGGTGCTGTTCTGAGCATTATTTGTGGCTATAGAGTGACTATAGAGTAACTCGGTGTTACAGTGTGTTTGACCCTAAATTAATTTTACGCTGGAATATCCCTTTAAAATTACAAGTAGTGTGTTATTAAGAGTACACCAGACTTGACTGAGGGGTTGGTGCTTTAGCTTGTCACAAGGAGGTTAAAAGTTTGCCTGAACTCCACCTCTTTGCCTCCATTTAAAGGCTTCAGAACACCACCGCAGACACCAGTGGGTGACGTCTCACAGTGTCTACTTCCAAGACCGAGGCCATAGACTCTCTAAAGCCCCATCTGTTTGCCTGGTTCTTGTTTAGCCAAGAGTTAGTTGGAGCCAGGATTTCCAATATGGTGACTGCCATTGTTTTGCCTCTTCAGTTGCAAATGGGAGACGCCACTTGAACAAGGTCAATGTGAATTATGGTCTATATTCCAAATATGGTAACTCCTTGCCAAAAAAAACCCTGAAGCTTAATTGGAGTAGTTAAATTGGTTGTCCAAGAATTTGTTCATTATCATTATCCATGGATTTTCCTTATATTAGTTTGCATTCCACCTCATAGTGTTGCCATATAAAAGCCATTACCAAAGTCTTAAGGATGCATCATTAACTTACAGTATAATGTGCTTGGAGCTATTTAATGTCACAAGTCCAAACTCAAAGAGTGGTGCTAAAACGAAGGCCAGGGGACCATTGATGCCGGTCTGCTTGATTGCTTTGGCACCATGGATCTCAATGTCCCAATTTCATGGTAATCCATTAGCAGTTAGAATGTATTATACCCAAGACTCAAGGCTGTTTCGATTTTATTTCTCTTGACTACGGTCCAAATGGCGAACTCGCCTAAAGAGGCTGTGTGACATACCACCTCAATCAGAGGAGATACAATAAAACTCAAACCAAGCAGTACACCAGCGTCAGGGTCTCTGTGCGGGAGTAAAACTGCTATTTTTAGCTCACGGTGTAGACTGAACCCTAATGGACTCACAAGATGGGCCAAACAGCCAATTTCTGCACTCAGGCCCTCAAGCAGGTTGGAGAGGTGAATGGTTATAACTCCATAAAAAATAATGTCCATGTGAAGTGAAATGACCTCACTCACTTTACCAAAATGAGCTGAAACTCATACCTTGTCTAGCAAAGACAGCTTCAAACACACACACATAGAGATACAGTACAAACCCACACTTCCACAAGTAAGAGTCACTACACTTTGACACCTCGAGTGGACCAGCAAAGAGTCGGGAACATGAGCGTGGTGATACATCTCTGGGATGACACCTCTTTTTGGCGATGAGCTGTGCAGTCATAGGCGTTTAGCTGTGATGGCGACAATGACAGAAGACAAAGCCATGACTTTACAGGGAGCCGCCGGCGGTATCTCGGAGTGACACGTGGGTTATCGTCGACACGCCAACACTGCGTCCCTGGTGCGTATTTCCCATGAACCTCTGAGCCGAACTGCCCAGCTCCCAAAAGATAGCAAGACGGCAGCAGATGAGGAGAGGTGAGACATTTATCTGTGGAAGGGGCCTGCTGTGGAAAAAGTCTGGGACAAAGTTGAATGGCTGACTGCAGAGAAGACAAAAAGCCCAACAAGGGAGATTCGCTCATTTTCCTTTATCAGTCTTCATTAACTGTACTCCCCCCTCCCCTTGTGTCCACTCTACCTACCTCACTTTCCTATTCTGCCTGACTTTGCAACCTTTCAGCTGCGATCTTTCTGCTGGTCAGCCCCCTCTTGTTGTCTTTTCCTGGCTTGGGGCCAGAGCAAAGATCAAGGTCCAACAATAACAAGAACAGGCAAAAATAAACTGAGAGAGAATAGAGAGAGACTGGGAGTCATTCCTGGATGTAAGAAGCCATTTGCCTGGAGTGATCCGTGGATTAGGGGCCAAGGCCCGGCTGCCCGATCTAAATTGCTTCACATACTGAGGAGATTAAGCTAAAAATGAATGGACCAACTGAGCTGATAGAGTCAGGCTTCTGGGTGGATATTCTCCTCTCAAAAACTCTCCCAGCAGCAAGGAGGGCACAAGCAGATAACATTTGAGGGAATAACAAAGACGGGATTTTCTTTTCTCCCTCAGGAATAGCAGTGGTATACCCTCAGCGATGCTGCTTACTTTGCATCATTGCGATCCTGTTTACTTTGACCGTTAAGTTAGATCATCAGTGTTATGATATTGCCTGTTATTCAGACTAATCAATATTTCTACCACTTCTTGTTGACTGAGACAAGCGTTGGATAGATCCTAACACAGTTTTAGAGACACTCATAGTCCCCAGAGGATGAATCTTCTTGTCCTTGCTGATCCCCGACCATGTCAAGAGTGACAACAAAGTCGACTTTTAGTCCTCGAGGAAATATCCCAACAACTACCACATTTTAATATCATGATCTTTGATACCGATTTTCATTGTCCCCATAGGATGTATTGTACGATCTGAGGCAGACCTTTTTCGTAGATCAGGCCACCAAGTAGCCGAAGTTTTCGTTTACCCTCTGGAGTATCTTGACATTTTTGGAAAAGTTCTTTCGAGACATTCATAGTCCTCAGAGGTTGTCTCTTTGATTTTATTTCGACCCCAAGGTTTATACCTCTCAGTGAAATCTCTCGACCACCATAGCATGGACTGCATTATTCATTCTAGTTAACGACGGGAACTTTGTGCTGATCCTAGTCCTCGAGGAAATATCCCAACAACTACCACATTTTAATATCATGATCTTTGATACCGATTTTCATTGTCCCCATAGGATGTATCTTACGATCTGAGGCAGACCCTTTTCATAGATCAGGCCACCAAGTAGCTGAAGTTTCCGTTTACCCTTTGGAATATCTTGACATCATTGGAAAAGTTCTTTCGAGACATTCATAGTCTTCAGAGGTTGTCTCTTTGATTGTTTATAGGTTCATACTTCTCAGTGAAATCTCTCGACAACCATAGCATGAACGGCATTATTCACTCACCTGTAGCAGCGAGTTAAAGATGGCAACTTTGTGCTAATTCTAGTCCTCAGAGGATAAATCTCTTGAACATTACCATTCTCTTGACTTCTTCTAGAGGATGAACCTCATTAAAGTTGGTGATCCCTTAATTTTTTTTCTCTTAACTCCAGCTTGTTACTAAGTTGTCCTCTGGAGTTTGAGTCGGACTGACAAATAACTTTGCTCAGACATCGATGACCCCCAGAGGATGAACTCAGTCACCATCTGGTTCTTCCCCTGTGGCAAACTTGGCATCGTACTTGGATTGTGTGCAGAATTTCAAGCTCTCCCCTGGATGATTGTCATAAGTGTGCCGATATTCTTCATTTTTACCACCATTATAAATGCTAAACTATGCTAAACAAATCCCTGCTTACAGTTAGTCTGTTAGCATTGCCTTTTCAAGCTTATTTGCATGTTTATAGTTGCATTAAATCATTGCACCTGGCACAAACAGTCCACATGTACCTCTAGTGCAAGACTGATATTTATGTTGCTCAATTTTTTTCCATGTAAGAGTGTATTCATCTTTGTTACCTCCACTCCCACGTTGGCATTTTCTCTTAAAATATTAGTGTCATGATGATAAAAGACTGTGTTGTTCCCATGTGTTCAATCAGGCAATGTTACTGCAGTCAAAGGACGTCCAGGAGCTTTCAATACAACTAGATACAGATAAATACGCCTCGCCCTCACATGCAGGCCAGCGATTCATTTTTCGATGTAGACATGAATGAGCTGATGCTGAGTGGATTAGGCTGTGCTGGCTTTACTTAATGACTGCTGCACAGGCTACAGTACACTGAGCCTCTCTCTTGGGCTGAGGTCAGAGAAAATGCCTCTTAGTAATAGAGATCCTTTACAACCACCAGGGGAAATCACTGCGGGTTTGTTGGCAGCCCATGTAATTAACCGTGTTAGCTTTCTTATGCTCACAAAATCTGAAAGACGGAAAAAATCCTTGTAGGTCTTAACCTTTAAATCCTGTGTCGCGTAATGTCCACGGGGGGCTATTCAGAAGTGGACAGCATCCCTAAATTCTGCATGACAAAGCCAATTTTAAATGATTTAGGACTGAGAGCGGAGGAGGAAATGATGTGATATTCTATTGATTAAAGGGGAAAGTTCTCATTTGCCTGAACATCCCAGGAGCAGGTGGGAATTCAGTGTCCCCTCTTGCTCCAGGATGGTTCAGCAGGATTGATGTTAGCCGTCAAGAGGGCTTGAACCCAGGTTGAAGGACAGTCTTCTTACTCGCCGCAGTGCTGTAACAGTCTACCACATGCAATGCTGGATCTGGACCTCTTTGCTACAAGAGTGACAGCCTGTCAGGAGCTTGCAGTGTTTGGTATTAGTCCGTCTAATTAGCAGGGCCCAGGGCAAGGTTAGACTCTACAGTAATAACCATTTTTTTCTGTCTGCAATACATCATAATGATGGTGATGATCCCAGAGGGCAGAGTTGTAATCATTCACCTGCTGACTCAGCTCCAATTATAAAGTGCCGGGTTCAGCTCTATCCTTTTTTAGACTTGGGCATGTCCTACCAAATCCGAGGCAAGAACATCCATCCTTGTGGAAACAAAGCCTCGCTCGAGATGAACCGGTCAGGAAACCACTTGAACCAGAAAATTCTCCAACAAAGGCCCATAACTTTAATAAATTGGTGCGATAAATAGATTTGCTTTTAGGGTCAAAGACAATCCATCAAAACTTGTGCAAGAGAAAGCACAAAAGCGAGCTGCATCCAGTTACTCTAACACTTTTTTATACACTTCTTTGTTAAAATTTCACAAATGAACATAAACATAATGCAAAAATCAAAAGCACAAACCTAAACCACCCTGTAGACAATATTCCTCTTCTAATAATCCCACATGATGGTTTATTAAACCTCTAACAGCGTTACAGAGACAAAATCTCATTTCCTTTCCTTACCATGACTCATAAACCTGCCGATACGGCGCAGTCAAATAATGTGTATGTAGGCTACAGATAAGTAATGGTCTCTATTAATGCAAAGTAAATACAGTTCAATGTGGCTGCGAGCTCCCATAAACCATTTGGCCTCTTTGCCAATAGCGTCTTAGAAGAGATATGAAAGGAGCCAATATAAGCAAGATAAAGTGAGAAAGCGGAGTTTTCCTTCCTTTTCTACTAATAATCCCCAGATTTACTATCTAAGCTGACTAAAAAATACTGTATATATATGTGATTTGAGACACTTTTAGAGTATCTTTACATTTTTATTAGGGTAAATGACCATGAATAGAGCTAATTATGTTTAAAAAGATCAACTCAAGCCTCATTATAGGTGGACGATTATCAAACTGGTTCATTATGCTCCCCTCATTCATCAGCACTTGTCATCGTGGCTTAGTGTATTTACAGTTCATTGTCAGTTCATATGTTCAGTACAGCTGAGCGAGATTAGTCATCAAGTACATAGAGGGTTATATGATGCTACCTTAGTGATGGGCACGGCAGTTCTTTTAGATGTACTGAATCACTAGAATCAGTTCGCTAAAAAGATTCGTTCACCAAATCACCGAATCATTTAGCAGGAGGAGCCTGTGACTCCGACATCCTGAACTGATCCACAGCTGAACGGTTCAGGATTCAGTTCGATTCTTAGCTTCTGGGACTGGGAGACGAGAGTGTTTGTCTGTGTTTGGCTCAGTGAGTGATTCGTTCACTGAACGTTTAGAAGAATTTACACTGAACATTCCCCGTTCCCTCGCAAACCACTGCAATGACAGGATGCTGCACTGCTTGTTACATGCTGTGTCCTATTGTTTGCAAGTTGTTGTGGTGGCAATTTAGAAGTAAAAAAAGAAAAGTTAGTTTTGTCCGACAAAAATGATGCCAGAGAGTGTAGTTCAATGCGTGATTCGTTCACCAAGTGAGTCAGGCGTCGGTGCTTGCGGTCCATCGTTCGCTGGCTGCTGGCCTGGCAGTGCTGTTTCTCACTTCAGCTCAACGGGTGAGAAATGAACGAATCACTCGAGGAAGTGATTCGGTTCAGCACGTTCACCTAAAAGATTCGGTTCTTTTGAACAAATCATTCGCAAACGACACAACACTATGCTACCTTGTGTTTATTAGCACCAAACAGGAGATAAGGAAGGAAACGTAGCATCAGATTTTAATGTTTTGATCCAAAAGAGAGGTCGTGGATTAGGGTCAATATGAGCTATAAGAATTAATGCAAAATGACATGAAATTATGGAGCCAATTTCAATAGTTTAAGCATTTTCCTCCAAATCCCAAATTTCAACCACATGGTAGCCTGGAAACGAAAAGCCATTGGCGCCATTTGGATGCTTCATCTGGGAATCATGCGCATCTGTTACCAAAGTCTGTCGGATGCGTCCTTTAGGGGACCATGAAAGTCTGGACCAAACTTTCAGGCACACCATCCGTTACTTGTTGGCTGTAAATGAAAAGTGAGGAGAGGTGCTGTATCGCAACCTTCTCGCCGAAACCTGCAGCAAAACTGTTTGTTTTCCTAGTTTTCTCAGTTTCTGTGCTGCAAGTTATGAAATAATAAACGTCTCAGATTGAATTCTGGGTTTGCTGAGCCTTTATCATTTCTCCTCTTGATGGCTTGTAAAATGCTCAGGGATCCCCACTTGGCAGTTTAGCATTTGAAAGTAGGATTCGGGCTTGTCTCCAACTGAAGTATGGAGTCAATAATCCCACTGCTCACCGTGATATATAATTTATGAGCTCCGTCTCTTTTTGAGATATCCAAAACAAGAGTATCTACAGTTTCGCTGCGCTGAACCGCAGTTTGTAAAGAAGCTAAATTTGTTGTGTTTGCAGGAACTCCCTTCTCTTTCCCTGACATGCCATTAGTCACCACCAGCTGTCTCTCCAGTGAGCATGTTATGAGCTAAAATACAATTAAGTGATGTTGTCACTCCTCTAAATGTGAGTATGACTCAAGGGCAGGCCTACCCTTTACAGTTCTAGCACTGTGTGAATCAGTGAGTCGTGCCTGCTGTGTGACAGAGACGGAGATTAGAATATGAATTAAAATATCATTGGTGCCGACTGCATTGAGAGAGTGTACATAGGCGGCAAAGTAAAGATTGATAAATCAGTAGAGTCTTTGCAGGCCATGAGCCACAGGGGGAAAATTATGCATGCTCCGTCTACAGGAAGCTGTCATGTGTGAAAAGAAGAAAACAAAGGCGCCTTTTTTTTAATGGAATCTACTGTATTCATGCAGAAACAAAAGGTAGTAAAAGCAGCATATGCCACCTTCTCTCCAACCCCCGTGTCCGTTTGTGTGAATCACTTTCTCAATGGACCAGATGGAGAGAGAGCTGGTGTACGACCAGGACAGATGTTTCACGAGACGTACTGTGAAAGTGTGTGTGTGTGTGTGTGTTTGTCTGGGAGTGAAACACAGGAGGAGACACCAGGAGGGATGAATTAATTCAGAGGAAAAGTTCAACTAAATGAATAAATTCGAAAGGAGGAGACAGAGTGTTATAATGTTTCAACATCCAGGTATTATTACCTTTTATTATTTAAACAGCACAACATGACTGTCCTGAGACAAAATAAGGTTTGTATGTCTTGGCCTGATGGTTTATAGGAGACTTATACTCTACTGAATTTAACGGCACATTCTTTTGGTAGCTTTAGTTAATGTTTCAATCACAGATGAGGGTTTAGAGAAGTATAGGATAACAAAGTACAGTTATGGCCCTTTAAAACTATCAAACCTTAATAGAATAGTGAAAATCTTCATCTGCATTACAAATACTGTGCTGAAATTTTAAGGTGGCCCTAAAGGTCAACTGCAAAAACATTTCATGACTAATAAAACATTTGATTAAAAAAAAAAAAAAAAACATTTTTTAAATTCAAAAAGAGAAAAAATATTAACAAAAAAACATACATTTCAGTTTATAAATAAAAAAGAATGAAAAAGGACTCAATAAAGTTTACAAAACATGGTAAAATTCTAAAAATATAAAGATTCACAAATATTTTATACATCAGGAAAACGTGACAAAACGCAAAACATTTTATTGTAAAAGGCAAAAAAATTAAATACAAGAAAATGTCATTAATGCAAAAACATCTACAAAAAATCATCCTTTTTGTGTGTTTTTTTTTTTGTTTTACATTTAAATGACTTATTTTTATTGAACAAGAATTTTTTGCATTATGTTGTTTTTTTTGCTCTAACAAAATAACCAAATATTATTAAATTCATAAAACATTTTATAATATAGAACTGTAATGCGATGTTTGGAGGATTCAGTGTATCATTTTTTTTTTTATAAGTATTTGCGCAGTTGGCCTGTTGGCTGTGGAGGGCCACCGTACATTCCTTAATGCAATGTTATTTTAAAGACAAGATGGCTTCAGATACTGTCAATGTCGTTTGTTGATTATAGTCATGCCCTTGTATTTAAATTAAAGATTTAAGTTTTTAAAGTGGTAAGTCCTTAACTGTAGAACAGTGTTTTTTCAGGTCATTTTACAGTTAACAATTCTTAATTGAGTTTAAATTTATCTTCATGCTCTTCCTTTTACTAGATTACCATACTTCCTGGAGCAACAAAAAGAAAGGTCTGTTCATTGCTGATTGTAGGACCACTTTGTAAACTGAACATCTCAGGTCAAAAGACCACAATCTTTCATTATCTTACTGAAGTGCCCTGTAGGTCAAGGCGTTGAGCTGTACTCCTTACTCTGTGTAAGCCTCTTATAAAACCCCATTGATGGGAGGAAAAGTGAAATGCCTCTGCAGCACCACGGCCAGCTCCACACAACTCTGAGGCAAAGTCAGAGGAACTCTGTCACATTTTATGCAAACAGTGTGTGGAAAGCAAAGAGGAAAACTCAAGGCTACAGAGGACACTTAGACCACGACTATCCGACTAATGGTGGCTATAGGCTGTACTTTAATTAGACACGCGATACACCTGCCTGTGCGGCTGTGACGCCACTGCCTTGGCATTACCAGGCTCGTGACTCAGAGAAAAGTCACAGGTGAGCCAAAAATAATAACTCATTAATGTCAAAATGAGGTTATCTCTTTTTAGTTGAAGTCGTGATTCATTGCTTTTGTGGAAAGGGTGTTTCACACCATTTGTATCATATAACCAGAGCATCAGTCTTCTTGAGATGGAAGTCTAAAATGAAGCTGACAGCTTATAAACCTGAGTTAGCTTTCAGTCATTTAAAGGCTATTTTGACCTGTATGTGCACTGTTTGTTGAAATTTTGGTAGAATAATCAAGTATGTGTACGCTAGTTATGGCCTTTTATGCTGATTACTGGACATACACTTTATGTGGCCGTAACATTAGGCTACATGAAATAGGTGCTCCTGATGCGATAAAAAAAACACAATTATGCTAAAATTGATAACTCATTTAGATCAACAACCGGGTTTGTGGTCAAGTAAGTTGTATTTTTGATTGTAAGGTTGTTGTTGTTTTAAATAGGTTCAAGAAGGTAAATTTAAGCAGTCTTTCAAAACGAGTTTGCTAGTCATAAGAAAAATTGTTGAATACGATAATGCCTGCGATCAAAAAATATGTGATGCCTATGAGGAGGCTGTCCTGCACCGAAGTGAGTTCTGTTAATTTTACTATTTAATTTTATTATAAAATTAGAAGTCTACTATAAGCCGTCCCGGGTGGAAGCGAGAGGACAAAAATGGAGTCTACTTCAACACGATTGAGTTTAAGACAGTGAAAATACATATGGTATGTTTTATCTGAACAGGTTAGCTTACGAGCTAAAGTTACTTAGCTCAGATGAAAGTTAAAACAAAGACGTTTATCAAACTGTTAAAGCACACAAACCATCGTCATATGAGAAATCCGACGCTATGACTCTCCACAAGTTGTCCTTCAGGTTGTTATCTTTGTATTTTTTTGCGTTTTTATGGGAAAGCACTCTGTTCTCCGACACGTAAACAATCAGCCGGTCGGCCATGTTGGATATACCGGCGAATCAGACGTCGCAAAAAACACAAAATCTGATTGGTCAGAAGTGGACACACAGTATGCGAAAAATTCGACCGTGCAACGAAAAAATAAATGCCGCAATATCGCACAACGGGAAAACGTCGCTGATGTGAACGCTTGTATTGACAGGATACGGGTTCGAAAAAAAATATTGACGTCCAAAATAATCGCACGAAAAAAACGCTCCTGATGTGAAAGGACCTTTAGTAAACGCGCACTTTTAGTCCAACCTTTACTTTTTGTAGAGTCACGTCAACGTTTAATGTCTGGAAACGTTGAAATGATATAAAATAATAAATAATGTATTAATGTTGAAAATTACATTAAAATAATTAATAATAAAATGACGGGTTGACGTGATTTAGCCTGAAAAAAGACGTCTAAATGACGTCAGCCAGGTGTTTGGTGGGTAGAGTTGATATGTTGTTTATTTGGTCAGAGGCGTGTAGGACAAATAAGGAGGCGGTTTAAGTATGATTTCCGACCTAGGAAACAACGTAGAGTCTGCTAGTAATGCGTTACTGTAACTGGTTGTGAGCCAGTCCTGCCTCTCTCTCTCTCTCTCTCTCTCTCTCTCTCTCTCTCTCGCTCTCTCTCTCTCCGTCTGCCGCTTTGTCTACGCATCCATGTGGGTTCTTCCGTCTCAGTGTTGTTGCTGCGCCTCTCGGCTCCGCCAGCCTCTCAGCCATTGGCCTCGGAGACCATCACTCTTCCTTTCACAACAATAGACCCCCACGCTCGTACCCCCACACTGACAGACACCGCCACTCATGCGCCCGACAAACTGAGAGCTTTCGAGGAGCGTCGGTGAAATGTTGGTGAAGCTGCGGCGTACCGACCTTACCTTTCTTTCCACCAGCTTCACATCGGCGAGGAGGAGCGCAGGGAAACCTCAGCGATGCGCTCAGACGGGGACGCGTCGGAGTTGAAATAAGGGAAACACGGGGGTTCGTGGGGGGGAAAACAAGGCTGAGAGAGGGGGGGAATTTTCCGGTGAGGATGACTGATTGGTGACAAAGAAAACGGGGAGCCCCTCTGGCTTCGGTCGCTAGAACTTGACGGAAGGCGTTCAGGGGGACCGGCTCGCTCTTTCTTGGACAGCCCGAGGTTTTTGATCATCTTTCTTTTTGGAGGGGAACCATGCCTGTCCGGAGGGGTCATGTTGCGCCACAAAACACATTTTTGGGAGTAATTATCCGGAAATTCGAGGGACAAAGTGAGTACCTCTCTCCATGGTGCCTCTCTTTTGTGTCTGTCCTGCTGAATATTATTTAAGCATTAGAAAAAAGGCCTCCTTCTTTCTTTTACAACAACAAACCATATGGTGCAGATATGCTACAATCCCATTTTCCACTCATTTTGATAAACTACATGTCAGAGGTCTATTAAAAGTCATTATAACTTAATTATCCCTCCACCTTATCAAGCTCCTAGTTTGTTTAATAGCAGCTCTGCACCCTCCTGCTCCAGGAGTTAAAAAAGCCGCCTGAGAAACAAGGATTAAAGGATTTAATTACTTTCAGATCATATCCTCAAAATACCTTCATTGCCTGTATTAAATCCCCCCCAGTCATGTTTAGTTTTGGCGGATTATTTCAGGTGCTGTGATGCTGCACACCTTGCTGGAGGCGTATAAAAAAGCGAGGGATTAAGATTTCATGTGTGGAAAATTCAAAAAAATGTGGGGCAACCGGTTTTGTTATGTTATTTATATTTCGACTGATATATCAGATTGAATTCCACCTGTCTACCTGCTTGTGTTTGTGTAAAATGCTTTCATTTTTCATGCTTTCACACTCCTGTATGTTGCGTTGGTTTACATCCTCCCTCTTCTTACTCGCCCCTCCACAGATAAGAAATTCATCATAGCCAATGCCCGGGTGCAGAACTGCGCTATCATCTACTGTAATGACGGCTTCTGTGAGATGACGGGCTTCTCACGGCCGGATGTCATGCAGAAGCCGTGCACGTGTGACTTCCTGCACGGCCAGTTCACCAGCCGGCACTCGGTGGCCCAGGTGGCCCAGGCGCTGCTGGGCTCGGAGGAGCGCAAGGTGGAGATAACCTACCACCGTAAAGATGGTGAGTGCACAAGACGTACCAGATGTCTCAGTCTCTTTCCAGTAGAAGAAGTACGCTGCCAGAGTCTGTACTTCAGGTGTATTTTAAAACGTCCAACACTCCAGGTACACTGTGGGTAATTTTTAGTTCTGACTCGGCTCTATCTGGAGCATTTTGCAGCAATCACAGAGTGCACCCATTTAGAGCCCGGAGGGGGCAGGGAGAGCAGCTGTGCAGGTTTCTTTCACCGTGAAGTCCAGTTTCGAAAGGATGCAGGCGACATCGGGTGGCTGTGAGAGATGTTCATTAGCCCGAGCTGGGTAGGGCACCCTGCGAAGGATGTAGCTCACTTCCCTGTAGACCGCTGTGAAGATGGTGAGGCGCGTAGTTTCACTTCTGCTCTCTACAGCCTGGTTACATATACACACTGTATATTAGATAATCTTTGGGTGTGCATATGCTGCTTATAAATACTTCAGGACTTGTCCTGACAGCTGCTATTGTTTCCAGTGAAAGTTTAAACCAGTCGCATCATTGTGCTTGTTCAGGGAGAGTTCATGCTTTGACCTTTAACAATGACATATGTATTCAGATGATTAAGCCGTCTTGCATAACGCTTAGAGACTGGTGAGGTTTTACTTTGGCGCTTTGAGGGATTCATACTTTTATGAGACTCATGCATGGTCGTCATGTTGTCCATGTTGGAAGCCTATTTATGTTTTATTGTCGGGGATCATTAAAGGGATGGTTTTGATTCTTTAAGAGGAGGATAATGTTCGGTATTTTCATCACTTGTTTATCGCCTGCAGTAGATACCATTCAGCTCTGTTTTTGAGGAAGTCAGCCAGAGTCTTGATACGGAAGTTTAAAAAAAGGCAGACTAAAGAAAAATCAATATCCGTTTAAGTGTACAGCATATTTTCAAGTATCTTTACTGCCTCGCCTCGCTGTCCGACAGCCCTTTTCTTTAGCACTACGTTTTCTCAAGTCTGCATCCATACGAGTGCAGCACACTGATTTGCACTGCAGGTCAGAAAAGCTGTCGCAAACTCAGACTGGAGTAAAACTTTGTTTTTCTTCAGATTTTAAAGGTCCTGTGAGTGTTTTTTTTACAGCGATGAAACAGACTGAAATAAACAGCGATTCCTCTTTATGATCCACAACAGCAAACAAGGCCATGAATACAGTGATTAATATTCCTACAGTGTAGCCTGGCTACCAACACGGAGAGGGGGTAGGTGTGAGAGGAGGCAATTTACAACAAAGTGAGGAAAAACCACCTTTGATGCCAGAAAGAGCAGGATAGCGCTTTTGTCAGAAAGTACAACACATGCATGTTTGAGACCAAATTATCAAATTAGAAGTACTGCCACTTTGTCAACAGGGGGTGCCAAAATCAACATAAACAGAAACAGATCCTCACTTGAGCTTTAATGAAGGTCCATGGTTTTGTTTTCTGTTTGCATGAAACTGGTCGGTAACACTTTATTTGACGCCTATCTCTATAAGGAATTATAAATATATGTATAATGCATTATAATCACGTCAAAGCGCTGTATAACTATAGTTATAAACACTTATAAATGATCATAATGCTTTATAGAAATAATCACAACACATTATAAAGCATTTTAAAGCATTATGATCATTAATGAGTGTTTATAACTATAGTTATACAGCACTATGATGTGATTATAATGCATTATACATATATTTATAATTCCTTATAGAGATAGGCGTCAAATAAAGTGTTACCAAATGGTCATTTTCACGTTTAGATGTAATTGTGTCCTGTCCTGAAAAAATGCAAGCTCGGGGAAATTTTAGGGGCCAACAAACACACACAAAAAAGTTTATAGTGAGGCATGCAGGAAAGCTGTTAAACTTGGTTCATATAGTGAAACATGCCACCCCTGAGTCAATTACTGTTTGCACTGTGCTAAAATAGTGTTACTTTTTCTATGTGCTTGTTCCAGGAAGTCTCAAATTAGATTTTAAAGACAGTGGTGCAACCAGTCCTATACTCCACATTCAGCACATCGATGGCTCTGGGTTTGCAGCAGTAACTTTTCTGAAGAGGCTTATATAAACCACAGCTTAATAAGACAGCTTGACACCTCCTGAAGAGCACACTACAGTATCCCACCATAAGAGCTGACAGAAATATAAAACAACTCTCCAAACAAGCACACGAGTTCTCCCTCTCTCCATTTTCCCATCATTTACCGTGTCAAAAGTTATCCCCTTTGAATTGTGGTTAAGGTGTTTAATCTCTGCCGCTCTGATCAGTCATCTTGACTTTTCTTGGAGGTGTTACTTCTTCCCCGAAAGTACTGGATTGCTGTCTTAAATTGCTTAACCACAGCAAGAACTGGTGGGAACTTCTGTCTACTAGAGATATTTAGGGCTGTTTCCTGCTGACCGTTGAAAGTGGTGTTAAAAAAAACACTCTGCATGCTTCACTTCTGCTTTCAGGCAGTGGTATTTTATGAAGAAACACAAAAACTGTTGGTAGCCATCTTGTCGTAGCATTAGCATTACCTCTAGACCTGGCAGTTGTTTTCTAATGGGGGAGCTCACATCAAGCGCAAGTAAAATCATCTACTCGCTTAATTCGCGCGAATCTAGATGCGTGAATGAATTGTATTCACTCGCTTCATTCGCGCGTCATCAGTAATTTCAACGGTAATTCCTGTCAATTCAACCGGTGGGATCAAGTGATAGACAAAGGTTTTTTACAATTTACCAGGTAATCCGACTTCCTCATTCAGTTGCCTCCAGGCGAACTCATTTTTATTCTGGTTACAGTAATCGAAAGAAAAGGTATCATATAATGTGGGGCGCACACACACCGACGCGATCAGTTTGTTCTCGATTTTAGAAACCAGTTAACAACCGTCACCCGGCAACCTTCATGCTGATTGGTTATTGCGACGCGATATCCACTGGAGTTGAGACATTTTCAGCTTCCACCCAATTCGCGTCATTCGCGCCGCCGGAGAAGTGGGAGCGTCTAATCGCGTCTTTACATTGACTTAACATGTAATTCATTCGCGCGAATGATTTTACTCGCGCTTGGTGTGTGGGGACAGTAAGGAAGACAAGTTTGGCCAGTATTCTCTCCACACAGACGCTTGTCATTGTTGTTGGCAAAGTTGATATCAAAAGTCCTTGGTTAGCGACAGAGAGGTGACGTTGATGAGCACGGTGTTGTTCCAAAAGTGGAATTATTTTCACCTGAGAGTTCGGAGTTTCAGAAACATTGGACAACTAAAGGTTTTTGGACACTGATAACACTTAATTAGTTTTGTACAGATAGTAGACTCTGCCTGCCAAAAAGCAGGGAGTGGACACAGGCCCTTAACTGCATGGATGCATACATAATAGGTCTGAAGGGTGAGAAAACATTGACGCTACAATAACTGAGCATACACTGCTTCTGATGTTTACAGCAAACATTTCTCAACTTCGGTGTAAATGCTACTCTCTTGACTTTTCATTGCAGCAGTGTTTTTTCAAGTTGAATGTTTTGGATTATAGCAGCAGAAGTGAACAGAGAAGACAAGAAATAACACTTCAGGTTTCTTATCTGGAGAAACGGTTCGACTTTATCTCTGCCGATGGAGACGGATGGATTTTCCGGTTGATAATAAAACACGATGCTGTCAGAGGGATTTAGTTTGACAGCTGACGTGTGAGAGGAGCTGCGTGATTTTCTGTAAATCACACTCGGGCGGGTATCAGGAAACCCAGAGGGGTAGAGGTGACACAGATTAGGTCAAAAAAGGTTTACACAACACTCGTAGATGATAGTATCCTTAGAGGCGTTGTTGTAGAGGGGTTAAAGGTTGGAAATGTGCAATAAGGTTAGAGAGAGTAAAGCTTGAGGGAATAGACAGAAGGAGATGTCAGCTTATTTTCTGAGTGGGCTTTGCTGTTCCCTCTTGAGACTGTTGATATGTCGAACATCGCTTTGGTTCATACTGTCCTGACTGAACTCAGTCAGAGCCATGAATAACACAATTTTCCCTGTGCGACCCTGTGCCAGAGCTGACATCCTGCCCCTGTGATCGGCGTTCCAGCATGTCTTATTATGTTCGTCACACATTTCACTGCCGGAGGTTGATATTTCCTTTTTTAATTCATTCTACTCGGCTGCGTTTCACCGGGAAATTAGTCTTTTTTTTGCTTCATTTGACAAACAACTAATAACACAACAAAATGTTGAACATTCGACTGATATCTTCTGACGACATGAATCATTTATGAGAGACTCTCTTTAACATAAGGGCTACGTGGGTTCAATGTAGGTGTTGTTTTTGTTTTATCAGCTTATTGGTTCGCTTATTAGTGTGTGCAGCAGCAGCAGCAGCTGTGTGAAATGGGAGATTGGTTTGACAGGTCTGGCTTCTGATAGCACATCACCATCAGGCCTTCAGTCCTCCTTTTAAATGAGCTTTTATGGGCCTGCGCTGGGTACACATCTACGGAAGAGGATTAGGGCCACAAGAAAAAATAAAAAAAGGTCCATTATTTTTTTTTTAATCATAATTCAGGATTCCTACACATTTGATATTTCCATACTTTTCCATACCCTACTTTTTTAAAATTATTTTTTTGAAATATCTACTTTTTTATTTTAGAAAACATTATATTAGAACTATGGTTCTTTTCCATACTTTACGTACTTGTGTAGGAACCCTGATAATTCTGAGAAAAAAAGTCAGAATTTTAGTCAGAGTTTAATTTCAGAATATTTTAAGAAGTTTTAAATTCAGAATTCTGAGATTAAAGTCAGAATTCTCACTTTTTTCTCAGAATTACGATTTAAAAAAAAATGGATTTTTTTTCTTCTTGTGGCCCTCATCCTCTTCCATACACATCCTCCTGATCATAGTCATACACCAATTCAACCATATATAACATAGGTTAGCATGTTGTCATCACAAAAACTATATACTATACTATATATACTATATATAACAACTGTTGCCTGTGTTTATTTACATCTAGGTAGTAGGGTAGTGGGCTGCAGCAAGCGGCTGGTGGCGTGGCTACAGCCTTGACATTCAACTCAACTGAACTTTATTTATAGAGCACTTTAAATTCAACCAAAGCTGACACAAAGTGCTGTACATAATAACAGAAAAACATAAAACAACAATAAATAGTAAAGAAAAAAAAAGCAATAATACAAATGCTTGGTCAAAAAGCCAAGGAATAAAAGTGTATGACCGGCATTTTAGGTCTACAATGATACCAGTTTTGATAGCTTGTGTCATCAACAAGTGATTCTAGTGCTGACTAATACATGACTGAATAACTTGATCATATTTTTTTTCAGTAGAGTTTCAAAAACACAAAACAAACATAGAATAGGCTTGTGTTCTGATATCATAAAGTCTCCCTTTCAGAATAAGTGATTTCAGGCCTGATGTCCCAGAGTTCTCTGTTCTGCTCCTTCTGTTTCATGTATTGGCAGCAGGATGGATGGCTGCTCTCTAGGAGTAGTATCAGCTGATTTAGAGGCATCACTGTTTCAATACGGCGACACCAAAAAGTCCAACGACTATTTGCAAACGTTGAATTCTTTTCGTGAAGTTAAATTAATAAGTCAGGCTTAATATTCCCGTAACCTACATCTGCATCTAATACTGCGTCTTAACTCATTGGTTTGACTTCATAGGCGTTATCTTCCTCATGAGCACCTTCCTTGAAAATTCTCCTTGTGTTTCCTCCGGTTTTGTGGAAGTGTTTTCAAACTCAGGATGTAAGAGTGATCAGTGCTTCCCCAGTAGTCTTGCTAAACCCTCTGGGAATAAATGTTGAACTAATTAAACTTACCCAAAATGTTTGATCTCTGAAGGCTGTAAGAGAACTAAACCTTTATTACATTTTCTGCAAAAACTCAGTCAAGCGAGGTCTATTATGGTTTTCAGTAGGGGAGTATTGGAGTGTTTTCATTCAGTCCAACTGGTAGATAAAGGATTTAAGTACTTTAATGTGGACCATAACCAGTCTGACGTCTTTCTTGGCCGGCGTATTGTCTGCCAAACTGTGCTGGGGGTTCAGTTTGCATCGATCCGCAGAGCAAACAGCTTTAATGAGGACACAAATACCTTCATGTTGCATTGATCTTCAAAACCGGCGCACTGGAGAGGGGAAATCAATGATGGCCGAACGCCCTCCCCTCGCTTGCCGGCCCACAGGAGACTCAAGTAAAAAGAACTAGAGGGCTTCTGCCTGTCGGACCCTGCAGCAGGGGAAAAGGCCTCATTACCATTCTGTATGCCGCACCTCTAATTACCTCAGTGTTTTCCCTCTCACCTGACTCAGAGCTCCTCCAGGGAAGGTCGTAAACCTGTTTCAACCAGGCAGACTGCTCTTATAATCTCCTGTTTAAAACAAGCAAGTATGATCGGACAGTTTAATGAGACTGGAGCTCTTAGTTTGAGGAGATTTTGTTCAGATGAGTGGTGAGGAAGTGTGTTGTTTACAACCCTGATTCCAAGGAAACTGGGACACTTTGTAAAATGTTGATAAAAACAGATTTTGATGGTTTGCAAATCATTCGAACTTTATATATGCGAGGTGTTTGAAAAGGAAAGTTAATTGTCTTGTGAAAAATACTTTTAAAAAAGTAAGGACAGTGACAACAAAAGTTCTCTGAAGTAAATATAGGAAATATAGGTTCACAACTCAGAAAGACTGCTTAAGCAAATACCTTCATCATCTATAGTGCGTACAGTTAAAACTCTGAGAGTCTCTCTAAATACCTGATGGCTGTTATCTTCAGGTCCTCAGGCAGCCCTGCATTAAAGACAGACATTTCTCTGTAGTGTAAATCACTGCAGTGGTTCAAAATCACATTCAGAAACCATTATCTGTGAACATAGCTGGTGAGCATTTCGAGGAAGGTGCAATTCATACTGAAAAATATATATACCTATGTGTTTTGGAGCAACATAGTAGACCATGTATCTATCATTAAGACAATAACAGATCACACTCTGCTTGTATTACAACAGTAAGACTCGGTGGTAGAAGAGTCTCACTTTGCCACCCAGGAACATCACTTAGGGGTGTCCCGATACAACTTTTTTACTTCCGATACGATACCGATATTGTAGCCTGTAGAATTGGCCGATACCATCAATATTGGCACAAACTTGTTCATGACAATCTGCAACGTCTTTTTCAGACTTTAACGAAAAATACTGCCACACGGCCGACATCACTCCGACTCCTCGCTACTTTGTTAGTACCTTAGTACACACTGTTCTTGTGATATCGTGGGATCTGCATGCTGGATCCAGATGCTGCTAGATAGAGATGCTGGAGCGGAGTCTTTAATGGACTGCTTGAGATTTTAGATGCAGGCCGATATAATCTGATATTTGTTTTTTGGCTGATATCGGACCGATAGCCGATATCGTATCGGGAGATCCCCGACATCATTTTACTCTCAAAACTCTTGAAACTGGTCCTCCAACAATAATAATTAAAAAAAAGTCTATCTATCTATCTATCTATCTATCTATCTATCTATCTATCTATCTATCTACCTACTCTGCTCCTCAAGGTTTACAAAGTGTTGAGGTGAAGCAACAAAATGGTATCTTGCTGGCATCAAACTCAAATAAGCGTATACTGTAAATTTCACAGAACAATCACATAGTTGCGTCATTCTGTCTTTGCACTAACTTTAGGCTTCAAATGATTTAGAAACCGTCAACTCTGTTGTTCCCAACATTTTAGGCAGCATCCCAACTCTTTCAGAACCGAGGTTGTAGTTTGAGGAGATCCTGTTAAATGGTGTGACAAAGAAGTGTTGTGTTTGTGTATTTTAGTAAACCCTGGCATGCTCTTATCTATCAAACACTTCCACTATTTGTCACTGTTTAGTATCTCCGGCTGTGAATCGTCAGTTTGATGAAAATGGGAAGAGGCGTTGGAAAATAAGGATGTCTGTCGTAGCGTGGCTCTGAAAGGATTGCAAAAAGCAAAGTGTAAAACGGATCTAGATGTTAACTCAAAGAAATGAAATCTCCGAAATGGAAAAATGTCTCTCCTTTTTGGGTTCTTAGCAGTCTGTCGGCCTATCCTCCGCACTCAGCTTTCAGCCCTTATCTCCTATCTCGAGTGCCTTCAGTATTGGAATTCCTGAGGAAATGTCATTGCAGCAAGCCGATTGCTCTCCTCCTGGTGGACCGCTGGGGGTTTCTGCGAGGCAATCTCGCTCCCTTTAATCCCACGACCCCGGGTCTGCATAAACGCATCACCCGCTGTCCTTTACAGTCCGTGAAGGAGATTCCGCTCGTCAGCACAATCTATGGTACATTCTTAATGCTTTATGATTTGTGCCTTTGCAGAAACCGCCGGTCCTTTTCGCCTTCCGCTGCACATATCTCAACGACCTCTGTTGGAGCGTTGGCTGTCGCTAAAGTGGCGAAAGTTTATTCCCAAGTCTCTGGGCTTGACATTTAAACGCTGAGTTTAGCGCACTTCCATCAGGGAGAATCTTTTGTGCTCAGTGGAGTTAAAAGCATTTTGTGCCATTTCTCTTTGTCACAAATTGCTATTTTTTGAGGTAAAAAAAAAAAAAAAAACTCCTGTATATTCTCCTCTTAGTGCATTTTCTTCGATAAGTCAACACCTTAAAGGACAGACTGATGCATTAGTGCCATTTTTTGTTGCTCTTTGGTCCTCATCCCACGTGTTAATGCCTTTTAGTTTTCAGCCGTAACCAAGAGATGGAAAAAAAAAGAGAAGCAGAGGATACTGCGGGGGCAATTATGCATAATGCAGGAAGATACAAGGACTGGTCTGTGTGTGTGTTTGTGTGTGTGTTTTGTGGATGTGAGGTTCATATTAAAGATTACAGATATGTTTTATACATCTCTTCTTTAATGGTAAAAGCTGGACACCACACTCATGCAAGTATGTTCATCTTCACAGCAGAAATAAACATGTTTGCAGTCATGGATGGATTTTTTCCAGTGTTGTAGGTTACGAAATAATCTCTTGGAGTACTCGGTGAACTACGATGGAGTTTTAGCTTTAAAATAATGATTTTATTACGACTTTATTCTCATAATTAATTACTTTATTACCACTTTATTCTCAAAAGTAATTATTTTGATAATAATAATAGTGATACATTTTATTTGTGGGCGCCTTTCAGGGCACACCCTACAGGACAATTAAAAGACACATCAGTAGATTTTTTTTTAATTTTTTTTATTTAATTTTATTACGATTTTATCCTCATAAGTCATTCTGAGGTCTAAAATTTTTTCTTTTCTTAACATGGCCCTAATGCTCCATCGTGGTTAACTTTTTTTGCTGTATTATGATATAAAAATTTACATCCAAAAAAAATCTGTGAAAACCTTTTTTTGTGATGACAACATGCTAACCTGCTCAGGGTTAGTCCTCCTATCGTTCTCAGTTTCACCCTATAGCCTCTTTCACACATGCACAAAACTCCTGAAAATTTCCAGACCTTATCCAAGTAGGGGTCATGTGTAAACACAATAATCTAAGGTTTATCCTGACTTCACACAAGCTTTTTTTCCCTGTAAATTTCCTGCAGGAATCATGGTCAAAATTATGTGAACACAGCTAGTAAAAGTCTGATAAGTTCACAGGGGAGCCGCCCAGTGGGTGGGGTGAAAACATCATTCTCTTTGCTTTATTTAATGTATTATAGAAACGTCCTTCGGTGTAAATTTGCAGTGTAAAGACAGAAACAGTCTCTATTACTGAGTAATCCTCTACCTGCGTGCTCCACCAAGCCACCAAAATCAATCCAGAGAAAAAATCCTGCCGTTAGGTACATGTGTGAAAGGGACTTCCTGAAAATATCTGAGCCTAAAATTGATAAGAAAATGTCAGGAGTTCATATCTAAATGGAACCAAAATTATACTTTTCTTTTCTCACCACTGCTGATGTATCAAATTGGAAAACTTTGCATAAATTCAAAGTCTTAAAGGTTTTCTAACTCCAGTCTGAGTCTCTCCAATATTTACAGTAAATGCTGTAGCGTTGCCAAGTTTTAAGCTCGGGTTTGTTTTCTTCAGGCTGGGTGTTAAGATAGCCCAAGGTCTATTTAAATGCTAATGCCTCACTGTATAATGAGACGGTAAAGAGGAGAGAAATTGGACTTCCAAGTTGAAACTATCTCTTTCTATCTGAAACAAATGCAAATGATGAAGCAAACGCCGACCAAGGAGCTCTGGACCTTATTTACACCTGTTTGAAAAATGCACTCCAGTTTTTAAGTAGGACTAATGCTACAGTCAGTGCCTCCGACTCTACCAAGTCTTTTACTTTTAATGAATGCAAATTAACTGCCCGTTTAGAGATAAGGTATTTAAACCAACTTGTTTTAACGACAGCTGGAGGAATCACTGGGTAAAAGTAAATGGTTGTAACTGACACAGCACATATTTATTCAGCTACAGCCGCTCCCTTTCCCCTCAGTCGTTCAAGTAGAAAAATCTCAACAGCCTACTCTTCAAACTAAAGAGCCTCCTCTCCTTAAGGTCCTCAGTGTGTGAAGAAATCCATAAGCTCAGCAGACATGGTAAAAAGCTCTCACTTGCAAATAGCAAATGAGATTGAAAATGTCACGCTATAAATAGATTAAAGCTGGTTGTGCTTCAGTGATGTTCCCCCCGATTATAGCGCTTTTTTTTCTTGTAGGCGCTTTAAGTGAAATACACGACGTATATAAGACTACCGCACTCACTGGACTGAGATGTCACACTTCAAATCACGTGCGTAATGTAAACAGAACCGTCAGACCTTGGTGTGGATTAACATTCTCCGACTTACTCAACATTCACGTCTCAGGGCTTTTAATGTGTAACTTAATCTTGAAGATAGATGGGAGCAGATGGGCAGTGAGAGCGAGAACATTACAGGGGTAACCAAGAGGGCACCTCCCTTCACAAGTGTTTTTTTGTTAAGTTAGATAATGACACCTAAGGGAGGGTTGACTCTGGCATTAGGGGACCACCTCCCCTCCGTTTCACCTCTCACCTTTGCTATGTCCAAATGCCAAAATGGAGAAGAAAAGAAAAGTCCGTTTAGGGTTAGGTTAGGAAGATACTGCTGTAACAGATGTTTGCATGAGGACTGACTCCGAATTTCCACCGCATCCAGAACATCGGGGATTTTCGCCATCTGCCAATACCTACCGGATCCGTTTTTGAGGCAAAGTTTGTGGCGGACAACGGACAGCGAGAATCACAAGGACTCACAAAGAACCTGCAGATTCACATGCAATCGCGCGATTACGAGTTGTCTCTATAAAGACAGCCACATAACAATAAAAGAAGTAGATTGTTTGTGTTTTGTGTCTGTGCCTGACTTCCTTTCCAGCACGGGTTAATCTGTGCCGAATATATCTGTCATGCTGTTCAATAGAACTCTTGTGATCAGCTGCAGAGTCCGGGGATCTGCAGCGGAATGGAAAGAATCCGGTGGAAATTGACACATTAACTTGAATGGTTACGATCAGCTACGTTCGGCAGATACGGTCTTTTCGTAGCCGTTCCGGATGTGGTGGACATTTGGGTTTAGGGAGGGGAAAAGAGTGAAAAGGAAGAGAAAAGTCTGTAGTAAGATTAGGGGTGTTGCGATCCGAACTTTCACATGACAAGTTTTGCACTCAGCTTCAACGTCTTTTTCGGGCTTAAACGAAAAACACTGCCACATGGCCGACATCACTCCTACTCCTAGGTACTATGTTAGTACCTTAGTACACACTGTTGTTGTGATCACGGCTCTGCATGCTGGATCCAGGCGCTGCTAGATAGAGGTGCTGGAGCGGAGTATGGAGTGGACTGCTTGTGTCGGAGTGTTGATAGCGGAGATTTTAGATGCAGGCCGATATAATCTGATATTTGTTTTCTTGCTGATATCAGACCGATATCAATACCATATTGGGACACCCTCAACTAAGATGGGTGTAGCTTTTACCTCATGCAGACGCCACAAACCGATGTTAGTCTGTACACTCTGCCTCCCTCTGCTCGCCCACTCTAATGGGAAAGGAGAGGAGAGAAGAATTACCTGCCATCTTTTCCTCCCTAACTAGCCTCTAAAACACAAAGGAAGCATGTGCATAGTGTTCTGTCAGCGCTGTGCAGTCCAGAGCTGATCCATGCCCATGCCGTGTCCCAGAGGGGGTCTCCCCCACTCGGCTCCACTGAAGATACCTGCCAAGTTTATTTACAACACAGCCCACACTCATCAAGACAAACACAGAGGATCAACCAGAGTGTGTCATTTCAGTCTAGCTGGAGCGATCCACATTGATCATTTCGAGAATCCCACCGTTTGGTTCGGATTGACCTTTAGGAATAAGCTTAATTTACCTTATTGGGTTGAGCAGTTGCACAAAAGCAAGACCTGGTCTGGCCTCTAACGATGACCAGCGTGGTCGAAAGAAAAATCAAGCTTTGCTATTTCAAGATAACAATATTAATTTAAAAAAAAACATATCTTCTTAAATATAAGGCAAACCTCAATATATGATGATCATTGATTTACTTTATGGATGTTGCAGGAGAGCAGGGAAAGCTGCCGGTCTCACAGAACGAGTAGATTTTAAAGTAGGTGTTTGAAAGTGATAAAGTAAACACCACAACAACATGTGGTGTTTGACCCCATTAGTTGTGAAACTCTGGAAAAAAGGGAATCCAACTTTTTCAGATGAATTATCAGGAAAAAAAATCTGTCTCATATCTGACCATTCAGGACAGTTATTGACTCTTTCAAGCTGGTTTTTAAAGCCTTTGTCCACCTTCATGACAGACCTTTCAGTCCAGGTGATGCTGGTTTCTGGACAGCTCCTAAGAATAACACAAGACACAAGCCAAAGAGGCACTCAAGCCCCACAGGAAGCCACACATGATGACCGATGATAACACGACTTTGGTTATTTAGCCCCAAGCAGCCTCGGTTTCGATGCTGTGACTCTGGAATTGTAACCGCTCTCCGTAAAAACCCAATTCTTGTTCATCCGCTGCTGTGCAAACAAGATAAGCCCTTATTCTGTTTCGCCTGCAGTCTCCTCCGCATCCAAAGGTTCAGCTGTGTTTGCGAGCGTTCGGCGGACAGCTTGTGTCTGAGGAAGACATATGCATGAGGGGAGATAGAGGGAAATGAAGGAGAAGAGCAGATGCAGGGGAGGAAAACGGGGGGAATTTGGCTTGAAGATAAGTCAAAGGGAGGAGGAAAAGGTGAATTTAGCTGTGAGAAAGGGGGAGAAATCAGGTGGAGCTCAGTTTCAGATTGGACAACCTCTACTTCAATTACAGCTGGCCCTAGTTCTGTCTTCAGCACCCTCTGTCCATCTCTCCGCTGTAATTCAAGTGCCCAACATGCACTAAACCCATAAAGGATGAAACAAATGAAGGAGTTCCTCGGCAAATGGGGTGTGACTTTGAATATGGCCGCCTGGCTCCCTCTCATCAGTTCTCATGAGCCCGAGAGAAAGCAGCGTAATGAGCAAGCCCCCCACTCTCAATCTAAAGTGACACGGACAGATTCCTGTTGTAGGAGAGGCTTCGATTTCCTCTACGCTCATGCCTCACGGAGGATCTCATCTATAATCGGTCTCATCGGCCTTTCTGGACTGCCAGTAAGGAAGAAGAGGCTCCAGTGGTACAGATCGGTCGTTTACAAGAAAAGCACATTTATAGATACCCTGCTCTCTGGTTGCCATTAGAAACTTGACTGATGTAAACGGTCGATAAGCAGAAATACAATAATGATTGCTCTTGCCTGGTCGGTGTTGCTATATTTACGACTATTTACATGCAATTCTGCCGTCAGTCATACCTCGCTTTCCCATGCCGATGATAGAATAAATCCCTATGTTCTGGACAGCAAAGTGTTGTCCTGGCAACCCCCTGAAAGAGCCATGATATATCTTAACACCTCTCAAATTCCTCCCGGCACATCTGCCAGGAAGGGGTTGTAGCAGGAGGACACGACAGAGTACGGGAAGTGAGTGTGTGAATGTCATCGGGCAGATATGACGGCATTTTTGAGTTTGTCAGTTATATGTAATGCAAAGCAGGAACCCTTTATCATGCATTGTCACATAATGCTAATTCTTAAAGGGGTTAGACACCCCTTTGAGAGATGAATGTTGCCGACCACTTGCTTCTCTAGTTATACCAACTTTAGTAACGACCGCACGATAGCAATACACAATGGTTTGTGGGGGGAGCCCTGACGAGTCGATCACCGAGTGCAGAGGAGTTTCGCAGCTCAAGGAAGAACATTTATGATCATTTCTCCATGGAAATGCAATCAGACCGAGGCGCTAAGGCAGAGGAACTACCCTGTCTGCAGTGCAAAGTGATTATTATGATGATTATTACTTAATGGAAATTATCCACTGCACCCGGTGATCGACTCGTCAGGGCTGTTGATGAAGTTCGGTGCTGTTCTGAGCATTATTTGTTCTGGTTGTGGTTTGTTTATGGTTCCTCAGATCGCCATGTATTGCTGTCCTGGGGTCGTTACTAAAGTTGGTATAACTAGAGAAGCAAGCGGTCTGCAACATTCATCTCTCGAGGGGGTGTCTAACTCGACGTTACGTGTGTTTGACCCTAGCTTAATTGTACACCAGAATATCCCTTTAAAGTGCATGGTAGTGCTGCATGTCTTACTAAAGAGCTTGGCAGCATCTGTTTCCTTTCTGTTTGACACTTTGTTTAACTCAAATGATCTGATTAAGTGTAGGCAAATTCAGGATCGCATTGGTAGAGGTTTGGAAAACGCTGCTGTTAAAGCAGGAAAAGAAGTTGTGTCTTTTGGTCCGTCCGTTGGTGGTGCAGTGGTAGATACTTGGTAAGACAGCTGAAAGGTGGAAAACATGAGGGGATGAGGATGGGCGTCATCTGCCTTTGACTTCCTTATTTGCAAAGTTATCGCTCCTCTGTTGCTTGAATGAGGTGCACTGTCATGGCAACAGCAGATTAGGATTGTGCGGTGTTTCCCACACATGAATTACGCCTGAGTGGTTGACACAGTATATTTGCCAAACATTTATGAATAAACTTGTAGAGGATCTTTCCTTTACTCCCTGTGCACAGTTTGCTAGAGTCGTATCCACACCTGCTGCTCACAGCCAACATAAGGATCTCTGCAGGGAGCGCTTAGATATACAACATTTGACTATCAAGGTGGATGTAGTCGCCATATGTGCCCTGAATAGTTCACTTCTTATAAACACAGAACAAAGCAAATTATGTTGATTCAAAGTAGAAATCTTTTAACAATATCTTCTGCAAGCTGTATTCAAGAAAAAGTCTGATTGTGAAAATAAAGACTTTTATTTTGTAGGCGTAGAAAGGTTGTAAAGGTTATAGGGTTAGGGTTTTAGAAACAGATACAGTGTGAGTCATATGGAATGCAGGGTTCCTACCCAAGTATGGAAAAGTATGGAAATAATAAATAATTATAAATGATAATGAATAATAATAATAAATCCGTGCTGTACCTAACGATTATTTTTTTATCAATTAATCTAACGATTATTTTTCAATTAGTCGACTAATCTATCGGCTAATTTCTCAATTGTTTTAACAATAACTTTTTTTATTAACCGATTAATGTAACAATGAATTTAACCAAAATAATTTAAAAAACTTGCCCTTTGAGTATTCAATTAATTTATTCAAGATTCTCTTGAAATCAAACAAAACAAAAAACTGCGCATTTTTAACAATGCTTTTACATGTTCACAAAGCACTCACCATTGTTTTTTAGCTTACCTAAAGACTACTGTAAGTAACACTCAGCCAAAAGCCCTGACTTATGTTGGGCACTGTGAACCGCAGTATACCATTTTCCGGTAACCAGCCTGATAGGTTATTGTTGCTTCGCTGCCTCCCTTAACAGGTGCATACTCACCTTACTCATGCTTACAATGATTCTCAAGTAACAATAAATAACATTCATACCATCTTTTATTAAATAGTGAGAAAGTCAGTGCCACTCAACCAACCAAAAAGGCCGTGGTCGGCATAATGCTGGCAACAGTGTTTGTTTACATTGCTGAGTAAGACACCGCATTAGATAACAGGGTTTCCTCTTTAAGCAATCGATCGTGGCGCACCGCTACAGTAAAATAAAAAGCCACCACACCTTGAAAATGAGTTTTTTCGCGTGTGCCGAGTATTAGCATGAGTGAGCTATCAAGCTATTTTTGGGTCAACGTGTTTTTGTAGTCAATAACGTCAAATATGTTGACGAATCGCCCCAGCCCTAAAATAAATTTGATCAATTTCCAGGTCTTAAAAAGTATAGAAAATGTCTATTACCATCGTTCTAAAATACTGTTTTCTATCATAGAAAAGTATCCAAAGATAATTCTAAAAATAAGGGTATGGAAAAGTATGGAAATTCCGACTGTGTAGGAACCCTGTTAATGAAGTAATCCACACTGCTTATAAGACAGAAATAGTCATAAGTCACTCTGAAAAACAGCCTAACATAAGAAATCTGCTGTAACTAACCAAAAGAAATCTAACACTCGCAGTGACATGAATTAGAAAAAAGTACACCCTGACAAAGACGAGTATTAAAATTCATGAAACCTTGCACTTGCTTTTAGGTCAGCCTGATCAATAACTCATTCCTTCAGGCTCCTCTCTCCTTTTCCATTGTTCCCTCGTCGCCTCCTTCTTCACCCTTAAACATTTTAGCGTCATTTTCTCCTCAGTCATCCACGTCAAGCTAAATTAGGTTCAAGGCTGCTCTAAAAAGGTCATTATCGAGATGTTTATGCCCTCGGAATGAAACCTTAAAACCTCTTTGCTGCAATTTTAATGCAGACATTTTTATTTCTGAACTGAAGTGGAGAATTTTAACAGAATTATGTCCCTTCAAGTGAGGAAATACGATTTTAGCTGCAGCATTTATCCACTTAAATAAAGCAGCTGTGGGTATCATATCAGCAGCAGCCATGTTTACAATATTTAATGATTGCCCGGATCAACCAAATATAGCAGTTTAACCTCTGCTTGTACTTAGGGAATCTATTTCACAGCCATGCTCTGCTGGCACGCCACTACAGACTAAATATAGGTCAGTCTCATGTTGGATGTATGGATTAAGCCCACACACACGCAACCATTATGTGATGGTATTACTGCAAACAGACAGTAAACAGTCTAACAGCCTCCCTCCCCCAACCTGCTGTGGCTCCAGCACCGCGCTCTGTGGCTCCCCCCTCCCCCGTGTCGCCTCTCTCTCCTGCCTTATCGATAGGATAACACCCATTCTCACCCGGCTCCTTCCCCGGCAGCGAGCAAAGATGAGCTGCATGTGAGCAATACAGATTATTTCCTCAGATTATACAGCCTTTTTATAACGCGTGAAATCCTCGAGAGTCTCACGCGAGCGCACTGTAAGAGGTTTAATATAAACATGTTCATTCAGTCTCTCCTCCCCCCTCTTGAGTGGAGCTCTCATATTATCAGAACGTGATTCCTAACCGTGATCCCTGCTTTACTCTCATTCACAGATTGGATATGAGCACATCTGTGAATGAGGAGTCATTCATTTTTCTCTGCTCACTCTCAGGCTCCTCCATTCATCAGATCAGACGGTAGCCTCATCGTTTTCATTCACATTTGATTTAATCTGAATAGATAAACATGTCAGTTTACAACCCTCACTCTAAAAATAAGGACGCTGTGATTTTGCAAATCATTTAAGCCTTTATGTAATAAAAAATAAAATAACACAAAGACGACAATCTGATTTTCTTTATTGTTTTATGAAAAATAAATATAAATTTTAGATGTTGTGTTTTCAAAAATGTTAAGACCTGGTTCAGCATCCTTTTTGCACCACTCTGTAAACATATAGAAGCCAAGAGGAGCATTTTTTGGAGGTTTAAGTGAAAGAGTTTGCTTGTGTCTTACCTAAATATACAAGTTCTTCTCTGGAAAAAGCAGTTTCTGGGTGACTTTGTTTCTCCCAAACATGAATATATTGTTTAGCATTACTGTGGCCTCAGCTACGCAGATTTTAGAAGTGATTTTCAGCCCATATAGTGACTTCCTCTACAGAGTCAGACATTGAAAAATAGGCCCCGACCGATTTATCGGTGAGCTGATTAAATCGGCCAATTTTAGCCCCTTTGAGACTAATCAGTAATCGGCCAAAACTTGCTGATATTGTCAGAAACAAAATGCGGAGAATAAGATTCGGTTTCGCTTCAAAAATGTTCCGCCAGATGAAAGATCCCCTGACTTATCCTGTAGATGGCGCAGCGACCTCATGACAATCTTCATCCACTAACTACCTCACAGCAGAGTCAGAGTGACGGATCTGAAGCAGGCAGCTCAGGGACGCACGGAGGAGAGTGGTCCGCCTCAACGGGAAATAAACCAGTTTGTGAAATACACAATAAAGGTCCTTACACACCAGCGGATATGTGTAATTTAATATGCAAAAATATTCGCCGGTCCGAAAAATCGCTTTCGCTTATACACACCGGGCGACCACTCTGTGGTACACACTCTCTCCCATCGTTGCTCTTGGTGCCAGTGGTGGTGTGTGTCATGTGAATTGCAACCGCATGGGTCTGTGACGTCATCAACAACATGACTTTTGATTGGCCAGATGTCTAGCAGGTCCAGATATTCGCCTGCGAATCTCCGAAAAATTTGACACAAGAGTGAAAAAATAAAAGATGCTTTTCGCCCCATGGGAAAATCGCCGCTGGTGTGGAAGCTTGCATTGACTTTATGCTGTTTTAAAAAAAGGCGAATAATTCACCTGGCGAATTCGCGACTGGTGTGTGAGGACCTTTAGTCAACAAGTTTCAGTTCAACCCACTTCACCATGTTCCCTGCTGTGCTGGTCTCGGTCACGCCGAGTTAACGGTGAAGCACCATGGGATATGCAAGCTAGAGTTAGAGTTAGCCACCTGCTATTAGCCTTGCTACACTGTTAGCCGTGTCAGTAACGGTAGAATAAACAACAGTACACATTAGTGATCGAGCTACTTCTCTTACTGAGGCAGCTGCATGTCTCCAGATGAGACTGGACCTGAAATGAGTAACGTGATTTTTGTGGTCCGACTTCGATTCATGATAAATATGTGGAATATTACTGAGGTTAATGTTACTGAGAAGTGTTTGAAACGCTCAAAAGCAGCCATTTGTGAAAAAATGAGTAAATATGTAGATATTTTACTTAAATCAAGAAAATTTAAAACTTCATAAAAATTTTTAAAAATCGTCAGATTAATTGGTAATTGGATTTTTTTCCTCCCTAATAATCAGTATCAGCATCGGCCCCACAAAATCCATATCAGTCAGGCCCTATTGAAAAATACATACAGTACATATAAATCATCTTTACACTAATCTCATTGTAATACACAACTTGATTGATTTGCATACCAACAAAAAACGCTTAATTTGAACCTTTTTTCCTCCATCTGAATCAATTGAAATCTTTCATTCATTCATGAATTAATCCATTTTTCCTCGTTGACTGTGAATGAAAGGCAGATATCAGCTCAGCAGCGCTCACAGACTCACTTTCACTGAGACTGAATCAGCAAGCCTTCAGTGTCTGAAGGGACATCCTTCAACCGCTGCTCTTTTTTTTTTTTTATCAAAGCGAGGTCACAAAACCTGACACCCGCAGATTATCAAGGCGATGGGTCGCGCTGCTCTCACTCACTCTCAGCCTCCTGATTTGTCTTTTTCCACTTGAGTTTTTCTTTTTGTACTGGGACCTAAAAACCCACATGGTTTTCTGTTTCCTTTTTTGCTCCAGGCAGGCATAAAGATTTATTTATATACTGTATGTAACCGACTTCTGACAATTTGACAAAAGTAATTTAGTGCTGCCGTGTTGTGACGAGACAGAAGTGACAGGAACCGCTTTAACACAAAAGCTTTTACAGTCTGCTCCAATTGAATTTGTTTCGGCATCTGCGAGAGCACTTACGCTGCATCCCAGTGAGGGTGTAATTGCTTTTGCTTGTCTATGTCAGGCCCTCTTGTCATCCTTTGTTGAGTCTGAGAAAATGATATGGGCTTCGCGTTGTTTGGTGGTCGGGGGAGAAATCGATTCACATCAGAATCTTAAATCTTAGTTCCTGCGGTTTTAAACGGATTTGAGTCAGGAAAAATTGATTTTTGATACCTTGTTGGTCCTTGTTGAATCTTTAATAGAGGACACGACATAAAGGGTGCTCTGCTATTTACTGAAGGAATTGTAATTCAAGCAGTTAGTAGATGTAGGCCTGCTGCTGTCATTTTTGTGTTGTATTTATCATTATATTGATAAGGAACATAGTAAATCAGTACTAACAAACAGTTTGTAGTAGTGTTTTACATCGTATTGTATTGTATTGTATCAAACCCAGTTGTTCTATCACATCATTATTTTATTGCATCATATCTGATTGGATATCCAGGGAGTGACCCTTTTTTAAAGAGATATTCCGGCGGGGTTTCGCAGCTCAAGGAAGAACATTTATGATCATTACCTCATGGAAATGCAATCAGTCCAAGACACTAAGGCAGAAGAACTGCAGCATTGGCGGTGCAAAATGATAAACATGATGATTATTACTTCATGGTTTCTTTAGCAAAGAGACCAAACACAACTCACCTACTCTCCTCCAGCAGCCGCTTTTTTTGTGGGGGAGCCCTGTGGAGTGGATAATTTCCATGAAGTACTTTTTATCATAATAATCATTTTGCACTGCAGACGCGGTAGTTCTTCTGCCTTAGCGTCTCGGTTTGATTGAAATTTCCCTGAGGAAATGATTATAAATGTTCTTCCTTGAGCTGCGAAACTCCTCTGCACTCGGTGATCGGCTCCTCATGGCTCCCCCACAAACAAGCGGCTGCTGGAGGAGAGTAGGTGAGTTGTGTTTAGCCTCTTTGCTAAAGAAATTAGGCAAAGTTAAAAAGATGTTTGGAGAAGCAATCAGTCGTCAACATTCATCTCTCGACGGGGTGTCTAACTCGGTGTTACAGTGTGTTTTGACCATAAGTTAAATTTACGCCGGAATATCCCTTTAATAACATGAAACATAAAAGTTGAGGAGCTAAATCTGGCACAAAAAATCAACCAAGTGCACATGTATTTTAAAGTGTAATAATTTAACAGTTTTGAAATATAGTGGAAACACCCGTTTACTGAGCATTTACTTGACAACACGACATCCTTTCACATCTCAAAACAAAGCACGCTTGTTGGTCAGTAATTAGCTGAAGCACGAGCACTTCAAATGTGTGTGGACATCAATTTAATTGGGTTTTAATTTGATTTTTTTATGCTTCTTTTCTTCTGTTCTTGTTTCTGTTTTAGAGCCAGATTTGTGCTCAGGATACAAAAAGTCTGAGTCATGTTCAGCACATATACAAATAAATGTGTTTTTGACGATAACGGCTCTCTGAAAGTCCAGTTTTATTACCCAACACGTCTGATCAGTTTGCTTTATGCTTGCCGGACCATCTGTCAAGCCTTTCTTTTTTTTCCCACATTTGTTATGATAAACAGAGTATTTATGGCAGCGTCACAGCTCGCTGTTTGACAGGAAGTCTGCAGAGCCTTCCATCACCCGCCACGATTTCCCAGATAACCTTTCGCTGTGACACTGCACAGCGCCCAAAGACTCAGACAGATTATTCCTGTTAATGTCGCACACTAAATTCTCTGGATTACTTAGTTCTTGCTCTTGGACCGTTCCACTATCTCCTCAATCAGCTTCACAAGCCAGATGTGGCAATTAAACAAAAAGTACAATTATGTCGGCGTCAACAGTCATAATTAGATTTAAGCGGAATTAGTCACTTTTGATTTGCAGAAAAACTTCAGAAGGTTGGATCTGAAGCTATTAGTACAGCTGCAGGCGGGTTAAGCCTTGTTATAACAAATATTACGCATAAACAAGGTCCAAACGGAGCAGACCGATTATCATTAATGAATCAAAAAAGGCTCATAAGTCTAAAGTCTTTTTTTTTCCATCGGCATCTTTCTGCAGCGTAAGAAGGGTTAAGATCCGGATTCTTCTCATCATGTTCTCTCCACATCGATTTGTCCTTCTGGTGTTCCAGTGCAGGCAGTATCAGCTGCCTCCACATCCTCAAAAGGCTGCAGCGGATCACTTTATAACACCCACATGTCCTATAGCTTCAGTCGAGGCGGTTGCACAAAGGCAACATAGGAGTAGAGATGCAGTAGTATGGAGTTTTGGCACAGATTTTCTATTATTCACTCCTATGTATCAGTCAGTCTAGTTTGGAGTAAGACAGACGATCAGTATTAGAGATATTTTTCTTTTAGAAATGGTCTTGGTTGATTGAAGTGCAGTAGAGGTAACACATGAAGTTACAAAAGAGTGCCGAGGGAATCACGACTCCTGAAGCTTTGAATGAGTTTATAGATCAAATTGATTTTCAGTCGTCAAACTAAAAAAAAAAAAAATCACCGGGGCAGAGATGAAGCAGGTGAGGTTTGTATTTCAACATTTTGACAGCAGAAACTTTCCTCGATTGTATTTCTGATTGATCAGCTGCGAAGACGATTGGAAATCAGAAATCGATGGAAATCTTTATGAGACAAAATTAATAATAATACATTTTATTTGTTGTGCCCTTCACATCCAGAGACCTCAAAGGGCGACATGTTGAAAGCAAAGAAATATCACAATAAAGGAATATATTGATTAAAACAAGAGAAAAATCTCATTAAAGGAAGAGTAAAAGCAAAATACTGCATTTTGTTCCCGTACTTGTACTGTGTTCAATGACAATAAAGTTGAATCTAATCTAATCTAATCTAATAATCCAGCGCGCCTTATCGCCTGAAAAATACGGTATTTGCATTATTTTCATACTGAATACATTGAACATTAAGCATGTCATGTTAAAAATAGCTCCCCTGGTTTGACCCTCCATAATCTCGTCAGTCGTTAAGGATCAGCAGGAAGGTAATAATATTTCATAATGAACCTCAGTCAGGTTTCAGTACTCTAAGCGTCAACGTCTGCAGTGTGAAAACTCTGAGTGGAGCAAATGAGGGCTTAGTGAGTATTGTAAGGTTCGACTTTTCCATTGATTCTGCCATCAGTGAATGAACTTGTGTGTTGCAGCGGTTTGACACATGACCTTTTAGGTTACCAACAGGCCCTTCATGCCGCCACTGATGATATTGTCTCCCCGGGGGATAAAGCCTCCCTCCTGGATTAGAGAGCTGGCATCCGAGCTAAACAGCTCACGGTACGAGCGAATGTTCCCGCAGGAGAAGGGGAAGGGATCACATTTCCCTGGAATGGAAGGCAAAAAAATAAGCTGAAAGAAGGTCAATCCTGCTAGTTTACTTTACTATTTTTTCCACCTTGGTAATCCTTGTCTGGCTCTGTTTATTTTTATCCTCAAAAACAGCTGAATTTACTGTAAACTGCAGTGAACTTTAAAGGTTTAACAGCAGCTTGTAAGAAGCGACGCCGTCTTCATTCAGGGTCACGTACCATCAGAAGACAATGACGCCTCGCTCACCTTTTCGATGTTAAGTCAAAGAGGACATAATAATAGTACCGCGGGGACCGACTCAGGGTCAGGGAGGAGCGAGGATAAGTTGATTTGATGACAATTAGCCGTGTAAAAGCCGCAGACGCTCCCCGCTGAGCGTTTTGACAGAGACAGAGAGAGCGAGAGCTGCGGGGCAACAATGAGGGGGGGATGTCACTGCAACCCTTCAAGCAGCGTTGGCTCCCTGCAGCTGCAAGTCTCAGTCACATCAGTGTCACTCATTCGCATACACACACACACACCTAACTTATGCGCACATGACACACACATGGCTATTAGTCCAGGCTGCAATTTAAAGTAATTTCGCTGGGATCTTGTCGAGTTCCATCTTTGCACAATCACTGTCAGACACAACCAGTCCAACAGTGTGTGTGTGTGTGTGTATGTGTGTGTGTATGTGAGATAGAGGCGCTTTAAGGATGGCATTTTAATCGCACCTTCTGGTCCTCGTGTCTGCGCTACGTTAAAGCCGCCCCTGTCAGCGCACGTTGAGCTGTATTGTCTTAATTATTGATAGTGGAAATAGAATCTAATGAAATTTCCAGCATGTTGAAACTGGAACTCCCCTCACCGCACACACACTCCTACACACACACACACACACACACACTCGTGATTCCTATTTGTTCAATAATTTAAGTTTCCTCAGCGTGTGCGAAATGTAGTGTGTAATAACAGTCAAAGAAATGCGGCTTTGCTTTGATGAAATAATGGAGTAGAAAATCCTACCCACAGTGCTCTAAATCATCCGTCCTCCCCTCTTTGGGCAAAACTGTAATTTGCACTTGCTTTAACACACATTATGATATTGGATTCCTGCTTAAATCATCACTCAAGTGCTCTGCTGAGGTTTAATTTAGAGGGAATGGAGTTTTTCTGGGCTTGTCTGCCACACTTAACACTATTTCACTGGGACATAATGTACTTTTTTCTCCTTATATATTCTTTACGAACTTATTACGTTGATTTTTATGTGCAAAGACCAAATGCATTATTAAAGAGTGTTTTTTGCAGAGCTATGCAGGAGTTGTGAGCTGTACGGTTGATTTAGATCTAATGCGGTTTGAGTCGCACTGAGGTAAAAAGGCAGCAGAGTGCGTTTACTCATTTGAAACTTTCCCTGAAGTTGAGAGAAATCACATAATCGCCTTGTAATTTGCAAATTCAGCAAAATAGTTTTTTAACAGCTGATTCCTACGCCAAAATCGATGCTAATGATTACAGAGTGGATGGTCAATGACAGATATATAACATCAACTTAAAAACAACCAAATCTAGTATTTCTAGTATAAACAAAATTTACCTGAGGGTACAAATAAAGTAACCTTTGACCTTTCTGTGTACATGAAAATCTCGTGAAAATCTTAACCTGAGTTTTTAATTAAAGGTGGGGTAGGCAGGATCTGAGTTAGTGCCAGTTTTGGGGAGCAATCTTGAATGTAAACTCCTCCCAACCAGACCAGTTTTCCCCTCAGCTCCTCCTCTCCCCTCCCTCTCTGCTCCCGCAAGCCCCGCCCACAAACAGACGCTCCTGCTTGCTCATATTGTTACCTCCGCCAAGGAGGTTATGTTTTCGGTAGCGTTGGTTTGTTTGTTTGACTGTTAGCAACTTTACGGAGAAAGTAACAGACGGATTGACCTGAAATTTTCACCAGAGGTGCGTCTCAGCCCCAGAAGGATCCCATTAAATTTTGGTGCTGATCCGGACAAAATTCTGGATACTGTGATCCAGAACACACAAAAATAAGGGTGTGGTTGGAATTTTCAATGCTGAAAGATAACCAATGGGCGGCACAGTGGTGTAGTGGTTAGCACTGTTGCCTCACACCAGAAGGTCCTGGGTTTGAATCCGGGTCAGGGCATTTCTTGTTTAAGGGGGGACTTGAGCTGCTTGGCGGAGGTCTGTGCTCTCCGAGTGCTTTTCTAGTTCAAGGATGCGGAGCTTGCCTTGCAACATGAAGGAGCAGCATCCGCCTCACAACCAATCAGGTTGGGGGAGGTGGAGAATGGCTTTGTTTACAGTCAAAAAGAGCGGAGCGCTCTGAAATGTCAAAATGTTGACTACACAGACATAACAAAACACAGCAATATCGTCATATTCCCAAATGTCATCAATAACTAATAGTTATTGACTGATATTAAAAGCTTTTTGTACATACACCACAAAAAAAGATGCCTCTTTAACGGAATACTGCCTACTCCACCTTTAAGTGACTGGCTCGTTTATTTATATACGTACATTTATTATACATATACGTTTATTTTATAGCAGACTACTTTAGTCACGCTAATGTTTGTATTGTTCTCAATTTTTATTCCAATTAGTTTGGCATTAATACAGTGTTTAAGTAGCCTATCATATATAGAGAGTAAAACATAATAGTCTGTGTCCCATCTGTCAACGTCTGGCTACAGAACTACCTTCAAGGAAGATCCATCAAAGTTGTGCTTTCTTCTTTACCACATCCCATCAATGCATCTGTACCTCAGGGATCGATTCTGGGCCCACTGTTATTTTCCATCTTCATTGATGATGTTGTGGAACAGTGTGAGAACAACATCTTCCTGTATGCAGACGACTCTACCATCGTCGCACCAGTAACATCGTCAAATGCGCCTGAGGTGACTGCGTCCCTGAACAAAGACCTGGAAAACCTCCGGAAGTGGGCCGATGCCTGGAAGGTCACTTTTGAGCCCAGCAAGTGCAAGGCGATAATCCTGTCCAGAAAGAGGAATCCCTCTCGACCCGACCTGTACTTTGGGACCACCAAGATCACCCTTAGTGAGCAGATGGAGGTGTTGGGTCTTTCTATAGACAGCAAGCTCACATGGACCAGCCATCTGTCCAACATCTGCAGACGTGCTGGACAACGTCTTGGTGCACTGCGTAAGCTGGCCAACAAGCTTGATGCCAAGGGCAGGGCCAACATTTATAAGACCCAGGTCAGGAGCATCATGGAGTACTCCTGCCTGGCCTGGATGAACGCCTCTCCGGCCACTCTTAGGCAGCTAGACCTCATCCAGAAGAAGGCTCTAAAAATCATCGGGGTGGATGAGGACCTTGCCCTTCAGCAGTACGCCATCAGCAAGCTGGGTCACCGGCGAACAGTTGCAGCAACAACCGTTCTCTATAAAATGCACACCTCCAACTGTCCAGTGGACCTCAAAGCTCTGCTACCCCAAGCCCACACCGTGGGAAGAATCACCCGGAGAGTACTGCCAAGTCACGCCCTGAAAGTCCCCAAGTCTAAAACCAATTGCCTTGACAGGAGCTTTCTCCACTCTGCCATAGCAACTTGGAATAGCCTTCCCCCTGCAGTTGTTGGAGATATTACATCTACTGGTGTTCACGCCTTCAAGAAGAGGCTGAACAAATACCTCCTCAGTATATGACTGTTATCCCTCACAAAGCTTCATGGACTTTTTATCCATAAGCATTCTGTTTTTATGTACCCCAGTCTGAGTAGCTGCAGATCATTGATAGGCTCTTTGATTTTCTCTCAAAGCCTGTATCTGCTCAAGCCAAATTAAAAAAAAAAAAAAAAAAACATGGAGGAGACGGGCGCAACCAGTCAGTCGAGGGAGCTCTGAATGTTTTGACCTCACTTTAGTGGAGCTGACGTGATGTCCATCTTTCACGTGGTCTGTTGTTTGAGTAATAAAGACACAAGACACAGTTTGTAGTTTTGACCATTTTCATAGAGAAGTGTATCCTTTAAAGAAAAACTAACTTCACGGACTGCAAACTTACTGCGCTATAGAGAGTTGATGTTATCACAGAAAAATGTTTTAATTAAAATGAGAGTCTTAAAAAATGGCAAATTAGTGTCTGTGTTTCCATTTTTAGAAAGTTACCCTCACTATTTCCCCCTTTTTAAATAAAAGTTTTCTTAAAATGTGTTTTTTTATCGCACACATAATTTCCAACTTTGAGTCAAACTGTCTTGAATCCAGTTAAATCTTAAATTAAATAGTTTAATGAGTCAGGAGGGCTTTAATTCATAAAGTGTTCATAAAAATAGCTCTAATTGGACATTACGAGGGTTTTTCTGCCTCATATCCATAAAGATTTGCACAAAATCCTACACATCACTGCTTAACTATTAATTTAGCAGAGTGGAATGAAAATGAGAGGGGAACGGGGAGGGAGAGCATCGCCTTCAGCGCAGAGCAGCGGTGAGCTCTCAGGCTGAAAATGAGCTTGAGCTGACATCACCTTCTATAGAGAGCCATTAATATAACTTTAGGGAGGAGAACGTGGAGGGGACGGGTGAGTGAACTCAGGTGAACAGGGAGGTTATTTCAGAGGTGTGTGTGTGTGTGTGTGTGCCTCTGCAGTGTGTGTGTGTTTTGGAGCGCTCGGTGGAATGAAGGCGCCACTCTGTGTGAACAGTTGGTCAGTGGTGTATTAGGGCGTTATTAGTCTGTCCTTAGGTGAACTGTCCCCTGATGTCCGACGGCGATGCTTGTTCTCATTCCAAACCTCAAGGTCGAAGAAACCAAACGAGATCCAAGGCATTAAAAATTAACCCTGATTGTGTTATTTCATCTTTTGCAGCAGGTAGCAGGGTGTGGAGATTGACCCGTCTGGCTTTGTGACTCTAATGTTACAACTCCACATATGCTGCACAGATGCCTCTGAAACTTCACATCAGCAGCTCGTTTGTTCTGTTAACAGTTTTAACATGTGGCCAAAACACGACAACAAACAATCTGATAAAAACAAAAGAACTGCCTCTGTGTTATTTTGCATTAAAGGGAAATTCCCTAAACTTAAGTTAGGGTCAAACACACCGTTACACCAAGTTAGACACCCCCCTGAGAGATGAATGTTGCCGACCGCTTGCTTCTCTAGTTATACCATCTTCAGCAACGACCGCACCATAGCTATACACAGAGGTCTACGTCTTCACACACAAACCTCGACCAAAACGCCACTCTATAGCCACAAATAATGCTCAGAACGGCACCTAACTTCATCAACAGGACAGATAGGGTCCCAGTCATAGTACTAGCCACCAAACATCTTTTTAACTTTGCCTAATTTCTTTAGAAAAGAGACTAAACACAACTCACCTACTCTCTTCCAGCAGCTGCTTGTTTGTGGGGGAGCCCTGACGAGTCGATCACTGAGTGCATCATAATGATCATTTTGCACTGCAGACGCGGTAGTTCTTCTGCCTTAGCGTCTTGGTCTGATTGCATTTCCATGAAGTAAAAAAATATGTTCTTCCTTGAGCTGCGAAACTCCGCTGCACTCAGTGATGGACTCGTCCGAGGTCTCGCTACAAACAAGCGGCTGCTGGAAGAGAGTAGGTGAGTTGTGTTTAGTCTCTTTGCTAAAGAAATGAGGCAAAGTTAAAAAGATGTTTGGTGGCTAGTACTATGTCTGTGACCCTATATGTCCTGTTGATGAAGTTAGGTGCTGTTCTGAGCATTACTTGTGGCTGCCGTGTATTGCTATTGTGCGGTCGTTGCTAAAGTTGGTATAACTAGAGAAGCAAGCGGTCGGCAACATTCATCTCTCAGGGGGGTGTCTAACTCGGTGTTACGGTGGAATATCCCTTTAAGCACCAAAAGAATGATTGTGCCTTTTGCACATGCATCACACTTGTGATGGTTAAACGCTCTGGTTTCCTCCATGACTCATATCTTTGACTAGACCTGTTATCTAACTGGCACCAAATAGCAAAACGTGTACTATCGACCTGACCCAGCTGCTCATCCGGTCAAGGCAGATGGCTCTGAAGGCTGCTAATAAGTTTGGTTTTTGCCCAAGATTTCTGCCTGCTATGTCTGCTGTATCTTGAAGATGTTGGGCTGCTGCACTACGATGGATTTTACTTGGCACAAACTTGCAGCCATCACTCACTACCAGATAAAATTCTCGTTTGGTTTGAGCTTAAATTGAGCTCTGATAGTACCGGTGTTAATTTGAGATCTAATGCCATCAAAGAGCCTCTCTCCGTATTGTGACTTGGCATATTCTGTGCGCGCACGCTGCGCCGTCACGCTGCCCAGCCATCTGTGTAGCAGCAGATTACCAGGTAGCTCTGTTAATCCAGGTAGGCCGTGAGGAAATGAAGCCGAGTGGAAAATGTTTAAATCGATAAGACCCTGGTTTCCACTCCGGCTCAAGGCTGATTGCTTGACTTTGACACAGCAGGCTGGAGCAACGATGCACCAGAATGCTCTGCAGTTGGCTCATCAGGCTGTTAGAAATACAAGTCATGGTTTGGCTGGAAGAATTTTGGGATGTTTGCACGGATGATTGGCAGCCCTGTGTTTTATTACCTCACTTTCACCTTGCCGAAGTTTGAGATTGTTTGATTCTCTCTCTCTCAAAGTGCAAGTCAGCACTCTCCCTCTCTCTCTCTCTCCCTCTCTCTCCATCATCCTCTGAGGATTAGAGACCAGGAAGGGAAGGATTGTTTGTGTTTTAGCGCGTCCATCCGTGAATGTACGTCTGAGTTTGGGAAAGGAGAAGTGCTGAGTCAGACCGAGGATTTGTTTTTCCTGAATTTATTTTTAAAGGAGAAGAAAAAGACGGCACCTTGATGTATCACACCCAGGATGCTTTGCTCTGCTTTGCTGTGCATGATTATTCAGGTCAGAGATGCTCTGACTAAAGCAGTTTTAGTGTCTTTTCAAAGGTGCATCCTCTCATTACACTGCAGCATATAAACCAGCTCCAGCGCCTGCCTATTAGCTTTAGCTGGACAGAGGACATTCAGCTAATTAATGCTGCCGGCAGCTCAGCTGTGAGCTCAGCTAAGATCTTTCAGCCTCATTAGTGTTTATGTGTGTGCATTTGTGTGCAACTGAGCAATGTAAATGTTATTTCTGTTTGCGTGTGCATGCATGTGTGTTTGTCTTCAACCCTCAGCTGAGGCAGGATACGCAGGCGGGAAGATATTTGCATCCAGAGAAGCATCAGGGACGTGTTTGATCTGTCCGCTCATCACACCTCAGGTGGCCTCCGCGGGCAGCAATCTCTTTTCTCAGGGAGAGAGATGAGCAGAAAGTGAGAGGAAGAGAACTGGTGACAGAAAAGGATGATTCGCTATTTACAGATTCCCCCCATCAGAATGTGGGATCTGGACCGTCTGGACTGGTTTTCATTTGTTGTATGTTTGTGCTCTGAATAGTATCGACCAATCACACATCAGCAGGCTTTGGTGTTGGCAGGAAAAACAGACCTTTCAAAGCTTGAACTTGTAGGTTGGCACCATAGTGTGAGTGTCGAACTCAAAACTCCACTTTCAAGTAAACAAGAGCGAAGCCTGCGTGAAGCCAACCACTTAAAGTGAAACTGAGACTCAGGAGAAAGTCAGTTATACTTCCTGACTTTCTAAAATGCATCAGAAATCTTTAATTCAACCCACATTTGGCGAATAATCATTTTAGGATGATCAAGTTAATAATTCCTTTTAATCAGGGAAGCCCTGACAAAGCTTCTCTGTTTACATCATGATGTTGTATCTGCAAACTTGAAGTCATGGTTGACGGTCTGAGAAGCAGTTGAAAAAAACTGTTGAGGCAGATTTGAAAAAAGCGTCCCACCCCCACACACAAACCCGTACTCCACGATAACTCCCCCCCCGAACCTGTATCGCCCCATCTGGCAGAGCGAGAAGCTGGCTGGCAGAAGATCCTACACTCGCTTCAAATAGGATTCACCATGTCGGATTGTTAGTGACTAGCGGCAGTAAACGTCAGCTCTGCTAGCGAGCGCCGTCTGCAGCTGCCTGGACAGCTACCGTGTTGACATGGCAGAGACTAATAAGAGTGATTTATGTAACATGTGACACGATAAAAAGGCGATAAAAATTACCTGTTCAACAAAAACTCTGCTGTCACTTTGTGGAGATCGCACTCTAGGTCCATGATCGCCATAGAAACGAGGTTCATAATAATTACCAATTTCTCCAATCGTCAACCATGTCTTGAAAACTTTTTTATGCAAGTTCATGAAAATATAACCAGTAGGGCTGCAGCTATCAAATACTTTAGTAATCGAGTAATCTACCGAATATTCCATCGATTATTCAAGTAATGAAGACGAAGGCGCTCTCTCTGAATTGCTAATGATCTACTGGAGCTCTGCAGAAGAAAAGCCCCCCCCTCATCATTCATTTTTTCCGCTCCACAAAACCTGCGCTTACTCCTCCCTACTAGCGTGGTGACGTAAATGCGTCGTGTCACCTTGAAAATAATCAATCAAGGTGCTCAAGGAATCATTTTAGCCCTAACAACCAGCTTCCTTTTTGGGCTCACATGCATGAAGTCGGCCAGAGTGAAGCTTCTGAGTAACTTCCGATTTACAGCGGAGCTTGTTAGGAGGATCTTATAAACAACTAGAAAACCACACGGAGAGCGCAGACCTCCAAGCAGCTCATGTCCTCCCTTATATTGTGATTCACACCAAAACTTTTACTGTTAGTGCTAACCACGACACCACTGTGCCGCCTATCTACACCACTGTGCTGCCCGTTGGTTATCTTCCAGCATTGAAAATTCCAACGACACCCTTATTTTTGTGTGTTCTGGATCACAGTATCCAGAATTTAGTCTGGATCAGGATCAACCTTTGACACCTCATCAAACTCATTGAGATCCTTTTGTGTCATTTTTTACTAAAGACTCTGGACATTTTTATAGAGTTAAATGCAAAAATTCCAAAATTTGCCCTATCTCACAATGATAAAGAATCCTTCAAAAAAATCCTGGATCCAGAAGGCGATCCGGATCACCACCAAAATGTAATGGGATCCTCTTGGGGCTGAGACGCACCTCTGGTGAAAATTTCAGGTCAATCCGTCTGTAACTTTCTCCGTAAAGTTGCTAACAGACAAACAAATAAACAAACAAACAAACAAGCCAACGCTACCGAAAACATAACCTCCTTGGCAAAAATGAAGACATATTTAGATTTGCATTTGATCTGGAGACACTGTCACTTAAGTTGCTAACAGGATTGTGAACAATAGGTTGCACATAAAAGGTTACTAGAAAATATAAGGTCGGTATCATTTTCAGAGGCAGATCCAGTGTATATTTATGAGGGGAAAGATGATTCTACTCTCAGATTGGAAAAGGAGAAAAATCTGCTCCAGGTTGGATTTAATAGCAGGGAACGAGGAGAGAGTGATCGACAGACAAGGACATAAAAAGCACAGAGAAGAGAGTAGTAAAGGCAGATATTGAGTGGATGGAAGTAAAGCATAATGGGAAATGGAGGGGAAAGCTATGGAAAATAACTCCTATTAACAGATTTATCTCGCCTCGTTCTGTCGTGCCTCATCACGCACTCATGTTTGCGTCTGTCAGTAATGGAAAAACGAAACAAGCAGCACTGCGGCTCGGCTCAGCACAAGTGGAAACTGTCATTTTTGCATTTAGGCTCGGATTTAAGATGCAAACACACACTCGCACAAGTCGAAAAAGGGGGTCGATACAGAGACACACACACACACACACACGCTTGTGCACACTTACGCTGTCACCATAATCCCCCTCAATTTAACACCATCACTCCTCACACTCACTTACGCATGACGTAAACAAACACTGGCACACGCTCTTAAGCCCTCTCTCATCTTTGCCCGGCTTACACATGCACTTTTCTTGCACTCCCTGCCTCTTTAAAATTCAAATTAATTTGCATGACATTTGGTTCTGTAAGCTGCAGTGGGTGACATGAAAAAGCAGCACGTGCGCGGACAAAAGGTTGCTTAACCCTTTGTTAATCAAAGTCAATAACGCTGATGGACCCGGTCAATAAAAATAGTGTTGTTGTGACCACATTTCTCATATTTATCATGATGAAATAGATGAAAACATGCGCCTCTCGTTCCTGTTTTCTCCTTCACACACATGCACGCACATTTCCATAGAGCTTCCTCTCATGCTTATATCGCTAACGAGTCTGACCATTATACTTTCTAGAACATAATACTTAGCTGCAATGAATAATGAATGCCTATGGTTTCCAAGCGGCTTATTTTTAGAGGACACACACATACAGTACATGTCTTCACATACACACACACACACACACACACATGCAGATTGCTTTACAAAGCTGGCTCCTCTTGAGGCATGCTGAGGTTACACTCAGCACTCTGGAGTGTGTGGTTGTCTGTCTATTTTTTTAAGTGTTTAAATCATGAATTAAACTGTTTCAGTCCCCTGCTGCTGCTTCGTTTCTTTTTTTAATTAATGGAAACGCTGCTTGGTAAAACGTGTCCCTATTGACGTCTTGTTGCAAATTCTATTTTTATCCTTAAGGCCATATATGAGTCATTCTCAATTTATAAGAAGATGGACTGTTTCTTCGTGGTCAAGGATCCCTTTTGTTAGATGAAAGTCAAATTTTCATTTTACTTGCAAATCAGGGCTCTGAAGTCTGGGAGAGAGTATGTGAGGGTGTTTGAAGTCCGGCGTGAACTTTCCACCGTCTGTAAGGATTTTGTCATCTGCTGGTGCTGGTCCACTGTGTTTCATCAAGCCCAGAACCAACACAGCCGAAAGTCTGACAAGAGATTTCAGAGCGCTTCATGAATCCGTCTGGCGTAAAGGTTTTGTGGGGATGCTGGATAGAGCTGGGCGATAAACGGAAATTTATTTATATTCGGGTGTCAAAATAAATCAATAAATAAAAGTTGGTGGTAACACTTGACAATAGCAATAACTTATAAATGGTAAAAAGACCATTTATAAATTGTAAGCAGATAGTTTATTAATGTTTATTCATCATCCATAAATAACATATAGACCATTAATAAATTGTAAATGTTATCATTTTAAAATCCTAACCCTAACCCTAACTTTACAATAAGCATCTAAGTAATGTTTAAAGATGGTTTAAAAACCAAATATTAACCATTTACAAAGTGCTACTGATACACATTTTAATCTAGATGTTTTACAACCAATATTTAAATGAATGAATGAATGATGAATAAAAATGGGTTTTAAGACGAGTTTTAAAAATGGACAGTGTTGGGGCTTGTCTGATTTGGAGGGGTAGATCGTTCCACACAGAAAAAGATCTATCCCCTCTGAGCTTCAGTTTTTGACCTCGGTACCTCCAGGAGCAGCTGATCAGAGAGGTAAGATGGAGCCAGACCATTTAAAGATTTAAAAACAAATAAAAGAATCTTAAAATGAACTCTAAAATGCACAGGTTACCAGTGGAGGGAGGCCAGGATGGGAGTAATGTACTCCCTCTTACGTACTCCAGTTAAGAGCCGGAGACGTGAGAGGGAGGACCGGCTGACTCCAAAGTAAAGTGCGTTAAAGTAATCCAGCCGAGATGTAACGATGAACTTACATTAATAAACTATTTGCCATTTATAATTGGTCTATATGCTGTTTTTAAATGACGATTAAAGAATTATAAACTATCTATTTACCATTTATAAATGATGGTTATTGTAAAGTGTTACCAAGTTGGTTTTGGATGTGTGTAGGTAGGCTATGGTCTCATGTCCCTTTAAGACGCTGTCCTACGTCAGAGACGTGACTCCACCCCATCCAGTCTGTAACAAAGAGGGAAAGACAGGTGAGGAGATGGAGGACGGTTCAAAAGTTGTAGCGGCTGAAGTAGACGAAGTTAATGTGGGAGGGGGTGAGCAGCTTGTGGAGTAGTTATCGTCTATTTATCGTTATCGAGGTGAACTGATCAATATATCGAGATATTGATTTGAGGCCATATCGCCCAGCTCTAATGCTGGATTCATTTTCCAGTAGGACTTGGCACCTGCCCACAGCACCAAAACTGCTATCAAATGGAAACTGACCATGACTAGGAAAGACAAAATAATAATTATTAAAGTTTAAATTTGATCAGTATGACAAGGACCGAGACGTCTAACATGTGTCGGCTGCTCTGCCAGCTGAACTAAACTGTCCCTCATGAGTGTTTAAATACTGATTTAAGTCTTTTTTTAAAGGCACATTTCTCTCATTTTTCTCTCAGTTATGTCTTAATCTAACAGCAGGACGATAATTACATTTGATCGGAGTATGACATCTTGCCGTTGCTTTGTGCCAGAGACAAATGGGACTAATATCCAACTTGGCACAGGAAGTTTGCCCGTCTCCTCAGTGCTCGCTTGTTTCCATGGTGACTGACATGATGATTTTAATTTTGAATTTGCAAACAAAGTGGGTTTCTAAAAAGCAGGATGCTCATCACTGTCATCCTTTCTTCTCCTCCTTTTCAAATGAGCGAATTTTCCATGAATGAAGACGGCGATTCTGATGTGGAAGTTGGGGACGAAAACCAAGAGAAATAGATAAAAGTATGAAGGATAAGGGGTCTTAAGTCGCCAAAGTACCTCCTCACATTCATTAGAGGAGATTCTTTGCATGTTGTCATGAAGTGAAAAGGATGCACATGGCTGCTCCTCCCCTTTCTCGCCCCTCTGACTGAAATGAACGACTCCATCCACTCCTCTTGACACTGATGTACTATCAGGGGCAGGTTACTGCTTAGCCCAGCGGATTCAAGGCTCCCTGATACATAAATCAAACCCGCGCGATGGTGAAGAGGTTCCTTTTGTAACGTTGCTGCTATGAAAGATTCAGTAGTCTGGTGATACAACAGGAGGGGATAACTGAGACTGTAATTCTGCGGTTATTTTGTTGAGTGGCGGGCATATTCACGAGTGCCAGTGAAGTCGGAGCTGTGCGCAGCAGTGTGTCTGTGTCCCCCCCTCTCAGAAAAGAAGCGCTGTGGGCTGAGTGCCTGCTGGGTGGGCTATAAATAGCCTCCTGGTGACAGCAGGACTTAGGGCCTAGTGTGAGGCAGAGCATCTTCCTGAGATGTCCACGTTCATTATTTAAAACTTAATCTACATTTCATTTTATACTCCAGCAGTTCTTGGCAGAGCTGCTCTACATCCCATCCAACCACGGACGACGCCTTCTTCTTCTTCTTCTTCTTCTTCTTTTCGGTGTATTTAAAGATAAAATGCTGGAAATAAACTTCTGTTAACCTCTCGTGTGCTGCTTGATTCATTAGGAGTGTTTACACATGAGGCGTTTGCAGGGGTGAATCAAATTTACCTCCCACTGAGGAGCCGGAGGCAACGATTCAGGTGAAAAAACTGAGACCAATTAATTTCCAAGGAATTAGGAGACGATTCTGGTTGCCGTGTTCCTGCAAAGCGTGAGATGCCATGTCATGCAGGGTCATACAGTATGGAGGTAATAGGATAAGGCGCTAAAGTTATCTGGAGGTGAACTGCTGTATCGGACTGTACTGAACCCTGCGGTCCCCAGCAGCAGGACTGTCCGGATTTATGAAATCATTCGGCTCCAGAGGCTCGGCTCTCAGCGGACCTCTTGACCTTTTCACCCGTACTTCTCTGCCCCGGCCTCACGCGGCTTTATCTGGACTAAGATGTTTGAATGTCAAAGAGTGTTAATGGAAAGCTCCAGGGTCAGACTGTACTCCATCTGAAAAGTCTTGTTCCTTAAATCTGTGAAGTTTTACCCTGGAAAATAATCAAGTTATGAATTTTAAATAAGCCCGGCTTGCCTGTTAGATTGATGTGAGTCGTAATTTCAGGGGTCTATAAGCGATCGCAGTGAGACTTGTACCAAAGCGATCAAGTTTTATTACCCACTTCTGATCTTGATTTAATTTCCTGCCGTTTAGGTTCAAACTTCTTGTGCGCCACCCACATCATCCCGGTGAAGAACGAGGAGGGCGTGGTCATGATGTTCATCCTCAACTTCGATTACATCCTGGATGAGGGCAGCAGCGACTCGCTGGAGAGACTCAACCACACCTCGCCGTCCAAAGCCGACCAGCGTGAGTAAAAAGGAAGCACGTTTATAGCGTTTTTATGAACTCGCTGTGTTATCCTGTCTGATATCTTTAAATAGATGTAGTATTTCCCTCTGTTATCATCAGGAATGTGATAGTCGCATAACAGCCAGTCATGACCTTTCTCTCCTAACCTTTTCTCACATCCACATCAATTTCTGCCTATCAGAGCTACACATCCCGCCAGATAACATTATGGTTACATTTGTCTGGTTCAGAGCTGTAAATTCAGACCTCAAGAGGTTGTAATCTCCATCTTGGACGGAAAAATGAGCTTCCTTTTTGTAGAGAACACGATATATGAGTGTTCAATCGACACGCAGCCAAAATGACTCCTGAGAGGCGGCCAAAACAGATCCAAACTCAGCACAGCAACATTCAAGCGTCTGTGAGATAGACACTCGGGCACTACATCTAAAACAGCTGACCGAAGATTCAGAACAAATTGATTTATACAGCGCCGAATCACAAAAGTCGTTATACCAAGACAGAGCAGGACTAAACCACGCTCATTGTTTGATGAATTACCAAGATCCAACCTTCACTCGTTCAGTGCCAGTGATGGATTTTGACAGACTTTTTAGTTTTTTTCACTAGAGGGCGCTCCTCCCCAACATGCGACTAAGTCTGGGGTCGTTCTGAACGCAGAAAAGCTGATAAATACATCATAACCATGTTACAGTAACGAAAACAAGTACTCACCAGTGAGAAGTGCGCCAATTAGCCTGGTTATGGAGTGTTAGGAAAATGTCAAAGTCATTAGCCAAGAGCTAACGGTCTCGGTGCAAAGGCTCCCGTGGATCCATTGGAGATCCTGGTACCGGACCTTCACACCGTTAGCAGACAATCAAGGAAACAATTTTCTGGTGTGTTGTTGTGCCGCCGGTGCCGATACTGGTGAGCGAGACTGAGCCGGAATTCAGCGTCAGAGGAAGACGTAAGCAGTCTGTGTGGAGTAGTTGTGAGCCAATACGACTCCCAAAGTGACCTATCAGAATCAGATCTCGAGAGTGATGAGGAGTGGTGTCCCAGGAGGGAGGACCTTGATGACACCGGTAAAGTAGTGAAATGAAAAAGACGATCAGAGTTCTGCTCCAAAGTTTTTCCCAGGTTTCTTTTCGCAGATCGGCAAAGATGATGTGTCCACGCTGCATTGAGTGGGTGATAACTAAACACAGGAGTGGGTCAGAGACTTACTTTTTTTTCTGGTGAAAGAAAAGAATCACCCCTTTCTTTTGAGATATGCACCTGAAATATACAGAAATTTCTATTGCGGTCAATGGTGGTACATAGTGAAAATTGCATAAATGAACCTGGCACTGAACGAGTTAAGATGGGACAAATTTGACCCATCTCATCTAACATGAGCGACAGTGGCGAGGGAAAACATTCTGTAAACAGGCAGAAACCTTGGGGAGGACCAGACTCATGTTAGACAACCACCTCTTCGCTGCTGAGTTGGGGAGAAATACAGAGAGATAGGGAGAGAGAAAGAGAGAAGATGAAGATGGTCCTCGAATCGTCATACATGGATGTAATCTTGGCGTTGTCACCGATTGGTTTCTGTAGAGGCTTTCAGAGCTGAACAATGGTGGAAACGCTGACTCCAGCTAACTGTGAGCTAATCTACAAACCAGTAAAAGAGTGGATTTGAGGAGAAAGCCCTGCTGCTTCATTTTAATATGGGCTCTGATGGGGTTTCCTTGGATTTTAGAGCCAGCGTTTTAAGGAAGTCCAGTTCGCTCTTCCAAATTGGCTCCATTTCTCGTCACTGAAGCTATAACCACCAGTTCTGTTTAAAACAAGCATTAGACACTGGAACTGTTATCAGCAGCTCCCTCGCACTTTAACAGTTTTCCTTTTTATCCTGTTATGACTGTGATATGTTTTTGCACATTGCAAATATTTCCTATGAATTGCAACAGCGTGTACTTGCAGCAATGCAGCATGGGAATCCCAACAAGACATCTCTGGCATGTGGACACCATCGTTTAGCAGACACTGACGTGTTAGCCTGCCATCATTTTAAAGGTCTGGCCCAATTATAGCTCATAGCCTGCCGGGATGGCCTGATGAACCGCTGGAGCAGCGCTGGAGAGCACTCCGCTTCCCCGAGCTGTCGGCGTAATAGCGCATAATGCCATTCCCCTGCGGTGCTCTCCAACGGGCTCCCGATGCCTCCTTCCTCTTCTTTTAGTGTGTGACATATAAAGCAGCGGCATAGAGGAGCAGGGGTCACCTCTACATGACTGTAATTGGATGAAGGCCCCTAACAGGCTGTGTCGCCCCGTGGGGAGTGCAGGGGAAAGAAGCGAGTACGTGGAGTGTAGATGAAAGTGTCGTCTGCATGTGTGTTTACGTGTCATTGATGGGCCGCCCCTATCTGTCACTTTCCTGTAGGAGTTAATTGCTCAGCCTCAACACAAGGGCAGTCCCTGATGGCGCAGGCCTCCATCGGTTCTCGTCGGCTCGTATCTCTCCGACTGTCTAAGTGGGCGCAACTCGTCCAGATTTGTTTACGAGGTTGATTTCAGCGCCGGACGCGTCTCTTTCTCTTTCTGCCTACACGCAACCTCCGCGGTCTTTCTGATTACCCGAGAGAGTTGGCATTTCTTGGCTTCACTTCATCTTACACTCCTTCATCCAACTCCAGAGACTTACTATTTCCCTTTTTCTTTTTTACCAGCAGATGGATAGAGGTCACCAATCATCATGAATCATGAATAATTCTACGTATTTAAAAGTACGAACTGCTCCAGATGTACATTAAACTCTGAGAAACCCCCCTGCTGCTATTCTGAGCCACATTTCTGCAGCATGTGTAGGAGCGGCTGCCTTAAGATGTGAGGTGATGATCCATGTCTTGCATTATGTAGACTCCTTCTGGGGGAATGAGCAGCCACGCATTAAGCGCTGCTTATCGATTGCCTCTGCCGTTTAGAGAGGACCCATCCATTCTGCGGCCATCTTTGATTGTCCCATTTTGCCTCGACGCCGCCGCCGAGCAGGGCTTCTTCCACCGATCCATAAATTACGCACAAACAGAAAAAACAAGTTGAATTAAACGTGTAGGATACATCCGCAGGCTGGGGCTTTAAATAGGAAAGCAGGGCGAGAATACCAAACTGCAGTTTTCGTAAATGATAGTACGATAAAAACAGCGCAGAACAGCTCTCAAAATTATCTCTCTGACCTCGTTGTAATGTAGCAGCCTTTAACCTAGAGCGCCACATAACCTGCACTCGCATGACACCACAAGTCGAAGGCCTCTGCACCCGACCATTTGCTGCCCCGCTGACCACCTCTGCAGAGTCGGCCGGTTCCCCTCGAGGCGAGTTGGCAGCAGCTGGTTTTTCTGTGTGTGTGTGTGTGTGTGTGTGTGTGTGTGTGTGTGTGTGTGTGTGTGTGTGTGTGTGTGTGTGTGTGTGTGTGTGTGTGTGTGTGTTCTCACAGGAGCAACCTGCTCCCTCATCCTCTCCTGAAGCAGAAAACAAAAAAGAGAGGAAATTCTATTTTTATGACTTTATTTTAGAGCGGTGGCCTTCAGCTTAAGAAAAAAAAAAAAGCTCTTTTTCAGATATTTGACAGGCACGCACCGTCTTAGTAGTTCAACACTGTAGAAAAAGATACCTTTACAAAGAGGCACCAAAAGCACAACAATTCATAACTGAGTAACACTTAATAAGGTGCACCGGCTCCTTCCAAATCTACCAACAAAAATCCATTAAACCAGACGATGTTTTATCTCGATACAGCTGATACTTTCAGGACTCTGTTTTTGCTGCTACATCTTACTTCAGATCCTCCCAATTTTCTCCTTTTGCTAAAATAAAGACTTTGGTCCCTCCTGAAGTGAGGCGAAATATTAATACAGCGATATGTCATCATCCTGACTCATCCGCTTCAATTATGAGTCACACTTTATATGATATTAAACAGCTTTTTAAAACTATTTTTCTTTTAATTTGGCACACGACTTCATTTACCGGCTCCTAATGGTGGTAATAATGACACAAATCCTGCACTTTGCCTTTTAGGAGCGTTTTATATTCTTCAGATGATCAGATATCGAGATGTGTTATTGTATAATAGTCATTTTATTATCCAAAGAAAACACTGGACCATGATATCATAATCATGAGTGATAAATTAAGTGTCATATCACACTGCATCAGATAGTATTTCATTAGTTTGACCCTCCTCCTGTGTCAGTGTCTGCACTGACCCATTTTTGTTTTTAAATGCTTAAAAGAACCAAAAGACTTTTTGACTTTGTCAGGAATCTCTATTTAAACAAAATAAAAATAGAAAAATAAATTCACTAAATAATAAAATGCTCTCAATAAAATGATGTCACTTGTCGTGTTAGGGTCGCTGTGAACCCGGTTAGATTAAAAATCAATAATTAGAGCAAAATTACAATCATATGTGCACTATCAGACATCACACTGACAGTCAGATCCTCTCCCAATTAGTGTTGTGTCGTCAGGAACGATTCGTTCGAAAGAACCGAATCTTTTAAGTGAACATACTGAATGGAATCACTTCTTAAAGTGATTCGTTCAGCTCAGAGGGGATAGATCTTTTTCTGTTGCTGCCCCAATTTTATGGAACGAGCTACCCCTCCAAATTAGACAAGCCCCCACACTGTCCATTTTTAAAACTCGTCTTAAAACCCATTTTTATTCATTGGCTTTTAACCCTCCATGAGACTCGGCTCCTGTTTTAGTGTTCTATGGTTTGTTTTTAGTTATTTGTTTCTATGTTTTTAAATTAGTTTTTAAAAACATTGAAGCTATATTTTATTATTAATTCTGCTTTTATTTTATCCATTGTTTTAATTGTTTCTTGATTGTTTTTTATCTTGTTGTTTTTGTCCTGTTATGTACAGCACTTTGTACAGCTGTGGTTGTTTTAAAGTGCTCTACAAATAAAGTTGAGTTGAGTTGAGTTGAGTTTCTCACTTCAGTTGAGCTGTCGGCAGTGGAGCTGCGATAGCACGCAGCATTGCCAGGCGAGCAGCCAGCGAACGAGCGACTGCATGCACCGACGCCTGAATCACTTGGTAAAAGAATCACGCATTAAACTACATTTTTGTTGGACAAAACTAACTTTTATAGCTACACAGCATGTAACAAGTAGTGCATAAAACCCGCATCATCTTATCATTGCAGTGGTTTGCGAGGGAACGATGCATGTTCAGTGTGAATTCTTCTAAACGTACAGTAAACAAATCACTCACTGAGCCCAATTTACAGAGCAGACCTGATTCTAGCAATTCAGTACATCTAAAAGAACTGCCGTGCCCATCACTACTCCCAATCATGTGAGATTTAGGGATTATCTTGTACTGAAATGTCTCAATATTGTATCTTGGTGTAAGACACAAAATCCTGTGCACAAACTGTTAAGTGACAGCTGATCAGACAGGTTTAACACTTGATGTAGGAGGACCATAAAGAGCAGGAAGGATCTGTGAGATCTTTGCAGCTGCTCTGCAGGGCCGTGTGTTTTATCTTCCTTTGGTGGTGACCTGCATAAGTAATAGCATCATCATAAGAAACATACAACATGCCTCCATTCCTTTTCCCCAAACTGACAACTCCTTAATTAGAAAAACGTTGTGAATTATTGAGCTTAAGTAGTGTTAACTCAGGCACATTGCAATCACGCTTTAATTTTCTCTCTTTATAAACGAGTGTGGGCGAAAACGGCAACGCAGCAGCATCGCCTATATTATTCTCTGGAGCTGCTGGGTAATATGCACACTGGGAGTCCAGGTAAACACTCCTGGAGGTAAAAGCACACCGCATGCAAATCAACCCCTGCTTTACACCTCCATTCATCGTCAGGAGAAGCAGAAGAGCGGCGCTGAGAGACGTAAAAGAACACGGATCTGGTTTTACCAAAGGTTGACGCTTTATTGTTCTGCGTCCACTTCTCCCCTGACATCTGAATCATGCTCAGGAAGATACTCATTCCCCAACATGAGAGGATCTAAGGGCCCAATTAGTATTCAATGCAAATATTACTATCTGGTATCATAGCAACAAGGACCACTGTGTGTCCAGTGGTTGTGCGGAGGGAAAGAAGAAGGGAGAGTGAGCTGACGCGTGTACTGTACATACAGAGACGCTCAAAAGGCCACGCATATATCTTTGGCTTTACAACATCTAGATTTAACACAGAGACATCATGTTCTCATTCACGACTGAATTACAAGCTGATCTCGGTTTGTGCCTCGTAGCTTGTGATGCCTTTGATCCAACATGCATCATTTCATTAAGTTGTCATTTTAACAACAGAGGTTCGTCTTTAAAATGAAGATTTCAGGAGCAGCTCAATAAATCGGACCGTCTCTCTTGTAGTATTGCAGTGTTGTGATTACAAAACAGAGCAATCTTCCTCTGGAGGGGCAAAGCATTTGCAGCCACTCCAAACCGGATTTAGCTGTATTGTGCTGGCTCTTTGGCATATAAATTGGCTTTGCTGGTTTGGGATCGGCTGCAGACTGATGAATCAGAAGGTATTTTTGATCCGCAGCCTTATTTGCCTCACAGCACCCGGCCCGGATGAAGCAGAACTTTGTTGATGATGCTTTTGCAGAAACAAACCCAAAAAAAATTCGACTCCATTTCATCCTCATTAAGGGGACTTGTTTAGTCATGCTAGCTTTAGACAATGCTCTGAATCACAGACGAAATGCAAATTGTTATTTTTGGCTTCATCAACATCTGGCTGGAGACTTAATTTAAACACCACACTGACCCGGGCAGACAGAGCATTGTGTCTAAAATTAGCTTTCTTTCTCCCTCTTCGCTGCCAGCCTCATAAGAAAAGACGCCGCCGAGGAAGATAAATGCTGCTCTCTGCTAAACCTCAAACAATTACTCTTTTCTCTTTTAACCACCTGGTGTGCTTCTGAATACATCCCCAGCTGTTCGCCTCTTTATTGGGACAGGGACGTGTTTATCATCTTCTTTTAACAACAATCTGCAAACATTTGGGATTTGAGGGGACGAGTTTATGGAGTTTTAAAAATGAGATGTTGTCACAGTTATGAGGTCTTCTTTTTAGTATTTTCATTTACCTAATGTGATTTTTTTTTATATTAGGTGACAGGATGAGGCTACAGGCCAACCCAGTTCTGGCTTTAATACTTGTTTACAGAGATTCCTACTGGTTCGTCTGTCTTTTTAATGACATTATGGTGTCCCAATACAACTTTTTTACCTCCGATATGATACCGATATTGTAGCTTTAAATATCGGCCAATAACGATATTGATCCCATATTGGCACAAACTTCTGCATGATAAGTTTCGCACTCAGCTGCAACGTCTTTTTCAGACGTTAATGAAATACTGCCACGGGGCCGACATCACTGCTACTCCTTGCTACTTTGTTTGTACCTTAGTACACACTCAGTGCGTTTACATACACAGCTTAATCGGACTAAGCTTTTAATTCGTTTTTTCTTTTCGCTGAATCAGACTTCTCTCCTTGTCCATGTATATATGCAGCTGAGGAATTTAAATTATTGATGTAATCGTGCCCTGCTTCCCAAAACTAGGGGGCGATATGGGTCTTTTAAGCAGCGCTGTTTCCAACCCCATACAATTGTCAACAACAACAACAGCAGGTCAGGCCAGACGTCAGAAGTGTCTACAACTGCTGCTGGGCGTTTTCAAGCAAGAAGATGGAGCATCAGTACAGCGATGTTTTTGTCGTACATGATGTGCGCGCAAACACTACTACTTTTTCACTACTCCGCTTCTCTGGTGTTTTTGTTCCAGAGTTATGAGGGCGTGGCGCACGCACACATGTATTGTCCAATCATACTCTGACAACGCTGGTTACATGATAGAGAAAATCGAATTTCAATCGCATTATCTGGGTGTCTTAATCAGAGTTCTCAGACTCCAATCGGAATTCTCAAAATCAGATTATAGTCGGTCTAAGGTGTTTACACACACCTCAGCCGTCTGTTCTTTATTGGAATAAGGCAATAACTTGCTTTTCTCGAGTGTCATCTAAACACACATGCTGTTGTTGTGATCACATGGGCTCTACATGCTGGATCCGGGTGCTGCTAGATGAGGTAGTCCATTCTAGCGGAGTCTAGAATGGACTACCTGTATCGGAGTGCTGATATCGGAGATTTTAGATGCAGGCCGATATAAACTGATATTCAAAATTTTGCCGATATTGGATACCGGTATCAGATATCAATATCATATCGGGACACCCCTAACTGTAGATGATTTAATCCCCAATTTTTTGCAGTTCTATAAAAATTATTTAGAAATTGTTGAACTGTTTGCTCACACAGTCGCTCACAGGGACCCATGTTTACCAACGAGGGGCTCAATCTCTCCAGGGCGCCCAAGTCATGGATCTTAACTGGTATACATCATTTTTCAGTGTTTGGTTCCTTCTGTCTCAACTTAAAACCTAGAAAATAATCATACATATTTTTCCTATTAAGATTTCTCATTTGATGTTGCCTTGCACGATTTCTAATTAAATAGTTAAACGATTGGTGAAACATCAAAATCTCGTACTTCTGCGTCCCAACTGTTTGAGTCGAGGTTTCTGGCACGGGCTGTTGAATCAAGAGACACTAAGCACTGAGGAGACTCCAGGACAATGTGTTCAGGTTTGCACGAGCGCCTCATGGCAGTGAGACCATGCTGAGACTGATATGTACGGCATATGTTCAGGCGACTAAATGATTCACAACATGCAGGCCATACAGTTTGCAGTCCATATGTGACTCTTCGTCTCTTGACATGTTCTCAGATATTGTTAGACACAACAGAACGCGGCTTTCGCTGAATGGTGGATGCTGTCTTCTGCTCCTTATCTTATCTTACCTTGTCTTGAATGACACCCCCTCAGAAGTACCCACTACAGCCTTGGCAGAACCACCTGGATTATCACTTGATGTTACATTCAGTCCCATAGAGCTATCAGTCACTCACATGATCTGCTACTTACTCCTCGATGTACTATACTATTTCAGAAGCGTCCTCCCCCATGAATAATTGAAGGAAACTGAAGATTGAACCAGTGCCTGAGGCAGATCGGCATTTGTTTTGATCTGCCAGGGTCTTTTTAAGAATGCTGCACTGGCAGGCTCCTCAGTGCTATTGGCAAACAAGTACGAGATATCAGCGGGGATGTTGAAGGCTGCGAGCAAGTTTTGCTGCAAACACACCATGAAAACACAACACGAGGTCGGAGGGGGTATGTCGATCCCACTGGCTCATTAAAAAGCAACATCCCTTCTGAATTTTGCTGTTTTTGGCCTCTTAGCAGTCAAATAGCTTCAGATATTTGGCTCCGAATGATAATTGAGTGACGAGGTTGCCCCTAGCCTGAGGACTCGTGACTCGACGTGATATCAATTGTCCATAAGCGCTCCAGCTTTCTCTGATCTTGTTGGTGTTTTTTCTCTCTCAGGCAAAGGGAGATTCTTTCGCTTCCGCTTCCCGGCCCTCCCTCTCCTCGGCATCAGCAAACAGTCCCTGCCCCAAGAAGACCCTGACGCCGTCATGGTGGATTCCCCACGCCACAGCGACGGATCGGCGGCCACACGCGATTACCAGCTCCCCAACACCCGCGAGAGCTGCAGCCCCTCCTACGCCAACGACACCCGCGCCCTCATCGGCCCCAGCCACTGCTCCACCCCTGTGTCCGGGCCTTTGGACCACTCGTCACCTAAGGGCCCTTGGGATCGGTCGTACCCCGACCAGGCCACCGCCCCGACCTCACAGCAGAGCCAAGAGGACACACTTATTGCTGCGCCGTCAATCCCGGGACTCACTCCAACGGCGTCCAGGGAGAGCATGTGCAGCATTCGCAGAGCGTCGTCCGTGCATGACATGGAAGGGTTTGGGTCCAACTCCAAGATGGCGTTCAGGGACAGGCATGCCAGCGAAGGTAGGGATCTCCTGCTATGAAGACTGTAAACTGCTTGTTTAAACTTTTGACAGATAGTTCCCCTCTCTTTGGTTGAACAGAGATGATTTATTTAATGAAAGAGCCCCTCTTACTGGACAGAGTTGTTATATTACAGTTTGTTTTGAGTCTCTTAAAGGTCATTTTTGGAATAATCTGCTAAGTATGAAAGTATTTCTGCACCTAGTGATCATACATGACAGTTGCGACGACTACCTAACACTTTGAAGGATTTACTTCCTCTCAAACTCACTCTTCTAACGTCCTGTCACAGACTTTCAGATCTTGCAAAGTTCAGACTCTTGTCAAGATTACTTCCTGCTCTTGCAAAATTAAAAAGAGAAATAACAAACGATTGAGCAGGTAGGTCAGTTTTTCAACACAGACTTCCCTCCCATTGGTTCGCCTTATGTACTATGTTTACGGCCGTCATGTTGGGAGCAGAAAAGCCTCTGCAGGAAGCATTTACACCCTTCAGTTTCAATCTCTCAAAGCGTTCACTGCCACGAATGCCATTAGGTTGACAATAGCTGCGTTTACATAGGCACAAATAATTGGAATAAACACCCAATCAGGATAAAAATGCGTCATGTGAACATATCGATTGGAAGATTCTGATCCAATTTGGCTCAATCTGAAAGAAATTGTATTCCGATCAAGAGGAGTGGTTTATGCCGATCGTTATTCCAAAACGCATCCATGTCAATAACACCACGTTATCGGGTTATCCCCCAATAACATAACGAGGCGTACGTACAGCGTAATGATGTCACATCTGCACGCACAGTGCAACCTTTGACATGACAGTAAAATAAGTAAGCAATGGCGCCATCTAGTGACAACATTTAACAGGGGGAAAATCCTGAATTGGATGATGTTAGCCAGTACGCGTTTGTTGGCAGCACAGGCGTCAATACAACTCTTTTTTTTTAGCGATATCAGACAACTGTCCAAACTTGGTGCACGTATAAGCACGTCATGATCGGATTATTTGATTTTGCACCCATAAAAACAGTGGATTCAGATTATCCGATCCCTCAAAATTTTAATCGGATCAAGAAACGTGGCTAGTGTATCCAAACTTAAAAACAAGCGTCTGCATTTGTCTAGCATTCAAGAAAACATGTGAAGAATTCATCCCCCTTTGAAACTCCTCTAGGTTTACTATTTATCTTACATTAACAAATGCCCCACCAGAATGATTTCATACTTAATACGCCAAATAGAAAGGAAATAGCAAAGCTGGCACCACCGGCCTTCAGTCCCTCTATTAGGTCGGTGACTTGATAATGATAGTTACTCATTGATCCAGTCAAATGGTAAAAATATTTATTAGTGACCAGTTGTTGTGCCATCTTGCAAGGGTGATGACATTTAATCATTTGATTGGCCAGTAGGTAGTACGCCGTTCCTATTAGAATGAACCAAGTATTCTGATGGTGCATTAAAACTTTCAGTTGGATCAAACTTTAAGGACAAAGTGATTCATGCTTTTGTCGGCACAGGAGACATTAAGTTGATTTGACTCTTAGGATATATACCCGTACTCAGAAAACTGAATTATAGATTTTTAAACACTCTTCACTCTTGGCGACAGTTACTCAGACAAAACAACATTTCCCAATTGGTGTCAGTAATGACAAAGAGTCAGATGTTGCCGAAATGTTTACATGGCAGCGCTCATGAGGGGGTGTATTACTGCTGACAAACAATGACTATAATTTGTCTATATATTAATTACCAAATACCCCGCGGTCCTGAAATAGGAGATGCGAGCTGTGGCATGCCGGTCTCTTAATCAGCATTACATCGAGTCACCATCTGCACTATGTGCTATCGATCTTCCCTCGAGTCTAAATCACTCATTAGCCTTTTGGCCCCTCATTTGGTGGAGGGTAGCTGTGGCCCAGACTGGCCCGGTTTCCTCCAGGCCAATCAGTCTACCCCCCCAACCCCCCGCCACCATCACACCACCATCCCTTTATCTTGAATCCTTATTTAAATGGCTCCTAGTGGCTGACAAGGTAATATGTCTACTTCATGGTAATGAATTGTTCATGGTGGCAGTAGCTGGGCTTTAATGCCAGCTCCTATTTGTCATCACAGAAAAGCAGGAATTCTTCTCTCACCTCCTTCTTCTTTCTTTTTCAACGCCGTGTTGCCGCCATCACAGACAATGGTCGCAATATCAAAGGTAACAAACAGCGTCCTGCACCACCAGCTGTCTGACTTCTCTGGGTTTCTCCATGTTAACTGCACATAGCCTGCTTGTTGCATGAGTCTTTCCACATGACTGAGGTTTATGTTGACTGCAGATGCCTTGCTGGATGACTTGAGAGTGTGTTTGTCGGGAGCCTCCAAACACTGGCACAACACTAAATGACTCAGTCTTGGTGCACATGACCCGCTGATCCTGAGCCTCTCGCCAAGGGGCTTGGTTAAGGATAAAAAAAACTGACGTCTGCACGCGCATGCATGAAGCAACATATTACATCTCTCTGCTGCTTTTGTTCATTGAAGAAAATCAATGAAGCTTTTACAAGATGATACCTCCCACCGCCTGTAACCTCTCTTTTCTTCTGTGTAACCTCTGGTTCCTCGTTCCCGTGTCTTAGTGAATGAAAAGAAACCCGACTGTTTTTCCATTTGAATTCTTTATGCTCGCCTGTGCTGATTTTAACTGCAGTGGAACTTTAGCGGAGCTTGTGCTGCATGAGTTTTAAACTTAATATTTAGCCATGTCCAGGATCAATTAAGAGGTCTCGACATTTAGGTATAACTGACTGTTACTGTTGATTTCTAATGCAAGAAGAGTTAGGGATGGGTATCTTTAGGAATTTGTTCTTTTTTGCTGATTTTCATGTCTCTTAAAATGATAACATTAAAGGGTTATTTTGAATTGGTGATGTATCAAATATTCCTCTTATTTCAATGCTGTTGTGGTTTTGCAGTACCAAGATATCAAAGGTTAAAACCAGACACGTGAACTGCTCTGCTGTTGGTCGGTCCCAACACTGGAGGACTAAAAACGACAGTCATTACTTTAACAGACAACTGTTGGTGCGCTGTCCTAAACTAAGGCCCTGTTCATGTGTACCCGGTTATTTTTAAAAACAGAGACATTGACCGTCGTTTGCACCCTTCGTTTAGACGCAAACAGAGAATTAGCCTCTGAAAACGATGCTTTTTAAAAACAGAGATTTGGGTAGCCGACGGCAGATTGTGCGCTGGAAAGAAGGAAGGGACGTTATTGTTGTTGTTGCTGCTATGCGGGATTCTGATTGGCTAACGTGGGCTTGAGCTTCTTGCCACACTGCCACCTAGGGCTGGTGGATAAAACGATAATGACATATATCGAAATTTAATTTCCCTCAATATCAATATAAAACATGGTCAGTTTGCCTCTTAATAGTCAGCACTCTGCCATGTTTTTGTAAACTATTCGAATAGCCAATGAAAAGGGGATATATATATCGTGATAAATATATATATATATCAATATCGACTGCTATGAAAAACATATATCCTGAAAAACTTTTTTCCATATCGTCCAGCCCTACTGCCACCCATATGTTTGATACGCTCTTGATGGCATATATACACGGGTTAGTGTAAATGAAAACTTCTCTGAAACCTCGTGGTGTGCACGCAGTTTTTTTTTTTGTGAACAGGGAGGGTTAAATGTCTGTTTATGAAAATAGCCGGGCACATGTAAACATAGTCTAAATGGACCAACCACTTCGGGATGTAACGTGTCGTGTACTTGCACTAATTCTTCTGGAGTGCTTGCCAAGAAACATAATGCTTGGTACTGCCTTAGCTTCTTCTCGCCATGTTGATGTTTTTCCCACATCTGCGTTTATGATAAGCAGTTTGTGTTTTTTTAAATCTATTTTTCAGTTTGCAAAATTCGTTTTTATCAGATTCAAGGTGTATTGATTAAGGGGTTAATTTTTTCCAGGATTTTCTGATTGTTTTGGGAACAGAATGTCCTCGATACCCATCCCTAATTACCATGTCAGTATGAGTAGGTTTAGGTTGACTCACAAAGCTGCCCAAAATGCTCTTTTTCCTGCTTTAATGTGATATTTCAAGTGATGTTGTTTGCACCATATCTGCTGAGCCTTCAATACCAACCACGCTTCCATTTTCCCCACTCTCCCCTTTACCTGCTGTCTCTTCTCTCTCCTGGTTTGCTAGTGTCTCGCTCCTGGATGGCTGGGGGTATGGCTTCAGCTTTTCCCTCTTTCAGTTGTTTTTTTTATTTATTTTTTAATATTTTTTTATGACTGCAATGACGTCTCCTCGCTGTGGCATGTATCGAAGCTGTGCATGCAATCTTTCATCCTCAGCTGTCTGTTTCTCTGTCCTTGACTCTCAATCACTGTACTGTATTCTGTGAAAAGGGGGAGAGAAAAAAAACGCACCCGGGGGCTGAACCGGCAATTCTCTCTTTTTCACTTTTTATCACCCTCATCGGGCCACATGTCAGTGTGTCACAGTGCTGTCACATATTGTTGCGGTGTTGAATGCTTCCACTCAAAGACAGGGAGTTAATTTGTGAGAGTCAGTGTAGAGAACATTACGTGGAGTGACTCGGGAACACTTTGTGAATTCGACACACTGGTCATGTCCATCAGGCAGAGATGGGTTGACTAAGTGTGTGAAGTTGCATTCTTGAATCATTCTTTTCTTTCACCAACAGTGTTCTTCATTATCTTTTAATGAGTGACTTTGAAAGACTCGTTCACCCTAGACGGGTCAATCAGACTACAGCTGTAAAGTATCTGTTGTATTCTCGGTGTTGTGTTGTGGTTGAACTCACTCCAAAAGTAAGGTTGAACTCACTCCATGCTCACTAACCATATCACAGCAATCACAAATGATAACCTCCCTGATGTCCGCGATTCACACCCAACAATTAGACCCGAACGCGGCGGGAAAAGCAGCGCCGACTTATTCATCGCTGACATCCTCCTTGTGTCGCTTTCAGGGCCGCTCAGTCAGATCAAATCCAGTCTGCTGGGATCCACCTCCGACTCCAACCTCAACAAGTACAGCACCATCAACAAGATCCCGCTCATCACGCTCAACTTCTCGGAGACCAACAACGAGAAGAAATGCCCCTCTCCTCCGTCTTCAGAGAAAACCATCATCGCACCGAAAGTCAAAGACCGCACGCACAATGTCACGGACAAGGTTACACAGGTAAGACGCAGAAATACTCGCTTTAATAGGGAGTAATCACGCTTATGAGAGATTACTTCTGAATCAGTGTTTGGAATTTTAATCCCAGATAGTGTTTCGGTCCGTCTCTTCATCGCCAAGTTCCTGGATGTTTTATCGTAGCTGAGAGATGAGGAAATAAAACTTTCAATTATTCCTCTAAATGAGTCTCCAAATGAGGCATATAAAAGAAATTAGTCTCTATGATTTTTTTAATTATTCCGAGGACATCATCATCATTATTATTATAGCGCTGCCTTTTTCAAGCGTGGCGTCTGGTTAATTGACTGATCATCATGCTGCTCCGGTCGGGGGGTCTGTTCAGGTCAAGCACGCTTTGGATTTGGTTTGATTGTCTGCGGTCAGCTTGTGGTCGGGTTCGGCCCGGTTCTGCTGAGGCTTTAGCTTTTCAAAAGAGAAATTAATGCTGGTCAGGTTCTGCTCCTTTATTATTATGAGGTCCAATGATTAAGGTTTACAAAGACCTGCAGCGCCCACAAATGTTCTGCTGTCATCCTCGTCCAGGTGCCTAATTTATGCTGTTGCTACATCTTTTGTTGCTCCTCTTAAGTGTCGTCTTTCTGCTTCGAATGTGTTTGTCCTTTTTAATTGAAGCTCAACATACTGTTTGTTGTTTGTGATAGAGGGCGACTTGGAACAGATATAATCTGGCTTCATTTTACATTTATTGGAAAGCTTAAGCACAAAGAGTCATAAATATCTACAAATGCCAATTTCTTGTTGCACCAGTCGCTTGATTTTATTTATAAAGGGCGAATCTAAAAGCTCTCTTTATCATTATTTGACAGGACTCAGAATTAACCCTCCACTCGGCTTTAATAGTTATGATAAAACTCACTTTCAGACCGCATGAGTTTGGGTTTTTGCAGGTTTATTATGTTCCTCTTGGCTGTTACCCACAATTTCCACCGCATCCGAAACAGCTGCGAAAAGGTCGTATGCGCCGATCGCAGCTGATCATTTTCATTCAAGTTAACGTGTCAGTTTCCACCGATTTCTTTCTGTTCTGCTGCGGTTCAGCGGACTCCGCAGCCAATCGCCAGGGTTCTATGTTTTCCAGACGCCGCAGAAATTTAGCTCAGATGATCCCGTGCTGGGAAGAAAGTCGGGCACAGACACAAAATCATACTTCACATCATAGACATTTTATACGTAGATGCCTCATCACCGCCATATTGGATGGGTGTAGGATTAAAATTTGTTTTATTTTTAATGTGTGACATTGTCCTGTATTATGGCTACATGTTGTAACAAACCTAAGAGTGTGAAAATCGGGCAGAGATTCGCAGAGTTGTTATCGATCTGGTTGGGCATTCCTATCTACCTTAATGGACTGGAGGCGCATTGGGGTCAATCCAAGATGGCGGCCACGCTGAGATGAGAGCTCCAATAGGCAGCGTCAGGCTATGAGGCGTCTACGTATATTATGTATATTATGCTTCACACCATGCAAACGGGCCGGGACAAACAAGTCAAATGTTATCAGGCAGTATTTCACTCGGTTGACACCATGGATGAGGAGATGCTGATTCTAGAAGTCTAGATGTAGATTTCCTCCTCCTCTGCTCATGTGGTTATGTTGCTGTCTTTATAGAGACAACTCGTTATCGCGCGATTGCATGTGAATCTGCTGGTTCTTGTGAGTTCTTGTGATTCCCGTTGTCCGAAGTCTGCCAAAATTTGCCGCATCTGGTAGGAATTGGCTAGGCGCGAAAATCGCAGCTGTTCCGGATGTGGTGGAAATTGGGGGATGGCAGCTAAAAGTCCTGTTTGGGTCCAAATGGATCATAGATAGGCCATAAGGTTGCTCTGTAACAAGGAAGTGTTTCTCATCCACATGACCTGATACTCAAAGGAGTCTGCAAATGGTGTTTTATTTTGAAATTTACCAGATGACATTGTCCCATACTTAAAATCCTGTCTAGGACAATCTTCCATGTGCAGATTGATATGTGTTGGGTGCGTGCTCTGTCGAAAAAATAGACGTATCTTTAGCGGAACAACGAGTAGAAACGCTTCTGGGATTGACTGATATGCGATGCATCCTGTGAACAATGCAAGACCATCTTTGGGCTTCATGCTTGCCAAAACCAAATGGTTGAAATCACAGGATTTACTATATGTCCATTTTTTACACAGTCTATGCTGTAGCTTTTTACCAAGCGGCAAAGGAACAGCATTAACTCCTCTAACTGGAGATCAGCAGGAAGATGGCTGCAGTCCTCATTATCACCATGTAAAGCTCGTTTAAAAACAAACGTCTGACTGCGCTCAGATCATGTCCGTGCTTTTCACAGTATGCTCTCCTACCACGGCACTCTCACTGAAACCATCACTCACTCGTCTTTCATGAAGCTCTTTATTGTGATTGCTTCTGAAGCTGTGCTGTTACCTGAGACTAAGAATAGGCAGTCATAAAAAAACATTAGTTGTCATGTAATTTAGGATTATTAATAATTCATCCCTCTGAGCGTGGATGAGCGAGGCTGCGCATACTGTAGCATTGGAGACACTGGAATCCAATACTAAGGGTCATCATTATATCATTTGCTATGATCATAAATAACACCTTTACAAATTGAGCTGCCGATGGAGTCAGCAGATTGCTTTCCCATCCCCTCCTCCTCCACCACCACCACCACCTGCCCTCTGTGTGTCTCGGGATGATTAATTGAAACCATAGGGGCCTGATACATAAAACGGCCGAGGTGTCTATCACTTGTGGCGGATAATCAGGGATACTCTTACCGCTGCCAGACAGCGTGCACAACTCGGCCCGTATTTCTTGAATTACTGACAGGGTTAGAGGGCGTTCTCACCTTCCCCGCCACGCCTGAGAGGCATCGCAGAGAAGACCAGAACTATGAGTTAATGTATTCCCAAAAGGAGAGCGAGGCTGCCCAGAAACCACCGATAAGGTCTTGGTTTTGCATTATGCTCCATTAATGGTGTAACAGATAAGAGGGCAAGGAAATTGACCCGTACACAGTCAAAGGCAACCTCAGCCCGGGACCACAGCGTCCTCTGTCTCGGCGATTAAAGTCATTCAGCTGCACAGAGGGCAGGCGTGCTAATGTGGCTTCAATGGACCTGAAAACCAGCTGCGGTGTGGCTTCTGCTTTCTTCGTTTGTTTTGTCTTTGCACAGGAGGAAGGCTGTAAATTGGTGCATTACTTCAAAGATGCTGTTATGCACCTGTCTCGTCTCGGCTTTGGTTCTAGCAGGGGGACATTATTCACATCCATCCCCTCTCTCCCTTTCTGTCTCTTTCTCTCTCTTACTCTAAGTATACTGTTTATCCCTCTCAGCTCCATCGCTGCCTGAGTGCACCCACCATTTTTCACTGAAACAGCCCCCGTTCGGAAAATCTTCAAGCCTTGCAATCGGACTGCATTAAGTTGTCATTAAGAACTAGAAATACGAAGAGTAAAGGAGCTCAAAGTGGGTCCTCATTTTGAAAAAACAGGTGCACCCTTTTCTGTATGTACTAAAAGCAGCTGTAAGATTCGGTTTTTAAGGGAAATCCTGTGTTTGGAGAGAGATTTTTACTTTCTGTGAGACAGTTTTTACACTAAATCACATCGTATAATTACCAATGCTAAACAGCAGGACTTACCTGACTGCTGTTTTCAAGGAAGAGAGAGGGGGGACTGACTTTTGAAGTAGTTTATTTGCCTATTTAAGTCCTCTTATACTTTAAACAGAAAACAGAGAGAAGAATAGACTTTAGAACTGATGTTTATTTATTGTGAATAAAAAAAATGAGTTTCTGCCTCTTTAGGTAAATAATCAGCTAAATTTTTGTTTTTTTCTTTTCAGTTCTGTAATTTATGAGCTACTATTAGTGCTACACTTCAAAATAAAAGCATAGTTTGACAAATATATCAAGCAAGACAGAAATGTTTATCAAAATAAAAGCATAACAAACAGTTACTTAATGAGGCAGTGGTCTCATTATATCATTAGAAATGATTGATCACTTGTAAGTCAATTTCATTTGTTGAGGTTATGAAGTGATCTGTTGGTTCACCCTTGTCTTATGTATTATCTGTCCATTCAATTATTCCATTCAATCTAGTAAACGAAAAATGAAAAAACGAGTCAATATTTTGTTTATTTGTTTTTCTATATAACCAAAAAATAAAAGATTAGTGTTTGTTTTCGTATTTTCAGTTAAAAACAGAATATATAATAGAGATGGAAACGAAAACATATGAATAAATCTACTTTTCGTTTTCGGGTTTTTGATGTCCCCATTTCAAAGGCTAACCTGTTGTCATGGAGATGGATGTATCCTACGTATTACTCAGAGTCGCCAGGAGGGTCACGCTGAAGGAGGAGGATATGACTGTAGAAAAAATTACAACCAGAGCTCTAAGGCCAATGTAGCCTCCATGCACGTGTGCTCAAAACAGGCGAACTCAAACTCAATAATTGTAAATAAGATTTATTATTTCGTCTTCGTTTCCATCTTTATTATATGTTCAGTTTTGAGCTGAAAATACGAAAACAAACACTCATTTTTTATTTTTTGGTCATACAGAAAAACAAATAAAATATTGACTCGTTTTTTCGTTTACCAGATTGAACGGAATAATTGAATGGATGGATAATATATGGACCCCTTTCCTTATTTTTCACGATTAATATGACGATATTGTGACAATTTATGACCACTCTATCATGTCAGCCCTTGTTGTGACTCAAACTCTTGCTTTAAAGAAACAAATTTCACATATTTTGATTTAAACTCTAGTTTGTCGTTTCTGAATGGAAACTCACTGTTACCTCTTGTTCGTTTTTTCGTCGTTTTGCAGCAACACGCTGAAAGTCCACTGGGGATTAGACGGTTAATGTGTTGTCACAATGATATCTCTCGCTGCCTTGTGTTAACAATTACAGCTCAGCCTATAAATTAGCTGTCAGATGCATGTTTCCCTGGATACACTGGATGCTTTACCACTTTGTCTTTCACCCTCCATCTCTCCTGCTCTTTCCTCCACACAGCAGACTGTCATTTCTGCGCGCTGTGTACTGCAAGCTGCTCAGCGTTAACGTTATCATAGTAACAGAGGAGGAAAAGTAAGCCTTGAGGGGGACCATGCCGTTTCCCTATCTTCCACAGTTTAGATGTGCAAACAGCTCTCTCCAGGCACCTGACTGTGAGGGACACAAAGCGAGAGCAGATGTCTTGAAACCGACTCAGGACTCCTGTGAGTGGATCCGGAGCTGTGATGAAGGCGTCTGAACAGACTCGCTCTCTCTTGGCTCCAGCCGCCTCACAGCCAGCACAGGCAGATGGAGCGTCGAGCGAGGAAGCCGGTCTAATAATGAAGAAAACTCCTATTCTGTTCTAGACGACTTATTGCATGTGCATCTAAATTTGAATCTATGGGTTATCCGAAGTTGAACATGAAATCAAATCAGCGCTACATGCCTAATGACGAGAGCCACGTGACGTGCAAACAGAAACATGAAACAACACTCGGCTCTTATAAATAATACTCTGGAAGTACGCAGCAAAATGAACTGGAGAAGGGGAGAAAGCTAATGCTCATTTGCATACTGTTTGAAGCCAAGCCAAATGCTCAACCAGCCTCACATTATCCCACAGAAGAGAGAGTTTAATTGCACCCGGCGCACGTAGCTACAGTAGGTAGGTTAAATAATTAAGATGGGATCTTTTATTTAGAAACAGATTGGCTGCAACACGTTAATCCAGAGTTGTTATTGTGCCGACCGAACGGCTCCTCCCAGGCGTCCCAGCAGGTCGAGCGGGTAATGTATCCACGCATGCTGAGCGCTGCCGGCAGTGTGCAAGGTTACCATCGTGTTTCCAGCTTCAAAACATAAAATGAACATAAAGTTAATGAAATACGATTATTTTGTGATCCCCCTTACATCTTTGCTCATCAAACAAATCTCAATCCATCATCCTATGAATAGTAAAATGCGTCACTCATTGTCAGCGTGCGGTGAATCACACAGCGTGACACCAACCCACTCACAGTGGTCACACTTGTAAGAAATTACAATCAGAATCTTTGTGCTGATGGTTTTGTTCATTTTTATTGATCATACAGAGACACTCACGTCAATTTTAGTAGGTTTCACGACCAATTAAAAACCCCTTACTGTAGCTTTAAAACACACTCCACGACAATGTTTTGACTTTTATTACTGTTGCTGTTAGGGGTTGACTTGCATTTGTTTGTTAGGGCTGATACAGTGAAGAAATGATGTCACACCTCTAAAGCGTGTGGTCTTTTTAATCAGACAGTGTTGTGGGAAGACAATGTGGTCCAAGAATATAATCCCAGAGAGGAAAAGACACAGTGGCAGTGGAGCCAAAGTCGCACACTCTTTAATCACTTAATTTTTTTGACCATATGTAAAATAAAAAGCCAATACAGACAATCTGGCTGTTGCCAAATATTGGCAGCAACCATCAGCCAAAGCCAATAGTTGGTCGACTTCTTGTTGCTATTATTACGGCGACTTATATTGTAAGTTATTCTGGTTGATTTATAACTTGGCTCTGCTGTTGTTGTCTTGATTGCAGGACTTTTACGTTTTAAAGATGGTAAGGGGTAGGGTCGGGAATCACTAGTGGCCCCACGATACGATATTATCATGATCTTGACTACACAGATGTAACAAAACACAGCGATATCGTTGTATTCCCAAATGTCATCAATAACTAATAGCTATTTACTGATATTAAAAGCTTTATTGCATATACACCACAAAAAAAGATGCTTCTTTAACAGATTCCTGCCTACCTCACCTTTAACAATTAATTAGAAAAGAATCAATACTTGGTCAATAAGATGATACATCATTAGACAAAATATCGTGATACTATATTGTATCGATTTTTTCTCCCGCCCCTTGACAGAGGCCAGTCGCTCCTCGAGCTGCTTTCTGATCTTTCTTGGTGTTTTGGCTGTAAAAGCTGCAAAAATGTTCCACAGTTACATCAGGCAGAGTGTCTCTGTTTTTGTGGAAGGATTTGATCAGACTGGTGCGATCAGGTTGTTTGCTATGAGAATTAATCACCCTTTTCTAAGGGGCGTTGACCTATCAGAATCAAGTCAGCTCAGTAATGATGTAATTTAACAGAGGTGAGCGACCCGCTGCGGCATATCGGCTATTTTGGAGATATTTCGCCGAGCCAGAAAAAGTATTTAAACTCAACACAAATCCTCAAGTGTGCGTCACTGTTTTCATGTAACTTTTAACCAAAACAGCCACCCCTTCAGTGAATTTAACGAAGTATCCAGGCTCTCTACCTCTGTGGTCGTATTCCCAGCTGCGTTTCTTCTTCTCTAACAAGAATCAATACAAAAAACATTAAACTCTGCGCAGGAAATATTTGAAAGTCAGCAGCAATTACAGCCTGACTTGTGACCGTAATGAAAACAAGCATTCGAAACATCCGCTTTTAATGAAGTGGCGGCCTGATGAATAATAGAACGCGCTCCCCTTTTGTCCATCCTTTGCTTTCTGATCGATTTCAAAGGTTATCCCATATCAGAGGGTAAAAGCTTTTGACCCTCGTCACGGCGCAGAAGGGCAGGAGGTTCTTATAACCAATTCAGTTATTAACACTTCAGCGTTTTCTCCTGCTATACATCATCCTCTGTCGCCCGCCGCTCCCATCTTGCTTACAGAACGCAACCGGGGCGAAGATCCAATAAGATAACGCTAAAATGGAGTCATTTCCTGTCTATTCTCAATCATTGGTCCTCTGCCCTTGGATCTAATGTTCTCTGTATGTCTCTCTCCTTTTGCATTCCCACCTTGCGGCTCCGGTAATCAGCGGTGAAAGCTATAGCCCGCCTGTTGAAGTGTCAGACACTCAGATGAATAGACGAATCCTTTCCCTGCACCTATAATTACCTGCAAGTCATCGAGACTCTTATCCCGAATGGTCCGTGACGCTGCTGCTGCTGCAATATTGATGTAAAAACCTATCGGGGTATATATATATATATATATGGTAACTGCAATAACGGAGATAATGATAGAGACGTCCTGGATCGCTGGAGTGGATTTCACGTCTGTCCTCGATGTAAAACACCGTCAGGGTTGAAGACGATTCATGCAGATTGTGTTATTCTATATTTTTCTACAAATCCGCTCCTTTAAAGTATAGATTACATAAAAACACAATTACACATAGTCAAAAATGTTAATTATTCAACCAGAGGCAGTTGTTTTCTTACCCTTCACTAAACAAATGAATGATTTATCTGAAGGAGTGTGCACTAAAAGTCTCTTAATCATGCACGTTGTCTTCCAGTGTTCAGTATTGTTCAGTGTATTTTATGGGAAATTGTGCAGCATGTACAGTCTCACTGCTGCAGTTCAGCTTCTACATTTAGATAACTGTCACATCCACAGACACAACCTTTACTCAACCCGATAGTCCGTCATGTGATTTAATGCAATTCCACGTACGAGTACACACAACAGTGTAGAGGCACAGAAATGACATGCATGTTGGCTCAGGCTGAACTGTATTTACATTTGTCTGAGTTCATATCTGTAACTTTTATATAATAATATTTTTAATAGCAAATAGGAGTGTCCAAATACAACTGTTTCACCTTAAATACGATACCGATATTGTAGCCTTCAGAACTGGCCAACACCAATATTGATTTGATATTGGCACAAACTTCTGCATGACAAGTTTTGCACTCAGCTGCAACATTTTTTTGGACTTTAATGAAAAATACTGCCACAGGGCCGACACATCACTGCGACTCCTTGGTAAGAAGTTAATTTGGAAAAGCCACACAGAAAAAAAAATCCCTGAGCCAATTAGCCATGTAGTGGACAAGCTAGCCCCACCAAACATCAGACGTCGAAGAGACGTGCAGATCAAGTCAGTACTGGGTCGGTCCGTCAAAGAACACATCTAGACGTCAGTGCGACGTGCAAAATATGTTAGAAATTTTGACGTCCAAATTTGACCTTTTTACCTCCTTGGTAGCGTTGGTTTGTTTGTTTGTCTGTGAGCAACTTTACGGAGAAAGTTACAGACAGATTGACCTGAAATTCTCACCAGAGGTGCGTCTCAGCCCCAGGAGGATCCCATTAAATTTTGGTGGTGATCTGAGTCGCCTTCTGGATCCGGGAATTTTTTGAAGGATTCTTCATCATTGTGAGATAGGGCACATTTTGGACTCAATGAGTTTTATGAGGTGTCAAAGGTTGATCCTGATCCAGACAAAATTCCGGATACTGTGATCCAGAACACACAAAAATAAGGGTGTCGTTGGAATTTTCAATGCTGAAAGATAACCAATGGGCGGCACAGTGGTGTAGATAGGTGGTACAGTGGTGTAGTGGTTAGCACTGTCGCCTCACAGCAAGAAGGTCCTGGGTTCAAATCTCAGTCAGGGCATTTCTTGTTTTAGGAACATTATGAACAGTGAACATACCAGTTTAAACACAAATAAAAGTTAATAAAAGACACGTAACTGCGAGCTGCTTGGCGGAGGTCTGCGCTCTCCGAGTGCTTTTCTAATTTAGACGTTGCTCTGACGTTTAGAATTTGGATGTCATCTGAAGACCGAATCTAGATGTCAAAATGGATCCAAGATTTAGACGTCATTATTGGACCTCTTTTAGACGTTGAAATGACGTCCACATTTGTACCTCATCGTCGAAGAAATACGTCAAATAGATGTCATTTTGACGTCGCATTGCGCTGTGGGGCAGATTTACAGAAAACTCTGTGTCTCGTGATAGATGTGGAGAAATCTGGCTGCCCTAAAATAAAGCACGTATATGTAATTTAAAGACGAACTGAGGAAATGTAATGCTGCGTTCGAGTTTCTAAGAAGGAAAAATATTCGGACAAGTGCTAAAAAAACTTTCGTAGATGTAGTCATCTTGTTCTGCCTCCGATTTTGCTTTCTTCCCACTTGGGAACTGAAACTCTGGGAACTTGAGTGTGACGTCATTTTCAGCTTCAACATCTGACTTCTAAGGGAACTCGAATGCAGCATTAGTTCGTACCTTGGTACACACTGTTGTTGTGATCACATGGGCTCTACATGCTGGAGTGGAGTCTGGAATGGACTGCTTGTATCTGAGTGCTGATATCGGTGATTCTAGATGCAGGCCGATATCATCCGATATTTGATTTTTTGTTGATATACCGATATCCGATATCAATATCGTATCGGGAAACCCCTAACAGCAAACACCAGAAAATGAAGGTTCTGCTTTTACATTAAACACATGACTTTGCTGTCGCCCCCTTCAGGTTCTTTCTCTGGGTGCAGATGTGCTGCCCGAGTACAAACTCCAAACCCCCCGTATGGACAAGTGGACCATCCTTCACTACAGCCCCTTCAAAGCGGTGTGGGACTGGCTCATCCTGCTGCTCGTCATCTACACGGCCATTTTCACGCCTTACTCCGCCGCCTTCCTCCTCAACGACATCGAGGAGCAGCGGAGGCGGGAGTGCGGCTACTCCTGCTCGCCGCTCAACGTGGTGGATCTCATCGTGGACATCATGTTCATCGTGGACATCCTTATAAACTTTAGAACCACGTACGTCAACATCAACGAGGAAGTGGTCAGCCACCCGGCAAAGATCGCCATCCATTACTTTAAAGGCTGGTTCCTCATAGACATGGTGGCCGCCATCCCGTTTGACCTGCTCATCTTTGGCTCAGGATCCGACGAGGTGAGTCAACGATTGAGTTACGTACTTCTCAAATAGTATCCTGGCAGCATCTTTCTCCACACCTCAGATAACCCAACGTAAACAAACGTGAAGCTCAGTTCAATCATCCGCTAACTCTGTCGGTTTGAGTGTTTTATGACTCGGACAGTCTTGGAGCGAAACTGTTGCTGGTTTAATCTTCATATTGGGACATTCAAACTCTTGATTGATGATTAATTCTGTGGAGCTCCAGGGGACAATTTGGTCAGACTCATTAAAAAGCAGACGACACACAGTCATTCACACAGTTATTCAATATTTTGGATGGAGACAGAAGGGAGGAACTGGCGAGAACCGATGATCCTGGGGGAGTTTTTTGTGGGGAATGGAGTTTTAATTGATCCTCGTTTTTGTGTGAACCGCTTTCAGAGTGTCAGTACCCAGGTCCCTCTGATTCGCTGTAGAAACTACGAAATAATTAACTTTGAAGGACAGGGGGTTTCTGCAGCTATTTCTCGAACAGCATGGTGCTCGCCTTTGTCTCATGACACGCGGCTCTGCGGCTCCGGCAGTCATATTTCTCTGCAGTTTCTCCAACGCTCAGATCGCTAAACCAATCTGACGCCGGCTGTCACATCTGCTTCCCTCTACTTTCTTTTCATCAGAGCCAGACTGGAAGGCCGCCGGCAACCCAAATCAGTTAAAAAGGTCTCAGCCTCCCAAACCGCTCTGCCTGTGAGAGACCACTTTGTTCATCTATGTGCGAGCGAGACGACTGAGAGAGAGAAGGGACAGCAAAGACCGCGGATCTCAGCACGAATCCCCCTACAATCCTTTACTTAATATCCACTTCCTTACAAATATTGTTCACGCTAACTGAAGCGTCTTCAAAAATGTGTTTCAATCTCAGCAGAACGGTTAACATCACGAAAATGGTGGGATCCTAATTGAAAGAATCGTCGGTGTAATTGATCATGACTAATGCGTTCCCTAAATTATCCCAAGAAGAGTAAGACGGCAGCTTTAGCATCGGAGTAAATCCATTAAACTTGAGGCTCGTTATCATAAAATGTTGACAACTTTTCAAAGCTGGAGTTAAACAAACACGATTGATGACAAAGTGTTGACTTTTACCAAAAATTAAAAACCATCTCGATCAATCCATCGACGTCATTTATGCTAAACAGCTCCCTGTCGACTAGATCAACAACCAAGAAGTCAAAGAAGTAATCATCATAACGGACAGTAGACTGGACCGGTCCAAACTGTTACATGTGGTGGCCCTGAGGTGCAAAACACAACGGCAAATTGGACACACAACAGAAAACAAGAAAACGCAACGGCCAATAAAAAAACACAACAGCAAAAAGAGAAAACACACAAGCAAATAAAAGCAAATAAAAACACAAAAAGAGAAAAAACACGACAAATCAGAAAACACAACGGTAAATAAGAAAACACAACAACAAAAAGAGAAAACAACCACAAATCAGAAAACGCAACACAAAAAAAGGAAAAAATGAAGACAAATCAGAAACACAACGGCAAATCAGAAAACACAGAAAACATGACGGAAAATCATGAAAACACAAAAAGAGAAAACAAAACAACAAATCAGAAAACACAACGGCAAATAAGATTACACAATAGCAAATAAGAATACACAACGGCAAATAAAAACACGAAACACAAAAAGAGAAAACACAACACAAAAAAGAAAACACCATGGTAAATAAGCAAATAAGAAAGCACAACGGCCAATAAAAAACAAAACAGAAAATCAGAAAACACAACAACAAATAAAAACACAACACAAAAAGAGAAAACACAACGGCAAATAAGAAAAACCAACACACACAAAAAAACTGTAAATCAGAAAACAACGCAAAAAGAGACAACACAATGAGTCATTATGTTTTCTCTTTTGTTGTTGTGTTTTCTCTATTTCTGTTGTGTTTTCTGATTTGCGGTTGTGTTTTGCACCTCAGGGCCTCCGTAGTTACATGATATTTTTATCTTGACAGTGTTGAATTTGATGATGTACCAATTTTGTGTAAAATCCACTCAGTTTGTGAGACCGGCAGCTTTCTGCAAATAAACACTGTGTGCTTCCAGGGGTTGTTCTGTTAGAGGTACAGTGAATTTTTCGAGACTCTGTGCTCTAGATGAAGTTAATCTATGATGAAAACCAGTCTTGAGAGTTTTCTTGTTAGTGATCACTCCACTCAGACTTTGGTGAGACTTCCAGTTCAGATATCATAAATGGTGTCTACATCATCAAGCCAAACTCCTAAAGGCTTATAAACACAGACAGCTGTATAGTAAGACACTCATAGACAGCCCTCCAGGTTGTTTTTGTGTGGAGGTCAAGGCCCCGGTGTCGCTCCATTTAGTCTGTGGAGTCATTATTCACCATTAGGGTTTGTGCTCCTGTGAGGGACTCCATGGCTGCGGGCTGGCAGTGAGTGGCAGGCGCAGAAAGCGGAGCAGACAGCTGAGCGACAACAATGCACAATGTATGTCCTCGTCATAGAGCCAGACGACTGGTGCACTGACAGAATGTGTGTTCTGGTTACAGCTTGTCGTCCAAAGCGGGCGGTGACAACAAAACGAGGTATTTTTAGCCCCTTTAAATCATGAGCGGGGACTGAAATAACACATCCATGATCAGTTTTAGCTCCCGTCTTTTAGATGTGTTATTTTTGCTTTTTGTGCAGAGACAGGAGACTATTTTTAGACTTCATCTAGTGCACCTTTGTTGCCTGGAAACCATCACTGACAATATGTTGGATTTTTTCCTTTTTTTTGCAGATTTCATTAGAGACAGCAGGTTGAAGTCTCTGGTGTCTGCGAGGGGTTGTAGCTTTGCAGGCAGGCACACGTAAAGAAATATCGTGGTGCTGGATTTACCTACTGGAACTACCGAGCTCCTCCATTTACATATTTTTCATATCAGCGTCCTGTTGGTATTAAAAAGGATAATTTGCATACCTTGTCTACACTCACTTGTACACACTGTTAAGGTTATTGCAAATTATGGAGCCTGAAAATTTGATTAAAACAAAAAATTTAAATATTTCCCCGGTCAGGGTTGAGCTGACTTATGCAGACAAACGAGTGCAACAAAAAAATGTGAAGTAAAGCAGAAAGTCTAAATGCACGAGTATTTTTCTTCATTAAGAGAAGATTCTTTATTTGCCAACATTTCGGCACTTCTTCAGAGTTGTTCACATCCAGGATCATCACTTAATTAACTCTGTCTCTGAGTTAAATCTTTGTTGTGCTCTTAAATATCAAGCTAGATTTCCTGAACTTCATTGAATTTCATGCTTGAAAGCTTTGTTTATATTTCTTTTACAGCTTTTAAACTTGCTCAAACGTCTTTGTTTTGCAGTTATATATGCTGCACTGTACTGAAAAACGCACTCTGACTCTATTACTCGGCAAAAAACTGCAGCAGCAGCTAAACTAAGAAGAAAGAGGAGGCAGATTTGTTGTAACAAGCAGCCCCCTCAGACTCACTTTTGCCCTGCTGAGCTGCACACGCTCAGAACAGACAGTTGTCTTCAAAATTCTCAGTACACAGGAAACAATACTGCTGTGCGCAGTTTGTTTTGTTTCTAGTTACGTGAAGAAGCAGAATATTTTAGGCTTCTTCTTTGACCCATTTAGCCTCAATAAATGGAGAATATAAGGACTAAAACTGCAGATGTAACATGAAAGGTTTGCATGACTGTGAATTTGAAAGGTGTGGCTTGTAGTGACAAATCCACAGAGAATAATCACTAACTTATCACTAACTTTGCTTTGTAGCTAAACCTGTTTTTTATTATACAGGACTGTAAAAGGCGTGTCAACTTCGAAGCCGCAACAAGGAGAGCTGAATGACGGCACACATATCAACGTAGGGCTGGGCGATGTAGCCTCAAATCAATAACGATAACGATAAATGGACTAGAGCTGCAACTATCGAATATTTTAGGAATCGAGTATTCTACCGAACATTCTACCGATTACTTGAATAATTGGACCCAAACGGCAGAATCACATAAAGTTAGATTTCCTTTAGCCCTGCAATGAAGGCCAGACTCGGAGAAATAGAGGACAATCGCGGAACAAGTGTGTGCATTAGCGGCTCGCAATGCTTGTAAGAAAGCTAATTATGATATTAACTTTCGTCATGTCCCTAAAGACATTAGTGTCCGAGAGCTGAATAACTTCTTTGTTACCCGCTTCTGCTACGACACCAGCAACACTGCAAGAAAAGCCCCTCTAATCATTTATTATTTTCGCTCCACAAAACCTCAACAGCGCTCACTCCTCCTTCTACCGTGGTGACGTAAGCGCATTGTGTCACCCTCAAAAGAATCTGTGCGAAACAGTGACGATTTGAGCTTATGAACGAGAACTCGAGGCAGAGAAAATTCCTCGTTCATTATTTGTAATCGAGGGACTCGAGGTATTCGAGGAATCGTTTCAGCCCACAAGCTGCTCACCTCCTCCAACATTAACTTCGTCTACTTCAGCCGCTCCAACTTTTGAACCGTCCTCCATCTCCTCACCTGTCTTTCCCTCTTTGTTACGGACTGGATGGGGTGGAGTCACATCTCTGACGTAGGACAGCGTCTTAAAGAGACATGAGACCATAGCCTACCTACACACATCTAAAACAAGGAATATCCGGACATGGGCGAAATGACGTCGGTTATTGTCGTAAATTTCAGTATTAGTAAATGTTCAGTTTATCGCCCAGCCCTATGTCAATGTCCTGTTCACATTATCTGCTGATTTGGGCAGACTTTTCAATAACATCATTGTAAAATCAATATCTATTATCAGTTCTTGTCTGTAGTCGGTTGCAAGTGCATCACCCCTTACTCTCAGCTCCCCTGCAGTCTGTTTGAGTTTTTTGGGACACTCTCACAGCTCGCAGTGCTGCTTTCTGCCAGATGTTCTCAGTGACAAAGCTCACAATAATCACTCCATCCCATTTACCCAGAAGCAGACACAGTAAGCAGCAAGCTAGAGAGTAAAGTAGAGCATTCAGGAGCTGAAGAGGCACATTTTTGCCTTTGTGGACTGTAACAGAGCTAGAAAGAAAGAGGTCCAAATCTTCATATACAGCTTCATGTTTTATGAGCACTTTTGTACGTCAAAGGACAGCATCTTTTGAGGGTGTGATAGCGATGTCTATGCATCAAAATCCCACTTGACCCTTGTTGTTTTCAAGTGGCCGAGCTCGCCTTGAAAGCCTGAGCGGCAGATGGCCAGAGGGATATTCGGCGGATGTGTTTCATACAGCCGTTTCCTAATGGGAGCTTTAGCCTTCCCTCCTCAGCCTCAAACGCCTCCGACTTACTGTAAGTCCAGATTTTAATCAACATCACACTGTGTGGGCCACATCATCCAGCAGGTGCTGTGTCATCTCGCGGAGTCAAGGTAGCGCACGCTCAAAAGAGCCCTCATTCACGGGATAATTTAGGGTTCATCCGCTCCTGCGTGTGATTCATTCACTGTTCGCTCAGTTGTCAGTGACGGCGCCCGCTGCCCGGATGCTCTGCGGTGAATGATGGGAGTGATTTAGGGGTGAGATCGGGAGGACGGGGGCTCTTTAATTGACCTATCAGACGCAGCTACAGTGCTCTCCCTCACCGTGACAGAGACACACTCTTCCCTCGTATATCATCTCCGTTCTGAAAAAATAAATCCCACCTCCCTCCGTCTTGAATAATCCCAGTTTCTCACCTGTTCGCGGAGCCTAAATCAGCGAGTATAGATGTGAGGAAACACAATTACTTCCAGAGGCTGCAGGTAATGATTTCCCAGGGGGCATTAGGGTAATTGTCAGCCGTGAAAGGGAGTGGTAGGACCTATTAGTGGTCTGGAAGTCTCACTCATTGTGTTTACAGATTACACAACACTAATCGATGTCATGACGGTATGTTTTCGCCCCTCTCCTCAATTGCACTAACTTAGCTTGTGTGTTAATTTTGTTGGAATAAAACTCTGAGACGGACGGATTAAAGCGCTTTAAATTAAAAGTGTGAAGATGCTGTTTGCATTCTGCTGGCTGGTTTTGAGATTTCGACAGAGGTTCCAAACTGCTGAGATTTATTCTGCTGTTTATAGTGCCTTAAACATCTGAAAACCGACCCTGGCGTACCGACTTTCATGATCCGCGCAGCCAAAGGCAGTGGCACATAAGTCAGAGAAGCCGTGTTGACGCTGAGAGATGCTGCCGAGACCTTGAAACATCTGTTTACACCAGCAGGACTGATCCACTGTCTCGTCTGTGAGTGGGATGTGTGAATAAGATGAAGCATTCTTAGGCTACATATGTCCTTGAAGCTTTAATCCTAAAGCCGGTCGAAACCCCGTGACCCAGACCTTAACCCTTGTTGCTCACAGAAGACAAACAGCTTGTTCATTTTGATTGTAGAAGAAAGGTTGTATTTCTGTGATGTACTTAATAACTACTGTACAGATTAATTCTGGACGAACTCCCAATACAAACAGCTTGCAGTACAAAAGATCTGTGTGAAGCAGAGGGCAGGAACATGTCCAAATGTGCAGACGGGCTCCACACACCCCCTGATGGTCTGCAGTTGGCTGGAGTTCCCTCCGTTTACCAGCCAATAGGTGGAAAAAGAGGAAGAACAGGAGACACTCGCAGCCTCGGAGGCAGCGGCGCCCCATAAATTAGCACTTATTAACATGTTAGCATTCTGGTTGTGTTTCTGTCGCCCCAGACCACCACTCTGATCGGTCTGCTGAAGACGGCTCGCCTCCTACGACTGGTGCGAGTGGCCCGAAAGCTGGACCGGTATTCAGAGTACGGTGCTGCCGTCCTCATGCTGCTCATGTGCATCTTTGCCCTCATCGCTCATTGGTTGGCGTGCATCTGGTACGCCATTGGCAACGTGGAGAAGCCTTACCTGGAGCATAAGATCGGCTGGCTCGACAACTTGGGGGTGTCGATAGGTAATCCTTTTGGACTTCGGGTTAAAGTTACACTTTTGTCTACTTTATTGTCAAATTTTTAATCGTTTTGTTTGCATTATAGGAAAAAAATACAACTACAGCGACCCCAGCTCAGGCCCGTCAATCAAAGATAAGTATGTCACAGCGCTCTACTTCACCTTCAGCAGTCTGACCAGCGTGGGCTTTGGGAACGTCTCCCCGAACACCAACTCCGAGAAGATTTTTTCCATCTGCGTCATGCTCATTGGATGTGAGTGGCAGCTGAGTCACAGAACATACCGAATTGAACACTGTTGTTATTTATACCGCTTTAAACCTGACTGAATAAGAGCCAACAGGAAAAGAAATTCTGTACAAGGCTGTTGAACATCCACTGTCAGACTTTTGTGGTAGATTTTGATGTTAAAGGGATATTCCGGCGTAAAATTAATTCAGGGTCAAACACACCGTAACACCAAGTTAGACACCCACCCTTGAGACATGAATGTTGCCGACCACTCTATAGCCACAAATAATGTTCAGAACAGCACCTAACTTCATCAATAGGGTCCCAGCCATAGTACTAGCCACCAAACATCTTTTTAATTTTGACTTATTTCTTTAGCAAAGAGACTAAACACAACTCACCTACTCTCTTCCAGCAGCTGCTTGTTTGTAGCAAGACCTCAGGCGAGTCCATTGCGAACTGCTGCAGGGTGACGCAGCTCAAGGAAGAACATTTATGATCATTTCTTTATGGAACTGCAATCAGACCGAGACGTCAAGGCAGAAGAACTACCGCATCTGCAGTGAAAATGATTAATATGGTGATTATTACTTCAAGGAAATGATAAAGAAATGATCATAATTGTTCTTCCTTGAGCTGTGTCACCCCGCTGTAGTCTATAATGGATTGGCCTGAAGTCTCGCTACAAACAAGCGGCTGCTGGAAGAGAGTAGGTGAGTTGTGTGTTGTCTCATTGCTAAAGAAGAGTGGTGTTTTGGTTGAGGTTTGTTTATGGCTCCTTAGGCACTGTTTTTTGCTATCCTGTGGTCGTTACTAAAGATGGAATAACTAGAGAAGCAAGCGGTCGGCAACATTCATCTCTCAAGGGCGTGTCTAACTCTGTGTTACGGCGTGTTTGACCCTAAATTAATTTTAAGCCTGAATATCCCTTTAAAATGTTTTTCGTCTTTGAATTTTCGAGGTAAATTCAAACAAAATACCTGTCACATGTATATGATTGATACAAAGAGAAAAGGAAGGAAGAAATCTTGTATCTGAGCAGCACGGCTCAACCGTCCCCTGTATGGCTTCTCTCCCAGCTCTAATGTACGCCAGCATCTTTGGGAACGTGTCCGCCATCATCCAGCGGCTGTATTCAGGTACGGCCCGGTATCACCTCCAGATGCTCCGAGTCAAAGAGTTCATCCGCTTCCACCAGATCCCAAACCCGCTGAGGCAGAGGCTGGAGGAATACTTCCAGCACGCCTGGACGTACACCAACGGCATTGACATGAACATGGTACGTAAGGGATTGTGTTTTCCAGCGTGTCTTTTCTTTTAGTCTTTTGACTTCGATGCTAACTTTAAGTTTGTTGTCATTTCTTCAGTTCCTCCTCTTTTTCCAATACCTTTTATGTGAGTTTGATGTTTTCAGATACCCTGTCTTTAAACTGCTCTTACCACTTTGTGAGGCAGTAGTGCTATGTCGTCGGCATAGCGCAGCATTAACTGTGCAAATGCTCAGGCATAGCCACAAGTGATGGAAAGCCAGCGTCGCTGCTTGTTTATTCAGTAACTCTGGCTTTCCCTGTCATGAAACTGTTCATGGTACTTATATAAGTTTGTCTTTTCCATGTCTGCCTCATGTCAAATGGAATGACCCCACCACTCTGGTAAGAGCAGGAGGTACATGTGTTAACACAACTAATGTTGATATGAATGTTCCCCAGTGATAGATCTGTTCCTAGCTCATGTTAGCTGTGTTGTTAGCATTTAGCTAGTTATCAAAGACAAGTATTGATATGCACTTGTTTGATCATCGTGCATGTTATTGGAGGACCCCTTATGTCTTATTTGTCACACAGCTGACTGTACATATGTGATCACCATAATGTCAACATTTGCTGTGGTGCAGAATCAGAAGTGAATTGACCAGTGTTGCAGTACAGGAATCAAAGACCTGGACTCGATTCAGACTCGATTTCTGACTTGACTTTTACTTGACCAAGGTTCTTCTTTGATGACTAGGACTAGGACTACACTAACTGTACCGACTTATACTCAAATAATGGGGACTCATTTGTACCATGGCTTGGACTTGAACTTAAGGTTTGACTCGGACCCAAAACCATGTCATGGGGACTCGTCTTCAACATGACTTGGACTTTGCAAGAGTTCATTTTCAGTGTCTATAACCTAAAAATAAGAACTTTGAACTTGGGGGTTTGTATTAGACTTGACTTGGACTTGACAAGGAGCCTGTCTGTGTTACAAAGACTTGGAAGACTTGGAACTGGACTCTGATTTCAACTCAGGTAATGGGGACTCGTCTTCAGTTTGACTTGAAATGACTAGGACTCTCCTTTTTTGAGGACGAGGCCTAGGACTACACTAACTGAACCAACTCATATTTAAATGATAGGGACTCATTTGTAACATGGCTTGGACTTGGACCCTGAACCAGGTTATGGGGACTTGTCTTCAACGTGACTCAGATTTGACAAGTATTCTTCTTTGATGCAAGACTCAACCTTAAATTTGATGCAGATAATGAAGACTCGTCTTAAACTTGACTTGGACTTTGCAAAGATTTTTTTTCAGTGACTACAACCTAAAAATAAGAACTTTGAACTTGGGGGCTTGTATTAGACTTGACTTGGACCTGACAAGGAGCCGGTCTGTGATACAAAGACTTGAACATGGAAGACTTGGGACTGGACTCTGACTCAGGTAATGGGGACTCGTCTTCGGTTTGACCTAAAACGAAATTAGACTTGACTTCTTCGGGGACATCCTAAAGAGTAAGGACTTGGTATTCAACTCCAGTCTGGACTCAGGTAACAAAGACTTGACCCAGACTTGACTCGGTGATAAGGATTCTTCTGGGGAGGGGGACTTGCCCAATGAGGACCTTTGACTTTACTCAGACTTGACAAGAAGCCTGTCTTTGTTACAAAGACTTGAACATGGAAGACTTGGGACTGGACTTTGATTTCGACTCAGGTAATGGAGACTCGTCTTCAGTTTGACTTGAAATGACTAGGATTCTCCTTCAGTGACTAGGACTTGACAATAAGGAAATGAGACTTGACTCAAAGTCTTACAGGGTACTTCTTTGGGGGACAAGTACATTAGATTGAGGACTTGAGATTCAATAATTGGGGCTTGACCATTATAAACTCGTGGCTAAAGACTTGAGACTTGACTCGGACTCGAGGTTTGGTGACTCGACTACAACACTGGGATTTACTCTAACTGCGCATGTAAGTCAGTGCAGGTAGCACACACAACAACATGCAGGTTCTCCCCAGGAGACATGAATTGTGTAAGCCGTAGAGTTGCACGTGTCCTGCCTCCAGGTCCCCTTTTATTTGCATGAAATCTGTGTATTCAAACACAACCGCCACGCTATTCATCTGGTACCAGAGACAGAGTGAATCACGCCTGTGAGAGTGGGCACAGCCTCACCGGGGCGCTGCCAGGCTTCCCTCCTACCGTGGGAGGCTTGGCTGCACGCTCCGCGGTGGCACCTGCGCTTGCCAAATGTTGTTCAGTCTTTCCTTTCCAAATCTACTGATCAGTTTGTGTCCCGATCAACCAAAAAAGCGAGTTAAAGCGAGAAAATAAAACAGTCTTCTTTTTTTTGTGCTGATGTCATTAAAGTCACCGCACTATATAAAAAAGAAACGACTGTGTTGTGTTGATCCAGCTGTCCCGTATGTGTCCTTGTCCTCTCCCCTTAGTGTTTGTTTATGTCGACCCAGGTTCATTAGTTGTTTTGTCAGTGGTCTTTGTGTCTTTGTCTTGAAATGGTAAGTGCTTTTAAGCCTTTTTATGCATCAGAAAGTCCCTACAGATACTTTTAATGTGAAAATATAGTTTTCACTGTGTTTTTTATAGTCTTCCAAGCTAACTAGGGTGTGTAGGAATGCTAAGCAGATGACAGTTTGATCCAGTTTCAACATTTTTATTATTAAATCTGATTTTTTGATTATTCTTATGAATGTTAAAGATTTTTTTAAGCTAAGACAGATTTGTTTTGCTCTGTGCTTTGACAGGAGACTAGTTTCATAATCACATTTAACAAGGCAGTGAATAATCTTAAAATTATCTCTGTCATAGTTGCACAAAATAAAAAGAGACGTTAAAAATAAGGAACTTGTGTTTTTGAGTGTGTGCTGTCGTTGATCTGCAGCTTCCAGGTCTCTAAATGTGCTGTCTTGTCTTCCTCTAAAGCTGCTGCCAAAGGAGGTAAAGTGTAGCTCTCTTCTGCAGAAAGGCAGGTTATTTATACTGCAGGGTGAAATGGGTTTTGAGAAGAAGGAAAGAACACAAGTGGCAATTGTAGCAAAATTCTCTGGAAAATTCTGTCAATTTGACCTGCAGTTTCACCCCAAAGTAAAATCCAACACACTCTTCAAACCCCTGCCATCAAAGCTGAGCATTCAGAACAAAGACTGTCCCATCTGATCACCTTCACGTCTGCTCTGACCCGTGTTTCACTCTCAGGTCCTGAAGGGTTTCCCAGAGTGCCTGCAGGCAGATATCTGCCTCCACCTCAACAAGAACCTCCTCCAGGGCTGTAAGGCGTTTCGCGGGGCCACCAAGGGCTGCCTGCGGGCCCTGGCCATGAGGTTCAAGACTACCCACGCCCCGCCTGGAGACACCCTCGTCCACGGCGGAGATGTGCTCACCGCGCTCTACTTTGTCTCACGTGGCTCCATCGAGATCCTCAAGGATGATGTCGTGGTGGCCATCTTGGGTGGGTCTTGTTTACGTGCCGAAGGTTTTTCTGTGATTAACTGCTTTGTGTTAATTTGATCTCAGATTATCTCACACTGTTACCGAACATATAAATATTTGTGTAATAGGGCTGGGCGATAAACCGAAAATTTACAGATACTGAAATTTACGACAATAATTAATGTCATTTTGCTCATGTCAATATAAGCGGTGTCAAAACAATAAATAAAAGTTGTTTTTGGATGTGTGTTGGTAGGCTATGGTCTCATGTCCCTTTAAAGGGATATTCCGGAATAAAATTAATTTATGGTCAAACACCGTAACACCAAGTTAGACACCCCCTCGAGAGATGAATGTTGCCGACCGCTTGCTTCTCTAGTTATACCAACTTTAGTAACGACCGCACGATAGCAATACACAGCAGTCTGAGGAGCCATAAACAAACCTCAACCAAAACACCACTCTATAGCCACAAATAATGCTCAGAACAGCACCTAACCTAAGGACATATAGGGTCCCAGCCAAAGTACTAGCCACCAAACATCTTTTTAACTTTGCCTAATTTCTTTAGCAAAGAGACTAAACACAACTCACCCACTCTCTTCCAGCAGCCACTTGTTTGTAGCGAGACCTCGGGCCAGTCCATTACGGACTACAGCGGGGTGTCACAGCTCAAGGAAGAACATTTTTGGTAATTTCTTCATGGAAATACAATCAGACCAAGATGCTAAGGCAGAAGAACTGCCGCGTCTGCAGTGCAAATTGATTAATATGATGATTATTACTTCAAGGAAATGATAAAGTAATGATCAGAAATGTTCTTCCTTGAGCTGCGTCACCCCGCTGTAGTCCATCATGGATTGGCCATGAATAAATCAGGCAAAGTTAAAAAGATGTTTGGTGGCTAGGACCCTATATGTCCTGTTGATGAAGTTAGGTGCTGTTCTGAGCATTATTTGTGGCTATAGAGTGGCGTTTTGGTTGAGGTTTGTTTATGGCTCCTCAGACTGCTGTGTATTGCTATCGTGCGGTCGTTACTAAAGTTGGTAAAACCAGAAAAGAAAGCAGTCAGCGACATTTTCTCCCGACGGGGTGTCTAACTCAGCGTTACTGTGTGTTTGACCCTTAATTAATCTTACGCCGGAATATCCCTTTAATATGGGAGGGGGTGAGCAGCTTGTGGAGTAGTTATCGTCGAGTTGAACTGCTCAATATATCGTGATATTGATTCGAGGCCATATCGCCCAGCCCTAAATTGTGTAACCACTGGCTGAGTTTGACCTCTTTTGGCAACTGCTAAAACTACAGTCCCGTCACAAAAACTTCTAGTTGGAAATATTAGTGTTTTTACACTTAAAGAATCACACTGAACAAGAAACACGTTGTAGTGAGTCGAGTTTGGATCTTGAGCTGCTGTATCCCAGGCTTTCTACTACACACACACACACGGACACACACAGTTGAAAAGGCGTACAGTAGTTTGTCTGGCTGTAGGAAATCAGATCTGAGGCTGCAGGGACTGTCAGTGCTAAACACCATGCATGAACAAACTTTGTGACATTTATTCGCTGTTCCTGTTCACAGAACGTCTAAACACTTCTTCATTAGCGCCGTGAGTTCTGTTGTCGAGCGCCAAAACACTTCAAAGACCTGTCTGATGGTCCTGTCATTCAGCCCGGTTAGCTCTGCCTGAACTCGGCTCCATTAGCGCAGACGCGTGTAGGCCGCCTAAATGAAGATGGCTCCGCCGTGCCGCGATACAGCCGGGCTGGCAGCTGAGACCCCCACCGGCTACATTGTAATAGCTTACTTCAAAGAACATCACCGCCGCTGCCTCGCAAACGCGTCTCAGATGAACGGCGAGGATTGGAAAGAGTGGGGGAGGACGCATGGTGGGACAGAGGGAACAGAGAATCTGTGTTTGTGGAGAAAAGAGGAGCATGATTGCTTTCAAATAGAGATGGATGACAGTGGAAGCAAGGAGGGACGGAGAGACAAGAGACGGGGCGAGGAGGAAAGGAAAGACAAGAATCCTGAATCAGGAGGGACCCTTCCTCCTCCTACTCCTCCTCCTCTTCTCTACACGTCTTACTCCAGGTGTTTCCTGCTCAGCCTTTTACGCATTTGTTCCTGTTTTCAGCAGCCAATAAGGTTTGGAGAATCCTGGTGACATAATAGGGTCATGATGAGCAAAAGGCACGGGTGTAGAAGCTGTAGGTTAACACACAACTCAGCACTTTTTCTTTGCTGCTGGAAGAAAAACTGCTGATGACTCCGTTTTCACACGAACATGCGGCACCGTGTTTTCAGAAGGTCGCGTGTTGAGCCGCTTTACAACGTACATGAACAAAGGTCATGGTGTGACCACATCTGCGACAAAAACTGTATCCCTCATGAAACCACTCGCTTTATCGGATTTTGTCTCAATCATCGAGCACAAAGTATCTACTGATAAACCGTGAAGCAGTTTTATTTAACCCTCAGCACTCCCAGCTATATTTTGACATTTTTGGTCCGCCTGTTTGTTTTTTTGGAAAAATCTATGTATCAACCCGATCCTTTCAAGTACAGTAAATATATACACATCTTTTTTTTTCAGGATAACCCCAGCTGTCAGTTTATGAGTGTAAAAATGATGTAAAATGAATGTGACAGTAGATTCAGAACCATCGAAGTCAACCAAAAACAAAAACGGAAATTAATACCAGCAGTACTTTGCTTAAAAAAACACATAAATCTACAGTGACCGAGCCTTTTCTCACCTGCATATCATTCTGTTAAGTCTTGACTATCAGGAGAAGAAATATTGGGATTGGAACAAACACACAAAAGAAACTATTGACATATTTACACTCATTCTTCCAGGCGTTTTTTTTTACTTTTTAAAGTTGTTCATACCACTCTTTGAAGCAGTTCCTGTCTGGGATGAGACAGAGGACCTCATTATACTGCTCGTAATCTCTTCTTTGCTTGTTTCCAAACATTGAGGACCATTATTTCTTAATTTGCAGACAAGCGAGGAACTTTCTTGTCTCTTGTTGATCTTTGGTTGTCTCTTATTGGACACTACCGTCAAGAGAAGAAGAATATGAGACAGTGTAATCGGTCGAAAGTTTGACAGAAAAAGACGTCACCAAAACAGTTTGTCAAACCTGGAAGACATTATAGCGATCTTTTTATCACAACAATATGATAAATAGTAACTAAGTAAGTAAGTAAACTTTATTTGTACAGCACCTTTCACAGACCAAGGTCACAAAGCGCTTTACAGTAAAAACAACAAAAAAAACAAAACAAAAACAATACACAGTTAGTAAGTACATACAAAGCTAAAATTTAAAAGGCAAAAACAACACCATAGCAACCATAGCAGCCCCAAGACAGTTAGGCAAAAGTCTGAACAAATAAAAAAGTCTTTAGTTCCCTTTTGAAGGAGTCAACAGACTCCATCGAACGCAGAGCAGGCGGAAGATCGTTCCAGAGCTTGGGAGCAACAGCCTGGAAGGATCGGTCTCCTCTGGTCCGGAAATGAGTGTGAGGCACCATCAGAAGATTCTGACCCACAGACCTCAGAACCCGGGCTGGGGTGTAAGGCTGGATCAGATCATTGATGTAAGCTGGAGCCTGACCATGCAAGGCTCTGAAAGTTAAAACCAGAATTTTAAAATTTATCCTAAAAGAAACAGGCAGCCAATGAAGGGCTTTAAGAAATAATCATGTTTTCGACGGTATATCACCGCAGATTTACCATCAAACGTCTTTGATCAGACACCTATTTTTGTGGCTGGATTGTAAACCTTGTGGCAGGCGTAGAAATACCTGGAAACCCTCGATAGATCGGCAAAAAAGTAAATGTTTGAACACTTTTTATCCCACAGAGATACACGGTATAGTTCCTAAGAAACTGTAAACAATAGTAACGGTGTCACGTGGGATCGCCTGCGATCCAGCAGAGTTTTAAGTGTTAATTCGATTCAGTTGAAACCTGCCACAACACGCTATTGTTGTGGTTTAATTTCCCACAATGCATCATGAAAAGTCGAGTAAAATTGATAGAGTCACTAACTGAGCAGTGTAAAGGTAAACATCAGCATCGAATGTTTGTTCAGGTCCTTTTTCTGATTCCAAGACAAATCCAGGACCTTAGAGCGGTCTCAAGAAAGTCTTCACTACTGAGCGTTTCAGCGTTTTGATATCATTTCGTTTCTTTACTGTCTGAATTATATCCAAACGCTGTTAAAACTGATCTTTATTTGTCGTATTTGACCCTGTGATCCTCCGCCGCTGTCGCAGCAGCAGCAGCAGCAGCGAGGTAAACCCTGCGGCGGCTCCATGTAGGTCACTCCAAACTAAACAGAGGCAGGAGGGAATGTTCGGCCGGTGTGACTTCCATGCCGACACTCTGGCGTTGTGTAAATCCTGTTTTAGATGACTGCCATGGCCTTTAGCCCTTTTTAACATTCGCACGCTCTCTGCCAGGTGGCGTGTTTTTTTTGTAGGTCATCCCATCGCTGTTAAACACCATGTCCTCCCGCCCGCTGACTCAAATAAAAGTCACCTCTTTGTCTTGTGTGGATGTTCCTGAAATAGACGAGGAGAAAAATCCTCAATTAGCTAAAAGGCGTCTTATGTTTGATCCCTTCTCCTCCACCTCTTCCCCGTTTTTCTCCCCGTTAGGTAAGAACGACATTTTCGGCGAGATGATCCACCTCTTTGCCAAGCCGGGGAAATCCTGCGCGGACGTCCGCGCCCTGAGCTACTGCGACCTCCACACCATCACGAGGGAGGAGATTCTGGAGGTGCTGGACATGTATCCGGAGTTTGCCGACCATTTCCTCACAAACTTGGAGCTGACCTTTGACCTGCGGGATGAGAACGCAAAGGTATCCTCGAGCCGCTCGTATCTGGTTATGGATCGGAGTCTTAAATGTAGAAATCAATCCGCCGTCTTGTAAAGTAAGGGCGCTCCATTAACTCAGACGAAACAGTCTATTCCTCGCCCGTATCTCTCCGCCGTGTCCACTTCATTCCAACGAACCTCCTTTTTATTAATTCACTCGAGAGCGCTGTTTTATTCATGGTCGTGGGAATGAAAGCACGAGGGCCGGTTTCGACATTTCTTCTTTAATCTTCCGTTTGCTGGAAGACAAAAGTGAGAGATAGAGAGTATTAGCGGAGCTCTGAGGGTGGGGTGGATCGAGCCGAGGCTGTGTAATTATGATGAATGAAGCGCAGTGGGAAGATTTGTAAGGCCCGGGGCATTATGTGAATGAGAGTCGGCATTAGTCGGTTGTTTTATTTATCTCCGAACAGAGCGGGGAGTGCACTTTGTGTCAGCGTCGTGTTATTTATTCAGACATGTGGAGAGAAAAAAAAAAAACAGATTGAGATGCATGAGAGGATTCAGAGAGGATTACTTCAGAAACAGGAGATGGAAGTGGTGTGAGGAGGTTAGCGCTGATTGAAACAGAGCTAATTTCACCTGATGTGTGTGGAATATGGAAAAGAGAATTATAGGTGAGGTTTATGGGGTAATATTCAAGCCTTCTTTTCTTCTACAGTTTTCTTTCATTTCTTTCTAACATGACCGGGACCTGAGACTTGACTTCGACTTGCAAAAAGTGACCATCTCTGGCTCAGAAAGGAGCACAACTTTGAGTTTAATTCAGTTTCATTACCTGTTAACTCATTCAGTCCCAGGTTCATTTATCCCTTTATTGCCTTTTGTATAATATTTGATACATACTTTATTGATACTTCTATCAAATTAATATGATCAACAAATTACCAAAAAAAAATTTTTTAAAAACACCTGATTTATTCTATTTTATTTACCTGATTTTATTGATTTATCACCTGAATGATAAATAAATATATTGGTTGAATTTTAAGGACATTTTGATTTTTTTTTTTTTTTAAGTAGTAGGTGAAATAAACATTTCAGCTCCAAAAACATTAGAATTTTCCAGCCATAATTTGTCGTTTTAGACATTAAAAGGTTATGCAATTTTCACTCAGTGCCACCATTGACCACAATAAAAATTTCTGTGTATTTCAGGACCCACAGAATATCATGTGCTTGGACTAGAATTAAGTGCAATATCTCAAAAGAAAAGGGTGATTCTCTTCTTTCACCAGAATAAAAAGTTAGTCTCTAACCCACTCCTGTGTTCAGTTATTGCCTGCTCAATGCAGCGTGGTCACATCATCTTTGCCGATCTTGAAAAAGAAACCTGGAAAAGACATTTTTACGAAGGACAGACTTTGAAGCAGAACTCTGATCGTCTGTTTCATTTCACTTCAAACTACTTTACCGATGAAATCAAGGTCCTCCCTCCTCGGACACCACTCCTCAACACTCTCGAGGTCCGATTGTGATAGGTCACTTTGAGATGGCGTCCTCCTTGCCAGGACTGTCGCTGAATTCCGGCTCAGTCTCGCTCACCAGTATCGGCACCGGCGGCACAACGACACGCCGGAAAATTGTTTCTTTGATTGTCTGCTGAAGATGTGAGGGATCTCCACTGGATCCAGAGACGGTAGCACCGTGCTCATGCGCCGAGACCGTTAGCTCTTGGCTAGTGACTTCGGCAATTTACAGCTCACCTCATAGAGTAAAAAACACTCCACAACTAGGCTAACTGGAACACTTGATGGCGCACTTCTCACTGGCGAGTAATTGTTTTTGTTACTGTAACGTGGTTATGGCGTATTTGTCGGCTCTCTGCGTTCAGAACGACCCCAAACTTAGTTGCATGTTGGGAAAGAGCGCCCTCTAGTGGAAAACAAAAAAAAAATGAAAAATCCGTCAAAATCCGTCAACAGCACTGAATGAGTTAAAACTCCTCACAGGAGCTTTAATTTGATGATTATGGGATTCATACAGAAGTAGATACAGCAGATTTGACATTTGTCTCTGCTCTGTTTCTCTTTATTTTTTAGGATAATTAATCATTCAAAGAATCAAAAAAGGAGCAGAAAAAAGCATCAAAATGAAATGAAATGTCTGACAATTGTTTGACACGTCTGAGAATAAAAAGAGGGAAAAATAACAGGCCCACACAAACGAGTCCAAGTTCTTTAGTCAAGACGATTTGACGTTTCGACTGAGAAACTGTCATTTCATTCCACATGGTTTATTCTGTGCCTCTACTTTCTGATTACAGACTGATGCCGACAACGAGTGTCCAAGACGAGTGTCCTACAGACGGAAATCCTCCTCAGGTCAGTGTTGTTGTTGAATCTGACTGTAACATCCCAGTCCCTCTGTAGCGGCTTTGCAGAAACAAGACCTCGGAGGCGGAGCTTCACCCTCTGTCCCCCTTTTGTCTGAGCACAGGTGACGTCATCTCAGCTGGAGTGTTTACCTGTTACTGGCTCAGACGTGTGAACCGTGTGTCAAATTGGAAACCATAAAGCGAGTCCAGGCTGGAACCTGTGAGCTCACCTCGGCTTTATTAGGGTCGGGTCCACGTCTATGAATCGACCGCCAAGTTATTGACAAAGTTAACTCACTGATTTGATCATGTTTAGAGTGTAGATCCCCACTTAGAGAGATCTATATTCATGTTGTGTCGACAGTTAAAAGACCCTCAAACCAAAATTAACAAAATGTTCTGTAATTTTCGGACCATGAGGCGCACCGGATTATAAGACGCACTATGAATTAACGTGTCGATGTTCACACATAAGGTGCTGCTTTCACACTGTGATTTCTAAAGCGCACCGAACTTTCCGAGCAGCATCACGTGTTTGAAAGGAGCGCTCGTCGATTGGACAGAGTAGGAGGGGTATGTAACCTCACGGATTACAAACAGGGGTGGACTAGCCATCTTGTATTGTGCTTCGTCACATTATTTCATGAAATGCTACAACGTTAGTGAGCGCAACTGTTCCTATAATGCTATCGTAGCTTGTCAGGGATTGATCCTGTTATTGTTCTAACTTTGACGATCTAACATGTGACGACATATGAGCTCCGAGTTTAAGGACTGTGACTGTTGGTAGCTGTGATTTGATTTTGTTGAAATACGCCAAATTGTGAATTTATGGGTTATTGTTGTTCAGACAATTGAGCTAAGCTAGCTAGCAACTGCTAATGTCAGCGCTCACTTGTTGCCATAGCAACAGGGGACGCCGTGCTTTCTCTACCCAATAGCGTATAGCGTCATTACGTACATTTGGTCCTGTGTTTGGTCCGGTGAGCTTTCACACTGCATACGGACAGAACCAGGGCTCACTTGCAAGCGAACCGAGACCCACGTTTTCAGGCGGATCAGAGTTCGGATGAGCTTTCACACCTTCGCCCAAAGGAAGCGGGCTATCCGAGGAAATCAACTGTGGTCCGTTTGAAGCGGACCAAACAGCTCTGGTGTGAAAGCGACCTAAGTAAACTGTACGCTGATCTTTGGATGAGGAGAGTTTGTGGTGTCGTGGCGGTGACTGAGAGTGGAGCAGAGAGACGCACAGAAACAAACCACCTTCCTGCTTTCAAGAGTTTAGCAGAATAATCATAAAAAGCTGCTTTTTCTCCTTCCATCTTACTTACCAATTGAAAAGCAGAGAAATAATAATAATACTTGAAACATGCCGGTTTAAATACTAAAGCTGAATATCATCCTAAGTCCTACAGTTACAGCGCACAAAAGACCCCACAGACAAAAACGACTCTTTTTGCTGCTTCACAGATCACAGCAGGGTCCACTTGAGCTCGGAGCTCCAAACACGGCTTTGACAAGATCAGGTTCCCTTAAGTGTCAGATCTTTTTTTTTCACCTTTGAATAAACCACCTGTCTGGGGTCTGGAAGTGGTCTCAGATTTCCTCTCGTCATGTTACGTCTGGTAAATCTCTCACTATAATAGGATTTGAGTCGAGGATGATGTGATTTAAACCGAAGCTCTAAAAACCTGCGACAATAAATCCTGATTATACGCTGATTGCGGACGTCCCACTTCTAATTTTCTCAGCGTCTTTTATGAAACTCCCCTCAGTACCCGTGGACTGAGGTTATGAAATCTCCACTGCAGATAAACACGTTGGCCCTCGCGCTGCGGCGGCGTTCCGCGTGTCTGAGCGACTCGCGCTGAGGGAACCGTTGTAATTTCGCTCCGAACAGCCCCCAGACTTCAAGACTCAGAGACGGAAACGGAGACGGAGCCTCGGCACAGCAGCACTCAGCAGTTTGGCTTCGAGTCAAGCAAATCTAATTGGTCGCCATGGTTACGAGGCTGTCTGAATACAGTATCTCCTAATATAACTCAGGCAAGGACACCTAACAGTCCATTTCACAGTCCAGCAGCCGGCGTATCCTGCCTCCATCCATCAGGTGTGAAGATGCAGACAGGAGCGTGACTCACTCTCTCTGTTGAAGTGTAAACACACATTTAGAGACCGAGCGACACGACATGATCAATCCAAAGCACTTGACGATATTAAAGGCTCCCTCTTCAACTCCTTTAACATTGTTTGTCCTCGTCTGAACCCCAGAGCGAAACACTCGGCACCTGTTGTCAGAGATAATGAGTCAGCCACGACATCCCCGGAGGGAGTCTAAAACAGAGGAGTCGGTGTTCCCCCGGCAGATCTCCTCCTCATTACCGTTTCTCCCCGTAGGCGCCCACAACAAGGAGCCGGCGGCCACCTACTGCGACGCCAACCTGGGGAGGCAGCTGTACGCCCCCTCGGCAGCCGAGGACAGGAGAGAGTCGGCCGCAGAAGAGGGGGAGGACGAGGACGAAGAGGAGGAGGAGGAGGGCAGGGAGGAGGAGGAGGAGCAGAGGCCCCTGTGTTCTGGTGTGCTGGGATACCCGGTGGTGAGGGACCACACCCTGGGCCTCGGGCTGAGCGGCGCCGCAGACACACAGGCGGGAGAGAGCGCGCAGAGTCAGACCTATAAAGGTGAGGACCAGGAGGGCATCTGATGGTGAACTGATCTTCTGTTTTAGCACATGGGCTCAGGTTAGCTTAGCTGATGTCATTGATTTGTTGCTCTCCCACAAACAGATGATAGTTATAGTTACAGTAAAATTAATTTAGGGTCAAACACACTGAGTTAGACATCCTGTCGAGAGATGAATGTTGCCGACCGCTCGCTTCTCTAGTTATACCAACTTTAGCAACGACTGATAGCAATACAGAGAGCTACGCACTCAACCAAGACGCCACTCTATAACCACAAATAATGCTCAGAACAGCACCTAACTTCATCAACAGGACATATAGGGTCCCAGACATAGTACTAGACACCAAACATCTTTATAACTTTACCTGATTTCTTTAGCAAAGAGACTAAACACAACTCACCTACTCTCTTCCAGAGACCTCCAGGCAAGTCCATCGACTACAGCGGGGTGACGCAGCTCAAGGAAGAACATTTATGATCATTTCTTTATCATTTCCTTGAAGTAATAATCATCATATTCATCATTTTACACTGCAGACGTAGTTCTTCTGCCTAAGCGTCTCGGTCTGATTGTATTTCCATGAAGAAATGATCATAAATGTTCTTCCTTGAGCTGCGTCACCCCGCTGTAGTCGATGGACTCACCTGAAGGTCTCGGTAAAAACAAGCAGCTGCTGGAAGAGAGACGGTGAGTTGTGTGAATTAAGAAATCAGGAAAAGTTAAAAAGATGTTTGGTGTCTAGTACTATATGTCCTGTTGATGAAGTTAGGTGCTGTTCTGAGCATTATTTGTGGCTATAGAGTGGCGTTTTTGTTAAGCGCGTGGCTCTCTGTATTACTATCCTGCGGTCGTTACTAAAGTTGGTATAACTAGCGAAGCAAGCAGTCGGCAACATTCATCTCTCGACGGGGTGTCTAACTTGGTGTTACGATGTGTTTCACCCGAACTTAATTTTACGTCGGAATATCCCTTTAAGGACTTGGGGGCGCTCACACCAAGCACGAGTAAAATCATCTGCTAGCTTAATTCGCGCGACTCACAAGGCATGAATGAATAGCGTTTCCTGCTTCATTCACGTGTCAACTATAATTTCAACGGTAACCCCTGCCATGCTGATTAGTTATCGTGAAGGGAATATCCACTCAAGCTGAGATTCGCCCAATTCGCGTCATTCGCGCCGCCAGAGTAGCAGGAGCGTCGAATCGCGTCTTTACATTGACTTAACATGTAATTCATTCGCGCGAATGATTGTACTCACACTTGATGTGTGGAGACATCTACACTTCCTCAGCTCGTCTCTATACTACACATACATGTTTTGTTTTAGGGCAGCCAGATGTCTCCACATCTATCATGAGACGCAGAGTTTCCTGTAAATCGGCGAGCTCGTCCTCTACATCGCTAATTGGCTCAGGGATTTTTTTTTTTTGGTGGCTTTTCCAAATTAACTTCTAAGCCCCAGAGGAGGAATGTCACACCTATTAAAAATCCAAACAAGGATTATGTGTCATTACGGTGAAACCTCAAACCCACTCAGTAATAAAAACCTAAGAGGATTATATCCCTCCAACCGGCCCGAGGTCACCCCCTTTCCATCGTAGGTCACGGCCAAATACAGTAAAGTCCAGATTTTACGGCTGTATCCGTAGATTCTCAGATTTATAGTATATCTCTTAAATAATTTCTGCAGCGAGTGTAAAAATCGAGCGCAGTGCTGTGGCACAGTTACACACAGACAAAACAAGAGAGTTTTGGGATCCTCCCGTGGATCTCCGAGATGTTTAGACAGTGAGAGCTGCAGGCTTCGCTGAGCAGTTTCAAAACAAAGAGCCGCGCGGAGGGAAGAAATCCTCACTTTCACCGTCTGCCTGCTGCTGCGCGTTGACCTCGCACGACCTCCCATCGGTTCGAAGCGCTTCTGACAGCTTAAACCCTGTAAAATCACTGCAAACGCAGCAGAAGCATTCACCGCAGGACTCCTTTTGTTTTAACTGCCAAGTGCGATCCTCCTCCGACACGGGGAACACCGTGTCGTACCAGCGTGTTGATTTGAAAGTAATATCCCATAATTCAGCAGCTGCGTGCGGCCTTAAGAGGATTTCTGCAGGAGAGGAGAGAGCAGAGCGATGACAACATACAGAAAGTGTCGATTTAATCTCTAAACGCCGTTTACAGGAAGAAGAATGAGGAGTGAGGCGGGGAGTGAAAACTCTCAGGGTCAGATGTGTTTTGATGCGAGACGCTAAGCTGATCAGAGCTCGGTAAAGCTGAATGATGACACGGCACAACGCGGGGAAACGCTTCCCCCGAGGGCCACTTCTAATAACACACATCATTTACCTCACGTGTCTTTGTCCTCCCCTTCAGAGCTCCACGCAGAGGAGTGGCGTCCCGACGAGGCCGCGGAGGAGTCAGCGCAGTGTCAGGAGACGCCCGCCGGGGAGGACGACAGCGACTCGGATCTCACTTACGGGGAGGTGGAGCAACGGCTGGACCTGCTGCAGCAGCACCTCAACAGGTGGGAGGAAAACCGTCTCCGCCTCCTTAACGCTCGCCAGGTGGAGCTCAGGTGAACCCAGCGGCGTCAGGGTGATATTTGTCAACCGTGAGCGTGCAGCAGCCGATGATCTGTGGCCTTGTTTACTTAATCCCCTCTCAGGTTTTAGCTCAGATCCCATCATATCATTGTTTGAAAGGATAATATGAGAATCAGGCGGAAACACACCTCTGATGGGGAAACTCCGACACAGATCTGTGCATTTTTACTTCTTCATGAGAGTTCGCCTGCAGATGAAGAGAAAAAGGTGTCAAAGTGATTTTTGCTCTAAAGAAAAATGTGTGAAGTCGGCTAAAAATACACCCAGGATGACGTCATTTTAGTTAAATGTCAGCCGAGGACTCCTGAAAGAGAAAGTCTCCTGAACCTGTGGAGTTACAGAGATGTAAGCGGACCAGACCTTCTGTCTCAGCTCCTCGCTATTTTAAGGCGACATCAACTGCTTGTAGCTTTACACATCCCCAATCTGTTTGAAATGTTGATTCAGCTGCATCCTGGGTAAAAAAACGCACCAGTTATTGACAGTGAGGAAGAGTAAATAAGTTCCAGCGAGGCGAGTTTATTTATAAAGCTGCATTAAAAGAAGTATGATGTTATAAATTTAAACCCGGATTCAAACAGAGAAGTTGTGATGAGACAAAAACGTCGATAGAAGCCGATTTAAACACATCAAATGTTAAAAAAAAAAAAATTTTGTTTATGAAAAATATCTGCTGGTTTTAAATGTGATGTCAGAAATACAATGGGTCTAAAAAGAGCATTTAAAGGGGCTGATCCTGCGTTCCAGTTGTACTCAGAAGTCGGAATTTCTGAGGTACGAGTCGGAAATTAATCTGTAACGCCCCCCTGAAGTCGGATAAAAGCTCTCGTAATGTTTTATTTATTAGCACTTCTCTGTTGTTTTTCGTCTGTGTTGTTCACCGTCTAACTGTGAACACACTGCTATGGTGTTCGTAAGAGTAAAATACTGTATTATGCGTTGTTTACAACTGGTATCGCTAAACAACAATAACAACAAATGACAATTGTTAACAACAGCTAATTGTTGGCGTCCATCTTGGTTTTCTGACTTCTTAACTGGAACAGCGTCAATTTGGGTGTAACGTCATTCCCAGCTCCGACTTCCGAGGTTACTGGAATGCAGCATTAGTCCCTCAAAAGTGAAGATGGAAAGAAATTCATCACTAGATAGTGAAAAGGTGAACCATAGACTGTATCTACTATTGACAACTTGGCTCCGCCATCCGCCTGTATACGAGTTTGAAGCCAAAAAGCTCTCCGTATTTCTGCGATTTTTCTTCATTTCCTGAAACCAGCATTGCGCTGTAGCGTTGTACACATTCGGCGGGAGAGTTGCTGTGATGACACTCGGCTCAAACAGCGTATCCCCCAGGTGAGCTACGCAATCTCTAAACGCCGACAGGCTGTATCAGGTGTCAATCATAGAAAACATGAACCCCCTCATTTTAAAAACGGAGCTTCACAGAAAAAAGAGGACTTGAGCACAAACCAGTCTGACTGTAACTACATGACAACATCACAACCAGGGGGGAGAAAAATTATATCCTGTGTAGTAAATTTCCAAAGTTTGTCCACAGCTCCATAAGCTTTGCTTGTGGAGGCGGGATTTATAAACTATTCTGCAGCCCGTCACCAGAGGGTGCTGTTCTCGGAGTGGCTTGACCCAACGCGGCAACGAGGCAGACAGCGTCCATTCTTTGTACAGTTTTTGAGTTAAATAGAATAACGTTACGGAATTTAAGGATTTAATCTAAAAGAATGTCACTAAAAAGTTCTAATGAATACCAAATGGCCCTTAGGTGGCACTGCATCAAAAACAGACATGACTCTGGAGTGGAAATCGCCACATGGTCTCCAAATCTCTAAAAAAAAAAACATGTTCCACACTTCCTTTGCCTAATTTTTGTTAAATGTGTTGTGATGAGCATATATGTTTCATACAACAATAATAGTTTCAGTTTCACCATTTAAAAAAGTGAATTTTTAATCAGTCAGTGTCAATGTCACCTTTATTTATATAGTACATTTAAAAACAGCCAGTGGCCTACCAAAGTGTTTTACAGTAACTATAAAAACTATAAAAACAATAAAAGCATGTAACATATAAAAACATCAAACAACAATATAAAATACCCAATAAAAGTAGCTGTACTTCCCCAAAAGCTGAAGTGAACAGGTGCGTCTTCAGAAGTGTTTCAAGTATTTTAAAATAAATTTCAGGGATTAAATTATTTGAAAACCTTCAAAATTTGTATGAAAGAAATAAAGGAGTAAACACAGAAGACAGTAAAGGGATTAAATCAAAATACTTAAAGGTTTAGAAAATCCAAACTCTGAGTACTTACTGAGTTGTGTTTGTCTCTGTGTGTCTCCCAGTGTTACACTTCTCTGAGTCAGACTGAAGCACAGCCTCACCTCCCGGTTACGATCGTTCCTTCGATTTGGGGTCACAGTTCTCTCCGTCTGTGTCGGGCTCAGCCTTAAGCTGCCGCAGAAACTCACACAGGGATGCTGCGGTGTTCTAATACACCCACAGTCTGCACACACACACACACACACACACACACACACTGTGACACATAGTTAAAGTAATGGTGAAGTTTGAGAGGAAAGTCTGTCTGCTTCGTTTGTTTTTCTCCTTGTTTTCAAAGTCGTCCTCATTAACAGAAGTTTAATTCCTTCAAGTCTTTCATTCTCAGTCGAATAAGGTTGAAATTTAGTGGAAGAAAAGTGAAATAATTCTGCTTGTCAGGGTTTCAAATGCAGTCATTTTATAACCGTCAATCATTGAGCAGCGCTGTGAAGCTCTCTCTCAATGATCCTGACCTTTTGATGACTTCACACCCTCTCATCCATCCTGTTTTCCTCTTATTTTCTCGTCTTTCTCCTCTGTCGTCTCTTTGGAGTTTACAGAACGAACCCCCCTGCAGTTCTGCCTTTATAATTAGCAGCAGAGACATTTTAAAGCAGACACCCGCAGTAGCTGTCTGAACGCGGGGAGCGGACCGCGTGAGCAGCACGTGTGATGATTCTCGGCTGGTGCACTGATAGAGATGAGGGGGAGGCAGACAGGCAGCGGCGGCTGTCTATTTATAGCACTCAGCCACGAGATGCAGACACATTGCAAAGACTCTTCATCGACATCAGGAGAGGTGAGGGTGCAGAGTCGTAGAGCAGTTATGGAGGTCATGGTTCATCCATTTAAACAGTGTTTAAATGTGTACAAGTAGAAGTACAGCCGCTGCACCACCTCCAACCTTCATTCCAGGGAGTGAAGCCGCAGCCAAAGTGTTTATTTGCTCTTATCGTCCTCTAAAGAGACAAACAGGGACTTGGCAAATCCACAGAGGCATCCCCTCTGCATTGGAAACTCTCCTCCTCCTCCTCCTCCTCCTCCTGCTGGGTTGGCTCTCTCGGCCCCTGTGTCTTGCTCTAAGAACAGGGTGTGTAGAGAAACTATGATTCACCGTCGGACACGCCTGATCCTTCTGATGTAACTTGCTGCATTATGTGATTACACACGGTTGCAGGTGTTTGGTATCGACAAATTCAGGGAACGTAACCCACCACCTTTGCATTTCTCTCTGTCTTTGTTTGGTTCGGTCGTCATCTGGTTTCCCATCATGTCTTCAACGCCATCGTCTGCGTGTCTGTGCACTGTTGTTGTTTCTGAGCCAAAAAGTAGGGCAAAAGAAAACATCCATCTCCAGATGAATGATGGTTTGAGCTGAAATTATTGATCCCTGCGGTGAAATTAGGTCACAGCAGAAACAAGACAAATAGACAAACAAACATGAAACCACATGCACTGTTTTAAAGCGGAAAGAGATGGCTGTAATCATCATTGGCGTTGTAAAGCATCATTAGGCTTCAAATCAGCTGTTTTAGCACCAACGACCAATCAGGATCAAACATTTCCATGTCTTATTCTCTGCGTCTATCAGACTGGAGTCCCAGATGACAGCAGACATCCAGGCCATCCTGCAGCTCCTCCAGCGGCAGACCACAGCCGGTCCTCCCGCCTACAGCACAGTCACCTCCAGTCCTGAGTACCAGAGGCCGGCCATCAGGGTCCAGCCGGTGTCTGCCATCCAGACCGAGCTCAGCCTGGCGTCGCCTCCTCCTCGACCACAGGTACAACACGCCCCGTCATAGTTAGTCTCGTGTTCCTGCGTATTTCGAGAGATCTCTTCAACACCAAAACCTCGTCTGGGTTGCTTTATGAAAACAAAGAAAAATAGAGTCGAAAAATGATCTCAACTGTAGAAGAAACCTCCTCCATAAGATCCATTTGTGAAGAGCGTTTACGTTGTTTTGTTTGTGTCAATGACTAAAATGCCGACAGTATTTTCCCGCCTCCGTCATAAAGAGACAAACCCAAGAGTAGGCCTGGGCGATAATGTGATCGGGATTAATTTCGGTTTGATCACGGTGATCAGCTGTGAGCATATTTACTCGATCAAATATAGCAGAAATGTGCATCACAACAGCCAATCAGAGTCGAGCTTTTCCTGCTCAGGAAAGTACACAGAATGACCGAACGTGGAGCTAAACGTAGAGCTGAGGGCAGCAAGATAGATGTCAACCATGACTTTGAGTCATCCTCCAAAGATGTCCTTGTTGAGAAGAAAAGTTACTCGACCTTGCTTGTGTGGCGGTGGTTCGGGTGTCTCCAAAGTGAGCAATTAAGCCGATGTGCGAGGTGTGTTGGAGGTTGGTGCCCTCCAAAACCGGCAACACAACAAAACTGTTTAATCGTTGAAAGAAGTTCTTCCCCAGCGATGGTGAGGAAGGCCTGAAAATGCGAGCGAAGTTTAGCCACAACTAGCAGTGCAGCTACCAGACCAAAGCGGCGATCAATCATCTCAATTATGTTTACATCATCTAATAATGACATTTTAAGGCGTCTTCATTATCTCTGAGGGTGCAATTTGTTTACTTCGGGTCTTGCATACCTGCAAAAACACTCAGGACTGTAAACTAGTTCACTGTATTATTTAATATTTATCTACATTTGCTGTACTGTTGAGTTAAAATGTTTTTTTTTTAGTTTATCTTATTCAGTTTGCTTTGATATTTACTTTGTATGTTAATAAAATGTTGAATGAATCTCCAGTATCTTTAGTTTCTAGTACAGATACTTTAAAACTGGCAGTTGAAAAATAAACGGGCTAATAATCGAGATCGGACGACATGACAAAATCTATTGTGATTATTTTTTTTTTTTGTGATTGTTTTTGCCAAATCGCCCAGGCCTACCCAAGAGTCACTAATCCTCTTCCCTGTCTCCCCTAGAGTCCTGTTCTTGAAAAAGCCCCAAACAAATCCAAAGAAACCTCCCCGGTCCTCCTCCACACGGAGACTCTAGCGGACGGGAACTTTGCAGGACTGCTGGAGAGCGACATGGACACGGAGCAGAGACACACACAAAACGGCGTGGACTCTCTAGAGCAACACAACCACCAACAACAACAACAACAACAACAACAACATCAACAGGCGCAGAGGTTCCCCTCGAGCCGGCAAGCGTCTCTACCTGACGTCCCCAGCAGCTCAGGAATGTTGGGACTCCACAGGCCAGTTTCTGACCCGGGGCTTCCTGGAAAGTAGTCTTCAGCTGACGCTCCTCTCTCAAAGCTTGACTCAGGGTCTAAGAAAGAGACTGAATATGCAAAGGAAACAAACTGTAGACTTTCTTCCATTCCTTTTAAAGAAAAAAACCCTCCCCCTCCCTTCCAGCGCTCTGATTCTAATGTATAAAGTCCATTTATACAGAGGTATTTATACACTATATTATAAACACATGTAAAGTCACCTCCTACCTACAGTGTACATACTTCAATAGAACACTGCCAGCAACACGAAGCACCTGACGTGCTTTTTCTACAGCGTATATGCATGTTTCCGTTCCTCACGGTTCCTTTCGGTTTCTGTCGCATGTTCCCTCGACTCACCGCCCAATCAGGTGTGTTCTCAGCATGCTCGCAGACGACTGTAGCGAACAAGTCTGGGTTTCTACGACTCCTCCCGTGTCACGGGGAAAAACCTACTTGAAACTCTTTGCGAGGCATCTCCGTACGCTATCGAACCCCCACGACGACGACCCGCGTGTCGTATTTAGCGTGCCTACCGTACACAGCAACAGCGTCAAAACGCGTCCATATCTCATCGAGCACAACGAGCTTTCACCCCTCTTTGAGAGCAATAATAATGAGACAAACACAGATGTGTTTCTTTCTAGAGATGAACACTCTGGAGATCATTTTATACAAATTTAATGAAGAAAAAAAAGCCTCTGTGACAGCGTTTGTTTGTTATTTTGCTTTGATAAGATCTGTGTACTCACTCTGGACACGCAGAAACTAAAAGAGTACGTTCACTTTTAGATTCAGTAGATTTGAAACATAGAAGAACCACATCCGAGCTCCTGCATCATATCAGTAAGACGTGAGAAACGAAGCTTGTTTTTTTGAAGGACGTTAATGTGAAGGCAGTTTGGGGATTTGTGTATTTTCTGACACATTTTGAGACCAAAACAAAAGGAGTTAAAGAGTTTCTAGATTCAGAACCGGATGGAAGAAATTCAACACAAATGAGTCACAGCAAAGACGACACCGGTACACCACACGTTTGTACAAAGTGCCGACAAAGACGATAGAAGCGCCACTGCGAGCCTACGAGGAGCCTGAAGCGCTAGGTTATCGTGACGCCGTCCCGCTTGTTTCCACGTGTTAGAAATCCACTGGTTTGTTAAGAGACTCGACCGGGCCGAACCGAAGTAGGCTGGCCGGGCCACCCTGTCGCGTGAATCACTTGACGTTCCTTCCCACCACAGTCTGGACTTCAGCCCATAGAGAGCATGTATTCCCGATCAGAAAAAAAATGGGCCAATCAGAGACCGTGTTTCCACTGTTACCCGGACAGCAGGGAAAGGCAGCCCCTGATTGGTCCATGTGTAGATGGTGACGTCCAACATATGCTGCAGGACTTTTTGAAGTATCGTTTATTCAGAACGCCGTTAATTCTGCAGTTGACTCTGCAAAGTCGACAAAAATGGTTTATATCCGACTGCCGACTTTGCAGAGTCAACTGCAGAATTAACAGCGTTCTGAATGAACGCCGTAACTTTGAAAAGTCCCGCAGCATGTGTTAGACGTCACCATCTACACATAGACCAATCAGGGGCTGCCTTTCCCTGTTGTCTGGGTAACAGTGGAACACTGGCATCAACATAGGTGATGGGGTGTTACTTTTCATTTCTGAGTAACTGTGCACTCCAGGATTTATCCATAAGAATGTAGAAAAGGATTGTAAATAGTTTTAAATTCCCCAAACTGCTTCAGAACCGTCCTTCAAAAGTGTTTGAAAACTTTCGACTGCTGAACGCCGCTGAGCGGAAAGTGTGGTTCAGCTGGTTGGGAGTTTCGCCGTCCCCGAAGACGATTTTTGGTCGCATGCTTTAGGTCTTCCATTATCTTCTTAGAAAGATCATTTTCATACATAAAAGATGTATCTCTGAAAAAAAAAAGCATCATCCACTGAATTTGAAAAAAAATGATGTTTCGGGCCAAGGACTCGGCTCCGCCTCCGATAGCCTTAGCTTTCTAAGCCTGCTCTAGCCTTTACGAACGCCATCGCCCCCTCTAACGCAACAGAAACCCGCTCCTCCACCGTCACACATGTAAATGTACTGAACTGCATGATGAAAAATGAAGTAGTCATTTTAGTTTTCTAACCACTCAAACTCGAGCTCATGTATTGCATGGAGACCGCACTCGATTAACTTATAAAAAAGGTCTCGATCAAGCGTGCGACACACATACGGAAGGTACAGCACATAACTCATGAACAGAGATTTAACGGTTACACCTATTTTTCTAAGAAGTATTTAATTTTCTGTTATTTTTCTATGTAACTTATTTGTTTTTAAACCCCCTGATGTTAGTTAGACCGCTGGAGGACGACCGGAAGAAGACGAACGCAACGCAACGCAACGCAGAGCCTCTCGATGTAGCAAGCGAGGCGTCAGACGGGCGACACTTTCAGCTGCGTGCTGCATTTACCGTTTGTCTTGATTTAATATTGCACATAATCATTTAAACACTGGCTTCCCCCCCCTCCTCACAAACTCTGAGCTCTCGTTTCCTACACTTCTCGGAGACTTTCCGAATAAGAGACAGAGTCGACTTTCCAGGACGGTACAGAGCCCGGGGTGTTTTCTTTGATAAGCTTCCTTTCTCCAGCACACGTGTAGAACAAAAGTTGCTAACTCGAGTCGTCCACTGAACTTTGATGGGATTTGCAAACTTTTGCACAGAGATTAGAAAAAAAAAACAAAAAAAAAAAACTTGCTGTACTGGATCTAAATGTCACTTTTTAAATCTAGTGCTGTTCACAATTGTTTTTATGCATTTTTTAAATGTTTGCCACTGTATTTTATACAATGCAACACTTATCAGCTAATTTGAATGTTTCTGTTCTGAACTATATTTAAAGAAATGAACTATATTGTGTAAATAGACTTGGGGGAAAATGCGCAATTGTATAAATTAATAAACAATGCATACTGATCTAAAGGTGTCTCACTGGTTTAATGATGGTTTTCTTAGCAATCAACTCAGTACTCAGCAAGGAAGGGGCGAGCAGCGCGTTTCAATCGTACTTTATTTTGGAATATGTCTTGCTACAAACAAGCGGCTGCTGGAAGAGAGTAGGTGAGTTGTGTTTAGTCTCTTTGCTAAAGAAATTAGGCAAAGTTAAAAAGATGTTTGGTGGCTAGTGCTGTGGCTGTGACTCTATATGTCCTGTTGATGAAGTTAGGTGCCGTTCTGAGCATTATTTGTGGCTATAGAGTGGGTCTTTGGTTGAGGTTTGTTTATGGCTCCTCAGACCGCTGTGTATTGCTATCGTGTGGTCGTTACTAAAGTTGGTATAACTAGAGAAGCAAGGGGTATATTCAAACCCTTAGGCCAAGGTGGTTTATCCATGTTTACGCAACTGTTAAATTAGAAATAGTAATTTAAAGCCACTATAGGAAGTTTTTGACTTCACAGACATATTTCTGTGAGTTGATTGATGTTATCAGTAAGGTAAGTTTCTTTAGGTGAATATTAAAATGGACATTTTCCACTCGGTTCAGTCTAAACTGGTCTGTCAGAAAACCGAAGAGTCTGAGGACAGAGAGGAGAGCTGACACCGCACGCATCACTGCCACAATCTATCAATCGACATCCGGCCTGCTGGAGCTGAAATGATCCGCACTTGAGAGATGACAAGCAGAGGGAAGCTTAGGGTTAGGAATGAAAGAGGGGGGGAAGTGTATCAAGAGGAAGCTAAATGTAAGTATTTCACATTAAAATGATAAACTTTATCAGATAACATCACAGCCACCAAGAGTTATATTCATTTGAGTATGAAGTCTTTATTTTTCAGGGCTAGTTTTGGAAGTACTTTGTCGCCATCTACTGGCAAATGAAATGTATGATCATTTATGTATCATAAGGGGAGATAAAAAAGGGGAAAGAAGTACCTTTATATTTGTTTATGTACTGAAAAATCTGCTTCATGAATTGAGGATGAATAAATAGAAAAATCTACTCCATCAGATGACATCTGGGTTTTCTTCAAAGACTTCTATCAGTCAGAAATGATCAAGATAATTATGATTTGTTTGTTGAAATAACATTTAATGTACTTTTTGCTCATGTTTAAAGTGTTTTTCCTGTTTTATTGTATTTTTTTTTAATATTGCAAATATTGAACAAGACATGCTAAGGATTGAAGTGCAATATGAATAATAATAGAAACAAGAAATAACAAGAAATGTAAAAAAAAAACAACACCAACAAAGACAATAACAAGAGACAAAAACAACATCAGCAAAAAAGGCAAGCAGAGCAAAAACACAAATGAGACAGAAGTAGGTAGTATCAGTCACAACTGTTCAAAATGTCTGATGAGGAATAATGTTGCTGGATTATGTGGATAAGTTCAATGTATGTGGTTTGGGGGCGAAACGTTATGTGGAATAAAAGTAATAATAGAGAAAAAGTAATAAGCAATTCAACATAAAAGAAACGAAGATAAAATAATTATTAGAAAAATAATAGTAACAACAACAACAACAACAATAACGTTAACGATTTTGAGACATCATCTGTGAGGTTGGGGGGCACAGTCAAAAAAAGCTCGTCTTTAATTTCAGTTCAAACTTTATTTCCATATATAAAATTATATATGATCAAACTGCTTCACAGTGTTGATAATTGTTGGTGTCCTGCTTCCTACAATATGGTGGCGGTAACACCTGAACGTTGTGTGCGATCCGCCATTAAATGAAAGAGGAAGAAGTAGTCATAGACATAATAAAAGGGTAGACCCCGCTGGGGGTGCTGCGCAGCGAGAAATGCGGCCGCCATCTTGGTCAGGTCAAGCTTCCCATACGCTCCGGTCAATCATATTCATTCATTCATTCATTCATTCAGCGATGCCGGAGCACTGTGCGGCGTATTCCTGTACCAACAGGCGTACAGCAGAGAACAGGGCTCAAGAAATAACTTTTCACAGTTATGATTAAACGTTTTTTCAACATTACACTTGACTGTAGAGTCATTTGTAGGCCAAAGAGGAAGACTATCGGTCAACTCCAAAAAGGAAACAGCATTTGCGAACAGCTAGCTTATTCACAATAATAGCAACTTTGCTCTATTATCAACAGATTTGCATTAGATTGAAAAACTTTTGTTTGAGAGAGGTTCTAAGAAACGTTAAGAAATAAAATAGAAAGAAGTAGGAAGAAAGTGAGCTCTGTTTTATTAAAGATTTCTTTGTGGTGATCTCCTGTTTCATTTTGAAGATTTCCTAAGGACAAAAACTTGAGGAAGAAGTGGGAGATTGCTGTTAGAGGGAGAAATTCGCAGCAAGTGATTCCTCTGTGCTGTGTAGCCAACAAGCAAATTGATATGTAGTTTAGATGCTGTCCTGTCATGCTGTTCTTGTGTTGAAATTTTTATTGATATGTAGGGTATATATTTGTGTGTATTTCTTTGTGTGTTTTTTCCAGTTATTAAAATAGTGCTTCTATATGACATTATTTGTGTGTGTCTACAAATGGATAAATAAAAATAAACTATATAAAAAATTATAATCAAATCAATATTGAATTGGCCTATTAAAACCGCCAGTTATTAATAATTATTGAGACATAGCAGGAACCTAGCTCTAAACCTAGATATATCCTTGATTAATTGTTATACTATAATACAGCCACTGCTGCCATGTTCTAAAATATCATTTTATTCATTCTGAGTATTTGAAAACGCCAAAAAAATATGGCCTCTATCATGCCTCTTTGAATGGCGTTTGCAGAGAAGAAAATTACGTAGTATTGAGCGAACTATGATTCATTTAATGCGCTCAGACTTCATTCCGCCGGTTAAACAGCGGTGCAGAGTGAGGCAGATGACCGGACCAAGATGGCGGCCGCATTTCTCGACAGCGCCCATTCGTGGTAGCGGCCGATGCGGGGTCTATCTTTTATTATGTCTATGGGAAGAAGTGTCCTGCTTCCGTAGTACACGCCCCCATGAAAGACATTTCCGGTTGTAGCTCATCACGCACGGGTGTGCCAAAGTTTACCTGGCTGAGAGGAGCGTCTCCATAGCGAATTTGTTTTCATTTTATACTTCAAGAGATACTCATCTCAAAGGAGGAAACTTTTCATAGATCTGGGAGCAGCTGGAGAAACTGTTTTTAACACTCGCACACTGCTGCAATCCACCGGAGTAACCGAATATGATGAAGATGTAAGAGATATCTCATGGAAACAGCAGAGGGCAGCAGTACGCCTCGGATGCGTCCAGTCTGCCAAAACCGTAGAAGAAGAAGAAGAGGAGACGCAAGATGCAGCTGAAAGAGTTTACAAAATGAGGTAAATCAAGAAAGAAAAAACAAACAAACACCGACGCGCTACAGATGATTTGCGGATCTTTAGATGTTTGTGTCTTTTGTCAGTGTTTGTGTACTGTTACCGTCACGAGCCTGTCCCTTTAAGTAGGTGGCTTATGGGTAATGTAGGCAGAGATAGTCTGTTGTGTTTTTGTAGCTCTGAATGAAAGTACACTTTTCAGAAGTTACGCTCCATCTTTACAATGTTTTCTCCTGACATGTCAGCCAGTTACCAGTCTTAAACGAGCCAAAGTAGCTGTCCCACACCACGGTTAGGGACGAGGTAGCTCAAAAGGTAAACACCTTTAATATCTTGCTGTGTCTTCCTCCCACACACCCCATGGCTCCATATATCCTAGGATAATTTGGCAATTTGAGGACATTAGAACCTAAAGGCGAAACATCAGATCATGGCTGAACTCGTTGGTTGCGTATGAAAATTCTGACTTGTATTCCTGGCCCAGAAACAGTTTGTGATGTAGAAAAAAAAAGTCATCTCACTTTCTAACAGCGTATGTAATAAATAACAGAGGTGATTAAAGATAAAATTTGAAGAGATGGAAGTGTGTTCAGGATGAAAGTAACGTGTGTCTTCCTCCCCAGGTAGAGAAACACCACCCAGAACCCACAAGCTCTGCTGGACTTGGAGCTGTGTTTGGCTGACACACAGTCTGAGGTGAGTCTGCAAGTAACCATTGACTTTCTAACACTTGTTATTTTCCAGTCTAACCACTTTAGGGTCAGATCTCAGACCCCCATCAGATCGTTTTTTATTTCTGAATAATGCAAAGCTTGAACAGCTGGCGCAGAGTTGTTGAAGTTATAGAAAAGTGTATCTTTTTACGATATGAACAACTGGTAGGCCAACAAACGGAGAAGTGTACATATTCATTTGTTCAGGAAGATGGTAGTGAAAATGTCTGGTGGAAGAAAATACTCCAGACTCCACATGTCTTGTACATTTGTCAGTAATCCTTTTCTTCTCTCCTTGGCAGGCATCTGGAGGCGTGTATGAAGAGTTCATCGACTCTCCAAGTCTAGATAATGTCCACAGCTGCTATTGCGCCCTGCAGGTCACTGTCCATACATACAGGAATAATGTAATATTTTATGCTGCACTATGTTAAATCTGTACATCATTTTTGTTGTTTTAGCAATGCTTTTTGTTGTCTCTTAGGGGCGAGTGGAGTCTTGCTCTGGAAACTGTCTAGGCAAAGAAAGGAATGAACTCTCTGTATGACAATGAAGAGGTGAGTGAGACTCAAACTGGACCAGGTTCTGATGTATAATGAGGATGAGTTTCTGCCATAGACTGTATATAGAACGGACGCCGTCTGCCTCCTCGCTGGGTGAAGCCACCCTGAGAACAGTACCCGCTGCTGACGGGTTGCAGTGTAGGTTGTAAATTCTGCCTCTGCCAGCAATCCTTAATGAGCTGTAGACAAAGGTTAGAGATGTATTACACTGAATCTAAAATTTTCTCCCCCTTGGTTGTGATGTTGACATGTAGTTACTGTAAGAGTGGTTTGTGCTCAAGTCCTCTTTTTTTTCTGTACAGCTCCATTTTTCAAAGTTATTAGGGGGTTCATGTTTTCTACGATTGACACTTGATACAGCCTACGGGTGTATGAATATTGCGTTAGCAGAGTGTCATCACAGCGGCTCTCAGTGAGTCTCCAGCCGAATGCGTACAACGCTACTGCGCAATGTCGGTTCCACGAAGTGGAGGAAAAACCTGGATAAACTGAGAGCTCTTGGGCTTACTGGCTGAAGGCAGAACCAAGTTGTCCATAGTATATATACATGATGAACACACAACTGTTCCCAGTGATGGGTGAGGTGAAAGTGATAGGTGGATGAAGGAGAAAACTGTTTGTTTAGAGAAAACATACATACAATCATCTCCACATCTGAGTAACTTATTAATGTGCACTACAGAAGAGTCCAACTTCAATGATACATAATACATGATACACAACACAAGATACGGTTATCAACAATGAAATAATTGAGTAGTATTATAAGAAAGATCAAAAACTGTCTGTGTATTACTGACAGCACATATGTGTGTATGTGATAGTGCAGGTGGCAATAAAAATGTGAAAAGTTGTGTGTTTTTTGTGTCTTTTGTGAATGCAAAAATAGTGATAGTGGGAAGTGTCATCCAGCGGGAGAAGCTGCTGTAACTGAGTTGAATCTCATCACTATTCTGCTGAATATGTCCAATGCTACTGTGCAGTGTTGGTTTCAGGACGTGGATAAAAAAGCTTTGAAATCTGGCAAAAGGCAGAACCAAGTTGTCCATAGTATATACAGTCTATGGTGTGTCTGTGTCAATGAATCATTTTGTTGTACTGTCTGTGTGTGAGGATAACTACAAACACATGGACAAACAGAAAGACAGGAAGAGAGATACTGGTTCGACTTACATTGGGTTGGGGTCTGGTCGGTGCAGATCCACTAAATGATTTATGATTGTAATTTCTTGGAGATGTAGTTTTAAATGGTGTGAGATGACTATAATTAATCCAAAATACCTTGCACATTGCCAAATGACGAACTAATGTCTGGTTTTAATATGATATGAAAGTGTGAATGGAATGCTAATAGTTGATAAAATCCAATAATTTGGAAATATCATGCAAGTCATGCCAACAGTCACAACAAGATGAAACTAATGAATGTAATCAGCCTCTGTGAAGTGAAAGCAGTAAGTCACCTGTTCTGATGATCCCTATAGAGATATTGTCCGGGCCAAGAACAAATTCTGAATATAATATAGTTATTTGACAGCATACAGAATATTGTGGTCATCATTAAGGGTATAAAATGAGTGACTATCCCTTTATCATTAGACATCTCCCAAGATGTAAAATCAACTGTGATAGGATTGTTATAAGATCTATGAATACATTTGTCTTAGATGTCACTGTTGGACCACGCCCCTATTTCTGACGCTTGATGTAGTCTGAGGTGAACCATGTGTTTTACCTTGCTTTTCCAGCGAAGAGTAGATGATTCCGAAAAAGATATTTCAACATGGAAATACCTCCATATTAGGCTGGTGGTGTGCTTAAGAGGTATAGGTACATAAAGAGTCCACCCAAATTGTGCAGTACTTAATGTACTTGTCATATTTCCATCATGCTGGCATTTCAAAAGAGCAGTGTAAATCCTCCCTTAAAAAAGACCATGTGAGACAACCAGGGGTGAAGCTTTGTATTCTATCGATTGTGTTTGGTATCTGTTGTGTAGAGCAGCACTGTCTATTCCCCACAGGATGTTCCAGGCAGCAGTATTGTGCAGCCCTGGTGAGCTGTGCTCAGTATAGAAGAAACAACATGCTCCAAACATGTTGTTGTGCCTTTCTGTGTTCTGTTTCCTGTTAATTTGGATATTGACTGTTTAGCTTCTACTGTATGTGAAAAAGCAGCATGATTTTACAGTGTAGGTTTTTGCAGGTTTACTTGTGTGTAATACAGGAAACTATATTCCACATCCAGAGTAACCAAAAATGTTGTGTTGTTACTTAATTTTGTTTGTGGTATCCTGGATGTAAGCAGGAAGTGAGAACAAAAAAGGTTGAATGAAATAATCAACATATTTGGACAGAGGCTCAGGGAGGCTATCATTGCCTGATATATTTGGGTTTTGGCTTGCTCCTGTACCATCCATGTCCTGGTTCCTGTCCCCTCTCTCCTGTGTTTCTGTTGGTTAGTTATTGTTGGGAGGCAAAAGAAGTTTGATGTGTCGCCTGTTGTTGTCGTTGTCTTTGTCCTTGCTGCTTGACAAGTTAAAAGAAACAGTTTGTGGGTGTTGTAGATCATGCCCTTGTTGTAGTCTACAGTGTCTCTGTGGAATGTTATGTTTTATTTGTTGATACTTTGTGTGTATGTCATCATGCCGTGAATTATTTTTTGTTGTACTTGTCATGTGTTGGGATGGGCTGCCTGTTTATTTCCCTTACCACAGCTATTTCTTTGTGTATTGCTTCTCTGTCTGAGGTTGTTTAGTGTTCACCAGATGTAGGTCTAACCAATTTGCAATCTCCTTTTGGAGAAGCTCTCCTTTAAAAGTCGCTATCACAACCTAGCATATGTTTTCTTGACTTCCTGGTGAAGGCTTGACGGCGGAATGCCGAGAAGTTTGCTTCTAAGGTTTACATGACTGTGCTGCTGAAAAAAAGGCAGTGGATCAAATATGTCTGAACAGTTTTCTGTAACACCACACAGTCCTGTGGACTCAACATGCTGGGGGTCAAATGTCATGGTGATCATGCAGAGAGTGTGTGTGTGTGTGTGTGTGTGTGTGTGTGTGTGTGTGTGTGTGTGTGTGTGTGTGTGTGTGTGTGTGTGTGTGTTTGTGACTCAGGTAGATGCTGCTGCTGCTGGAGATGGATCAGAGTGTTTCCTGTTGCTGGATACCTCAATCTGACTGGATCATGAAAACTGTGTGCACGTATTCACAGAGTGAGTGGATTCACATGCAAAGATAAACACTGTGAGTCACAGAGAGCTGACAGTGTCTGACATAAAGTGTAAAACTCTTTTCCAGATGTCTGTATGGTGAGGAGAAGAAGCAGGAGGAAGGGGAGCTCAACAGGAACAGGCCATCCATGTGACTGTGGTGAAGAAGATCTGTATCAGTGACAGACTGTTTTGTGGCCCAATCCAGGTTCCTTAGAGCAGCTTCTAACTGAGTCCAACAGGTGTGTTCAGGCAGCTGTATGTAGGTGTTGCTTTAACAGTCTGCTGCAGCAGAATATAGTCTTTGTTTGGTGTGAATGTTTGTATGTGATCACTCTTCATTGTCAGCTGCAAATGCAGAACCTGCAGGTTGTGCAGGTGGGGGTTATTATGGACTGTAATCAGCTACGGCCTAAAGATCAGCCATCCAGCTGACTGTCTTATCGGGCCAGAAGTAGTGAGAGACCGTCTGTTGGTGTCTTGCAGTAAGGTCTTAGCCTTTATCATGTGGAGGCAGAGAGTTGGGTTCTCCATTTGTTAGACCAGTTTGACTGTATGTGTCCACTGTAGGAGCTTTGAGGTGTTTGCTTTCCACCAACCGAAGCTCTGTGTTTGACAAAGTCTTTGCTGGCCCTGACGGTCACTGGTGTCCTGAACTGTCCTACATATGTATGGACGGAGAGTGTGAGCTGCCTCCAGGAGCTACAGTGGGGGATGTTCAGAGTTAGTTGCCAGAGTGCTATCATGTGGCCTGTCAGTGGTCACCATATGACTTGAGTGAGTGAACACTGAGTACAGGAAACAAGATATGTGGTGTTTGGTTGACTGTTTCAGGGCAGTTGATCTTAAGACTAATGTGGGCTGTTTGTGCACTTGTCTTTTATCAGGTGCGCCTGTGCACGTGTTCCCATTGGACTGGAGTTTTGGTATGGTCAAGGTTGGAGGTGGAGCTAGGATGGAGTTTGAGAGGAATGATGAGCTGAGACCAGACATGAAGGCGAGTTTGTGTTTGTTTATTGGCAATTGTAGGTGTAATTTTCTGGAGTCAAAGTTTGAGCAGCTACAAACCACAGGAGCTTGATTCAGTGAAGAAGCGTAGCCTCAGAGCAGACATGGTTGACTCAGATCTGACACATGTTTAAGGACACCTTAGGTGTTCCCACATGTTTACTGAGGAGCATGCAGGAATGATGTTAACCAAAGTTTTCTCTTGTTGTCTTCTCTTGTCTTCTTACAGGTTGGTGGTGTGAACAGAGTTGTCTGTAGATCATCAATCACAAAAGGAGGTAGAAGGTTTTGGAGGTCCAGTTCCATGTCCAACAAAGAGCTGAGCAAAGTGTTAGCTGAAGGCCCAGCTGAGGGCCATCAGGTTAATGTGAGCATGGAGGCACCAACCACCATGGAAAGCCAACAGACACGGAAGGACTTGCCTTAGAGATAGAAGGTGTCCTGGAGGTAGAAGATTGGATGAGGGTTCCCAGGAGCGGAGCTGGCAATTGAATGTAAGTGGATATTTCAGAGCATAGTGGAAGGATGTGTGGCCTTCCCGGCGCCCTTCCCCAGGCTGACTTGCACAGGTTGACTTGCTGGTCTTTGCAAGTACGGTCTTCGCACAGACGGGCCGACGCACACGGGCTGGCGCCCAAGGGTCAACTGTGTCTACTCATATAGCACCTACCCGCACAGCTGAAGCCCACTTCGGCAACGGCACACAGGTGAAACTCCTTACGCATCAATGCATCGCCTGTTTTCTCCCTCTAGCCCGCCCATCAAGAGTGGAAGGTCACATCGATCAACGGGAACCCCTGACTTCACCCACAGATTCAGCATTGACCAAGGGTGATGATGCACATCTGAAACTCATTAGTCATCAATGAGGCAAACTACAGAAGGTGGGAACCACCTCCATTAATCCCACCCGCCAATCAACAGGAATCCTAACCCATGACTACACCCAAAGGCTTGGCTGTGGGCCTTGTACGCATCAGCACTGTTGGCTCTTGGTGTACTGTCCATTCTGTATGTCATTACCATAAGATGTGTATGTCTGACTGTACCCATGGTTGTCTGACCCAAGCCCAAATAAAAGACATGTGACACATCCTGTGACAGTCAATCTCTGATTCCCTCACCTCTGTCTGCTCTTCAGTACCCATTTGTGTTGCACTAACCCTTTATTACACATGTATTACACATTGACTCTGATGACCCCTTCTGGCTGGAGCCGCCACCCCCCACACACACACACACACACACACACACACACACACACACACACACACACACACACACCTTGGACCTTGACTCCATTATCACCCTGAACACCATCACTGACATGCTCCATGGAGACATTCCTCCAAAGAACATCACTGTTTCAGGGTCTGGCTGGTTACACAGTCCATATGAAGCTGCTTCAGGGACACATGACTAAAGGGAAAAGTCAGGGAGGATAAGGAGACCATGGACACTGAACTGAGTCACAGCATCAAGAGCCTCAACACATAGGCAGGTCCAGGACATGGACTACCACTGTTGCTGCCATCAACACACTCACAAACTACAGACAACACCATCAAGAGCCTCACCTCACCTCAGCTAACAAGCACTGGAATATCACTTAAACATCCAAAGTCATGCTTTGAGAAGACCATCTTTGGAGCTGCAACCCATCTGAACATCAACATTCCTGAGTATGGAGGAAGATCACAAAGGGACCACAATCCAAGGTGCTTGAGATCCAGCGTCAACTTTCCACTATCTGCGATAGAGTGAGATGCAGTATCATCAGCTGCTCATAGTCTACTGTGTCTGATCCACTCACGAAAGACACTTTATGAAGACACAGGCTTCTACAATCAATCTATCAACTTTTATCCATTGAGCACCATCTCTCAACTACCACTACCTCAAGATACTCTCCAAAACACCAGGTCAAGACCTAACCCTTTGTTAGATCTTTGTTACATAGACCCAACCTCAATATGGCCACAACATGAGTCCATCAACAAACATGTGACAGATTCAGATGTTTAACTTTTTCCTCCTTACTGACATGAGGATAATGATGATTTACAATGATGATGATGATGATGATGATGATGATGATGATGATGATGACAACACTAATAATTAACTTTATTGAACTTTATTTCATTTACAATTTTTTGAACAGGTACCTGCAGACCAAACAGTCATCTCGTCTAAACACACATTAGTTAAACTTTCATCCATTTTATTCAGGACAAAAATCCATCCATCCATCCATCCATCCATCCATCCATCCATCCACATACTCACCACACATATACACACTCATTCACATGTTGATAACGCAAACAACTCAGTCCTAACCTTTATTTGCTTTACTATCATTTCACATTGACATCACCAACCCCATACCTGAGTCACTAACACTCTCAAACTGACTCCAGGAGCTCCCCACAGGATACACCAGGTTCACCTCCTGTGTTCAACAGAGAAAAAAAACAGCCTATCAGACAAAAGGTACTAACACAGGGGAACAAGTGACAGATCACCATAACTCACAGTACTGTCACTTTACTCAACTTACTATTGTCTTTTTTTTAGGATGATTACTTTCATTTAAATGACATTTTACTAACTCAACAGCATCCCTGCATTTCAGTAGACTCTTTCTGCCCAGCACCCCTCCACAGACAGACAGACAGACAGACAGACAGACAGGTGACACTAATCACCTGTCAGAGCAAACTTAACTACACCAAAACTATAGTGATGTAACACCTTTAAAAACATAAACAGATAATTCACAGACAAACAAACAGACCTCTTTCTGCGGGTTCACTTCAACGCCTACACAGTACTAAGACACAAACACTGATCAGACCGAGGCTGACGGTTAGCCACGCGGCTAACGCGAACCTGCGTTACAATTGTTGGGTTTGTTAGTTACTGACCTCGTGAGTGACACCAAATCCCAATTCTTCACATCTTTTCATCCGCTCTTCTCTCACGATGACAAAGTTCTCAAAAAGGCGTGAAGTTAACGCATAACAAGTTATTCCGCTATCGTCGACGCGACGTCTCGGCTCCAGTTCACCGACCGGAAGGAAGCCGCGCCCCGAGCTCAACGACGTCCCAGGCGGCAGAGGGTGGAGTCCTCGGCGTCCGCCCAATGCTTCGCCCTTGTACGGTGGCCGAGAACCGCCACTGCTGCAAATGAAATAATGATACAAGTCACAACAGAAGTTACTGATGCCCAAAAAAAATACAAATAACAACAAAAGCCCGCTGCAAATAGAAAAAGGAAACAGCGCAGATAAAACGCCACAACAGAAGTTAACAACACACAAAAAAAGGGGGCAATGGAAAACAAACAAGTTACTTACTATAAAAATAAACAGAGGCCAATAAAAAAAACATTTACACCCACAACAGAAGTGAGCTGCAAGGCACCAATAATAATGATGATGATGATGATGATGATACACCAGTTTTTCATGATCTAGGCACAGAAGACAATGGCAAAAAGGTGAGCCAAGAAGTATATGGAAAGGTTATGTTTCATTTCGCTTCATAAACTTTACAGTGTATCATTTGGTCAGACCATGTAGCACAACAGTCCATATGAAGTTGAGCCAAAGTTAACACTACACCGACATCCTCCAGTTCAACTTCATATTGACTCAGGCACTACATGGCCTGACCAAATGACACATCACTGCAGATCATGTTTTACATATCAAATAAACACTTCCTCAGTTTCACCGAGATCATGTTTTTGAATTACAAATGGAGAGGCAGGTGGAGGTGACTTCCTTTAATTTTGTAGTTCGATGGTGATTCTAAATGCATGAGGGAACCTCTCAACACTTGACAACATATATCTGAGAGTTACTCTTCTGCTTCATCTGCAGCCAATCTGTTTCAGCATGCAGTTTTACACTCAGCCCCCTGATCTGATTGGCTGCAGAGCAGGAAGTGCTTTTGGACATGTTTAGCTGGATAACAGGAGCTGACCCTTTAACCACAGTGTTGAGTCAGAGATCACAAACTCGCAGTTCCTGTAAATCTCCCCTCCTCTCTCTCCCTCGGACTCCCCTCAGCTGCAGGTGGAGCTGTGCCAAAAGGACATTCAAGAGATGAATTCCTGCTTCTCCATGTCCCAGTGTGTACCACTGTGTACTAGTGTCTACCTGTGTTTTTGTGTAAGTTTGTGAGATCCTCCCGTTATCAATCATTCACTCTGTTTACAGCAGCTGATCTAATAAAGTCTTTCATATTCTGGTTCTATGATTAGATCTGTTTACTTTGGTTCACAGTCCAAAGATACTCTTCAATATCTTATAACTTTTAAAAAATCCATGTAGTCTTTTGACAAGCTTAATGTTTAATACCTAGATATACACCAGTATATATCACTGAATATAAACCCATTTACATACCTGATAGACACGTATAATTATGACTGCATATAAATGTGTAGCTGCATTTAAAAACTCACACATAAATACATTTCAATTTTTTATTACTTATTCTTGTATTTTCCTGTTTTTTTCATGGTGAAGCTGATCAAGAGTTACAGCAGAAGCTTCTCTTTTCAGCTTCAGTGTCTCGGCAGAGGTATTAAGAAAAGCCACTCTGATCAGCGCAGCCTGAACATGTGGAGACCGTTCTCTCCTCCCCTTCTCCCTCATCCTCTCTCTCTTTCCCTCTCTCCCTCCCTCTCTCCCTCCCTCCCTCTCTCTCTCTGTTCATACAGGTCGTTACCCTCTCCTCCACCCCTCCTCTTCCTCTCCCTCTGTCCACATTCAGACTCCATTACTTACACTCAGATCACTGAGGTTTCTCCAGCCGAGCTCACATCCATCCGGGGCCATGATGTGGTTTCTGCGTCTGTCCGTGGGCCTCCTGCTGCTCCACCTGGCTGCTGTGGACACAGGTATGTCCTCTGGGATGATGATGATGATGATGATGATGATGAAGAAGAAGAAAAACTAAAAGAAGAGGGACTGAGGAATTATATAGAGATAACGCAGGGGGGAAGATACGCTAACATGTCAAGGGGGAGGTGGCAGGGGTGGTGTTATGTGAGGGGGGGGGGGGGGGGGGGGTGATGACTGGCAACAGGTGACACATGACCTTTCCTTACTATGTGTGTGTGTGATGTCAACAGGTGTGTGTGATTTGTGTGGATTGACAGTCCTGTGCTTCACTCCAACACCAACATGAAGTCATTAGTGTCAGAGGAAAACATTGCCCTGCTGTGATTGGTTGTTCCTTTTCATGTAGTCATAACATACAAAGACATTTCACCGAACCAAAGCAAGGAAACTATTACACCACAGGGATACATCCTCTGGGGAACATGATGACTTTTCCCAATAACTTCATGACAACTGGTGGTAAAAGTTCAAATTACATCAGAGAAAACCTTTCATGAAATATACAGTCAGAGAAAAACCAACATGTCCAGGGATTATCTTCTGAGCACCATGAATGTCTCCACTTCATGTTACTTTTTTCCATCCAATAAACTGGCCTGTACATTGCTACACTTAAAATCACACATTTCTACTCTATGTTGCTACAAAGGACAGAATTTCTTTGAGGTGGATCCTCTGGGAACCGTGAGTTTGCACAAAGTTGTGCCTGTCAATCTGGTAAATGTCAACAAATGTTTTCGAGATTCAAGAATCTTGACCTGCTGCTATTTACCATGATCACAGCAGGATTTAACCTCCAAGCACCTAGTCCAAATTCTCGACTGACAATATTTGAAGTAACACCGATGATGGCATCAAAGACAACTCACAGTATAATCTCAGTCTCAAAAGACCATCCTCTGGGCACCGTGAATACCTCAACCTTATATGTATAGGTAAAGTATATAAAGGACAAATATGAATAACTTTTGCATTCCTGTTTTCTCACCAGTCTTCATGGACGGAAAAACGGCCAATCAGGTCCTGAACCGTCGCAGACGAGCCAACAGCTTCTTCGAGGAGGTCAAACAAGGCAACATGGAGAGGGAGTGTATAGAGGAGCAGTGCGACTGGGAGGAGGCGCGGGAGATTTTTGAAGACAAGGACAAAACTGTAAAACTCCCGGAAACAATGCAACAAAACACTCAAGTCAAACATAGTCCATCAGAACCAGATACCATTAAAAGACCTGACCTGTTAGCTGTTATCGCACAGACAAACTCAAACTAAAGTCAACAAATATTCTTCTAATCTACTTTTACATAATAACATTCAGCAATCTTAATCTGTGAAGAGCAGGAACATTCAGGCATCAGGTCAGTGCTTCGACTGTGATGGGTCACATTTCAATACCCCCGTTTTCACCTTAACACCCACACAATACCTCAATAACACTACCTAGATATGCACACGCTCTTATCTGAAAAATTCTCATGAAATCTCAACTTGTTTTCAACTTGTTTTTTTGTCCTTTCTAGGATGAATTCTGGGCTAAATATTCTGGTAAGAATAATATAATCATTACATGGAAGGTGAATGAGAGCTTGTTCTTGAAAGGTGCTATGTCGGGTGATGATGGCCTAGTAAACAACCCCAGATCTATCTTGGTAAAGTCACCTACGCCATGACCAATCTTCACCACTGATTGAGTGTGTTCATGCTGCAGATGGTGATGCCTGCGAATCTCAGCCCTGTGCTTTCAATGGAATTTGCAAAGATGGACTCGGCGGATACACCTGCTTCTGCCAGCCTGGGTACAGGGGCTACAACTGTGAAATCGGTACGATCGGGCTTCCTACCTACTCGGCTACCGCAATAACCGCCACACCACATTTTAGTTCTCAGTCATGGAACGCTTTAGTTGGGATAAATTTCCAGGGACAGGTTATCCGATACAGGGACTGTCCTTGGAAATCGGCAATGTCCCCTCTGTCAATGCTCTTGTTTGAAATCCCTGTTTGTGACCGTGTTCCCTCTGTCCTTTCAGTCGTTCCTCAGCTCTGTCAGACTGAAAATGGAGGCTGCCAACACTTCTGCCACATTGTCCGAGATTATGTTAAATGTTCCTGCGCTGATAAATATTACCTTGGATCAGACGACAAGTCCTGCTACTCCAACGGTGAGAAGGACTCTGCCGACTATGTGATCTTACTACAGTCAAGCTGTATCATATGTCTCTCAGGTTTTAATGCTCAAAACTTCTCTTGCAGAAACCTTCAAATGTGGTGTCATCATCACCGGCGATATCCGGAATCTTTTCAGGTACGAGTGGGGGAACACCACTAAACCGGCATCCGACCTGACAGATCTCAACGCCAACTCTACACACCTGGGGAATGACAACCTAACATCATCTCAGAACAGCACTGACCTCCTCTTACAACAGACAATTTTGCCCAAAGAGATGGTACACGAGCAACGCCACACCTCACAAAAGGCAACCTTCACTCGCATCGTGGGTGGGGAGGAATGTCCACCTGGAGAGTGCCCGTGGCAGGTAACCGCAAAAGAGAAACACTTCACAACTTTTTCACAGTTCCCCAATAATGAATCTGAGGTGTCATCATGAGTAGGTAGTCACAATAACTTGGAGTTACCAAATTATTCGTTACTTTCTCCATTGGTGTTACTGTCAACACAGAAAGTCTATAGAAAACATTTGAGAACAAATGCTTCGGTTATGGTTCAAACTACCTTCAACTGATGGATAACATGGTTATTTAGTAGTTTACCTAATTTACCTGTCAACAGTTTACTAGTAGTTCATTGCAAATTAACAATCAATAACCTTGCAACATAGGTTACTTTGTCTACCTTTTCACTAATTAAGTTCTGGAAATGTAAATGAGGTCAATAACGGAAAATGCAGAGGCGGAAAAACACCGTCAAAGAGTTCACCTCTCTCTGTAGACTCAGGACTCCGGGGAGTTTTTGCTGTGAAACTATCTCTGGCTTTAGAGGGAACAAGTTCATGGGATGGTCCAGACAGTATTTTGTTCAGTTAAATCTTCACAGGCTCTTCTGGTGAACGAGGAAAACGTTGGCTTCTGTGGAGGAACCATCCTGAATGAATACATCATCCTGACGGCTGCCCACTGCATGAACCAAACACGCTTCTTCACGGTCAAGCTCGGTAGGTTGTTCTGCAGGACGTCCGGGTGTTTCCTGACCGAGGCGGTTCTTTCAGTGGTGGTCGACTAAAATCTGTCTCTGCTTATTCAGGTGAGTTCAATGTCTTGGAGGAAAGCGATGATGAAGTTGTCCACCAGGTGGAGACAATGGTCACCCACAGAGGATACCGACCGGACACCTACCACAACGACATTGCGCTCCTCAAACTGATCCAGCCCATTAAGTTTACCAGGTTCATCCTGCCGGCCTGCTTACCTGAGAGTGACTTCGCAGAAGAGGTGAAACTCAAACAGTTCCTTTGAACTTTAAACATCGATTTCGCACTGAAGTGACAAATCGTAAACATAAACAAGCAAAATGTAGTCCCGTTTCTGGTCTTTTGGTAAGCCAAGCTGAGGTTGACCAATCTTCTCATCCCCGCCCAACAAAATGAGAATATTTAGCATCATATTGCCAATCAGAGTAAATTTACAGTTTCTGTAACACAGCGTTTCCTGGTTTTCCTACAGGTCCTGATGAAACAACCGCACGGGATGGTTAGCGGTTTTGGTCGCATCGGTGAGGGTCGGCAGCCCTCACCCATCTTACAGCGCCTTACCGTCCCGTTTGTGGATCGACACACCTGCTTGGAGTCCACCCAGCTAACTATCTCCCAAAACATGTTTTGCGCTGGCTATGATCAAGAGGCCAAGGACGCTTGCCAAGGGGACAGCGGTGGACCGCATGTCACTTCGTACAAGAGCACATATTTTGTCACTGGTGTCGTGAGCTGGGGCGAAGGCTGCGCTCGGAGAGGCAAATACGGGATCTACACCCAAGTGTCCAAATTCACCCGCTGGATCAGATACGGCATCGATAGGCTGGTGGCCACCAAAGGGAACCGGCGGAAGCGGAACACCGGTCAGATCGAGAGGCTGGTTCTGTAGAGAGGAGTCCGTGAACTTCTGTCCTCCATATTTAGAGCCGCTTCTGTAATCGTTGATTGGCAGCCTTTGCCCCATAAAAACACAAGCTCTAAACTCTGTAACGACATTATTTCACTTTTGGACACTTTGAATATGCTACAACAACATCTGTCACCTTTACACTTCAGCTGTACATTTCGCAGTCAAACTGTCAGTAAATACCGCTGAGGTTCCACAGGGCGCTGTTTTGGGTCCTCTAAATTTTATCAGCCAAAAGCTCTAATTCATGACTTTTGATGATCGGCTTCTCAAGAATCTATATTCAAGGCTTTGCTGCAATATTACCAAAATTATATTGAGGAGAAAATGAACATATGAATTCTTGTTTCATGTATTTCTATCAGTCTGTTTCCAATATGAGCTTCTTCAACTGAATTGTTAAAAATAAAAAATATTCTACATCGAGTTCACAAACTGTTTCTGTTTGTTTGAAAATAGTTTCATGTTTGAGCTGTCTCTGAAGAGTTGAGCATTTTAAAGGTCTTATTAGACAAATTTGACGACTCTCATTTTCAGATGAACTCATTTGCTGTTAAATTTAACATTTTTGCACAACAGTCATGTTGATAATGTGTTTTTGCACACTAACGTCATTACCTCAGGCTTAAAGTTCAGCTGGTTTGGCTGCGGCCTCAGTGTTTTGGGGGTATACGGTGATCATTATCTCCAAAAGGTTGAAAACTCTTCACTTTGGCTTTGTGGGAAAAATAAAGTTTCTATTGGCACCTAGATTTTCATTTCAGCTCTTTTCAAGCTCATTCAACTTTAAAATACTGTTGTTTGGCTCCTTTTTCAACAGTTCTTGGATTTCTAATACGACCTGTATGGTGAAATATCCTTGCATCATTTTAAATGATTAATCTCACTGATGTTTACCTTGAATAAACTAACCTGTGAGTGTTGATGTTTCAGAGGTTGGACCTGCTGCTTGTTCTGGTGGTTTGAGGACAGGCCAGAGTCCACCGCAGAAACGCACGTTTCAGTTTAACTCTTTGCAGGCAGGTGTGGATGTCCGGGTGCAAATCTGACTCCTGGGTAAAAACAAAAAAAAAGATTCTCACTCATCAAATACGTAAAAATGTCTTTTATCATAACTAAAGTTTACCGATAGAAGAGCTGCCTTCATACTGTGACAATTCACTGAATATCCCTCAAACTTCTTGTGATAGTTTTCAACAAAATTTGTTGTTTGAGTTGAGTGGGAGTGTTTCGTGTGTGTGTGTGTGTGTGTGTGTGTGTGTGTGTGTGTGTGTGTGTGTGTGTGTGTGTGTGTGTGTGTGTGTGTTTGTAAAATCAGTGTCATGGCGGTCGGTATCATGGCGGCTCGTACTCCGGTGTCTCTTTTGTCTCTCTACCTCCTCGGTTGCTTCCTTCAGGTCCTCATCCAAGGACAGGGTAAGACCTCTGACCTTCGACCTCTTCCGTTTTCTTGTCCGGAGGTTCACTTTGTCTCCAGGTTGATTATTTTCGACGGCTCATCTCGTTTCGAAGCGATTCAAACTGATAATGGGGCATCAAGAGTTAAACATGTCAAAGAGGAAAGAAAGACCTAATGTGCATCAGTGGGACCTGAAATCAGGAACACAGTTTGTAATGATTGGAACAGAAGCTGATATATTAATATTCAGACTAATAATAAAAGTTATAGATTCATTATCTAACATGAACAAGAATCTAACGAAGGACTTGAAATGAGTCAAGACAGCTGAACCTCTCCTTATGCAAAACTCTTAAAAATAATAACATATTCCGTAAATAAATAAAAACTTAAAAATATATATATATAAGAAGAACTCGAGCGTTATCCATATATTCACCTCTTACTTTTACTATCTAACTTTTGAGGTTTCGTCAAGTGGAAACTTGAGGAACTGCAGGTTTTGGCACTTCCACTTTGGCTTTAGTTTCTCCAGACTGGAGGTTATCGCATTAATTTATCCTTAACAAATACCAAAATATGTCTTACCTGCTGCAGTATTTCAAGCTCCACCCGTCAGCGACATCTTCCTGCGGTCCAAACGGGCCAATAAGTACCTGTTAGAGGAGATCCTGCAGGGGAATCTGGAGCGCGAGTGTTACGAGGAGTGGTGCACCTTCGAGGAAGCCCGAGAGTACTTTGAGGACGACGACCAAACGGTGTGAATCAACAAATGGTTCAGCTCTTTGTGAATAATGATGCTCCTTCAGAAATAAGTTCATTTTTGACCTCTGGTTCTGTTTGTTTCTCCACAGAAAGAGTTCTGGAAAAAATATCAAGGTTAGTCTCCTTTTGCTTTCACTTATTTCTACTTTCTTGTTTTCACGTCTGAAGGTATGATCTGTGTAGCTGAAGCTCCTCCAATTTCACCCCGGAATATCCCTTTAAGTTCACTTTCTTCTCCTCTGATTGGTTTGATCGACTCAGAAAGTAATCACTGTGAGCCAAACCCCTGCCTCAATGGGGGGATGTGCACTGAAACAACAGGCGGGTTTATCTGCTTATGCCCCAACCCATACTACGGTAAGACCTGTGAATTGGGTTCGATAGCGCTGGATGACGTAAACCTGGAAGATGGAGGAGACCCCCCGACAGCCCCGCAGATCAACGTGGCAGGTTTGACCCCATGAACCGTAACCCCTTTTTTGAAGTTCTGGTATCATCTGCTTCAGCTTTTCCCTCTTTTTACTTCAGAACTGTCGGAGTGTCCGACTGACGGTCCAACAGCTTGTCAGCAGCTGTGCACGGCATCCTACTACTCCTTTGAGTGTTCCTGCATACCGGGGTTCAGATTACAGAGTGACAAACGCACCTGTGAACCTAAAGGTCTGAGCCTGCCCCGCCAAAATAAAACATCTAATTAGCTTGATTATCAAACCAGGTGAGGCTGTAATCACTGATGTTTATTTTCTTAGTGAAGTTTCCGTGTGGACAAGTTCCCGGTGGATTCAACTCGACTAGATCCATGTGTCAACATGGAAAATGTCCCTGGCAGGTAGGATCGGCTCAGATAAAGACGCCATCAACTGAAAATACACCGCTGATTTTCAAAAATCGGTCCCCAGGTGTCCCTGATGAACTCCAGAGGACTGGAGCTGTGTGGTGGCGTTGTGCTGGGTCGACACTCCGTCCTGACCGCTGCTAGCTGCCTCTTCATCGAATCTGGGCCAGAGTACAACCCCAAACCTTCAGACTTCTACGTGATTGCCGGTAAATCTGACCCCACATCATCACTTTGATGATTTTAAAGGTCTTTCACGTTAAAGTCACCTTCGAAACTCTTCAGCTGACACTGTCTCGATGATTTTTACCTTTCTAGCTCGAAGAGGGTTGGCAATCAAGGTCCGTGCTCTCTACATCCACAGTCGATATCGTAAGAATCACCATGACAATGACCTCGTCCTCATTGAACTCGCCGTCCCCGTACCCTTCAGCTCCCGAAGCATCCACCTCTGTCTGCCCACGAAGGACTTCTGCGAGAACATCCTGATGCAGTCTGGGAGGACGGGAATCGCCATGAGAGAGGAGTACAGTCCGACGGAGCAACTGGTCTACATGACCCTGGACGAGTGTCGTGTTCAGCTGAACGCCTCACAGCCACTCAGCAACAAAATGTTCTGTATGAAGACTCAACATGAGCCTTCAGGGACCAGAACGAGAGCTCAGAGGAGCTTACATGGACATGTAGGGAGTCAAAACGAAACCCAAGGGGAACAGGAAGGACTTCTGAAAAACCAAAATGACACCCAGAAGCGGCTGAGCGGACAGGGTGTGAACCAGAGTCAAACTCTGGAGAGTCAAAACGCAGCAGGAGACACCGACAGGTGCGGATATAATTTTTGTCTTGAGCCTGAGGAGGACAGTCGGTTAAGAGACGAGGTCGACAGCAGGCGGTGTGATGGTATCTTACAGGGGACGCCTGTTGTTACCATGGACCAAGGGACGGTGTTCGTGACGGGGCTGCTGATGCCGTCATCTGCGGGTTGTAATGGCGGCAGCGGCAAGCTGGTGTTTACAAAACTGTCTCGCTATCTCAACTGGATCAATCCGAGGCTGGAGGTCGTCGAGGATCGCATGACCCCGCAAGTCAACCAATATCCCGGAAGTGACTGACAAGCTGCCCACCGCCGTTTTCAAACTCTTCTTAGGCTATATTCACACTGCCATATTTTAACCATAACCATATGTAACCATATGTGTGTGAACAGCAATTCTGATTTGTTCTAATCTGACCCAGGCCTCTTCTGTATGTGGATATAAATCAGATATGTATCCGATGTGATTGCAGTGTGGACTATCAGGTCGCATTCGTCCGATCTATACGTCATCAAAACGCGACAATCGTCACCATTGTTTGACAACACAGACAGGCGCAGAACGCAATTTGTGCTCTGCGCGCATGCGGGTCACTTCACAGGTGTACTCCGGTCACATTAGACGCTGATTTGTTGTTGTAACATGAACGACCGCACAAAAGATTGGATTTAACAAAAAATCTGAATTGTGCATCATAACCTGCAGTGTGAACGTAGCCTAAGTCACCCTGAAAAACTGCGATCATCGACTTTTCACTTGAGTGTAACTTTAATCTGACGTGTTTGTGATGTTATCATTAAAAAAACATTAATTTACAAAAGGCCGGGATGTTGTGGAAAACATTGTTGAATTTCAAACCATCAAACTCTGATTTTATTATCATTTTTCTGACCAGCTGTTGGTTTGGCACATTTAAATGTAAAGACTCCAATACCCACAATGCACTGCTTAAGCATCCAGCCACCTTGAACCATGACTAATAAAATAATTTACAACACTGACTTTGTACAAACCAGTTTCTTTTTAATTTGACATTTTTAAACATACAAAATAAAAAAATAGAAAAACACAATCAATGACTTCAAAGCCAGAGGGAATTGTGGGTAACGTAGTCTAGGACACAGAAGAGAGCGGAGGGAATGGGTTCTGTTTACTGACCACGAGCTTCTGGTGCTGATGGGAGATGTAACCTTTGATGTGACCCTGAGAGGAAACACAGACACCACAGAAGAAGAAGACGTCAGAGTTTATCTGTTATTTAAGCACTCCAGCATGTGTGTGTGTGCGTGTGCACGTGTGTGTGTGTGTCCTCACCATGTATATGAGGTTGGCGAGGATACACTGCACCTCGTCGATGTCCACGTCCTCCACCTGCATCATCTTAAGAGAGACGAGAAAGGCGTCCAGAGGCAGCTGGTGAGTCCTCAGCAGCAGATACCTGCAGACAGGGGGCAGCAGAGGTCAACAACAACGCTCAGGTGACTGAATGATGAACAGAAGGAGTTAGGTTTGATACCCAGCAGGGGGCGCTGTGAGCAGCTGCACTCACACTTTCTTAAAGAGGTTCCTGTAGGTGATGATCTTCAGCTTCTCCAGGATGAGGAAGATCCCGCAGCGGATGAAGAAGGTCTCGTGTTTGGACAGAGCTTCGTTCAGCAGCAGCAGGTTTCCCTCGCTGATACACACACACACACACACACATTATGCCTGTGAATCTCGCTGTGTGCGTGGTGATGTCACTCCCTGTTGATGCTTACCTCACAGCTTTGGTGACGTCTGCGAACTGCATGAGGTCGTACTTCCTGAGTAACTGATGAGTCGGCATGTGACCCTGAAACAGCAACAGACTCTGTTTAAACTGGGATTCAGACCACAGTTTACTGGTGTTAACAGGAAGAAACTGGTTTGAACTGGTCAAATCTAGTATCCTGCTAGCTGTCTTACACTGAGGTCTGTTGGTATTAACTGGTGGTAACTAGATTCAACTGGTCTAAACTGGAGTAAACTGGTTTGAACTGGTACAAACTGAAGTACACAAGGATGGACTGGTGTCGGCAGGTTTAATCTGGAGTAAACTGGTGTAAACTGGTTTGGATTAGTAAAGAGCACCTTGAACTAGTATAAATGACTGTCAATCTCTATAAACTGGTATCAGCTTGAAAATTCAGTAACCAGTTTGAACTACTTATTACTGGTTTTTTATGTATTAACTGTAAATCACTCCTGTAAACTGGTATGAACTGGTTAGACGTGTGTAGGTGAGCGGTTTTCATGTACTAAAATTGCGTTAAACTGGTTCATATTGATTTTAACTGTTAAAATTGGAAAAGAAAAATATTTTAACTGGTATTAAATTATATAAACTGGTTTAAACTGGTGTATAATGGCTGTGACCTGTATAAAGTGGATTTACCCGGTTCAAACTAGTGAAATATTTCTAAGATAGGGAGTAACTGGCTTATTCTGAATTCAACAGGTGTAAAATGGTTAAAAAATTTATAAACTGGTTTATACACACAGTGTTCAACTGTACAAACGACATCAAACTGATAGAAAGTGGTTAGAACTGTAATAAACTGGTTAAGGCTGAGATTAACAGGATTAAACTGGTATTAACTGGTATGAACTGGTATTAAACAGTATAAATTGCGTTGATGCATACTATTTTACTATTTTGTGTTGTATATAGTGTACATACTTGTATATTATCTCTTCATTTTTACTTATTTTATCTATTATTTATCTCCTCTTTCTACTTTATTTGCACTGCAGTTTCTGTAACAAAAAGCAGTTTCCCCTCAGGATTATTTAAGTATTTCTGATTCTGATGACTGGTATACACTAGTTTTAACTGGTAAAAACTGTTTTTTAATCCGGCATAAACTGGTATCAACGGTTTGAATGTGTCGTGTTTCTGACCAGCAGCATCTTGACAGGCAGCAGGTAGATGAGAATCATCCTCTTGTTTTTCTGACTGGAGCGATGACAGTGGTCGAAGGCGTACGACAGGAACTCCTCGGCTGAAATCGCAGAAAGAAGATGTTTGCTGTTCAGGGACAGGACTTTCTACTCCTTCGTCATCACAAGACTTTAAATTGAAGCGGGGAGTGGACATTATTTATTATCCTCAACAAAAACAAAAGTCTGGAGTGTTTTTTTCTGTTGGGACTCTGATGAATAAATGAACAAAAACATGAAAAACAAACTTCAGTGAGTTCTCACCTGGTTTGAAGTCACTGTCAAACATGGCTTTCCGGCCCACGTAGTATTTGTAGGTGACTTTCTGAGCCGTGCTGTAGTCGTTCTTCAGGTTGGAGCTGTCGATGGCTCTGATCAGAGGCTTACACAGGTGCAGCTTATTGATCTGACACAGACAAACCCATCAATTAGGCACGACTCCTCTGGATTTAAATCCTCCATCATAAATACTTGTGTTTTTATTTGACATTATGACTGTAGATTATTAGAAATATTCAGGAGAGAACAATGAACCCTGAATAATCACAGTTCCTCCTCAGATGTCTGTCCTGAATCAGTTCTGATCTCACATGAACCAAAAGAGTTCAGAGTCACCTTGAAGTAGATCTTGAACAGCTGATTACTCAGAAACATCATCCCCCACTTCTTCGAGTCGTCGATCCCGGCTCGGCTGCAGGAGGAGGAAAAACAAAGAAAGTCCACGATGAGAGTTATGATGCTGCTTTTTCAAAGATCTGACTCATAACAGGTAATGGACACAGTTTAGTTTCTCTAAAACTCTCAAACACAAACAAACTGTGTGTAGCTGTGCCCCCGCATGTGTGTGTGTGTGTGTGTGTGTGTGTGTGTGTGTGTGTGTGTGTACTGACTTGTCGCTGGCGCACACCCTGAAGCAGCTCATCAGCTGCTCGGCGGCTTTCTCCAACATCTCCCCCGGCTGACCTTTACTCTTCTTCTGCAGCTGCTGCTCTGCCTGAACATGAGGTCAAAGGTCACTAACATCATCACCATCATCATCTGAATCATTCGTGTGTCTTACATTGTTTGCAAATATCCTGAGATCCAGAGTGACGGCGAACATCACCGGGAGAGCCCTGAAGCAGAAACAGGAGAGTGAAAATCTTCCTCCACACTGAGCTGATGTAAAGACTTAAAGTCAGAGCATCGCAAACATTAAACTCACAAACACAACAAGCATGTAATCAGCTGCTGACATGAGGGTCTTTGTTGGAGAGTCAGGCTAACAGCCTTCTGTCTGGACTCACCAGTTTTCTTCTTTGTGGGATTGGAAGGCTCTGAGGAAGGACGTGATTGGTCAAGGAGGGACACTGGTTCATCATAAATAATTCTTATTATTATCATTTATAGTTATTGGTTTGTTTTTTTATGTTTCGTTTGTTTCCTGGTGAAGGATATTGGACGACAAGGGTCTGGAACTTGTAGGCTTCAACAAAGTCATGATTGGACACTGCGTAGGTACACCTGTAACACACACAAACACACACAGTGCTGTTATTATGGTTACGTTGCAGTTAATCTCAAACTTCATTCAGCTGAAATAGAAACAAACAGAGTCTCTTTCAGCTTCTTAAACGGGGAACATCCGTGCTTTTCCTCCTTTAAACTTCAGCCACTGATTGAAAACCTGATCAACTCCTGATTTCTCTACCTGAGGTGAGCGGCGACCATCTCGTCGTACGGCGGCTCGAGCAGCTGTTGACATTTCTCCTCAGGACTGGCCAGCTGAAACACACACACACACACACACACACACACACACACACACAGGTGAGACCCCATCCCTGCATTTCTGTGTCTGTTGACCTGAGTGGGCGGGACCTCACCTGGAGCCGAGGGTTGGCGACATGCGGATGTTTGAAGGAGAGCAGCTCAGCGCAGAAGGAGCCCTCGTGGTTCTCGATGGCCTCGTAAACCTGCAGAAGTAAAACACCAACGAAGAAGAAGAAGAATAAGCAGAACTCATGGTCACAGATCACAAGAGATCTCACTGCATCAAGATCAGCTGCAAACTTTAAACCAGACTCCACTGAACACCCCAAACAAGAGCCTTATGTTACCATGGTTACAGGTCATACTAATAATAAGCTGTTTACATATATATATATGAGGTGAAAGGTTACCTGCTGCAGGTACTGGTTTATAGTGATGTGAGCCATGAGAGTCTGCAGAGATCAGCTGCAAAACCTGAAAACCGTTAAAACAGTGAATTACAAAGTTCCCTTTAAAACTCATTAAATATCTGTGATTCTGAAGGTTAATTAAACTGCTGCTTTTACTGACAGCTTTACTTCATTAATGTGATTAACTAAGATCATCTTTAAGGTTTCAAAAGTCATAAAAACAGAAAAATAAGATCTCCAGAGAGCAAAACCCAGCCTGAAAACAGTCATTCATCATCCATCTTTAGTAGGAAATTCACTTTAAACGGTCTTTTTCGATCTTTATGGTGGAAATGAAAGATTAAAACTCACCAAAATACCTTTATAAAATCCCCCAAACCCCCAAATCAGACAGTTTTTTCTTCATTCAGGGTTAAAAGAGAAAAACTTCAACACGTCTGAGATGCTAAATCTGCAAACCGCTGTAGCTCAACAACTTCCGGGTTACGATCGTTCGCTTCCGGTTATGTTTCAGAATAAAAGTTCGCCCGTTTCTTTTCATATTTAAGTTAAAAAACACCAACCGTGGCTGTCGTAGTGTTTGTTAGTGAATAGAGTTCGTATAGAAACACAAACAGAGCCAAACTTTATATCCTGGCTAAAAGACTAAATCACATAGTTGTCTTATGTTTGTTTATGTTTGTTTTATTGTTCATCCACCTACACTGTTGTTACAAAATGGTGAATTATTATCAATTCTGCCGTATGAGAAGTTATTCAGTGTACTTTAAGAAACATTTATATGCTCATTTCACATTTGATGACTTTTTGGTGGTAAAATAATGATTAATAAAATTATTTTAAGTCAAATGGGCTGTTCAGAGAGAAAACAGGTCTTGAATCAAAACCCACTCATAAGTTAAGCAATTTTATATAAGTTTTATACATAAATACATTTAATTAGACACCCGAGAGATGAATGTTTCCGACTGCTTGCTTCTCTAGTTACACCAACTTTAGTAACGACCACAGGGCAGTAATACACAGCAGTCCCAGGAGGCACACACTGAACCAAAACGCCACTCTATAGCCACAAATAATGCTCAGAACAGCACCTAACTTCATCAACAGGACATATAGGGTCACAGCCATAATACTAGACACCAAACATCTTTTTAACTTTGCCTGATTTCTTTAGCAAATAGACTAAACACAACTCACCCACTCTTTTCCGGCAGCCACTTGTTTGTACAGAGACCCCCAGGTGAGTCCATCAACTACAGCGAGGTGCCGCAGCTCAAGGAAGAACATTTATGATCATTTCTTCATGGAAATGCAATCAGACCGAGACTCTACGGCAGAGGAACTACCGCATCTGCATTGCAAAATGATTAATATGGTGATTATTACTTTAAGGAAATGATGAAGAAATGATCATAAATGTTCCTCCTTGAGCTGCGTCACCCCGCTATTATCGATGGATTCGCCCTGAGGTCTCTGTACAAACAACCGGCTGCTGGAAGAGAGTAGGTGAGTTGTGTTTAGTCGCTTTGCTAAAGAAATTAGGCAAAGTTAAAAAGATGTTTGAACCCTATATGTCCTGTTGATGAAGTTAGGTGCTGCTCTGAGCATTATATGTGGCTATAGAGTGGCGTTTTGGTTGAGCGTGTGGCTCTGAGTATTGCCATTGTGCAGTCGTTACTAAAGTTGGTATAACTAGAGAAGCAAGCGGTTGGCAACGTTCATCTCTCGACGGGGTGTCTAACTCGGTGTGTTTGACCCTAAATTAATTTTACACCGGAATATCTCTTTAAATCTAAAGTGAGTCGTGCATTACAAAACAAAAACGCAAACAGTGTTTTGTGTGGTTGTACGTATTTAGACTTTGAGTATCCTAAAAAAAAACGAAAAACTAACGCATAGTTATTATTTTTGAGCCTTTATTGACACCGAGCAGAGCAACAATCTGTCGTCTCTCTCAATCACACAAGTTCAACAAACAACACAGAGAAGAATTAAACTTCGGTTCCTTCAGAGACAGCAGGGTCAGACAGGAAACACTTAAATCTCATTTTCATTTCTTTGATTTTATTTTTTTTGCATCAGGGGAACCTTTAAAGGACGAGAAACAGCCAACAGGAAACATGCAGTGACCAAAATAACAGACAAAACTGACTTTTTTTTTTAATCACTAAATGTGACTGGACACTGGAGGTGTCAATCAAATGTAAATCTTTTTTCTTAAATGGATGGTCTGTACAGATATTTACATATTTGTGGTTGGAGAAATTAATTTTTTTCCCTTACAGCGACAGTTGAATGTAAATTTATGTTGGTGAGATCATACGTCAAAGTGTTTTTGTTAAATATTTAAATGCCGATGTTCCTCCTCAGAAAGAGTGGGTGGAGCCATTTGCCCATCCGGCCCCGCCCACTCTGCTGTGGCTGGGAGGCTGCATGAGACTCTCGCTGCTGATTGGTCCATGGAGAGCAGTGCAAGGTGAGTGGGAGGGGCTTAGCTCACCGCATCCAACTGTCCAGAGACACGGGAACTGACTAAACACAAACAAACCCATATTAACACTCATTTTAGTTTAGTTCATCAAGTATGATTTATTTTTAATAAAAAGGTGATATTTTAATTTTTCCAAATGGTATAAAACAAGCAAGTTAAAATATTGAATGACAAAGTTTCATCTGCATAAAATTTGCTCAGTTTGTGACATCACAAGTTGGTGAATCTCCATATAAGGTCAAATTTGGAACTGCTAATTTCGTTCCAGAAACCTTTAAAGTGCCTTAAAGAGACAGTACTCAAGATGAGTGCTTTCAAAAACACCAATCTGGGATAAATGTGGATTTCTTAGAGCTGTCAATCACACAGAGCCGATAACAGGGGCTAAAAATGAGCACAATACCGCCTCTTTAAGTTTACCATATAAGGTCATGGGTGGGGCCTCACCTGGAGTTGTGAGGAGGAGGCTGTGAGGAAGGAGAGCTGCTGGTTAGAGGGAGGGAGGTGGAGGAGGACAGAGAGGAGGAGGAGGAGGTGGGACGGGGGGAGGAGCCGCTCCATCCGTCTGATAACACCTGAACACCTTCAGACAAACACACTGACACACACATCAGAAAGAGTTAACTCCAATAAACAACAATAAAGTCTACACACACACACACACACGCACACACATTTGAACAACACACTCAAAGTTACCTGAGGAGTGTGAACGGTGGGGCAGGTAGGCAGTGGGGTACGGTGTGTGTCGCCCTGGGTAACCGTGGTGTTTGTAACCGTGGTGATGATGCGATGTCAGCGGGATGCCGCTGCCGTAGGGAAAAGCTCCGCCCCCTCCAGCTGAGCACAAAGACCAACCTAACACACACACAAAAACACACTAATATCTCCACAGTAAAGAAAGTTTATTCTTATTTGAGACTTAAAGACCCACTCTGATGAAAATCATATTTTTCTTGTTGTCTGCATGTTCATGTTTCATTTTTCTGATACTGGAGGACATATCATGAGAAAAAGAAGTGCAAAATTGCATTTCTGAGTATTTCTGCATTCAAATCTCTGTGCAGACCCAAACGGAAGGTTCAGATACAGTGAGATTTCATACGTAACCAATCCAAGCTCCGCCCCTGGAGCCCGGCTATACAGGCCAAACTCTGAGAAATAAGAAAAGACGAGCGCGGAACAAGGTTGTTCTTCCAAACAAGCAGCAGCACACCAGACTTGATTCATTTCATCAGCTGATCTCAGTCCTCAGATGGCTGATTGGTCAGACTGCGTGCTCTTAATTGGTTAGAAGAAAAACCTGCAGCCACACCGGCCCTTTGTGGAATAGTTTGGACATGCCTGCTACATACTGAAAATTTACCCTTATATAAAACGTCACTAAATACAACACACTGCACCTTTGAGTCAGTGTTTCAAATGTGTTTCAAACATGTTTCAATGTTTATGTAAAGATCCAGAAGTTAAAATGATTAAAAAACATTTAAGTTAGTGATTCTTTTTACTCACAGGGTTGAATTCCAGCACGACTGTCCAGGGACTCAGCTAAACCCCGCCCACCCGGGTTCCTGAGGAGAGCCAATCAAACAGCAGCAGGACATTACGCAGTGTATGTGTGTGTGTGTGTTTGCACATAAAGCCCCCAAATCAGAAAAGTGTTATAATATATTTGTATTATTTTTACTTTGTATGTGATGAACATTTGTGATTTGAGGGCGTACCTTTCTTTGGCGTCCAGGAAAGCTTTAGCAAACGGGTTATATTTGATCTTCAGAGCTGTGATCTGCAGAAGTTAAACCACAGAAAAGGATGATTTCAAGTGTGGAAGAAGTGTGTGTGTGTTTCATGTGTGTTTTTTTGTGTGCGTACCTCCTCGTTCTGATAGGCCGTGACGGCGATGAACTGCGTCTCTTTGAAGGAAACGTTGGAGACAAGTCGATGGCGTGAGCCGACACACACGATGTGGAGCTGAGGCTCGTATTTATGGAGAGAGTTCAACATGATCTGCAGACACAGACACACCTGATCACACCTGTGACACTCATCTACACACACTTTTTTAACTACTGCTGTTGATCACTGTTAAGTACTGCCTGTTTACAATCTTATTTAAAGGGATATTCCAGTTAAACCAACTTTCGTCGTTACTAAAGTTGGTTTAACTTGAGAAGTAAGCGGTCGGCAACATTCATCTCTCGACGGGGATGTCTAACTCGGTGTTACGGTGTGTCTGACCCTAACTTAATTGTACGCCGGAATATCCCTTTAATCTGATTATACAAACATCACGTCCACCTGTAGGTTATCCACAGCACTCAGTCTCCTCTGATCCGTACCTGCTGACGGTTCGTTTCTCCTGAGCTCAGGTGTGAAAGTTTGAAAAGCTTTTTTTTTTTTGTACTTTGACTGAATGAAAAACAAACAATCAGATCCAGGTGTAGTTTGAGTCTGTGAGGAGAGTTTGTGGAGTGGAGCCATCTTTGTCTTTTGGCCCCCAAACACTCTTTCATCCATCTGTCGTCCATCACTCCCCCTCCCCTCCTCCCCCTCACTAACGAGCTCCAATTAACCAATCACAGCTCTCCAGGCCGACACACAAAAACAAACTGTTTTCTATTCAGATGAGAGGCTGGCTGACCCCGCCACTCCGTCTGAACAAGCGTGTGTGTGCGTGTGTTCTTGTGTGTGTGTGTGTGTGTGTGTTTACCCTGGCAGTGCCCACATTAGCTGGAGTGTGTGTGAGTGTGTGTGTGTATTTTCGAATATAGTTTACCTCTCTCTCTCTCTTGTCCACCTGAAGCATGATGGGTAAATTAATTTCCCAGTAAAAAACATAATTACCATAATGTACAAATAAGCTGAGCAATTATTTCATTATGGCCGAGCTCTCTGTTCCAGCTCTGCATTACTGCGCGCATGTGTGTGTGAGTGTGTGTGTGTGTGAGTGTGTGTTTGGACAGGAACAATGGGGTAAATATAAACAACATTATTGCCAATTTTGTAGTGTGCGTGTGCGCATGCATATGTGTGTGTGTGTGTGTGGAGGCCTCTCTGAGTGGTGAGCGGCTCTCGACAGGAAGTGCATTAAACCGCCGCTGGCCAATTAAGAGCTGTTTATCCCGTTCCCGTGGTTACGAGGGGGCGAGCAGGTGAAGTGAGCGGGGAGAGGGACTGAAGTGGCTAATTACAGGTAGTAGTCTCTCGCCCACTCCAATACAATACAGCAGGAAGAGGGAGAGAGAGGGAGAGAGAGGGAGGTAAAGACAGTCTTGATATGGAGAGGAGGATAATGGAGTGAAGAAGATGAGGGGAAGAAAGGATGGAGGAGGAAAGTGGAGCGGAGAGGAAGAAGTAAGAAGAAATAAGAGGAGGATTTAAAAATATTTGAAAGAACAAAAGTAAAAAAAGTAAAATGAAGAGCGAACAGCAAAGTAGGCAAACGAAAGAAAAACAACAAGTAAAAAAGAAGAAATAAATGTAAAACAAAGGAGAAAAAAAGAGAAAAAAAACAGCCAGGAATAGAGAAAAAGCATAAATAATAAGTTATAATCAGACTCTAATCAGATTATGATCAAAACATATTCAGATTGAAAAATGATTATAATAATAATCAGATTATAATGCAATTAAACTCATACTTTAATCAGATTATCATCAAATCAGTCATGATAAAAAAATAATGAAATTATAATTAGATTAAACCCAAATTAGAGTCAGACTTCAGCAAAATATGATCAGATTATTATCCTGTCACAGTGAGACTGTATTTAGATTGAATTCAGGTCACAGTCAGACTTTGATCAGATTAATATTGGACAGTTTTCACATATTAGGTTACATCCAGACTCTAGACAGACTTTAATCAGATGTTTATCAGATTATAATCTGATTTCAGTCAGATTATATTCACATCACAACCACATCAGGCAATGATCAGATTATGATCACATCATATTTACAGTATAGTCATATTAATATTTGATTACAGTCTGAATATAATCAGATTATATCCAGATTTTAGGGTCCGATCTCAATCAGATTATAGTCAGTTCATAATCAGATTATTATTGTCATATAATAATCATAATCAGATTACAGTCAAATTATAACCAGACTGTAATCAGATTAAATCAGATTATAATCAAACTACAATCAGATTTTCTCCAGGTTATCTCACCTGTCCTCCTCCGTTGACCTTGTTGGTTAGTTTGACCTTGTTGAAGGTCACGGCCGCCTTCATCCAGTGAGCTCCAAAGTTCGGAGAGTCGGGGTGGATGTACACGCCGCCGAGGCCCCGCCCCTCACCTCGCCCCTCTGCCCGGCCCGCCGCCACCCACTCCCCGTTCACGAACTTCCATCGACAGCCGTCAGCTGGAACGAAGTCCAACAGGAAGGAGTACATGGAGGCGGGGTTTAAACCGGACACACTGACCCTGAGGACGGGGAACATACGACTACACACACACACACACACACAAACACACACACACACACACACACACACACACATAAACACACAGTTTAAAAAATGTCCAAGTTTACACATCGAGCAGGTTGAGGACGATTAAAGTGACGAATAGAAATAAAGGATCAGCCCTTCAGTATAAAACACTCTGTTCTCAGTATATTAGAGGAAACACTGACAGAATACAGATTTAAATATTCCAGAAAAGAATGAAAACATCGACAAAATATGAAACAAACACAAACTCCAAATCTGTGAAGTTTGACTGATTAAAGCAGCGAGCGCACAAACAGACTCTCCATCAGTGACGACGGCAGCTGAAGAGGCGTTCTGCAGGTGTGAATGGAGTGTTTTACCTCCGCAGGTCAACACGCCTCGGCTCGGCGCACACACATACACTCACTCACACTCTCACACACACACAGAGCGACTGCTGTCGAGACTAATGAATAACCCGGTTAACAGGGTCACTGATCCAGAGTCAGCTCCAAACAAACGAGTGACTCTAAAGTCAAAAATATTCAGAAAACAAACCCCCCAAAAATCACTAATGTAAAATAACCTGAATTAATCACACATTAGCTGCTTCACATTATAATATTACTACATCCCTGAAATCTAAAGTGTGTCTGAGCTGCAAAAAAAAACTGAACATGAGTCACCGAACAAACTCAGAGTTATTTTCAGAGTTTTTAAAAACTGAATCACTGAGGAGACGGAGTTTTAATTTCTGCTTGAATGTTAATGATCTGAACGTTGGATTATTTCTCTTTGTAGCACTTTAATACCTGAAACCACAAATTATGGCAGGAAAATTCACATTTTTTTGGAGCTGAAATGTTTATTTCACTTACTACTGAAAACCAAAAAATCAAAATCTCCTCAAAATTTAACAAATTTATTTATCTCATTCCAAATTAATTAACTAAAAGAGGACATTTTGATCATTTATCAGGCTGTATTTAGGTGTTTTTTTAGTGATTTGTTGATCATATTGATTTGATAGAGGTATATAAATGTATGTATCAAATGTGATACAAAAGGCATTAAAGGGTTCAGGGCAGAGGATGCTGTTTCATGATCTATAATGTGGTTTCTCTTCACCTGGTTCAGTTTTAACTTGTGTTTATGGATGTAGGAATAACCTGTGTCCATATAGGTGATGGTTTTTGGATGTGATTTTGAGAATATGCAGTGATTTCCACTGCAGAGTCATTCCTGCTGATTAAACAGTAATAAAAATTAGCATAAATATTTCATAAAACTATATATTTTTGGGTTGCAACATCTGATTTGCCTGGTTTCGGATTGAAATGGGTTTTAAATGGGGTTGCAAAATTCCAGGAATTTTCAAAGTCAGAAACTTTCCATGGGAATTAACGGGAATAATAAATCTGAAATTTACTAAATTGAAGGTTGTCCCTCAACAGGAACTTAAATATAGTTGGAGAATATATTTTGTATTATAATCTTGGCTAAAACAACCAGATTTAATACAAGTCCTCTCCTCAATCACATGCACAGATGATTTCTTGAACCCTGGACCACACTTATGAGCCCAAAGTACAAGACATTTGAGCCCATGGACTTCAGAAAGTCAAGTAGGTTTGGATAATATCCTGGGGTAAATATATTTGATCTATAATGGTATTAAGATTGTAAAATTAAATAAGAATAGGTGCCAAATGTAAGCTGTTGACTATTTAAGGGTCTAGCTTATTATGGTGGTGGTAGCGACCTCGAATGTGATGCTGTTTCTTCAGACTCCTGCGAGACGGTTTTCTGTAACCAAACAATCATTTATACATGATTGTCAAATATTTTGAAGACCATTCCAGTTGTTTAGCCAACTATAGTTCTGTTCATGTCATTGTTTTTGTGTTTTTTCATATGATTTTTTGTTATTTTAATTATACAGAAAAATGTCATGTTCACCATCACCATCGCCACTCAAATAAATCTTTTGAAATGTTTTTAAATTGTTATTTTGCATGGATGTCTGCTAATGACAAAACAAAAATATTTACATTTATGTTCGGATATGATACAGTTTGTATTAATTACCACCAATTCCCAATAATTCCCATGGACAGTTCTAAATTTGGGATATTTCCAAAATTCCCCAATTTAACTTCCCATGGAAAGTTTCCGGTAGTTTACCGGAAGTTTACCTGTAATTTACCGGAAATTTTCAGGAAGTTTACCGGAAATTTACCGGAAATTTCTCGCCTATGCAACCCTACATTTAAATAATTCATAAACCATCAACTCAAGACTCTACTAAACTGGGATCGTTAAAAAAAGTTTCTACGGTCGAAACAGCGACCGCCGGAAGTCTCGGCGGTTGTCATGGTTACCGTCCGTTCTTAGTGACGATCATCTCGTTGGTGATCTGCTCGAACTTCCGCCACAGTTCGGCGTCCTCCAGCGTCACCCTCAGCTCTCTCTCCGTCGGGTCTCCCTTCTCTCTCCCCGCCTGCAGCTCGCTCTCCACGGCGCTCAGCAGCCGGGACATGCAGCGCTCCGCCGAGCCGGGGCTGCAGGCCGCCGCCCCCGCGGACACACCACCGGGACGAACCGTGGAGCTCCGGTCCGAGCCGGAGGCGGAACCAGAGTCCCCGTCCTCCTGGACCCCCTCCACCTTCATCCTGACACGGACAGAGACACAGTTGAGAGGGGCTGGAGTCAGGAGGGACATATAAGAGGAGTAAAGTTTATTTTCATGAACCAGGAGGTCAAACTTCAGTTATCTGGTCACTCAAATCTTCATTTTTCTAAAATTCAGAAAGATTTTCACATTATGATTAAAATTAAAGATTGATTTACTTTATTTAATCCTGATTATCCCTCATAAACTAACTTTCTATTCACTTTACATCCACAATAAAGACTCTAAACTTAAAAACAAACCAACATTTACCCAAATTATTCAATAAAGTTTAAAACTCACAGGAAATCTGTTCATTCCTGTTCAAAGAGGGTAAAAATTCACTTTTATCTCATGTAAAGTTGAACCTAAATTGTAGTTTTTATTAATAATTCTGATTGTTTCCCAAATTTCATGTTATTTTGTTGTAAATTCAACCTCCTCTGACTGTGTGAGAGCTCAGATTTGACGTTTATTCATTAAATAAATCAGTAGAGTGGAGATTTTCAGGGTCATATTATCAGTGTGGACACGACTGCAGTATAAACCCTTTTTTTGTTAAAAAAGAGGGAGAAATTTCAGAGTTTAAACCTTTTATTTTCTGCCAATTCAGTCAAACAAGAATAAAGTCTAAAAAAACACGAAGGTCTGAAATGAAAAGGAAGTTTTAATCTGAGCAGTTTTATTCTTGTGAGATTTTGACATTAATCTCATAATTTCAGTCTCATAATTATTCCCATTATCGTTATATGATGTTAATAATATTTAAACATTAATCCAAACAGTCGGAGGATCTGTCACCTTTAACTTACTCACACCTGTCTCCTGGATCATCCACCTTATTAAGATCATTTATAACCTGATTTTCTCTCTTTATCTGATTTTATTCATTTTAAAAACACTCAAACTTTGACTGACGAGTGTCTGCGATATAATCCAGAATACGCCGACATGTGTTTGAGATGGTGAAGTCGTATTTCTGCGTTAAAACGTTGACTAAGGTGCTGAATAACCAGAAAAAAAACAGGATGAAATCAAACCTGATTCTCAGATCCTCTGAAGTCTGAATATAAAATGTAAAGCTGGATAAAAGTGAAGAATCAGACCGTTAAAAACTCTATTGTGTTAGTTTAATATAATGTCCCAGTGAACAGTTTAACAAGGACAGTTTTAAGCAGGCGGACCTGTTAGAAAAATCAGTTTTTATTGAATAAAATAAAGAAAATAAAGTCTGATGTTTGGTGTAAATTCAAACTCAATCAGGAGGAAAGTTTGACTTTAAAATGACGCCGTAAAAACACACAGCTGAGTCTTTGTTTGTGAAATCTCTGTGTCCGTCTGTAGGTTCACGGTTAGACCCAAATCTTCTTTTTAATCTGTTGATGTCAGAATAATCAGTGAAAGTCTGTTTCTGAATATAAACCTTTAATTCAACAGAAACAAAAAACACATCATCATGTTTTCGGCTCTTTTTGTTCAGGACAAATTTGATTTTATTTCTAATGTGAACAGAAACTGTCAATAATTGAAGAAGTTTAATTTAACGTCTCTGTGACTGCGTCTGTGATCGGCTCATTTTTGTCTTTCAGGTGCAGATTTAGAGATTTCCCTTTAAACTGGATCAATAGTTTTAAAGTGAGGAAGAATATGAAGCTCAGGTTTTTGATTGATTGGATATCAAACATATTAGTCAGATGATCGATCAGGATTCAGTTTGTCATATAATGTGATCAATACTCAAAACTTAAACTGATGAGATATTAAAGCTTTAACTTCTGATCACAAATCCTCCAACACTGAAACTCTGAGGGGTGTCTGGATCTGGACCAGGATCAGGAGTGAGGATCAGTTTTGGTGTTTTGGTGCTGAAATAATAAACAATAATAAAGAAACGGTAGAATTAAAATAATAATATTTAGATTGAAGTGAGTCAAAGTTTAACTCCTCTTAAAGATGAAATTTAAACTAGAAATAAAAACAAAAAAATTAGTTCTGACTTTTTTTTAAAGCTCCCCTAAAGTCCTATTAAAGCTCCTCCTTGTGTCAAACTTGGCGCCTCCCTGTGGACAAACCCGTCTAACACTCCTTGTTAATAATAAATGTTTAAAATGTGAAAACAGCTGACTCACACAGCTGTCACAATATCAGAATAATTAGTGTTGTGGATTTTTTATCCCTCCCTAAGTTTGAGTTTAAGTGTTTTTCATGAATGTAAAAAAAACTCCTCACAGGAGCTTTAACTTCCTCAACTCTCTGCCGGCTGATTAAAACCTGAACTCTCTCTCTCTCTCTCCGTCTGTTTAAAAGCTTAAATTAAAATTATTCATATATATTTATCGGTCACTTTATTTCATTTTTGTCCTTTTTTGCTGCGTATAAAACACTTTCAGACTCACACTTTGGTTGTTTTTTCCCTTTTTTTCCATCAGCTGAGATTTACCAAACTCTGTCCTTTCTTATTAAAACCTCAGTTTGAATTATGATTATGATTCAATATTATTTCAGATTTAAAAATATCACATTAAAAAGACACTGAAGGAAACAAACTCTGCATTAAAATCTCTCAGGACATGCCGACACTCTTCTGCTCATTAAATTATACCCTAAAGGATGAATTATTTAATGTATCTGCAGTTTAGTTATTAAATTATATTCATTGTTAACGTTTCTCATGTTGCATTCCTGCTTTTTTTCTTGCACACTTTGCATGACTCGGTTTATATTTACCTTCAGTTTGAATTAAGATTTCTATTTTTTCTGCATTATTAAAATTATTTTTTATTGTTTTAATTGCGTCTTATTCTGAAAGTCCTGCAAAACTCTAAATTTGTAATAATGATAAATATGTTTCCTCTAAATCAGTAATTACATCCTCATATTTCATCCGAGCTGCAGGTCAGAGGGATTATTTCATGTTATTCATTGGACTAATTAAAATATATAAAGACTACAAGTGATGATTTAAAATCTCCTTACTGACACAGGTAGTTAAATAACTTACAAGAATCAAATAAACCCAATATTTCAATAAAGTTCAGAAGATAGTAAAGGAGGGAAAGTTGGACTCACCTGTGACAGACGACAGCGACCTGACGAGGAGAAATAATCCAAAATAAAATCAGACAAATTCAGAGTTCAGCCACTGATCAAAGTTTCAATCAATATGTTTTAATAATCAATAAAGTTAATATTAGTTTATTGATTAAATAACGATAACAACAGTTCATTAAGTCTGACGGTGTGAAGAGGTTTATGAGCCGCTCAGCTTCAACTGAACAACATCAGAAACAATCAGAGGATACCAGTCGGACTGCAGCTCGCTCGCCCTCTCCCTCTCTCTCTTTCTCTCTCTCACACACACACACACACACACACACACACACACACACACACACACACACACACACACACACACACACCTCTCCCTACCTCTCATCTTTAATTTCACTGCAGCTTTATTGTCCTGGGTGACGCTCAGAAACCTGCAGCAGAGACACAAAATCAGTCAAAATTCACTAAAAATCACAAATATTTGAATCGACACGAAGAGGAAAAAAAAATAAACAGATTTAAATATTTTAGGAAGATTAAAAAGTCAAAAGAGTGATCGTTTTAGTGATCCAGAAAAGTCCAAGAAATGATCATGATTTGGATTTTAACCATCGACTCCTTCAGCTGAAACAAACTGACCCTGAATGTTTCCAACATGAATCTTCTTTGACTTTGTGAAAATCTCAGAAAAATGTGCCTGACTGCAAAAGATTTGATTATTTTAGAGCACATGATATTATTAAAAGATTCATGGCAGGCCCTCAGGCAACACTGCATTCAAAATAGGCATGACTCTGTAGTGGAAGTCACCGCATGAGCTTAAAATCACTGCTAAATATCACAGTCTGCAGGAGGAAAGGGTTAACGATGGACTGAGGAGACGGGAAAAACTGTCCTGTGGTCTGAAAAAACTACATCAGACCTTCTTTTTGGAATTCATGGACGCTGCATCCTTCGCTCTAAAAGAGAGGAGGCCCCTCCACAGTGTGTTATCAGTCCAGATCCAGCATCCCTGATGTTACAGGGATCACCAGAGTCCATATTAGGGGTTAGGAAGCAACATCTGCTGACATCAAGACTAGGACTTTTTCAGGGAAGACCTTCAAAAATTGGGTTTGTACATAATTTGTCTCTGAAGATAACAGTGATCAGAGACATCAGCCTCCACTCTGATCCTGCAGCAGGTTACGGCGTGAAAGTGATCGATGAATGAAGTGAAACCGATCGCCGATCATTCGGTCTGAGAAGCGTTTGTGGAGCAAACACCTCCGGCTGAAAGAAACCCGTCCTGCTGGTTTTAAATGTCACATGAGGAAGAAAAACACAGAGCTGCATGTAATGGAGAATAGGTCAAACACACCGCAACATCTGGAACACACACACACACACCGTACGTCTGCAGAGTCACACGATATCAGCGCGCAGACCTCTGTGTGTGTGTGTGTGTGTGTGTGTGTGTGTTTTAATCAGCAAGAGAGCAAGAGAGATTACAGGCTTTACAGAGTTAACAGGCAGAAGAAAAGGAGGCAGGTCAACAACACACACACACGCACACGCACAAACACACACACACACACACACACTACCTGTTTGTGAAAATAGTGTGAAGTGAAATACAGGAGACAGCAATTCAATATCGATGCCAAATATTTTATTTCAAAATAAAAGCCTTCATTCAAAACAAACAGACATAAGATTTAGGAAAGGAGATTAGGAAAGGTGGGAAGGAAATAGAAAAGGACATTAGGAAAGATAAAAAGGAAAGACATGAGATACAACAAAAAAAATAAGGAACAGAGATTAGGAAGGATAAGGAAAGCATAAAAGGGAACAGAGGAGGATAAGGAAACATGAAAAGGAAAGGAGACGAGGTGAAATAAGACAGAAGAAAATAAAGAAAGGTAGAAGAGGAGGGAAGAGAAAAGGAAAGGAGACAAAGGGGAAGTTAAGGTTAGAGCAAGGAGAAGCAAAAAGGAAGGAAATCTTTTCTTTTTATTTAGTTTAAAAAATAACTCAGAGCTTTAATATTTAATTTTAAAACAGCTTTGAAATGTAATTTAACCTGCTAATTAAGTTCTAGTTCAGCTTCATTTTCAGTGATTTTATTAATTTAAAAGGTGTTTAAATATTTCTACATGTTTGGATAAAAATAAACAGAAACAAAAAGAAAAACTCTTTAAAATGAGATTTATTCAGTGATTCTAAACAACATGTGAGTCTGAGTCATATAAAAAAAACAACAACAACAAGAACCCGAACAGGAAGAGATTTTATCAAACAGACGGAAACAATCAAGGACAACAATAATAATAATAGTAGTTAACATTATTATAATTATTATTGTTATTATTTAATGTGAACTGTAAACATTTAAAAGAGTTCAATGGTTTAATGCTGAGACAGGTGAACAGGTGAGCAGGTGAACAGGTGAGCAGGTGGTAACAGAAACTTTAAACACTGTTTAATATGAACCTCGGAGAAATAAAGATTTATCCTCACGATTTAATAATCATCCTTAAATTTGGATCAAAGTGATTTTAAAGTTAAAATCCTCTTCAGACATGAAAGTGCTTTAAGTTAAAAATAGTTTTAATTTTAACTTGTTTTTTTTTTCTGATCTATTTTAGGAAGAGGTCTTTAAATAAATGGGTTATAACAGATTTAACATACAAACACATAATAATAACAGTTTTACTTCAGACTCTCTGTTCAGTAAAGACTAAGATGTTATTTTTTTATTCGTCTTTTCTTACATCATAAAACATCGGATTAAGTTTCTGTCAGAGTTTAAGACGACCAGTTTTTCATGTTAGTTCCGGACAAAGATATAAACATCATAAATCTCACATTTCTCCATCCATCCATCATTTCACCAACTTTGGGTAACTTTGCTTTTTGACTCGTTTTAAAACACATTTATCTTCGTTTCGGTTTGAACCTTGATTTGTTTACCTGCAGTTCCTCCTTCACACCAGCAGGGGGCGACGCTCAGAACGTGACAAAGTTAGCAGGGAAGATCCCGACCCGCCCGTCAGCCAGCTGCCCCTCCCACCAGTCGTACTGGGAGTCGGTCTTGGTGATTATGGTGATGTGGTCCCCTGGGACGAAGCTGAGGTCGCCGGGCTGCTGCCCTGTAAAGGGGTGGGTCGCTGTGGCGACCATCTGACCACTGGCCCCGCCCACAGGCGGCCCTGCACCTGTGGGGTAAAATAAAGGAGTCTGGTTTAAATTCCTTTTTTAAAGATCTCTAGAAAATTAGACGAGGTGATGATATTTATTTATAACCTCATGAACAAAATTCATTCACTGGTTGTGGTTTTTGGATTAAATGTGAAAAATCGTTAAAAAATGTCAAATCTGCAGCTTCAGGCGTGTTCTTACCATACGGTGGAGGGTTTTGAGCAGCGTACTGACCTGAAACAGAAGAAATAAAACTTTACTCTTGAGTTTATTTTGCAAGAATTTAGTGAAAACTTCTTAAAACATTTATATAAAAAATCTTTGCTGCTCAAATCAGCTTTATGTCAAATTGAACAAATAACTCAAAATATTTGAGAAAGTCATTTTAACACCTGATGAGTCTGAGGAATAAATGCAAATGAAACACATTTTTCTGCAGTGACAGTTTCCTGTTGTGACCACTAGAGGGAGCCGCAGCATCAGGAACCGACTGAGACACACAGGACTGAGTGAAGAAGAGGAAACGAGGAGGAAAGTAAGGGAGAGGTGAAGGAAACGAAGAGGAGGGTCAAAGGGGATAAAGATGGAGAGAAAAAAGAAAGAGTGAGAAGATACAGGACAAGAGAAAGGAAAGGAAAGAAGGAGGCAAGCAAAGGGAGGGTGAAAGAAAAGAAGATAAGGTAAGGGGTGATGGAAAGGAGGTAAGGTCAGGTGAAAAGGAAATAAGGTAAGGAAAGGTTAAAGGGATATTCCGGTGTAAAATTAAGTTGGCTGCGTTGGTATTACAACAAGAAGAAAGGAAAGGACATAAAGACAGGAGAAAAGGAAAGGAAAGGAGTAAAAGTAAGGTGACGAGGAGAGGTAGAAAAAATGTGACAAGATAAGGAAAGAAGGAGGCAAGGCAAAAAAGTGTTGGAAAGGAAGAAGGTTAGGAGTGAAGAGAGGAAGGAGGAATAGAAGGAGACAAAAGGAGCTGGTCTAGATGAGACTCACTTGAAGTCTCAGATTTGTAGATGGAGACGCTCGGGTAGAGTCTGCTTTGACTGGATGAACCTGGACACACACACACACACACACACACACACACACACACACACACACACACACACACACACACACACACACACACACACACACACACACACACACACACACACAGATTATTACTCTGTACTTTTGTCATATCTTCACGATTTTAACACTCGTATTCCGGCGAGATGTCACCTGGGAGATCTGCAGCTGGTTGTTGGTAGCTAGCTGCTGGTTGTTGTTGGTAGTTAGCAGCTGGTTGTTGGTAGTTAGCTGCTGGTTGTTGGTAGTTAGCAGCTGGTTGTTGGTAGTTAGCAGCTGGTTGTTGGTAGTGCGTTGGTGGTCTCGGGGATGGGGCTGGAGGTCTTGCAGGAGGAACAGATGACTGAAAAGAGACGGAGGTTTTAATCTACTCCCATATTTGTTGTTCAAACTCAAAAATGTGTATTTCAGGTGTGGATGTGTCACCTTCTGCGGCATGTTCTTGGTGGTCCAGTCCGCACAGTAAGCCTCACTGTAGGTGTCCAGGATGTGGTACAGGGCAAAGCATTCTGACGGCGGCTCCACATCGCCGTTCAAAATGGCCGAAGCGCGGATGTCTCTGCCGTAAAACCTGCAGCCACACACACAAAAACACTCATTTTTCACAAACACACTTTAGACCTTTGCCCACTGGAGTGGCAGACCGGGGTGGTGGTCCCTATCTTTAAGAAAGGGGACCAGAAGGTGTGTTCCAACTATAGGGGGATCACACTCCTCAGCCTACCTGGAAAGCTTACAGCAGGGTGCTGGAAAAGAGGGTCCGATCGATAGTTGAACCTCCGATCGAGGAGGAACAATGCAGATTTTGTCCCGGTCGCAGAACTACAGATCAACTCTTTACCCTCATTCGGGGTCTTGAGGGGAGATGGGAGTTTGCCCAACCAGTCCACATGTCTTTTGGACTCGGAGAAGGCCTACAACCGTGTCCCCAGGGGAATCCTGTGGGGGGTGCTCCAGGAGAACAGGGTGGACGGTCCCTTCTTAAGGGCCGTCCAGTCCCTTTACCAAAGGAGCACGAGCTTGGTCCGTGTAGCGGGTTGGAAGTCGGATTCGTTTCCAGTGAGGGTTGGACTCCACTAGGGCTGCCCTTTGTCACCGGTTCTGTTTGGAACCTTTATGGACAGAATTTCAAGGTGCAGCTGAGGGGTGGAGGGTGTCCAGTTTGGCAGGCAGAGGATCGCGTCGCTGCTTTTTGCAGATGATGTGATTCTTCTAGTTTCGTCGAGCAGTGACCTTCAGGTCTTACTGAGGCGGTTCGCGGCCGAGTGTGAAGCGGCTGGGATGTGAATCAGCACCTCCAAGTCCGAGGCCATGGTCCTCAGCCAGAAAAAGGTAGATTGTCTTCTCCCGGTCGGACGGAGGTCGGAGGTCCTGCCTCAAGTGGAGGAGTTCAAGTATCTCAGGATCTTGTTCACGAGTGAGGGTAGGATGGAGCGGGAGATCGACAGGCAGATCGGAGCGGCGTCAGCAGTGATGCGGACGCTTAACCGATCAGTCGCGGTGAAGAAAGAGCTGAGCTGCAACGTCAGACTCTCGATTTACCGGTCGATCTACGTGCCGATCCTCACCTATGGTCATGAACCGAAAGAACAAGATCGCAGATACAAGCGGCGGAAATGGGTTTCCTCCTCAAGGTGTCCGGGCTCAGCCTTAGAGATCGGGTAAGGAGCTCAGACACTCAGGAGGCGCTCAGAGGAGAACCGCTGCTCCTCCACGTTAAGAGGAGTCAGCTGAGGTGGCTCGGGCATCTGGTTAGGACGCCTTCTGGACGCCTCCCGTTAGAGGTGTTCCAGACAAGTCCCACCGGGAGGAGACCTCGTGGCCGGCCCAGGACCAGGTGGAGGGATTATATCTCTCGCCTGGCCTGGGAGCACCTGGGAATCCCCCCCTGAAGGAGCTGGTTTAAGTGGCTGGGGTGTGGACTATCTGGGCTTTCCTCCTAAGGCTGCTGCCCCCGCGACCCGGACCCAGACAAGCGGAAGAAAACAATGACGACTTTAGACCAACAGGCCTTTGGGGACAGAGGACGGCAGGTAGATTTTGTTCTTACTTGCGGTTTGTCTCTTTGCGCTCGATCAGGTAAGATCCCTCCAGGGAAATCCCGGCGAACAAACCTCTGGATCTGCAGTAGGTGAAGACCGCCGCCGTGCTGCGGAGCGCCACATCAGCCTCCACGTTCCTGAACAAGACAGAAATACCTGATCAACTGGAGGGACTGGTAACTGTCCAGATTAACTACGAGGATCATGAAAAGGTAAAATACACTTCTGATGTGTAAGAATTGACCGTCTTTAGTCTCAGTGTTACATAGAAGAGGTGCTCACCTGCCCATGGGTCCAACGGCAACGGTGCAGTTCCCACCCAGCGTCAGGTTCCCGCCTTTAGTGAACGCCTCGATGGCTCTGCGCTGGTTCAGGATGATCACCAGGTCTGACACCTGAGACAGACATTTAATCAGGTCTACGCTCATTTAATGGATTTTAATTAAATAATTAGAGGTTTTTGTTTTGTGTGTCATCAGTCACCTCCACCCCGATCTCAAAGCCTCCACCCAGACCAGCGATGCCGATGGCGGACGGTGCAGACCAGCCTGAACACAGACAGAAGCAGAGATGTTGTTTTTAGACATTTTAACACCAAAAAGGAGAATTTGACTGAAACAAAACTGTGATATTTTAGTTCTCAAACTCCGATTATAGTCGAAGATGTTTACATGCACTTCAGTTATCCAGGTTTTAATCGGAGGTAGGCGATAACTTGGTTGTCTTAAGTCTCATGTTAACGTTTAAATCCAGGAAAAAGTGTTTTTAAGGTTTTCATTTAGACATACGTCTGTCGGCGAGTCGAGCGATCACGATGCCGCTGCCTCCTCTGGCGGTGATCATAAAGCCGGCCTTGATGACAGAGATGATGGCAAGACCCTCCGCCTTCGCTATCACATGTGCTGGAATGAAAACAACAGAACAATTATTAACAAACAAAGTCGACTTATGGGAAGCCGACAGAAATATGCCGCCAACTAAAGCAGGAAGTTCAGGTCTGCAGATTCCCGGCATTTGTTAACATGTTTCAGTCCTGAAGTGGTGGACTGACTACATACTTTCTTCTTCTCATCCTTCCTGGTTTTCTTTCCCTCCTAGCGTTTTTCTCTCTCTCCACTTTTCAGTCCCAATATTTACATTTATGCAAGACCCTGGTTACTTGGAGGAAACAGGCTTCATATGTTCACAGCACTGAGATATTCAGGTGAAAGTAAAAGCCTGACTCCCCCATCGCTCCTGCCTCAGGACGGTTTGTGTTTTTGTGTTTTTACCCGGGATGAGTTTGTCCGGTCCATTTCTGTTGGAGATTTCTGTGAAGTCTCTCAGGATCTTGGCGGCTTTCTTGGCCTCAGACTTCAGATTTGACGGGATGGGGTTACTCACTGAAAACAAACAGGCGACACAGTTCATCAGGATACATCAGAGACCTCTTTGACTTCAGACTCACAGAAAAGTCGAACTTCTGCCATCTTTAGTGGCTCAAAGTCAAAGCTGTCGTCAATGAGCTCGATATTATCTGATCCGAGGAAACTCCCCACATAGATCTGTTTATTCACATCTTTGTAAAGAACATTCTGATCCGCCTGTCGATCTCCCGCTCCATCCTACCCTCAGTCGTGAACAATATCCCGAGATACTTGAACTCCTCCACTTGACGTAAGACCAAACCGTAAAAATCAATCTACCTTTTTCTGAATGAGGACCATGACCTCGGACTTGGAGGTGCTGATTCACATTCCAGCTGCGGACCGCCCCAGCAGTTTGTGGATTTATGTTTTCAAAAGAATAAGTAAAACTGGAAAATCTCCAAACAACATGGAAAGGTTGAAAACACAGACTGGATGATCTCCACAGACTCTGTAGTGGAAGTCCCCGCATAGGTGCAAAATCACATTGTGTGAACAGAGTTTGTAGCTGCATGCAGATGAAAACCATGTGAAGAGGAAACCAAATCGACAGTTTTAGAAGAACAAACTAAGACAGTGAATCTCAAAAACTGGTCTCTCCTCAGTTTCCAAAACCGACTCTTGGAGATCTGGGGTTGAATATAGAAGCTGAACTGAACAAACTCCTGATTGCCTGTTTTAACTCTTGTGTTTCCTTCTAATTTTACAGCCTTGTTTTTGTCCACAAACTTTAGCTGCTTTAAAAACATATAAGGATATTTTTAGAACTATTTTTCTCAGAACTTTTCATCAAACTCAGTCCTGATAAAAAAAATACTGAACTTTTAGAAATAGATATTAGTTTTAACCCTTTAAATGCCGATTTCAGAGGTGATGTCGCTGATTTAAGGGGAAAAAATCATTATTAAAAAAAAGTTCAGAGGTTGGAGTTTCTTGACATGCTATCACACTCTTGAATATGTCAAATATTAGTAGCAACATTGACTTTCTTCACTGTGATTTTTACCCAAATCAATGACATCACCTCTGAATTTGACATTTAAAGGGTTAAAATTCATAATGAAATAATAAGAAGAATAAATGTTATTTTAAGGACTGAGCTTGAAGAGATTTGAGCAAAAAAAATATGAAAAAAATGTTTTATTAGTGGTCAAAAACAGCCACAAGGATAGTAAATCTGTCCAAAGTGCATTTTCGACCTTGTAAAAATTTTGAAAAACAAAATTAGAAATATTTGTCAAATTAAACTTCTTCACCAAAAATGATTTCACTCTCTAAAAGAAAAGTTTTGCACCCTACTGAGTAAAAAAAGGTGACAGGAGGGTTAAAAAAAAGTCGTCTACAGTCTGAATTCATTCGCAGACTTGTTCAGTCAGGTGGATCTTGTTCAGTCAGGTGGATCTTGTTCAATCAGGTGGATCCTGTCTCACTCACTCGTCTGCTGAGATTATTGGCCTCATTCATCTCTCGTCTTTTGTCCATGTCAGTTTTCGAGGATGTCGTCACAAACTCTCAGTTCTTCTGGTTCCTCCGGTCTGCTCGCTCTGCTCCTCATGCTGTAGCTGCAGGCCGGTTTGGAGGTTGGAGAGTCACAGGACGTTCCCTGCAGCTGGTCCACAGCTTTGTTAGCGTGTCGCAGCCCCTCGTGTGTTTGTGTCATGTGTCAGGAATGTGCTGTGTGAAGCAGGCGGCATGTTGGCAGACTGGTCCCTGTTTGTGCTTTCGACCCTCTTTTAATTGTTTTTTTCTGAACTATTTTCTGTTTTTATTTCGGTCCTCATGGTCTCATTTCATGTTGCGTGGTTCTGGTCTTGTCTTATGAAAACAACCTTCAATCCCGTTCTAACTGAGCGTTTTGTTTTTATCCTTTTCCATGTGCTCTATGACTTTATGTCAAAACACTTTGTAACTTTCTGTTTTTAAAAGTGCTATAATAATAAAGTTATTATTATTAATCCTCAAATATAGAAAAATAAAAACACAAAGCTGAGGTTTCAGGTGTTTCAGAGACAGAGAATCACCAAAACTTCTGAAAACCTCTGAAGCCTCTCATAACTGAACTTGTCCAAATCTGACAGGTCTGATCGTTGTGGTTTTGGTCTGATGTGGTCTGTCCACAAAACAAAGATACTCTTCTTAATTCAAAATCAACTTTAACTTTATTTTTATGGAACTTTTCAGACAAAAAAATGTAGTTTAAAGTTCCTCATAGAGGTTAAAAACAACAATAAAACCTGAACCTTCTGCCCACACACCCACCTATGGACCCACACACACAGACACACACACACCCTCACTCACTCACCCACACATACAGACACACACAAGTGCACACAATGTGAGAACTTAAGATATATATGTATGTTTACATTCACCTTCTTCCTTATATTTACACTGTGATGCTGTTTATACTGTTGTCTTTATTTTGTAAAGTGAGAGTATTTAAGGTCGTCTTTTGTTTAGTTGTTTATTCTTATATTTATGCTGTTATAGTTTATTCTTATAGTTAATTCTTACCCACTGTGGGTCATCTGTGCTGTCTGTCTAACATGTTTAGCATATTTGACAATAAAGTTGACTTTGATTTGACTTTGATTTGATATATTGTTAAAGAGATATGACCTGACACTGAGACATGAGGAAAGAGCGACCTTTTGGGAAACTCTGGAGATAAAAGATAAAAATGATAAAAAGACTCAAACCTGCTGAACTAAAACAAGAAAATAATATTAAATGAACAGAGAAGTAAAAGCTCTTTATCGTATAAAAGAAGTAAAAAAGAAAAGATTAAGAACAGAGAAAATTAATAAAATGACATAAAATAAACATTAAGAGCTTTGATTAAAAGGAACATTTGCAACAAGAGAAATAAGAAAAGACAGTCAGTGAAAAGTCTGATTAAAAAGGTCAGTCTTACAAACATCTAGTCTTTTTTTAGTGTTTGTAAATAAAATGAAGGTCTAAAAATCTAAAACTGTTCCCAAAGACAACTTTAGACTCTCCCTCATAACTTCATTCAGACAGGTCTGACAGGTCTCAGAGTTTCTGGTTTTATTTTAGGTTTTTTTCTGCGTTATTTTTTTAATAACACTCGAACCGGAAGTTGAGAATAAGTTTCTAACACCGTCAACCTTCTCCTTAACCCGTTATTTATTTATTTATTTATTATATTTTGGACTAAACTTTGGTTCTCCTGTTCAGTTTTCTGCTCGTTTCTAAGATTTACCTGAGGACGTCTGTTCCACCTGGATTTACCTGAAACCTCGTTCAAAATATCTGATATAAAAACAAGCCGCGGAACTTTTTTACTGTGAAAAACTTTACAGATTAAAAAATAATAAAAAACTTACTGTTTGTTGTCTCCCTGTCCTCTTGCTGTGTTCCGGTGAAACACCTGTGACAGGTGAGCTCTGAAGAAGGTCTTTACAGGAAGTAGAACTCCGTCATTTTGTCTAAGCGTATAAATAAGAGCGCCCTCTAGTGGAGACACATGCTCACTACAATTTCAGGATTTTCATCTTTTCTCAAGATGAGTGTTTTAAAATAATATGATATGAGCAAAATATGATTCAAACATGATGAAATAACAGATTTAAATCAAACTTTGAAACATAAATTTGATGTCAATTTTGACTCTGAAGGAAAAAAGAAATGTCCTCTCTCTCTGAACTACATTTTCTTTTTAATTGTCATGATTAAACTTTACAATATTCCAATGTTTTCACCACCAAAAACGTCTTCTGATTATTTTTAACATTATTACATGTATTTGTAGAAAAAAAGTCTTTTTATACTTAAAAACTGGTTCAATGAAACAGGTTAACCCTGAAACAGCGCTCAACACAAATGTCCTCTCTCTCTGTCTGAACTCTTTTTTTTATTTATAAATAGTCATTATTACATTTTACAATATAGCAATGATGTTTTACAGGGGATTAAGAAAAGACAAACAGACTAAAGCAACCAGCAACAAAAACAAACAAACAAACAAAAAACATTAAGAAAAAAAATACCAGGTAAGAAGTGAGAGAAAAGATAAGTCATCCAGATGATCAACTCTCCTTATAATATTATAAAGATAAATTATAATAATATTATTATGATATTATAAGGATATATCATAATAATATTATTTTAATATTTGTCCAAAACAGAGTCTGTCTCCGGAGCCTTCTTGCTCTTAAGTCCATTAATAACAGTAATTAATAGCATTAATAGAAGTTTTGCCTCAGCTAATTTAGAAAGTGGTCAAAGAAAAATAAGTAACTGTATATAAAAAATCTTTGTTTTTCTGTTTCTCTACAAAACAAATAAACATATATTTGTCTTATAAGTGGGTTCACTGTCCTGTTTCCTAAAAATTTAGTCCGCCCAGAATATTTTGGAATACATGCAGCTTTAAAACAGGTAAACATGACAGATTGTTTCTTTCAGAAAACACAAGAAAACTAAAAACTATGAAGGTTGAACCAAAACAAACAATTCACAGGTGAGCACAGGTGACATCCATCAGACAATCACTCAGCCCCGCAGACACACACACACACACACACACACACACACACACACACACTCCCATTACCTCCAGTGACAAGTGAGACAGCACATCAGGAGATCATGGTTGTTTGCTGCCCTCCTGTGGACATGTCGTGGTACTACAACTTTTACCGTTTTCATTTATAATATTTTCCTGGGTAAGCGACAGCTGTTAATTTTGTAACAATAATAGTATTTTGTAATAATTATTATTTTATTAATATTATTTAATAATTTTTTTTTTTTTAAATAAAAAATAATAATTCATGAAGAGGGTCCGTGGACAAACATAAAAATACACAAGTTTAATGTTTGTAATTATAAAAAATAGTACCTATATACGTTTAACACCTACGTATTTCCAGTTAAATATATAGCAGGAGTTGTCTCTACGTGTAAGAATTCAGTCTTTATCAAACAATAAAACATAACAGTTTTTGATTTGGTTGGTGTTTTAATTCACAGATGCCAGACCCAGTCCTAATTAATAAACACACAAACACTGTGGTTTAATGTTATAAGAGACATTTCTGAAAAAACAAAAATTAAAAAATTAAAAATAAAACAGCACATTAAGGCTGTGAGGCGTAAAATAATAATACAAATTTATTTTTATCAACCTTAAATTTAAAGTCAGAGGGGCTGTGTCTCATTTCAGAGACCGCATCGGGATAAGCGCGCTTAACTAATGAATTTACTTGTTCTTGCACCTGCAGCTGGATTTATCGATGGAGGTGAGACCCCTGGTAGGGCTGACATAATATCAGATTTTCCTGTCATGGAAAACTTGACGATAAATAAAACATCTCCATCAGTAAAACCGAGAGTGGAGCATGTTTTTATTCATGTCTTAAAATATTCAGATTTATGATCCATCATCAGCTCTCTGACTGAAGACATTATTTAACATTTGTTTGTCATGCTTTTATTTTGGTATTTTATTCTGTCCTGTGATATGAGCTTTTATTTTGAAGCGCGCTACTTCTGAAATGTGGCGAATGCAGTTTCATGTCGCCAGTGTAAAGGAAAGATGGTTTCTGTGGATACAGTAATATCCTGACAGCGCTGTTATGGTGTTTAAAGAGCTAAAAGGCAATAATATTAACTTATTAAAGCTCCTGTATGGAGTTTTAAACTCATCTGGAAGCAGACCGTCCCCTCAGACCACACCTCTCTATCACAGCTGATGTTAGATCCTTTTACCAGGATGCCTTTCAGTTCCTCCATGGCGCTCTCCTGCTGCTGCTGCTGCTGCTGCTGCTGCTTGTCCTCACAGATCGCAGGCGGCTGGGAAGGAAAAGAAAACGAGTTTATTCAGTATGTTCAAGGACCTGCATTTAAGACGCACTTTAAAAGATGGAAACGGCAGCTTTTCAGCAGAGAAATGACGGGGTATCTGATTTCCAACAAGGCCATATCATGTCAAAAACGAGCACAACCAAATTATTTACTTTATGAGGAAAAATAAGTGAGTTCTGCTGGTCGTAAAAGTTTAGTTGTTACTCCAAAGCTTTTGCAGCAATTTGATCTGATTTAATTTCGACTCCTGAGGTGGTGTGTTCTAGCCTTTTTCGGGACAAGGTGAATGTTGAAGTCTAGTGTCTAGACAGGAAAGTGAAAGAGGAAACAAATGGTATAATCCTGTATGTCCAAGTGGCTCAGAGGATAAGAACACTGACTGGAACTCCTGAGGTCATTGGTTCGAGTCCTACCATACCTAGTTTTAGGTGAATTTTAAAGTCTTGAGTCCACAAAGGACAGCGATATGTGAAAAAAAAAACACTTTTCTCTTGTGTGTCCACATGGCTCACATGATAAGGAGACTGACTAGGACTCCTGAGGTGGTGTGTTCGAGCCTTTTTCAGGACAAGGTGAATGTTGAAGTCTAGTGTCTAGACAGGAAAGTGAAAGAGGAAACAAATGGTATAATCCTGTGTCTCCAAGTGGCTCAGAGAATAAGAACACTGACTGGGATTGACTGACTGAGGTCATAGGTTCGAGTCCAACCTTGCCCAGTTCTAAGTGAATTTTGAAATCTAGTGTCCACAAAGTACAGTGATATTTGAAAAAAAAACATGGTCTTCTGTGTCCACATGGCTCAGAGGATAAGAACACTGGCTGGTATTCCTGAGATCATGGGTTCAAGTCTTACTCTGTCCAGTTCTAGGAGTATTTTTAAGTCTCGGATCCACAAAGGACAGCGATATGTGAAAAAAAACCACATTTCTCCTTCTCCTCTCTTGCTGTGAGGCCACAGTGCTAACCACTACACCACTGTGCAGTCACCCTGAGAAAGCATGCCAGGTGTTAAATAAGCAAAACAATGAAAACGGCAATGGTTATCCTCATGTTGATTCACTCACGTTTCAAGAGGCATTTCTATCGGCTTCGTAGAATATTCTGCAAGCTTTTTTTCTACAGGATTTAGAAGCAGGTCAGCTGGCTGTTTCAGGCATCAGGTTATGTAAATTCCTTTCATCCATCACTGGCTGATGGCAACTTATCGGCAGGTCATAAGTGCACCCCCTCTGACAGCGCACCCCTACAGGGCACATTCATTGCATACCACCTTAGTTTTGTTATGCCTTTGAATGGCTCTGTCCAATGAGGCATAACTTTACTTTGAATTGAGTCCTTCCAACTCGGGTGTCAACAGGGGTGACAAGGCTGTGTTTTAGGGTGACACTTGATACCCTTTGACACCCCAGTAGGTCCGCCCTACATTTTCCCCTTCCAGCTCATTTTTGATTTACTCAAGATTTAAGGTTTCCGCCGGTCTTAGGAATGTGTCAAAGTTACAACCAGTTTTTCTAGATGCGTCAGGATAGGGAGTTCAGTGTCCTATTTGACTGGCGGAGGTCCCGGACTCAGCTTCAGATGCACAGAGTTGGTCCCTCTTCAGGAGTTCAGGATGGCTGTCAGTGTGCCGGGATTGATAATGATGGTGGTTTTCTACCTGCTTGTGTTGGGGATCGGCTTGTGGGCATCTTCCAAATCAAGAAAGATGGCAAAAAATTCTCAGAGCAGGCAGGTGGAGATTTCCTTTTTGGCTGACCGGAGTGTCGGCTTGGTGGTGGGAGTTTTCACAATGACAGGTTAGAGCTGATTTTCTCTCTTTACATACTGACAGCATGTATTCTTTTGAAACTGCATAAAGTTGAATATTATGAACAGGATGCTCCCAGTTATGTGCATGCTTTTATGTGTTTCTGCTGCAGCCACATGGGTTGGAGGAGCCTTCATCATGGGAGTTGCAGAGACGGTTTATAACCCCACAAAAGGACTGTTATGGGCTCTTATTCCTCTGCAAATGTCAGTGTCCTTTATTATTGGTGAGATCCTCCATGATGGAATTACTTCACGATATCCACTTATTTCTATGAGGCCATAAGAGATTATTTTTCTTAATATTTACTCATTTACACAACAAGCGTGTTCAGGGGGGGAGCAGGGGTGGCTCTGGCCCTGTTACATGTCTGTTTATTTTTACAGCTGACATGTTTGATTACTAATTCCCTTACTGACCCGACGAGGACACGTTCCTTTTTTTTTCATGGTGCTTTCAGATTGGGTTGAAACCGTGAGAAAGCCCATTATCATAACTCCAAAGAGTCCCCCACCCCCCTTCATCTAAATGCACACACATGCCTACACATTCATAGGTAAAGGTTTACTTTATGTAAATCCTGACTTCTCTGTACTCTTTGCCTTGTCAGAATCAATCAAATGAAACACAAGTTTTCTTTCCTCCTCTTCATTTTTCACTCTTTTCTTGTTTTTAACGTCTTTGCTGATAAAATTCCTGCTTTAGATCATTTCAAACTGTCGTTGCCATCCATCAAAAAAAGAAGAAAATGAAGATGTATAAGTTTATTCCTACCCTCTAGATGTCTGGATGTTCTTGGTTAGGTGGACTGTTCTTCGCCGGCCCAATGCGAGACCAAAACTACATCACGATGATGGACCCGTTCCAGAGAAAATACGGGGAAAAAATGACGGGGTTTCTCTCCATCATTCCCTTCATAAGTGAACTGATGTGGGTCCCTGCTGCACTCATTTCCTTGGGTAATACAGATCTGCTTTTGTGACGTGACCATAAAATTTGCTTAGATTATCCCTCATGTACAAACATTTATGATTTGGCTTTTTTTTTCTAACAGGAGTTACAGTCAGGATCTTCTCCGACCTTCCCTTAAGTCTTTGTATCTGGATTTCTGCTGCGGTGGCGATCATTTACACCGTTCTCGGGGGTCTCTATTCAGTCGCTTTCACAGACGTCGTCCAGCTGACTCTGGTGTTTAGCAGCTTGGTAGGTTTGAAACACTCTGAGTCTGATTGTCTCTCTTGAATTTGCATTTTTAAACTTGGTTTTCTTGTTTGTTTTTTCAGTGGCTGTGCACTCCTTTTGTTCTGGCTAACGATGTTTATGCCGACATCAGTCAAACGGCATTTAACCACACAAACCGGGCACCGTGGATTGGCCAGCTCGAGTATCGTGATATGTGGACATGGATTGATAATTTCCTTGCCATGGTAGGATGGAGTGATTAGAGTTTTAGATAAGAGAAAGTGAGCGCCAATTTAAAAATACTGGATGTTGAACTATTTGTCATGAGTCAAAGTAAAAGTTGTAAAATTAAATTTCGTTCCCCTTAACTTGTGAATCCTATTTTCATAGAGCGCCGGGAATTTGGCTTTCCAGGATTTCCACCAACGGATTCTTTCCTCCAGCTCCACATCAACAGCAAAAATCATCTGTTTCGTTGCCGCAGGTGTCGTCCTTATTCTTGCAATTCCACCTGTGCTGGTCGGGGCAGTTGCAGCTTCTACAGGTAAACCTGACGAATGTTATTTATTTATAGTAACTCGATAACTTGCATCTTTTTCCTGCGTTTCAGATTGGAATTTGACCTCATATGGGTTACCCTCTCCTTATGATCGAGGGGAGTCAGCGATGGTATTTCCCATCATCCTCCTGCACTTGACCCCGACTGCTGTTTTTGTCATTGGCATGGGAGCAATAGCCGGGGCCGCGATGTCCTCTACAGACTCTTTTTTGTTAGCCGCATCCTCCATCTTCACCACCAACATTTACAAGCTCATCAGACCACAGGTACGATGACAATGCCTCCCAAATCAGCAAGCTGCGCCAGCATAGGCAAGAAAGACAGTACTTATCAAAAAACACAGGGAGGAGTGAGTTTCATGAGTGCATACAGCGAAAGACTGAGGGGGAACTTTTTCCAAGTTAGCCTCAGGCAGTTGAAGCGAGTCCCCTGGCAGACTTATAACAGACTAGCCTGGGCCAGCCACGACTTAATATAGGCTTTATCAAACAATTTCTATGAGTGAAAGAGCCTTATTTTAAAGGAATAGTTCCTCCAGTATCGGTGTATGATTCCAACAGAGAAAGATCCGACTTCAGGGCTCTACCTCCTGTACTACTTTTGGCATCTCTTGATACCACAAAGAGACCTCCAACCAGAGAGAAGAGTATCTCAGGCCTTTAACCTTATAAAAACCCCAGAAGGTAGCCTAATAAGCATCACTCCAAGTTCTGAGACTCTTAAAACTGTTATCCTCTTCTTTTCAGGCATCAGACAGAGAGCTGCAGTGGGTGATCCGCTCCTCCATCGTGCTTGTTGGGATTGTGGGTACTTCTTTTACCTACCTGGACAGCAGCATCCTGGCCCTCTGGATCCTTAGCTCAGACCTGACTTACACCATCATGTTCCCCCAGCTCATCTGCATCCTCTTCATCAGGGTCTCCAACCCTTATGGTGCTGTCATCGGCTACATCATCGCGTTTGTCCTGAGAGCTTTGTGCGGAGAGCCCGTGTTAAATCTTCCTGCCATACTACATTTCCCAGGATGCACTTTGGAGGACGGTGTTTACATTCAGCGATCACCTTTTAAGACTATCTGCATGCTGGTCTCTCTTGTCTCCATTGTGGGGTTTTCCTATTTGGCTTCAATCCTGTTCGAAAAGGAGATTCTTCCTGAGAGGTGGGATGTGTTTAAGGTGAAATCACAGGGAGCGCCTGCAGAGGGCGCCAGAGAGTGTGACAAGGAAAAGGCTAAAAACGAAAATGAACCGATGCTTGAACTACATTGCCAAGTTCACTCCTTTTAGATCTTTTACTCTCTACTTGTACTCAAGTTTTTGGTTAATACTATGATGTTGGATGTTAGTGATAATATAAGACATATTTCAGTCAGTGAAAGTGTTGCATTTAATCAGGGGTGGACAATAACAAAGATGATTTACTTGATTTACTTGACTACGTGTTTAAGGTGAAATCAAACGGAGCGTCTGCAGAGGGCGCCAGAGAGCTAAGGGACGGGGAAAAAGCTAAAAATGAAAATAAATTGATGCTTGACACCAAATGCTAAATTTACATTCCAAGAGAAATAATCTGCTTACATTTTTTCTGCCAGTTTTTATTAGAATCAGTTCAGTATTAATCAAAGAATCTGAGTCTTTTTTATACAGAGTGCGTCATGTGGTTTAGCTCAAATGCCTAGTTTGTGTGACAGTCTGTACCATGGCAAAATGTTAATCTGCATTATTATGACTGTTTTAGACTTGACATGCTCTCATTTAGGACAGAATAAATTGTATCACTATTTAGGGGGACGTTAACATTGCTTTATATGAAAAGCCTGCAGTGATATTATTTCAAAATGTCATTAAAGCTCCTAAAAGCAGTTCCCTTATGTTTCTTAAATAGACTGAGAGTCATGTTTATACATCTCTATGACAATCCAAAGCAAACAGGACCTTCAGCAACACAACTGTCAGCTTTAATACCCAGATTTTTAATGTTGCAGGGGGGTAGGTGTCAAGGAAATTTAAAACTCCTGTGAGGATGTTTTTTGGTGATTATGAAACAGACTTAAAGTCCCACTCTGACTGATTTTTTTCGAGAGTGGGAGTGGGTCTTTAAATAAATGTTAATGCCTCATTATGACAGTTAAAAGCATGTCAGGGCTTCACTTTAATGATTGCTTTTTCTATATCAAAAATATGGGGATCAGAGATAAAGTGGTGCACGGGGGGAAGGTGAAAGCAAATTAGCTTAAAGGGATATTACGGCTTAAATTAATTTAGGGTCAAACACACCGTAGCACCGAGTTAGACACCCCCTCCAGAGATGAACGTTGCCGACCGCTTGCTTCTCTAGTTACACCAACTTTAGTAACGACCGCAGGATAGCAATACACAGCGGTCTGAGGAGCCATTAACAGACCTCAACCGAAACACCACTCTATAGCCACAATAATGCTCAGAACAGCACAACTTCATCAACAGGACATATAGGGTCACAGACATAGTACTAGCGACCAAACATCTTTTTAACTTTGACTCATTTCTTTAGAAAAGGGACTAAACACAACTCACCTACTAAACTCAACTCACAACTCTTCCAGCAGCCGCTTTGTAGCGAGACCTTAGGCCAGTCCATCACGGACTACAGCGGGGTGACGCAGCTCAAGGAAGAACATTTATGATCATTTCTTCATGGAAATACAGTCAGACCGAGATGCTAAGGCAGAAGAACTCCCACGTCTGCAGAGCAAAATGAATAATATGATGATTATTACTTCAAGGAAATGATAAAGAAATGATAAATTAATTATAATAAAATAATTATAAAACTAATTATAAAAAAATGTAGAAATTATAAATTAAATTATAGAAATTTAAATTCAGATATAATGCAGATAAATACTTCAGAAGATTACAAATGGGGCCCAGTCAACGTGAAAGTAAACAGCATTGGTTCTACTGTAGATGCCAACAGACTACCAGCAAACACAATGTTTGCAGGACTTAGGATAAAGTGACACAGTCCAGGACCCGAGGTCAACAGTTTAGCGGCGCTACGACACGCTACAGCAGGTCCATACCTGCCAACACTCCCGTTTTTCCCAGGACTCTCCCGCGTTTCAGACCTATGTCCCTACCACCTCCGTTATCGTCATTTCTCCCGGGAATCTCTCGTAGCATGGTCCATGTTCATTCATGAATCGGATCACTATATTTGTCCAAAGTTGCCAGGTTTCCAGACAACTGAAGATAATCCTGTGTTTCTGCAGAGCCCCACAGACACTGGATTGATACTTTTACTGAACAATTTGGGATGATTCAGGTCGGTTTAAGCTGTAAACTGTATTTAAGTAGTGTTTGTTGCTAAATGAACACTTCAATGAACGGAAACAACGTGAGATAGAATATTTACGTTGATAGTCTTGCACCGTCTCAGAGTGATGCATTCAGGGAAGCCTCAGATAAAACAGTGCTGTATTTCACGCAGAGACGTTCAGAGAGCCTCATACGGGAGAGAGCATGTAAAACATGAGGATTTTAATACTAATATTAGTGGACTAAATAAGTTTAAGGCATATCGTAGCTATTATTTTTTTACTACCATTTTACAACACTTCTGTTACAGACACTTAATTTATTAAGGCGATTTACCTGTCCAGCAAAAATGGTAAAGTGTCTCCCGTCGTTTATGCTAGCTTCATTGACGTTGACCCGGCTCTTTAGCTCTTGTCCGGTCTTCCTCCTTTTAAAGCGCCCGTTATTCCGCCAGAGTCTCCGGTATTTACTTCGTTCCCTTTCAGTCGATTCACTCGGTACAACACATATAGTATGGGATATCACGCCCTCGCGTGGCCTGACTGAAGACACCTTTATTCACGCCTTTAAGGCAGATGATCTGTGGTGACGTCTGGGAGGCTCCGCCTGCACATATATACGTGTAACACCACAGTCATCCTTCAGTTCTTACGCTCTTCACCTCGCTGAGAACACCTACACCGAGTCGGGCTAACTAGCTGCTGCTAGCTCAGCCTGGTCTTGTCTGTGGCTACTGCCTGATCGTTTTTAGCTTAACTGCCCTTGTTGGTGTTAGCCTACGGCTACCCGCGGAGCGCTAATTTCGTTCAGCTTTTGAGTCTCGTTATGAGCTCTAAGCCCATGAAGGTGAAGGCGAAGTCTTCTGTTCGCCCCTGTCCTCAGGGGTGCGGCTTCTCCCTTCACGAGAAGGATCTCCATGAGGCTTGTCCCGTTTGCCTAGGTATTGTCCACGCCAGGAGGGCGTTGACTGAGCCCGAGTCGTGTGAGTCTTGTCACCGGCTTCGGAGCTCAACCCTGGGAAGGCGGGTCAAGTTTGTGGAGAAAATTCTAGGAAAATCCGCTGTTGCAATGCACAATCCCCTCCTCTCCGAGTCCAGAGACCCGGCTTCGCCCGAGTCCGGTGGTGAGGACTTTCTGGTCGAAGGCTCAGTTGGAAACTGGGCAGATCATGTGGAGTGTGCTGACGGGTCAGCTGGATTTGAGCCGGGCCCGACCGAGGGCGCTGGCCAGCCGCTATCCGGGCTAGCTTGTTACCAGGAGGACGATGACGTGCTGGACATCGGCTTGGACGTGCAGGGTTTTTCGGAGGATGAGCAGGAGCCGTTGTCTTCGGGCCAGAATGCCGCTGCTGCGCCGGTTGATCTGGACGACACATCCCTCCTCTCACTGTACCGCCAGGCAGCTGAGAAACTGGAAGTAGGATGGCCCTCTCCTCCACCGGCTCAAAAACCGTCGCGGTTCTCAGGGTTTTTTCTCCCACCTGAACCGACGACTGTTAAGAACAGTTTGCCCATGTTCCCGGATTTTGTCGCGGAACTAACCTCGACATGGGACAAGCCGCTGTCCACCTGCGCCACAGTGCCCGGTTGTGGACAGTTTCTGGACCTGGATGGAGCTGAAAAGGCTGGATTGGTGAACCCTCCGCCTATGGAGGCGTCCCTGGCAGCTTATCTGGCCCCGGCCCAGAATCATGGTGTCGGTAGCCCCATCACGCTCCCATCCAAGCACTGCAGGTTTTCAGCGTCACAGCTGGATAAAATTTACAGGATACAGGCAAATACGGCTCGTGCACTGAGCTCCGTCACCATGCTTCAGACATATCAAGCTATGTGTCTGGCGGAACTCGGCTCGAGTATGCGTCCTGACAGTCCGCTTTCTCCTCTCCTCAATGAAGCTAGGGTCGCCACAGATTACATCCTCCGTGTGTCCCGCTGTGCAGCGCTCTCTCTCGGTAGAGGCATGGCTTCCACGGTGGTGGCGCAGAGGCACCTGTGGCTGACTCTCTCCGACGTTCCGGAGAGGGACAGAGCGGTTTATCTCGACGAGCCTGTGTCGGCCAGCGGTTTGTTTGGGCAGTCCCTCGACGACATTCAGGCTAAGTTTGAGCTGAGGAAAAAACAAACCGAAGCTTTGAGCAGCATCATCCCCAGGCGTGATGCGAGGCCCAAACAACAGGGTTATCCGCACAAACCGGCAGAGACGCTGCCGCCCTTCATTTTTTGCCGCCAAAGAGGCCGCGTTTAATGTTTGTTCAGGGGTCCGGTCCCGAGAGGCGCTGCACTCCCTTAACACAGTTTTCCCAAGCACAATCCTCCCTCACACACTTGCCCCAGTAATGGCGCCTGTTGTTCACTGAGTGAATGTTACAAATGTGCGTTCATCGAGTCTAATAAAGGTTTCGTTTTGTTCTCAAAACATCATAAATCAATCAAGTCTGGGCGGGAAAGTATTGCTGTTCCCAGCCGGCACGCTAGAGGGCGACAACCCCTCCCCCACAGTACTTGAGGTCATTCGACATACTGTTCGTCTCCCCCGGTGGTGCGCATGCGCAGTCTCACCGTGGGTAGAGAGACCCGTTGCCATGGGCTACCGTTTACAGTTCGGGGCCCGGCCGCCTCGCTTTCATACTGTAATACACACAGTTGTAGCAGAGGAAGCAGCAGTGCTGAGGGAAGAAATAAACAACTTGTTGAACAAGTTGAACAAGAGAGCGATATGAGTTGTTCCCGCTTCGGAAACGAACAAAGGTTGGTACAGCCGCTATTTCGTTGTTCCGAAAAAAGGAGGAGGGCTCCGTCCTATCCTAGACTTGCGAGTGTTAAACAAATACCTACAAACTTACAGGTGCAAGATGCTGACACTCAGACAGCTACTGGGCGAAATCAGACCGGGAGATTGGTTTACAACTATCGATCTGACAGATGCTTACTTTCACGTAGTGATTCATCCGGACCACAGGCACTTTCTAAGGTTTGCATTCGAGGGCATAGCCTACGAATACCTGGTGCTGCCGTTCGGCTTATCACTCGCCCCCGAACATTCACCAAATGTGTCGAGGCGGCATTGGCTCCACTAAGGGAGAAAGGTGTGCGCATCTAAGCCTATCTGGACGACTGGGTGCTAATCGCGAGCTCCAGAGAGCGAGCAGCGGCTCAGCTGTCATTGACCCTATCACACATCCAAACACTGGGCTTTTTCCGTAAATTTACAGAAAAGTTCACTGACTCCGAGTCAACAGGTATCATTTCTCGGGCTGGAAATATGCTCCGTTTCAAGCCGAGCGTGTCTGTCAGAACGCAGGGTGGCTGCGTTTCACCGCTGCTTTGCACAATTTCAGTTGGGACGCAAACTGTGTTTCCGGTCGATTTTAAAGCTGACAAGCATGATGGCATCTATGATCGCTGTAGTGCCGCTCGGACTGATAAAAATGAGAGCGTTTCAACGCTGGAGTCAGTCTCACCGGCTGTGCGCGCAGCGTCACCTCCAGAGGAGGCTGACGATAACTCTGTCTTGCATGTCGGCTCTTCTCCCGTGTAGAGACCCCGGTTTTCTACAACGGGGATCTCCGATAGGGAGGGTGTCTTTTCGCAAGGTGGTCTCCACAGACGCATCCCTGAGGGGTCGGGGGGCTCTGTGCGAGGGCGCAGCAGTGAGAGGTGTGTGGACGCCAGCATAATGCAAGCTCCACATCAATTACCTGGAGCTATTAGCTATCCTATTAGCTCTGAGGCATTTTCGTCCGGTTCTGACGGGCCATCAGGTTCTGATCGGGACGGAAAACACAACCATGGTTTCCTACATAAACAAACAGGGAGGGACATGCTCTCTTCCCCTGTTAAAACTGTCTCACTCTCTGTTGCTATGGTGCAGTGTTCATTTTCTGTCACTCAGAGCCACACATATTCCGAGTCACTTAAACCTTGGGCCAGACCTTCTCTCCAGGGGGGTCGTCTTGTGAGAGAGTAGAGATTGCATGTCAGGACCGAAATGTACTCCCATTTCAAAGTTCTATTGTGGATGTTTTAATATTCCTTCAGGAGCGGCTGGATAGGGGTCTCTATTTCTCAACAATTAAAGTCTATTTGGCAGCTGTATCTGCATGCCATGTTGGCTTTGATGGTGTGTCGCCAGGCGCTCACCCTCTTGCTATGCACTTCCTAAAGGGAGTCCGCAGGCTGAGACCTGTGCTTAAACCCAGTGTTCCCTCATGGGATTTAGGGTTGGTGCTTGGGACTCTTGGTGGACCTCATTTGAGACCGTTGAGTCAGCAGACATGAAATTTCTTTCATACAAAATGCACTGCTACTTGCTTTGGCGAGTGGGTGACCTTCATGCTTTGTGCATCCTTTTTGTATCCAGTTCACTCTCTACATTGCGCCCAAATGCAGCGTATTTGCCTAAGATTATCCCCACAGCCTATAGCTCTATGAGTTTTGAACTACTGAGCTTCTGCCGTCCTCCATTTGCATCTGATGAGCAGAGGAGGTTGCATTCCTTGTGCCCTGTGCGTGCACTACGCACTTACATAGACCGCACTCAGAGTGTGCGCTTATGTTACCAGTTGTTTGTCTGTTTTGCTAATCCAGCCTAAGGCAAGGCACTGTCTAAACAGCAGCTTTCCCGCTGGATTGTGGAGGCTATCTCCTTAGCATACGGCAGCAGGGGTCTTCCGTTGCCCCAAGGTGTGAGGGTACATTCAACCAGGGGAATGGCAGCCTCATAGGCCTTGTTTAAAGGGGTTTCTGTGAGTGATATCTGCACTGCAGCCAGTTGATCATCACCGCACAGTATTGTTCGGTTTTATTGTTTGGATGGGACAGCCCCTTCAGTGGCTCACTCTGTCCTTTCTGATGGGTCTACAGTGCACTAAAGTTTTGGAGGTTTGACTTTGGTTCGGTGGCTGCTCTGTGGGGCGTGTATATATGTCCCATACTATATGTGTTGTACCGAGTGAATCGACTGAAAGGGAACGAAATGTTATGAATATAACTTCTGTTCCCTGAAGGAGAGGAACGAGGTACAACACTAGGTTGCCCCACTGCGCAGCTAGGCTCGGTGAAGAGCGGCTATCGAACTGAAGGATGACTGTGGTGTTACACGTATATATGTGCAGGCGGAGCCTCCCAGACGTCACCACAGATCATCTGCCTTAAAGGCGTGAATAAAGGTGTCTTCAGTCAGGCCACGCGAGGGCGTGATATCCCATACTATATGTGTTGTACCTCGTTCCTCTCCTTCAGGGAACAGAAGTTATATTCATAACATTTCGTTTTCTTGCATGTGTTGGCAGTCGTGGCCAAAGGAGGATTCAGACACGTTCCCGAACTTTCTGGTTAGTTTTTTACTGTCCGATATTGTCGCACCGTTAACTTTGGCTGTGTCTCATTTCAGAGACCGCATCGGGATAAGCGCGCTTAACGGCGCTTAGCTGAGTGCCGTTTTGTGCCGTTTTGCGCCGTTATGTACCCTTCCTGTGTCCCATTTCAGAGACCGCAACCGTCGAACGGCTTGTCTGAAGCGTGCGTGAGGTCATCACGCGGCACGAACGGTGTCCCTTTTGGCACAAAATGCTAAGCGCGCTTCAAATTCGGTCTCAAAACCACACTACCCCTGCATCTTTTTCAAGCGTGCATGTATGCACGCTTTCGTGCCGTCGGTATCCCAGAATTCTTTGCGTGCCGTTGCACAGCTTCGCATTTCGGGTGAGAGGCTGGACTCGCTTGGAGACACAGCGCGTCTTTAAAGAAAATACAAGAAATCCAAAAACAGCAGACAGTCAGCTCAGGCTGTATGAGAGCATGATCTCTGAACTCACTAAATCTGTAAACCAAACATTATAGATTTAGAGACGAACTGATCCGCTCTGCTACAACTATCAAAAACATTAGAAATAAGAAAGCTGACAAAACTACAGCAGAGTATCAGGACAACATTGAGTTTTTTTTCTTTTAAGATTTAGGGATTAAAGTTGTAAATTTAGGAGAATAAAGTCATAAAGTAAATAAAGTCATAAAGCTGCTTTTGTGGAGGGGGAAATGACTGAAGCTGGTCATCTGCAGGGTTATCTGTGGATGTATCAGCGGGTCACTCAGAGAGATTTTGTGGTTTCTGAAGAAACAATCAAACTGATGATGATCAACATTTGTGATCCAGAGGGAGTCGAGCTCCGACGAGCACCACGTCTCTGACACCGAGGTAACCTACACCAGCAGAGACACCAACACCTTATTATGGCATATGGATTCATACCATAAACTAAAGCTCAATGTCATTCACAGATATTTACGGCTGCATTGACAGATATATCCTCAGCATATTCATTTCTGCCTCCACAAAAGCAGCGATTTCCTTCAAGTACACCAGTTTTTTTTCCCTGTGGAAAAGACGTATTTCTCATATATTCTTTTTTAAGTCTTTATACTTATGACAATGTGATGCTGATGTGCCAGAGGATGAAGTATCTCCTTGTTTGTGAAACCTATACTGAAGCACAGTTCCTTCAAATGCTTCATGGCCCTAATTTTAACAAAGTCTCCTCTGAAATAACAGGAAACTTTAAAACTTTATTCTCATAAATTAATGACTTTATTCTCGTAAATTCACAACTTAAATCTCGAAGTCTTTAAAGTCTTCAATCTCAATATGGCCCTCATACTCCTTCATACAAAACAATCATTGGATGAATTGTGCTTGTATGTATCTACTATTTTGTGTCTGTGCAAGGTCGCACAATTAAAAAATAAATGCTGCACTCCGCAGGTTTTCTTTAAGTCAGTCGTGACGCAAGCCTGAGGGCGGGGACATTTGGCAACTCCACCAGGAAGTCCTCCGAAGGTCTCCAAATGCCAGTCTTGTTCCTGTAAAGGAATATTGTCTTAATTTTAACTGAATCAGTGATTTGACAACACATTTTTACAACTTTAAGAGGTAGATTAAAACTCCAAAAATGTTCATGAAACCACTTTAGTTTTCATTGTTGTAAAGATAAAAACCAGATTTAGTTCATAACAAAAAGAAAAAAAGATGAGACCATGAGGTTTTTATTGTCCTCCGTCTCTGTGTTTACCTCCGGAGCCAGCCTCTCCCGCCTTGTTACGCCGGCGTCTCAGGATGACCTCCAGCTTGCTGTCCTTCTTCCTGGGCGGTGACGGCCCTGACTCCTGAGATCCTCGGGTGGGACTGCGCTTCACCGTCTCCTGCGGGAAAACGCAACCGTCACTGCAGAGACTTGACTGTCCGCCAACACAGATTAAGATTAAGATTATTTATTATCCACATGTTAAAGGTTGTGTAAACCTGGATAATATGACCTATCTTAAATAATGAATTTACTTGTTCTTGCACCTGCAGCTGGATTTATCGATGGAGGTGAGACCCCTGGTAGGGCTGACATAATATCAGATTTTCCTGTCATGGAAAACTTGATGATAAATAAAACATCTCCATCAGTAAAACCGAGAGTGGAGCATGTTTTTATTCATGTCTAAAAATATTCAGATTTATGATCCATCATCAGCTCTCTGACTGAAGACATTATTTAACATTTGTTTGTCATGCTTTTATTTTGGTATTTTATTCTGTCCTGTGATATGAGCTTTTATTTTGAAGCGCGCTACTTCTGAAATGTGGTGAATGCAGTTTCATGTCGCCAGTGTAAAGGAAAGATGGTTTCTGTGGATACAGTAATATCCTGACAGCGCTGTTATGGTGTTTAAAGAGCTAAAAGGCAATAATATTAACTTATTAAAGCTCCTGTATGGAGTTTTAAACTCATCTGGAAGCAGACCGTCCCCTCAGACCACACCTCTCTGTCACAGCTGATGTTAGATCCTTTTACCAGGATGCCTTTCAGTTCCTCCATGGCGCTCTCCTGCTGCTGCTGCTGCTGCTGCTTGTCCTCACAGATCGCAGGCGGCTGGGAAGGAAAAGAAAACGAGTTTATTCAGTATGTTCAAGGACCTGCATTTAAGACACACTTTAAAAGATGGAAACGGCAGCTTTTCAGAGAAATGACGGGGTATCTGATTTCCAACAAGGCCATATCATGTCAAAAACGAGCACAACCAAATTATTTATTTTATAAGGAAAAATAAGTGAGTTCTGCTGGTCGTAAAAGTTTAGTTGTTACTCCAAAGCTTTTGCAGCAATTTGATCTGATTTAATTTCGACATAAACTCAGAAATCTCTGAATATTCAACCAATTTCACGGCAGACTGGGGACGAGCCGATTCAGGATGTCCGACACTAAAACCCCCCGCCATCTTCATGCTGTGATTTATAAGGTTTCCTGACATGCGTCACACTTGGTTTTGCAGTATGAAGTTATTCTTTGTCTTTGTTTTTGGACTCAGATGTGGTTTCAGAGCAGCAGAGATCGACTCCCTTTTTCCTGCTAAATAAATCAACGAGAGACTTTTGTACTGGGTCAGGTATACGACCTCCATTTGAGCCATTTTCACTCATGCATTTTTGGGCACCCCTTCTGAGATGATGAGATACACCCTAAAGAATGTGTGTACCAAATTTGGTGCTTTTATCCACCGCATAACAATTTGGCCATTTTTTCAAGTTAACAGACCCTACTATGAGGTGGAGTGTTCGAGCCTTTTTCTGGACAAGGTGAATGTTGAAGTCTAGTGTCTAGACAGGAAAGTGAAAGAGGAAACAAATGGTATACTCCTGTATGTCCAAGTGGCTCAGAGGATAAGAACACTGACTGGAACTCCTGAGGTCATAGGTTCGAGTCCTACCATACCTAGTTTTAGGTGAATTTTAAAGTCTCGAATCCACAAAGGACAGCGATATGTGAAAAAAAAACACATTTCTCTTTTGTGTCCACATGGCTCACAGGATAAGGAGACTGACTGGGACTCCTGAGGTGGAGTGTTCGAGCCTTTTTCGGGACAAGGTGAATGCTGAAGTCTAGTGTCTAGACAGGAAAGTGAAAGAGGAAACAAATGGTATAATCTTGTATGTCCAAGTGTCTCAGAGGATAAGAACACTGACTGGAACTCCTGAGGTCATAGGTTCGAGTCCTACCATACCTAGTTTTAGGTGAATTTTAAAGTCTTGAGTCCACAAAGGACAGTGATATGTGAAAAAAAAAACACTTTTCCCTTGTGTGTCCACATGGCTCACAGGATAAGGAGACTGACTGGGACTCCTGAGGTGGTGTGTTCGAGCCTTTTTCAGGACAAGGTGAATGTTGAAGTCTAGTGTCTAGACAGGAAAGTGAAAGAGGAAACAAATGGTATAATCCTGTATGTCCAAGTGGCTCAGAGGATAAGAACACTGACTGGAACTCCTGAGGTCATAGGTTCAAGTCCTGCCTTGCCCACTTCTTGGTGAATTTTTAAAATCTAGAGTCTACAAAGTACAGTGATATTTGAAAAAAAATATGATTGTCTCGTGTGTCCACATGAGTCAGTGGGTTCAGTCCTTATTGTGGTTACGCCCTCTGCTCAGCCCCCGGCCATCGGCCGCTGCGCCCCCCCTATAATCCCCCCCGCAACCCTTCTTCCCACCCTTACTCTAAAGTTCAGCCTGCTCTGACTTCCTGTTGCATAATCCCCCCCTATTTTATCTCTCTGGAAACACCGGGGGGGGGGGGGGGGTAACCCCACACCCCTGGGCTGAGCGGGTTTCGAACCAGGAGCCGGTCTTCAACCAGAACACATAGCTCACATCAGGGTGTTAGATGTCTACCACACTGCGCCACCGGAGACCAACCACAGTTGGGGATGAGCTCTGCGTGCTTTTATCTTGGTACTTTTGCTCCTGGACTTTAAAATTCATCCTGAATAAGGTTTGAACCCATTAGTTATGTTATGTTCCTACATACTCAAGAATAATTTTAAACATAGATTTTCATAAATAAACACAAAGCAGCGAGGTAGAGCAATAGCTATAGGCCGACATACACAATGCAGTTATATTAAATAGATTATATATAAAACATTTAATCATTCCATGTATGTTATATTAGTAATATTTCTATTAGAGGGATAACTATAATAACATATAACAACAACATATATGTATGTTTATTTCCAGTATAAATTTCTGCCTCATGTTTCCATTTTAGATGTTTTTAACAAACCAAACAGCTTGGAAATCATGTGCAACTTATGTTGAATTGAAAGAGCATTTCTGTCTCTTCAACTAATGTAAAATTGCTGGGTCAACTTTGTAATACTTGGACTCACTCACTGCGAGTCTGTTAGCCACGTTAGACAGCTGATAAACACAAGCACATCCACAAAGACTGTCACTTTGACTAAATGAATAAATAAAAATAAATAATAGGCAGTCATACAAGAAATTAAAACCTTGATTGTGGTCTCAGCCTCGACAACCCACGCAAAGCAACTCAAAGTTAGCCCTTGCGCGCAAATAGCCGTGAAACAACTGTGCTTCATGATTAAGTCTTTTTTTCCTCAAAGAAAATCTGCCATTTCAATATGTCCAAGCATCCCAACTCATCAATAACTCATAACTATTGACTGATATTATGATATCATTATGATAAAAAAGATGCATCTTTAATGGATTTCTGCCTACTCCACCTTAAAATGATGGTCACACTTCAGAAAGATGAGATTTTTAATATGAAGATATGACTAAAGCATGTAGAAGTTAAGATAAACAAAGACCGTTTTGTCCACAGGGGGCGCCAGAGGTCACACCCAGCAGTATTAACTTTCATTTAAGTGACTTTTATCCTCCTTTTTTTTTAAGGCTTTTTTTTAAACTCTTTTTAAGGGGAGGAGTGATCGTGATGTTACATAACCATAACAAGGCATATTTTTGCAATCACGGTCATATAAAAACTTAAATCGAGATTTTTCTTCATAAACAAATTAATTTACACCCTCTTGTCGCCACACGCTCTCACAGTAACAAGCTAAAAGGCAATAATATTAACTTATTAAAGCTCCTGTATGGAGTTTTAAACTCATCTGGAAGCAGACCGTCCCCTCAGACCACACCTCTCTATCAAAGCTGTTGTTAGATCCTTTTACCAGGATGCCTTTCAGTTCCTCCATGGCGCTCTCCTGCTGCTGCTGCTGCTGCTGCTTGTCCTCACAGATCGCAGGCGGCTGGGAAGGAAAAGAAAACGAGTTTATTCAGTATGTTCAAGGACCTGCATTTAAGACGCACTTTAAAAGATGGAAACGGCAGCTTTTCGGCAGAGAAATGACGGGTATCTGATTTCCAACAAGGCCATATCATGTCAAAAACGAGCACAACCAAATTATTTATTTTATAAGGAAAAATAAGTGAGTTCTGCTGGTCGTAAAAGTTTAGTTGTTACTCCAAAGCTTTTGCAGCAATTTGATCTGATTTAATTTCGACATAAACTCAGAAATCTCTGAATATTCAACCAATTTCACGGCAGACTGGGGACGAGCCGATTCAGGATGTCCGACACTAAAACCCCCCGCCATCTTCATGCTGTGATTTATAAGGTTTCCTGACATGCGTCACACTTGGTTTTGCAGTATGAAGTTATTCTTAATCTTTGTTTTTGGACTCAGATGTGGTTTCAGAGCAGCAGAGATCGACTCCCTTTTTCCTGCTAAATAAATCAACGAGAGACTTTTGTACTGGGTCAGGTATACGACCTCCATTTGAGCCATTTTCACTCATGCATTTTTGGGCACCCCTTCTGAGATGATGAGATACACCCTAAAGAATGTGTGTACCAAATTTGGTGCTTTTATCCACCGCATAACAATTTGGCCATTTTTTCAAGTTAACAGACCCTACTATGAGGTGGAGTGTTCGAGCCTTTTTCGGGACAAGGTGAATGTTGAAGTCTAGTATCTAGACAGGAAAGTGAAAGAGGAAACAAATGGTATAATCCTGTATGTCCAAGTGGCTCAGAGGATAAGAACACTGACTGGAACTCCTGAGGCCATAGGTTCGAGTCCTACCATACCTAGTTTTAGGTGAATTTTAAAGTCTTGAGTCCACAAAGGACAGCGATATGTGAAAAAAAAACACATTTCTCTTTTGTGTCCACATGGCTCACAGGATAAGGAGACTGACTGGGACTCCTGAGGTGGAGTTTTCGAGCCTTTTTCGGGACAAGGTGAATGTTGAAGTCTAGTGTCTAGACAGGAAAGTGAAAGAGGAAACAAATGGTATAATCCTGTATGTCCAAGTGGCTCAGAGGATAAGAACACTGACTGGAACTCCTGAGGTCATAGGTTCGAGTCCTACCATACCTAGTTTTAGGTGAATTTTAAAGTCTCGAATCCACAAAGGACAGCGATATGTGAAAAAAAAACACATTTCTCTTTTGTGTGTCCACATGGCTCACAGGATAAGGAGACTGACTGGGACTCCTGAGGTGGAGTGTTCGAGCCTTTTTCGGGACAAGGTGAATGTTGAAGTCTAGTGTCTAGACAGGAAAGTGAAAGAGGAAACAAATGGTATAATCTTGTATGTCCAAGTGGCTCAGAGGATAACAACACTGACTGGAACTCCTGAGGTCATAGGTTCGAGTCCTACCATACCTAGTTTTAGGTGAATTTTAAAGTCTTGAGTCCACAAAGGACAGCGATATGTGAAAAAAAAAAAAAACTTTTCTCTTGTGTGTCCACATGGCTCACAGGATAAGGAGACTGACTGGGACTCCTGATGTGGTGTGTTCGAGCCTTTTTCGGGACAAGGTGAATGTTGAAGTCTAGTGTCTAGACAGGAAAGTGAAAGAGGAAACAAATGGCATAATCCTGTATGTCCAAGTGGCTCAGAGGATAAGAACACTGACTGGAACTCCTGAGGTCATAGGTTCGAGTCCTACCATACCTAATTTTAGGTCAATTTTAAAGTCTCGAATCCACAAAGGACAGCGATATGTGAAAAAAAAAAAACACTTTTCTCTTTTGTGTCCACATGACTCACAGTATAAGGAGACTGACTGGGACTCCTGAGGTGGAGTGGTCGAGCCTTTTTCGGGACAAGGTGAATGTTGAAGTCTAGTGTCTAGACAGGAAAGTGAAAGAGGAAACAAATGGTATAATCCTGTATGTCCAAGTGGCTCAGAGGATAAGAACACTGACTGGAACTCCTGAGGCCATAGGTTTGAGTCCTACCATACCTACTTTTAGGTGAATTTTAAAGTCTTGGGTCCACAAAGGACAGCGATATGTGAAAAAAAAAACACTTTTCTCTTGTGTGTCCACATGGCTCACAGGATAAGGAGACTGACTGGGACTCCCGAGGTGGAGTGTTCGAGCCTTTTTTAGGACAAGGTGAATGTTGAAGTCTAGTGTCTAGACAGGAAAGTGAAAGAGGAAACAAATGGTATAATCTTTTATGTCCAAGTGGCTCAGAGGATAAGAACACTGACTGGAACTCCTGAGGTCATAGGTTCGAGTCCTACCATACCTAATTTTAGGTCAATTTTAAAGTCTCGAATCCACAAAGGACAGCGATATGTGAAAAAAAAAAAACACTTTTCTCTTTTGTGTCCACATGACTCACAGTATAAGGAGACTGACTGGGACTCCTGAGGTGGAGTGTTCGAGCCTTTTTCGGGACAAGGTGAATGTTGAAGTCTAGTGTCTAGACAGGAAAGTGAAAGAGGAAACAAATGGTATAATCCTGTATGTCCAAGTGGCTCAGAGGATAAGAACACTGACTGGAACTCCTGAGGCCATAGGTTCGAGTCCTACCATACCTAGTTTTAGGTGAATTTTAAAGTCTTGGGTCCACAAAGGACAGCGATATGTGAAAAAAAAAACACTTTTCTCTTGTGTGTCCACATGGCTCACAGGATAAGGAGACTGACTGGGACTCCTGAGGTGGAGTGTTCGAGCCTTTTTTAGGACAAGGTGAATGTTGAAGTCTAGTGTCTAGACAGGAAAGTGAAAGAGGAAACAAATGGTATAATCTTGTATGTCCAAGTGGCTCAGAGGATAACAACACTGACTGGAACTCCTGAGGTCATAGGTTCGAGTCCTACCATACCTAGTTTTAGGTGAATTTTAAAGTCTTGAGTCCACAAAGGACAGCGATATGTGAAAAAAAAAAAAAACTTTTCTCTTGTGTGTCCACATGGCTCACAGGATAAGGAGACTGACTGGGACTCCTGATGTGGTGTGTTCGAGCCTTTTTCGGGACAAGGTGAATGTTGAAGTCTAGTGTCTAGACAGGAAAGTGAAAGAGGAAACAAATGGTATAATCCTGTATGTCCAAGTGGCTCAGAGGATAAGAACACTGACTGGAACTCCTGAGGTCATAGGTTCGAGTCCTACCATACCTAATTTTAGGTCAATTTTAAAGTCTCGAATCCACAAAGGACAGCGATATGTGAAAAAAAAAAAACACTTTTCTCTTTTGTGTCCACATGACTCACAGTATAAGGAGACTGACTGGGACTCCTGAGGTGGAGTGGTCGAGCCTTTTTCGGGACAAGGTGAATGTTGAAGTCTAGTGTCTAGACAGGAAAGTGAAAGAGGAAACAAATGGTATAATCCTGTATGTCCAAGTGGCTCAGAGGATAAGAACACTGACTGGAACTCCTGAGGCCATAGGTTTGAGTCCTACCATACCTACTTTTAGGTGAATTTTAAAGTCTTGGGTCCACAAAGGACAGCGATATGTGAAAAAAAAAACACTTTTCTCTTGTGTGTCCACATGGCTCACAGGATAAGGAGACTGACTGGGACTCCCGAGGTGGAGTGTTCGAGCCTTTTTTAGGACAAGGTGAATGTTGAAGTCTAGTGTCTAGACATGAAAGTGAAAGAGGAAACAAATGGTATAATCTTTTATGTCCAAGTGGCTCAGAGGATAAGAACACTGACTGGAACTCCTGAGGTCATAGGTTTGAGTCCTACCATACCTAGTTTTAGGTGAATTTTAAAGTCTTGAGTCCACAAAGGACAGCGATATGTGAAAAAAAAACACTTTTCTCTTGTGTGTCCACATGGCTCACGGGATAAGGAGACTGACTGGGACTCCTGAGGTGCAGTGTTCGAGCCTTTTTCGGGACAAGGTGAATAATGAAGTCTTGTGTCTAGACAGGAAAGTGAAAGAGGAAACAAATGGTATAATCCTGTATGTCCAAGTGGCTCAGAGGATAAGGACACTGACTGGAACTCCTGAGGTCATAGGTTCGAGTCCTACCATACCTAGTTTTAGGTGAATTTTAAACTCGTGAGTCCACAAAGGACAGCGATATGTGAAAAAAAAAACACTTTTCTCTTGTGTGTCCACATGGCTCACAGTATAAGGAGACTGACTGGGACTCCTGAGGTGGAGTGTTCGAGCCTTTTTCGGGACAAGGTGAATGTTGAAGTCTAGTGTCTAGACAGGAAAGTGAAAGAGGAAACAAATGGTATAATCCTGTATGTCCAAGTGGCTCAGAGGATAAGAACACTGACTGGAACTCCTGAGCCCATAGGTTTGAGTCCTACGATACCTACTTTTAGGTGAATTTTAAAGTCTTGAGTCCACAAAGGACAGCGATATGTGAAAAAAAAACACTTTTCTCTTGTGTGTCCACATGGCTCACAGGATAAGGAGACTGACTGGGACTCCTGAGGTGGTGTGTTCGAGCCTTTTTTAGGACAAGGTGAATGTTGAAGTCTAGTGTCTAGACAGGAAAGTGAAAGAGGAAACAAATGGTATAATCTTTTATGTCCAAGTGGCTCAGAGGATAAGAACACTGACTGGAACTCCTGAGGTCATAGGTTTGAGTCCTACCATACCTAGTTTTAGGTGAATTTTAAAGTCTTGAGTCCACAAAGGACAGCGATATGTGAAAAAAAAAACACTTTTCTCTTGTGTGTCCACATGGCTCACAGGATAAGGAGACTGACTGGGACTCCTGAGGTGGAGTGTTCGAGCCTTTTTCGGGACAAGGTGAATGTTGAAGTCTAGTGTCTAGACAGGAAAGTGAAAGAGGAAACAAATGGTATAATCCTGTATGTCCAAGTGGCTCAGAGGATAAGGACACTGACTGGAACTCCTGAGGTCATAGGTTCGAGTCCTACCATACCTAGTTTTAGGTGAATTTTAAACTCGTGAGTCCACAAAGGACAGCGATATGTGAAAAAAAAAACACTTTTCTCTTGTGTGTCCACATGGCTCACAGGATAAGGAGACTGACTGGGACTCCTGAGGTGGTGTGTTCGAGCCTTTTTCGGGACAAGGTGAATGTTGAAGTCTAGTGTCTAGACAGGAAAGTGAAAGAGGAAACAAATGGTATAATCCTGTATGTCCGAGTGGCTCAGAGGATAAGAACACTGACTGGTACTCCTGAGGTCATAGGTTCGAGTCCTACCATACCTAGTTTTAGGTGAATTTTAAAGTCGTGAGTCCACAAAGGACAGCGATATGTGAAAAAAAAAACACTTTTCTCTTGTGTGTCCACATGGCTCACAGGATAAGGAGACTGACTGGGACTCCTGAGGTGGTGTGTTCGACCCTTTTTCAGGACAAGGTGAATGTTGAAGTCTAGTGTCTAGACAGGAAAGTGAAAGAGGAAACAAATGGTATAATCCTGTATGTCCAAGTGGCTCAGAGGATAAGAACACTAACTGAAACTCCTGAGGTCATAGGTTCGAGTCCTACCTTACCTAGTTTTAGGTGAATTTTAAAGTCTTGAGTCCACAAAGGACAGTGATATATGGGAAAAAAAACACGATGGTCTTCTGTGTCCACATTGCTCACGGGATAAGGAGACTGACTGGGACTCCTGAGGTGGTGTGTTCGAGCCTTTTTTGGGACAAGGTGAATTTTGAAGTCTAGTGTCTAGACAGGATAGTGAAAGAGGAAACAAGTGGTATAATCCTGAGTGTCCAAGTGGCTCAGAGGATAAGAACACTGACTGGAACTCCTGAGGTCATAGGTTCGAGTCCTACCTTGCCCACTTCTTGGTGAATTTTTAAAGTCTAGAGTCTACAAAGTACAGTGATATATGAAAAAAAATATGATTGTCTCGTGTGTCCACATCAGTCAGGCTGATAATGGCTGATATTCTGAGACGCCTTCATCGTTTCACGAGCTCACATCTCACTGTGCATTCCTTGACTTTTATTTTGTAGGGTCTATATATAGCCTTCCTTACATGTGGAACAATTTTAAGAAGTATGCAATTACATTGGGCACATTTATATGATGCTTTCACACCTTGTCATTCTTTCTTGTAACACAGAATCACATTGAAAAGTGCTTTCGTTCCATTCATTGAGTGTATTTTATTAACATGCAAAGGACCAGATGTTACTCGACTGTTAAGCTGCACATTAAAAAACCCATCATAGTTGTTATTAATACCACAGGCCTGAATATTATGCACATCAAGGCTTGGCACAGGCCTTCAGACAACCTGCAGCTGGGTTATACTCTAACAGGTCCTCGTACTGTTTGATCAAGTGTTAACTAAGCGGCTACTGAAGAAGGATTAACTGTATCTGCAGAGTTTGGGTGGCTATAGGTATTGTGTGTGTTTGGGATATAAATGAAGTGTTTATAAGTTTTTTAAACAGATTTTCATTTTAGCGTCACTTGAAATAAATTGCAATTGAAAGTTGGAGCTTGTGTTTGTTTTTATCTTAAGAAAAAAGCTGCTGATGTTAACTCCCTAATCTTTTTGATTATTTGTGCTTTTGGTTTCTTCATTATTATTATTATTATTAACTGAGAAGTACTATGAATGTACTAAAGGGATAAAGTGATTTTACTCCAGAATTGAGTTAGCAATAATTTATTTAAAGCCTCTGTCTGGAGTTTGGCACTCCCTTGTGGACAAACTTATACCTCTATATCCTTATAGTAGGCCATGTGGCTTGTGTGTCCACATGGCTCACAGGATAAGAACATTGACTGGGACTCCTGAGATCATGGTTCAAACCCCCGGTGTTTCCAGAGAGATAAAATAGGGGGGTTATGCAACAGGAAGTCTGAGCAGGCTGAAGTTTAGAGTATCTTCAGCTTTCTGGTTGATGGGGGGGATTATAGGGGGGGCACGGCGGCCGATGGCCGGGGGCTGAGCAGAGGGCGTAACCACAATAAGGATTGAACCCACTGACTCATGTGGACACACGAGACAATCATATTTTTTTTCATATATTACTGTACTTTGTAGACTCACGACTTTCAAAATTCACCAAGAAGTGGGCAAGGTAGGACTCGAACCTATGACCTCAGGAGTTCCAGTCAGTGTTCTTATCCTCTGAGCCACTTGGACATACAGGATTATACCATTTGTTTCCTCTTTCACTTTCCTGTCTAGACACTAGACTTCAACATTCACCTTGTCCCGAAAAAGGCTAGAACACACCACCTAAGGAGTCGAAATTAAATCAGATCAAATTGCTGCAAAAGCTTTGGAGTAACAACTAAACTTTTACGACCAGCAGAACTCACTTATTTTTCCTTATAAAATAAATAATTTGGTTGTGCTCGTTTTTGACATGATATGGCCTTGTTGGAAATCAGATACCCCGTCATTTCTCTGCTGAAAAGCTGCCGTTTCCATCTTTTAAAGTGTGTCTTAAATGCAGGTCCTTGAACATACTGAATAAACTCGTTTTCTTTTCCTTCCCAGCCGCCTGCGATCTGTGAGGACAAGCAGCAGCAGCAGCAGCAGCAGCAGCAGCAGCAGGAGAGCGCCATGGAGGAACTGAAAGGCATCCTGGTAAAAGGATCTAACATCAGCTGTGATAGAGAGGTGTGGTCTGAGGGGACGGTCTGCTTCCAGATGAGTTTAAAACTCCATACAGGAGCTTTAATAAGTTAATATTATTGCCTTTTAGCTCTTTAAACACCATAACAGCGCTGTCAGGATATTACTGTATCCACAGAAACCATCTTTCCTTTACACTGGCGACATGAAACTGCATTCGCCACATTTCAGAAGTAGCGCGCTTCAAAATAAAAGCTCATATCACAGGACAGAATAAAATACCAAAATAAAAGCATGACAAACAAATGTTAAATAATGTCTTCAGTCAGAGAGCTGATGATGGATCATAAATATGAATATTTTAAGACATGAATAAAAACATAAAAACATGTTAAGCGCGCTTATCCCGATGCGGTCTCTGAAAAGAGACACAGCCAGGGTTTCTACATGCGATTCCTTTAAAATGTCTCCTTTTTTCGCCATGTTTTATATTTTTTCAGCTTTATATTAACCCTCAGCTCGAAGTATCTATCATTAAAATGTGCCACTGAGGCCTTTATGTTTAATTTAATTATTTATATTTCTCATTATTCAGTTATTTTAAATTAACTACAATTTACCGTTAACATTAATGGATCATGGATGTTTGCTGCCCACCTGTGGACTTGTCGTGTTACTACAACTTTTAGAATTTTAATATGAATGTATTTGTAGAGAAAAGTCTTTAACCCTGAGGAAACATGTTATAAAACACACCCATAAAAACACGTAGACTCTTGTGAAATAAATATCTTTTATTATTTTCATGTCATAATTGTTTATGAACACAGAGCTGTTGCAATACTTTAGAACTTTGCCAAAAACAGCAACCATTCAACGGCACCGCTGTGTCTCTCAAGACCCAACCATGCATAAAATCTCCCATTAAAAAAAAGTAAAATAAAAAATATATTAAAAAATTATGCGTACCACTGATATACAGATCTGATATAAACAGGCGTATTGGTCACAAACCAATTAGAATTATAAACATGGCTTCTTTTACAATACACAGAAGAGACCGAACATGTGGGATATAAGTGGACTTTTCTTTTTTTAAAAAAGGGTACATTTTCTTTTTTACATTTGTACACAACTTTTTTTTTTTCTTTAGTTTTTCAAACTCGTATTTTCATGTTTTCACCCCCCTACAGTCAGAATAATGCTCAAGGCATTCAGGGTGCAGTGTCAAAGAGCACAAGTCGCAGTAAATGCACTTTTCCAAACTGGATCTCACACATTCAGACACACACACACACTCACACACACACGCTCACACACGTTCACAACCAGGAATGGCAGCAGTGGCTTTCCACACTAAAGAGAGAACTAACAGGTGTGTCTCGGCGTCTGCAGGCGACAAATACTGGTACTGAAGACTCGATCGACAGCGGTGAACGAGGCAAACTGATGGTGAAAATCTGAGACGTTACATTCATGTTTCAAGTCAATGATATGACACACATGCATGCACACACACACACACACACACACACGTACACTTGTGGCGCAAAAAAAAAAAAAAAAAAAAAGTTGTAAATTTTTGTTTCAATGTGCAAAGAAAAGGTCGTGAACCGAGCTGCATGAGGGGTCGTGGAAACGCATCAGTGAATCAAAGATAGTGCATAATGGTCGTGCGTATCAAGGGTTACCAGTGCTGGCGGCGTTTATCGTGCGCCGCCTTAACTCGATACGACATCTAATGATTTCGTGACACAGGGCTGATTCACCAAAAAGATTTCCTCTAGCTTGTCTGGACTAGTACCGTTAAAGAAAACTAAAACTGAGTGAAGAAGGACTTTTGGATGACGGACAAAAGAAAAAGTTTCCACAACCTGATGGAACCTGAAACGTACCACAGAGTGACCCGGGTTTGACAAGTGCTTTTGTGAGGTGAGACCCGGGAAATCGAGCGTCACAAACCAGCAGGAGCTCGTCCGACGACACAAACATTCAAAGATTTTCTCGTGCTTTTGGAGAATCTGCGAGAACTCTTAATGGAAGTGCTCCGTTTCAAATCACCATCTGAGCGTCTGACTGAGAGATCTGTCTGTGGGAAACATGACAACAAAGTCTGTGAGCAGGACGAAACAGCCAAACGCTTCCTGAACCGTACTATAAACGTACCCTAGAACCCGAACACGTCCACTTATTCATCAAAACGCCAAGAACGCGTTAACCTCAGTCGAGTTAAGAACTGCAAACGGAGAGAACGATGAAACATCCGACTGAAACTTCAACAAGAAATAAAGTACCTGGAGTGACCGAGGAGAACCTGAGACACGTTTCTGTACCGCCTCATTTCTGCAGGTTCAACATCGGTGATTTTAAATCAGGGGAAACGGCTCCGAGGACGCGAGGAAACAAACTCAACACGGAGTTTTCATGATGAGCAGAATTCAGTCTGAAATAAGCGCCAATAATCACCATCAGCCGGCGTTTTACCGGATGTAGGAACTTCCTCCTGCTGTCCGAGAAGTTTCGGAGGTTCAGTCATTTTTAACCACAAAAACATGAGGAGGAAAAACCACGAGAGGCGAGCGTCAGAGAGATGAACGGAGAGCGTGTTTGTGGTTCGATTAAAGTGACGAGTTCACGCTTAAATTTGGCAACAACTGAAAGAGGCTGTGAATACTGTAAACGCCTTCGACTGTGAGTCTGTGTGCGAGTGCATGCAAGGCCAAAAACACACACACACACATGTACACACGTACGCACACACATCCAGAAAGACACAGCAGGAGGGGAACAAAAGAAAGTACCGAACGCAGCAGCAGCAAAACAAAGAAGAGCAGTGCAAACCGTGGATTTGGTGATGAGCAGCTACGAACACGGAGTCGTACGTTTGTGTGGTTTTTCGATTCAGCGTCATACAGCCAGACCTCCTGACCAATCAGCTTCGAGCCTCGAGCTTTGTAGCAGACGGACACGCCTCCTCTGCTTCTCTTCTTCAAGTAACGACCGACAGCGAGGAGAAACCCGCGTCCTCGATCACGTTTTCTTTTCGAGCAGATACGTCCGGACTGAATCGTTACCGTGACGACTGAAAATTACAATCAATGACGATCTAATCCCGCTGACTTGAATATGTAATCGATGGATCCTCGTCTAAGTACCAGTGAGCCGGTTCATCACGAGCTGAGTCCGGATCAGGACGCTCCTAAAGATCCTGTCGCTAAAAAAGGCAGAAAAGGAAGTTTGAGCAGAACGAGGATCGAAGGCAGTTTAACCTCGGATGCGAAACGACGCTGAGAAAACCTTAACGGCTAAAAACAAGAGATGAAGTCGGACTGCAGTTCAAGAAAGAAACAGAAAAGGCACATGGCGAAGAGGAGGAAGGAGGTTCACGGAGAGCAGAAGCAGAAAAGACGAAGATTCGAGAAAAGAGCGGAGAAGGTTTCCGGGGAGTGTTCTCTGCATCCAGGAGTTTCTTTTCATCTTTAGCAGCGGGCCCAGGTCATCGCCGTGGTCATCATCGTCGTCATCGTCGCTCTGGGTTTTGGCAGGAGACTACATTCTGGGGTCGGGTCAGCAAGAGGCGGCGGGGGGGAGAGAGGGCCACTGGAGAGTCAGGTCCACAACACCGAGACCGTCCCACTCTGAGAAACCGTACAAACATAAAAAAAGAGTCCTGTTCTTCTCCTCTCCTCCAGCTTCGACTAAATTAAGGTGCAACTTGTGGAGAAAATGAAATCAAAGTTCATGTCCTCTATGGCGGTCTCCTAAAAACAGAGACAGGAGGAGGAGGAGGAGGAGGAGCGGGAACGCCGCCCTTCCGAACAACAAGCCCAGACTCCTCCCAGCCGAGTCCTCCTGGTCCAACGCGGAGAGGCGGGCTCAGAGGCAGGGACGCCGTCAGGTAAGGCCGTTTCTGGCTGTTGGGCGGGCGGGCGAAGGAAGGAAGAGGTGAGGGTGAGGGGGCGGGGTTAATGTACAAAGATGTGCCTCAGGAGGTCGTCAGCAGACGGACGCTGCTTGGTCTCTACAAAGATCCGTTTGAGGAATTCTCGGCAGTGGTCCGACACGTGGGCGGGCAGCACAGGGTTCGTGGGTTGAGTGGCGATCTTAAAGATGGCCGCCATGGCCTCAAACTCCGCCCAGGGGGGCCGCTGAGTCAGCATCTCCACGACAGTGCAGCCGACGCTCCTGCGGGAACAACGACAATGAGGATGAGACAGAGAGAGAGAGAGAGAGAGAGAGAGAGAGAGAGAGAGAGATCAAAACTGAGAGTCTGATCTGGACTGATTTGGTGACACCCAGAACTTCATTTCCTGATCAGCTCCAGGTGTCGTAGTCTGATTGATCAGTAGTTTTGCGCAGCGATCATGTCATTTTAATTACGATTGTTAATATAAATCTTTACTTGTTGATGTGAATGGATTTGATTATAACATGTAAGTTAGTTTCACAACGACGGAGAATAACTGATTTAATAAGACAGGTCATGTGTGTAGGTGCGGACGTGTTTGCTCGCGCACTTCCTGGAGCGTCAATCTACATTTTTCCTCCTTCTTCATTTTTGTAAATATATCTTTAATGTCTGATTTGTGTTGTCAAATGTGTAATATAAGATTCTTTCACATCCCTGTCTTTAATCTCCTCTTTCTACTGTTGAGGTCGTAGTTCCTCGTCTCTCCAGATTTCGTTCGTACGGCGGGTCAGAGCCGCCGTGGAGGTTTGTTGAAGTTTGTTGAAGTTTGTTTTTTCATAAATCCCGACGCTTTCTTTTGTGCGTTCGCAGTGTTTCTAAATTCCCCCTCTGGACTCACCAGATGTCAGCCTTCCTGCCGTAACCCTCTCCACTGATCACTTCCGGACTCATCCAGTAGGGGGTGCCGGTCACAGACATGATCCCTGTTCCGGACAGACAGATGGTCTGGAGTCGTCGGCTGGCCCCGAAGTCTCCCAGCTTCACGTTCCCCACCGAGTCCCGGAGGATGTTGGCCCCTGAGCAGAGAGGAGACAGTCAGCCTCCTGAAACTGGACCCTGAAGGTCTCAGTCTGAACCTCCAGGACCACCAACCCGGACTAAAAACAAAGACACGCCCACCTTTGATGTCTCTGTGGACGATCATGTTGCTGTGCAGGTAAGAAACCCCCTCCAGGATCTGCCGGGTGTAACGGCGCGTCACGTTTTCTGTCAGCGCCCCGTACGACTTCAGCTGGTCCTTGATGGAACCCTGAGAACCCAGAAGAAAACCAGTGATGCTTCTGTTACGGGTCTACAAACCATCATGAAGAAGAAGAATCAGCTGTTGTCCTGTTGCTCTGCTGTTAAAAGTTCAAAGTTCATGAGCTCTCACCCCGGGCATGTACTCCATGAAGATGGAGAGCGTCCGCTCCATGGTGTCCCGCAGACAGCCGTAGTACTGAACGATCCGCTCGTTGCACAAGTTCTTCAGGAGCTGGATCTCACACTCCAAGGCGCTCACCTCCTGAGAGAGTCAAAACTTTTATCAGTGATCCTGATTTTTTCTTTTTATAATTCAAAGTTTATTATTTTTTCAATGTTGCATCAAACAAGACAGATATGATGGAGGTCAAACAGAAATAATAAATAAACAAAGAAGATAAAAATAAGACAGACAGGAAAGTTCACACATCTGTCCACAAAAACTGTCCCATTTTTCTTTTATATCATTTTCAGAATTTAATCTCCCCATCATCCTCATCCTCATCATCATCATCATCAACATCATCATCTGTGTTTTCCACAGACTCAGTGTGAGAGTTTCGGGTTCCTCCAACACTTCAGAATCATCCATGTTCACGTTAATAGTCCAGTTTTTAATTTTCTCAAACTGTTTTTATTCAACAGGGGCCCCGGACTTCTGGTTCAGAGGAGACATCATCTTGGTGATGTTGGGAGTTTGTAATTTAATGATTTGCTCTTATAGTCTAAAACTTTTTCCCATGAGGAGAGGATCTTAGAACACTCCTACAAAGCGTGAAGAAATGTTCCACTTCCTGCCTCACACCTCCAACTCAGATCATTATGAAATGAGACCTTATTCTTCTCATTTTTAACTCTTTGTGCTCGAGCCTCCACAGATTTAACAGCTCTCCTGTTTGTGTTTGTTTTTTTTCACCTCTGCAGACTCTCACCTTGCTCGTCTCCGGACTCTCCGGGTCAAACTGGACCTGTTTGACCGCCAGTTCTCGTCCGGTATCGGCGTCATAACAGAGGAAAACCCGACCGAAGGCGCCCTGACCCAGGAGCTTCCCGAGCCTCCAGTTGGTCGGAGCTCGTGGAGCTGAAAAAAAAACGCTGTCAGGTTAGACCGCCGTCAAACACTCGGCAGAGATACTTCCTGGACTGAATGACCTCTGAACTCACAGCGGCTGGGCGGGCTGATGTCCATCACAGACAAGGTCGACGGAGCCGTCGGGTTGGGATTGGGTTCAATGTCGCTGCCCCTTCGTGGCCTCCTGGCGGGTCCCGGGGCCTCCTCCAGGTCAGGGGTGAAGACGCTGCTGCCGCTGCTGGTGCTGGGCGACTGCTCTGTGGGGCTGAAGCTCACCGGTGAGCGGAAACCGTGGACTTGTGTTCGCCGAGCCCGAGGGAAGGTCTTCCTCCCTGCCGAGAAGATGAAGAAGAAGAGAAGATGAAAACATGAACACACACAGTCAACGATACTCAGGTCTTTGTTTGGGGGTCTTTGAAAACATCTCCCACCGTCGCTGTAATCCTGAAGACCAAAGGGAATGCCGTATCGTCGAGGATATGTTCCCCCTTTTCCTGACTTCTCAAACACGGGGATATCGTACTCTAAAGAGGAAGAGGAGGAGGAGGATGAAGAACGCTGAAGAACTGAATAAAAATGGCATCCAGTCACCACAGACTTTTAGAAAATGATGATTTCATGTCCCTGTTTTTATTCATCATCTTATCATCGTGGTTTTTCTGAATCCTCTTTAATCACCTGGAAAGTCTTGGTGGTTGTCGGGGTAACTCTGCGCTCGCGGCATCCTGGACTTGGGGTAGTCGCTGAGCAGAAACAGAAGGAAAAAAATGAGGAAACGTTTATTTGATGGTCCAACAATGAGTTCAGTTTGGTATGAAGAAGACGTTTAGGTCCTGACCTGTCCAGAGGACTGTCTAAAGAGGGACAACTTCCTGACGCCGAGTTCTCTGGACTGCTCATGGACAGCGGGTCCAACATCTGGAGGACAAGAAACCAACACCATCGTTACAAACACAAACTCGTCCGCTGTCTGCGCCACTGATTCATCGTCGACGTTTCTGTACGTACCTGATCCATGCTCTCAGGGATGAACTCCCCCTCGCTGTTGATGCTGGTGAAAGAGCCGTTTCTCGCCACTTGCTGGAGCGCGTCGGGAATGTATCCTGGAGGAGGGGAGCTGCGATCGGTGGAATGGGAACCTGAGGATGATCGCAGAGAAACATACTCATCAACAACGATCCATGTTGACTTCATGAACTTGGATAAATGAGTCTGCAGGAGAAGATCAGAAGCTTTATTTTCATCTTCAACGTTTCAGAGAGACTTCATCACCTACCTATCAAACCCAGCATGCTCTTCTTGTCAGCCACCCTGAATCCTGTGTTGTCCAACTCCTCGTGGGACGGTAGAAGGTCCATACTGGAGGACGAGTTCTGGGAAACAAAGGAAAAGTCAAATGAAAACAAAAGCAGACAGGTGAAGAACTCTAGACCCTGTTTTCAGCGTAAAGAGACGAATGAACGGCTTGTCTTACTGAGATGGTTTCATAAAAAGATTTTAAGATGAACAACAAAAAAACTACATTTCAATGATGCTGTTAGAAGAAGAAAGTGTTAAATTCAGGATATCTTAGGACTGGGCGATTTGACTAAAAAATGATTATGATATATTTTGTCTTATCATCTGATCTCGACTCTGATCACGTTTTCATATTTTCAAACTGCCAGTTTTAAAGAATCTGTACTGAAAACTAAAGAAACTAAAGATTAGTTCAACATTTTATTCACATACAAAGTAAAAAACAAAGAAAATTGAGAAGATAAACATTTTAAAACAAATATAAAACCATTTTAACTCAACAGAACAACAAAAGTTTACAGTCCTGAATGACAAGAAGACCGACCGATACCCCCCACCCGTCGCCGCCGCCGCCGATCGGTACCTACGTCTTAACTCCCGTTCCTCATTTTCCGGTCCGGTTTCATCTGGAGACATGCAGCTGCCTCAGTCAGAGGAGTAGCTCGATCACTAATGTGTACTGTTGTTTATTCTACCGTTACTGGCACAGCTAACAGTGCAGCGAGGCTTACTCTAACTTTAGCTTCATATTACATGGTGGTTCACCGTTAACTCGGCGTGACCGAGACCAGCACAGCGGGGAACATGGTGAAGTGGGTTAAATTGAAACTTGTTGACTTATTGTGTTTTTCACAAACTGGTTTATTTACCGTTGAGGCGGACCACTCTCCTCCTGTCTGCTTCAGATCCGTCACTCTGCAGTTCTGTGAGGTAGTTAGTGGATCAAGGTTGTCATGAGGTCGCTGTAGCGCCATCTACTGGATAAATCGGGGATCTTTTTAAATGGCGGAACATTTTCAAGTGAAACCGAATCTTATTCTCCGCATTTCATTTATGAAAATCTCGGCGAAAGTCGGCGAGTTTTGGCCGATTACCGATTAGTTTCAAACGGGCTAAAATTGGCCGATTTAATTTAAAATCGACTTTTAAAGCCCTACTTAGAATGTAAACATTAGATGATGTAAACATAGATGTTACAACTGATCGCTGCTTTGGTCTGGTTGTAGCCAAACTGCTCGTTGTGCCGTCAGCAGAAGGACTCGGCTCACATCTTCATTTTTTCCTCATAATCACTCTGGAAGAACTCCTTCAGATGATTAAACAGATCTGTTGTGTTGCCGGTTTGTGAGGACACCGATCATCGACATACCTTACACATCGGCTTAATTGCTCAACCTCACTTTGGAGAAACCCGAACCACACAACCGACATTGAGTAACTCTTCTTCTCAACTATGGCATCTTGGGAGGATGACTCAAAGTCATGGCTGACACCAGTTTCACTGATCTCAGCGCCACGTTCGCTCATTCTGTTTACTTCTCCTGTAACTTACAGCAGTGAGCAGGAAAAGCTCGACTCTGATTGGCTGTCTGATTGAACTGAAATTTATCTTGATGATATAATTCGCCCAGTCCTAGGTTATCTGTGGCAGAAGCTGCTGACCTGAGATGAGCTCTGGAGCACCAGGAGGATCTTGAGGCTCTTCATGTGAACGCTGCGATCCAGCAGCTCCACAGCCTTGTCCAGGTCGTCCTGGGTGGTCAGAGGAATCACCAGCTGCAGCAAAATAGAAATGTGTTTGTTGAATTCAGTGTCAACGGTAAAAACAAGGTCCTGTTTGGCGAGGTCTTTCAGTTTTTTACCTCATTGTTGGTGTAATGAAGGTCCATCGTCTGACCAAAAGCCACCTTCGCTTTCGCCTTCAGGTCGTCCAGTTTGACAGGTCGAGGAAACTGCAAAATCCTAAAGAAGAGAGGTGAGAGGTCAGCGGGGCGCTCTACAGGTCTGAGTTTCTACCTCTGAAGTGATGAAGATGGTTGGAAGTTCACCTCCTCTCCCCTTTGAACTCGAACTTCACTCTGACGTCGTTCTGTGAACAGACAGCATCGTGAAATTAGAGGAATAAAGCTCACCTAGAAACTGAAACTCACTCAGAAACCAAAACACGTGTCTGTGAACTTCAGAAAGCATCTTTTTGTTTTCCTCAATTATCTCTGACGCAGCAGTTACCTGGTTCTTGGGTGAGGAGGCTTTGGGTTTGCCCAGGTCCGACAGGAACATTGCAGGACGGCTGGAGCGGTGCAGTTCGGCCAAGTCCTGCATGATTGAGTTCAGTGCCTCCTGCTCATCTGAGAGACACGAAAAGATCTCACTTCATTTTTACACTCAAGAAGATCAGACCAGGGCTTAGACTGTGTATCAGACTTTGAAATCACTGTGCAAAAAGCCTAAAAATGAATGAATCTCCTTTACCATCTAATTCCTGCAGAAGTAAGAGAATACACTGAGGTAGAAAAGAAACTATTGAGAGGAAAAAACCTCCGGGGGTTTAGATATGACAAGATGAAGCTATCTGTAAAACACACACACACACAGACACACACATACCCATCATCATGGCACAGCGATTGACCCAGTAGGCCAGGAAAGAGGATTCTCCCATCAAAGGGATTCCTTTCTCCTGTAACAGCAGAAGTACAACATAAATCTTGACATGAGGTTGATGAGGACACAAGTTGGAGCCTGAAGCTCCTGTAAGATCAGCAGATCTATGAACAATGAGGTCTTTCTTCACCGTGATATGTGAGACAATAAACTACGACGACTTTAACATCAATTCAGATTTACTATGAGCTCAGGATCAGCGAGGATGGCTTCAAAAAGAGGTCAGCCGAGATTATTTGCTTTTGACTCGACATGAATTTGTTTTCTACGTTTAGAGGATTTTAGTCAGAACAACCTGAAAAACACATGGAGAGGAAACCCGTCCCTTTAAGAGCATCAATGTAAACAGTTCCTGCTCAACAATGTTAGAATAATTACTGTTATAAATCAGTTATCTGCAAGAAGCACTACGATGTTTAAGTAGCCAATTTAAAGAACCAATGTGCTTTTAAAACATTATATTACAATTTCAACATCTCTCTTCTGATAAGCACTAAAATTAACGTTTTCTGTTGCTTTTAAAATGATTTTATTCTCTTTAATATTGATTTATTCATCTATTTCATCTGATGTTTAAATTATTCATGTGAGGCACATCAGGTTGTTTCTGAGCAGAAAATGTTTGACATAAACACATTTGCTTGATTTGCCTGATGACAGGACGGTGTTTTGAATCACTATCATCGGGTAACACTAGTCCACAGGTGAGACTTAAAGGAATACTCCGCTTAAAATTCATTTAGGGTCAAACACACCGTAACACCGAGTTAGACCCCCCCTCCAAAGATGAATGTTGCAGACCGCTTACTTCTCTAGTTGTACCAACTTTAGTAACGACCGCAGGATTGCAATACAGAGAGCCACACGCTCAACCTAAACGCCACTCTATAGCCACAAATAATGCTCAGAACAGCACCTAACTTCATCAACAGGACATATAGGGTCACAGACACAGTACTAGACACCAAACATCTTTTTAACTTTGACTGATTTCTTTAGCAAAGAGACTAAACACAACTCATCTACTCTCTTCCAGCAGCTGCTTGTTTGTAGTGAGACCTCAGGCCAGTCCATTACAGACTGCAGCGGGGTGACGCAGCTCAAGGAAGACCATTTATGGTCATTTCTTTATCATTTCCTTGAAGTAATAATCATCATATTCATCATTTTCACTGCAGACGCTGTAGTTCTTCTGCTTTAGCATCTCGGTCTGACTGTATTTCCATAAAGAAATGATCATAAATGTTCTTCCTTGAGCTGCGTCACCCCGCTGTAGTCCGTAATGGACTGGCCTGAGGTCTCTCTACTAACAAGCGGCTGCTGGAAGAGAGTGGGTGAGTTGTGTTTAGTCTCTTTGTTAAAGAAATGAGTCAAAGTTAAAAAGATGTTTGGTGGCTCGTACTGATCACTAAGCAAGTTCAAACTTATTTTTAGAAACCAAATTCTGAATGGATATAAGAGAGAAACGGAAACATGAATTTATAACGATGGTCAACGTGCCTTTTTCCCTGATATATTTTCTGTCTTCTGTGCTGTTATTCCTACACGTGCTCTGACTGATTAAATTACAGTAACACAACAATAAAGGAGTAGGACTAGATAAGTTTTATCAACTTCATCCTACACCCTTTCGAACAAAGTATACTTATCTATATTGCTTCAGAGCTGTCTATGTAATTGTTTCTCTGCCAAAGCACACTGTATGCTGCATTTATTTTGTTTTTCTTTTAAACTGTTCGAATAAACAAATAAACTAGAACTAAACTATAACTATAGTACTATGTCTGTGACCCTATATGTCCTGTTGATGAAGTAAGGTGCTGTTCTGAGCATTATTTGTGGCTATAGAGTGGTGTTTTGGTTGAGCGCATGGCTCTCTGTATTGCTATCGTGCGGTCATTACTTAAGTCGGTATAACCAGAGAAGCAAGCGGTTGGCAACATCCATCTTTGGAGGGGGGTGTCTAACTTGGTGTTACAATGAGTTTGACCCTAAATTAATTTACGCCGGAATATCCCTTTAACTTGACATACTGTTTATTCCCAATAACTGGTTGTCATTCGGTTCTGTTTTTACTGTTATTCATACAAACTTCTGATTTCAACAGACAACACATAACAAAACACACTACAACATTTAAGAAGACAAGACTATAAATATAATTGGTGTTTGTTGGTGAGTGATTAGTCATTATGTTTGTGATCTGCTGTGTTTTTTTACAGCTCTATGATTTGTTTTTGTTGATTGCGATGGTGTTGTGTTTTGCACTTTAGGGCCACTGTAGTTCAGGGGTTAGTAACAGTCTTCTGAGGCTGACAGTGAGCCATGAGATTCTGTGAAGACAGTCACGATAACCCTTTGCGTTAGAGGAAGTGATTAAACATTTCTGATCGATGTTATTGATCATCAGAGCTGCATCAATCTGACTGTTTTCAATGAGATGTCACGTGAGCGTCGCGCTTCAGATTATCCTCAATGAAAAACGACTGTAGCTTCAACCTGACCACTGATATAGAGTCAAAATAAAAACAATAAAGCCTTCAGAGTCCGTAAAAAGGCCTCATTTTAGTCTGAAATAACTGGCTAACGTTAGCTGAGCAGCAACACGAGCTAAACACGGACCAACAACGGTTATTAATACATGTGACATTACGAGCACCGCAATAACACGATCAATAAATAACTTCGCATGTGAAAATACTGATCAAAACAAACTGTTATGGACAGATATGTGTGCGATCAGCTGAGCCGAGTGTTAGCACAGCTCCGTGTCAGGCCAGGGAAGTTATCCGGCTAAAGCTAACTAGCCTCTCAGCTATCCAGAACCCGACCGCGATAACAAGCACCAGAACCGACCGAGTCAGAATTCACTATCTCACCTGGTTATTGATTCGGTTCGTGTTCACTTCCTCATCCACAGGGCCGGTGACAGGAGCCCCGGGCCCTGCGGAGGACGCTGGAGGAAGCAGAAGTTTGGTAGTCAGCTCCCAACTTCACTCGAGTCCTGCTGGGCCACGACGACGACGACGAGGCCCGACGGCTGTCAGCTCGACCCGGGGGACGTTTCCGAGCAGTTTAATGAGAGGAAAAGGGTTAATCCGACAGAGAGTTTGAGTGTAGGAGAGCCAATACAACAGAGTTAATCCACAGCTCTCATTTTGGTGCTCTACTGACTGGCTGACGGTGGAGCTTCACTCGCTGTTGCCCCTGGTTGCATTAAGCTAACTGTAATTCTAAGATGGCTACAGGAAGTCATGGGAATCTCCTTACAAAATAAAATCCCCATGAATCACATTTTAACTACGCATGAAGACGTACATTTTTCAATTATATTTTATATATATCAATGATATATATATATTCAAAATAAACTTCTATTAATAAAAAATATAGTTAATCCCGACAACATTTAATATCATGATTGTAGTACTGTAAAAAAATGATTTTTGAATCAATCCATGAGGAATAGTTAAATTTATGTTGTCACACTATAGTATTATTTGTATTTATCTCTTTGTAAAATTCAGTATGCTTATACAAATACAGCGTTTGTACTGATAACAGGCATTTTGAGACAGTCATAACACACAGACATTGTTTGACACCTACTCTCGTATAGCAATAAAAAAACCTTACATTGACCTTACATACATTGATATTTTTGAATAGCTGAAAAGACTTTGTGATTAATTTTTTATTTGTGTTAATTTAAGACCCACAAACTGATTTCAAATTAATTTATATCACTTTCTTTTGTGAGGTTTTAATTATTTTATGTTTAGATTTTTTATTCATCTATAATTGTTTTCACACCAGCATGAAACTTTTTTTGTCTTCTGAACAAGCTTGTTGGAGTCAATCTTAATGCCTGTTATTTCACTCAGGATCATAACTGGAGTACAAAAAAAGGCAGTAACTGAAAAAAACGGAAAGCCCGACGACGGTCCTTTTTTTTTTCACTTTATGCTGACAGTCACAAACCGGAAATACCCTTTTCATTCCGGTGGACTTGAAATGTCTCAACCTTAAAACCTCGCAGGAAAAGTCCAACAAAAACACAACCGGTGATGTCAGAGAAATGGGTCGGTTTCTTGAACACAAGCGAACCTGTCAAATAAAAACATTCCATTATTTTTAGTTTACCTTAGCAGAGGAAACGACCATCGTACCATCACAAACTTTCACCCTAAGGTTGTTTGATCGAGACAGAATTACTGATATTGATTTAATCGATTAATCATAACCGATAAAGGGGGGAGATCCTCTGTTTTATTCCGATGGACTACTAAAACTTGACAACCAAAGATTACTTTTACTCGTAAATGTGTTAAAAACCCATTAGAATACAGTTGCATTGTTAATTAAGAAGTTATTTCTTCACTTAATTCCATAAACAGCAAAGACAGAAAACACGACAATCACAGCACACCATTATTAATTTCCGATTATCTATTTGGAGCATGCCCAAAATTAGCAGGAAAAATTAGGGCTGTATTTTTAAAGATAAGTTGTAATTTGGAATTTACTTCTAAATTTCTAAATTATACAAGGAGTGCAAATGTTTTAGTTTCAGGAATTAATCAGAAAACAACAAGGTTTAGGTTTCAAAAATGAATCCCTTTGACGAAAAAAATTGTTAATTAGCAGGAAACCTTTTAATTTGTAAACAAGAGACCTGTTTTGATTGATTGATTGAAGTTTATTTTGAACATATAAAATAATAAATAACAATAAGTAAAGAATAAAACAAAAAATGACAAAACGTTATTCATGTCCAAAAAGAAATGGAAAGAAGTCGAGACTAACCCCGTCCCACCCCTTCTGCAACACTAATGGTTTAAATATATATCATAATATTACATAATAATATTAATCATCATAATCACCACAGTGATCATAACAAAACAACAACAACAAAACAATAATTATAATGGTTACTCTAATTGTATATCCCTCTATCCCGTGAAAACATATGTTTTATATTTAATTGTTTTATGTTTGGAAATTCCAAAACTAAAATTTAAAATATTTATACACTTTGGACTAAATTAAACACTATTCTCATGTTTAGTTAACGGTTTTCGTGATCTTTTTAACCCGTCATTTTAATGTCTACGGGATTTCCCGTGAATTTTATTTCGAAAGAACCATCCCATTACGTCACTTCCTGTCCGTAGCGATTTCTCATAACATCTCTCTTTTGGCCGCGACTCTAAGCTAACGTTAGCGGTTTCTATTGTGACTGTATTTTAACAACAAACACAGAGGGGAAAATGTCAGATACGGTAAGATTATAACAGTAGACGGTTTTAATGCTCTCTAATGTTTCTGATCTCTTAAAGACTGATAAATAATCTTTGTAGTTTTCAGCTCGGAGCTTGTAATTTAAGATGCTAACTGATAGCTCATGTAGCTTCAGGCCTCTGACTCTTTGATTATTTGACTATTTAGCTCCACAAACACAGATGTAAACACCTTATTTTTACAGTGGAGCTTTAAAACAAGAAGATTTATGAACATACTGAGACATGCATTTGTCTAAATGGACTGAACCGGCTGATGTGAAGCTCCGGGCCCGTCTGTGTTCAGTCTTTATGGCCCTTAAATGAGTCTGTTTATCAAGTTTTTCACTGTTTTTTCTTTAATTTCAGGAGACAAAACCATCCAGCCAAGACGGAGGGGACAAGAAGGATGGAGAGTACATCAAGTTAAAAGTGATCGGTCAGGTGTGTTGATCACATGGAGAACAGATGATCAGATAAACAACAGTGATCTAAAGAGGAGGGATTATTATTTACAGTTTGTTTTGTTGTTGTATAACCATCAGCATTTGTCTATCAAGTCATTCTGAGACTGAACCTATTCAGGAAAAAGTCTTTGATGATTTTTGCAGCATCTCTTGTCAGTGTTGAACCCTGGAGATAGGTAATACAGGTCAACATATCTAGATATAACCTGTTGGAGTGCCACAGGGTTCAATACTGGGACCAAAGTTATTCATATTATATATAAATGACTTATGTAAAGTTTCTAGTGTATTAAAAAGGTGTTAGTTTTGCCAATGAGAGAAGCTAAAGGATACTTCAGTGGAGTGGAGTAAACTGAAAGAGACCAATTCAACCAAATACAGAGGTTGAAGTGAGGATTGATAATACTAAGATAGAAAGGGTGTATGAGTGTATGAAAATGGACCATAATCTCAGCTGGAAAGTAATAAACTATGTTAGGTCAAAGCTGGCTCAGAGTATTGGCATTTTGGGTTGGAAGGCGCATATTAAACCATAAAACATCATACTTATTGTACAGTATGCTTATATTCTGGGGAAAATACATACAACACGAATTTACAACCTTCATATGTGATGCAAAAGAGAGCAATAAGGATTGTTAAGAAGGTAGGATTCTTCCAACACACTAATGAAGTGTTTCTGAAATTAAGAGAATTATAATTTGCTGAATTAGTTGAATTTAGAACTGCACAGACAATGTATAAAGCAAGTAACAATCTACTCCACCAGATGTTTGACTACACTGAAAATCATGTGTCTTTACTACTAACGCACAGTTTAAAAGTGAATTAAAGCAGAGTATGACTGAAAAATAGAGACTTACCATATTGTACACGGGTTTGGTACACATGAGAGTTTTGTAGTATTCAAGGTATATATATAAAGTGCATATATGTGTGTATATAGGTATGGGTTTATATATAAGGTCTTTGTTTTAGTATTAATGTTTAGTTACATATTCATGTCAGACTTTGGAGCTTTGGTTACTTTTTGGTGACATCAGAAATTCAGCGAATAGGAAGGTTGAGGGAAGGTTCTGAGAAAAAATAGGGAATTTCTCGTCTAAAATTGTACTTAATATTTATTTGATTAAATAAACAAGCTCATCATCAATCTTATAGATAAGCCTTTTATTGATTTTAAAGACTAATCGTGGATGTTCACGTGTAGAGCAAAAATTAAACTGTTAATAATGACTTCCTTAAAATAAAATTCCATATTTATTTCAACCGATCAAGAAAATTGTGGTTGTATAAATTGTATATCTGAGCTTTTGGTGAAGGTGAAGATTTTAACTCAAACAAATCTTCTTTTTTCTTTCTGCCCTACAGGACAGCAGTGAAATCCACTTTAAGGTGAAAATGACGACACATCTGAAGAAGCTGAAGGAGTCTTACAGTCAGAGACAGGTAAGAGGGAAATGACATCATGCAGTAGTAGTAATAGTGTTAGCAGTTGTACTTATAGTCATGTGTAAATGTTCATAGCTTCATATCGTACTTTTTATATGTGAATACTTGATTTATCTGAAGTTTTATTCTATCTTTATTCTTTATATATATAAATTGCACTTTTGTTACTTACTCCTTTTATTATACGGTTCTTTTTTTTGTACATACTGATGCTTGAGGGAACTTTTCCAAACTGATCAATAAAGTCTTTCTAATCTAATCTAATTCCACACCCTGTTACTGCTTGACTCCTGCGTATAAAGGACGCGCTGTGTGATAGATTCTAGGTCTTCAGATTTCCTTTTATTGAAGTTGTTAAGCTCTGATCGTCACGTGTGTGTTTGTTTGTTTGTTCCAGGGTGTCCCAGCCAGCACGCTAAGGTTCCTGTTTGAGGGACAGAGAATCTCAGACAACCAAACTCCAAAAGAGGTAAACTTGTCTCATTCAGACTCACACATTCTTTTTCCTTGAGTTTAGTATTCATCAAACTGGTATAAAGCTGTGTTCAAGTTACCTCAAAAGTCAGATGTCGGCGCTGAAAATGACGTCACACCCGAGTAACCAAGTCGGAAAAAAGCAAAATCAGAGGCCTGAAACAAGATGGCTAAATCTACGAAAGCTATTTTAGTGCTTGCTTTGTCCGAACGTAAGCAACTTCTAGATAAAAATGTGGTCCTTCTGCAACATCTTGTTTACGCCTCCGATTTTGCTTATTTCCAACTTGGTAACTGAAACGCTGGGAACTCTGGTGTGACGTCATTCCCAGCTCGGGAATGACGGACTACTGAGGAAACTCGAACGCAGCCAACTTATTTGGTTTTAAACACGTCAAGATTCTACAAAATATCTTCTTGTATAATCATTAGAATCTTTCTAACAGTCTAAATAGTAATGATATTTCCTCAGATGCATAAATATCTTTAGAACCTCCATAATGAGCTCTAAATTTGGTACCTGAAAGAAAACAACATGTAAACACAAATAGAGAAATGCCTCTGTCACTAAAACACGTCTCTGCTGTTTGTTCACGTCAGCTGGGGATGGAGGACGAAGACGTCATCGAGGTTTATCAAGAACAGACTGGTGGACTTTGGAATGACTAAACTTCCCTCGTTTCTAATTTTTTTTTTTTTCCTTATTTTGTATTTTATTTTGTATGTATGTACGTAATTTTGTTCAGTTCAGTTTCAAACCATCTGGATCAAACTGATTCTATCAGGGCTTCCATTGGAGAGGGCAGGGAGGTGAACAGACTGAGGTAAGAAAACGACAGCAGGTTTCTGAAGTGCAGGGATGCTTATGTTGTTGACTGGAGCAATAGCATTCATTGTGGCTGTTATAATAATAATGTAATGTTGCTTTTTTATCTCATCTTTTTTTTTTTTTTTGGAGAAGTAAGGCTATCAAAGAACAAATTTTTACTAAAGGAATAGTTCACCCAAAAATGAATTGTTGTAATCTCATCACACACACTTTGAGGCTGTCAGAGTTCCCATGAAAGGCTGTCAGCTCTGTGTCGGTGGATATGAACTCCTTTTTCTAAGAATATTGTGGCAACTACTTAAATAAAAACTGTTTTATAATATTGATAATGCCAAGATGTGATTTCTTCTGTTCTGCTCAAAGTTGCTCTGCGCTTGAAAACTGATGGAAGTGAGAGGAAAACTTCAGGTGCAGTTTTTGGATTTATGAATTGAAGAGAGTTTGAAAATGATCCAGCTTTAGAAAGAGACACTCATGAAGCAAATGTTGAACATTAGAGACACTTGAGAGCACATGGATTCTGAAACTAAGAGCACACAAGCCTATGAACTGGATTTTTGGGCGCACTATTCCTTTAAAGTCGTCACTAAAGAGACACTGTCTTCTTGAAGCAAGCTTGCTTACCCGAGAGAGAGTTCACTTTGGTTGGCTCTGTGCTCACAAACTGCTGGATTTCTGAGCTGGCTCAATCTTAACACAACATATCATAAAAAAAGAGACTGTCTTGTTTCTCTGGATTTGAATAATTTCCATTTACGACCTCTGTGCCATGTTTGACGTTCACTCTGATGAAAATGTAAAGTCAGGATCAAAGTTGAGCAGATATGGTGATATTTGAGATTTTAAGACCAGTTTTAAATGATCGATGTGCTTTACTTGTGTATGTTGTACTCAGTGTTAGAGCGTGTTTGAATGATATGCCATGTTTCTCCTGTGTTGTCTTTAAGTTATAGCGGGCGGGGGGAGTCATTCTGTTATATTATAGCTAAATATATTCCTGTTATGCAAATGTTTTGCTTGCTGACAGTCACAGTATGTCTCAGTGGGCGTGATCTGTCCTCCTGCGGTTTGTTCGAGGGGAAATCTGAGGACTAGTCATCAGTGACGTGTTTCACTTTGTGTCAGCTCATGTTTTAGAGGCTTGTCTAACTCTTAGTGTTTGTACTGTATGAAGTTCCTCAAAAGGTTAAGATCAGTAACAGCCCCAAACTCGGTCATCTTTGTATAATTGGTCCAAGAATGAAAACACAGCGAGGTTACTTCACCTCTAAAATGTCAGGTTCAAGCTGCAGTGGATGATTGTGAAGCTGCACCTCCGGGTTACTTTTACTTCTGTCATAAAATACAAATCCAGAGGCAAGTGAACGCTTTACTGCCAAGCTCAATAATGAAGGTACCAGCAAGTTGATCCTTTTTTCTAGATCCTGTAATCATGGATCAAACAGTCTGACACTTTCAGGAGGTGAAGGAAATAAAAGCTTCTACAATCGTCCTCGATGGTTAAACTTTTCTGAATTGGACCTCGATCTGATCCACCTGACTGTTGTCATCTTTTCATTGGTGTATAGTGAACAGCTCAGGTGATCTGAACTCCCCCTAAACCCCCAGACAGGAAGGGCTGTGATTTGAGCCATACCATCGATCTCAGTGAAGGGCCGGGACTGTTCGATATTAGAGGAACATTGATACAGATGGTTTGAAATTCTGGATATGAGCTTTTTGCTTTTTTGAATAAAATATTTAAGAAAAAAATGCAGCTGTTTGTTTATTGAATGGAGGATTTTTTCCCCCTGCTGTATCTGTTACATGAGGAAATATTTGTGTCTTTAAAAGGTGTCCACATCCTGCAGATTCACGTTAGATCCAGATGTTTTTTTTTTACTCAAATACAACTTAAAATGACAAAAACAGCGATGAATGAGGACATGAATTTGAGCTTATTTTTCTAAACTGACTAAAAAACATAAAAAGGACAAAAAACTCACTCTGGAAGTCTCTGCACTCATGCGCTGACCACCTTTATTCAGGGATGACTCAGTTTGTCCTCCTGAGAATAAAACCACTGAGTGTTTCCCCTCAGCTCCTCCTTTCTACAGTAAGCCCCGCCCACAAACAGACGCTCCTGCTCGCTCATATCGTTCCAATTAAATTCAGATATAATGCAGATAAATACTTCAAATAATTACAAATGTAAAAAGCATTGGTGCTACTGTAGATGCCAACAGACTACCAGCAAACACAATGTTTGCAGGACTTCTACAACGAGGATAAAGTGACATAGTCCAGGACCCGAGGGAGGACAGTTCAGTACGGTGGCCGAGAACCGCCACTGCTTCAAATTTAAAAAAAAGAATGCAAAAAAAAAAAGTCACAATGGAAGTTACCGATGCAAAAAAAGAAACGGTGCCGATAAAAAAATAATAAAAATACGACGGAAGTTAACGAGGAAAAAAAAAGTTACTTTTTTTTGCATTGGTAACTTCTGTTCTGGCTTCTTTTTCTGCATTCTTTTTTATTTGCAGCGGTGGTGGTTCTTGGCCACCGTACTATTGACTGATATTAAAAAGTTTTTTGTATAAACACCACAAAAAAGATGATTTTTTAAACGCGGATTCCTGCCTACCCCCTTTGAGTCAACTATAAACAAACAAAAGAACTTTCTCAGTGAGATGTCATTTTTCAGAGGACGTCAGATTAGTTTTCTTTTCTCTTTCCAAGAACATGAGTGAGGAGTGAACTCATCACAAGTGTTCATGAGACTCAAACGCCGGGTTATCAGTCCCCCTCATGATTGTTAAAGCGGGTCTGGCAGGTACTGTACAGTCCAGGTGTACGGCTTGGCTCAGAGCCGGCTGGGTTCTCAGCTGTGACCTCACAGGTAACCTGTATGTGCAGAAAACGATCCCTGAGAAAATCATTAACACTGACCCCACCATCCCGACTCCAATGCCACACCCCACCGTCTGAGAAGTAGGAGCTGAAGGCATTTGAAACTCAGGGGGGAATTTTATCGTCTGATTGGTCACCACAGAGTTGATGTTCCATACAAGAGGTATCAGAGACATCGCCGCGGCCAGAAGACACAGAACGCCAGTGATGAAGAACACCAGACGGACTGGTGAGTCCTTTATTCCAAAGTAGACGTTCCTCATCGCGTAGACACCACCAGCATTTCCACAAAGCCCCGTCAGAAGAGACAGGAGCAGGAGGACCTGACCTGCTCCGATCTCTGGAGGCGTGAAGGTCTCAGTCAGGCTGATGTCCCTGCAGTGCATGATCTGAAAACTAGGGGTCACATCTGTGTGGCTGTTGAAGCAGACCCTCCAGATACCAACCCAGGCCTCCCCAGAGGTGATGATCTCCATGTCGGACACACGCCAAATCCTCCACTGGATGAGTCCCATGGCCACAGCTGTCAGCGTCCATCCCACAGAGCTCATCCAGAGGGCGCAGAACTGAGCGTGGGCCGTATGAGCCAAGTACATCATATCAAAGGAGCGACGACTAAACCTCAGGTAACCAAGGAAGTTCTGATCACACCTACATCGGACATCCTGAGGAAATCAGAGCCAGGTAGAAAGGATCATGGTGTCACGCCTCATCTTCATGGACGCTCCTCAAACACCTCCTTTTCTCTCTGATGCTCTCCTGTTTCCCGGCTACCTAACAAACAAGCACCTGTACCTGTTCCTCCTGAGACCTACAGGTGAGAAAGAACGAGATACCTCCTCAGATAAAGAGCAGAAACTGGATTTGTTTTATGATTACACTTTTCTGCCAAAGAGTTTAAAATGTTCACAAATTACAACCTGATACCAAAATATAAAAACAAAATGACTTAAATTAGGACTTATATCTGCTGTTTGAAATGATTTCTTTCTGATTAATGTCTCTTTTTAAACAAGAATAATGACTTCAACAGTATTTCTGATGTTTTCATGTAACTTTCATCCATCCGTTTTAAAATCAGACGTACCTGATTGTTGTTTTTCTTCAGATCCTGGTGGTGTGACCTCGACTCGGAGACTTAAGAGAGTGTTTTCTCAGACGCAGGGTAACACTTCCTCATATATAGCCGCAGATAACCGGGATACAGTTTCCTATCATGATCTCAACTGTCAATGATTTACAGGATATATTACATGAGGGTGAGGTTAGTGGTGCAGTATTTTTGTTTACGAGTACAGACTGCCCCCTTTTTCGTTCACTGTCCTCTTCTTAGATGACACGAAACCTTGAAGTGAGAATAATGCTCGATATATATTGAAGATCAACATGACCAGACGATAAGGACAGGTTTTTTACAGAAGAAAAAGTTTCCATTTTGACAATAAACAGTCATCCCCCTCAGCTGTCGTGTAATTTACGGTAATCAGGTCTGGCGATAATCATTTCTCGCTCCTCTCCTCTTCCCTGCTGACCCTGCCCCTCCTAAACAAACAGAAACTCCTTCAGCTCTTTCAAAGGTCGAAACGTGGATGAGTCTGATCTTAAGACTGTAAACCCCGTCAGCCCGACATTGTTCAGTTTATGTGGTCATTGAACCTCAGACTGTCCGAGTTTAATGACCTTTTTTTAGTCTTTAAGAAACAATCAGTATTTTCAGCTCCAAGAGAAATTACCTGGAAATATAAAGTATGTAACAAGGCGTGCAGGCGGAGGAAGGGTTTGGTGTGGGATGGTGAAAGGTCAAAGGTCAGAGGAGTGGAGGAGGTCCAGGGTGAGGGGGTGAGGTAGTGTGTGGGCTGGAGGACACAACAGGGGAGCGGGTCTGAGGAGGAGAAATGAAGACAACAGGAGTGAAGACGAGTCACTGAAAAAGTCTCAAAACCTGCAAAAACACGTTAGAAGAGCCGAGGTACCACTGTTGGAGCAGGAATGATCAGTCTGAGAGGATGATCGGGTTCAGGAGGAGCTTCAGCTGAAGGGGAACCGTCCAACCTCTGTAAGAGGAAAAAGGGAGACTCCACAAACACGAAAAATGACTCTACAGCGCCCTCAAGAGGTAAAACCAGTGTAATCGTGACACTTTCACACAGTTCTTCACTTAATTCACTTGAAAAGATAAAAAAAACACTGTCCTCATTGAATTTTCTTCACATCAGTTATTGAAGTAAATTATTTTTCAGTTTGTCCAGTAAAATAAGAAAAATCAAAACACATGATTGGATAAAACAAAAACAATTCAGCGTATTTACAGATCTTAACTTCATCATTTTATTGCTTTGATAGTTGGTAAAAGTTTGCACTGCATACACAATGTGTGTGGACTATACACAGTGGTGAGAGACTAATGTAGGCACATCTTCAAATAAATATATAAGAGTGGAGAGTCATCGTCTGAGGGGGGAGAAAACTAGACCGTAAAGTGCAAACTTTTGGGTAAACATTCATAAAAAAAGAAAAACCTCAGGAGGAAGTAGAAAAACTGAATCAGCCCAGGAAAGTTTTAGTCCTGATGTTTTGATCGGAGCGTCGGCGAACAGCACCGATTATATATTTGTACTGCTGGAACCATTTCAGCATCGTCTTTGTGAGGAAAAGTCCAGTTATCGTGTTTACTTCTGACTCTCACGACGTCGTCAAAGTCGGCAGATATAAATGTTACAGCTGCAGTTACAGGATAAAACGTTACACAGAAAAAAAGAGGAGAAAAAAACAAAGATTTCAGAATCAAACTCTTCATTTCAGCATCAAATAAAACTAGGGCCCCGGTGGGGCACTGGCGGGCCCGAGCCGTGTCGCGCCGCCCCCAGCGTGACCGCCTCCCCCTCCCGATTGCGTCACACTCAAGGTCCAAAGATGGTGTGCGCACTTGTCTGTGGTCATTTACCATTATAATGAATGGGAGGCGCAGTTTCTACCAAAACGCTCGCTGCAGACAAACTCCATGTCCTTTTTGAAAATAGTCTGGACCATGAGTGAGGGCACAAACACAGCTAGTATATATCCAAATGGCAAGTTGCTCCTCCTTTCGGTTTTGCCGGGAGAGCGATGCGTTTGAGCCATTGAGCGATGGGCAGGAAAAACTTGACTTTTTCTCCTGCCATAGGGGGGCGCTCTTTTGGGGAGAAAAAATTCCTTCACAAATGTGTTGATGACTGGACATTGCATCATCCTAGAAAACTTGGAGGCCAGTGAGGACAAAAATAAAAGGTTATTAGACTTTTAAGAATGTGGATTTTTGGGTTATCTTTGGCGCCCCCTAGAACGTAGACCGTGGGGTGCAGCGTCATGATTTTTACAACTTTGAATGGCCATGGGGTGTAGATTGGCCTGAGCAAATTTGGTGCCAATGGGACGAAAGCCCTAGGAGGAGTTAGCCACATTCCAATGTGTGCGGATCGGCAAAAAATGCGGAATAGCCCTTTAACCGTACATTTTACAGATACGTGCCTATTGAGTTTTTCGTAGATCTGATTGAGATACACGTGATTGTCAAATTTTGTGTCAATATGACAAAGCGTATAGGTGTGACACTCAACAATGTGTATTTTCACCTTAGGGGACAAGAAAAAATTGCCTTTTTTCTCCTGCCATGGGGGCGCTCTTTTGGGGAGTAAAAATTCCTTCACAAATGTGTTGATGGCTGGACATTGCATCATCCTATAAAACTTGGAGGCCAGTGAGGACAAAATTAAAAAGTCATAAGACTTTTAAGAATGTGGATTTTTGGGTTATCTTTGGCGCCCCCTAGAACCTAAACCGTGGGGTGCAGCGTCATGATTTGTACAACTTTTAATGGCCATGGGGTGTAGATTGGCCTGTGCAAATGTGGTGCCGGTGGAACGAAAGCCTTAGGAGGAGTTAGCAAAATTCCAATGTGTGCGAATCGGCAAAAAATGCAAAATAGCCCTTTAACAGTACATTTTACACTTACGTGCCCGTTGACTTTTTCATAGATCTTATTGAGATACACATGTGTGTCAAATTTTGTGTCATTTTGACAAAGCGTACAGGTGTCAGGTGAGTTTTCACCATAGGGGGCGCTATGGAGCCATTTTTCATTTTTTTGTTTGGGCGACTTCAGAATATCAAATTTTTCACCAGGCCCGGTCGTCCTGCCAAATTTCCTGAGTTTTCGTCAGTGGGAAGTGGGCCATTTTCCAGTTTAAAGCGGAGGAAAAATAACGAAAGAAGAATCCATCAGGAACAAGAGGGCTCTCGCAGCTGCTGAGCAGCTACAGCATCAAATAAAAATACGTCATTAGTGTGAGTAAGTTATTTCAGTAAAAGTCGACAATAAATTACTAGAAAATCTCTCTCTCTCTCAAACTTAAAACACTCGTAAGAAAAATGATCAACAAACCCAGCCGGTCAGCTCCTTAAATATCATCCTGGGAGCAAAAACACTGTGAGAGTGAAATCGACACAGACACACACATGATCAGACACTGTACAGTAACACAATCCTTACACCATTTGGTTCTATTATCATGTCTTCAACTCTAGGGGGCGCAAAGGTGCTCATGAACATGGTCAGAGTTCAGTCAAAGATGATTCTCATGGAGTTTAACCTTCTTTGTTTTCAGCTGCTTCACTGGACAGGAAGTCGGACTTTTCTATCAAATAAGATTTCACTGGAGGTCAGGGGTGTTAGAGCGGCCTCCACATGATCAGAACTAAATACACCGTGGACAGGAGTAAATTCATAAAGAGATAAAAGTCAGCCAACTGTTAAGATGACTTCTCTTTCAATCCGATTCACTCATCAGTCAGTCTATATTGATTCAGTTCTTCTGCCTAATTGGTCAAAAATGGTCACATGGAAATGTAACACTCACATGAGAAACAACAATTTAACCGACAAAGATGCTTCCAATGATTTTAAAAACCAAAAACATGAGAATTAAAGCTCTGTAGAGGAGAAACCGAAGCTCGTCTAGTTCATGAATATCAGAGCGGGGGTCTCTGCTCCAGCGGCAGACTGTCCACCAGGCACTTCAGCTGCTCCTCGCCCAGTTTGATCTTGTCCTCCAGTTTTCGCTGCTCGATGATGAGAGCCGATTTCATCTTCACAAAGTGTCGGTAGTCGTCCAGGCTCTCTGCGTCGAGGTGGTCCTCCATGATACTTGAAACGAGCCGCTCCCGTCGGTCCAGGTTCTCCTTCAGCTCCTTGGCGTCCTCATGCTGCCGCATCAGCAGCTTTCGCTTCTCTGTCAGAGTTCGCTGATAAGAGACGCACGTTAGAAATTATTTAGCAGAAGAAAAAAAACTTTGTTTTATTCCCGTAGTCTTAGATAATCAGATCGTTATTTGAGGTGCGTGCAATTCATCGATGTGTCGATGCATCGCGATGCTTCACGCGACGATTCAGCATCGATTCATTAATGCTGATGCTTAAAAGAAATATTAATAATAATAACGTTGAGGCTTTGCCAAACAAAAGAAACAAGTAACCAGAACCTCAAAGCGCGCCGGACTGTTTAGTGAGCCTCGAAAGAGCGTCTGATTCTCTCGTCACCGGGGTTGACTGTAACCGTGTGGAAGTACTTTGGATTTAACGAGAGAGCAAACAAGACGACTGACCTACAAGATTTAAAATAAAGAACCTCAGCAACGCCACAAACGTGAGGCAGCACCTTTCACGCTTTCATCGTGTCCATAACACAGAAGACCGTCCTGGAGAATGTCTCCAAACTTCCTCGTTTAAGTCGGTCAAAGTGTAAATGTTTACAAAGCAGCCGTACAATAAAATATTTTTTATCTTTGAAAAAAACACGTCAAATGTTCAACAAACCTTCTTATTTACTTATTGAGTTTAGTTTTAGAGGAACTGATTGACTGATCGATCGATTATTTATTTACAGATGAAGACAAAATCAATCTTTTATGTAAAAATGGATAAAAAAGGAAAATAATCGAAGAATCGTGGCACCAATAATCGAACACCCCCGATCATTACCTTCTCCTCTGGTGGAGCTTCGTCCTCCAGGCTGTTGAGGGCGTTCTCCACCCTGGCGAGGCGCCCTGACAGCGACAGCAGCAGGCTCACCACCTTGTCCAGATCACCGACGAACATCCGGAACTTGTCGAGCTGGTTGGGCTGACAGAGCCGCTGCACGGTGGCCTCCACCTCGCGGCCCAGAGTCTCGTTGTCCTCCACGTCCTCCTGGAGACTGTGCCGCGCCTCCCGCAGCACCTCCAGCTTCCCCGCCAGGCTGGAGATCAGCTCTTGCTGTGGAGTTACGGAGAAACAGACGGAGGTCAGAATGAACCAAGAATCACAGTCTCAGGATGAACAGGCTTTTTCTGTCTCTGAGTGACTTTTACTTTTTTACTGGCGAGGTCGACGTCCAGCTCGTCTTCAGAGTCCTGATCCTCCAGCTGCTCCTGCATGTCCTTCATCTTGATGAGGAGCTCAGCTTTGGGAGCAGATGTGTTATAGTAGGAGGAGCTGGGGACCAGGGAGGCTGTTGCTGACACGGACAGGTCCTCCTCCTCTCTTCTGACATACAAAGAGGAGATAAAACAAACGCAGCTGAGCGACGGTGGAGACACAAACTAACCGCTGGATTCAACAAAAATAACAGAAAGAACTAAAATTAACTCAAAAAAGAAACATGGTCCACAATGTGACTCATTTCTGAGGGGATGAGACAGCTGTAATAGGGCGTCTGTCCACCAGGGGGCAGGCTGAGTGAAGGTTGGACGGATGGGGAAGAAAACACAAAGTCCAACCTTCTCTGTCACCTCAGATTTTCATCTCTTCTCACCCCCTTATGAGGGGAGCAGACCCCCTGACGTTAATTTGACTTTAAAGACCTCGACTCTTATTGCCCACCTCTCCATGCTCCTGGGGGATAAGGTGGGAAGCCTGGAACCTGCAGAGGCCCTCCTGCGTAGGTGAGCCCCCTCCAAGATCTGCTCATCTGTGGGGAAGAGTCCTTCCATCAGGTCCATCGTGGTCATCCTGCCGCTTTGGTCCAAGATGTCCACCAGGGACTTGTCTTTGCCCATGATGTCTCTGGCCAGCTCTTCTCTCTTGGCGTCCTCCTCTGAAGGCCCGGACCCCACGCAGCTCAGCTCAGAGATGGACTCCTGGACTTTAGCCTGAGCCGGGTCTTGGGCGGTCTGCCGGCTGTAGGCGCTGAACAGGGATGACGCCGGGCGCTCAGTGATGCTGAGGGAGGGAATGTGGGGCAGCAGATCTAGAACGCTGCAGGTCTCTGTGGTCTGGGGCAGGTAGGCTCTGCCCTCTTGGCCCGTGTTGCCCTCAGTGTGGATGATCCTGACCGGGACTTTCCTGACTGGACTGTTAATGTCCATCTCAGCTCGGCGCTTCACATCATCGTCTGACCTGAAAATGAGGAAACATGTTTTTACGAGGATTTCAGAGCGTCTCTAAAATCGGATCACCTCTCTCCCTCCATCTTGAACTCGTTTACCTTCGGCGGTTATCCGAAGAAGAAAAAAAAAGCTTACATAACAAGGGTCGCCGAGGAGACCTGAAGCACTTTGTCTAAGCCGCTTACCTGAGCGGTGAGTCCTCCTGCACAAACACCGCCGGCGGTTTGTCGGTGAGCCTCAGCGGTGCAAACTGTGGCGAGGGAGACCGCGCTCCATCTGCTGGGAGAGCCAGAGGAGTCCAGGAGGACGACCCTGATATGGAGGAGGGCTGCTGCTCTTCTTTCTCTTCCTCCTTGTTGTCTACGCCTCCTCTCTGTGTTCTGATGGGCTGCGGGGAACAAGCTTGGGCGGGGCCGGTGGAAGAGTTCTGGGCAGCGGCGTGTTGTTGGGTGTCCGAGCTCGAGGTGGACAGAGGCTGGAGCGCTGTCAGGTCCGCCTGGGCGCCAGTGAGGAATTCCTGGGAGGAGGATGTGGTTTCTGGGCCTAAATGGAGCCTGGGCGGCGGCAGGAGGCTCTTGGTTTGTGGAGGCTCGGAGCCTGGGTTGGGGTTAAGGCTGCAAGGGCCTGTGGGGTGTGTGGTGTGGGAGGGATTGGCAGTGTCTGGTTTGGTCCTGTGGTCAGTCAGACCCGGGACAGGGCCCTCGTTCCAGGGGACTGGCGGGGCAGGCTGTGGATTGTGGTCCGGCTGGTATCGCGTCCTGCTCTCTGTCGTTCCCCTTAAGGTCAAAATGAAGAGGAAAATTATCAGGACCTGAAGAGAACATCTATGTTTCTACATCTATTTCAGCTTCAATGAAGTAAAGAAAGTTGTAGAGATCTGGCGTCGACTCAAACTCTGTCACAGCAGCATGAGTCAGACGCAGTTTTTTGGTTTGTTGAACCGCAGCTTCTGTCTGAGCTTCTGCAGACTGAGAGAGTTTTTAACCTTTAACCCGAGCACAGCGACATCGATCTGCTCGCTGGATTTGGAGTGTGAGTTAACCTCTTGTAACCCCCAATTTCTAGCCGTATCCGCCGATCATAGCTTATCGTAACCGTTCAAGTTAACGTGTCAGTTTCCACCGGCTTCTTTCCAATCAGCTGTGGAATTCAGCACAGATTAACCCGTGCTGGAAAGGAAGTCGGGCACAGACACAAAATAAAACATCCGGCTTCTTTTCAAAATAAAACACTCTGATCGTATTTCGCACCATTTCACCCCGATGACACCATGGATGAGGAGATGCTGATTCTAGAAGTCTAGAAGTAGATTTCCTCCTCTGGAAGGACACAATCTACTGCTTATATGTCTATGTGTCTGTCTTTGTAGAGACAACTCGTTATCATGTGATTGCACATGAATCTGCCGGTTCTTGTGATTCTCGCGATTCACGCTGTCCGTAATCAGCCACGAAATTCCGCTCACAAACTGATCAGGTGGAAATTTGGGGTAAGAGTTGTAACTCTCTGTAACTCCTGAGTGACCGGACAGACTATGGTGTGAGAGATCTAGTATGTACGGAAGAGGATTAGGACCACATGAAGAGAAAAAACTACAGGAACGAGATTTAAGTCGAAATTTCGAGATAAAAAACGCGAAATTATGTCATGAAAGAGGAAATTTCATGAATAAAGTCGTAACTTTTTAAAATCTCGACTTTAATCTCAAAATGGAAATGAAGAAAATCTCCCTCCTGTAATGATTTTTCTCTCTTCCCTGATCGTCTTTGGTAAGTGTGACAGAGGACGATATCATCCTTTCAGCTCAGGGAGGTGCTTCCTCTCTGCCCTGAAATCTCTCACCGATCAAAAACATTCCACATTTACACTTCACAAGAAAAACCCACGTCAGAATGAGCAGGAGGTGTTCTGACAGACACCTCGGAAAGGTCAACTATTTGACCTTTCTTGACTGAGCAAACACTCCTCACTTCTGCTCCTTTTCAAGTTTGTAGGTTCTAGGAATTTCGTTTTTTCTTCCCTGTCTTTTGTGAAAAAATAACGAACGTCTAACTCACCCGGTGGTGTAACTGCTCTGCTGGCTCTGAGCGTCTCTCCATGACGAAGGATTATTCTGCAGAAATGAAACATGAATTAACTCCAGGAGAAGGTTTTGTTGAACTCTCTCTAATCTTATTGTTGTTTCGTCACCTGAATGCACTCAGAGGGACATCTACTGCTTTATTTCTACACACAGTTCGACTCCAGGTACTCAGATCCTCTCACCTGTGAGTAGAAGTCGGCTGATGGAGAAGATCGAGACCTCTCATGGATGCACAAAGCCTTCTCCCCGACGTCTGAGTCCAGGATGTTCTCCGCTGAGTGGTACCTTCCTTGGGTCTTGGACTCTGATGGTTTCTTCTGTTTGTTCCACGAGGCCTGGTACTCGGCGAAGGTCCCGAGCCTCTGCTGATCTATGAGGACCTGTGTCTGTCCGGGGCTGAGGGGAACAGGGTCTGGAGCTGGCTGAACCTTCTCTTTGAGCGTGCCGGTCTCTTCGAGGTCTGCGTTCAGGTTTGCAGCGGGGCCGGACTTCAGCACCGGTCTGGAAAATGCCGGTCTGACATCCAAGAACTTTCTTGTCTCTCCAAAAGACCCCGTTTGAGGTTCTCCCTCCACTCCGAGTTTGTCGATCTTGTCCGGTTCTGAGAAGGAGTGCGTCCTCTTGGCCATGTGGAAGCGTTTGCGTCCTCTTATGCGTCCATTAAGGACTTTAACCACGGGGGCCTCGGGTCCGAGAGGCTCGAGGTCTCGTCTCTGGAAAGAGGTGGCCTGAAGGACTCTGGCCTGAGCCTCTTTGAGGTGGTCTTTGTACGTATTGGTGAAGGAGACACCTGAAGACGTAGATGTTTCTGTGGACTTCCACTCCTCCGTCTCCTCCTCCTCTGCGTCGCAGGTCAAAGTCGCGGCGCTGCGGCTCTTTTGCAGCTGCGCTCGCTTCTGCTGGATCTCGTTTCGGAGCGTGGTAGCGTAACGGTCACTGCGGCGGCTGGTTTTTCCGTTGCTGATGGCCATGGCGTCGCTGGTTTCCTGGTCGGACACGTTACCTTGGGTCGTGGTTTTGCTTTCAGTCAGAGTCCTACTCTCCTGGGCCAGAGAGTGGAGCAGGGGGGTTTTCAGGGGAGATATTCGGTGGTCTTCCTGAGGAACCCATGGGTCTTGGTGCCTCAGACTGAGACTCACTTTAGGATCGTTACTCTGAGGTACTGGGACATTTCTGCTCAGGGTGTTAGAGTGTCCCTCCACCGTCTTTGCAGCGTCTTCAAGGCTGCGACCTTGAACCGACAGTTCGGAGGACTGGGGGTCAAACTGGAGACTGTTTCCTGGGTGGGAATGGTCAGTGCGCTCCTTAGTGTCCTTGTAAGGCGTCTGGGACTGAGGTAGAGAGTACTTGGCCTTACTACTGGTCCAGTAGAGTTTCTCGGCCTCCGCTTTGCCCCTCTGCGCTGAGATCTTACTCGTCAGACTGTAGTTCCTCTTGTGTCCTCCGTTCTCCGCGTTCTGGTTGCCGGCGGAACTCGACGCGGTGGAGTGGCGAACGTGTCTGCGACTGAAGGCGTTGGTGGGCAGGTCCTGGAGGCTGCGGTAGTAGCTTCCTACACTCTGGATCTTTGTCGGAGGAGCGGACCTGGTCTGCAGGTAGAGCGGACTTTCGTCGCTGTACTGCCTCTGGTGGGCAGGTAGGCTGGTGTAGTTAAACTGTCTGATGTCGGTGCTGGACAGAGAGAAGAGCTTGTTGGGGTGGAGCTGGTTGTGGTTGTGGTCAGCTGCCTTACTCGGGTGGAGGAGGTCTTTTGTAGGTAAAGGGTTGAAGCTGCGTCTGGACTCTGAAGTCTTCTCCTGGTGGAACCTGAGGGCGCCGCTCTGGGCGTGATTCTCCGTCAGTTTTTCAAACGACCTGCCGTGGGCCTTCGTCGGAGCGCTCAGACCTTCGGAGTAAGGAAACACCTTCGTCGCAGCAAAACTGTCGCTGCGTAGAGGAGGAGGAGGCGGAGGAGGAGACTGGGACTTCTTCTTCTCTGGTACCTGCCACACGGGGACGAAGCTCGGTCTCCCTGAAACCGACACCCGGGAGGCGGGCTGCTCCTCAGGCCGCGACCCCTCCCAGCCTCCGTTACCCAGCGTTGGCTGAAGGTACCTGGGCCGCTCGGCCTGCTGGGACCCTTCGCTCTGAAAACCTTTGAAGAAGATGTTCTCAGCGCTGGTTCCTTTACGGCTGAACGAGGCGGGGTCGGGGAAAGGAGGGCTGGAGCCGCTGGAGAAGCAGCTCAACCCAGAGTCTCTTTTCGCTCCTCCCAGCTCAGCACTGGTGTTGTATTTGTTTGGTGAAAGGCGGCCTGGTGGGTACGGGTTCGAGGGACGCTCCAGTTTCTCCATGTGGTTCACTGAACTGAACGGCTGCTGCTGCTGTTTGTCCTGATCTCCTTGAGCAGCTGAATCTTCAGGCCTAAAGTCAAATGAAGGAAAGAATAAAACTGAAAATGTGACGATAATTATGACAACACCTGATCTTTTCCTGCCCTGTTCGGCTCACAGGGGAGCTAAAAACGAAGCGCACCTTGCTTCATGTTTGGACTGCCACACTGCTGCTGGGGCGGCCTCTTTCCTGGCCGGCTCTGACTCCTCTTCTGTCAGCTTGGAGGAGTGCCAAGAGTGGGGCCGCGAGCCTGGATCATTCTTCCTAAAAGGCAGCGAGGCAACAATACGCTTCACACAACAACAACAACAACAACAACAACAGGGGAGTTTTCGACAACAACATCACAGCTTCTTTTAGGAGGAGAGACAGATTTCTGCAGAGTGCAGCAGTTTAAAGCTTCGTCATGTGTTTTGGCAGCCCCGTCAAGTTTTCTGCAAGAGTTTGCAGAGCTTACTCAGGGATAAGCTGCTCTTGAATCCTTTGCATATTTCTACTTTAGCAACAAACAGTGCAAGGATAGTGCAATAAAAACATCTATATCTGCAGCTTGGTTAAATAAAAGGTAATAAGGCTTCGTATGTCTGTGTTCAGTCAAAAGAAATGTGAACCGCGTTTGAGTTGCAGTCATGTTTTTAGCTTTGTGTCTCAAACTCAAACGTACTCGTCACTTCACTCACAAAACCTGCACATACCCTTTGAGGCGGTTTTTCCTGGAGAGCATGTTGGAAAAGACAAAAATATGTCAAGAAGGTCACGCACCTTAATTTTCATGGAATAAAAAGGGGTTAAAAAAAAAAACAGGAGAAGATAAGAAGGCTGAGCGCTTACAACCTACAACTAAAGGATACCTGAATTTGACGATTAAGGGTCCTAGACGGGACAAACTACGACAAGAACCACAGCACGGTAGGGGAAACTGAATCACAACAACCTGACACGACTGGCTGTCGGTACCTCATAGAGCTCCGCAAAATCTTGGTGAGAAAGCTCCTCGCTACATGAACCTCGGTTTCAGATGGCATTGTGCGTGGTGATACAACATCGACCATTTTAGTCCTGATCAGCGGCGAGTGAAGGAAGGAAGGAAGGAAGAAGAAAGGGAAAGAGAGAAGGACAGAAGATGACAGGATATCAAATAAACGGCTCTGAAAATAAGGGTTTTCCTGTTTTCAGACGTGTCACAGAGCTTCTCTGCGGTCCCCTCTCTTACTCTCTCAACAGGAGATGGGACGAGCCTGTCACAGCCATCTGGCCCACAGAGAGCTTAGCCAAAGTGAGACATATCCACAGGTTTCCCCCAGACCAAAAACCTCCCTCTCCTTCGTGTTTTATTTTAAAGCTTCAAGCGAGATATCAAGATCACACCCCAACAGAAGATCTCAGCGGTGTGGTGATCTAGTCTGTACAGTTCCCATGACTGAAACTCTGCATTCTCTTCAAGGATTAGTGAAATGATAAAAGGGGGCAGAGTCTTCACCAGGACCAGATTTCTATCCTGCTTCAGATACGAGTTTAAGGAACAGCATGTGTGACTTTTGAAGAAGCTCTATCGTTTCAAAGTCCCTCCTTCTTCTCAGCGTGAAACACGCTGAGAGTCGTGTTGCCTCCAAACAAACTCCCACACAATGAAAATGCAAATGTCACTTTTTCTAAAGCGCTGAAGGTCTATTGTTCGGGGGATACAGCTGGTCTGTCACAGATATTCTAAAGGGAGGGGTCGCCGCCGTTCTCTCCCAGGATATACAAGCCGAGCTGAGGCCGAGTTCATTCAAGAGACGAGCCAAACATGAAACCAAAACACGGCTGACCCAATTGGCAGCGACTTTGTGGTGTGATCAGGAAAAGTGGATAAAGCTGAATAAGAGCAGGAGACAAACAGGTACAGAGAAAAAAAAAAGCTTGTACCAAATCACCAAAGATGAAGTCTACAAATCTGAGTCAGTGTTCGCATCCTATCAAACCATCTCTGTCTACTCCACGACAAAACAATCAGACCTCCTAACTTACCTACGACCACCTCGGACGGTTCTCTGGGCTCAGAAAGACGAACCTGCACCTCCCAGCTGATTCCTTCAACAACACATCAGGATACAGAGGAGAACTTTGACATCAGGACTCTCAGAGAGCCGTGAGGAATCTGGAAAGTCCATGACTGAAGGTCTGTGTCCCCCTCCTCCACCTCCAAGTATGAACACACACACACACACACAGACACACACACTCCACCTTGTGCCGTGGAGGAGATTTCCGTGGGGATTATAAAGGGGGATTTGAGACTAGAGGGAGGAGTTATTGTCCTGCTCAGCGTCTTTGCTGTAATCTTGTGTTTGGGCTGTAAGTGGCTGGACCTGCAGCGCCGCTGGGGCTGCTGGGAAACAATTAACCACAACAGCTCACAGTTTGCTTCATGGTAGAGAGTCGAAAGTTAAAAAACGTCGTTTTAAAGCACTTTTATTTGTAGCTGAGTCTTTCTTTTTTGAGTCATCACCTCAGGAGAGAAAACTATGATTATCTGTCCTTCATTTCAGTCTGGACACAGTTTGGATGTTTATCCTGAAACTTTTTTATATTTCAATCTTATTAACATCATTTTGTTGTTTGTTGGCTGTTTGCAGAAGGTATTTTGGTGATTTTTCCGACTCAGTTATCATATGAAGAGGTGCTCGACTGGCCAATCTGATCTACAACACACCACGACTCCTTATTTCACAGCCCTGTTCTTCTGTTTCAGATCTGCTTCTTTGTCCTTGTCAGAAAACAGCGCGGACAGGAATGTTCGAGTCTGTTTTGAGAGATACCAGCTCACGTCAGGAAACTCCTCCACGCCAAAAACTCCTCCGCCGGGGAGGAGAAGCTGCAAGTTGTGCCTGGTTTGTGTTTTTCTCACATGATAATGAAGAATAAGGACAAAGACAGAAAGATTTCAGACAGACTGAATGTGCAACTAGTGATGTGATGATTCAGAATGAGGGCCTGTGTCCACTGACGATGTTTTCTGTGGTCGTTTGTAATCATCAGCTGATTTTTGCGTCTGTAACGTCACCGCCCTCGTGTGTGTTTACATGCACACTCTGAGACGTGTGATCATTATCTGATTTCTGGAGTTACCTGATTACTCAAGTAGTCATGTAAACAGCATAATCCGATATTCTTCATCAGTTAAAGGCCTCTATTGGTTTACGAGCATGTTTACAGTATAATCTGATTTCTCCCGCAGTATTACATCTGCATATGGGCAGCAGCAGGAACACAAATCTCAGACTGAAACTCCGTCCCCAACAGAGTTCAGACCAAAAGCAGATGTGTGTTGTTGTCATTTTCTGCTCATGGATGATAAGAGGACAAATGAGGGTACAGTGTGGCATGTTCTGCACACAGAGCTGATGGTATACCTCTGACCAGCACGTTGAAAAGAACACAAAGTTTGAGTTTAACGTCATTTTTGGAAGAAACATGCTATAAAAGTGCATTTCTTCCAAAACCACATGACTACAGTGCGTTTAAATGCATGAAATGATGATCAGATTAATGTGATTAAGGAAAGAGATTCAGTAACCAAAATTTCTTATCCGATTAAAAATTTGAGGGATCAGGTAATCTGAATCTATTGTTTAAATGGGTCCAAAATCAAATAATCCGATCATGACGTGTGTATAAATGCAACAAGATTTATTCCGATCAGAAGCATTTGGACATGCGCAGAGTCGTCTGATTTCGCTAAAACAACCACAGAAGAAGAAGAAGAAGAATAGTTTGATTTACACCTGTGCTGTCAACAAACCAGCAAACTCGGTAGTGGCTCACTCCATCTGATTCAGGAGTTTTCCCCTGTTAAATGTTGTCACTAGATGGCGCCCTTGCGTACTTATTTCACTGTTCTGTCAAAGGTTGCTCTGTGTGTACAGATGTGACATCATTACGCTGTTTGTACGTCTTGTTACGTTATTGGAGGAGCAGACACGGCACCTGCAGTCAGAGTGTTAAATAGTGTTAAAGCCAAAGTCAGGTGAGAGAGTCACGATCGGAATAGGTGTTGACGTGGACGCATTTCGGAATAACGATCGGCATAAACCACCCCTCTCGACTGAAATACAAATTCTTTCCGATTGAGCCGAATTGGATCAGAGTCTTCCGATCGATATGTTTACATGACGCTTTTTTATTCCGATCGGGCATTTATTCCGATTATTTGTGCCCATGTAAACGCAGCTACTGTAACTTATTGAAGGTACAGGACCTTCGACATGAACTTGGTCAACAACAGTGGGAGTGGTCTGTACGAAGGAGACGCTCATGTCGTCTTTCTAAGATTAAATTTCCTGTCACTTGGTTTTTATATTTTTTATTCAAAATGCCGTTAAATGGCAGCGAGTATGAGGAACATGTCAAACCTGGCATAGAGGTCACAACTTTTGTAACCTAGCAACAGGGAGTGACGGCGCTAGGAGACGCTGAGGGTGGACACGGCACCTTCTGTGTGGAGTAAATAAATGTATGTTATCCATGTGCTGAAGTCTGGGTGTTTTAGTCTGTGGTCCGGCTGACGAATAAGAGTCAATCATTTCTATTGATTATTGATCTTTTAGACTGAGTGTATTAATGAGTCAAGTTTTCACTGGATCAGACAAAAACAGAAACGCTTGTCTGATTATTTACACAAAAACAACGTCTCTGACACATTCAGCTCTCAACAACACCTCTCACTGTGACGGCGCTCATTGTCCGCACACCTTGCCGATTCCCCAGCAGCCGGCTTTTTGCCCCGGTGAGCTCTAAACAGGCCGAGACAATAGAAAGTGCCAGTGTCATCACAGCTGGGCTTATTGGCGTGTCACGGCCCGCTCGGCAACATCACAATAAAATGAGAGGGAAATAAAAGGCCGCTGAGAGGAGAGCACAAACTCTGAGTGAGAGGCTGAAAACATGAGAATGAACATCCTGGTTTTAGTCTTTGCTGCTTTTTGAGTAAACGTCTATAACTGAGAAACCTAGGGCTGCAAACATCAACAATTATGATTTAATCACTGTAAAAAAAAACAGATATTTCAGCTGATTTTTATGTTGGGGCAACAACTTATCACCTCAAAATATCAAATAGTATTCACACTCTTAGAGCACTTTTTCATTTTGACCACGATTAAACGTTACTTATCGCTCATCTACTCGTCTGTTAATGACGAAACAGTCCTCGTTAGAGCCCGATATCAAACAATGACCTGAAATCTTATAGAAAAAGGTAATAAAGTAAAAACTGGTCAATAATGTAGCAGAAGTGTGAGCCTATGTTGTTTTGGGCTCGGCATCTCATTACATAATTGACCCGTTATTACATTTCTGGTTTTATTCCAAAATTTGGGCTCTAACAGGTCGACCTATCTGCCTTCTATGTACGTCTGCATGAAAACAAACCTAGCACACACAAATATCACTTAAACATAACTAAACTGATGTGATGTCAAATTATTTTATTCTTCGTTTTTAGGCCAAAGCTGGAAACTAAACAGGTTATTGACTCTGACATTTCTGTCTCTTTTCTGTTAAAAAAGAAACTGTGAAAGAAAGACAACAGCACTTTAAAGTGATTTAGCAGCTCAGTTTGCCAAATAAATTCACACAGGGGAGTCAGTTCAGACACATGCAGAGACGACTCTTTGAATAAAAACCTCAAACACATCTCCTCGTCCCTTCGATCGATTCTGCAGGTTTACAGATTTTACAGGTGGTTTGTTTTGAGTCATCCAGACAGAGTCGACTCACCGTTATCTCAAAACCCAGTCGGGGCTTCCTGATCTAATCCCATTTGTCAGGAACTGGAGTGACTGAATCAGAGGTCATGAAATCACAGGAATACCGTAAAACAGAGACACAGGTGGAGGTCAGAGAGTAAAGAAGAGAAAATACCTGAGAGTGGAAATCTGCTCTTTATCTTCTAAAAACCAAACATGTCCAAAGAGAGGTAAAAAAAGAAGAAGCAGACAGGAGAGCCCACTCAGAGTAGCCAAAGCCCCTGAAAACAATGGGCTCTGCTGATATGGCCTATCCCAGTAAGCAGTGTCAACTCACCTAGGCAACATGGACCGTACCACTCCTCCTGCAAACAGGGGAGGACGAGTGGACTGTGGCAGCTCTGAGGGGAGCTCAACACTGTCCCACGACCACGACTTCTTCTACTTCTCTTCTCAACAGGAGCTGCATGTTTCTGTCCAAACCTACTTCGATAAAAAACGTCCTCCAAAGAAGAGCAGGGACCTGAAACTCTCCGAGAGTCCACCTTTCTCTCCTGTTGATTCAACCCACTCCGCAAAGCTGAGCACACGCTCCTGGCTTTGCAGAGTAGTAATTGGATTCAGGCTTTAAGACTCTGTTGCCATTTGCTGGTGAGCATATAATTCTGACAGGACAGGACATCAGCTGCACATGTAGAATGAAGGATTTAGAAAGCAGCTACAGAGGTTACTACTGGAGAGAGGCCCGAAATAAATCGGCATTAGGCCGACTCTCTAATGAATGATCAGGTTTTTCTGCGCTGCTCTGGTTGAATGGATAAACATGTGAAGGTGTCGAATTTTCTCTGATTTATTAAATTACTTTAAATTTTGTTTCCATTTCCAAAAATAAAATAATGATCTTATAACTGTTTAAAATTAGGGGTGGGGATCAATAGTAGCCCCACGATACGACATTATTGTAATTTTTAACATTTTGCGATACGATATATTGGGATTTATAAGATTTTTTAACTGTTTAGCTAATTCAGCTCATTTGTCTTTCCTTTATGTTTGTCTTGTGTTTTATTTTCATGGAGCACATCTCACACACCTCACATATATTAGTTGTACTAACTTTCTCCTGCTCTATGATGTTTACTCTGCCGACCTCACTGGACAAACTGTTGATTTTATTTTTCCATTATCAGAGATTTGACTTCATATTAGCAGTTAATTTGAAAAAATCGATACTTGGTAAATGAGACGATAAATCACCGGACAAAATATCGCGATACTAAGCTGCATCGTTTTTTTCTCCCACCCCGATTTAAAATGCTTAAATAGAAGAATGAAGGGACCTTTGCAGATGATGTAATGTCTATTTTTTAGTAGTAAACATATTAACAACAGGGACCACTCTCCACTAGGTGGCGCTAAATTCATCAGGGTGTTAATATATACATCAGTATATTCAATAAAAATATCAAGCTGTAAGAATTTAGACTGAACCCACACTCTTTTAAAAGCTACTCCCCAAATTTACACACCAACTCCTCAGGATGATATAAAAGGCTTATTAAAGTTCACAGTTTTTGTTCTAATTTAAAATCTAATCTTAAACACTCATTTCAACCTCTTCAGTCTCCTGCTGGTCGGGGACTCGAGAGTCTGGCAGGTCAGCTGGCTGACAGAGGGACTCCTCTCTGTCTCATTTAGGAGTCATTATCTACGCTCTGAACTCACTGTTGGCTGCAGATCTACTTCCTCCACAATGCGCTCTTTTGTTTTTCCCTCAGGGGCAAACAAGCAGCGAGAGGCCCATATGGAAGACTGTCAGACGGGGTCTGTTTCAGCCGACCCTCCTTATCTAAAGAGCTTTCAAATATCTGATCTGAACTGAAACATCGTCTAATATTAAGATTTCAAGGACATGTTTTCATGTGCATACATGAGAGGCCGAGGCAGGGAGAGCCGCAGCAAAGGCTCCTGGGAGTGCAGGACAGAGCAGCGTCAGTGACAGGACATATAACAAGTGGGTGGGGAAGTGGTTTGCAAAGGAAGCAGGAAGAGAAGGCGGGCAAAAGCAGTTAAGAGCGGCTGACGTACTGAGGGCTGAGCTCGCCTGGACTAGCACTGCGCTCATTTTTAGGAGCAAATAACACTTAGATTGATATTTTTCATATCACTCGATTTTGTATCGTTTCTCCAACATGTCTAGTATGTGTTGTGTTTCTACCTTTGGACCACCAGGGTCAGGGTCTTATGAGAGCTCTTCACCAGACAGATGGCCTCCTGTCGGGAGCCACTGAGAGGAACCGCGTTAACGCTCACCATCTTATCCCCGGCCTGGAGATGGACTGACGCAGCCACGCTGCCCTCCTCCACCTGAACACACATACAACAGAAAAGTTGATATGGGGTCTCATATATGATCTGTACACAAGTTATCAGACCGTGTTCCTTCACCCAAAATGTGAGCTGTTAAAACTGCTGCTCGAAAACACCTTCGAAAACTTCAATATTTTCTTCCCAACATGTGCAAACCTCTGGTATCATCCTGTGGGTGAATCCAAATCTGTTGTTGTTTGGTTTCCTCTGTGTATGTGGAGTTTACGCCTCAGGCTGTGCTGGCTCTGTTTCACACGCTCACACTGGTCATTTATTCATCACAAACCTTTTAAGCCAACTTCACTGCAGTTTGTCGTGTCGAGAGATGAGATCAAAAACAAGTTACGAAACATTTTTTTCAACTATTTTCCTGGTAAGGTGAAGTACAAAAACAATTTCTGGAAGATGGATGTTTTTCTGAGGATACTGTTTCACCCCCCGTCATCTTTACACTCCTGTGATGGCCGGAAACCTGAGTGCTCTGATTAAAATTTAAAGATTTCAGCGCCTGTAACCTGATGTAGCGGGGACTAAACAGCTTAAAGTAAGCTGCAGTTCAAAGCAGGAATAACACGGATGGAGAAGTACCCTGTTGTCGTTTGTATTATGCTTAAACCAGCAGTGATATTCTTCAGGTGAAGACTTACAGAGTACCAAGATCAGGATTTGTTTTTCATGCACAGATAGACCTGAATCCTAACAGAGCTGAATTCATACACTCTTCAAAAACAAACGTATTCAGTCTGCCCTTTTGATTTCATGTCCTGCTGTTCCTGTTGGCAGGCACAACTGTCGGCTATAATTGGACCACAAAGTGTGTGACATCTCACACATCTGTGATGTTAAAAAAAGGGGATGACACTTCTTTTCCATGATGCAGTTGAAGCTCATTGTTTCAGACACCGATGAGGTCTTGAACCAAACCTAAAGTCTCTGCTCTCACCTGCCTTTTGTCAACAGTTTTGCTTGTTTAGTTCGAGGGTTTTAGTTGTTTTCGAAGTACAACAAACACAGGGCTTTTCGTCATGCCAACACCCCAGAATATCAGATTTACCAAACTATTTCCTCACCTTGGTGATAACCAGAGGCTCTCTGTGTTCAGTGCCTCCCCTCAGGGTGAAACCCCAGGGTGCTTTGCCTCTGAGCAGCACCTCCACCAGCTCTTCATCACCCTCTTCCTCTCTCCTCGGCTGCTTTATGCCTCTCCATGTGTCCACCTCCCTCCACCACTTCATCCTTCCTGCTGACAGTCTCAGGTGGTCTCTGTAGTCCACAGTGTCCATGATGGATCTGGTTCACCCTCCATCAATGTTAGTTCACTCTGAAAGAAAGACAAATTAGAAACAGAAGGGTGAATTAATCAATAATAATGATAATTATGATAATAATATACAGTTTTCTATAGCACTTTGGGTCATTACACAGTTTAAACACGATGTACAGTCAATTCATTATATAGTTTATGTCTTTGTTAATCAACTGAATGTAAAAATAAATTACTTAAATGTTTGAAAATGTCTTGTGAATCATTTTTATCTTATTACTGTTTGATGAAGTTTAACATATTCCCTGAAAATTCACTTTATGAAGAATAATGAAATTTATTGTTTGAGGTTTGCTGGACTTTCAGGTGCGATAACAACACAAAGTGAATCTGAAATAACACAATTAGCAACTGTTTTATTGCCATAAACGAGATTATGCGGCGCCCTAAAGGCTCAAATAACCCAAACATGTCTATTAAGTAAACATTTTCTTGTAAAATAGATTACTAATTAATTTCTAAAGTTACTTTGAATAGCTTATAAAAAAGGGTTTACCTGTTTAAACGGTGACAAACCTCACAGGGAAGAAGAAGAAGAAGAAGTCGTCGTTTTTGGCGCGTGGCTCCAGCAGGTGTTGATACCCGGGCTTTAATTGATTATTAATTAAATTTTTATCGACTTCAGCTGCTCCTTATCCGGACCACTGTCTCCAACCTTTCCTGTGAGCAGCTTTTTCTCCAACAGACCCCTGACATCATCGCCTGTTAACCACCTCTCCATGGTTACGTCGGTTCATCACGACACCACAGCGACCTCTAACGGTGAGCTGTGTGAGTTACACAGCAGGAGGAGGCTCTCTAGTAGGGGAGACCGGGGCTTGTTGTCACACTTTTACACTCTTGTGTATTTCTCTAAACCAATACATCAAATATAAACAGAATTTGTAAAAGATTAAAGACCAAAGTCTCAGGTATAAATTTCATAATCATGTCATTTCCATATCTCGTGTCAGTGCAGAGTTATAAGCAATTAAAACGTGAGTGTGAACATGTGACATGTTGCGCCACCATCGGGTAAGTTGTCTCACTACATTGGATAATGTCCACATGTATCACTGCAAGGATTTTTATCTGGAAGAAGCTTATTTTAAAATATATGAAGTTTTTTTTTTTTACTTTAGGTTGAGCGAAATGGTTTATTGGTGCTCATCTCAGCTCACAACAAACCCGGTCCCCCCTAGTTGAACACACAAACTATAAATATGTGTTTTATGTTTGATGTATTCCTGCACTGATGTAACTTTTGTTATTTTTATTATTATTATTATTATTATTGTTGTTGTACCAGAGGCTCAAGTGTACCCATCACATCCACTGTCTTTGTTAGTTTGTGAGGGCTGCATTAAGATTCTGAAGTGTCTTTCTTAAAGCTGTATTCTTGCATGTTCCTGCTCTGTAGCTCAACTCTTTTCCTCTTTTGCTGCCAAAACACGAGAGTCTAAGCAGGTAAACACTGACTAAACTCTGACTTTCCTGTGGTTATGTTTTCATGTACACAGGACTGATGAAACTTACACAGTAAACATGTCGAATGACAAGGTCGCCCTGTCGAGCAGGTGTCTGACACGTGTTATTTTCTCACTTAAACAGAAAATTATCAGTGTTGGAGGTTCTCACTGAGAATCAATGAACCATTTGTTTGTGTTTAAGGTGAAATTTCTGACTCAAAAAATTCCCCCGAACATGTTTCTATTTTTTATGTCCTCTAGAATAAGTGAAGAAATCCAAAACCACCATCCGTTCTTTATAGCACTGGATTATTAGTATTCAATTTCTTTGTGTGTAAACTCATTTCACCACATTTGGTTGATGGTTAATCGTACAGACTGGCAGCAGGAACTGATTTTTTAAGCTCAAAAAACTTAAAGAATCGGTTGAGAAAATATTCCATGTGTATTTTTTCTTCCTTCAGGTAGAACTATATAACATATTCACTCTCAGTGTCAATAAAAGGCAAGTCTCTGTAATGAATGTTCATCTCCCAACAGACCTGCAGAGCCTGACTGATGATCTCCTCTGACATCCTCTGGGCAAGATCCTGGATCGGTTCGCTGACTGGAGGTAAATCTGATGAAAGTGAATCGGCTGGTGCGTCCTCTGACCTCAGAGAACCGTTGGAGTTTCTCATCTTTAAAAAGCCGTCTGTCTCTCCTTCATGTTTATCGATTATGGTCTTTTTCTGTCTATGTGGACAGACTGAAGACCAGCATCTTGATTCTTGACCTCCCATTCCAGCGAGATACCAGAAAATCAACTTTTCAGCAGGATGAACAACAGGTAACAGTTTCCATGGCTGCAGAAAACCATAAAGAAATTAATGTCAAGGTGTTTTTTTTAATCAATAACAATGAAATCCAGAAGATCAATCAATGCATTCAAAGAAGAGACACAAAAATTACCCTCCGCTCTGTGTCGCAGCTCCTCTCTGGTTAATTTGAGGTTTCTTCAACATTCACAGCTGCTGATAAACAAGCTGCTGAACCAGTTTTCTCTGGATGTTGGTTGGTGGGAGGAGCAGACCACTCAGTATTTACCTACATGCACAGGTGTTTTCCTTCGACAGCCACCATCTGAAAAGTATTTGGAAAATAAAAAAGGTAGAAACATACAAGTCTGTTGTATTTAAACTTTTAGGGAGAGGAAACATCCATTTATAATAATAATGATCATTGTTGTCATTTTTTCCCTCATAGATGTCAGTAAAACTAAACTTCTGTAGGTGGTGTTTTTATTCCAAATGGTGTTTCCAGACAGCAATAAACACTTAACTGTTAGTATTTGAGTGTTTAACTCACCTTTCACCACCAGGTCGAGCCTTTGAGTAAATCTGTGAAGTTTGAAGGTAAAGTAAAGACAGTAAACTTCATACTCACACAGTAAATCATAACCTGTAAGTTTGTAAAAAGTTAATCTACAGTTATAGATAGAAGTTTCTCTCACCCTGGTTCATCTCTCGGATGAAAGGGTCTCAAAACCTGCTGCCTCTTTAAATTCTTGATGTAGCCTAATTAAAAAAAAAGCTCCTGGCAGCCAATCATAAAGTGCTGACATTGTGGGACAGACTCATATCAGCCAGCGAGACTCCACTGACTTCTCCTTCTCTCCATGATGTTCCTCTTCCTCGGCCTGACCGTCTTCTTCTCCGCAGGCTTCTCCATGGAGATGAACCAGACCTCCAGGCTGCTGTCAGAGAGCGGGGAGCAGTGCTCGGCCTGCGACTTCCGGGAGCACAGCAAGCAGATGAGACTCCACAGCATCAAGTCCCAGATCCTCAGCATCCTGCGGCTCGAACAGGCTCCGAACATCAGCCGAGACATGATCCGCCAGCTGCTGCCCAAAGCGCCTCCTCTGACGCAGCTCCTCGACCAGTACGACCCGCGGGTGGAGGACGAGGACCACGCCACCACGGAGACCATCATCACCATGGCCACTAAGCGTACAATACCAGACCGTTTATCCACTGCATGTGAAATTTCGTTGTTGATTTACCGCGTTTTTCTGGAATGCCGTGCGTAAAAGGACGCTCCGTGCGTAAATCAAAAAATAGTTTTGGAGATGGAGCATGTTTCTTTAGTAAAGCGTGGTTCCTAAACTTTTGGAGATATCTGCAAATACATCACCCTGAAAAAGCAATATCAAAACCATCTTTTGACCTTTGCTAACTAAGATTTCAAGTCACAAGTATCTCCAGAACTTTGATTACACGTGAGGTAGTTTGGCAATCCACCCATTAGATGTTGTAACGTTGCTCAGAATGTGTGGGATTCTGGTCTGATGAGGACCTTTAGGAGGATAAGTGATGGTGTTAGCATGGAGGAACAATCATTGATAGATCACACAAACCCTGATTGGAAGGAACTGAGTTGATCTTTCGGATAGAAAAGTTGTTGCTTGTGTTAATGAAAGATTAAGTGTCATCATGAACAGGATTTGTTCTCTTGGAAAATTTCATGTTTATCGTTTTACATATTTAAAATATATTACAAAAGCTAGACATAAATATTAAGTTTCTTCTAATTTTACTGGATTATACAGTTTATCATTCCATGTTTTCTTCTAGCTAATCCAATTGCCCAGGACGAGTTGTCCTCTTGCTGCCTCTTCAGCCTCAGTCCAAAGATCCAACCTAAGAACATCCTGCGTGCTCAGCTGTGGGTCCACCTGAGACCAGCTGACATGGTCACCACGGTCTTCCTGCAGATCTCACGCCTGAAACCAGGAAGGGAAGGAAACAACACCAGGATCAGAGTCCGCTCCCTGAAGATAGACACTGACGCTGGTGCGGGGTCCTGGCAGAGCATTGACATCAAATCTCTGCTGCAAGCATGGCTGCGTCAACCGGAGACGAACTATGGCATCGAGATAAATGCGTACGACTCCAAGGGAGAAGATCTGGCTGTGACCTCAGTGGAGCCTGGAGAGGAAGGACTGGTGAGTGCAGGCGGTAAAGGTACTGCCATTACTAATTTGGAAGGGAGGGCAGGTACTTAAGTGTTGTTGTTTCTTGTTCTTGAAATCAAGTGGTTCAATAAGTACATTTAGGAAGAAGTCCAACCTGTATGACTGCAGGTTGTTAAACGATTGTTAAATTCCTCCCCAGCAACCGTTCATCGAGGTGAAGATCCTCGACAGCCCAAAGAGATCACGCCGTGACTCAGGCCTCAACTGTGATGAAGAGTCTGCAGAGACCCGCTGCTGTCGCTACCCACTCACTGTCGACTTTGAGGAGTTCGGCTGGGACTGGATTATCGCGCCCAAACGCTACCGAGCGAATTACTGCTCAGGAGAGTGTGAGTTCATGCACCTGCAGCAGTACCCGCACGCTCACCTGGTGAACAAGGCGAATCCGCGGGGCACCGCAGGGCCCTGCTGCACACCCACCAAAATGTCACCCATCAACATGCTCTACTTCAACCGTAAAGAGCAGATCATCTACGGAAAGATCCCGTCCATGGTGGTCGATCACTGCGGCTGCTCCTGAGTGAACTCAGGGGTCTGCAGGCTTGAACACGGAACTCTTTGTTTTCAGTGGAAATGATACAAAGGTTGAAATATTGTCAAAAAATCTAAAGTTATTCTCCCGTCTATGAAGAGTGCCACAAGTGTTTTAAAGGAAAGGACTCCTTGAGTTGTTTCTAGTTTCATATTTGTTTCTTACATCTGAAGATAAAACAGGATAGAGTGAAAAAAATAGAAATGGGACCAGTCATTATGGAAACAACTGATATGATCCTGAGGTTTTAGCTCTGCCTGTATGTGTGTACATTCCTTCCCTGTGTGTGGAGCACAATAATGTGTGTCCAGAAACTTTACAAAGATGCTTCATGTCCACGAGGTGAACGGGGGGCCGACTGTCCTTTTCCACAGTTTTGTTACTTCCTCAAGTATCACTCGAGTGTGTCGGTGTTTCCCAAATTCAAAGTACTGATTATCTGCCCTCTTGTGAATAACTTAGGAGTGCACACAGTGTCAGTATGGTGCTAAACCTGTGAATGTGAAGCATAGGTGTCGATCATGAAATGACACACCGATCAGCCATAACATCATGACCACTGACAGCTGAATTATTACTTCTTGTCCAGCAGTAGGTGAACATTTTGCCTGTGAGGTTTGCTGTGCTGGAGAAGCAGGAAAATAGACAAATGTAAGGAAATGAGCAAGTTTGACAAAGACCAGATTGTAATGATCATCTCCAGAACTGCAGCCTTAGTGGGATATTCCTGGTCTGCAGGGGTTAGAACCTACGAAAAGTGGTTTATGGATGTGCATGGGGAGTGAAGGCTTGTCTGTTTAGTCCAGTCCAACAGAAGAGATCCTGGAGAAGTCAGAACACAGTGCATCACAGTTTAGGTGTGGGGCTTTGATACCGACACAGTATCAAACAGGTGCTCATAATGTCATGGCTGATCGGTGTATCACGAATGTAGAAAACATGAAGAAGAATGTAAACTCTGAAGGTGCATATAGGACTCCTGCTGCTTCCTGTCTTCCTGTTTCATAAAAATGTGTCCTGATTTGAGCCTTGACCAGAACACTCCCCACGGGACGTCTTCCATGTGTGCCTTTATTTTGAAAAACATGAACTGAATGACTCGGAGCTAACAGATCGGCCTTCCCTTTTGCCAAAGCTTGTTTGCAAACTCCTTGCTGTGATTTGTGCTTGATAGCATCACAGCAATATAAGCAAGAAAAGTTATTTTTTCAACGAGATGAGCATCGAGCAGTTTGTGACCTGTGATCGAACTCTGACCCCTGTAGTATCATGACTTAATGTCATACGATATTTGAGCATGCTAAGAGTTAATAGAAACTTACAAGCACAAGTTCAGGTGGTAGGCTGAGATATTTGTTGAACGCATTCACAGGATTGTAAAAGTTTTGTGCGCGTGGGTTTTTGTTGCTTAAAGACAGGATAAAGAGTGATTGTGTTTACAGTCGTTGGAGATTTTGAGTTTCTTTGATGAAGTAGGTTGAGGAAGAACATGCAGTAAAAGGGCCAGATTAAAAAAAACAAAGAGCTGGTCGGGAAGCTACCAACCTTACCTCGCTCAAAGCAGGTGTCTAACCTGAGAAGTTACAAGCTCACCATGTAAATAGCTTTCTGAACAATAAAAAGAAACCCTTCGTGCCCTCAAAAGAACTTTTTAAGTTTCCATACCTCAACTGGTACGAACAGGCTTCAAAAACATTTTTTTAAGAGTCTGAGCGTTTGATGAGAGCTCGTTTCAGCTTCAGTAATCATCACTGACTTGTAACACAGAGAGAAAAATGAGAGGAAAGGTTTTTTTTTCAATCCATCAGCTGATCACAATGTGAGGGCAGGAACTGTGATCACAGAGGGAGGTGTGATCTCAATCTGAAGCTGAGTGCAGATGTCCTGAGTGTTGATGTGCTTCACAGGGGTTTCTGACCCAAAAGGCTTTGTTCTGCTGTTGGAACAGAGCGTACACAAGCAACAGTTTCATGTTTGTGACTCTGAAGAGTGAACAAAATGTCCGACAAGTTTACTTCTTGTGTAGATTGTTTGCTTTCCTGCCAAAGAAGGGTAAGGTCTCTGAGAAGTTTAATCACATTTTACTGTTTATGCATTTTTTTTTATTTTTTTTTATTTTATTTTGTGTTTGTTTTTTATGACTGAGACTGAAGTGAAAAGTTTTTGGGTTTGTTTCAGTTCATTTCAAGATATAAAAAGATGATTGGATTGTGAGAGTTTTGGAAAACACTTTATGAGCTTTGTGTTAATTTTTGTGCTTTTGTGTCACCGGTTTTGGAGCAGTTTTGGCCTCCACCTGTATGACTTTGATGCCACATTACAAAAGGTGAAAATCACTTTATCACAAGTGAGAATCATGATGTAGGTGCTAACTTTTCACTGTGATTGCAAACACATTTTCAGGGGGGAATCCAGTCATTTTTCTAAAACAATTTTGCAGAAATATGAAGTAACCTCTGGCTGTTTTCTTTGGAAATGTCTCACCATTAATATAAACTAAATGCTAGTTATGAACAGAGATAGTTCCCTACAGTTATCTGGTTTCTTGTGATCATTACACTCTCAAATCTGACTTCAAATTCAACAGGCTGAAGAACAGCGGTGTAAAAAAAGTCTGTGGATGTGTCACCTAAAAGAATTGAGTGAACCTGAGCTGCAGGACTCAGCAGACCTCTGGTTTGAGGAGTGTGTTTGTTAATACTTTGGCACAGGACCTTGTTTTCTGCCTTCTTGAGTTTGTCCTGTTATTATCAGCATCGCCATCATTCACTTTTGTGCCACATGGTGGCGCCAATGTACATTCCTTCCAAATTCCTATGGCATAAATGTTACTGTAACGTTTTTTTAGAATCAAAACCAACTGTACTTCTTTGGATTAGTGTCACCTTTTAAAGGAGTAATCCAACAGTTTAGTGCAAACTGCACTTTTTGTACATGAATAACCAAATGTACTCCAAATGTTTAAAACTTCACATATCCTCTGCTGCACGTCTGACCTGGCACTTAAAAAATATATAACTTTTTTATATGCTAGAATACAGTATTATTACATGACTCATCATGTAATAATAATCACACTAACAGTCTCTGATAGGTTTATACATTGTACATTTTTGTGTATTGTCTGTTCTCTGTATTAAAGGCTATTTTATTTTCCTCCTGAAGGATTTAATGTTTTCTGAACCATCTAATAAGAAACAAAGATCCATTAAATAAGCAACATTTTCTTAAATCGGTTATTAAAACACATTCAGAAACATGGCAGTGCCCATCTCTTTGACCAAACATACAAGATGTGAAGTCTGCTGGTTTAACAGAAAAACATATTTACCTGAAGATGTGTCACTCAACTTTAACTTCTGGTCAATTTAAGGTTTTCCCATCAGATGTTTACTTTTCTTTATTTAGAATAATGAATATTTCACTAATGACTCTAGGCAGCATTTTTAGATAAAAGAGGTAACAACAAAAATGACCAGAAAACAATATTATCTATTATTATCTTGATAAAAAATCTTGGTTAAACAGTTGAACAACAACCTTCCTTCAGACAGATAAAAAAGAGACATTTTTAAATGCTGAAAAAGGTCTGGATTTCTGAATAAAGAGTTGTTAGGTTTCAGTTTCAGAGTCGTAGGTGTCTCAGGGATGCTTTCTGTTTCTCTGAAAACACGTGGTCAGATCAGGCTCTTCTGCTCAGAAACTGTCCTCCCCGTAAAGCTAAGTAATAAATTGTTAGTAATCCCCCCAAATTTATTTTAAATAATTTGAAACCCGGAGATTAATGAAAAAATACTCATTGAAAGTCTATTTTTAAATCTCGCTCTCAGACTCAAACGTTTAGATGAAAAATACTATCTAGTAAAATTATTATCGTGGGGGAACTTGCTTGACTGTCAGAACAGCCATCACCCGTTGTTCTCATTGGCTGAATGAGGGAAGGGGCGGGCACATACTACAGATTCAGAGCGATGATTGGCTTATGCTGTTTCCGCACAGTTCTCCGCTGTACTACAGTACGAAGAAGTAAACGGAGGAGATAACAGGCTAAGAGGCTGCAGAGTTTCCTTTTCGGGAAAATATCTACAGTTTAAGTGAAGATTGTACACCTTCCCTCTGATTTAAGGTAGGTAAACTCACAGTCTGTCTCCCGATGTGACAGTTTGTTGGCTAAATTTACTGTAAAGATTCACTGACGTAGAAAAAAAGAGAGTAGATGAAGTTCGTTCCTATAGATTTGACAATATAAAACAAAATATGGAACATTTGTGCTCAGTGTGGGTCTTTATCTTACTCTCATATATATATATATATATATATATATATATATATATATTGACTGAATCGATCAGCAGTTATTTCGGCCTGTATGTAACTTTGTAACAGTGGCTGAGGTTATCTGTCACCGCCCACCTCCTCTATCACCTGCCCACCTGAACCAAACGGTCTCACCTGACAGCAGGTGAGCCACACTGAAGCCGAACTCACCATTCAGCTGTTAACTTCGTTATACTTTGTCTTTTTTTCTTAATAAACTTGATATTTTAGAAATAGAGAGGAGAATTCCGGAAGAGATCAGATTTGTGGATGGAGTTTGGTTAAAGAAAACTTCAGATTTCTGTTAAAGACCATTTAAGCAGACAGATGCTGGAGGCAGAAGAGTAATATAACCTCTGAGGATTTTCCACCCCTGCACAGTAATAAGGCCCATTATATTTATATTTGATTACTATATAAAACACTCTTTAACCCTCTGCTTCACCTTTGGATGAAGCTGCTGCATTCTTCTCATGTTTCTAAGATCACAAGGTGACGAGAGTGTTGTGATAAAACTTGACTGATTGCATTAGGAAGTCTTAGAGGTTGCAACCGGATTGCCAAAGGGAACGTCCAAAAGGAGAAGGAAAACATAATGCAACAGGGAGTTGCAACATCAGCACTTTGAAATATTGTTGTGCTGAGAAATAGATAAAATAGCAGAGGTTAAATTGCTGCAAATAATATTTCGTTGAAATGTCTGAAAAATACTGCTGGATGGGAAAACTCATTTTAACCCAGAAATGTCTGACAACATTCAACCCAGCCAAATATTTTCCTGTCTACATCGATGAAAGTGAAATAAACTCATTTACCTTGTCATATTTTTGTGTTTATATTTTTTAACTCTATTGCTGTTATCTTGTTTCATGCTGCTGTTCTTACTTTGTAAACTGACCTTGAGTATTTAGAAAGGCACTATAAATAAAATATATTATAATTATTATTATTATAAAGTGTTGATTCACCATTATGTCATCATACACCAGCTATGAGCCGACCCGTTTTCTTATCATCACTGTTGTTCATTGAAAAAGCTGTAACTGTAACATGACAATCGGAGTCTCATCATCACTGAATGAAGCTACTCTTACTCACCAGAAGATGGCGCAGTGGCACCAGCTTCAGATGCTGGACTGCAAGTACCTGGAGCAGGTGGACCAGCTGTACGACGACTCGTTCCCCATGGACATCAGACAGTACCTGAGCAGGTGGATCGAGAGCATCGACTGGTGAGGAGACGAACATGGACTGATGTTATTTAGGAGGCCGTTGCGCCTGTTTTCGTTCAACCAGGTGAATTTCTCTGTTGAAAATGTTTGTCGTCCTGTGTGCTCTACCTCCTCAGGGACACGGTGGCGTTCCAGGACTCTCTGGCCACCGTTCGGTTCCACGACCTCCTGGCTCAGCTGGACGACCAACACAGCCGCTTCGCCTTGGAGAACAACTTCCTGCTGCAACACAACATCCGCAAGATAAAGAGAAACCTGCAGGTCAGACGGACTTTATTCTTCTTGATTGTCAGCAGTTGCATGGTTTTACTCAAGAATCTAAATGGAGAGATTGTCCCTCCAGGACCGTTTCCAGGAAGATCCAGTCCACATGGCCATGATCATCTCCAGAAACCTGAAGGAGGAGCAGAAGATCCTGGCCAATGCAAAGAGCGCTGAGGTAAAATCTTTGGTTCAGCAGGTTGTCAAAACGAGCGTTAGAGTCCATACTTGGTCAGGTTTTATGTCGACTACAGTCCGATGAGAGTGTTATCTTCCTGTCTGCAGCCCGACAGTGAGGGGATGGTGTCCGCCATGGTGGTGGAGAAACAGAAACTGGACAACAAAGTGAAGGAGATGAAAGACAGAGTTCAGGTATGACGCACCTGAGGATCTAAGGCGTCAAGTTTTAGCCTGACAATATCACACTGATTAAATATCACTGATCAGTCAAGGTTTCCTCTGAAATCTCTCTTGTAGGTCGCGGATCAGAACATTAAGAATCTTGAAGATCTGCAGGACGATTATGACTTCAAATTCAACACGCTGAAGAACAGAGGTGTGAAAAAAGTCTGTGGATGTGGGGTGACAGTCTAAGAACATCTCATAAATGAACCTGAGCTGCAGGACTCAGCAGACCGTTTATGAAAGATGGCAGAAAAAGTAAAACTCTGATTTAAATTTGGTGTTTTTTTTGATTCTTGCAGAGAATGAAATGAACGGCATGACGGCGAAGGAGCTGGAAAAAGAGAAGATGGTGGTGGGGAGGATGTGTTTCGACCTGAAAGCCAAACGACAGGTGAGCAGACTGAGACAGGGTGAAAAAACATGTCAAGTTAATTTTCTTCATCTTCTGATGTCTCCTCTCCTCCCTCCTCTTCCACCTTCCCTCCATCTCTTGTGTCTTCCTCAGGACGTGGTGACCCAGCTGACGGACCTGCTGAACGTCGCTCAGGCGCTGCTGTCAGACCTGATCTCCGAGGAGCTGCCGGAGTGGAAGCAGCGGCAGCAGATCGCCTGTATTGGCGGGCCGCCCAACGCCTGTGTGGACCAGCTTCAGAACTGGTGACACTTCCTGTTTGTCTCAATGAGAAACCATACAACAGAGAAACACACGCCACAACCTTCGCCTCCTTCTCCTCATGTTTCCGAACTTTCTTTTTCCTCCTTCACCTCCCTGAACTCCTCCTCTGTAGGTTCACAGCGGTTGCAGAGAGTCTGCAGCAGATCCGTCAGCACCTCAACAAGCTTCAGGAGCTGGAGCAGAAGTTCACCTACGACAACGACCCCATCACACAGAAGAAAGCTTTCCTGGAGGCCCGGGCCCTGGAACTCCTGAAGAACCTCCTGTCCAAGTACAAACACCTCTCATACCTCAGTTACAGATCACGTCATCACTGATCATCGCTCTGAAATGACAACTTAATTAACTTTTCCTTACGCCCTCTTCTCTGTCCTCCTTCAGCTCCTCAACCTTGTGTTTGCATGTGTTTTTGTGTAGCTCTCTTGTTGTGGAGAGGCAGCCCTGCATGCCCACTCACCCACAGAGACCCCTGGTGCTGAAAACAGGCGTCCAGTTTACCGTGAAACTCCGGTAAGAAACAAAACAAAACAAACATTTCTGGTTAGAGAAAAGAGGTTCATTTACTCCCCAAACTTTGAGGGCCCTTTGAACCAAAGTATCGTCTGTGCAGGTTTCTGGTGAAGCTGCAGGAGTTTAACTACCAGCTCAAAGTCAAGGCTTTGTTTGACAAGTAAGCTCTCAAGTTCTCTCCTCTGCTGATACCTGACTGTATCTTTACCAAGTTCTGAAATTCATCCTAACATGAATCATCTTCTTCTCCTCCTCCTCAGAGATGTGACAGAGAAGAAAGGGTGAGTCTGAATGAATCGATCTGTTTATAAATGCTGAACGATGATGATTGCTGTTGACACTGAACCTGATGTTTCTCTCTGATATCAGGTTCAGGAAGTTCAACATTTTGGGGACAAACACCAAAGTGATGAACATGGAGGAGTCGAACGGCAGCCTGGCAGCAGAGTTTAGACATCTGGTGAGATTATGATTTTGACTCCAAAAGGATGAAAATATGAACTAAACCAACTTCAGCCTTACTGGGAAAGAATCTGCAGTTTTGTGTAAAATGTTTCTCCGGTGTTTTCCACACAGCAACTGAAGGAGCAGAAAGTTGCTGGTAACCGGACAAACGAGGTGAGAGCATTCCTGGTTTCTCTGAGACGGACAGACTCTGGTGTTGACGTGTTGTTAAGTTCCTTAGTGTCTTCAAAGACGTGTGTGTGACCTGACAGTGTGTGGTTTTTAGGGCCCTCTGATCGTCACTGAGGAGCTTCACTCGCTCAGCTTCGAGTCGGAGCTGCAGCTCAACCAGTCGGGACTCAACATCAAACTGGAGGTGATACTGGGACACACAAACATGATTAAAGCCGAGGAATCAGACGACTTGGATCATCTCCAGTTGTTGCTCATAAGTTGTTGTTGTTGTTGTTGTTGTTGTTGTAGGCCATGTCTCTGCCAGTTGTGGTCATCTCTAACGTCTGTCAGCTGCCCAGCGGCTGGGCCTCCATCCTCTGGTACAACATGCTGACCACAGAGCCAAAGGTACACCACCAGGACGCTCTGATCATTGTCCATAGTTGCTCACAGAACCAAGTGTCTTAATGTTTTTCCTGTTGCCTTCCTCAGAACCTGAAGTTCTTCCTCAGCCCTCCAGCAGCAAAGTGGTCCCAGCTGTCTGAGGTCCTCAGCTGGCAGTTCTCCTCCATCACCAAGAGGGGCCTGAACCAGGAGCAGCTCAACATGCTGGCCGACAAGCTGCTCGGTAGGAGTAGCAAGAGGGTTTATTTCGAGACTGTTCCACCTGTGAAACCTGCAGGTCTTTAAATGTGATTAAGAATCTGAATGTTTTATCTGCAGGAGCCAAAGCTCAGAGGAACCCAGAGGGTCTGATCCCCTGGACCAAGTTCTGCAAGGTGAGTCAGCCTGTTGTATTAAACCTGACAGGCGTTTGCAGAAATGTCCAACTTTTCTTCTTTGATCAAATCTTGTCGTCTGTCAGCAGAGCGCCAACGAGAAAGCGTTCCCCTTCTGGTTGTGGATCGAAGGAATCCTGGACGTGATAAAACGTCACCTGCTGTCTCTCTGGAATGACGGGTAGGTGCTGCTGCGTTTGAGTGATCGTCTCTGAGCGGTGCGGAGTGGATTTGTGATTGTTTTTCTGTGTGTGTGTGCAGCTGCATCATGGGCTTCATCAGTAAGGAGAGGGAGAAGGCTCTGCTGAGCGACAAGTGTCCCGGGACCTTCCTGCTCAGGTTCAGTGAGAGCAGCAGAGAGGGGGCCATCACCTTCACCTGGATCGAATACGACGTCCACAGTGAGTGAAGAAGGAAGAGACCGGTTCTCTTGTTGTGGTTTCCTTCATACGACTGTGATTTGAACTATTTCCTGTCTCTGCATCGACACAGACAAGCCGCTCTACCACTCAGTGGAGCCGTACACGAGGAAGGAGCTGTCCGCCGTCTCTCTGCCCGACATCATTCGCACATACAAGGTGATGGCCGCCGAGAACATCCCAGAGAACCCGCTCAGGTTCCTCTATCCCAACATCCCCAAAGACAAAGCCTTCGGGAAGTACTATCCCAAACCCACCGAGGGTAAGTCACACAGCTAATTTGAATATTGACATTTTCTTACCAGACTTCAGGTTTTCGAAGTGAAGTCAGTGAGTGTTTTTGACTTGCAGCCGCCGAGCCCATGGATGTGGAGAACAATCCAGAGAGGAGGGGCTACATGAAGACGGAGCTGATTTCTGTCTCTGAAGTGTAAGAGAGCTGAACTGACGGTTCTTGTGTGATAGATTTCATTGATTTGAGATTGAACTGGGTTAACGTGGGTTTCTCGCTGGTCCAGACATCCGTCCAGACTGCAGGACAACATGCTGCCGATGTCTCCTGATGAGTACAAGGTTTTGTCGCAGTATGTCAGTCCCAGAGACATTGACGCCGTGGTGAGTCCTGTGGTCTTTGTCACACCACGTAACAAACTGCTTCTGTGTCCAAAGTCTGCACCTTTTCATGAGGGTTTAAAGGGTTTCAGCTGAATCTCTGTTTGTGTGTCTGTGTTTGTCTTCTCGCTCTGCTCAGACCAACAATCTGATTTCTGGATTTGAGGATTTTGACGTTCAGGTAGACGCAGTTTTGATCTGTTGCTCTACCCTGAGTCGAGTGTCACATCTGCTCTGTTTTAGCATCATTTTCTCTTTTAGTACTAGAGCACGTCCCCTCCCTGTGAAATACAAATGCAAATTTGAAATACTGAAGGTCACAGAGAACAATTAGCTTTTGTTTTGCACAGTTTGACCAAATGAAAAGATCGTGATTAAATACTGAATCGTGTAAAAGCCAGAATTTGTTGTCTGGTTGTAGAGCTGCATGCGAAGCTTTTCTTCTTGTCTTTTTCCTCCCAGTTCTTGTTTTTATCCTCATAATGAACAAAAACACCAGAATAACTTCTCTCCTTTCCCTTCTTCCTTTTGCAGATGAGTGCAGATCTAGAGTAAGACCAGGAGCGACGTCTGAGGAGTGTTTTTCGATTGACTCAAGTTTCCTCTTGTACTTTCTTTTGGGATCTTTGTTTCTTCAGCGGTCATTGCACCTCTGTTGGTTACTCTTATCTGCTTTTAACAGCGTGGTAAAGACCCTCACAGCCTCTAAGTTTGGTACAGTAACCATCTAGAAAGATTTGAAAGCACTAGAAGTTCAGGAAACTTCTCCGGTGAAAATGCAGAAAACTGTCGTCCAGTATTGTTACGAGCAGAGACACCCGGCAGTGTTGACGGTTTTTCTCTCCTGATAGGGGAAGAATGATGAAATGTGATCGGTTTAGTCCAGGTGAGGCTTACACACTCTTTTTTTATATAATTTGTACATATATATTTTTTAGAGTAGGAAGACAAAATGTGAATCAGCATGGCTATTTATAGCAGCGACACCGTGAAAACACAATGATTTATAGGACATCATATTCTCAAAACCTAAGTTTCTCTTTCCTCCGCCAGAAAAATCAGTCAGAGCTTTTAAATTCAGGAAACTCCGTCCTGATGGATGTTTTTCAGAGAGCAGGCTACAGGAATTAAATGACTTTGTGACTGTTGGTGGCTTGGCTCTTATTCACTAAAATGTTCTGCTGATTTTGAAGATTAAATAAAGATTTTATGTCCAGACTGTGTATCCTTACTCACCTCAATAGAGTTTCTTAAGGATGTGTCACTTTCTAAAGGCTTCCCTCAACCTCAGCTCAGCTTTTCGGCTCGTACTTCTTCCTCACACACTTGATTCTTTGTAAAGTACATAAAAATAAAAAGTTAGAGGAGTTACAAAAGCAGACATCCACTTGGTTTGATAACTTTTATTAAATGTTTGATCTGTGAATAAATATCTGAGCTGCCTGCGACACTTGGCAGCAGAAATATACATGAAGAAGAAGAAACCGAACAACACCAAACACGTTACATTCAGAATACTTCAGTCGCGGCTGCACACAGAGATCACTTCATATCACAGACGACAGCAGAAAGAGCGGAGCTGCAGGTCAGGGTCAGAGTTCAGTCTGGTATTGCTGATTTTATAGTACAATCATAACATTTCTATTGCTAATTGTCTCTTTGCAGCTTTTAGGTTCTTTTTGTGCTTCTCTTTGATTCTGGTTAACTTTTAAATAATGTCAATTAAACGCAGAGAACTGATCCAACCAGAGGTGAAACTGTTACTCATTTATTTATACTACTGTGGATTGTTCTTATCAGTGTTGAATGCCTGCTTCACTTTGTAAAGAAACAACATCTACACTGCAAACACTACAGATACAAGAAACCTCTGGAAAACATTTGCACGGGTTTTCAAGTAAGACTTCTGCACAAAACAATCTGCATTAGAAAGCTCCTAAAAAGCTGTTGTCCCGTCTGAGTGCTCTGCAGGAACACGTGTGAACATATAAACCATCAGAATTCATCTGGTACATTACAGAGTCGACACATTTCTGCTCGAGAAGCTCCGACTTTCAGAAAAACATGATAAAACGGTAGTTTGGTGAATTTAAGTGTTAAAAAAAGAAAGGCTGCACTCAACAGAGAAAAAAAACACACCAGTCTCCTGAATCAGAAATGTTCAATTATCGTTCATTTGGAACGAAAAAAAGCTTTCTAACTAGGAGCAAACAACCAATCCAGGGAAGCATCGCTGCAGGAAACAGATAATCACAAATTTATGGTTTCTCTTTGTGAGATTTTAGGACATATTTTAAGGCAAATTCAGTAGATTCAGTAGCTGCGTTCCCACGGGCACAAATAATCGGAATAAATGCCCGATCGGTATAAAAATGCGTCATGTAAACATGTCGATCGGAAGATTCTGATCCAATTCGGCTTAATCGGGAAGAAATTGTATTCCAATCAAGAGGGGTGGTTTATGCCGATCGTTATTCCGAAATGCGTTCATGTAAACACTCATTCCGATCGTGACTCTCTTACCTGACTCGGTCTTCACTCTTTAGCCTTAGGCTTACTTACTGAGGTCAGTACAGGAGGTTTCATTATTTACACTCTGGTATAAAACACAACCGCAGGTGCCGCGTCTGCTCTTCCGGTAACACAACAAGACGTACATACAGCGTAATGATGTCACATCTGCACGCACAACCTTTAAGAGAACAACCTTTAACAGAATGGTAAAATAAGTGCGCAAGGGCGCCATCTAGTGACAATATTTAACAGAGGGAAAATCCTGAACTGGATGGAGTGAGCCACTACCGTTTTTGTTGGTTTGTTGACAGCACAGGCGTAAATACAACTCCTCTTCTGCGGTTGTTTTAGCGAAATCAGACAACTCTGCGCATGTCCAAATGCTTCAAATCGGAATAAATCTCGGTGCATGTATACGCACGTCATGATCGGATTATTTAATTTTGCACCCATGTAAACAGTAGATTCAGATAACCCGATCCCACAAATTGAACTTGGCTGCTGAGGAGTATTCTGCTTTTAAAAGGTGTTTGGTGCTCCTGTACTCATGTCTACAACAATCAGTCAGTTGCTGGTTGCAGCTGTTTAAATTCAGCTTCTTGAGGTTTAATCAGTTTTTCTCTCATGTCCACTGAAAATGTTTGGACTTCCAATGAAACAGAAATAAGAATTCAAGGGTTTCAATGATGCTGAGTGGGTGTACAGCAGCTGATGCCTCTTTTTTTCTGGAGTTGAGTGCAGTCGTTAGTGAGCTCTCATGTCTTAAGCTTGGATCTAAATGTGAGAACAAAAAGTATAAAACAAACTTACAGTGCTGGCAGTGTCACATCTGATATCTATGAACTCTTTCAGTCGGTCAGGAGACGACACACACACACACACACGAGCTGAACTTTGGCTGACGTGCTTACATTATTTCCCTACAGTACAAAAATCAAATACCAAATATTTCAGTGTAAAATCAAAATCCAGTTTTAAGGGTAAAAACAAGAAAACAGCCATCAGGTACCAAACAGAAGAAAGCTTTTGAAAGGCTGAATATTAAACAAATTAGTGATGTTTAAAAAAAAAAGTTAAAGTCTTCAGAGTTTGAGTGAAGTCTTCCTCACACACCTCCTGATCCAAATCCACCCGACAAACAACTACAACTATACACACCTGTACGTATTTACACCAATAAACCCTCACACACCTGCCACACACACATTCACACACTACACGACTGTACAGTTTATCTTAAATAGATAAATAAATATCGCACACACACACACACACACGGAGTGTTTGGGGGAAGATACATTCCACCATGTTGTGATAACGAATCGACTAAAAATGATAACCTGCGACTTCCTTTTTTCTCAGCTTTCCAGAATAAAAACAATATCAAAGTCAACAACGGGGTCTTCGAACTCACCAGCCTCAGCCAAATTTACCCAGCATTCAACTGTCGGCTGATCGCTTCCTACAGAGCTCCACAGCTGATGACCGAACACAGAGGGAGAAATAAAACAAAGTACATACAGTCATATTGTACAAAAACCTACAACATCTAACAACATGATGAGGAGCTTTTACGCTGGAGGGGTGTGTGTTTAAGAGGACTGTCATCTAACTTGTTTCTGGAGTTTTTTTTTGTTTTTTTTTAAAGATAATTGTCATGATCCTAACGGTTTCCTACGTGTGGATGTTTCAGAGAATTTCCTGTCAAACCCTCGTCTCCTTTTCTCTCTCTCTCTCTCTCTCTCTCACAGCATCCCGTCCAGGTTCTGCTCCGCGTTCTGCTTGTCGGTGGCGGTGTCCTGCGGGCTGTACTGAGTGTGATAATCTCGGAGGATCGTCACCACGTCATGGTGGCCGAAATGAACCGCCTCATCCATCGGTGTGTTTCCCCACCTGCAGCAGTCAGAGCAACATTTAACCCACAGAGACATGAACTCTACAGCTCATTTTGGATCGTAAATGTGACCGTCAATGTGAGCGTTACCTGTCTTTGGGAACTGGGTTGACTTTACAGGCCTCCAGCAGGAATCGGACCACCTCTGCGTGTCCTGAAACACAACCACAAACACTCTTAGCTTAAAACACGAAAGGTTTCTCCGTCATTATCATCATCGCCGGGAGATTTTACCTTCAGCAGCAGCCACATGCAGAGCTGTCCTGGAGTCATAGTCTCTCTGCTCCATGTCCATGGAGGACAAAGCAAACCTGGACCACAAACATGACACAGCAGATTTAGAAAAACTCACCAGGAACAGAAAGAGGAATTCAAGTTAGAGCGATTTAGATTGAGCATTTTAAATCTGGATATGAAGTCCGTCACCTCCTCAGGGCAGAGACGTCTCCAGTGTACGCAGCAAACAGCAGGTTGATCACAGACTTCACCTGAAACACACAGAGAGAGAGAGAGAGAGAGAGAGAGAGAGAGACAGCTTCTTTAGACGTGAGACAAACTGCCGTTTCACTAATCCAGACAAAGTTAACCCTCAAACATTTCAACCAATAAAACTATATTTTTCTTTTGAACAGAAGTGATTCGCTCTTTAATAATCCACCTTCAAAATATGAGACATTATCACATAAAACTGTTCCAACCGCTGATGTATTTCTAGAAGTGAATGGAGGTAAACTGGGACAGTGAGAGAGATCGGCCGCTAGATGGAGCTGATGGTAAAGACGCTCAGCACAAGGTCATCCACCGGGCCACAGAGCAGAGAGCGGGAGGATGTGACGCAGGCTGTCAGAACAATGTTTGTTTACAGTGAAATTCAGAGCCAGAAATAAACCCAAAGGAGGATTTGAAAGACTCAAAATGAGAGTGAGGAGGAAGGTGGACAGGAGCTGATGAAGGAGTGTTTCTGGGTCTCACCCTCTGGTCTCCTCCCTCCCTGCGAGGATCCAGCTTCTTGGCGAAGTGTCTCAGGTTGTCGTAGTTGTGAAAGTTACACAGAGAGACGAGGTCCTGGAGGGGGAGAACATCATCATCAGTCCGACCGGGTTTTAAAAAGTGATTTCATACATTTAAAGTTTTAAAGGTGCTGTTCTAAGATTCAGATAAAAGCTGTGAAGTCTCTGATCAAGACGAACGATCGAGGTTACCGTGCAGAACTGGATTCCTCTGACGCTGTTGCCCAGTTTGTCCAGTGGAGGAGACCAACACATGATGCCCATCACGTTTGGAACCACCAGCAGAATCCCACCAGCGACGCCGGATTTGGCGGGCAGGCCGACCTGAAACAGGAAAAAGAAGTTGTACAAACAGGAAGACTTCGTATTCAAGAGGAGCGGTGAAACGTTCAGCAGAGGAGATACTGACGTGGAAAGCGAACTGTCCCGAGAAGTCGTACATGCCGCAGGAGTGCATCAGACTCAGCGTGTTCCGCACCGCCTCGGGACTCAGAACGCGCTCGCCTGTGATTGGACAGAAGCCACCATTGGCCAGAGTGGCGGCCATGACGCTGGCGCTCTCACAGGTCACCTCAATGGAGCAGAGCTGAGAGAGGGGAATGTAGGCGTTGTTTAGCGTCTTTGTTAAAAGTTTCACGGCGAACATCTTCAGTTTTTCTGAACTTCATTTACCTGGAAGTAGAAGTCCAGGATGGAGGTCATGTCTGTTCCTTCTGGAAAACACTGAAACAACAACGATGACCCCGTCATTACCGTCAACACAGATCTGGGTAATACGAGTAACCATCAATCAATCAATGACAAGACTTTAAATAGACTGTGGTTCAAGCTGCAGCAAACAGGGCTGCAGCTGACCTTTGACCTTACCTTCTTCTCTTTCAGATAGTAGCCGATGGCAAAGTTTCTGTCTCCGGACTCTCGCTCTGACTGGAAACTGGGACAAAAAAAGAGACGTTTGTGATTTTCTTCTTCTATGTGACTCCGCTCAGATTATATCAAACTCTTTACACCTCTGTAACTTCGCTGGTTTGGTGAATTATTTATCATAAAGACGAAATCAATAAAATATTTCGTCTGTGGGAGGACGTGTTGCTGTACTCACGTCGCGTTGCTGAAGCCCACGTATTCGTTTCCTGCCAGTTTGTTCATGAAGTTCATGACCTGAAACCAGATGAGGATTTTTCCAAAACAGTTTCATTTACAGTAAAAATTCACAAACCTCTGAAAACACAGAAAAACAAACCGACACTCACATAATCAAACTTCTCAGCGTTGCTCGCCCCTTGCTGAAACACAAGCAGAACAGACACAGTGTCACGTTTTCATCTTATACTTCAAACTTCACATCAGACAGTCACTAACACTTCTCCATGTCATGAAATTAGCACTACAGTTTATCAACCATATGTCTATGATATTAAACTAGACAGGAAAACAGGGTAAGTTTACGTCACTACTGTTTGAAATCATCAGTCATGTAACCAATCAAACCAATCGATGAATTAAGATTAGGGGTGGGAGAGACTAGCTGGAGATGAAGGAGGTGAAATAAAAAAAGTTAATCCACTCAGTTTCTGCTTTTTTTAAATATTCATTTAATGAAAAATAAAAAGTATCAAAGAAAATGATCTTATTATCTTCTTTCCCTGTTTTTAATGATAATAATAATAATAATAATAATTATCTGACTACAGAGTGGACCTATCAGAGGAAGAGAGAGCTAATGTGACTCTACAGGTGTGTTTACTGAGGCAGGTGTGTGAGTTTACTTTAAGATGCATCGACACTGCGAGTCACATGATCAATCAAACGGATTACATGTGATTTTAAAATGTGATTTTACGAACTTTAAGGCAGATCAAACTGTTATGAGGAAATTTAAGAAGGTAATTCAAGTTCTGACATTATTTGTTTTTTGACATTAACGGCATGAAGTCTGAAGATAACAAAGACTTCAAACAGACAGAAAAAGTGCTGCTCTCTGCAGTGTATTAGATTTATCTGCGGCCCTAAATCAGAGAATTAAACATTTATGCTCTCAGAATAAAAATCCATTCAAGGTTAACTGAATTACGACCATCCTTAATAAGTCAGGAGGAATCGATGAATACTGGTTTGACATGTGGCTTGCAGTGTAAACACATATTTTGGGTTTTTACAGCTGTGGATTCCTGGTCATGGTCAAAAAGAGCGAGGCTGAACGTTAAAGAGGAGTAGCTCAGATGGATGCATCTGAAGTGACTGAGAAACTAAATTCAAGCTAAGGCTATGAAATCAAAATCTAGAGAAGAATGGAGAATGATATCAAACCAGTGTTTGGGTTGAGTCATAGCCGTATACTGTTTATAACCCAGACGTATAAACAGTTTTGGAGAATGCAGGTGAAAAAGTATCAAAGCGACACTGAAACATTCATAAACAGCCATGTGAAGGCTAAAAGCTTCTCATCACAAATCCAGACAAAAGAGGGGGAAATAATTAAAAAGGAAAAATTACCAACGTCATTGACCTGTTGCAGTGGTCATAATTTCCCAAAGATCCTAATGCTGTAAAATATGCAACAACACATAAAACCACACAACGAGCCTTGAAAAGGTACATTTCAATGAGGGTATTTAAGTGTAGAGCTAGATTCAGAGGGAGGACAGAGGAGGGGGAGGAGGCGCATGCACACAGTCCCTGATTTCTTATCCTGATCAATCATCAGTGATCAAAATCTGAACAGTGATTGGCTGGATTCAAAGGGAGAGAGGGATTGGCTGAGAGCTGTCAGATCATACAGGAATGACCGAGAGGATGTCTGATGGAGATCAAGATGACAAGTTCTCGTTTTTGGAGGTGATTAAATCGTTGTTTTTGACTCTTCGCCATCATTCCTGCATGATGTGATCACAACAGACGTCACTGGATGATTCCTCTGCTCATCTGTACAGTTTATGCACAGCTGTTGTGGATTTAAACTAAATAAAACTACAGATATTCTTGTTCCTGGAGGTAAAGTCTCTCTCTGGCTGCCATACTTCTGTTTTCTTAGACCGTGTGTTTGTGATTTTCTGATTCTCATTTCAAAAGTCTCGATCTGTGACTGTAGCTGTATGCAGAAGTGTGTGCATCTGCAGACAAAGCTGATCTTTCTATGTGGCTGAATAACACTCAATGATAAACATGACTGTTGTTAACAGAAAATACAGGATTTAAGCACAAGTTAGGTCTGAAGATCTGAACTCCTGTCTTTCAAAACTCTTTGTGAGTTTTACTGTTTAATTCAGTCGAACTTCCAGAGGAAGAAAGACCCGTGTTAAAACTATGAATGTGCAACAACAGATCAAATCAAACTATTCAGTAAATAAGATAACAAATCACTTTGTTAAGAAACAGTACATCAGCTTCTGCTGAGCAAACAGTCCTTAATCTGTGTCAGAGGGCTGAGGAGAGGTAAATAAATCGTACCTGCTGTTCCTCTCACACAGATTAAAACGGGAAACTCCCAGAGTAGAGTGTCAAAACTTCCCGTGGATTGTCTCTGAGTAATTAATCTGCTCCTCATCCTACAGGGAGACTCTCCTGATCCTCAGCAGCCGACAGGGTCAGGGTCACCCAGACTTTTCATTTTTAATTTGAGTCTAAAATCAGCAGGTGGTGCTCCTGTGTTTCAAACAGAGACATCCTTCTGAGTGTGCGTGTGTGTGCGTGTGTGTGCGTGCGTGCCTGTGTGTGTGTGTGTGTGTGTGCGTGTGTGTGTGAAGGTCAGGAGAGGATATTTAATGAAACTTTCAGGAGGTCAGAGCTGCTCTGCGTCTCCCTGCCCTGTAAACTCTGAGTGAGTGAGTGTGTGTCTGTGTGAGCGATGGTTGCTGTAGACCTAATCCCCTTTTAGCGTGATTATCTATAACCTTAATCTACCCGGATACAGTAAGCTTCCGGGAAAAACACAGAGACAATAATTCTGTTTCATAAACTTCCTCTTTGGATGAAATTGTGCCAAACTCTCAGTTTACAATCTTTCAAACAAGAATCACTGAAATAAAACCTCTGCTGATCAAACGTCAGGTTTTAGGATTTTAAACTTCATTTTCAGACAGCCTAGAGTTACGAAAAATTGTGATGATGCTCTCCCAAAATGACAAAAACAGTCATGTAGCCCGACTTACTCTTTAATTACTGAAGCTGTTCAGTTTTCAGAGTGAATGAACATTACTACGAATTCATGGTGTTTTGTGTGGATGCAGCTTACCTTAATCAGGGAGGTACAAACGATAGCACCAGCATTAACCATGGGGTTGTGAGGCTTATCTGCAGGGGGAAAGAGACCATGGAAGTGTAAAAAAAATGAAGTTTTACGTTTAATACGTTTATGACGATATGAAGAAGTCTTTGGTCACAGATGTTCATGTTAAAACGTGCGATCACGGCCGAGTGCTGCGTTCTTACTCCACTCCCCCCTTTTGGGATTTAATCTGTTTATGCAACTGGCCAGACAGGAGCATGTTAAAAAAATAAATATCAGTAAAAATAAACAGGAATTAGTCGGCTGCGAGCTCTGTTAGATAACGACAAAGAGAGGAAACCGAGAGAGTTTCCCACGCCGAAGCACACTCAACAACAAACAGCTTTTACGCAGTCGACATCTGATGCTTCAGCTGACGGATAATAACAAAACAACTAATAAACGAGCTTCAACATCTTTGGTTGAACTGTGCATGACACAGCGAGCACTACAAGTGTCTCTGTGTCTCGTCTGCTCATTCCTGGCTGGATTTTATCGCGCCACGTGCCAACAGCAGCCTGTTGTATTTCAAGGTTATGTTCCCTCTCTGTTACACACTCAGCGTTCTGTTCTATTCTGCTGCGGTGCCACAACCTTTCATTAACAAGTCATCTCAGTTCCATAGCAACCAGGCCTGGAGACAGATCCTGTTTCGGTGAAAGTGCGATCCCAGAGAGATGATTCAACCACAGCTGGCTGAGTCGCCGTGCTGACACAAAGGAGCAGGTGTGTGTAAGTGTGTGTGTGTGTGTGTGTGTGTTTCCTCTCACCATCCTCGTTCAGGAAGAGCTTGTTGAACCGCAGACCGCTGGGCTCTTTCCCGATGAAGCGGTGCACATACTCAGTGCCGTGGTCGTGAACGGCGATGGCGTATTTCAGCGGCTTCACGCACGACTGCAGACAGAAAGGGACCTTTGTGTCGCCGACGGTGTGCCTGAACAAATCACAGGAAGAGTCGCACCGCTCATGAGGATGTGAGGAGGAGAGGTGTGAAAGTGAGTTAAAAAGAGGTTTCACTCCTGCTGCTGAATCCAAAGGTTGTGCGTTTAACACATTTTTCATCACTACATCTTTCTTGACGTCAGTTTTTCTCCAAACTTAATCTGCTTTTTTTTGTTTTTGAGCATTCAGATTATCATGATCGTACTTTGCAAACAGGTGGAGATGAAAAACATCTACAGCTAATGGGTTGTACCTCTGTCCATCGACAGTGCACAGAGCGACGGCCCACAGGTCCGGACTGAAACGTGCGAGCTGGGGAATGTAGTCTGCCACCTACAGCAGAAGAAAACCCCCAAAATGTCAACACAGTCCGGGTTATTTAAGAGTATAAATATCATTCTTGTTCAGGACGGGTTTTGGCTCACCTGCCCTCCAGACATGGGTTTAGCTGTCTCGTAGAGGTCGTCGATGTGGGCGCAGAAGGACTGGAAGTCTGGGATGACAAACTTCTTCCTGAAGGCCTGAGTGAGCAGCACGATGTTGCTCTGGACACATCTGAGAACAGAGACAGGGTCACCGTTAAGGTTTATGAGTCCTTGGAGAGAGATCTTTAGTCAAATTAAAAAGCAAAGACCAGAAGAAAAATATTTTAATATCTGAAAAAAAAAGGAATCCTTACATTTGTGTTTGCTGATAAACGCTGGAAAAAACCTGACGCCTTACACACCAAATATGAGCTACGATAAATAGAAGTAGTTCTGTCTCACAGTTAAAATCAAACTACAGGCTCGAACCTCTCCTGTTAGCTTAACTCACTCCATTCTTCACACACCAGCTGCTGCGGCGGTGAAGCATCTGCTGCTGGACTTAAACATGATGTCATTAGGAGTGTTGTCTACAGGGAACATGTTTGCTTTTCCACTTAAGTGCCTCTGCTTTCAGGGTGAAACCTTCAAAAACATGTTGTCCGCAGCAGACGCAGCTTGATGAGATTGTCAGGAGGAGATCGGAGGAGGATTATGTTTGATCCGACAACACCTCGTCTTTTTGGTTTTTACATCTCACAGTCACCAAAGATTTGGGAAAAGTTTTTTTATTTTCCTGATTTTTAAATCTTTTCCAAATGCTGTCAGGGTTCAAAGATCTAGTCCCGGTCCTTCTCCTCTGTGATTTAAGAGCACAGACTGTATTGGCGCTGTGTAATAAGTCTTGAGGTGGAAGCTGTGTCGCTCTGTTTGCAGAGATTTGCAGCCTAACTATCTCACAGCACCGAACTCTGTGTAATCCCTGTCGCATGGGATCCCTGCAGAGCAAACACACGCCATGCTCTAGCTCCCGCTCACGTGCCTCCCTCAGAGGCCGAGCTCTATAAATAAGCCCGAGGAGGTGATGTGATGGATCCCAGCCAGGAGCTGCAGCGTTGGGGTCTGTTCGCTGAGGATTCAGCTCCCTGGTGAGCTGTCATATGCCTCGACTCGCCATGCTGCAGCTTCCCAAGCTGTCGCCCGGTTCTGTCTCAGCACCGATTCCTCTTGGGGGGGTCAAACAGCAGCCATACGATACTTCATTTATTCTACACTCATCCTTGTTTGGATTTCAGCTGTGGTTTCATGACATGTGCATCAAATCCACACATCCAAGTCCATGTGTTTGTAGCTCTGCTGTAGGCCATGTCAACTGTTAAAGGGATCCCTACATTAGTTTCTTATACAAGAGAGGGTGAGTTGCATTGTGGGTGTGGTAGGAACAATGGCTACTTGAATTTTTATGCACTCTCTCACAGATTCGATCAAAGACCCTCACACTCTTTCTGAATTTCAATCAGAGGTTAAAGTGAACCACGTTTCAATAATTCTGCCCAACACTCACAACATGACGTGATTCGACCTTCACCAAAGGTCAACCTGTCAGCTTCATTAAATCACTTCTTTTTTCACATTATCACCCTCTAAACGTGAGTTTATTTGAGCAGAAACGCTTTGGTCCACAAACACCAATCACTTTAATCTGTCATTAAAATCATCTTCTTAGAAAAGTTTTGATTTAGGAAAGAAAGAAGAGAAAAGGAGAAGAGAGAAAAGAGACAAGAAAAAGAGAGGAGAAAAAAATGAGAAAGACAAAAAACAAAAAGAGAAAAGAAAAAAACAGAAAAATAAAAAAAGGAGGAGAAAAAAAGAGAGATTAAGAGAAAAAAAGATTTAAAAAAATAAAAAGAAAGAAGAAAAAAGAAAAAAATAGAAAAAAGAAAAAGAAATACTTTTTAGAAAAAGAGAAATAGAAAGAAGAAAAAAAAGAAAAAAGAAAATTTAATATTTAGAAAAAAGAAAAAAGAATAAAATTAAAAAGAAGAAATAAAAAGAAAAGATAAAATAAAAAAGAAGAAAGAAAGAAAGAAAGAAAGAGAAAAACAGAGTGAGAGCAAAGAAAAAAAAGAGAAGAGAAAAAAGAAGACAAAAAGAAAGAAAGAAAAAAAGAGAAATGTTTTGATATACTTCTGCTCCAAGTTACTGACTCAGTTTGGACACAGATGTCTCTTTAGTCCTCTTCTCCTCTTCAGTCATGTCTTTTTCTCTGACTGGTTTTTCCTGTCCGGGTGTTTTGTCCTATTTTCCTTCAGCAGTCGTGATCTTGTTTGAATCCGACTGGATGGAAACCTCAACAACACGCTGATGACGTACAAACTCAGGAGTGATGAATAATTAAAGCGTGCAGCGACCCTTTTCTGCAGCAGACTCTGAACAGCATTAATAATTCCTCAGATCGACTTGGATAAAAGATTCATGCTGATAGTAACGGTGGAACAGGACGCCTCGAGTTACTGCAAGAGTCCTCTTATATCAAAAGGCATTCCACAGACGACTCTCTGACTGTCAGGCTGGAACTTTAACATCATTTTAAGATTAAAAAACATTTAAAACTTCCTCCACTGAAAAAATAATAGATCCTGTTCGTTACACAAGAACCTACTTTTTGAAGAGGTGTCGATCCAGAGCTCCGTCAGAGGTGGTCTTCAAAGTCACCTTCAGCATCTCCATGCATTCCTTTAGCCGGGGGTCTCCTGTGCGAAGCCCCGTGGCTTTAAGAGCCTGCACAGAGAGCAGAGAGACATTTTGATTAAGGAAGCCTGAAAGCAAATCAATAAAGCTACAAGCCGTGAACTCGGGCTCCTAAAGAGGCTTACGAGGAGTCATCCTGCTCATAACTCAAGCAGAGAGACCACTACAAAGAGGAGTGCTGATTCACCGCCCACCTGGGCTTCTTCAGATCCAGTGTGGATCCTTTTTTTTGTTTATATCAGAAAATAAACACAGTGAACTCGATTTGAAACCCCTGATTCTGTTCCTGCTGTGACTGAGGACTCACTGTGGTGAATTTGTGTGCAGGGATTTTTTCCTGTCCCTCTGCGATGGTGTAGAAGAGCAGATCCTCCAGGCTGGGCAGGATGCCTGCCTTCCTTCTCCTGCAGGGGGAGAAAAAGAAAGAAGACACGGACGGAAAAGTGAGAAAATCAGTGGACAGTGCGGCCCTTTAAAGGTGGAAACATGGAGGGGAAACTGCAGCAGAGGGAGGAGAAAGAAGCTTTTGAACTGCAAGGAAAGGCTGTGAGTAATATCTGTAAGACTGCTCTGAAAACATGACTCTACACTGACCTTAGCTCAGAGTTACACCCTGTGGAAAAGACACTGTGGGTTCTTTCCCACAGGTGAACATGCTGACACAAGGCCACTGTAGTGTCAACTATTTGACGGCTTCTTTGCCGGAATACCAGCCATGTGTTTAAAAAGCTGATTAGTATGAAAGCTAACCAGTGTGTGGTTTTCAGAGCGGGAGTCTAATCCCAAACCATGTGACCCAAAATGAGAGCAAAGGAATTTATGATGACGATGATTGTGACCTTGATTTATTCTGGTTTAGTTTGGGTCAATCCCAAAGTAACAGCAGCAGCGCAGAGAGAGAGAGCGAGAGAGCGAGCTCAAATAACTGTTTTTGTTTTTTTTATTGTCAAATGAATCAGTCTGAGAAAGAAGGTCATGGCGCCTTACTCGCATCGTGATCCACAAAGTGTGAGAGGATGACGTGTCGGAGCGATTCAGCCGAATAAATCCACGATCTGTGAATTGTGCTGACTGGGTCTTAACTGCTGAAGCTGTGACGGAGCTTCTGGCACGTTACCGCCAAGTCCAGCCTTCAACACAAGGACGAGGCTGCACGGTGGCTGTTAAACCACTGAAGGACGACACGTTACTTGAAGACAGGAGTCAACATCTTATTTCTATCTGCAAAACCAGTCAGGAATTCATACTTAAATCGTATGTTTTCTGCTTTGACTGCGTCTCACTCTTCACAAACTCGTCTTTTATCCGATCTGTGACATACCCATGTTGTTGCGTCCTCTATGACAAGAACACAAACCTCTTATTGTGCATCACAGACTCTTTGCATGGAATTTTCCTAATGTATTCACGTCTCTACCCCACAGACTTTAATAATAGGACGCTCACACACTCTCTGTGCTGCTGCCATCTCTCGATTGATGGCTGTACTCATGTTGGGGTCTTGGCTGGTATTCTCAGCAATGCCTCCACAGCGAGTCGTCTCTGGGAGCAAAGTTAGTAGCATGTCAGGCAGACAGGGCGACCAGCTCACAGCAGGCTCTCTGCTATGATTCATATCGACACCAAATTGAGTGTATGCACAGTTTTGTTATTGTCAAGGCACACCCTGTCCCACAGTGCATCATGTGCTAAGAGAAGATGTTTGAAGGTAAATCCTCGCAGCAGCCGACCAGATAGAAAGCCCAGTTTGAACACCCTCGGAGTCATGAGAGCAGATATGTACCAGATTGTAGCAGCGGACTCAGTGAACAGGGTTTCCTCTGGATGGATTCAGACACAGGAAGAAATCAGAGAGATAATAAACTTGATACTTGAATTTAGCTTGAATGAATTCCACTTTGAAACACTTACAATTCCTTCTTTCTCTCCACGTCCAAAGTGAAATTTCATTTTGAAGAAGACTCAATATTTTCTTTGAACGACTGCTCCCTGAGACAAGAGATACACTCAACATCGCCCTTCAAGCTCTTAAGCAAAACAGAAAAATATTAGTTTTAAACCCAATAAAATATAAACGCAGGTTTTTTCTGAGACCTCTCTGCTGCAGGATCGAACCACAGAGGAAACACTGAGACCGAGTCTTTGATCAGATAAAAGTGAAGATAACCTACGATACCTCCTACACTTACAGTCCCACAAAGAGTCAGAAGTCAGACAAATGTAATTCCAGCCATGAATCAAAAGTCGATTCTTGTCATTTTTAGAGATGTCAAATATCTCGTTCAGAGGAAACGTGGTTCTGTTGGGTGAAACTTGGTGGTGGATGAACACCAGACAAGAGAAATCTTAATTCTCCACTTTCTGACTCTTGTGTGGAACGTGACATTTCATCCGAACCTGGAAATTTTCACTGCTCGTTAGCTCTGCCCTCATAAACAAAGGATAATGCCTGCTGGTGAGGAAGAATACACATCAGAGAGTGTGTGTGAGAAGGAGGGGAGCTGAGGGGTGAGGTCGGGGAGAGGAGGGGGTTCAAGCGCAGCCGCTGGGAGGAAGTGAGGTCATTTCAAGGTAAGAGCGGTTTGTTGGCTTTCTGCAGAAAACCTCTACTTCTACAAAAAAAGAAAGAAAAACTAAAACTAAAATAAAAATAGAAACATACTTACAAATGCAAAGCAAGCAGATCAACAAGAGGGAGAGAGTGTGCAGAGGGAATAACACTGAATTAGTAACAGTAGTACAGTATGAACACATCAGCAGAGAAATGCAACAAGAAGTCACCATATTGAAAACATACTGATACTACTGTGACAACAACAGAAAACAAACGTACCCCGACTAAAGTTTGAATAAAGACACAAGTATAAATAAACAGGAATACATGAGAGAAAGCTTTGATGTGGTGAAAATACGTCAGAAATACACAAACTGCTCCTTATTAGAGACACGAGGTTAAGTAGGTCTGTCTTTAAATACATAAATCCCAACTTTACACATGATTATGATTCTCAGCTGCATTTAAATCAAGTCCAAAAGGAGCTCATTAGGAGGAGTGAATCTCCAAACAGGACACTGACTTCAACCCCACACTGACACACTGACAGACACACACACACACACAGACAGACAGACAGTAAATATATCACAGAGCTCATGAATCAGGACCAAACTAAGAGGCCAGAAGTAACCTCCTTGTTCAGTTAATGAGGCCTGTGAGAGAAGAATCGGCGCCAGGTTAGAGGTGTTGAAGGAACATCTGGACCCGCCTCTGGACCGGCTCATTAATCTACCTCAGCTGTTCCCATTAGTGCTCCAGACTCCCTCCCCTAGAACACCTTTAAAGGTCGGCACAGCTAATCCAGAGTGGTCTGTTTCTACTTTATGTTGTGTAAATAAAAATGTACATAAAAATGACAAATTATTTTCTTGTATACAAAGAAAAATAAAAAACGCACAAGACAGCAACATTTTTATGACCACATGAACTTGTCACAACATAAATAACATAAATTAACTTGTGTGTACAATTTAGTTTTCTTGTCCCTACATGATTACCATACTGAGCCATATCTTGTGCCGATGATGTCGGCACAGCTAATCCAGAGTGGTCTGTTTCTACTTTATGTTGTGTAAATAAAAATGTACATAAAAATGACAAATTATTTTCTTGTATACAAAGAAAAATATTATCCCGTTTTGTTTTTAAACTGCCAGTGATGATTGGTTGTTGTGACACACATTAACTTGTCACAACATAAATAACATAAATTAACTTGTGTGTACAATTTAGTTTTCTTGTCCCTACATGATGACCACACTGAGCACACAAAGGTTATCTTAATTATTACTTTTGTATAAATTATCATCGTATTTTTGACATCTGTTCGTTGTCTGATTAAGCTGCTCAAATAAAAGCTAATCATGTTTTGTAAATGTGTTTAATTCAGGAACCGATTTCCTCACAATCAGGTTGGTTGAGCTGCAGGTGTATTCTTCTTCTAATCGGCTTTAGAACCAGCTGATACGCTGAGCAGATCAATAGATCGGATGTTATTTCACTGGGAATACTGGAGCTGAGCCCAGTCCAGCTGCAGCTCAGCAGACAGCTGAAAGCTGATCTGAGGTCAGAGTTTGAATGGACAACTGCTCACTCCCTCTCTGCTGTGAATTTGTGGTTATAAACTTTTAAGTGAGGACAATCACAGCTGATTTGTCCAGAGCTCTTTGTATCGACAGACTGATGTCTGATAAAGTCGTCCGTGTTGTCAGCTTTATCATCTGACCTGATCGATGGAGCTGGTTTCAGTGCCTCACAGATGTCATGATGAGCGGGTGGTGAGGGTGGGGGCAGACATGAGAGCGGCAGTGTTCAGAGGCGGTGCTGCACAAATCAATCTGAGTAAAGTGACTCATCTGCTCCTGGAGGCTCTGACAACTGCCGGGCAGCACGCCAGCATCCCGGCTTTGGTGCAAAAACGCAGGAAAAGTGATGTGGGCGGGATAAGCTCCCCTGCATCACAAACATTTTAACCCCTCATTAGCCGGAGCACAGCCTGGGGACCCCCACGCACAGACTGGAGTCCAGGCTGAATGCTGCCGGGGCCCCGGGGACTCCAAACGGCCCGCCATGGATTTAATATTTCAAACTTTTGTCTCTGATTTACTGACTTTTAACCCTGGAGTTATTGCTGCTCCTGAGGGGTGGGATTTTTCTTTGGTGAAAATTGACTATGATGTGATCATGGGATCATAATAAGCTGATTGATGGTTACATCTAAGATAATATAAATTTGACAAAAACCCCAAACTGCTGCAGACCCTTTGTGTTGTGGTTAGTTATTCAGTTCAGTGACTCCTTGTTTTAGCTCCAATTATCAAGTTAATTGTCTTTTCATGAGTATGCTTTAAGGACAAAATCTAAATAAATCACATTACTGGGATAAGAACCAAAGCAGAACATTAAATCTTCATATCAAGGTGCCTATGATTGGGCAATACTTGTCTTGTGCTGATATTTAACATCATATGCTGAACCTTTCTCAAAGGACCAAATGCAGATGCTGAAAAGCTCCTGGTTTGTTTTGCAGCAGAACTTCACATCATCAGATGACTCAGAGTCTCTGGAAACCAGCTCACAGTCTGAATGAAGAGTCGGCGAGTCCCTCAAAAGCAGAGTGTCTCTCTGTTTCTCATCCTGCATGTCACCGACTGATGACTTCACAAAAACCAGTCTGCACTGTAAGTATTCAACAGACTGAATCTGTGATTAGCCTCCAGGGGAGATGAGATGATGCTGATAGGCAGTCAGCTGGGTAAAGTGGCTGCTGAACGAGGCGAACGTTTTAGTAAATTGTCCGTGAATGGAAACAAATGGGACGAGGTCGGCCTGCAGGAGTGATGAAGCACTTTACTCCTGGTGAGGAGAGGATTCATGCTGCAGGTACCACAACTGATCTGGATGTCAAAACCAAGAACAACTAAAAATTATTTGTGTTTCATCAGTGATAAACTTAGACCTCTTAAATACCCACCCAAGCCTGATACCTGTTTTTTATTTTACATTTATCCTCAGATATCACAAAGCATGAACTAAAACACATGAACTGAAGAGAAGGAAGCAGGACTCATTACCGTGCAGAAACCTGAGTAAACACGAGAGTGTTTGCAGAGAAAAAGAGAGAGCACTGCACAACATTCCTGCTAGATTTACATCTCATTAAAATAAAACACACTTTAGGCAGGCAGGAGGCTGCGAGCATGCAGATGAAACCACAGACCAGCCAGTGCACTTTACAGAATCAATATTCTTTAAATGACATATTGGATTATTGGATGTTTGTCAGCGAGTGACCTGTAAATAATGAGATTCTTGCTACAGACTTGAAGCTATAGAGTGGAATTTTACTGTAAAGTCAAAGTCTAAAGGTAAATATGGTATAGAACGCGATTTACAGCAAACAAAGTCGGAGAATTTATCCATCAAAACTGCTTCAAAATGCACCTTACACTTGGCAAAGCAGCTAAAGAGTAATTTGAGGTTTGTTTTGAGGGTTAAAAAACGCATATTTAAAACATGTGATGCATACAAACATGATCAGAGCCAAAATTAAGTGAATCATCATCTTTAAAACATGTTAGTGAGCTTAAAGTGGATCCAATGGGACTGTGGACATGGTCTGGTTTCACTTTATCACCAGGAGGACTCTCATCCCAACTCCTCGATTAGTACATTTAGCCTGTTGAACATTCACCTCTATCAGACAACCTATCCCAATCTACTCAACTATTAAGACTGCAAATAATAGATTCAGAATGATCAGTTAGTAAGTTTGCAAATTTACACCAAATGGTTAAAAAAGAAAACCAAAATAAAGAAGCTTTTAGAGGTGAAATTTGAATTACATGCAGATTGTAAACTTGATTATTTTATTGCACTCAGTAAATACATAAAATAATCACTTGCAAATCGCAGGGCCATAGCATTCCTATGTTTCATGACTGACCTTCATTAGACATTGAGTTGGCGTGAATGGTGCATTAAGTCGACCAAACACAGGGTTTCTTTGGTGGATCTGAAATGTCATCTCTAAAAGCCCCCAGGAGCTAATAGCAGCTTAAAGTAAGTTCAGCATGTGGGGCTGAGGGTGAAGAAGGCTGAAGCTGCAGGATGCTGCTGCTGGTCACGAAATCTGGCTGCCTGCACACTATATGAGTCCATTTTCGGACACTTCATACTTACAGGTGTTTTCTTTATTCATACCTACAAATAATGAGCAGAAGAGTAAGAGCCTTATTTCTTTCCCCCAATAATATCTTTAGCTTTCCTTACACAGATTTCGATTAGCTTGTTTTCTAGTTCGTCATCCCAGCTGGAGCTGCGTTTAAGCTAGTTACTAGCTAACGTCTAGCGTGACGCGTTTGAATACCCCCCAACGCAGAAGCCCGTTTAAAATATGTACCACTGAAAAAGGCCTCAATTACAGGTGTAACACATCAACAGAGTTTAATTAATTGTTTTGTTTTAGTAGAATTATAAGCAGGTCTTTCATTCGGAATCTTCGCTTTATTATTTCTATGCTTTTTAACCTTCATAAAGAAACTTTAAGACTGGCTGCCGGGTTTTTACCCCCCAATGCAGAACCGCGTTTCAAAGATGTACCACTGAAAAAGGCCTCAATTACAGGTGTAACACATAAACAGTTTGGTTAATTGTCTTGTTTTAGTAGTATTATAAACAGGTCTTTCATTCGGCATCTTTAATTTTCAATTATTATATTTTTTTACCTTCATAAAGAAACCTAAAGATTGGCTGCCGGGTTTTATCAGTCCCCCAATCGTTCCCATAAAATGTCCTTTTTTCTCTCTGAGGTTTTGGCCTACCGTGATGCTAGCAGATAGCGTCTGACTCTGACCGGGGTTAACGTTACTCACTTCTCTGCAGAAGAGTCCTTGCTGGCTTCATTTTGACCATCACCCTTGGAGCAGTAGTCCCTCACTCCGTGCCTCCGTGAGTGGTGCTGCTGCTGCGGGGCTCTCCAACCGAAAATCCCCCTCCCTGTGCCGGGCGACCTCCCATCCAAACCGACGGTGGTGCTGAGGCAGGCGGCGCGTGCAGGTGCCGCTTTAACACCGACTCTACCTGCCAACGGCCGCTTCAGCTGGGTCTGAAATAACTCCTTGAGCGCTACCGTTGACCGAAAATGTAACATTTCAATCCCGTCGAGGAGAGTGTAACTACAGTGAGGCCGAGTGGAGAAATGTGGGTCGTCTGTGGAGCGTTATTCCCGGTATGTGTCGGCTTCCCTCGGTCAAATAACGGTTTTCCCGGTGACTCAACAACAGAAAATTTTCCTCTCTGGGATACAACCTACCTTTCATACCGCGAGGGCACTGATTGGAGTACGATAACACATACGAGTCTCTGATTGGCTAAGAGAGCTGTCAACCATCAGTACTGTTTCTCCAGTTGTGTTTGACCTGTGTAGGTCATGATTATGATTTCTCTCTCGTTGTCGACTTCAATAATTAGGAAATATTTGATATATTAATGCAGGTTTTCTCTTTGTATCAGCTCATAACAAACTAAAATGACCACATATAAGATTTCAGACAGGTTTCTTTATAAAAATAGTTTACCATTCTAGTTAAATAGCCGTGTTCATAATGCTATTGTAGATGGAAAATAAATTTAATCGTAAAAGTTTCTGTTTTTATGAACTAAGTTGTGATAAATCATCTCATAGCAGCCCAGATACTGTGATGTCTTGTCTTTGTGCGACACTCTCTGGTTCAGTTTGGTACTGCACATATCCAGGCTGTGGTATCTGTCCTACAGAACAGTCACAGCGCCATCTGCTGGTCATAACTTATTCTAGTTAAATCAATAGTAAGAGCAGCATGACGAGGCCAATAATAGATTATAAGTACATTCTCAACCCTTTTAAACATACAGGCATCATTTATTTGCCCCTTCTTTAGATTGTCTTATATGATTACAGCTTTATTGTCTCAGAGCTGTGCATTAAACCGCAAAATCATTTAATTTGTCTGCAATTGAATCTCTTCAACAGTTGGTGGATCATGTCAAAATGTAGTAGTTTGAATTCTAGCCAAAACCAATCCCAAGTGGACTGTTTTAAGAGTTTTTGTTGTGTATAAGACCTGAGTCAGACAGCTCTGTAATGCCTGCTCTGACCTCTTTCATGGCCTGGGTGGGTGCAGTTTGACACCCAGCGCTAAATACTGACCTACAAAACAGATTACTCACTGGAAAGTATTTTGCGACTTAGTTTACTTTTCTGTGGTTCCCTAACTTTTATCTGACTTTATCTGAATGTCTGTAAACTCCACCCACCAGGAGCTTCAAGTAGGATAAAACAAACAAATTCATGCTGACTAATAATGCTTCACTGGGAACATGAAACATTCATGAATTTGGACTGAATCGGTGGAAGAAACCCAAATTACGCAGCTCACATTTCCAATCAACTACGTCTAAATTTAAAGGGGAACTCCAACAAAATTTTCTTGCCGGTTGTTGTTTTACAGGAATCCACATTTTCATAAAAGATTTTTAAAAATTCCCAAGTTCTGACTCTCAGATGCAACCTGACCTACATTATCTGCAGGGTTGTTGCTGAACCGTCTGGCCTCCAAGTGTGTGGAGATTAACCAACAGAGTGTGAAAGATATCGATCGATGGATCATATGTCTGCTCCAACATGTTCCAGGCATCTATTTAGAGTTGGCTGTAATTGTGAGTATCTCATGTAGGTGACGGAGATGTAGGTGACAGTCCACTTGTGCATCAAAAGTTTAAGAGACAGAGCCACAGCTGTAGAAGTATTCAGATCTAAATTTACCCTGTACATAAAAACGGTCCTCTCTAATTCAAGTGTTGTGAACTTGCTCGGTTGTCTGTCCCTGCAGTGTCTTCACAGATCTTTGGTGTTAATGTAAATCTAAAATAAGAAACCTTCAGAGCTCATTTCATGAAAAGGAGTGCGGCTGCGTGCGCTGTCAATCTTTTCGAACCAACAGCAGCTCTCAAAGTTTAATTTTGTGCAGAAATCCCCCCTGAGCTGCAGCATTTTCCCTGCATGCTGCAGTGAGGCAGAAAACAAAGGAAGGAAGGAAGGAGACAAACAAGGCGATCCCTAACGAGGCTGCAGGGAGGAGAGGCGATAATTCACTGACACCCACACCTTCTCAAAAGCAGTCAGCTTCCTGCTCCTTCAAAATGAGGGTGATGGGTGCGCTCGGCAGATCCCTCCCACGCTGCTTAGCGGCTGGCTTCCGCCCACCGCCCGTGGAGCCGCCCACCTCCAGCCGTTGCCACAGCAACACATCATCATCAGTGACTTGCACTGGAGGAGGAGGAGGACAAGGAGGGGAGGGGCGGACGTTAGTGTGCCGAGCAGGCATCCAGCATGGGTGTTCATGAGCTGAGCTATTCTCCAGAGAAAATCTGTCTGCATGTGTGTGCGTGCGTGTGTGTGTCAGAGTGTGTGCGTGTGTGTGAGAGAGAGAGAGAGAGAAGAGGGCGAGAGAGGGAGGATGATGGGAGGTATGTGAAAAGGACCTGCGTCAGAGTGAGTCATCAGCCAGTTTCACAATGTGTCGATGTGACGCTGATGCAAATGTCCTGCGCAGGGATTCATCTGAGTGAAAAAGAGAAAAGAAAACAAACAGCAGACAGAGACGCTCCTTTAAAGGAAGCTCCACTCTCCTTTGATCGCCTCTTTTTTCTACCGCTTTCATGCTTTTTCCGCCTGCTCCCTTTTTACCTGACTCTGCTCTGATTACTGAGCACTTTTGCTCTTTTCCAGCTGCCTCCTGCTCTGCACTCACATAAACTGGGGGCTTCCCTGTCCTGCTCAGAGGCACCTTTAGAGCTGGGACTGGAGGATCAGGATCAGTTTGTATGCAAGACACTGAAACTCCAGCAGCTCCTCCCTATAGTGGAAAAACAGACATATAATTAAGCGAATTATCACTCTATTACAGTGTTACAAAGACGACAACCTGCTATCACAGCTCTGCAGGGATCTGTCTGCCCTATTTCACTTTATTCTGACGTACAGAGATCTAACTTTTTGTGGTTAATTACACTTTTTATTTACGGTAAACTGGTTATGAATTAGTGGAAGTTTGTTGGTAGAAAAAGTTATTTAAATTAACTGTTAACCTCCACCCTACAGACGAGCGTAAGGCCTAAGTTTGAAGTAATCCTGTTTTTCACTACAAGAGCAAACTTTGTTCAGTCAGATGACCTCGGTTTGTAGTTTTGAGTCCATCATGACCCAGAAGTTTTGGTCACGCCAATGCAAACACTCAGGACAGGGTTTGGGCAGCACCGCTTTCACACGACATTGATCACAGAACCCACCTCACAATAGAGTTCAAAAAATAAAGTTTAATGTTTATGTGCTGTATAACAAATAAAATATATTAGTGTTTAAAAAACAGGTGCATAACTAGGTGAAGCCTAATCTATCACTTTACAATAAACAGTGAGGAGAACAGTGATCGGTGAGACGGCAGCTCAGACATGCCATATTCTCTGAAACATCGTACAACAGTCACGCTAACAGGGCCGCCGCCGCCGCTGTGTGAGCCGATCAGGGCCAGTTTTATCCCTGAACCGTGATGACTTCATCTCCCAGAATGCACCAGCTAGTCCAGATTGAATGAACCCTCACCAGTTTCTCCTGCTTGAAATAAATCCACCTCATGAACTTTTTCAAAGATCTGGTGTCTTTAAATAAACGTACAGAGCCCTGCACACTCAGAGTCAGACAACAGAAACATTTCTTTAGCTGAAGGTGAAATCCACCCTGAAATCATGACAGACGTACAGTTACTGAGCACACAACAAGTGATGGATCCACAGAGAATGCAAATAGACTTATTACTTACATAAATATTGCATTGGTCTGTCATTACGCTGAGTGAGACTAAACTATCTGCAGGGGAGAGGGGAGCAGAGGACGGTTAGACCAAGTTTGTCTGAACATTATTTTCATTATTATCATCTGGGACCAAACGGATGTATTTACACATAAAAACACAGTGAACACTTATTTATGGATTTACCTCTAAACAGCAAAAACACGTGTTTGAAAGAAGCACTGACGGCCATCACAGGTGGGTGAAACACTGGTAAGAGCTAAGGCTAATCAACATTTTCATCATGTAAAGCATGTTTTTATACACCAGACACTTTCACACAGTTGTATTTTTTCCTCAGTGACACTTAAGTTTTCTTTTTTCTTTTTGCTCTACATACATAAACACCGTATTGACACTGAAAATCTACAGCAAAGTTACATTTGACAAAGGAAAACCCTGGTTGAGAGATTAGGCTAGCACTATTTGTTATCACAGAACTATTTACAGACCCCGGGCTGCTGCTCCGCCAAGAGCAGCGATAAACAGGAATTTAGCTTTCTGCAGCTGCTGTTGAGAAACCACATGCCTGCAATCTTTAATATTTAATCCTGTCTTGAGTTAAAAACAAATTTAGAGGATTTACGACCTGTGGGGTCTGCTGAAAGCTTGTCGGATCATTTCTTAAAAATACAGAGGCTTTATTCCTGAAATACTCCCCATTTGCAGATGCGTGGTTTCAGATCAACAGCAGTGTTTTGCTAAATTACAAAGTGAAATGAACCAATTAGCTCGGCCTCCGGCATGCCAGCCCAGCCATCCTGCCAAGACGAATGACAGAGGTCCCCTGCTGTTCCTCCACAACAGCTCCTATACATCCTCTTTTTATATTACCTCCCATAAATATACACAAGACAAGAGCGAGGAGGAGGAGGAGGAGGGAGGGATCGATCCCACCTCTTCTGTTTTATCATTTGAAGTGAACGACAAAAAAAATTAACAAGCACCAGGGGCTGAATCTTAACTCGTTCTCCCTACAGTACTTTAAAAAAACTCTGTTTTTGAGATACAGTACGAGAGCAGACACACCACGGCTGGATCTGGGAGAGTGACGGAGGCTCAGAAGACCGCAGCTGATGGATGGAGAAAAGGGCGACGATTGGAGGTCAGTTTTCAGATCTTCTATACTTGTCATTTAAAATCACAGAAATGTAAAGTTTGGGTATCATTTCACCAGATTACCACTTCATGTTGTTTTTGAGTCTCTTCACTCAGTCAAATATTTCTACTCTGTGTTGGACGAGGGTGTCGATTATGAGGAGACGTTTCAGCTGTTTAAAGAGGAGGTATTCTGCTCATTTTCAGTCTTTATTTTGTCGCTTTACAAGCTCTGAACTCAGATCAGCCTTTACTATCTATCTAAAAAGGCTTCTTTTCAGCTTCTGCCTCGCTGACCTCCTGTCGGCCCTCTGGAAGCCTCCTCCACTGTTGTTGTTCATCCATCTGTTTTGGACACCGCAGGTTTTCAGTGATCAGTCACAAATGAAGCAGATCTTCTGACTTAGTTTCACTTTTTGAAACTGTGCCCATGTTTTGTGTTGACATCCAACACTTGATTTGTTGTTTTATGTGAAATAAAAACATAATATTACCTCTTTGACAATAAAAGGTTGACCTTCAAGCGGCTCAAAGTCAAAGGGCGTCTGAAGTCTGCAGGTTTCATCTTCTAAAGTGCATCAAAGTCTTTGTAAAAATTCATGGTTTACCCGTCTGATACTCATCAGGATCTTTCAGTCGTACTAAAGTGGGGGCCGTACCACCCCGAGAGCACCTCCAAATATTTGAAATATTCTACCACAGTGAGGACGCGCCGCAACATCTCTGCTTCTTTTAGTCTCTGAATCTACGTTTGAATTAAGAGTCAGCCCCGGCGTCGCAGCCTGAAACCCGGCTGTCAAAGGAAGCGACAGAAATACCACCCAGGCAGAGGTAAAGAGTTTACAAATGTCTGCAACAGATCACTCTTAAATTACATGTATACTCAACGTACAATTAATCAACGGACAAAGACCTGCGGAGCACTGAGGGGCTTCTCGACGTGCTCTCTCGGTGCTTTGGCAAAGAACTTCCCAACAAAAAGACAAAGTCAAAGAAAAATAAATGCTATTCATGAGGCAACATTGGTTGTTAAGGCTCTACTGTGGCTGTGCTTGCTTAGTATCTATTGATGGATAACTGCATACTGTCAAGTGTGAGTAGAATGAATTGAGGGTTGGGTACTAGGTGGGTGGAGGGTGGCGGTGGTGGTGGTGGGGCGAGGCGGAAGGCACTATGTGGAGTCTTCCGGCTCTGATTTGATGGTCTTCTTCTCTGTGCTGTTGGACACTCGCTGCGACGTCCCGTTTTCTGAGGACAAAGGTCGGAGACAGGATCATCAGCACAGAGTTTAAAAGAAAATCCTCTGGTTTTATTCTCATCTTCAGTCCTCGACATACTCGTCCTCTCCAGAGTGGCTCTAGACAGATTTCGTCAGACGTCACTCACCTGTTGCTGGTGTTTTGGTCTCGTCTGTGTTGTTGCTGTTGTTGTTATGGTTGTGATGGCGCTTCAGCTCATTGGCTAGCTGCTTCCCCAATGGGAGGTCCCCTTCCTGCATGTTCTGGCTAACAACCCGCAAGTTGATTGGTCGCTCCTCTAGAAGAAAGATGCAGACAGAAACAAACAGGATGACTCTGGTTTCGCTGCTTTCTCTCTCTCTCTCCCGTCGTCGAGCTCTTTGGGTCGATTTATTGATCATTAGCTGATAAAATATTCGACTCAAAGACGTTTATCAACAGAGAGAACATAAAGGGAGTGAATTTTCAGAGGGATATGTGCAAACATCCGCCCTGATGTCGCTCCATCACAGGCTTTGTTTAACATGTTCCATATTCCCAGTGGTGACAAAGCCCGTGTTTGTGTGAGTTAAGCTTCTGATCCCTCGTGTTTGTCTTTATTCCCTCTCAGAGAGAAAGAGACAGAGAGAGAGAGAGAGACAGAGAGAGAGACAGAGAGAGGGGGGAGATTCAACTGTATTTCATGCCTCATAGAGAGAGAGACTGTCTCTTTTCTGAATCAGCTGATTTACGACTGTGTTTCCTGTTTTTGACTCCAATAATGTCACATGAGGGGAAGTTAATATCATTTTGTTTTTATATTGTCCACGATCAGATGTCTGTAAGGAGAAATACTGGAAATATCTTGAGTTTATTTCAATCAATCAGGTTTTTTAAAGCCAGAACTGTAAGGATTAACGTCTGAAAACTGAACAGTTTATCTGCAGATTTTAGTCTCAATTTCAATAGAAAATAAAATGATTAGAAAATAAATTCTGAAAGCTCAAAGTCATTTTGATTTAATTAAACCACGAGTCTAAAACACATAAAACAGCTTTAAAGTCACATTTAACAAAAAGCAGGAACAGGGAGCTGCACACTTAAAAAACAAACTTTAGACTTTTTTGGAACCAAAGAAAGAGGAAAAAACAAGCAAGACACAGACGTGGTATTTTTAATCAGTTTGATCTGGAGTTTAGAAAGCTTTCTTGTATATTTTGTCGGTTGTCTCATCATTATTTTTCATCTTTGAGTCTTTGAGTTCATGATAAGCTGCTGTAATTTATTTAAGAATACAATAACATTAAAAAAATCAGGTTATGCTATCTGGACAGCACAGATTCCATTAAAGATATTATTACTCGCTCTGAAAAGGAGAAGTGGGATCTAAAGGATCTACAGGAACCCTGACGAGATGCTCTCATTATTCTGAGCCGGAGAAGGTTCAGGTTTGACTGTTTCATGAAACGTATTTAATGAAACATCAGATAATCAAATCAAAGTGTGTGAAAGCCTCGAATCAGAAGACAGAGTCTAAATGTGGGCGGAGGGGACGTTCCTGCAGGAAGAGACGGATTCAAATAGGAAAATCTGTGATCAGAGAGAGAGAGAGGGGACAGTTAGAGGACGAGAAGAAAAAGAGAAGAAACGACAAATGACAGAAAAGAAGAAAGAACAGAGACAGGAGGAAGGAAAACAGAGAAGGAGTGGGGGAGGACAGAGAGAGGTAGAGAGAGAAAAAGAGAGAGAGAGAGAGACGCCCCCCTCCAGGCAACTGGCTGGAGGTAAACAGGCGTGGGCGTGATAATTACAGGTGCATTGTGGGATTTGTGGGAACAGCGATATAATGAGCTGTCGGGAGTGGGTGAGTGAGGAAAGGGATGAAAATGAGATGAGGCCCTGAGGAGAAGTAAGATCCTGAATAATGATGCATCTCTCTCTCTCTCCCTCTCTCTCTCTCTCTCTCCCCCTCTCTCTCTCTTCTTCCTCCCCTCTGTGTTCGAGGAGTCAGAGATAATAAAATAAAATAAAAAAAACTGACAGCTGCCACGGCTGCAAATTTAGCACCTATAGGTGTTGTTTCCATCCTGTGGCGTTTCTGACATGAAATTAATCCCCTGACGCACTCCGGAGAACATCAAGTCACATTAAACTCAGATTCAGTCTGTTTCCGTAGAAAAAAAAAACAACAATGGGCGACAAATTGGCTGAAACTCTAAACCACCCCTGGATGTTTTCTCTGTGATAGAAACTCGAAGCAGCAGTGAGCTGATCACAGTTTGGCAAAGCAGCTAAAAAATGGGCTCAAACCAACCCCAGAAGAGTGGAATCATGACAGATGAAGGTTGAAATACGTCTTTTTTTTGGTGTTTTGAAGGTTTCTGTGGAGCACCTGTTCTACTAAAGCACCAGTGAAGTAAAAAATCTCGGTAACAAGCATCAGAAGTCGACTCACAAGTTTTGAACTCGTCTTAAAGTTGTGCGTCTTCATCAGGAAATCTAAGAGGACAGTTTCAGGGCTGGACTGACTGACTTACCCTGGTTGTCTCTGCTGGCGTCGGCAGAAGCTCCGTTGGTGTTCTGGACGTCGTTGAGGTACTTTAAGGCGGCCGGAGGGATCCTCCAGTCCAGAGCCTGGAGTCGCTCCTGGACGGCGGCATCCTGCAAGATCTCCATTTGCCGGGCCAGTAGACGCTCCAGCTGCATCTGTAAGAGAAGAAAGGTTTTAGTGAGAAGAGTTTCAGTCTGAGGACCAAAATGAGATGATCTGACTCCAAACAAAGACGAGCAGAAGAAAAGACCGATGCGTTCTACAAAATAACGCACTTCTGTATGAATTCAAGATGTTCCTCTGAAGTGTTTTCATAAACCAGACTTTTAACTCCACTTAGAACAAAAAATGGTCCGTTTGAAGCTCATCCATTCAGCCTGGAGACGCTTCGCTGGAGCTGGAAGGACGTCGTTGAGCGTTAACACGGACGACGACTGACTGACAGTTGACGCCTCACGTTCATAGATATGTGCAGAAATAAAAACATGGAGTGTTTCTTCTTATTGTCAGTCTGTACGTCACTGTCAGCTCAGATTATTATGGGATGCGATTCACGTCGTCACACAGTGAAGCGTCTGATATAAGCGGCGGTTCAGAGGCCCTGCGGTGTGAAAGCAGCCATGAAATCTCTTCTTCTGCTGAATGCGATTTCTGAAAAATCACATCAGGATGACAAGTGTGTCTGCAGCCTATACACACACACACACACACACACATATTTATAAGAGCAGACACATGTTGACATATGAAGAAGTGAAGGAGCACACACACACACACACACACGTGTCACATGAACATGTTTCCTTGGTAATGAGTTATCATGAAGCTCTCCTCCTACACTCGGCTCTAATGAGGAACAAGTCACAGCAGCGGCAGAATCACTGGAAACCAATAAAGATGATTACTGGGATCAAACTGGATCCTGTGTGAAGAACATCTGCTCTCACTCAAATCTGTCAGCGTGTTCGTTGAAGGAAATCCTCCCAGTCTCTTCATTTATTCAATTATTGAAACCACAACCATCTCCGAAGGTGAGTACAAACCTCCATCTTTCAGTACCTGCTATAAATACTGAAATAAAGCTTTTTTTCTTTTTTAAAGGGGGGGTTTAGTGAACATTTGATCTTCTTCTCTCTGTTTACCTGCAGGTTTCTCCCCACTGTTTCTTCTCCTTTTGACTTGGCGCAGGCCAGCTGCTCCCTCAGCATCTCCTGCCTCATGTGGATCGCCTGCAGCGCTTCCTGGATGTCGAAGAAGTTCTCCTGAAGGAGTCAAAAACACAGAGAGACAGACAGCTGGATAAGTTCACTGCCAGCGTGGCACCTTGAATTTTCATGATAGAAAGTTTATATTGTGGTTATTTTTCCAGAAGTGTCTGATTTCCCACCGAGCAGACACTTCAGTTTGGCTCAGTCCACGATTATCGACATGTCCACTGTCAAAACAAAGTTGGGAAACGTTTAAAGGACCAGTTCGTACTTCTCTTCTCCTGCTCTGGTTTGGTTCAGTATCTATAGTTCAGACTATATCGACTCTACTGAATCAATATGAAAGCTCTTGAACTCTGCAGGATTCATTCACACAGAAAAAGGTGTTTCTAAATATATTTAACATGCAATAATGAAAAGATCTCGTCATGAACCAGTGATATTTGCACCAACGTGTAAATGTTGTAGAGTGGGAAGGTCGGGAGTTTCCTGCTTTAATTTTCTTTCTTTTTTTTTCGGTTGGACTGAGCAGGTGTCCGTTTATCTCCAGCTCGTCTTCTCGTCTCAAATCCCTGCAGAGTTTGTTTCCAGCACATGTTCTCGATCACAAACTGAGAGGAACTATTGAGGAGAGGACAGCCGAGGGACCGTTTTGTGCTCTGTTACTGACCGTCTGTTCTGTTTGTTCTGACCAAACACGGCTCGGTTCATTCAACATTAATATCGAGATGTGTAATTTGATCAGATTTACAAAAACCTGATCGAACAGAAGTGATCGAGAGGAAATCTTTATGAGAGCTGTGAAGAAGAGGAGGAGTGTTAACAGCATGAGCAGCATCCGTCCACCGTCACCTCCAGAGCAGAAACATGAATCTGCTGTTGTGTGTCGGACTACAAGGTTCAGGACTGCAGCTGTTTCAGACTGTTATTGACAAACTTACCTCTGTTTTAATCCTTTTAGGCGACGGCTCGTCTCTCTCCCCACAGCGAGACCTGCAACAGGAAACACAGATCAGGACGTTAGAGTTTCTGTCAGCTCCGACTCGATTTCAGAACTTTTGTAGCTCAAGTTGCAAAATCAAACGGAAAAGTTTGGCAGAAAGTGGAGATGTAACAAAGACAGACTCGGCTGAAGCTCTTACTTGCTGGTCCTGTAGGTGTATTTGTAGGTGACTTCTCTGGAAATCTGGCGGGCTAGTCCAAACAACTCGTCTCGACGTGTCAGCAGCGCCATGTCTCTCATACAGAGCTGAGCCGCCGCCTCGTTCACAGTCAGCTGCACATCACAAAGAGTCGGTTAAGATCACAGAAACATCACTGTAGTTACATAAACCTCAGATCTTTGAGGAGAAGTTCATTTTATTTTTATTTTGGACAACCTCATGCAGCGTCAGGTGTTTGCCGTCCCTCCTCTTGGAGTCAAAGCGTCCGTAGATGGCGCTGTATTTACGAATCTCCTCCTCCCTGCGTGGGTCGTCGTCGCTCATTTCAAAGATGTGTCCGATCATCTTTGCCAGTTTCTTGTTGTTCTTCAGCTGCTCTTTGACCTCAGACACGTCTGTCTTAGCGAGTCCAGGAGCCATCCGGTCTACACACTCCAGGACCGACTGGACAGCGGCGGCGTCCAGAGCCTCTAATGCGTCTCTGGGTGATGACGGAGAGCCGAGGTCTGACGGTGATAGGCTGTGTTCGCTGTCGTTGCTGTGGCCCGACCAGAAGCGGGCCTCGCTGCTGCCCTGCAGAGGCGACCCGGCTGACACTTTGTCCCGCGCCACATCCAGCTTCCCGGGGTCGGAGCAGGCGGCGGCCACAGCTTTGGGCATCTTGACGCTGGCGGTATTGGCTCGGTCCTGCCCACTGAGCAGTGTGGGCGAGCCCTCGGGGAGCTTGTAGACAGGGATGCTGCAGACAGGCAGCGACGTCAGCGGCTGGTTGAAGATGGCCGGGTTGGTGACCCAGTCCCGCAGCGCCTTCTGTAGACGGCGTACATGCAGGGGCTTGCTGGCCATGCCAACGAGGGCCATGATTTCCAGGAACTCCTCCTCGCCAGCCTCGCACAGCTGCTGCACGTCGTCGCCGCCCTGCTGGATAAAGGCCTCGTAGTAATAGAGCAGATTCGCCCGCTGCAGGATCCTGTAGAGCTGCAGCTCACCCAGGGTCCTCGGCAACACCGCCGCCATACCTGAAAGAGAAGCACACGTCAACAATCGCCAAAGTTTACCATGAATGTGAGACGAACACGGGTTCACATGAGCTGTTCTCCTGTCCCCGCTCTATCTCACACGTTCTGCACACATGGATCTAGACTGATCAAACCTTCTAATACGAATATTTTCAAAAATGTTGAACTGCTCCTTTAATGCTGAAAAACTTCAAGTCAAGTCCTACAAACATTTGGGAAGCATAAATGTCAGGGAAGTCATTTTCTGACAGCAGAGCCTGAAATCCTCCTGCTGAGCACCAAATGGCGAGAAAAACCCAAATCGTTCCTTTTTTTTAAAAGTCGTACAGAAATCAACACGACGACGCCGACGGCGGCTCTGAAATGATCATATTTGCCTTTTTTTTTAATTTGGCTGAATAAAGTAGCAGCATCTAAACTTCGGTTTCTCCCGCCTGGATGAGAGATTTGGAGCCATGAAAGCAAAAAGACGATCGAGAGTTCATGACTCTGCCAAAAAAGACGAAACTCAAATTGCTGCTTGAGATTTCTTCTGAAGACCTTAAAAACCCGAGACTCATCGGGTTAAAATCATTCAAGATACACTTGATTCTACAAAAAAAAAATTAACCCTTCCCCCTAAAAAGACTTAAAATTGGTCTGTACACATGACTCCAGCAGGGGCATGATTGCAGTTTATCAGGCTGCAGCAGGTGCGTGAAAAGGTTAAATTTGGCGCCTGGATGGACCACTTTTCCATGAAGAGCGCCACGACAGGTGCCTGACATTTTTAGATTGAATGGTACAGGTGGGCTCTTCAGTAATCGGCATGTTTTCAGGTGTTGAAAGTATTCATGCTCGATGTGTGGGATACAGACAAAGACGCGGGCTGAAGACGACAAAGATGCTGCTCACAGAGTTAATGCTGTTCCTCATGCATGCAGAGTGTTGACCGAGTTGTTGCTGTAGTTTGAAGCTCGAATGTGTCGCGGTGAAACACAGAGAACGTGATATTTTGCTGCTTTAGCGTTCAATGCAGCAGAGCAGAATCCATGTATGAATAAACCCTTCCTGGATGTTTGCCTGTTCGCTGCCCTGTCAGCCCGTCAGATCAGTATTCCTCCTCAAAAGCGTCTCTGTCATTCACTCTGCCTCCAATCTCAACCCTCACAAAGAAAAGAGACGCTCAGATCGGTGCCAAAAAAGTGTCACTTGCCACCTTAAACTTGACAGAAAGCTAAAGAGGAGTTGTTGTTTTCTACTCTTCCTATGTGCATGTGAGGCCCTGCGGAGGTTCAGCTAACAGAGGAGTGGCAGTCAGCAGGCCCGGGTTGCTGGGAGGACCACATGCCTCTCTCCACCCCTGCAGGATGTGTAGGTGGTGGGCTCGCCTCGCCCAGAATAGGCCCAGAGAGTCTCAGTGCAGAGAGCCAGGCAGGCCTCGACTCACCCTGACTGAGCCGGGAAAAATGACAAACACCGCCTGTGAGGAGACGATGGCAGAGACGAGCAGATATGTGGGGTTTTATTCCACCTAAAAACACAAATACTACGACGTCGAAAAGAACTACTCCTGCTCCAGCTGATGCTTATTCACTGACCTACAAATCAACCAATCAAAAAACAGCGTGAAACATTTCAGAGGTGAAAGAATAATTAGAGAAGTACTTCTAATGTTGAAGTGTAGTTACGCACCAGAGAGTTTTAATACGATTACAGCGTTAGTTATACATTCAGAGGGTGAAGGTGGACCTGATTCAGACTCTCAGTCCATCTCAAACGGGCTCATGTCCTGAGAGGTCACCAACATTTATGTATCATGTTCATACATTCATGAAAACTCTGATGATTTTGAGTCTATGCCGTGATTTCCACTACAGAGTCCAAAGTTCACGGCCATCCAGATCTGATTCACAACACACTTTACCAACCATCCCCACTCTTTTTGGACGTGGGGTCACAGAATACTTGATTGAAGCGCTCGCTAAATGTTTCACCAGTTGGTAGATGTGTCTGATAATAACAGCGGTCTCCGTTCATTCATACATTCATATCCGCCCTCTGATGTCTGATAATAAACTGGTTTGAGAGCTGCTCCATACAAACGATTCCTCGCCTAAAATATGTCCTTGGCAGTCAGGGTTAGAACTGTCCGAGCTCTACATCCAACCACGGAGACACCGCGCCACAGGTACAGGTACGGCAACACCACTTAGACAAACACAAACATGGTTCATTGTCTTTGTGATGAGATTTTAGCAAAAAATAGAAAGTAAAGCAAACATCCACAGAAACGTCAAATGAGTCAAAAGTACGGTAACGGTCTTCTAAAGTGAACTGACTTCCTTTCTGACTGTAATCCTGTCACTCCAAATGTTGTCTGTGTTACAAAACTGTTGGTTAAGACTCAACAGAGACACTGAGATTCACATGTTGGTTAACTCAACATCTTCAGGGTTTGATGAATAACACAAAGAAGCTTCACAAGAATAGACACTCTAAACAAAACAATACCGGTTTTCTTCAGCTGCAGCCCGGATACAAAAGCACATCCTACAAAGGTTGCCGGTTTTGTCAGCGAAGGTGTTTTCTGCTGTTCTTCACAAAAATGCGTAAATGTGTGAGCTGAATCTTTATTTTTAGCTGCAGTGAGACTCCTCTGTATGAACCGGTGAGGAGGGAGATTGTCCATCATCAGCTGCGGAGACAAGGCTGCGTCTGAAGGGTGAAATAACCGCGGACACTCGAGCTATAAAAGCTCCACACTGAGTTTCTAAAAACAGACACTGGACTCCTTCAGCTCACGTGAGAAGAAGCTCCAATAATGCTCAGTGTGAGTTCAACAGCCGGCTGCAATCGCACTCTGATATCCACCAGCCTGCCATCTTATTCCACTTTACCACAGCAGATGTGTGTGTGTGTGTGTGTGTGTGTGCGCATGAGTGTGCGTGTTTGTGTGTGACAGGCGTCTGTGAATGGCAGGCTGTAATTGAGGTCCTGCTTCACAAAAGCGAGTTTGGCAAGTTCGCCTTTTCACCTGGAGAAGTGAGGCGTGTGCTGGCACAATGGCACCAGTGGCACACACACACACACACACACACACACACACACACGCACACACACAAAGGATGCAGATGTGTAGTTTTCCAGGTGAAGTGCCACGCAGCAGACCAACCTCTCAGATAAGTGAGGAGTGCCTGATTTCACTCTGAATCAGTGTGGAAAAATAATACCGTTGAAATCATCAGCATGACTTTGGAACAATGTGTTCATATATGTGTGTCAGTGTGAGTGTGTGTGTGTGTGTGTGTGTGTGAGGTGTTCTTAGTGCACATATTTGGAACAAACAAGGAGTTCATATTGTTAAAAATAAAATATCCAAAGCAGCTCAGGAACCCTCCTGGACACCATCAGAAAGTGTCCACGCTGCATGAAAACCCAGATTCTGATTGAACTCCCTGAATGATCAGATAGTAAGTTGTCTATTGTTCTGTACAGCAAGGAGCCCACGATGACAATGTCACCTTTCATGTCACTTTGAATCTCTAAAAATGCTCATAAGTCACATTTATGCTCCACAGAAATTACTGTAATTCTGCTTTAAGACACTTTCAATCCTATGCATCCCCCTCATGGTGTTCAAATGAGTTTTTAATTATAAAAGATAAGAAGTTTAATGATCCCCAAAGGGAAATTCAGAGTTAAAATCATTCAATATTCATCATTACAATATTCATCAATACTTTTGGAGCAGATATTAAAAGTTTGACTAAATGTATTCAGAGTTTATAGACATCGTACAGTTTTAAAAGCATATTTCTCTCACATTTAGGATTTTTCTTTGACTTGCTGTCTCTGCAGCAGCTGCAGGTAACGTGCAGGATTGATCCCATGTCTAATTAATAGCGCCTACCTGGTGAGTTTTTGTCCCCCTTTAGTCCGCCCTGGTCCAGATTTCCTTCTTGTTCTTTCTCCGTCTTCCTTATCAACACAAAGCCTGAGTGAGTGACGATGTGTGCAAAAATAAAAAAAAAGAAAACAGCAGGGATCCCCCGCGAGAAACAACGTGCGTAAAAAAAAAACTGAAAATGTAAAACTAAAAAGTGCAGAGACTGGAGGATAATTTCCAAAACACAAAGCAGCCGAAGAGCGCCTGTGTGTGACTGTGCGTGCTCAGACCGAGCGACACTCCGCTCCTCTTCCTCTCTCTCTGGAAACTTTTTCTTTCTTCAGCCGTTGAGAGAAAAAAAAAAGCGCAGAATCGGAGAAAAACGCCGCTGACCTTCGTGCGTCTTTCGGTGCGTCTTTTTCCTCCGAGTGTGTGTTGCGTGTGTGTGCGAGAATGATAAGTGTGTGTGAGTGCGTGTGTGAGTGTGTGTGAGTGTTCGAGTCCTCTCCCAGCGTCTCTCCACTCCCCTGCACTGTTCACAACCATCAAACCAACCGTAGACTCACAGATGAACACTTCCGGTTTGCGTTACAAAATAAAAGCCCCGATAACAAGCTGGATAACAATGGGAACTTGTAGCCCCGATAAAGAGCTGGGTAACAGTGGGAACTTGGGTCAGGTACACTCTGATTAAACTTCGACATGTACACAAACCCAAATAAAAAGAATTATGGTTGAATTCATACTCTCTGTTAAAGCTACAGTGAGAAACTTTCTGTTCATTCGTTAAAACACAGTCTGTGGGTTCAAGTAATCTTTACATGCACGTTCATGTCCACGTTTTAAAGGCCATTTACAACAAAAGAGAGAAAGACAAACAGAGGAAAAGAAAAGACAAACCTCCACTCACAAATTCAAGAATAAGGTCAGTGAGGCTACGTTCACACTGCAGGTCAATTCTGATTTTTTAACCATCTGTGACACAAATCTGATTTTTTCATCTAAGTGTGAACAGCAATTCAGATTTTTTCTAATCTGACCCAGGCCTCTTTTGTATGTGGATATAAAACAGACATGTGAATGCAGTGTGGGCGCTCAGGTCGCGATTATCCGATCTATTTGTCATCAATGTGCGACAAACGTCACTGTTGTTCGACAACACAAACAGGCGCGGAAAGCAATTTGTGCTTTGTGCACACGCGGGTCACTTCACGGATGCATTCCGGTCACATTAGATGCTGCATTCGTTGTCTGGTTCTCAACTGGTCTCACTCTGGGACCCACGTTTTCCCATGGTCCTTTCGACGCGACCCACTTTTATAGAATTCAAACCAAGAACGTTAATTCTTTATTTAAAAAAAATCCTTAAAGACTTTCATCTGTAACATAAGTCCACTTGTTTTATTGAGTACAGTGCGTTTCAGAGCACATGAAGGGAACAACATGAGGACGACAACTACCGAAGCTGCATAAACACAAAATATTGAAAATCGGATAACTATCTTATTAAATATTTACTTTTTTGACCAGCTGTTTGTGACCCATCCAGAATGTGTCCGCAACCCACTTTTGGGTCGGGCCCCACCAGTTGAGAACCACTGGCCTAGATATGATCTGTTTTAAAACATGCTTTGACATCCAGAGAGTTTTGATGCTGCGTATATTTGGTTTTGATCTTTTAGATAATAACTACGGTAAATTTCTGTTTAATTATCACTGGATATTTTGGAGTTTCGGATGTCCCTGTCAATTGTGATCATGGATAAGTGGACTCCTCTGATGTGCAGACCTGCTTTCACCCCATTTTAACGTGCTTTTATTTTGTCACCACACTTCCTTTCTTACCTCGCTCTCATAGCGCTCAGCTTCACGCGGGCAGCAGGATAAAGTGGGATATTCCGCGCGGTTGCCACAGAGCCTCTCTCTCTCTCTCTTTCTCTCTCTCTCTCTCGCCCACGCTGCTCCCTGCGTGACGCAAATCCGCGCGTGGGCGGACACACGGGGCGTGGGAGGCTTTCTGCACGGAATACCAAACACAGGCAGGTTCAACACCCACAGAGACACAGAGACACAGCAGTTTGCGCACTTCATGTTCCAAACTCGATTATTACGGTGGAGATTATTTCATTATTTGATCCCGAACTGTAAATATTGTCAAAAGCAAAAAACTGTAAAGAAATCAGAATTCATCTTTGTGCAGCTGAACAGACACATTTTCAAACACTCCTCTTTATATCTGGTTGTATAAGGTTATATCTATAAGGATATATCTATATCTATATATCTATATAAGGTTATATCTGTTTAAGTATCTCTCCATATTAGAGATGAGTCTTTAAGGTTAAAATATCAGCATAAAAACGTTTGCTCCTGTTTGATCAATAATGTCTGTAAACAGCTGTAACAGGTATCATAAGGATAATCTTTGTGTACAGAGTGTCCTCATTGTATTGTTGGTACATGAACATGCTTTCACCTATATTTCACTATGAATCCATGCAGAACAACACTCCTTTATCTCCTATTTCAGAATGCTTTATTATGTATTTCATTCTGCAGCAACAAACTGTTAACATCTGTCTTGTGAAATATAAAGTATAAAAATGGAAAACATCAGAATATCAGAGTTCGTTTTTGAGCGTTAACCTGAGTATCATTTTGGGGAAACTTTCACTGCCCTACATTTTCTAGAAACTGTGCCAGCGGAGTTCTGCGTGTGAATTGTCTTGAGTGGCGTTGCCGTACCTGTATGTGATGCATCGTCTCCACGGTTGAGCAAACGTAGAGCAAACATTCAGCGGTGGATCAGATGGTTGATTCTCGGTTGGTTGCTCCTGGAAAATCTGGAAAATGTTCAGGGATTAAAAAAAAAACAGTTTGAGTATTGAAGTCTCTTTAAAAGCAGCTTTACGTCCAAGTTTTCACATCTGTGTCTATATTTAAGTTTACATGTGAAAAACTATCAGTGAGATATCTTTAACACAGTAGGGGTTCCATATAAGTATAATTTGTTGACTTTGTTCATGTAAAAGGTTTAGTCTGTATTTTTTAAACATGCATGTCTCAGCTGAATGAGTGAACTCTGGACACAGTGAGATCAAACCAATCATCAGCAGTGAGTGGGTCAATGAAAGCATGTCATGAAAATAAATATCACACAAACACGACTCATATAATCTGTAAATCTGACATCTGAACAGTCACGTGTGGAGTTCAGCGCCGCGCACAAACGTCAGTGAAACAGGCCTGTCAGATTTCAGCATTTAGGAGTCAGCAGCGATGTGACCTGGCATGCAAATGGTTTCCTACACAAAGGAGTGTGTAGCAGGAACTCTCAGAGCTGTGTGTGTGTCATGGGTTTGTTTTTGACTGATCTCCCTGTGAAACTCTTAAGTATAACTGACAGCAGACAGACTGAGAACTGATCCTAGAAAATAAACACGTCAGAATTCATAATCAATAAAATCACTCTGGAGCTCAACAAAACCTTCAATATCATCAATAATGCTGATTACTATATGAGCAAAGACTGATGCAACTTTGAATGCAACTAACCTCATCCACTCCTGTTAGAGGTGCAGAAAGACTGTTATCTCCGCCACTTCTCAGGAGTGGAAAGTTCACAAACAACATTTACTCTCAAAGTTTTTTATGTACCTGTACTTTTTTCATATCAGTACTTTTCTGTCGAAGGTGTTGTACTGAAAAAAATCACCATACAGACTTTTCCATTAAGTGTATGACGGCATGACAGCCAGCTGATGGGACGATATCGACACATTTTAGTGCTCTTTCCACTCCAAACCGTTATCTCTAACCACTGTGACGACTTACACTGTCTCCATGATGACAACTACAACGCAGACCAACGGCACCACACAGATACTGCAGCCAGTGACTCCACCAGGACTGCTTTGTCTGCTGGAGTACAGTACAGTTCTTCTGGTAAAACTAGAAGTCCAATAAATACCATTAAACATGAATAATAACCGTATTCTGTTTAGATTTCACAGCTTGACTTTCTGAATAATCAAAATGAATAAAAACCAATAAGAAGAAGGACAAAGGTCAGAGGTCACAGCCTGAACACTGCACAGAAAGAGGAGAATCAGCCTTCACTGTCACTGAGACAGGCGTGAATATTTCCTCATGAGATGAAGCCGGTGAACGTCGCTCACTCCTGACGCCCTCGGCGCTCAAATCAAATCTCCACACGATCGCTTCCACTCTGTCTGATTCCCCATCAATGAGCTATTTTGGGGAATTAGGCCAGCCGCCACCAGTTTAACCCCCCGGGGACCAAACCAGAGCGACTTCTGTCAAACCGAACCCACCTCCCAAACCTCCTCCCCGCCCTCCAGCCTCCCCCACCATCACACCCTGAGTGCAGCAGACAAAATCTACAAGAAGTACAATTTCCACTCAAATAAAGAGAAAACCAGTATTTGCAGAGAATGTGTGTGTTCTGTGTGTGAGTGTGTGTGTGTGTGTGAGTGTGTGGGGGCGGATGGGGTGGGACAGCTTTCTTTTCAGATCCTCTAATTAATTTCAAAAGGAAACTTAAACAAATGTCCGAGTGAAACTCCAGATTGTACAGCAGGACGATCAAACCGACACTAAAAAGTGAAATAAAATCCCAGAATCAGCTCATCAGAATTTAAAGGAACATTTCACAGTTCTGCATCCTCTCTGTCTTTAAAGTTCATACCAAAGTAGGACTGGGCGATATATATGAGAAATATATGGATATATTTTTGAATGAGATATGGAATTGGACCATATCACATATATAGATATACAGATATTAGATACTGTTGTTGACAGGCTGGTGTTTCTCACAGGACACACTCGTCTGTCTTTACTTTAACTTTGTTTATCAAAGTCAAAAAGAAAGAAAAAGGGGAAATGTTGACTGAGTTCATAGTCTGTCATAATCTTGTGCAGCTGGCTGAAACTGTTAAGAAGGTAAAAAAGACAGATTGGTAATCTCAGAATGATGTTAAAAACATTTTTTTAAACTGAGCACTTCATTTTATTCTGTCTTTATACATGTAAATGCTGCTCTTACTCGAGTTTATCATATTTAATTCTTTTGTAGTGTTCGTTGTTTGCGTCTGTGGATTTTAATCGGCCATTTATAGTTGTCAAAATGTTGATGTTTTTCTCATCTTAATAAATTTATTTCAGAAAAAGATTGGCCTACTTCTCTTTATGGGCTTTTTTATTGAAGATAAGATTTATTTTAGATATATTTCTCATTTAAATGCGCACCTTATGGAGCTACACTTGATCTCACTTTGCGAAAACAATATCAGGATAAATATTGTAGATGGATATTAAGCCTAAATATATCAGGATATGAGTTTTGGTCCATATCGCCCAGCCCTACACCAAAGTGTGTCATGTTGATTTTGGCTGGGAGGGGTCTCCAGTAAACCAAGTCTTTAGCGCTAAGCTAACAGGCTACAGTTTCATATTTGATTATCTCATTCACCTCTCCACAACAAAGCAGATATATAATTTCATAAGCCAATAGCAAGAGGACAGACAGATCTGAGAAAGTTCACAAAATGAGTTTGAAGTTTTTTAACCGTATCAGTATGAAATCTGTGGCTGTGTCACATGACCCGTGTACAACAATCTTCTCTGGTGAATCATGTCTGTCTTACGAGTCTTTCAGGTGAAATTTTCAGTTTCAGATATATGCTCCCGAGTTGAGAAAATGTAGTCTTGCACTGAGAAACTTTTATGCAAATGGTAATGATGTGTTTTCCAAACGCACACATGGAGCAGGTAGGCAGGTAGGATTCCTGACCGCCCACCTTCAGCCTCTAAATCCATGTCTGGCTGCTCCATGTGTGTGTGTGTGTGTGTGTGTGTGTGTGTGTGTGTGTTATTATGCAGATATGACCTTCTTATAGCGCTCTCATGGATCAGCCTCCGAGCAGACGGGGATCAAATCAAATTCTGGAAAAAAAACAAAGAGAGAGAATAAGAAGGAATATCAGTTCGGTATCTCTCTCACTTGACCTTCATCCTCACCCACCTCAATCCTCCCTCACCGACACACAAACACACACACTCACACACAAACACATAATGCCTAACAAGAACCAAACTAGAACAAATTAAGCCGAGAGCGCCAGCAGGAAATAGGATGTCCACCCACACTGTGAGGTGGGTCGACACCCAGGCTGCCTGTTCCCACAAGTCCCAGTTCCCCAGTTTAGAAAATCATACGCCACACAAGACCTTTTTTAAAAGCTCCAGTCACTTCTCGTCTGCGTGGAGAATTTATTTACATGATTGTTTTCACAGAAGACAAAAGTCATCTGGAGTTTAGAGGCCAAAGTTACAGAAAAAGTCCCTTAAATTTACATGAAAGCTGCTCCCTCTCTTTTCAAAGTAACATGCTCCAGTGAAAAATCAGCGTTCGTTTCTGTGCAGCAAAAAGAATGAATATTTATCACTTTCAGAGCCATGTTTCTCCCTCTAGCGCTTTTGTCAGGTTGAATACTCTGAGATCTGTTCAGGAAAGACAAGTTTCCATCAGACTGAGCTGAACTTGGTCTTTTCCCTCCTCAGATGATCAAATATTATCACACCATCATCAACATATTGGGACGCTAGCACTACGAGCTTGTTAGCATACTAATTAAGATTTAGACCTGAACATAGACTGTGCATTAAAACGGATGCTGCAGTTTTCACCGACTAAAGAGTTGGAGCACTGACACATGCACAGCAGCGACCTGGTTGGTAAAGCTGCAGGTCTGACATCACGCTCTTCCCGCCAACCAAAACAGCTAGTTCAGAGGCATGTTGACCTTTTTCAATCCTGTCAATACTCCACTTTCTTGTGCTTTAAACCATTTGGAGCTATAACGCATGGATTCACTTTGGTGGACTTTAATCTTAATGAATAAACTTCTGTGTACAAACTCGTCAAGGATGGAAATTGGTGCGTATTTGCACTTTTGCTTAAAGAAACGAATTCATCCATAAGGAAACAAGTCAAAGCAAAAAGACGATTCGATGAGTTGCAGAAATTGTTGCTCCGAATCCTGAGAAATGAAACTCTCTGACAGGCTGTTTGATCAACCATCATTTTTATTTATTTTCCTGCACAAGTTTGTAAAAAGGAAACAGCTCTAACACCGTCCTGAATAAATATCCAAGTCATTCTCTGCAAAAGCACAAATCCAGTTTCGGGTTTGTTTTGTATTCATCTGATCAGTTTTCTCCCCAAACACCCTCCCCAACCACATCCTTCAATTTAGTCCTAAAAATATTAAAAACCGCCAAGAGCAAGAGTTACAAGGTTTTCATACGACAGCAGCAATCTGCTTTCATGTCGACCTGTCAATCATTCCTAAAGAGTAGGCGTCACTTTTTATTTTTTGTACGTGTGTGTCCTCCCCTCCCTGCCGAAACCTCCGAACAGTGGATGTATCTCATTTGGCAAGGAGCCTCTTCATATTTCACTTTTCAGGAGACGCCTGTTCGTTTAATTTCTGCAGCGGCGTGCCTCTCTCTCTTCTTCTTCTTCTTCTCCTTTTCTCTTTCCCTGCAACTTCTTCTTCTTCCCCCCCAGAGTAGAAACACATTTCAATGACACGCCCACGCCTGGGCCTGTCAGCCCCTCGCCCTGTCAGAACGCCCACGCTGCTCTGCTCCCCTTCTCCCTCCCCTCTGTCTCCTCCCTCCCCTCCCCTCCCCTCGCCTCTCCTCCCCTTCCCACCAACCCACATCCTCAACACTTTGCGCTCTAAAAAAGCAGCTCTTTTCATCCAAGTTCCTCTTTTGCAAGGAGAGGAGAAAAAAAAAAAGAAAAAAAGGAGGAGGAACAACAGAGCGGCATGATTCAGTCTCCAGGCGGTGGTAGTGCTTGTCATGGAGTGTCCCTTTTCATTTGGAGGGAATATGGGTTACAAGATGACTGTGATGCCGAAAAGCAGCAGATAAAAATGTTGAAAAAAAGAGGACTTTGGTGCCTCCTATTGTCGTCTCCACCCAGCGCTGTGATGCCATTTTTGGGTGGCAGACACATTTTAGACGGGTGTGGATGTGACTTCACAGGGAGGGAAAAAAAATGTTGTGAAATCTAAAAAATCTGTCCAGAGAGAAGTCAAAGCAGCCGAGCAGGTTTTTCTTTCTATTAAAGCACATTTTGTTTTATGATGCCGTATGAGGCCACAGCTTGTGTGAATTGAGAGACTTTGTGTGTGTGTGTGTGTGTGTGTGTGTGTGTGTGTGTGTGTGTGTGTGTGTGTGTGTTTGTGTGTGCAGGCTGAAGCCGGTGTGTTTGCACAGGCTCCCTGGTTAGCAGAGTCTTACTTTGTGTCTGTTGAGAAAGTGTGGGATGGTATGAGCGGCTTATGTCTGACTGAACACGTGTGTGCCTGCGTGGGTGGGGAGTGTGTATAGGGGCGATGTGTGTGAGTGTGTGCGTGTGTATGTGTCTTTGCACACAGATTACACTCGTGTGGGCGTTTTGGGCAAGGATGTGTGTGGGTGTAGTGAGCGTAGGCGGAGGTTATGTGACATACAGATAGAGACTGCAGTGTTCCTGCAGTGTGTTTATGTGTGTGTGAAACTTTACTGCAGAGTGTGGACGGCAGAAACAGCTATAGGGGCCCTGCTGCCTGCAAATGTGCCAGCGTGGAAATCTGCTGCCTTCACACTCGTCTACTACGACTTAAGTCGAAATCCCCTGCATGGAGATACAGTCTGGAAATGTGTCAGGTCCAAGAGCTGAAAAGGACGCTTCACGTTCGAGTCCAAGAAAGTTATTCTGTGCTCCTGATGACTTCACTGTAAACAGAGGAGTCTGAGTGAAAGGATCGATTCCACTGTGTAAAAATACTCTGTTACAGGCAAAAGTTAGAGGTGAACTTTATGAATGTGATTATTAAAAGCGCCGTATTTTTCCTACGAGTGTGTTAAAGGAGACGGAAAAAGAAGCATCAGGATTCGTTGCTGGTTACTCTTTCATAAAACAAAAACATTTTTAAGTTTCAACGCTTGAATTGTTCTCATTTGTTATTTTCAAAATAGACTCGAAATGATTCACAAACCACAAAAATCTGCTTTTTCAACATTGAACACAGCATCCAAACCTTTGTGGAAGAGTGGAAGTAAATTTCTGCATAAAAACAGCCTCAGATTTAAAAACACACGTCATCAGACTTTTATATGAAGAATCGACGCCTGCATGTAAATAATGAAATATGCTAATCAGGGTGTTGAACTATTACAGTCATGACACATGTTGACTCATCCTCGTGTAAAGTGGGCTCGACCTGTGACAGGGTGGCCTTGTGGTTAAAAAGACGACAGCGTAAAAAAAAGGGAAAAAGGTTAAACGAAAACCCGACTTTTGTGTTGATGTGTCTTTAAACACGAGTCTGAATCACACCGTTGAGTCAGTGACCATGAGTGAGAATACCAGAAGTTCAGAATGCTTGTGCTGAAAGTGACTATAAGCGCTGAGCAGGTGTGCGATATGTGACAGCGACACACAAACAACTGTCACATCTGTTTTTCCATCGTTATTTTGTGGACTATTTATTTGTTTGTCTCTTGAGTGCTTTGAATATAGGCATCTATAAATAAAAAGCATTATTATTATTATCATTATGATTATTATTATCCTTTTGAAAGCCCTTTCTGCTACGGACTACACCAAAACAAGGAAAACCTTAGCTAACATTTCGACAACAAAGTAAAGGGATGAGAAGTGACTAAATTCAGGGATTTAAAGACAAAGACGTGTCAGGATGTTAAAAAATGTGCATCATGATGTGCAAAACATCAAATAGGACAAATATCATGTTTTCGATATGAGAAAAATGAGAATCAGTCGAGAATAAGCAGAAGAAACGGAACTTTTACGCCTTTTTAGATTTGGTGTCTTATCTCTTTCACAGACACTGAAAGGTCACTTGAAGCAGAAATCTTTGTGCAGCACAGCAGTGGGTTCAGAAACACAGCCAGGCGTTATTAATGTGGTGCAGTTGTTCCTGGTCTTTAAATGCTAAGTGCTGCACCTTTAAAGCTTCAGTGTGAAACCCTGCTCGTCCCTGCTGACAGGCCGTGGGCTGACGTGGAGGGGATTTGCCCATTTTGGCCACGTATGGGCCTCAGCGACCCTCGCCGCCCACGGCATCCTCACACTGAGAGTGCTGCTGACGTCTGACATGTCTGCTATCTGCAGGCGGAGGCTGACGCTCCCTCGCCACGACCACACACTGCAGTCAGAGAGAAACCGACGGCCTTCAATTAGGCGTGTGAGACAAAAACGCCTCAACTTTCACTGATGTGAGCGTGTGATTAACCTGTTCGGCGTCTTAATTTTGGGCTGCTTCAGAAAGGTCACAGCTGCTATCAGATTGTCGTCAAACCTCCTGGACTGACAGGCTGATATGTGACAAAAGATGAACACTAACAGGGGAAAAAACCCTCACAGGAGACGCAGAGAGGAGAAGCAAAACTGGAAGAAAAATGATGAAACAATACGAGCTCAGGGTGTGAGCAAAGTTGAGGCAAGCTTTGAAGTGAAGCCACACATTTTGCATGATTATTGCTGTTAAGTTTTTGATCTTGAGCCAGCAGGCACGAAAAACAACAGCAGCTTGGGATTAGTCTCCCCCCCACTCACACGCCTACCTTTGCCAGCATAAGTCCCTGACTCAATTAGAAAAAAACCTCTGCAACTTAGGGCTCCTCACGCACAAGTACCCACATCGCCCTGCCCACGTCCCTGCAGCACATCACTACCAGCATCACTTTAATCACACTGCACAATGAATGCACAGGGATTTGTCTTGGTGACATTAATGCGGAGACGTGCCGACAAATAATGTACACATTGATATGACAGCAAAGAGACGACAGGGCTGAACACACAGAGGACATAAAAGTTTATCTGTCATTAATTAAATATCAGATATCATCCGGAGAGGAAACTGTCTGCACTGAGATTCATAAAAGAGTGACGAGAAAATCAGCCATCACCGATTCTTTCTGCACTAAATACTGGATCACTGAACTGGTCAGCCATGTTTGACTCTCTCACACCAACCAAAACCAATGCAAAACAGAGGAAACTATTGCTTACATTAACAGATTCACCTCAGGATGCCAGAAGGATTGTTGCCAAAGCGGCACACCTGTATCCTCCTGCAGATAAATCGATAAATAGAAGTGGTTTTGTCCTAAAAGTTTTGTCCTTTTTCTGTTACCAAACTACAAACTGAGCCATCAAGTCCTCTCCAAAGAAAACCCTCCTCAGATCTGCTCGCTGCCTTGTGGTCCTGCCAGCAGTGGAGGTGTAGACGGTAACTGAAGTTCCTCCAGGTGATAAATCTCAGATTTAGTGAGTTAAATTTAAATGTCCTTACTGTGGGCGATCAGTGAGTTTAATCTGATCTTTGCTCTGGACAACAGCATCCAATAAATGCAAAAAAAAAATGTAAATGTGCTGAGTGTTTGTTGGAAAATGATGTGGGTGAAACTGTAAAGTTGTTTTTGTACTCCAGATCAGAGGGTCGGCTACGAGCAAACAACCAAACTACAAATTTAAAGTGTTTACGGTTGTCCAGAAACTGACGCTCATTATGGAAGGAAACCTCTTTAAAGATGTTTATGACATGCTTTTTATTCCACAAATAAAACTGAACTCTAGATCATTTTTAAAAAGTCCTGCAATGACAACAAGAAAGAACTATCAAGTCACAGTTTTGCTGCTTGAACTCTGTTTTTCAGACGGCCATCACTGAAGAACTGCGCTGAGCCCGATTTGTGAGGTCCTGGTGCTTAAAGCCACAGTGAGGAGTTTTAGGCTGGTTGTGAAATGATTGAAAGTGATACTAGCGTCCATACCTGCCAACACACTCAGACCTATCTGTCTCCCGTATTGTCATTTCTCCCGTTGTTTGATGGTCCACATTCATTCATGAATCGTTCACTAAATTTGTCCAAAGTTGTCAGACAACCAAAGTTCTTACAGTTTGGAATGATTCAGGTCGGTGTAAGGTGTAAACTATATTTAAGCAAAATTAACACTAAAAATAAAAGGGAAACAAACGTGAGATAGAATATTTACGTTGAGAGTCTTGCACCGTCTGGGAGTGATGCATTCAGGGCAGCCTCAGATAAAACAGTGCTGTATTTCACACACAGATGTTCAGAGAGCCTCATACTGGAGAGAGCATGTAAAACATATGAAGAATTTAATACTAATATTAGTGGACTAAATAAGTTCAAGGCATATCGTAGCTATTATTTTTTTTTATTACCATTTGTTATTATTAAAACAAAAAAGTGTGCAGCTTCACTTAGACTTCTTTGGATGAGCAATTTAATTACAAATACTCATAATTACCTCATATCCACCATACAAGGTAACTCTAAAAACGGCGCGCGCTGCAAAAATCTCCCAGATTTTATAACCCAGATGTTTGCAGGTATACTGGCGCCCCTTTGTGACCAAGAAAAGCTTTAAATGGGACCATCAAACTGTTGTCAAAAACAGCTGTAATTGCACGTGCACGTGGATCCACAAACATGATGATTGATCTGTGGGCTGATTTCAAAAGTTCAGGTTTCCAAATCGCACTTTTTTTCTCGGAGCAGCTAAAATTAAAGTTTGTATCATTTTCAACATCCACTGATTCACTAACTGATGTATCTATGACTACTATCAAAGCTCATCATCAGTTAGTGTGCTTGCTCTTACCTGTAGTGTTACCATAGCAACAGCTGCAGACAGGTTAACGACGCCTGAGCACGTCGTCCTGACCCAGCAGATAACAGAGTGGACCATCAAACCTGATGATAACAGATGGGATAAAAACGAGATCAGGTCCAGAATGAAGCGGATCGACAGTCTCAGAGTGTTCGCTCATGTTTACCTCTTTGACTGTTGATTACACATCGCTCTGAAAAAGAGCATCAGCCGCTGGAAATCCTGTACTCAGACACGGCTCCATTACCACACGGCCTTCATCCATATAGTAGATTTATCCTCTCTTTTCTTGGGCTTGTTTGTCGAGTTCTTTTACACCTGAGAGCTGTGACAGATGATTACATTAATGACATCAGATCAATGAGCACATCTGTAACATTATTTATCTCCCTGTAGGTAAGTGACTCGACCAGAATCATGAAGAATTTAGAGATATAAAAAAGTGCAGTTTAGCTTTGAATCTTTGAAGCGCTGAAAAATGTTTGTTCTTTCACTCAGAGGAAACAATGAAAACGGAAAGTGTGTGAATCATCAGGAAAATGTAAATAAATGCAGAGGACTTCACATGTGCTTTATCTCACTGTCTTCAGATTCTGTGCACATTTGTTAACCTTTAGATATAAATATATAATTAAATCTGTTTTTAAAAGCCTAAAAAGTGAACTTTGATTGAGTAAAAACACGATTTATTTATTCCACCAATCAAACTTTACGAACAATCTTACCCTCTTGTCCTATCACATCACCTCCCTCGCTCTCACTCTCACCTTATTGGCTGTTGTTCATTGTTATAATAAAGCTCTGCTCTCTGCTTTCAGTGACTTTAAGATGTCAGCTGAAAGCTTTCAGATGTAAAGTTCAGGGCCCTGCTGGTTGCGGGGGCCGGAGGAGGCCCTGAGCTGGGGTGGGGCTGGACTGGGGCCGGCCTGCTGGGCTGTTGGGCTCTCGGCCGCCCACGGAGAGGCCTGGCTGGGTGGGCGTCATCTATGGAGCGATTGATCCCAGCCGAGACAATAAGTCTCCCTGTTGTCCTGCTGGACCAGCGGCAGCAGAAAAAAGACAGATCAGAGTCACTGAAACAGATACTTTTATACTAGATTACACCAATACTACTCTAATACTACTCTAATACTACACTAATACTACACTAATACTACAACAACGCTGTTTAAAATTACTGCTACAGCTTTAAAGTAGAGCCAGCAATTATCGAGTGCAACGTTTCAAAACAACGACAACTTGACCTTCATCTATTGAAGAATAACACACTGATTATCCAGCTGGGACTGATCTTGTTTGTTTTTTTCTGACTATACTTCCTGTATCTCTGAGACAACTCAAATACGCTTCATCTTAATAAAGGCGATAAGAGTTTACCTCAATATGTGTGACATAAGTGTAGAAAAGTTCTCTGTAAATACGTGTATCATACGGCCGTAAACAGAGTCCGAGAACTTTCCATTAATAAGCAGTAGTGTGTGAGACAATGGTGTAAAACGTTGAAGAGAAAAAAAGCGAGGCACAGAAGTTAAAGTTTGTGAAGAGCGCTGTAGTACGACTCTGGTATCACGCCAGTCTTTGTCCTTTGAAGTCCAGCAGCCGTGGCGGGGAGGCGGCGGCTGCTGTGGGCTCACTGTGGAGGAGTTAGCCTGGAGAGGGGGAAAGGTCACAGATAGAGAGCACACATCTTTTACACTTTGACTGACTGAGCTGGTTATCAGCTGCTGAGAGGAAAGAAGAGTACCTGGAGTTTTCATTGGCGTAGGTTTTCAGGCATTGAGGGAGTTAGGAAAGTTTGGGATCTGGAAACTGTAAAACAAACAGTTTCTACTGCAAACAACGAAATCACGATGTTACAAAATCAAACTCAGTGTTGTCATCAAAGTTCACAGTTTTACTTCTTCTGTATCCGAAAAAGTTTTTTTCTTCTTCACTGAAGAGATTCATCGCCAACACGCACAGACGAAGGAGCTGAAACACGAGAAGAGATCGAACGCAGTTTGAGCATTCGACACACGACACGTTCCACTTTTTAGGACTCATGTTTCTTTGTGTTTATGAACCTACCTTTGAAATTTTCCATTTAATGAGAAACATGATTTCTCTGCTGATTCATAGTTTGTAATTCAATCATCTTTCAGTCGAACGACCCTGAGCACCCAGAGCTTCAGCGATGGGAAGAATCAGATAACTTTTTCTTAAACCACAAAAATCCAGAGTATAGCAGTAAACTTTTTTAGGAAGGAAACATATTTTCTCACATTTTTCATTTATGCCCCTAGAAATTTTCTTAAGTAGATTATTACTTGAGAAAAACAGTTTTCAGTCCATGCAGTGTAAATATCACCTGTCTTTTGTTTCTGATGATCCTCCTGTTGACAGCAGCGGTCCGTCCCCTCGTCTGTCGGAGGCCCCAGATGTTGGTGCGTCTGGGAAACAGAGATTTTGCTGTAATTAGTGACACTTCACTTTGTAGAGCTGTATCCTCTGCTTTCTCATCTCATGGTAATTATCCTCATAATCCATCATTAAGCACATCATAGACCTACACTGCTGCTCGGAGTCAGTCTGCTCTCATTGATTTTTAATGATTAATAATGCATGTCCATTATAGGCTCACTGTCTGCGCCCTCTCATCTACATTATGAGGGTGTTTTTACAGCAGATACCAGCTCTTAATGTCATGAAGAGGTTGTTGTCTTGTTTGTGGTTTTTATTGATTTGATGTAATCCTCTGCCATCTCATATCAACTTATCTCTAATCCTTCCTCTAGATCATATGAAAGGAGTCAATAAAAGTAAAAGTGCTCCGCCTAAAATCACTAATCTGTGCTGAAGAGAAACACCACCAGCCTGCAGCGCTACACACTGGGGTAACCTCCCGTTCTGCTCAGACTCCTTTTGCATTTTTCAGAATCACATTTGGCTGCTGAGACGCTGAGGCAAATATTTGGAAGGCACAAACCATTGTGGCCGGTGGATGAAAATGTTAATTTCCTCCCTTGATAATGATGCATGTCGTTTTTCTAAATGTGATTATAGAAACAGAATGGTGTGTAACACGCCTGTAATGTGCTTAAGATGTTTTAAAACACATTTTCATGCCTGCGCACTGAGGGATGTGAAAGACCCCAAAGAAACCTTGAAGGTTTTACTGAACAAAACCGTAGGGGGACCCGGGACGGTTCCCTGAGGAACCCCAGGATTAGGAATTTATGAAAACACTACGGTAATATTTGGTGTTTGTGATATCAAAGAGCTCCCGCAAGGAAAGAAATGATCAGCTGGGATTGGTTGGAAGACTTAAACTAACATTTAAGTCTCTCCTGTGTTTTACAGAAATAAACTCACCTGTAATCATGTCCTGAGTGGTTCCAACCTCTGAATCATAATCTCTACAGCGTGGCCTCCCTCCAAACTCTGCCCCGCACTGAAACAGATATCAACCGTTAATGAAGCTCATAAAATCAGGTCAATGTCCACTGATACACAAACAGGGCAGAGTTTTTCCTGACAGGTAACGTTACAGCTTCCTCACTTTTCCTGTGTAAACAGAGGCAGGCTGTATGAATGCAGCCAGTGGGGTGATGCTAGACCGGCCATGACAGCTGTCTGCTCCGATATATCTTAGTCTGCTGCACCCGCTTCACACTGCAGGGCTTTTCTCTGCACACTGATACTGTTAACACTACTGGAAAACCAAAACCAAAGACACATTTCCAAGGTGACGGTGGACTTAAACACATTTCTTTTATGATTCAAGAGAAGATTTGAGCGATAACCCTCAAACACAACCAAAGGTATCTTGTCCAATTCTGCACAAAAGAAACCCTAAAGCGGTGTCGACTCTGTAGGAGCGCTTCACTGGAAATGCTTTGTTGAAACATGCAGCCTGTTGTGTTTTTAATCATCATTTGTGTTTCAAAATAGTGACAGATAATTCCTCAACCCAAAAACAGAGTAAGAGGCATGCAGCCGTTCAGTCTGAAGCATCCTGCCAATAACATGACTCTCTGTAATCTTTAGTCTGACTCAGATTTGACTCAGGTGGTCTCGATTGTGGTCGTGCAGGAGGTCGAAGCGAAGTTGTCTGGTGGGGATTTCTAAAACCGAGTCAGGCTCATCTTTAACTCGTGACCTGTTCTGCTGCAGCTCTGTTGCACTTTGCAGTTTAGTCGGTTGGCTCGGCGGTCTCCAGCAGTTCTCCTTGCAGGGCAAAGAGTCTGCAGGTTTCTGTTTTAGAAGAATAGAGACTGAAGCTGCTTTCGATAAAAACTCAGACAGCCCTGACGGCAAAAACAAAACATGTTGGTAGTCTGGGGCTTTGGCTCAGGTTTCGGTATTTTATCTGAAGATTTTACAAAGAAATTCTGATTCTGAATTGAAGCTCATTTTAGATTTTGGATGTTTTCTGTCAGGTTTCTACTCCTGAATCCTGAAGGAGCGTACTTCTCAAACTCGGGAGTCCAGATCCATCCAAGGGGTCTAAAGAAGACAAAAGTGCTCAACTCAAATTATTTTTTTGGACAATCTCTTGTTTCAGTTTTTCTCTCCGTCTGTCATGAAAAGATAGAAGAAGAAAAACAGGAAATAGACTGTAACTCCTGACAAGTGCACTGACATTGAAATCCATAAAAAATTAACTTTTTGGATTTTTGAGGTTTTTGTTTCAACAGCGGAGAATTCGAATGTGTATGAATCAGACCAACACAAGGTGACTTTATACTGTGAACAAAGCTTCTCTATCTCAGTCAATGAAGGCTTTAAAACTGGGGTTACTCAGCTCTCCAACCACGAAAACAAACTCTGGCCTTGTAACGGACAAAGGAACTTGATGAATCATTCCCTGAAAGAAGTTTTCCATTTCCAGGAGATGTTTAAAATTAAAGTAAATTTTTCCATTTTTTGAAACCAAAGACACTTCAGTCATGTGAAATCCTGCATGATGCTGCGTCTGACCACAAAATCAATCAAAGAGAACATCAGTCACTAACGTCAAACATGAGACACGAGTTGTTTGGGAAATCTGAAGTTTTATTTCCAGAAACGGATTTCTTTAGTGTCTCTGTTTGCTCCCTGATGTGTTTCAGGTTAATATGAACACCTTGCTCTGGCTCAGAAAGGTCCCTGATCTCGATCTCAGGAGGACACAAAGAGCCGTCATCACCTTGACTCAACAGATCCTGCCAAGTCGCTTCCTCAGGGCGGCTGGCTCTCCTCTCTGTCACGGCACAGCGAGGGAAAAAAGAGCTAAAAATAGCCTCAGGTTGTATCTGGGCAGCAGCTGGTCGAGAACAAATGATTAGCTTTGTGTTTGTGCTTCTTTAATATTGATGCAGTTTTCAAAACAGGCTCTGGATGAGGCATTTGTATTTGGATTATTGCAGAAATGAGACATCAGATCTGAATCCTCTTGATGCTCAGGTGGATAAAGAGGACATCAGCTTTGCATGACTGGGACAAAAGAAATAAAACTTCAGAGGAAAAGGAAAGAGCGTGCCAAGAAGCCTAGACTCTGAGAAATCATCTCAAACGCTTCAATTTTCATGCAAAAATGAATCACAATCGAAAGCACTTCTCACTCACTCATTTGGTATTTTTGAGATTTTAAGTCGGCCCGTGTCAGAAAAGTCCCACCTGATGAGTCTACAATCGTCATCTGCCTCTTCATCTTTCCTGCCAGAATGCCCACGAGCAAGGCAGAGAAATGATTACCATGTACAGCTCTATTTACTCCAGTAATTGGTAGCGTCTGCAGGTCAGACTCTGCAGTAATTCCCTACTACTGTCTGAGATGTGTCAGTGAATGAGGAGCGCTGTCTCTGCGTGACCCCGTGTGTCATTTAAATTAAAATGTGTAGCATTGTTCAGCCGCTCGCGGTCATGACACCATCGCAGGAAACATTATTACACTGTTCATTATCAAGAACCACGCAGGACCAAACACCAACAGCATCAACAGCAGAGGGGCTGGTGATATTTCTCCACGCATATCAGACAGGCTGAGTGTGCCAAGACACTTTTGATTTCATTATTTTTATTATTTCTTTTTTACGACAGCACATAGTCTAGTTTTTGAGGAAGCCTATTACTGTCCTCCCACACACACCCATCAGTAGCAGGCGCACCACGACCTCAATAACCCCACGCACACACAGAGAGACCAGTTTAGTCCATTTAAGGCTGTAAAAATACTCAGACTCAGAACGCTACTGCCATCAAGTGGCTGATTTTACACACAACACCTGCAGTAAAGCCTCCTGATGCTCCAACACAAGCTTCAGACCGCTTATAATAAAACAGCATTTCACACAATAAAAACGTAATTTTCCAGCCCTGCATGTTAATCTTTCTGCTGTAAAGTCACCAACTGAAACTTTAAAAGAGAAGATTGCCAATGCTCTTGGGTGGAACTTGGCTTGTGTTGATTTTGACGCCTCCTGTGGACAAAATCATACAATCAATTTTTGTGTAACAATGATTTTTCACTAAAAACCTTAACCTGGTTGCTATGTACAGTTAAATGCACGTATTGATGCTTCTTTGCTCTAAAAAAATTTACAAATCCCGCTTCAGTTTTGCTTTGTTTTCTTTCTTTGCCTCAGCTGACTGAGTTTTAATCTTTTCTCTAAAGACAGTCCACACACAGAGAGATAGAAAGCTGGGTCTGAGGTATATTTGTGAGATTTATTGAATATTTTGAAGTTTAAATACACTGATAATGCTTTAGAAAAAAAAAACACAGGCTGAAAAACCTCCATGAATCTCATTGTTGTTTACACTTTTTCTAAAATGATTTTAATTCCTGTAAACAGATTTTCTAGTTCTATTTCTGAAGGTTTCTCTGCCCAGAAGACACAAACAAACACTGAATACTGGGAATCATTTGGCATGAAAAGAAGACAGTAAATATAGCGTGTCGATTATTGGCAGCTTTGATACAAAAATATTGGAACCAGGCTTTGAAAAGAGCCTCAGTTTGTTGTGTTGATTATATTCATGTAGGAGGAGAGTAAAGGGTCTTTGCATTGTAAGAAGTTAAAAGATTAATGTTAAAGGAGGCACGTCTTCATCGCCGCTACTTCAGTGTTCTGTTAAAACACACAAAATTTAACTTTCGTGAGGAGGAAGGGACAAATTCTGCACACAAGGGGAAAAGGAGCAACAATTTCAAGTTAATACTAAATATTTGAAATAAGTTCGATAAGAAAATCTCATCACAGTGTCTCTGAACAGCTCCCTCCCTCTGGAGCTTTCAACCATTAACACCACCGAGGAAGTCTCGCTCCTCCACGAGGCGAAGAACACTTCAAACTTCACGCTCCTTAAGGCTTCTGGACTGCCGTTTACACCGTAAACAACCGCAGACAGTCTCAGTCGTTTTTAAAATGTCACTAAATCTAAAAGGCTTTTAAGACTTCTTTAAAACCAGTTCATTTAACACCAGCTTCAGTCCCACAGTGTTGATGTCAGACAGGAAACTAGCGCTGAAACAAACCCTCCCAATGATATTTCTCCAAACTACGATGCTACATTAGATGGATCCTCCATAAATCCATGACTTCAAGTTCTTCTGAACCAAGAATGACTGATTTCAACTCCACTAAAATGAATTCAACTGCCAACTTTTGCTCGAAAGGAGAAAATGCCATTCTCTAAACGATGAGCTGATCAAAGCTACCGCTAAAACTATTTTCTACTACAACTACTTCACAATAAAAGCCCTTATCAATCAAAAATGAGTAGGAGACTCTGGAGATCTAAAACGTTTTTAAAAGTGTCAGAAAAAGACACTAAAATGTTTCTGAAACTGTTGTAAAACTGGTTAGACACACGGGCAGCCAGTTTTGACAGCAGCTGTTGTTTTTCTTTTTTTTAAGCTGTACATGTTAGGAATCAAAGTGCTAAATTAAACCACCGTTTTGTCAGTACTCATCACTTTTCATAAGTAAATTAAATAATAACTTAACAAGAGGCACAAGTTTTTATACATCTGAAGGATTTCCTTCACACTTCACCGGTGAAAGGCAGTAAATATAGTGCACAGTGCTCCGAGGTCAGTTACACTCAACCACCTCTTAAGGTAAAAACGCCACCAAACACACCTCCAGGTTGTTTGTCCCCATGTCCATCCCAGACTCCCCTTTTGAAACACATCCATTCATACAAACCACCAGTCTCTGAAAAGTGAGTTACAGTATTTCTAAAGTGATTTTGGAGAATCTTTTAAGGATTATATGCGAGTGTATTTTCACACTGATTAAATTTAAGCTGTGTTTTATAAAGGTTCTGACCTTCATCAGACTGTAACTCAGACTTTATGACTGTATTTGAGGAAAAAACATCTTGTTATGATCTGTGCAGTAATAAAAGCCCACAGAGTGTACATTAAATAGCTTTCAAATTCAACAGTCACGTTGTGTTTTCGGCAGTAAAAGCTGGGTTTTCTTGAGGCCCTCCTCCGTCTGGAGGTGGCTGTGTTTGGTCTTTGTCTTTGTCAGAGTCTGAGGGTGGTGCTGGTTGGGTGGTGTTTGGTTGTGTGGGAGTTTCTGAGTTGCCTGGTGGATCTGTGCCGTCACTGCTCGGGTTTCTGTTTGACGTGCCCACTTCATTGTGCTCCGCCTGCTCCTTAGGTACCTGGCAACAAAAATAAACAAACAGTCATAGCAGTCGTTCGCTGAGATTTTGCGGCTGCATCAAAACTTTGACCCCAACAAGCAGAAAAGGGTTTTAGACTTTATCTAAAATGACTGACTGACCTTAATCTAGGCAAAGACAAAGAGCTAGCTCTGCTGACTGTCTAGCTGGATGTAATCAATCAATCAATCAATCAATCAACTTTATTTCTAAAGCACATTTAAAAGAAAAAAGTGCTGTACATTGTGACATAAAAACAAATAAAACAAGCAAAGAACAAGATAGAGCGAGCAAAAATACAAACATGCAGTAAATAAATATATCAGCAGGCTCACGGTAAGTTAAGTTAAAGCTACATGTTAGCCTCTTTTAGCTACATCATCCTGAAGGCTAACTCCTCTAAAAAAAAAAACTGACTTAAATTAAAAAACAGCAAACCTCCCTGATGTCTGCACTAATCTGCCTCATCTGAAATCTTCAGCACTTCAACCAACATGGCCGCCAGAGGGAGCGAGGGAGGGAGGGAGGGAGGGAGGAGTGGGCGGGGATGACATCAGCAGGGTAGTATTTCATTCAGGCAGGCCATGCAGCCACACGACGTCATGAAAACGGGCGTGGGAAGTTTGCGAAGCGCACAGACACATATGCATGCATGAACACGCCCACATACCACGAACACACTTCACACACAGGTATAGATGAGTCACCACATGCTTCAACATACACGCAGATGAAGCCCTGGACACCCCCACGCACACACACACACATACACACACATACACACACACGCGGTAGTTTTCCATTGACCTTTGCACACACAAACGTCTCACCTTTCTTTAGTGCGTGTGTGTGAGCAGCAGGTTAGAGGAGGAAGTGATGAAAAGTTCATGTTAGTGAAAGTTAGGTAACATTTCATCAGTCAGATAAATTAAATGAAATACCAGAACAATCCGAGGGACCAGACTGTGTATATTAGAGTCATATAAACATTCTGGTGTCTCGACTGCATAAACTGGAAATAAGTAGAGCGCCATTTTTCAAAGCTGATTTTACTTCAAGTTTAAGTCTTTGTTTTTGTCAACATCTCTTTACTCGATGTTAGAAAACGACCCGCACAGAAGATCAACTCTGTCTGCTAATGACCTTTTTCAATCCCCTGTTTTGAATCTTATGTGAACTTACCTGCAGTGGTCGATTCTCAGGTGGAGGTCCACTCCCCTTCGACAAGTTCATCATCTCTCTGATTTGGAAGATAGCGAAAGCCACGGTGACCCAGGGGGCGCCAGAGAGCACCCAGGCCGGCCTGCTCACGTCCTCCTGCTCCTCCTGGTGTTTGGTCTTCAAGATGGGCTGTACGGCGGCCTGGCGAGATGGGATGGGGCTTCCGACGCCATTCTGGCTCTGCACCAGGTCGATGGTGGCGATGGGAACCGGGCTGGAGGGGACCGGGATGTTCTCTGCCAATATTTTGTCCTCTGAAGAAGAAGAGGACGAAAAAACAGAAGACATGTTGCACTGAAACTTGTTGAACTGATTTTTTATGAAGGAACTTTTTTTTTCTAATTTGTATTATACTTGCACTCCACTTTTGTAAAGACAAAGACATGTACCTCATTTGGACACACTTTGGTGAACATTTATTCTGTATTTTAGTCTGAGATGAAGATCTTTCTTCACTTTTTTAAACAGAAAAACTGGGCTTTAATGAAAGAAGTGTTTCCCACCTTTCCCTTCAGTCTCTCCAGTCAGACACTGGATGAAGGAGAAGATGAGGAGGATGACGAGGGACGCCATGCCAATTCCTCTAAACGTCGCTGCAGCACCTGTGAAGAAAAAAAACGTGTCGACAAGTTTAAAACTGAAAAAACTTTTATTATCAAATCAAACTTGATCTGAAGCTGAAATGATCTGCTTTCGGTTTGTCAGAACACACACTGCAGTTTCCTGTCAACAAAATAAAAGCCTGAAAAAGATTTGGTCATAATCTGGTCGTACCAAAGAAGTTGACAAAGACTCCTCCCACCATGGCGCCGCAGCCTCGGCCCAGCCCGAGGTGAAGGCCCTGCAGGATCCCCTGCGCTGACGTCCTCAGAGCTGGAGGGACCGCCGCACTCAGGTAGGAGATACAGGCTGCCCAAACTGAGGCATGAGTCACACCTGGAGGACACACAGTGACGACAAGGGTCAGAGGTAACTCCGTGTTGACAGCGGTTTGAATGTGTCTCATCACACCGTCGAAGTGCGTCAGTTTTTTCCTGTTAGACTTCATTTTAGCAGGTTGGCTTCACGCATTATTTGGAGTATTTCTCAGAACTGCAGTTATTCTTTGACGTCTTAGTTTCACTTTAAATGACAGGAGAACACAACAAGAGGTTTAAGCACGACAAATACTTCTGACTAAAATGTCACTGAAACATGTTTTACACAGTTTGTCCACCAGGGAGCACTGAAATACAGATTTTTATTTAACATGTCCTCTTTACTTTAACATTTTCATCATCAGATTTTAAAGGATTCTGATGATTAAAAAGTTAAAGTAAAGAGGACATGTTAAATACAAATCTGTATTTCAGTGCTCTCTGGTGGACAAACTGTGTAAAACAGATGTTTCAGTGACATTTTAGTCAGAAGTATTTGTTGTGCTTAAACCTCTTGTTGTGTTTTCCTGTCAAAGAATAACTGCAGTTCTGAGAAATACTCCAACCTGCTAAAATGAAGTCTAACAGGAAAAAACTGACGCACTTCGACGGTGTGAGCAGACAATCTCAAATCAACACCAGCGGGGAAAAAATAGTTTGGTTAGAATTAGAGACCGCGATCATTTTGCAAACCAAACAGCCTTCCTGTTTGGAGAGTTGGAGACATTTTCAGCCGCCACACTTTATCAGAACGCTGAAGATATAACAGATGAAATCACTGGTCAGAGTTCTTCCTGATATTCTCTGTTATCAGCTCAGACTGGGCTCAGTTTTAGACTTTTGATTGTTTCAAGCCGAGTTTCACAGTCAAAACACTCCCTGAAACATTGAACTTGTTTTCACTTGTTTATTCTGTGAGGCCGCAGCGTTTCCTCAGGGCGGACGTCTCAAACAAACCGTCCATAATTCTAGAGTTCCAAATTCATCTCTTCAGAGCTTATCGTCCACTGGTTTTCTTTAAGTCGTGTCTTATTCTTGTTTTAAATGAGTCTCCACGTAAATCCAATTCTGAGTCCTCCAGTTCGTGGAGGTAAACTCAAGTAAAGGGTCCTAAAAGTACATGTCAAAAGTTCTCTGTCAGGAGTAAAACCTTCAGTTTCAAAAATCGAATTCACTTCAATAACAAACAAACAACAAAAAAAGGTTCCTCTGTCGCTGTTCTGCTGATATGTATGAAAAACCTGACAAATCTGATTATTTTGTGTCAGAGAAGTTCCCAGATGTTTGTTGAATCTTGCAGTTTCTGATTCATACACAGTGCTACACGCTTTTTAAAACAAAGGCTTTTAAAGACATTATCAAATCCAAAAAGACCAAATCATTTCTGTGGCTTAAAAGCTTTTTTACTCGTCTTATTCTTTGCCCCATTCTTTGACTCAGTCCTCCCTGTTTTCTTTATCTCAAAGCCAAATTTCCTTTCACTTGCATGTTTTCACTTTCCTTTCCTTCACTCTTCCTTTTGCAGAATGTGATTGTGTACAAAGTGAGCTACTAATAAAGCTTGATGACATTTTTATCTCTCTCTTTTGTGGAGTTGGTTGTCCAGGTGACGGTCAGATTTTTTTGGATGTGTCAGAAATGTGTCCTGACCTTTCCCATTAAAAACACGACTTTAAAGACTTTTTGTGACCTCATGTCACTAAACAAATTCAGAACATTTTAAGATTTTTCTGCTGGAATCCGTGTGTCAACTTTTAACTCCACTATGTTCAGCGAACACACTCAATCTGCAGCTGTTGCCCTGAACTGTTGACTTCGTTAACACGCGTCCTGCAGACGAACAAAGTTCATCTTGGTATTTTCTAGGCTTCATCACTCCTGCAGCTATCAGGAGGAAAAAGGCCGCCTGATAAGCGTCCTGTTAGACAAACACAGTATGGTTCTTGTCCGGTCCCCTGGGTCCTAATTTCCGAAGTTCTCCCTGCAGACGGAGGAGCGTTACCTTGAAGGACCTCCATGGGCAGGACGATCCAGGCGTTTTCCAGGTAGGAGATGTAAAGGTAGCGAGCTGTGTTGCAGGCCAGGCCGATGTAGAGCACCCTGAAAGGAGGACAGAATCATCAGAATCTAAATATATTTTGGGAATTCACATTTTCAGTCTTTCATAGAGTTTGTTTGAGAGCTGCAACCAACTTTCATGATCATTCAGCAGAGTTCAAAGTGACCCGTAGAAATATTTGAGCTACAAATAAGGAAACAAAACCTCAAGACTGAAGTCTAACAGAAAGTCGAGGCAAAGTCAGAAGTGTGAGAGAGGATGTGACGCCCTGCCGCAGACACACTTCCTGTTTGACTGGAAAGCCGAATTTCTTTTTATAAACCATCGATGAGAGGTGTGTTAATCAGTCACCTCACGCTGCAGATGTCCTCGCCTGACCCTGCGAGGCACGGAAACATCATCTGCTGCCACTTAGCAGCTTTTAGTGAGTTTACACTCCATCCGCACTGAAAATAGTCTTCAACACGAGCAACGTGTACTCTTGTTTGTTTAATGTAACGACAGAGAGTCGAGGTTTGTGGCGTGTTTTTAAAGGTGTAGGAGGAGACAAACAGGTTAGAGCAGAGAGACGGGGAGTCACGGGATTTACGGATGCAGCGACACATGTTCGTGTCCATCTCGTCATCATATAAGTGACAGTTTGGCCATCATCAGATCAGTATTTAGCGGTACCAGGTTGAAAAACGGTCTTGTTTTAACTTGACGTCAGTCCAGTATTTATAACTTGAAATGAGGGTCCAGCTTTATGGCTCTTCTTTATTTAACCTGAGCAGATTAGACGGCTAAGAGCACGTCTGTTGTCTGTTAGGATGAGGAGGTTGAGATGCCTGGATTTTCTTAAAGAAGGAGCTTCTGCATTATTAAATTGGGTGATTTGTTATTCAGCCTAACCTCAAATAAAATGGAGATTCTCATTGAATTTTCATGTTTATTTCAGGCAAACTTCCTGTGTTTTCTGAGCACTAATTATGTTAGCAGTCCTAAGCTCACAGCATACTCCCATTTTTAATAGCTCTTAGTTAAAAGGTTTGCTTCATTTGTTTGTCCAGGCGAACTTGTCAGGGCAGTTAGAAAGAGCTGAGTCACTGAACAATAGTTTGAATCTAAAATCTCACATTAGTCTTCTACGCTTCAGTGGATTTAAAACGATTCCTGCTTTTCAGAGAGAGAGAAAGCCTGGGCTGTCATGTGTCTTTTCTGTGTGTGTGCTCAGCAAACGTTCTCTGGATGAACAAACACTGAAGTGATCCTGTCTGCTGATGAACTACTGAACGCTCTGAGGGTGTGTGCCGATCCGTTTGTTTGTCCTGGAGATAAAAAAAAAAAGAGGCTCTCTAAATAACACAACAGGAATGTCAGAAAGTCCCGCACCTTCTGTTGTTACAGCAGAGAACATGTTTTTAAAATATTCAAATACAGTGAGGGAAGGATACACATGATTTATCTTCGATTAGGAGCAGCGTTTAATAACACAGACACATGTGACGACGACGGGACCAGAGGTGGAGCCCAGCTGATTCGGTAATTTATGCCTCAGAACTAAAACTCAACACGGGTGAGCGCAGAGGGAGTTGTAGTTTGAGGTTTTCACACTAAAATAAAACTCGCCTAAATCAAGTTTCAACGTTTTTGTCTCTTTCATAATCGTCATAAACTTAATACCCGTTTGGTTTTTACTTTCAATGAGACAAAAACAGCTGATCAAGACTTCATTTCAGACTTTTTTCACTGCTGTAGACATGAGTTGTGTCAGCAATATGGAGCAGTCAGATTCCAGACTGAGAGGCTGCCTTGCTCACCTCTCCTGTCAGTTAAGTGACGGCAGCCTTTGAGGACAAAAAGCTCATGTGAGTCATAATATAACATATAAATTCTGCACACAGCAACAACAACCACTCCCCTCCTCTTCCTCTTCCAGCAGGTGCAGTTTACACGGCCACTTCCTGAACACAAAAACATGTACGCCACGAGCTTCTCCATCCTGTGTGGAGGTAGTAACACGGCAGTGCAAGATGGAAGGGGACCCTCTCCACTGTGGATATAAAAGGGTCCATTTAGACGACCAAAAGCCAAATGATTTTTTTGTATGAAGGTGCTGATAAATATTACACACTAAACCTTCATCTCACTCATAGCAGCAGCAGCTGTAAATAGTGATGAATTGACTTCAATTCTGTCTCCTGTTGACTGCTGTGGAGTCAGGGCTTGTTTCAGAGTTTCCTGAGCAGGTACAGAGCTGCAGCCTGGAGGCTACCTCTGAAATCTAACACCACGATCTCAAATGTCCCCGCTGCCTGTGAGGTCTGAGAGTCCAACCCCCGAATCTCCACTCCAACAGAAACCCTGAGCATCAATGACACCATTGTCCCAGTCAGTCAGTCAGTCAGTCAGTCAGTCCTCATGCTGCTGCAGAGGGCAGGATGGATTTAACAGCTGAGTATGAAGCACAGTGATGCACTAAGAACTAAGAAGTTAATTATCAGCCTGGCATGGTACTTACAGAGGGATTTCCTAGAATACTTGTGCATGTTTGAACTTCTCCACTTAAGACTCAAAAATATACGACTGTACAGCGTCAGATAAAATATTTGGACCTTTTATTCTAACATGAACTAAACATGAAAAAGTTGAGAATCAAAAGCTGTTTGTTGTATCAGTGTGATCTCTCCGTTGTGTCTTACCTGACGTGTCCGACCAGCTCGATAAACTTGTGGCTGGTGAAGTAGGCAGCGAGCTCTGAGACGTGACTCAGCACTGAGCACACCCCGAACAGGGTGGTGGTCCCCTTCAGGTCCTCCAGATGCCAGTACAGGAAGGTGAAGACGAAGCCGTAGCCGAAGCCCATGAACCAGGCGACGAAGAGGACGGAGCCGTAACGCACGCTGCACAGGAGCTTCAGGAGGTCGCTGTAATAGAACTCCTGAGGAGCGTTGGGGCTGATGGGAGTCTGGTCTGAGGAGCTGGCCTCAGGTGCAGCTCCGGGGGTGTCTGCCTCTGCCACTACCCCCTCAGGGATCTCATGTCTGTAGTCTGCACCCTTTTCAAAGTAAAACTGCGTGGCCACAATCAATGCGACGCCCATCAACACACCGAAGACTATGAAGGCGATCTGGTAGTTGTGGAGACGATATTCAGGGACGACACAGCCGACCCCGTCAATCTTGACCGTGACGTGTGTGTGGTCGATCCAGATCCCCACTAGCAGCATGGCCAGACCCCAACCCAGTGAGCCCCACATCCTCTGCAGGCCATAACGGTCCCGGGCTTTGCCGAGGTAGTGCAACGTCACCGTGTCAACAATGGTGACGGCCGGGGCGCTGAAGAACTCGCCAACGATGATGACGAGCAGGATGAGCAGAAAGATGGTCTCTACCTGGTCCTTGTTGAAGATGATCTGGTACTCCTTGGCTTTGGTCGGAACAGGGGTTGTGGTGGTGGAGGTGGTGGTGGTGAGGATAGTCGTGTTATTTGCCGTGTTCTTGGTTGGGTTAGCCAGTGCGATGGGTGCAACGGTGGCGTTAGCGTCCACACGTCGCACATGCCTGCGCTGCACGTTTAAATAAGTGTCTAAGAGTTCATGAAGTCCAGGGACGTCAAAAAAGCTGCGGCGACTCCTGGTGTGGTTGGTGGAGTTGCTTGGATCTGTAAAGTTAACGATCAGGGGCGTGGTCGTCTCCGGCGCCACTGTCGCTGTAACCCCTTTCTCCACACACTTCATCTCAGCTGGTTTGACGAAGCCGATGCCACAGTTGAAAACGAGCCAGCACAGGACAGAGAACAGCAGCACCGCCTTCCCTTTTCTGAAGCGGTCCGCCACCACTCCCCAGAAGGGGGCGCTGCAGAACTCAATGAAGTATCGAATGCCAACGAGCAACCCACTGCGGCCTGCTGACATGCCAAGCTGCTTATAATACACGGCCAGCAGTGGGTGCAGCGAGCCGTAAGCAGCATAGAAGAAGAAGTAGAAAACTTTGGAGACGAGGAGGTGGCTGTTGATGCGTAGACACATCCTCTCACAGCAGTCGATAGAGTCCGAATCCGGGGGAAGAGGCTGTTCAGGTGGTGTGCCTGAGGAGGGCACAGGTGCCGAAGAATCCCCCGCCTGAGGCTGCAGCGACAGGGTGTTAAACGGCTCGGCCAACACATACTTCCTCTTCTGCTCCTCCTCATCGTCTGTCAGGATGGCAACCTTGTCGTCAGCTGCCATATCTGGAAGATAAGGAAATGAGAACATTTAACAAGCAAATGATGCAGACTTCACTTCTCAGCCTGCAGCCTGGTCTGCTCTGCCCACCAAAGTCCTGTTCAGCTGCAGGCGAAGCACGAGCAGTAAATCTGTGACAGACAGTACTAAAAAAAAGTATTGTCAAATTCGCAACGGCTTCTAATACGAGGAGAAAAAACAAACATTTTAAGCTCTTAGGCACTTAAATCAGAAAAGTCAGAGAAGTCACATTTATTTTTCTTTACATTAACCCGAGAACACTATCCTGATTTTCACCCGACCAAACATGTTCACGTGATTTTCATGATGTTACGTTTGTTTGAGTATCATGGGTCTCTGGGTAGCTTCAGGATTGTATTTGTTTCCCTGATCCAAAACCTGCTTTGTCCTACAGACACGTGTTCATAGGATGATTTTCACCCAACGATAGTGATAGAGGGTTTCGTTTCGTTTCGTTTATTTAGATCTCCATTAACTTTGGCTGAGGCCACTGCTATTCTTCCTGGAGTCTACATTCACAGTTAGCACTCCATTGCAGTGCTCAGTCACAAAAAAAACACAAAACATCACGCCACCAACACAAAGACAACAAAGAAGGTTTAGGTGGATTTGATAGCTGCGTGTAGGAATAAGGTCAGTAAGAGTGGTCCTGGAATCTGCATGTTATCTTTATTTAGCACACAAAGTAGTGATTTTCAAGGAAATTCATATGGTGATAAGAATTATTTGAGTCAGCTGGTCATTTTTACTCACTCAAAATCTGCCATATTTTGGTCCCCTCATGGCACTTTTTCCCTCCATTTGGACATTGCACAGATAAAAATAAAAGAAAACTACTTATCGTCCTATTTTGATATATTTGATGATAGTTATTTTTTTCTTGGGTATATTATTTTGGATAAAAATCACCTGGCGATAGTGATGATGGTGTTTCTAATTTTAGCGATAGTGTTCTAGGGTAAAGGTGTTTAAACCAAGACCTGGTTAAATTAGATCATATTTTTTTCTATACTTACACACATAAACACACCGCATGAACAGCTGTGGAGTTGAAATCATTGATTACTAATACAGGCTCCCTCAGCATCAATATTAGAAATGTTACTGAGTGGTGGTCACATTGTGTAGACAGCAGCTGATGGTTTTACTATATAAGAATTTTTATTTGAGCAAAGAATTGATGTGTGACATGTTAATTTACAAAAAGGTTTGACAGCAGGAACAGAACAAGATTCGACTGCCATGTTTGATGACAAACACCAAATTCATTCAGACTTCTATTGATTCTATTTAAGGTGCCATTCACGTGCTTTTTCCAGCTCAGAAACTCGTTTCTGGATGAGTCAAACACCACAAGTATGAGGGCTGGTACAGGGTGACTCCACCGACCGCTCAGGGTCCCCGGACCACAGTTTCTAAACCGCCTGTCCGTCAGTGACTGTCACAGACGGTCCTATGCGGAAGTAATTAGCATCCTTACAAAGCTTCTGTTTACATAACACGTAAAACACTTAAAATTCAACAGAATAAAGAGGCTAATTTCGGTTATTAGCGCAAGTTTAATTGATTATTTTAAAAACAATGTAAAGTGGACAAACAGGCGGGAAATTCCTCCTCCCATTTATCTCAAACGTGTTAACCTTAGCCGAACTCCTTCAAACATGAGTACATGGTAACATTAACCTCAAATTAAAGTCGACATTTTCAGACTTACCTGCTCAGGTCACCGCTCCCATTAAATTATGACTGCGCAGTTTCTGTTGAATTTCTCTCTTCTCGGCGGGACATTTCTCACATAAAAACGGTCATAATTTCTCCTCTTAGTGGACTTCTGTTGGTCAAATCGAGAAGACCGTTTACATGTTTAAATTGAACGTGAAATGGGAGTGTTTCTCCGGCTACATTCTCTTTGTATTGAGAACAACAGCAGCTCGTCCAACCGGAGCTCCCACCTGTCCTCACAAATAACCGTCAAGTCTGCTACTGTGGGCAACACCGTTTCCGGTAGGTGTTAACAAAATAAAAGACATTAATAATTTAAACGTTAAAGCTACTGTGATAACTTCTTTTGGACAGTTATAAATTACACTAACATCATTTTTTTATTGATATAAATTTTTTTATTAACATAAAACAGTAAAATATGAAAATAAAGAAGTATTTGTTGTTTGTTTTGTTTTTTTTACAAAGATTGTGTAGCTCACCCGAGCGATACAATGTCTGAGCCAAACGTCATCACAGCGACTCTCCCTCTCTTTTGAAAAAAAAAATTACTTAATGTCATAGCAAAAAAAGGCAAATGTCAAAACTAAGTAGAGTTATATTTTGTTGTTTGAAAATACCACTTACACATGCACAGAACAAAACCGTTACCTTTAAATTCATTAATGTTGACTACAAATTTTTGTTTGCTGTCTTCAAAAGGCTAAATGTAAAGCTTTATTTCTATCAAATACACATTAATTGTAACTTTTAATCATAACTCAATGACCAATGTATATATTTGACACTTTCTATGAATTATTTTTTTATTCAAATGATCTTTTAATTCATCAAAACACAAACTTAAACCCCTTTTTTAAACACACATTTCTCACTGTTTGTCATATTTAAGATTTCCTGGGTCCCTCTGTTTGATGCTGATTTATTAATTTCCGTTAATTTAAGATTAACCTTATTTAAAATCTAACAGAGAATATAGTAAATAAGTAACTTCCCGAGAGCTGCTTCTTTTTATACTGTTTGTAGTTACTGTGAAAGGGCCTACACAGTCATAAGTACGGTGCTTTTATTTTGTGTGTATCTGGTACCAGTCAGTCCGGGATTGATGCATCTTGACGCAGCAGACCGACTCCGCCTGAAGGTCTCCGGCGTCTAAATTAAAGGGGAACCTCCATTAATCACACATGAATAAATCAGGCATGAAAACATTCCCATAATTCATTTCAGAATGACGCTGAAGCAGACTGCAGGCTCGAGTTTACGTTCTCATGGGAACATCTGGGAGTGAAAACATGAACATAAATAAATGATAGCATTAAATCAACATTATGAACGTTAAACTTAACACAGGGGCAGTATTAATGCAGCACATGTCTCCACAGCCATACTATGGTGATACATCAGCTGTTATCAGCAGTCAAACAGGTGAATATAAAACTAACCCTGACACTCACGGATGATTGTTGTTACTGTGATGACCTTAAATGGGCTCCTCACACTAATATTAATAACTAGAGAACACACTTCAGTCAGAGATACATTACTTCAGCTCCTTATAGTGTTATAGGCTTGCATCACTGGTTTCTTTCCTGTTAATGAGTCACATATTAATTTTTCCACACACCTCATAACCCAAATGATTTAGCAGTCACGTTTTATCAAGCAAAGAGGTGTTAGAGGGTTTCATTTGTTTTCATACAAACGAAAATGAACATTTTGATTTATTTGGGTTCATAAGGAAGATTAAAACCGATGGCTGAGTGAGACTGATATTCACTCGGGGGTAGTGCCACAAAACAACCAACCCCACCCATCTGATGCTGCCAACATCAAATGCGTTTACCCTGCAGTTAAGCAGCAAACCAGCAGAGGGCGCTGTAGACTTTGTTTTTCATGGCCACAGTTTGAGTTTCTTGTTTTAAATGAAGATTTTCAGACAAACAAAAAAGTGAGTACACTCAATTTAATGTTTTTCAAACTTGAAGTCACAGAATGAGCGATTACAGCACAACCACTGCTGCAAAGGCATCACATCTATTTTCATAAAGAGACATACAGTATTTTTTTTAACTAATATGCAACTCAAGCTCGATGATAAAAGTTTTGTGTGTCTATTATTCAGCAGAAACTTCAGAACCTCAGAATTGATTTCCTTTCTTTTCCTGTCATGATGAGCCGCTGAAAACAAACATCTTTCAGGAGGTGAGGATCCTTCCACAGGATTTAAGGCCGACAGACACCTTTCATTAAAAAATATAGACTTTTTTTTCTCCCAGTCTTTGAGTCAGAAAATAGAAAAATATAAACAAAGTGGATCCTGATTTCAGGGTGAGGAAAAAAGAAAACAGTATCTTAATAGTCCGACTCATCTGAAAGCTCTCCCTGCTGCGTCCAGTGCTTCCCCTTCTTCTTCTTCTTCCTCTTCCGCTCACCCATCAGCATGGCGGCCAGCACGGTTATCACTACGGTAACGGTGATGATGAGTACTGTTACAGTCTCAGCAAGGCACAGCTCTGTGTCCACGTCCATCAGCCTGTAGTCTCTGAGGACAGGCGGCTCCTTGCAGGTCAGGTTGTAGTAGTCGTCCAGGAAGAGCCTCTGGATGCTCCTCAGCTTCCGGAAAACTCTTTGCAGGTCGCAGTCGCAGTTCCAGGGGTTGCCCTCCAGCAGGATGTGGGTGCTGTAGGTGTGGATGCTCAGGAACGTCTTGAAGTTAACCATGGTCAGCTGATTGTTGGCCAGGTTCAGTAACGTCATGCTGGTCAGCGGCTTGAAGACGCCCTTCTCCGTCTCTCTGATCTGGTTCCCAGCCAGGTTAAGGACCTCCACGGATCGCAGCATGGAAAAGATCCCACTCCTCAGAGCTGTCAGCTGGTTGTCCTGCAGGTGGAGCTGCCTCAAAGTACTCATGGAGGAGAAGGACCTCACCTGGATGGTGTGAATGCCGTTGCAGGTGAGGTTTAACCTCTGCAGGCCATCCAGGTGCATGAAGCTCCTGCTGTCCAGGCTTGTCAGGCGGTTGTGGGCCAGCTGCAGCTCCCGCAGGAACGCCAACCCAAGAGAGAATCCTTCGGTCAGGGTGGAGATCCGGTTCCAGCTCAGATCCAGTTTCTGCAGGAACTCCAGGTGAGAGAAGCCTCCATCCTCCACTATGCTGATGTTGTTGTTCTGCAGTATGAGGACTCGCAGTTTACGGTTTTTACTGAAGGAGTGTTCAGGAATGATGGAGATGTTGTTGTCAGACAGGTCCAGGAGCTCAGTGGTGGGGGGGAGTCTGTTGGGCAGGTGGGTAAAGTGAGATCTGGAGCAGATGGTGAACTTTAGATCTCCTCGACAGTCACAGCCCTGCCTGCACCAGCTGCTGTTGGACCTGGAGGTCGCCCCTGTCACCATGAAGAGGAGGAACAGCAGCTCCTTCATGGTTTCACAGCTCTATGGAAATGTAAAGAAACGGGGATTAGAGACCAACTTCATACAACATCATAATGTAGAATAAACCAAGGACGGTTCTTTCCCATAGCAGAAGTTTCAAACATTATAATCTTAAATTGTCTTTGGATGATCCTGCATGTAAAGCTGCTGACTTTTATAGTTTCTGACTTCCTCAGAATGATCATTTAGGATCACATGTCAACGCACACATATAGGAGCGCTGCTGGGGCACCGTATGGATCTATTCCAGTAAACATCCTTTAAGTCTTCTGTGAGTTCACGACTACGACATGTTTTCATGTGTTTGTCATCTAAGTTTCAGTACTTAGACTTACACGTACAGTAAACACATTCGTCTTTACATCAGCCTGGTTTCTTATTCAACCATAAGAGTACACACAGTTTTAAAACCTTAAAAAATATTTTCTCAACTGTCATATGCTCTAAAAAATGCATTAAAGAGAATTTTGATTTTAGAAAATTTAACAAAATAGATGCATTGTTTTTTTTTCCTAAAGAATTTTTTTAATCAGTTTCTATTTAGACCTTTACAAGCCCTGATACGTCTACATGATCATGTTTCTAATGTGACAAGTTCAAAGTTGGACACCGTGTTAAAGGCGTTAAAAACTCTTTCTGTTTGCTTGTGAGATCAAAGGCATTAACTTTTGATTCCCAATAAAAAACAAAGGCTTTTTAAGACCTCTTTCTTTTTATTCTGGTCTTTCTCAAAGATCCTGATCCAATATTTTTATCTTAAAGACCCTTTTCTTCCGTGAAATCTCAGAATCAGTCGACACTACAGCTGCGATGGTTAACAGATGAAGATAAGAAGAGCACCATGAGATATTCTTCTGCCTATTTCTAAAACTATTTAAACTGTTAACCTCCGTTATTGTCGTGATGTTTGAAGTTTTGTCTTACCTGCAGCTGCTCCTGAGTTTCCGTCTGTTTCGCCTCCTGACAGTCGTCAACATTCAGCTGGCGGCAGATGGAAAGTGGACATGATGGAGGCGAGGGTGGAGGCGCTGGTTGTCACGGCTCGGAGAGGAAGCTGACGAGCGACACCACAAAGACAGAGGGATGGAAAGAGACACACGGGGGCGAGGAGAGGGGAGGTGGGGGCTCGTCAATTATTCACCAGGCAGTGCAGAGGTAGTGGGAGGGGGTTAACGGCGCTGACGAGGGCGGCTTTGAGAGATTGAAGCCAAAGTGGGCCACGGAGCGAGCTTTAGGAGGTCTGTGCAGATTTGATTGATTGCAGGCAGACGTAGTGATGTTTATCTCCAGGTTGTTCTCTGGGTTTATTCACAGATTTATTTTTAATCACAGTCCAGTCAAAGGTGCTTTTAGAGTGTTACATCACTCGGATCTGGATGTCCCAGAAGCGGCTCAAGGAAAAGAAAGAAAAGTCGAGATTTTGAGAATTAAAGTGACGTGTGTACTTTTACCTCTGTTTCAAGACTTTCTTACCTTTGAATATAAACCTACCAACCTGTGGATGAATAACAACAATTCAACAGGGAGAGCAAAGAAGTTCAATGACATAACAAATTAAAAGAAAGCATTATAACAGAGGTTTTTGCATTAAAGTGCTTCAAACGTTTTTATCTCTGATGCAGATCTCTACAGATGAAAGATGTCCAGATGTGACATTACTCATCTGTAGGATGAAGCAGAGATGTATGGGATTGATGATGAGGGGACCTGTTGGCCTCTGAGAAAGATTACATTAATGCGTTTAAATCCCCGGCCTGGATAAAGCACTCTCAGCCTCCACCGTCCACCTCCGCGAACTAAGGAGTCAGAGCTCCGAGCAGTTTTTTAACCTCGATTCTGCTTCTTAGTGAAGATTACAGCTGAGTCAACATGTCAGTCATTTCTTTACCCTTTGAAGGAGGACACAAAAGGGTAATACCTGCAGTTTTTGTCTCCACTCTTAGTCAGTAAATCAGTGTTCAAGATCATATTAAGTATTATGCTGTCAATGCAGAACAAGGTAAAATGATATAAAAGGACATGGGGGACTTTGCTGCTTCAGGTGGATTTAAAGATGGAAATAAAAAATATTGATGGAAAAGTTTGTTCAGAAAAAAACCTCCTGAATAAAGGCAGGGAGCGTCTAAAGAGTAAAAAATAAAATAGAAAAGCTCAGGCTCGTCATCAAACATTTCAGGTAGGGTGTGAAATCAAGAGTATTCAGTAAAGTTTTAGGATGTTCGTAAACTGAAACCCGATTTTAAAATCTGTGTTTTTCATTAAAAATGGTGTTTGAATATAAATCTGTACATCTGTCGATCATACGTGAGTGAAATTATCTGTCTTTTTATGTTAGTGAAATATTGTTTTACCTTTATCTGGTCATCCAAACAAAGCTGAAGTCTGAATACCCGAGTATCCTTTTTGAAACCTTTCTAGAACAATCAGGAACAGACAGACTGGGCCTGATGTGTAAGAGGTCAGGAGCTGCGGTTGGTAGGATTTCATTCATTCATTTCTAATAGACTGATGTTAGTTTGTTTCTTCAGCTGCACTCAGTGATCACCTGTTAGTGTGAGGAGTCCCCCTCTTCTTCTTCTTTTGTTGTTTTGGATGTTGTTTTGGGGATCATCACTGCTCCTGCTCAGTCCCTCTATTGTCTGAAAAAAGAAATAACAAATTTCAGTGCAGTCTAAAACAGTAGTGGTGCCATTTTGTGGTCGGGTGTGTGTTTTTAGACAGTGGAGGGTCTTTAGGTGGTGTCTGTGATGGTACAGTCGTGTTTCCTCTCACAGATATCTGGTGTCTGCAGGGATCTGGTTTCAGCTCGGCCTTTGACTCGACCTGGATAATCGCGCTGCACAATGACAGCAGCTGGAAACGACTTCAGTTACCTCCACTCTGAACACTTAACGTGATTATCTCCAAACTCTGTTGCCATCAGATCTGTTTTTGTCTCACTGTTTGTGAGAAATAACTGATGTTTTTGTTGTCTGAAGCTCAGGGGGAATAATATGACTCTAAAAATGATGTATTATGAATTCTGCCGCTGATACGGTAAATCTGTGTGGCCTGTGCTGGTTCACGGTTAATGCTTCGGCTTTAACTAACTGGTGCCACTCTCCTGAGTCTTTCACAGTATCAGGGAGCAGGGGGATTACACTGAGACAGAACTCACTGAAGCTCGTGAAAGCTGCTTCAGTCTCAGTGAAGATGCTAATCGTTAATCCCTGTTGACGAGGATTATTCACCGTGCTCTGCTGCTGGAACATGAAAATCACTCCCTGTACTCATCCAGCTCACTTTCACTCACACATTTACGTTTCCTGTAGAGTCAAATGTTATTTTTTCATCATGAAACTGATATTTAGATTCACTTGAGTAAACACCTGAGAGCCAAATGCTTAAATTGTCATCAACACAAAAACAAGACTCAAATAATCTGACAAGATTTATCACTGAACTTGATTTTTACAGTGTTATCTGTGTAGTTTTTAATAATGATCTTTTTCCAAATTAAATTAGAGAACATCAGATGCCAGATAAGTCAGTCTGTCTCACCTTTCCAGCTGGCTGAGTGCAGGTGAAGCTGTGGCGATATCATCGGTTCAACTTGTGTGCAGCATCCAAAGCAGCCAGCAGAGGGCGGCACAGATCTGTTTAAAATGAAAAGATGCGAGACGAGAGGTTAAGGTAGAAATAAGAGAAACAAGAGTAGACAGAAGAAAAGAGGAAGATGACTAAAAGAGCAGAATCACATCTCAACACTCTCGAGACGAGTCCTCTCCAACAGTTTGACTCAGACTCCTGTCAGCTGTCAATAACCTGTTACGTCTGTTTGGGCTCTGACCTATAAATCTTTAAATATGGAGTCTTTTTGACTCCTCAGGGCAGCACAGTGATCAGTGACTCTGTAGGTGTGTGTACGAACTCATTCAGCATGTGTCAATAACTGCAGGAGTGACTGGTGGAGGTGTTAATGAGGGTGTCACCGGCGTGGCGCCCGGTTGACGCTGCGTCTCAGATCCAGTGTGGCAGCTTTAACTCTTCACTGAGGTCAGGTTCAGAGCAGATTGTCCCCGCCCGCTGTCAGGTCTTCAATCAGGTTCTCAGTTATGACAGACTCCAGGAGAATGACAGAATTAATGCAGACATTAGCCATGAAAATCTCACCCTACAAATCGGACTGCTGAGTGTGATGACACAGTCTGACAAAAGCTTCTCTCTTGAGTTTAATTCCTCAGAATAACCATCACCACTGCTGTCATCATCATCACCTCCATCATCATTACTTTAAGTGTCAGCGCTGTCACCCTGAGATGTTCGTCTTTGTCATCGCTATCACCTCGAGTGACTTAAACCGGCTCTTCCACGGTGTCACAGTGTTTTTGTCACATTTAAATGAAATCAGACGAATGAGGTTGTCCCCTTTGTTGATGAATATTGACATTAATTACTAAACCCTGGATATAAGGCAATCAATCTTTTTATGAATGTTTCTATGACAAAATAAATAACTATGCATCTCTTCAATTTCTCAAACAGTCAAATGCTGCAACAACTGGAACTGCTGTAAGAACAACTGGTGTTACAGACGGTCTAAACACACCTCTAGTCCTACAGCGACTATAATACCTGCTAAACAAACTCAGACGTCAGCTGATTCTACTAACTACCCGACCAGAAAAGCCACATCCTTACCAGCAATGATAGTGCAACAATCGCAGTAACTGACAGCACTACTCCTGCTCCTCCTGCGACCCCTCACGCCCTGAAACCTGCCACCTGTGCAGGACGACCACTCTTGTTTGACCCCTGACCTTAGAGTGTGTGTGTGTGTATGTGTGAGTTTCCAGACAAAAACCGCAGTCGATAAAGAAAACACCTCCGGGGAAACTATAAGTGTGTGTGAGTGTGAAACACACACACACACACACGGTCTCCAGTGGTCTCTGGTTGTCAGTGTGGATCCATCAGACCAACAGGAGGGAGACCCTGACCTCCAAACAAACACTACCCACTTCCTCTCTCTCTCTCCCCCTCTGTCCTCCCTTCTTTCCTTCACTCACTTCTCTCCCCCTCATCCTCCTCTTCCTCGTCTTCTTCACACCTTATTTTCACACTTTCCCTTCATTATCTGTTTCGGCTCTTGATCTCCTCCTGTCCCGAGTGTCCTCCTCCTGTCCTCTATCATCCTCTCTTTCGGCTGTGGATTTTTTTCTTTTATCTTTTCATCCGGTTGTTCTTCTGACACTTTCTGCTCTTTTTAGCTGATATTTCCTCTTCTTCCTCTTCTCCAAATGTGGATCATATTCATTCACTTTCTCATCTTACTGTTTTTTTCTTGTTGCTATCCAATCATCCCATTTTCTACATTTAAACACATTTTTGGTTCCACTATTTACTCAAATATTTCTCCTCTCTTTTCCTTCCCTCGTCATCACTTCTTCACTCCTGTTAATTCGTCTTCTGCGCTGTTTTCTTCTCTTCCTCCCCTCACAGTCACCTCCTCCCTGTCTCCTTTCCTTCACTCGTCCTCTTCATCCCCTTGAACCCTCCTCTGGTTGTTTTTTCTGTATCTAGGTCGAGGATGTGTCTCTGCTCTCTAGTACACACACACACACACACACACACAGTAGCACGCACACACACACACACACACAGTATTTTTGGCAGCTCAGTGTGTGTTCGCCCCTTGAGATGTCAGAGCTTTTAGGTCAGGCGGATCTGTGAGCTTCAGCAGCTTCCTGGAAGAGCTGGAAAAAGTCAGCAGCAGGACGTCGAAAATACTCTGAATTATTCAACATCATCATATCAAAGTCGACACAACAAACTACGAGGGCTGAAAAACTCTGTCCGACCAACACAAACTGCATTAAAGGATTATGTTTCATTGGCTCGTTCACCTGTTGGTCGAATGAAGGGTTAAGCAAACACAGCTGACTCCATAGCAACAGAAAATACTCGTTTCTGATTGGTTTGCAGATGTCTCGGGGGATTTTCTTCGTAAACTGGAGTCATAAGGTTTTGGATCATCAATAAAATAATTGAACTCTGATTTTTTTGTTTTTCTGACTAAAGTTATCTTTGAATTTGACAGTTGTTTATGAAGAAATGAGGTTGAGTGCGCTGACTCCATCTGTTGTTGGTCAAATAAGGTGAATACATGATTTCTTTGGCAGTGTTTCGGGTTAATTTGGACATCATGCTTTATGAGTTGAGATAAATCAAACTAGAATCAAACAAACTAGACAAAATTTAAGTCACAAACAAACCAGTTTTAGCAATTTAAAATTATAATCCTTTTGATGACGATAATTTAAAGATAAACCTTCCCAAAAAAACGGTTAAGCTGCAGATGATCTGATTCGATCATTTGTTGCACATTAAAGTTCACAAATGTTAAGTTGTCAAAGTTTCCTTTAGAGGGCAGCATTTGTGCGTTTCACCTTCTGGCATCAATATTTGACGACCTCACCACCCGCCTCATCTGCCGGGGTCAGCGAAAGAAGCGCGCTGATCAAACCTGTTTTGACATATTGACATAAAGGATGGGGTAATGGCAGCCATGTCACAGATGTCACACACACACACATGCACGGTCACACAGTTGGATGTGTGTGTGTGTGTGTTTGAAGCGGGAGGGGGTTAAAGGTCAAACCATGCGGCTGAAGGTGCTCAGTGAAGCGTCATAGATAGAGGCAACACAAAGAAACGTTTTCCTGTCAAACAAAATCACAACAGAGAGAAAACGGAGCGTCTCCAAACGACAGCTGCACCCGTCATCTGTTTGTTTTCATGCATGTGACATATTTACACTAAACACTCAGTTTCTCCTTTTAGATTCTCATCATACTTTTACTGCGAATCCCTGAATATCTGCGGGGGTTCAGAAGTCGACACAGTGATGGAGACTTTATTTATCACTAATGCTGCAAACAATCTGCAACAAACATTTGACTGTAAAGAATAAAATCAAACTTCAGAATTCTTTTAATTACAAATCTGGATGCATTGCTTCTGTGTATTTTGCTTCATGTTGCCTCTGCTTGACTGCAATTGTTTAAAAAATATCTTAGTCTTCCAGATTCAGTTGGCTGATTTAATCTGGTTAGAAAGACATAAAAAATTGGGATTTGACCAAGTAGCAGCCTATAATCTGTCATGTTTGTACTTCTAATCTACTTTTAAATCTCTGATATCGTGATCTCTCCTCTTGAAGTTCGCTCAGAGCCGCAGAAATCTGTCAGTCAAACCTCAGATCCTCCTAAACTCTGCTGGTTTGACCCGAGTTTCACACTGAGGTCCAAGCCCACGGGCTCAGCAACGACACTCAGAAAAGGTCAACCGCATTGTGCACACACACACACATACACACATACACATAAACATACTTCCGCTCACACACTCAGGTTTGGTGACCTTTTAGCTACATGTTGTTTTGGACCACCTGCAATAACTCACGGTTTTTAGGAAACAGCTTAGAAACTAGGGCGCTGTTACCAAACGACAGTCAGTCCGATCTGATGAGGGTGATTAGTTTAAAGGTGATTATCAGCGCTTTCCCTTTTTGCTGCCGGTGAAGCTCCACAGCTGTGTAAGTGATTAAAACCCAAGATAAGAGTTCAGGACCAGTTATTAATCTGGATTTAATCTAAATTTTGAAATTCAAAGCTAGTCTGAACATCTCTCGTCTCTCTAGTTGGTATTTCAGGAACGATAATACAGATAATACTTCAAATGTTGTCAAGGTGTGATAAGGATCTGTTGTATTGCAGCTAAATTAAAGCAAAATCTTCTTTTCTATGTGCAAATGTGAAATAAAAGCTGAGATGAGCTTGACTCCTGAAAAACCAGCTCTAATTGTTCTTTTACAGTTCATCAGTCGCCATCATTATCACTCCTACTTTACACACTATTGCACATAACGCAGTGAGACACAGCTGAAATGTTTAAAACAATGCTCATGTAGAAGCACAAACTAATAGGTGTCCTCAAACGTCTTTAATGCTGATGATATTATTCAAGGCTACGTGTTTGTGTGTGAGCGGCCTGCAGGGAGTCAGAGCTCAGATCTGGGTTACATAGATGGAAGGTGGAGGTGGTGGGGGAGGTGTTTCCTTCCTAAAAGCCTCCCTGCCAGTTAACACCAGCCATTAGCTCACTGTTTAAACCTTTATGACAGCTTACACTGTGCTCTGCTCGGCCGTCTGGACCTCTCTGTGTCACTCTGAGGCCAGAAATGAACTGAGAGCCAAGGTGAGCGGAACAAAACTCCTTTAATCATTAAGAGATGTTCGACTCCCTTCTTTTTCTTCTTTTTCGTTCATTCATTCATTCATGTTTTTTTTTTTTTTTGTCGGAGAAACTGTTGTTGTTGAGAGCTACCACAAATAAAGTTCATGTTCATTATTTATCACCTTTAGGATCAGTGTGAGGAGGGTTTTACCTTCATGCAGGAAGTAGAGAGGAGGAAGTGCAGGAGTCCGGAGGTAATGCACATTGACAGACCGACGGGAGGAAAAGGAGAGAGAGGGAGAGAAAGAGAGATAGAGAGAGCAAGAGCTCTGTGTAGGGACAAATAAAAAAGGACAATTAATAGAAAAAAGACTTGGGAAGAAAATCAATCAGTGAAAAATCAATTGTAGCTTTGGTGATTTCAGGCTGAAGAGACGCGAGTGTTCCAGGTGAAAATTACAGCGTAACATTTCCAGAGGAAGGATTCAAGAGGTTATTATGATTTAAAAGTATCTGAACTCTCTTACTTAATGAGAAAGGCATTAATTATGAACTCGTAAAAAAATAAAACTCATATCACCACCCCAACACATCTTCTCTTTATAAGGCATCATGGTAATATAGATATAAGGAAAAGGTAAACTTCAAGAAAAACACCCAAATATCAGCTGAGATGTGTCGCTGCTCACAGCTTTGATCGTGAGAATTTGTACTCTGCTTTTCTGGATATTAACTGTTAGAAAAGAGATCAGAACTAATCAGCCATGGTCTGAAAAGAGGTCAGCAGCTCTTACTATGTCCATGTTCTCCATCAGGGGAAAGGCCTGAGTGGTTATAGATGGTTATTTAATATTTCAGATCTTTTCTATACAGCTGCAGTGACGCCAAGACCGCACAGACTCCACATCAAGGTGTTGTACGTCAAATAACATCTCATAGTGGTCTGCTATGAGATGGTAAACCTGAGTTATTATGAGTTATCACGACTGACCTCCAGAATAAAAGTTTGGACAGAAATCTGACCTTTAAGGTGACCAATTTTGACATTTTCTCCCCAATTTCTAACTTCTACTTATTTATCAGCATCGTTACTCATTCAGACAGAATCAGAGGTTTATATAATCTAGTAGCAGGGAGTTATGCAGTCAATTATCTCAGTGTCCAACCCAATAACAACATTTCTCAGTAGTTCTCAGCTGCTGCCTCGCTGGCCTCCATGAGGTCTGAGCTCTCCCGGCGGGTCTCGTGGCGGCCTGTGGTGGTGGAGGGTTGTGCAACGCAGAGGCCCGGGGAAGCTAAAGTGGGACACACAACATCTTGCTTGGATGATTGATCACGTCACAAGCGGGCAAAGTTAACCGGCTGAAGACTGCGGGAGAAGAAAAACTCTCATAAATGATTTGGGGCTGGTCATTAAAGATGCAAAGTCAGTAGCAGACAGTGTTCTGCACTTGGCAGAGGAACCCTTCCTATGCAGTTTACTGGATACTAGAAATGATGCTTTAAATCGACTCAGTTTGCTTTTTGTTTTGAAATAGTTCTGTGTTTGGATTAAGAATACAAAGATGTTGAAATCTTCAGTTTAGAAAGTGATAAACCTTTAAAGAAGTCAGATGTGATGAGACAGAAGCAGAAAATCGATCCTTTTGTTCCCTTTCCTACTCAGCCCAACATAATAAGGTGGTTCTCATTCTTTTAAATGGAAGGTGACCGCTTTTGTTGCACTATGGAATAATATTGTTCAGCAGATCAAGTTGTGTCTTTTTATGGGAGATATGTAACGTGCTGTCCCCGTGTTGCTCTGTAACAGTCGCTTTAGTCTCTGGCAGATCGCCTCTGGTATCACTGTGTGTTTGTTTGCTCTCAGTCTGGTGTGACTTCACACATCTGCTGGTGCAAAAAGCGTAAGAACGGAGGTGTGGAGTGTGTGTGTTGAGGGACGGGTCAGTGATAGCAGCTAAAAGCATCCTCAGGTTGCTGTTGGCGTGCGTCACTTCAGTGTTTCAAACCTCTGAGGTTTAGCTGAGGATGGTTTTAACCTGAAGTTCAACTTTTACATGTGTTTTTATTCTTTTTCTCTTTCTTGTTGCTAACACTAGTTGATACTGGAAAGCATTACAGTTTAACATCATGAGTAGTTGGCTGCTCTGTGTCTTTTCTGCTTTGATACAGTGAGATCCTGTGCCACCAGATCACAACACCCCAGTGAAATATTGAACAATTTCAGTCTGAGTTCTTGAGCGTTTCTTACCAAACCTTCCTGAAATGAAGCTTGTTTCCCTGGCTGGCTACTCTACTCTGACTGGGGGTGAATGGGGAAGAGCTGGGAGGACAGGTGAGCAGGTCAGCTGATGGCTGAAGTGTTGCAACAGCTCAGAGAAGCCAGGCTCTGAAAAGACAGAAGACGTTAGCACTGATGCAGTCACAAGGAGAGGAGAAGGAGGAGGAGGAGGAGACGGTTTGATGTGATTGCACAGAATTCTTTTATTTCCAGGATCCAAGAGCACACCGAAAACACCGGCTCAAAGACAAACTGCATTTTAAAAAATGTTGGTTTACATACAACTAGAGCCTTCAGTGATCAAAGTAGCAAAATAAAATCTGTGTCCTTAAAAAATGAATCATGACAAAACAGTTTATGGACAGTTTGGTTCAAATACAACTTCAACAAAATGGCTGATAATGAAATGAAGGTATAAAACAGGTCCTTTTTAATGTTTTCTTGTGGAAAAAAAGTGGATTTGAAGAAACTTAAATATCAGAAAAAGTGTTTCTTCACATACAGAACAACGGACAGGCCTGTATTACTGTTATGGCACCATATCGTTTGAGCTAAAGTGTCTTCAAACATAACACAAAGATATAACACACAATATCATTTGTACAACACAGAGTCATAAAATGCTTCTTTTTACTACAAGACTACTTTCAGTGCTGGAGAAAGAGTTTGTAAGAGCTGTGATTTCAAAGTAGTGCTCGCAACAACAACAGTAAAAAAAAACAACAACATCTATACACACAGAACCATTTTTCTTTTGTTTTTAAAGCGCCATGAAAATGATTGTCATGTCCTAAGATTTCATTTCATACATTTGATCAACATTTTGATCAGTTATTATTTATTTTATAAGAAAAAGTCAGACTACAAAAAAAAGAGGAAAAACCTGTAAATGCATCTCTTTTCTACCAGGGTTGAGGATTCACTTGAAGCACCTTTTCATAGTGAGATAAAAGCTTCATGTTTTAAACGCCTTTACAGTTTTACACAAGACATTCAACAATGGAGCAACTGCAGACACGTGTGTTCACGTTTTTTTTTCGTTTGGTTTTCAAGTCGGTGCTAAATGCTAAATGCTGTCCAGTCTGTCGTCCAGCCAATCAGTCCATCAGTCTAGAGTTTGTTTTTCAGTCTGATGAATACTGCGTTCATGTCAAACCAGGAATGAGAGTGTGATTACATGATGGGAAAAAAAGCAAGCTACTGCATTAGTCTGACTGAAACTGGACCTTAAAAAAAAGTTGACTTCTTGGAGTCGACATTTACACACGTTCATTGAATTTAATCTGGACTGGGGATTATGTGCATGCACATTTTGACCTGGAGGTCTATCAGCGTAAATGTGAAAAGGTAAGCCAGATCGTCACCAAAATTGGTTCATGAATAAATATGCCTGATCTCGGAGATAATGTTTATCTCATTTTAATCAAAAGTAGAGCGAAGAACGAAAGTGCAGAGATGTAAGGTCGACATGCAAACTCATTAGCCTCTTTCTAACTTGTGTGTGGATTATTTTGGTATGAGATCTAACAGGTGAGCCAGGCGAAGGTCCAGTTACCAGCTTAAAGGGGACATATTGTCACAGTGTTTGTTTACTGGGACAAGGACAGTAGTCCAGTTAAAGTGCCCAATCTGAATATAACTCTAGCGTCACTTCACTCACTGGTTGAGGGCCAGAGTAATAGAGGGCAGATCTTTAACCATCTTCAAGCTAATGGGCTTGTCAGGGGAACAGCTATCAGCACAGTGAAATGACTTTTTAAGCCTGTGGTAATAAAAAAAAAAACTTAAACACTTTTGGATAACTGGTCAAACTGCTGCTCATGACTTTATAAAACATGAACTCCACTTTCTTAATAATGACCTCAAGCAAAACGCCAAATCTCTTCTTGGTATGACATGAACGCAGAGTCCATCTCTGGTCCAGTAGTTGAGCTTATGAATCATGTAGTCCCATCTTAAAAAACTGTTCTTGTTTTGTTGTTTAGTCTTTACTCACTTGGAGAAATTCATTCAAAACAAAACGACAAAGATACAAAAATGTCTCAGCGGCAGACCTTTTAAAGTTGGACAATGAAATGGTGTTTCTTTTATTTTCTTCCAACTCATGACACTTGACTTCACACTGCAGTGGAAGGTCAAACACTTTCAGGACATGTAGTTTAGAGCTAGTGTCCATTTTTCTGTTAGGTCAGACTGGACTAACATGGTTTGGTTTCAGTCTCCACAAGACAGAAAAAAACAGGGTCTTTCATATCCTCTCAATCATGATCACAGGAAACCAAACTTGAGAAATACTTACATGCAATTCCTTTCCGGCCCAGAGTTATAATCTATTATTCATAATTAGGTCCTTAATGGATAACTGTGTGCATGTAAGTGCACTGTTTCCCCAACGACACAACTGCATGAGAAAGTGAGTGAGAGTCTCGACTTGCCTGAGGCTGATGAGACAAGGCATTCACGGGACATTTTCACACTGTCTCCGAACAGGAAACACAAAATGCTTTGTTATGCTTGATTTCAGTGCTGTTGACATACAAATCAGATCCTTTCTGATTCTGTCGGTATAAACGTGTAAGTGCACAACATCATGTAAACCTCAAACAGGCTAAAATGCAGCATTAGTATCGACAAAGTGGTGCTGCTCCTGTGGCAGCAGCAATAAATAAAAACTTCTGCTCTTCCTTCAGGGTTTTAAAATCTCATCTGAACAATATTAAGAATGAAATGCTGTTTGTTGACACGTAAAGCACCAGAATAAACATCTACTAACCCTACAGGTCTTCTACATCTAAGTGACAAACACTGAGGTTTAAATAATTTGTTGGTTTGTTTCGTCTGAATCTCGTGGCGGTTTGTAGGAACGTCTTCAGAGAAACACTGGGCATCAATAAATGCAAAAAGGAAAACTGAGCAGCCGTGTCTAGTGATTAGTACGGTAATGACAGCAGCTTGAGTTACCCGTGTAACGTTTACCACGAAGACGAAGTTTGTGTTTTTGAATTCTGTTATTGACACACACTTCAAAACCTTCTCTTGTGGTTTCACTTCACTGCCAATCTTTTTGTTATTATTGTACCCACAGGCCTGTTTTTTAAAAGCATGCCATCGTCAAAAGAAAGACATTGAAGACTTGAAGATTTGCATCGCCAAAAGACACAAACGAGTGTCAAGAAGTGTCTTCTTAAAATTCAGGTTTTCTGCACCTCTATCTCTTTGTGCGTTACTGTCTTACGGGACAACATATCGTGTATAAAATCATTTCACACAACGACAGCCCCTTGAAAAGTAGGGAAACAATCTGAAATAAAGGATATGTTTGAAAATTGGTTCAAGAATGAAAGGGCATCAATCCAATCTGAAAAGTTCAGAGCTGAAACTATCAGTGTAGAAACTCTGAGCTCTGAGACTTCAGTATCAGCGTGATGCAGATTAAAGAGACCTTTGGTGTGAAGTAGCCAGCCTTAAGCCCGATCAGAAGGTGATGCATTTGGCTCAGGAGCTGAAGTTAAATCAATAAACAAACAGTAAACGCCTGACTGTCAGATTGCAGTGTGCCCACAACACACAGAGTGACAAAAGTAACACCACTTCTTTTTTTCTAAGATAAGATGCCATCAAAAGTAAAGAGAAATAACATTTAGACAGTTGTGTAATCTAAAGATTTTTTCCCCTCGTTTTCGTGAAAAAAGGCCTTTCCTTCTGTACCTGCTCATCTCCTCTCACCCTTGTCTAAAATGTAGCTTCTGTCTTTTCAGAGTAAGAATCCAGACTTCTGGGGGTCTTGCAGGGTGGGTAGTCCTTCTGGGCAGGAGACAGGGATGTTGCCAGGCACAACTTCATTCCCATTGGGCATCAAACACGTCCGGATGTACGCTGCATTAGTGGCACTGAGATGGCAACCATTCTCCAACTGAAAACCAAAAACAGAAAGTGTCTGTTATATCTGCTTGTGACATGAGATAAATCCCTAAAAAACATCATTATCTAACATTAATCTGATTCAAGAATTAGTCATGAGGATAATTTATGAGGAGTTACTCATGGTTAGAGTTTCAGTAGCTTTATTTTCCTGCTTGGTCAACGATTCAGCCTGATCTCTGTTTCAGTGATTTCTAATGTCTTATAACCTCCGCCAAGGAGGTTATGTTTTCAGTAGCGTTGGTTTGTTTGTTTGTTTGTTTGTCTGTTAGCAACTTTACGGAGAAAGTTACAGACGGATTGACCTAAAATTTTCACCAGAGGTGCGTCTCAGCCCCAGGAGGATCCCATTACATTTTGGTGGTGATCCGGACAAAATTATGGATACTGTGATCCAGAACACACAAAAATAAGGGAGTCATTGGAATTTTCAATGCTGAAGGATAACCAATGGGCGGCACAGTGGTGTGGATAGGCGGTACAGTGGTGTAGTGGTTAGCTCTGTCGCCTCACAAAAAGAAGGTCCAGGGATTGAATCCCAGTCAGGGCATTTCTTGTTTTAGGAACAGTATGACCAGTGAACATACCAGTTTAAACACAAACTACTAGGGCTGCAAAATATTGGAAAAAAATGACTTTACAATATATTTTTGTCCTGCGATATTTATTGCAGTATTTAAATTAGTAAGGAAAATTAAACTGTATAGATGTGGTATGTTTCAAATATTCATGCACATTGGAAATACACCTGGTACAGTGCATTTCCAGTAACGTTGACACTCAAATTGTGTAAAAATAATGCCAGGAAGTTTGGCCAGTGAGCAAATATCAAGTCGTGCGTATGAGATAAAAACAACTCAGTCCTGATCATTTCCAATGTTTTACAAATGACCTGAGTTTGCATCATATTCCCTCTGCACTCAAGATTTATCTAATTTTTTCATCAATTAATGAATGAATGTATGGCAAACACTCTCCATGCCCCATTGAAGAGGTCAAATGTTCGTACTGGTGAGAAAACGTTGGGTTTCAATGCTGATATACTTTGCTCTCAAATGAACACAGTCCCTAAAATCAAATTACGTCGCCCTGATTGTATCTGAGCTGAGAATAGTCTCTCTCTGTGCCTCCCCCTCTATCCTGCGCTCACAGCATTAGGTAATGATGACAGTCAAATTGTAGGTCAGCGCTGCTCATGCTTCACTGGCTAGCCTGCCAGTATTTTTCTTTCAGCGACAGTCACTGACCCTGAAGAATAACAGTGGAGGCTGAATGGGGCGGGGATGAATGGATGCCTGCCAGGGTCGGCCATCTCTGAGCCCGTCCCGACCTTATTCTATTCATTATTGTACTCTTTCTCACTCCAGCCTCTCTGCTTTTTTCAGCCCCCTTCTCTCATGTTTCATTTTATCTCCTTTGTTTGTATGTGAGTTTGTTTTTTCACTCTAAACACCAGCGATGCCCTTCATGCTCAGAGGAGCAGAACACTGCGAAACAATTATGATGAAAAAGGATAAATGGAGGAGAGTCCAAATCATTATGTTGACTTTGTGTCAATGTCACCGTATGTTATTCATGTGTTACAAAGATTTGTCCTATTAAATGTTCATGTGTTGGATGAGGGGCCTGAAGACTCTGGGTTTTCCACCGTTGCCAAAGCACATTTGTTCTTCTTTAGAGAAACACAAACCAGTGGTGAGAGGCCCTGAGAAATTTCTGCTTTAAACTTTGGACTCATTACCTCGTTATGTTTTACAATGGGAATCTCTTGGGTCCTCCAGCTATGAGCGTCTTTGTGCTCCAATTAAGAGTTTCCAGGATGGCATTCCTCAGCCCTGGCTGCTCAGTTATTACTGGAAAAGAGTTTCTGTTGGACTTCCCTGAACATTTTACAATCTGGTATATAGACCAATATGTTTCTAGACTCTCATTTAAGACTCGAAGACTGCCATTCCTTTATCTTTAACCCTTACCCTGTTCTGGGTCTTGTAGGTGGGTGGGTTGGGGCTCTATTTAAGCATCGAGATGGCAAAAATTCTCTATTTATATTATTTAAATATCAGACAATCTTAATTACTATGGAAGTTTAAAACGCGGTTTTTGTCATAACAGTTATTCATGAAATAATTGGAACACAAACGTATCTACTTCACTAAGTTCGACCATCCAATCGTCAAAAATAATCCAACAAATCTTCAGTTGATTGGTTAGCTGTTCTGTTTCAGTGACTTGTCAGAGAGACTCTTAAAATATCCGGATTCGGTTTTTTATTGTAAGTGTGAAGTTTTCTCAAGGATAAATGAAACCTGACCACTCAAACAAACTCTCTCTGAAGAATACTCACTAGCCGACTCCGTTCTGCGGACTGCGCTGCTCTGACCCGTCTCCCCTGTCTTATTTTCATGGCATGTCTGGTCACATCATTACAGTTTACACTGAGCTCCATGCCAGCCTGCGGCCTCTGTGTGCTGACTTGGAAAGAAAAAAAACTATTTTCCTGACGGAGAAAGAGAACAGCTCAGGGTTGAAGGATCATAGATTCTTCAGCCCTCGGTTTGTTGACATTCTCTGATATTTGAGGGGCAACACAGACTTCAGCCCGGTCAGTGGGCTCAGATCCTGAGGAGAGCTGGCAGCTTCCCTCATTTTGAGAATGAAAAGAAACAAGATAGGAGGATCTAGTTTGGTTCAATTTCAGGATGAAGGAGGGGAAAGCATTTTTCACCTTTTCCTGCACATGCAGCACAAACTCTGTTTTTATGGGACTAATATTTCACAGAGAAGTCAGAAGAAAAAAGGTCAATCACAGGGCAGAGACTGTCAGTCTGGGAGGGGGTGTTTGTTTCCTTGTGTTACTCTCAGATGTGTTTATATCAAATTAACTAATCTAGCAAATGAAAAACTGCCGTTACAGAAGCTTCGTGACCCCTTCCTCCCATTCGTCTCTTACCTTGCTGTGGGCGGAGTCCTCTGCTGTGCCGTTGAACATGCTGTAAGTTTCCAGTGATGGCAGGCTGTGCTGTGGCTGGGACAGACCCAGTAACTGTTCTAACTCCAGTACAGAGCTCTGGCTGGGACACTGGGGTGAACAGGATGGTGGAATCTGAGTCTGCTGCAGCGTCTGTTGCTGGTGAGGTTGCTTCTGGTGAACCTGCAGCTCATAGGGCTGCATGTTGGCCACCTGGTAGTTACTAAAGTCTGGTGTATTGGCACCATTCAGTACAGCACCCCCTGGATGATGGGAGTTGGAGAAACTGTAACCGGTGTAGCTGACTTCCACATTTGGCAGAAAGGCTGTGTGTCCGTTTGGAATGAAGGATCCATTCAGTCCAAGATGATTCTGGAGGCCCGGCAGGAGAGAGCTTGAGCTGCTTAACTGCTGATGGGTCTGGAGCTGGACTGAGTGCTGGTCCTGATGAAACTGCCACTGCTGACTCGAGTGCAGGAGATGTTTATGTTCACCATTGAGTGGTGAGGCTTTGAGTACAGGATGTGGGTGAGGATGGGTGTGGTTGTTTGGAAGGTGCTGGTTCTCTGCCGTTGCCACCCAGCTGCCCTTGGGAATATCGGTTAAAGCTGTTCCTGTTGGGGAAGCAGACTGAACCTGCTCTGGATACGTTTTAACCAACTCCCCAGCACTGATGTGTTGCTGCATCTGCTGCGACAGCTGGGTTATGGGTGTCCTGCAGCTAGAGGGGGCCGAAGGAACAGAGAGTGTGATACCTGCCTGTGACTGCTGGGCGGCACTGTGGGCTGAGTCTGGGTTCCTGTCTCCTTGTTCCTCTCCATTTGTCCCGTTTTCCAAGGAGTCATGGATATAGGATAGGATTTCATTGTTCGTGAGAAGGTCGTTCAGTGTTGGGATGTGGTTGGGGTCCAGGTCCACCTGAATCATCCTCTCATCCAGCAACAAGAGTTCCAGATCCTCAGCATTCAGGCCCAGGTTCTCCAGCGCACTAAAGAGCTCACTGTTTGAACATGTTTCCTCTCCGTTCAGTGACAAAGAATCCAGAGTAGCAAGCAGTGGATCAAAACTGGATGATTTGATACTACATCGCTCCATCTCCCTGCCTGATACGATGCCCCAGCTATTACTGTTTAAGAGCTCTCCTAGAGGACCACTGTTCCCCTGCTGCTCACTGAAAATGCTGCTGCTGAAAGACATCTTAGGTTCGATCTCTGGCTGGCAGACATACACGGACTCATCCTGGCTCATTAGTGCTCCCAGCAGAGACTTGGGGTCCAGCTCATCAGAGGAGCGTTTGTCCAGCTTGCCCTTCTTGGACTTGCTGCCCTTGGTTTTACCCTGGCCAGAGTCAGGGAATCCATGCAGTGGGTAACTGGTCTGGTAAAGGAGTGCCTCCCCAGTGGCAAAGGTGAAGGGAAGGTGCATCGACCGCTTCCTCAGGTGTTCCCCTCCCTCCTCATCCCTGTGAAAAAAAAAACACGTGAAAAGAAACCATTGAAGTATAAATAAGTTAAATTTGAAGCACTAAGCTGGAATCATCATGCACTTACACTAAAGGCCTCTGGGTGGCAATGATGTAGTCTGGCTTTCCATTCTTATAGACAAGCCTGGCGTTGGCCTGGACCCACTTCCATCGGTTGTCCTTGGTAAGCAGCCTGAAGACGGTGAGTCCACTCTCGCCCGTCTTTATCACTGGAATCACATCAGACAAGACATAGGAGGCTCTGTGTCACTGCTGCTTACGCTCTGCACGCCCCGCAGTGTGCACACACTCACACTGCATTTGCTCAGCCGGGCGTGCTGCCGCTCAGACGGAGGCTGCATGCTGATGTTCACTTTTGCTACATGTACAAGTGTGTGTGTTTGCCCAACACACACACTTGCACACACCTCCGCTAATCCCTCATCTTCATGGCCTGGTGTTTCGTCTGTTGGTGTGTGTAACTGTCGGATATTTTTCGCTGTCTGGTTTCTAAACGGGCCTCCCAGTCTCACGTGTGAAGTAATGGGGAAGATTTGAGTTTGGGCTAGGGGTTTGGGATAACACCTGTTGTTTCACTGTAGAGAGGAAGCACTACTTCATAAAGACAAATCAAACTCTGAATACCAGAGCACTGCCCACTGACCATTCCAACATACTGTATTTACACTGCTTTCTCATCATAGTCTCAATTCTACAGTCAATACAGTAAAACTGTGTGCCACTCACCATCTGGATCTTGTCCAAATCAAAATGGACCAAAACATCCAGCATGATGGATATTCTGTGCAGTGCTTTTTATTCTGCAGTAACTGATTTGTCATCAGGGTCACTCCAACTCCATTTTTCTACGAACACAGCGAGCAGGAGATGGTGGTCGTTTATGCTTCCTCTAGATCCTCTTAAAAATGAGACCTCAATCAATCAAACTTCAGAGGATTAGTATTCCCATAAACAAAACATTACTGTCCATGCAGCTGGACTTATTGTGATCCGGTTCTGCTCCGAAATATTTTCCTGTTTGATTCCCTTGTCGTAGCAATTCCATGTTTGGTAGTTTGAGCTTCATTCTGTACGACTATATGTCTGTGGAGGTTATTTTTATGAGCCCGCTCTGCATGTTGATGTACAGCTTGTCTTCTGTTCTGTGTCTGTAGAGTACACTCAATTCTATGCAATAAAATGCAGTAATGCAGATTTTTCTTTGGGAATTTTTTCAAAGTTACAATTAATTGATTGATATTATTTCAGGATCAATAAAGGGCATAACTCACAATTTGCACCCCTTATGCAACTTTTATTCTGTTTTTTTTAACTGCCAAAAAAAGATCTCTCCGAGGGGGTGCATTATTAAAAAGAGTTTTAGAACCTCTGCTGTAGAGAGTTTCTCATTCATAACTGAATATTTATAGCAGTAAAAGCCTCCAGATGCTGACCTTTGAAAAAAAACTGCAATATTTATGTTTGTGGACAAACTCGTCCAAACATAGAAGCTCAGAGACTCTCTGACCTGTAACGTTACTTTACAGCCCAGCTTGTCCTTTTCCTCCTGAAACTGCAATCACACTCTATCACCATCAATGAGATATTCACAATAAGCAGAGGCTCTCTGGTGAACAGAGCTGTGGTGGCCTCATCTGTTTACTCTCCTCATAATCTGTGGGATTACACAGTCAATGTTCGCAGGAGACACAATCTCTCAAAGACCCTCTTTTTGAGCAGAGACAGTGCAGAACAGAATCACTCAAGAGAGTTAGACTTATTTAAATTGTCTTATTCATATTATCCTAAACATCCCTGCTCAAAATGTTTCGATGCGGGAGGACATCATGGGTTTTCTCCTGTAGATTCTCAAGCGCTACATGGACACCTGGCCCCACATCCATCTGTGCATGCAGAAGAGTGTGATGAGTTCATGTAGCTGAGCGTTGTTTCCAAATACGTATGCATGTGTTTCTGCTCCTGTATGCATGACTACATACGTACAGTATCTGCCTTTGTGTGTTTGTGTGAGTGTGTCTGATAGCAGTGCATTGGGGGTGCCATGGTTACAACTAACCGGGTCATCCGGTACACGAGCTAAGTAGGACACTTGACTCGCGCTCAGAGATTTCCTCCGTCAACGGCGGACGCACACAGAGTGATTGTTTGCTTGTTTGATGCACGTTACAAATGTTATGTTGAGCCACACATGGCAGGTGGGTCAAATCAGACTGACTCTGAATATGTGCTGATTGCAGCTGGGTAGGAAGATGCAAGTGTCATGTTTGGTGGTACAAGAAAAACCAAAATTAAGAATAATTGAGAGGGGAGGCCCTCCTTAAATCGTAATTTCAGTGTCATTTTATGTTCCATGGTGCATTAAGCTCTTTTCCTCTGAGTATCCTCGTGGTGAGTATGGTTGTGGTGCACGGCCAAATCACATAAATCCTTATCACTGCATAAATCCTCAAGAGTTCTGCAAAAGAAATGGTTGCCCAGAGTTTGGACTCTAACCTACTATGATGTAACTTTTCTAAAACTGCACTTTCATGAGTTTTTAATGATCTGATTTTAATGATTCATCCTTGAAACCCAACTGTCCTTGTGCTTGTGGACCTCGGGCTGCTTTTGACAGGGCTGATAACATGCAAGTAACCCTTAAAATTGACCTTTTTAATCCATAAAGCACACAGGCCAACACTGACAGTTTTTAAATGTGCTCTACAAATAATGTCATCTTGACTTATCCCTAAATAGCTCAAAACCTTAAATACACGCCTTATTTTCCCTACTTTCATTTCAAGCAAGAGCACACTTAGTCCATTATTTGGGGTCAACAAAAATCTTTTCAAATGAAGTCGTCATGATTTATCCTTAAAGGTCAAAGTCAAAGCTTCGCAGCCATGCGGTCAAGCCCTCCCGTTCACACCAGACACTTTCACGTGACTTACTTCGGACATGATTTTCAGCGCAGTACAGCATGTCGGCAGCGTGGATGAACTGGTACCCCGAACCACGAACTCGCAATTCTGCCTCTGTGTAGCCCAAAACGATTTTACCCCTAAAACAAAGTGGATTAACAGAGATATAAGATTGTAGCCACACATGTACAGTGGTCCCTATGCAAATGAACAAAACTGAATCTGAGTCAAGATGGGACGTACTTTGCATCACAGGCCATGGGAGTGAAATCCAGTTTGTGTTTGGTCCTGAAGATCATATTCCTGGTCCTGATTTCCAGGATTGCCGGAGGCTGTAGGGGTGTGGCGATTGCAAACAGGGCAAGCTGAGGTGGGGGACTTCCCTCAGTGTCACTTTGCTGACGGCTCTGACCGTGGAGGAACTTGAGCTGACCCTGGATGTTCAGCGCCTGAAAGTGGAGCACATATAGATCAAAAGCTGTGAATCTCTCTCTCCTAAGACTCTCTCCAGTGAGCCCTTCATCTTTTCCCCCTGTCAGAAACCATTAGTCTTATTTATACTGCTGTGTAATGCAGACAGTAATCACACTTCAATTGACTGTAAACAGACTAGTGCACTTGTGGCCATGACTGGAAACCCTCCAGCTACTTTCCCCCCCAAGTCACATGACTCACTGAATGTTTACAAACAGTGTTAAAATCACCGAGCCCCTGAACTAGAAGATGAGTTCATTAATTGCTCGATCTGAGATGTAGGAGGTGGATGAAGACGAAACTCGACCTTTAAGATTTTTGTTCAAACAAATTTGCAAATACAAACCCAAATGATTCAAGTAGATTGAGTCTAATGATCTCAGTGTTTCTTCAAGCATCACCAACTAAACAAACTTCCCAGACCCATCTGGTGTCTGGATTGACGAGAGGTTTGCTTTTCACAGCTTTTGAACACTTGACATCATCCTCCAGCCCTCACAACTACGTAAATACTTAGGATACTTAGGAAACAAGAGTGCTGCTTTCACCCACGCTGTTTGTTAGTCAAACTGCTGCTAAAGAGAGCAACTCAGTGGACTCAACAAACCAAACCTTTTTTTGGAGAGGGGAGAAGAACCGTGCAGCATCATTTTTAGATCAATACCAAGCAGCCTCCCACAGGTTTGAGGTTTACAACATGGTAAAAAAAAACTTTCTCCTGTCTGCTGTCCTCCTCTAACCCCCTCTACCACCTTGTGTGAGGACCCCCACCTCCTCTGTTAGCTCTGGTTAATTGACCTTGGTGGGTTTAAGGGCCTGCAGTCGTGATGTCAGGAATCTAGCCCTGAATAGCAGGAGGGATTACTAAAACAAAGCCATAGTGACCAGTAGACAGAAGCAGAAACCTGGCTTACTGCTCACGCAAACACACTGGGAGGGAGCACAGGTCCACCTTCAAGCCCACTCAGCCCTGCTGGAGGGTCCTTATTAGCTACCAGAATTTTCAACAAATTGTCAACAAATATGAAAGATGATGGGAATGGCAGTTCTGGCAAACAACAGTTGGATTCATAAAATATAGGAGTGTACTGTGAAAGCCGAAATAGGACCACGAAACTCTCTCAGATCTCTTTTTTTAATCCCACAACTGGCCTTAAATCCAATGAGATTGAATAAAGAAAACAGATACAGTTTAGTAAACGACTGATGTTGGTTAATGTGGGTTCAATTACAAATGGTATGGCCCCTGAGGAGCCATGCAAATGGAACTCTTCCCTAGTCTTCCCAACAGGTTTCAGGGATTTGCACTGCCACCGAATCTCAGCATGTTTCCCTCCTTATGCAACTAATTGTCTTAGTGGAAGTAGCAGTGGGTGCACTGGAGCTACCAACTCTGACTAAGCAAGTTTCCCCCTCTGCTCTTGTCTCCTCTAGGTGGTGGGAGGATTAAGGCCCCTTTCCCCACGACCCCAAGGCTCTCTTAAGACGGATTACAGGAGTAAATGGTGGCTTCTTATCCCTGAGGGACTCTGCGGTGGCACGCCATACTGCCAGCAGCACCAATGAACCTTAAAAACACAACAAATCTCAAAATATGATTAATTTGACCAGTTTGTTGTACTAACAGGATTGTTATAATCAGCAGAAATTAATGCTCCTCTCAATACCAATCAAGTTACTCAGAGCCATCCTCCTTGGTTAAGCGTGATTAAAGGAAGCAAATGTAGTCGTACTGACTCCGAGTAAAAGTATTTTCCTTTCCTCTCACCAACTGAGTGTATGTATGTAAATCTGTGGATTTGAGCTGCTCTTTTGAGATGAATAAAGTTGTTTTAAATTGAAATTTCAGCCTCACCAGGAAACCAGAGGAGTTGTCCAACAGGCAGCGGAAACGACAGACGAAGCTTCTCTCCAGGAAAGACGAGTTCTCGGGTGGAAGCTGGTCGGGGTTGTATCTCACCAAGCAGGAAGTTGACACTGACTCCCCATCTGAGGACATAAACGTAACTTTATCATTTCTCATTCTGTTTACATACAAGTCTGAGGACAATCCTCTGCTTTTAAAAGAAAACAGGCTGAAAATCGGATGTTGTTGACCATGTTTGTGTGTGTGTGTTTGTAAGGTTGTTTGTGTGTCTCTCATCAACCACTGACCCTGACTTAATGCAAAATGACAAGAGTGTGTGTATTTGTTTGTATAGTATAAATATGTGTGTGTGTGTGTGTGTGTGTGTGCTGATGAACGGTGAGTAGGCATGTGTTTGTGAGTGTGTGTGTGTATAAATATGTGTACTGTAACATTTAGAGCACATCTCAGGAGGCTCCATTTAAAGGTCACCTCTTCTCGCCCTCTCTGTGACCTGAGGTCGCATTCAGAGGGGAAAAAATAATGTCAGTTTGGCTTTTAATCTTCCGCTTCACTTCTCAAAACTGAATTTAAACGTTTGATTTGGACATCTATGATGATGTGATGCAGAAGAAAACATGAACTGTTTATAGAATGAACAACGTGGCCAAAATGTTGGCACCAGAAAGCAAAAATTGTCCAATAGTCACTTGCAATTTATGAAATATGATTGTTGAGTGAGGCAGCAGCAGTCGAGCATTCAATATAATCAATATGATGCAACATCTGAAAACCAAACATGCAAACCAGTGAGCACTGAAAGAGAGGACAGTTGGTGTTAATAGTTGATGGATAACAATCCACTAATAGACTAAAACAGTGGATCCCAGATAGACAGACCGGCCCAATAAATGATGCATGAATGCTATTAGCCTGTTTGCTTTATAACACACTATATCAAATATAATCATTTGTGATGCAAACATGAAAAAAGTAAGAAACAAACACTGAATTTCCACCATTAAAACAAATGCAAGTATCAGAAAAGGTATGGATACCAAAAAAGCTGATCATATAACCCTGAGCAGCTCTTTTGGATTCACTGAGTGGTCTTAAGTTGACACACCTGTTGAGCAATCTGTTGGTGGTTCCAGGCTGGCAGGGGGGCTGAGGGCCCAGTGCAGGTTTCTCCTGAACTCCTGCTGGTCTTCAGTGTGGATCAGCTCAAACACACTCTGGTGCATCACATCAGTCTGAAAGGAAAACATAGAGAACAGTTTTTCATAAATAAAGATTATGGTAAATCAAGATGAATTTAGAAAAATAAATGAATAAAATCAAAACAGAGATAAGCTTGAGCAGAGGACTGGATTATTCAGGTAGATGTTTTATCAGCAGGCACCCTGAGGGGTGCATTTGATTTAGTTTGCCTTGAAGTCGAGCCAAAAGAAATCAAGTGCCGCTTATTGTTTGATTCAAATAGTTGAATCAGAGCCAAAGACCTGCTGTGACCCTGATAACAGAGGTCCAGACCCAGCATGACCTGGTTTAGGAGCAGTGTGGGACCAGCCTCCCTGTGTGGGTCAAACTCAGGTCATCAAAAACAGAAGGTTTCCAAGTTTGACCTGAAAAACTTTTCAAACAGATAGTTTATTTTTCCTGACTGTTTCTGGGAATGATGCAGTCTGACTGTTGACTTTAGGAAGTACTGCTGTGTTAGGATAGGAGAAGGAGGTTCAAGGTTAAAAAAAAGTCAAGTAGGAATAAGAGCGACGATCTTCACTTAGCACAAGATAGTCAAACAACTACATGAAACAAACAGGTTTTTCAGGCTTGGTGAACAACACAGACCTTTACACATTTTCTATTTGTTGCTTTAGAACTGGTCCTGTGGTCCAGTTCTTGCATTTTAAAAGGTCAAGTTTTCTTAATCTAAGTCACTCTTGGTATAAGCAGTCATGAAAAGCTCCAAAAATGTCAACTCTGTCTCCAAAAATTGTTTTCTTGACACACTTCTTCACTTAAGTCCTATTTTGAAGGTGTTACAAAAGCTGTTGACAGCCGAGGTTTTCACCAGGTGCTGTTCCCAAACACTCTTCCTGAGCAATGACAGCACCTTCACCACAGATTTGGATGTGTGTGCTAAATCTGCTGTGACGAGCATCAGGTGGAAGGGGAAATAGGGGTTGAGAGGTGATGTTTGCACCCCCTCTCCATGGATGGTGTGAGTATGAAAATGTGTGCAAAAAATAAATATGTCCGTCTTTTGGATGGGTATCTGAGTACAGTAGACATTTGGAGTGTGCAGCAGAGACTTTGTTGTTGTATGAAGACAGAAAAACAAAAGTGAGTGTGGCTCCCCTGAGTTTGAACTAAATTACAGCTGTATTTTTCAATCGAGGAAATGAATTCATTCACATTGATTCTAAAATATAGTTTACAGAGTATAGTTTATTTTTACACCATACTGAAATATAAAAAGTCTCCATATCTTGTTGTTTCCTGAGTTCCTATTTGGATTCAGGCTCATTCCAAGTACACAAACATGTGAGTGTAGACTGTAGTGTAGATTGCTCTGATGATCACAGTCACCATGATGACGTGAGACTAGAGGAAGCGCTGTGTTGTTGTGAACCCAATTGGATTAAACTTCTCACTCTGTATGTACATTAGTTAAGAATCTGGTGCTGGGATGATATTAGCGACTCAGTGTTTAAGACTCGTACTTGCAATCTACAGGGGGAGTTACCTGATGGAAGCCGAGGTAATCCTGGATGGTGTGAGAGCAGAAGAAGATGATTCCCTCAGCTGTCACCACCAGGACAAAGCCATTCAGAGCCTGCAGAGAGGAAAAGTATGCATGTTTGTTTGGAAGTTTCTTTGAATGTATATTTCTTACACTGTTACATAAAATGATCCAGCCTGATGTCAGCTACTTCAAAATCTGTTTTTGAGGATTCCTAATTCACATTCAAGTCTAGATTTTCAAAACAGAACCTTTGTGTCCTTCTCTCAAAAGAATAACGAAAACATCTGCCTGAGAGTAAAAAGAGATGAAGCTGAGAAGTACAGGCAGGAGTGGACATTGGTTCAAAATACTACTGGATGACTAACACTTCCATCATGGCTTCTCCTGCAGCCTTGGGGCTCTGTGAGGAGGTGATGACACTGAGTCCCGACACCGTAAAGAGCCACCACGGCATCCTGCCAGCATCCACCCACACCTCCCTGACAAAGATGAAGACGGGTTTACGAACAACACACTTCCATCTGAAGAGACGGGGTTAATCCAACCCTCATCCAAAGGCTGGAAAGGTCTTCTCAGAGTCGTATCATCAGGTTAAAACTTTACAATACATTTTGAAAGTCCATTACATGATGTCAAAAATGCATAACCACCAGCCTTAAAACAAGACAGCTTCTCTCAGCCGCTGAATAATTCACACTTGAGAAGAAGGAGCAACGATAGCGACAATATGTGTCTAGAGAGAATAAAATCTCATTTCATTTGTCCTGTACGTGTCTGGGTGAATTACTCCTAAATGAGGCAAGAAAAGAACCAACAACAATGGCTGACATAGAATTGTTTGTAATGCACTGCAAGCCTGATTCCTTGGTGTTAAAGTTACTGAAGCCAAGGGGAAATATGCTCATTATTCCAACCTTTGTACAAGATGTGGACTGAACCATGATGGTATTATCTATTATTCTGTCTATGATCGAAAAACTCAGCCTGCTGGAAATCTTCATCTTCTTTTTTTTAGAGTCAGAGGTGAGCTCATTTGGACCAGAAGATTTATTTAAAAAACACTTTTTATCATTTGTCACTTACACGTTTATGAATATGCTTTTTTTTTTAAACTGTCAACAATGATCATTTATAACCGAATCACAGTGGAATGTTTAAATAGTCCTGACACAGCAAGTGTATATACAGTACGTACAGCGCTGTTGTATATGGGAAGTTCAAATTTACACACTTTTCTAGCACAATCAGAAAAAATTTTCTGATAAATCAATCAATAAATCAATAAATAAATCAACCAAGCAAGCCTGGAATTTGGGCACTGAATCCATTATTAGTTTTCTATGACCAAATTTACATTCAGGATTTCAGCTCCTCAAATGCTCCAAAAGCTGCAACCTGCAGTAAAAGACCACGCCCAACACTTTCTAACACACACATGTACCTGACACACACATGAACACACATACAGTACACAGTGAAGTGGCGTACAGGCACTGTGTATAAATATTTACTGTAGTGTTCATCTGTCTGCAGAAAACACATCCCTCCCTCCCTCCCCCTCTTTCCCTCCCTCTCTATCGTGTTCAGTCAACCTCTCACTCTCCTGAGACTGAGGGTGTGTGTGTGTGTGTGTTTGTGTGTGTGTGTGTGCAGGCGTGTTTGTTGTCTCTGTCAGATGACAACCCTATGATAGCAAACACAGTCAGGAAACACGGGAACCCTCTCTGTGTCACCGGAACGGAATGAGTTTTTCTCACCAAACGATTCAAACTCCGATCTGCAGCTGGTTTGTTCCCTCCGTTTTATTTTCTTCCTCAGAATCACGGGTTATCTAATTTGGGCATGACCCTTTTTATGATATGATCAAGCATAAAAAACATATGACCTCACTATCCTCAAACGAACACACAGAAATGTCTTACTGCTTTAGTGGGGAAGAGTGGGTTTTGTGTGTGAAAGACAGACATGGAGAGTGTGCTCTGTGGGGTGGTGTGATATACTGTGAAACATCTAAGCATATTTTAAATGCTTTTACTCGATTTGCCCCATCTCTCTCTCACACACACACACACACACACACACACACACTTCATCCAAACCCCCTCACTTCAATAATGGATGTATTCACCGGCTCTGTATAATTCATGGTCCGATGTCTGTAATGGAAGAGAGCAGCTGAAGGCAGGAAGATGTTGCCCTCCACACCAACACATCCTTCCTTTCTTCACCGCTGCAGTGACCCACTTACTCCTCGGGGATCAATGAATGTATCAATTAATCAATCAAAGCCACAGAAATGAGATTGTGCTCATGTCTGTCTCGGATCTTTGTCTGAACATGTCTGAATGGTTTGAGAGCAGATAACTCTTCAGAGTGCACCACTTAATAACTGTGTAAGGTAACAAAGACATATTTTCATCATCTTGAAATTAAGTGATTCTAACATCAGTCCCTGTGCAGAAGGACCAGGCCTCTTTCTCTCTCACCTCTTATATCACCTGAGCATAAAAGTGTGAATTCTCAAACTTTTCTCCTCTCAGCCATCATCCAACCCAGGTCTAAAAATCGCTCCTTCTCCCACGCCCTTCCTCCTTCTCTCTCATTCAAGAGCAACCAAAGAAATGCTAAACCGATATCATCAAGTCAGACTTACTCTGTCTCAGAAAGCAAATGAAGTCCCTACAATGATCCCCAGCAAATAAATGCGTCTCCTCTTACCCTGCTCTCCTCCATAAACATTTTTATCGGCTTTTGAAAAAGCCACTTGCTGCTGCTGCTGCTGTTGTAGTCAACTCCAGATATAACCCTTCCTGAGGTGAATCAGAGTACAGAGGATAATCAAACCCATTAACAGATACTTATCGTACACAGTTGTTTTAAAGTGTTAACTCATTTGTTCAGTTAAGAAACCTTCATTAACTTTCAACTCTTTGCACGTCCATAAAACACGTCCCGTTAGTTTATACAGCAGTGGCCATGCTTACAGTAAAAAGCAGAGCTCATCAGTAGAACTAAATAGAGTTTGACAGAAACATGGTGGCTTGTTGCTCACCAACCTGCAGCAGCAGTTCCCCCTCAGGTACCCGGCTGTCCTCAGATCCTGACGTTCTGCTGTCATCGCCATGATTGCTGCTCTTGTTGATGCCGTTGGACAGCTGGTTCTTCAGAGCCACTGCAGGGGGTGAGAGAGAGAGAGAGAGAGAGAGAGAGAGAGAGAGAGAGAGAGAGAGAGAGAGAGAGAGAGAGAGAGAGAGAGAGAGAAGCAGGGGAAAGAGTTAGTGACTGTGACATTTATCTAGAAAAACATAACACTGATTACATTTTGGATTGTTGGATGAAGACTAACAACAATTTTCAGACATCTATGCAGCTGTTCCTCATTCTATCACAGACTCTCCTTTCTTTTAACAGCCCTTCACAAGAATCTCTCATCATGACTCAGAGCCACAGCAACATGCTGCTGAAATACACTAGGAGGACAGAGAACCACCAGACAGGAGCCTCTTGTAATTTGGAGATCTTCAGAAAATGGTGTTAGAATTTTCTTTTAAAATGTTGCATCACGCAGCAAAGAAGTAACTGAAAGTGGTGTGAATCAAAGACTGAGAGTAGGCAACACCTCCTCTACCTGAGGGAGTAACACCACTACTGACACGTAGCAGAGAGGGCATTTCAGGCTACCAAACAAAGGGAATAACACCTCTCAAGGCAAAGAGGGGAAAAGAACAAAACATAGCGTTAACAAAATTAGACAGATGGTAATGATGTTTTCCATTTCACTTGATAAGCCTGCAAACAGTTTGATAAAAACAATCCTGATCAAAGTTTATTGACAGATATTGAGACTGCCAGATTTCCTGTATATTAAACACACAAAGCTTCTCAGAGGGGTTTCTTTGTGACCTATGACCTGGAAACGAAAAACATAGAGGCCTGCACTCTGCCTTTGACCGTACGCGTGAGGTCTGAGAGAGCGGTCTGAAGAAAACAAAGAGCTCTTCTGAGATGTTAATGGAAGGCGAAGTTTCTGAGTGCTGCAAACAATACAAAGAGTGAAGGGTCGACCGAATCAAACGGCTCCTTCTGATCACGACCCAAATTCCATGCAGGGATCAATAAAGGTCCATGGTATCTCTTTATAACCATTAATGGAGTCTTTGTGTGCATCAGCTGCAGAGCTAATGGCATGAGACAGAAAGTAACCATGATACATGACATGGATCCAGCACCAGGTCGTAGGTAAACACACATCACCCAACTTAGCATCGTTATTGAGAAAGCTGTAAACAGCTGCTCCTCTCCTGTGGGCGCACACTCATATAAACTAACGTTCACATATGACCCGGCCATTTTTTTTCAACCCTGCAGAGGACGAGTCCCCAACAGGCCGAGCCATCCACTGTAATAATGGAAAAGCATCCGAGCCGCAGCTTTTATATACCGGAGGGGCATCAAGGGGACATCCAGAGGGAACCTTTTTTCCATGAAATGGCCTCCAGAAGGAATAATTGATCATATTTTATATCTAGAAATAAAACTAAAACCACTGCGTGTCAGTTATTTAACTTTGTGTTTAAATAAACATGTTAGCGATACCATACACGACAGAGAGGTCTCACGGTACTCCGCTCATCTTGTCCTCGTCTCCTCAACTGACCACAGCAGAGGCGCCACTCAGTGACGTCATTATGATAGTGAAGTTGTTAAAGGAACAGTACACATATTCTCCCCTAGTCAGACAAAGGCTGTCTCAGGCTGTAGGACCTAGTAGGGCCGGTGAACAGGGGTAGGTCAGCATTGTCAACGTCTTCAGTCTCCCAAACAGCGTTCTGGGAAGGGGGGGCAGGGTCAGAGTCAGAATGAAGGTCGTCCGAGTCTACTAACCATGACCAGGACCCTAAGTAACACATACACGCACATTAATCAGAATCAGAAAAACTTTCTCTAAAACTAGAGTTTTTGAAAAGTCATCCAAGCTAATGGTGAAAAAGACTACGGCTGCCTGAAGGGAACAAAAATGAGTCTTAGTGTGTTTTGTTTGGGTGCTGGTCAGAATCAGACATAAACCTCTTTTAGTATGGTCATCTTTAGGTATGAAGAATGTGCCATGACTGCTGTGTAGTTACCTTTACGCAGAATATTGTCTCCTCTTGTAAAAATGAACCTCACAAAGCAGCACTGTTGCTAAAAGAGTTCAGTATAGTGGAAGCTCACAGGCCGAGGGAGGGAACAGGAAAAGCATGTCGACTATCAATAATTAAAGGCTCAGAGGGGTGGAGAGGGTATTTTGCGCCCTGACGTCATGAACAGGAGCCGTCGGCAAGAAAAAACACCCCGAGGCGACCCGGGGTAGGAGCGGAGGGGAGGGGACATCTGTTGGCACATCGGAGGGCGACGAGGACACCAACAGCCGATAAAAACATCACAACAGACCCTCTGAGTCATTTCACAAATGCAAAAACATCAACATAAAGAAAGGTCTACACATCCGCCTGAGTGAGATCATCGCTAAGAACAGAGAATTCAACGCCCAAATATCTGATTTTCAAGATGAGAAAATTTGTGCGTAATAAACTCAGAGACAGATTCTCTGAGCGTGCAGAATCAAAGTACTTCTACTGCAGTAAAAACGCTCATGTGTTTCTCACTTCAGTTCTCATTTTTTTTATTTCATATGTTTGTCATCAGCATGTTTGAGTTGACTTTATTTTGTATTAATCTCAGCTTTAAAATGAATTCAACTGTCAGTTTTGTTTGGAGGATAAAAAGTTCTCATGAACAAGTACTGGGCTCGGAGATGTGTTGGAGTAAAAGCAGCTTAAAATCAAAGCAACTTCAAAACTTACAGTCTGAGTAAATGTATATTACACCTACTTACTGCAATTAAGAGGTAAATAAATATGCCTGCACCAAAACCTGCTATATAAACAGATATAAATGAATAAGAGTGTTGGTGAGCTCTTTGCATATTAACAACAACTAAAAAAGAACTGCACACACATTTTGAATTAAACATGAAAGAAGGTGGAACCTGTGAGCCACAGACGCTCTACAGGGACGCTGACACAAACAATGACCCCTCTAATCCAGTGTCTCAACCCCCAACACCAGCAGCACCACCAGCCCACAAGATTTGAGGCTGGAATAAATCTTTTAAAGGTTCAAGCCAATGCAGCAGCAGCAGCAGCAGGGCTAAAGAGGGGAGAGCATATCCCAAAAGACAACATGAACAACAACAGGGAGGATGAGCTTCAAACGACAGTGTGTCAGTTAGTGTTGGGCTCGAAAAGATTCATAATGAATATTCATGAGGGATCTAAATCATCAATGTTATTATTTTCAGTGATCAACTTCTATCCTGGTATCTTTAAAAATTGTTCCAAAACAAGAGAGAGAGATAATTGTCATTTTTTCTACATTGTTGTAAGAAATCTCCATGTGACAGAGGTGGAAGTAATGTAAATCATGATGTGTTACATAAGTTGGAGGTAATCGGCTTTAAGCAGTTGACAGATGGCTTCACTCGAGGACAGATGTAGACAAACACACAAACTGACCCAGGCACTGGAAATACACCAGTATGACCACCACATATCAATCCAGGCTTTCAGAGATCACTATATAACACTCATTGTGCCATGACAGTAGGTTTGTGTATATTTCACAGCAAGACATTTTGGTATAAATAAAGTGACACATATGAGTTTTTCACAAAGTGCACAGAATTACATTTATCCTTTTCTTCTGTTGTGTCAGCTGCAACATGAGATGGAAGAACATCTGACAGAGAGAAACAGTGAACACAACCAGAAATGATGATGTCAAAAAGAAATCTCAGAAAGAAAGTAAAAAGGAATCACAGGTTTTAAAGATATCCTCTTTTGTGTAGCAGAAGAGTTCAATTCAGCTCAAGTCTCTTCTTGAGTATGAGATTGAATTTCTTCCTAAACTTCAGCACAAAGAAAACTATAATAATGCATTGCGTAAGAATCACAATCGATGATTTTTCAATTTTAAGTGGATTGGATCGATGAAACCAAATCTGGAAAACAACAATTATCCTGGCCCTACACCTGAGAGGAGCACTATGCATCTTAATTTGTGTGAATAATTCCTTTGTTTGGTCAGTTTTGTCAAATAGCTGGAGCTAAAAGCCAAGAAGTGAATCGTGACTCAGCCTGAAAGAACAACAGAGTGTGTGGAGGAGCGTTCACCTAAACCTAACCTAGTACTTCTGCATGTTAAGAGCACCACTGAAAGAGCTAATGTCATCTTTCCTGTAAAGACCAGATACAGGTTAAAAGCACAAGAGAAACCCCCTAAAAGCCGGGTTTCTCTGAGGTTACAGGAGTCAAAAGTTGAAAGTGGGCTCCCATCTCCCCCCCGTCTTCCTTCAAACGGTCTGTAAAGCGGTCGTGAATGGATTATCCCGCCGTGTTTTTATTCTCAGAGGCTTTCATCTCCTCCTCCCACCTCCTCTCTCTCGCTGTAAAGCAGCAGTCGCTTCAGACCTACATTACTGTGTAGCTGAGGCTTTGGGATGGGGTCGACTTATGGCCACAGGCAAGAGGAGCTGACCTACAATACGTTAAGGTTGTATTAAGACATTAGGATGAGAGGGGGTCGACACAGTTCATGCTCTTTGACACAGATGGGTCTGCTGGCCTGTTTCTGCAGGATCAGCATGTGACACATACATCTGACGGGGGTTTTAATCACAGGTTTAAGTGCAGGACAATCTGTTAAATACAACACTTGGTCAAGTGAGAGCAGAGGGCTGAATATTTCTTTATGTCTTTATGTGAACATCCTGGTCCTTGTCTTTGTACAGGGACATGTTAACATCAGATCCTGATATCAAAAACTAGGATGAGCCCTAATCTCAAAAGAAAACAGGACGCTTTGGCCTGAGGACCAAAGTGTAATAAGGAAACAAGGGAATTAAAAGCAGATTTGTCCATCAAGCTCAAACTGACTCTAAAAAGGCCATACTGTAAGCTGGTCTGTATTAAAGCAAACAGACAACTTTAAAACATACCAAGTAATGAGGGATGACTCACAGATTCTTGTTTTCATATCTTTAGCCCTTTGTTACAGATAAAACTCAACATGCAGGATTGAGGTACCACACATTTAGTGAGGATGTTTGTTGTTGTTGGAATGATTTCTGTATCTTTAAGTCTGGAAACTCATTCAAGTCTGACAGACTGACAGACACATAAATCTACAACCCCAAATCCATCTGCTGCCCCTCTAAGCCTGCTAACTCCTTGACAAAGCCAATCCGCTGCACTTCAGCACTTCTTAAATGCAGTCAAAACCACGCAGTCCAGACGCAGCAACCTAAACCATCCCCCTGCCCCAAAACTCACCCAGACCACCATCCATTCCCATTCTACTGCACTTGCATACGACCCCTCCCCTGCTCCATCCTCCGGGCTGCAAAGACTCCTTCTTTAGCTCTATCTCCGTTTATTTTTTGGCCAAAAAGATTTAAAAGATGGTAGTCTGTAATTAAAGGTAAACTGGACCAACTGATGCTATACTGTCTACCTGGATTAGCTCCCACTGTCATCTTCGCAGGTCTGTTTCTGGCTTTCAAATTCATTTTTACACCTGATTTATTTCACAGTCTCACACTCTGTTTTGGCCTCCAGAAACTCCCTCTGACCTTCTCTCTCTTTTTTACTTGAAACCTTCCACCCCTGTCTCTTTCTGCCTCTGTATCCGCAGGATCTGTGTGAGGTGTGAAAAAGCTATTTCAGAACTTCAGCAGGCAGAGAGGCGAGGGAAAGGAAACTGCAGGCTGACATCTACCCGCTTCACTTTCTTTCTCTGGTATCAAAGTCATCTTGTTGAAACCAGATGTGATTCTAGCAAGAACTTAAACAAATTGCATTACTTTTGTTTGCATTTTGTTATATCTTTTTTATCATTTTAGTGTGGTGTTTCATACCTGAGAAGAAGCTCTTGGTGCGAAGGAAGCTGACACTGAGCCTAAGGATGGACAGTTTGTCCAGGCTGGAGATGACATCTTCAGGGAATGGCAGAAGGCTAGCAAGTCTGTCCAGCTCTGAGTTCAGACGGTCCCGGTGGCGTTTGGACGGGTTGGACTTGGCCCCTTCAGCTGGAGCTGGTTTAAGCCTAAATGTCAAGGAAGTAATTTAGTGCATATCAGAGTGAGCTTTACTGGCCCAAAAATACGAAGTATACTTAACTAATATGTACAAGCCAACATTAGGCATTTAACTCCTAACTTAAACTTGACACACAACAATGAAAATTTGCAGTACATATATAACAAAATGTAAATTTACCACGGTAAATCAGCAAACTAGGTTATGTATACAAAAACATTCACTGAGCGTTTATATTTGACCTGGTGAAAGGACACCTGGGTATTGTGGCCAGGATTTTTACTCTATTTCCACTTTATATCAATTAGTGATAAATTGTTGATGAAATGTTTTTAATAAAATTTGTTTTGTTAAAGGAAAGTTGACCAAAAAGAGACAATTATTAATTTCTGATTGTACATACACTAAGAATACACCAGTTAGATGCATTACTTAACTGTATTTTTCACATTGCAGTATCACTGACAGAAAACCTATTGCAATGCCAGTTTTTTCGAGTTTCCAGCGGCCCTAACTCATTAGACATGACCTTTATAAATCAAACCTTACATCGTCAGAATGAAAGATTATCTGCAACTTTGTTATTTTCATATTGTTTGTACTTATTTTCCTGTTTTCATTGTTTTGTTATGAGATATATCAGTAGAGATATGCATACCATGACTTTTGAACTATTTGATTATGTTAGTTTTTTTGTAATATCTACACATATCAGACAGGCGTGTTTATTCTGAGCTTGATTCTTTTCCACTAAAAAAGCAGATTGTTAAAAGGACTGGCATAAAATGTGCAAACTTTGCATTTTATAGATTTTAATTTGCAAAATTGTTTTATAAATGATAAATTGCAAATGAATGTCATGTCATCCCTCTGGGCACGCCCCAGCTTCATCGTCTCCCAAAATTGCCAGTGATTGCTGGAAACCACCTCATTGACTTTATTCCTTCTCAGTTCATAAACCAAAGTTCTCTGTAACTTACCCCTTCTGTGCTGGTTTTCTTCTCTTACGTCCCGCATACATGTTGTTAATCACAGTGTCAGTGAAGGTGGAGAAAATCCATAAACTAGTAGCAGCTCCGGACAGGAGGATCCAGCAGAAGCAGCTCTCCTCCTCTCATGTGATTTCATTAACTGACACTCAGGACAGTGATTTAACCGAACAGAAGGAGCAAAGTGAACCGTAACGTTTGATAAAGTCTGGTTGAACTGGTTAGTATCAGTTATTTCAGGGGTAGAAAAGAAGATGAGACAGACGCTAAAGCTTGAAACACACCGTTTTACCAAATAAAATCATTATTAAATAGACGCACTAAAGCTCCCCGTCGAAGTGTAACAGAAACATCACGGGAGTAACGGCTGTGTCGCTCCGGTTAGACCGTCCATGGCGATTAAAAGCCGCGAAATAGAAAACCAAACGTTTAAAGCCCACATCCTGAAGTTCACATAAAAACGTTCAAAAGTAATAACCTCCTCCTCCCAACGTCTTTTCTTTCTCCTCCTCCTCTACCTCCCCTCTTCTCTGCTCTCCTCTCTTCAGGGTCTATCACTTTATCAGTTTCAGCAGCGCGCGCTCCCCGCGCACTGATTTGACAACGGGAGCGCGCAGGAGGTTAAAGGTGAGGTTGAGGGGAAAATAACTTAGTTCGTCCCTACATGGAAAAAAAAGTGATATTAAAACTAAATAATACTAGTTTACAAGAACGCGAAATAACAAAAGGAAGAAAACATGTTTAAAAGAAAAGCTCATGCTACCGTTCGCTGGTGGTCTCTGTCGACTCGGTGTTTCGCTCTAAATGGAGACCGTGTTAACTGGGGACCTTTAGCCAAACGCACTGGCGGTTGACGTGGTTTAAGCAGCTCTTACACTTTGTCAAAATCGATTATCAGATCTGTTTTTTCAAGTTTCGCTTTCGTTACATGTATTTCTTTCTTGTTTAGATTTCGCTCCCACCTAAAAGTCACCAGTTAACACAGGGTCACTCGCGCTTCCTCACCATGTTCCTGAAGCAGTATCTGACATCGGGCGCGCCGCGCGTGTCAGGGGTCGAAGATGACGATGACGAAGGGAGAAATAACGGTCAACATTTGTATGTGGAAACAATACTTATATAATTGTGTCTATTTGTATAAGAAAGTATATTTAAATATATACATATGTATTATCTGAATGAAACAGGGTTATATGTAAAAAATAAATATGTAAATGAAAAAGGTGACTCTTACAGAAGTAGACGTAAGAGCGCCAGGTTCTCTTGTGCTTAGGTGTAGTTATAGTCCAAAATAATCTTATACTGCCATCTAGTGGAAAATAGAGATCATTACACTTCCACAGTGATTATAGATTAATCAAGATAAAGTTCCATTGTATCCTAATTTTAAATTTCTAAGTCTAATAAAACAGATACATAAAACTGGAATTTTCATTAAACTAAAATAAGATAGAAATAAAAAAAGACCCACAAACTTTATTTTGTTTCTCGATTGTCCATCTTTTGTTTTTCCATCGCCATAATCAGCCTCTCTTCACGGTTCGTCCTCAAACAGCTGCAGAAATGTCACTCTGACTCCTGCTCCTTAGCGTCTCATCACAATCTTCATTAATCCATATGCAGTTACAGGTTTCTGAGCTGGAAATGGACAAGAAAAGCTGTCAGTTCGTTGCTGCCAAACTCCATCACGCTCTGAGTTAATTTATGTCTTACAAGAAACGAAAATAAACATTTTCGCCACCGGAGAGTTGCCGTAAGCAGAGTGAAACACGTTTGCAAAAATAAAAACCTGTTCAACCAAATCTTCACATTTATTGGGGGATGAGAAGAGGAGTGCTCATCTGTAGTTTGTTGGTTTGACCAGCAGGTGGAGCTGCTGCATTAACAATAAACTGAGACTCAACCAAACAAACAAGTTCCTGTTTTAGTGAACTTTTTTTAATTTGGACTCAGGAGAGGAAGATGTTTGTCAAGATTACTGAATTTTAAAGATGATGAAAAACTGTCAGTAAATGAGGAGAAGAATCTGTGATCTGGTGGTTTAGGTTTCAGTGAAAACAGTCAGAGTGAAAGTGAAAGTATGTGAGCTGAAAAACAGACTCTATTTTGAGAAACGAAGAGAGCAGAGAGGACGAGGAGACAGGGTGAGTGTTTACTCTGTTTTAGTTTTAACTTGTCTTTGTGGTAAAAACTAAAATCAGAATCTTTTTAGCCTCTCATTTCAAATGTAATCCAGTCTCCTTAAGTTTTTCTGAGAGTTCAGGGACCTCACAGCTGATTTTGTTTGGACCATGAATCAGACAAGGATCAGAGAGAGGCCCTGCAGGGTGGGGAGACATCAGAAGGTCTTGGATATTAAACCCATAGACATATATAAGAAAGGTTTATATACATATATCTATGATTAAACCTGTTTAACTCTTATAGAGGGGGGTGAAGCTGTTTTCAGACTCTGTACTTCCTTTCTGATTCCTCTTTTATTTCTAAACTCTCTTCCTGTTTGTGTCTCACCTGTTTGTCTACTTTGTCCTCAGGTTGTAGAACTCGGTTTCATCTTCCATAAATTTACACAACAGAAGATGGAGAAGATGAGGGATTGTGCCGAGGAAGAGGAGGGCAGAGCAACGTCTGATATGTCTGACTGTCTGTCTATAAAGAGTGACCAGTCTAAAGATTATCCATGGAACTTCAGTAAAGAACCAGGACCCTCAGAGGAGGGCAGAGCAACGTCTGTAATGTCCGACTGTCTGTCTATGAAGAGTGACTGGTCTAAAGATATTGTTGTGAACTTCAGAAAAGAACCAGGACCCTCAGATTCACAGTAAGAGAAACACTTTTCACCCTCCAAACTCTCAAACAACAACAGCTGATGTTCCAAAATCTGAACTTTAAATCCTGACCCCTCTGTTTTCTCCTCTGCTCTCAAAACGCTGATTTTCCTCTTTGACCTCCAACCTGGATAAAGGTCTGGTAAAGAAAAAGTCACTGAGCTCAGATTTACTTATTATTCCTGATGTTGATAAAAATGAAGTTGGTATAAAACAGCATTTGAAGAGGATCCTGACCTCTGTATTTTCTGATTTGGTTCCTGTGTTTGGGACGTTTTGAGCCTGTTAGTCTTTGGACTGTGGTGTATAGACCCCAGAAAACAGTCTGTGGGTCAGAAAATACCAGAAGACCAACGAAGAAATAAATCCTGAGAAATAAAAACTCATTCAGAGCATCTGTCTGTTATTAGAGCTTTAGATCTGATTGTTAAAAAATGTTTGAAACTGTCAGAGAAAATCTCTCGACCTTCAAAAATCACAGTTTAGTTTTTTCTCCTGTCTCCACACTTTGAGGCAGCAGCAGCTGAATATTTTACTGTTTTATGTTAGAGAAAAGAGAAACTCTGGTTTAATAAATGTCTCTTATTCTGAATCGTTCAAACATGAAATAATAAAGAAAATAAATGTTCTTTATTTCCACAGAGAGACACAGAGATGTGACTCTGTGGAGGAGCAGCTATCCAGATGTTCTTTATGTCAGGACGTCCTGAAGGATCCAGTCTCTACCCTCTGTGGACACCGGTTCTGCAGACAGTGCCTCCCCTCATTCAGGGACCAGTCGACTTCTTCAGCCTCCTGTCCCCAGTGTGGAAAAAGAACCAGAACAGTTCTTGTCTCTCAGACAGACAGTCAGTCCAGCTCTGATGGAAGTAAGTCTGAACATCTGTCCTTTAAACCCTAAATTACACAATTTCTGCTTGAATTATTCTGTTTATTTTAACCATAAAATCAACAGAAAATGTCCTATGAGTGAGTGTTTTAACACATTTTTCCACAACACTTTGAACTTTCATTTCACTTTCAGATTTTTCATTTGAAATCAGAAATTTGAAGAGTATCAAACATACTTAGAACAAAAACTTTGGAGTGCTGTCTCTCAAAGAGCAAAAACAGGTTAAATAAATACAACTACAACTTCTTCTTCTCTCCTCTCGGGCTGCAAACACACTCCTCTCTCACTCTGAGGTCTTGGTGGAACTGTCAGAAGTTCAACAGACACACATCACACCCCTCACATTTCCAGACAGTTCTCCTCATGACAAAGTTTGCAGCGTCGTCTCCCCATGCTGGTTCTTTGAGACTTCAGCTGTCCATGGTTTGTTGGGACATGTAGGTGTTTGTCACCTGTAGTTTTCTTTGCTGGAGACAAACTCTGAGAAGATGTGCAGAAAGCTCCTCCTGAAAGCACCAGGGACAGGTTTTAGGTTGAACCTCAGTAGCTGGGGTCTCCATCATCAGATTCAGATTTTCATCTAGGATGATGTAGTGAGCGGCTTCACTGTCACTACAGCCCAGAGTGTGGGGTCTTCCTCTCTCTCTCTCTCTCTCTCTCTCTCTCTCTCTCTCTGAGCAGTGAGTGTGCTGAGTGAGTGTGCGGAGCGATTGTTCGAGTGTTTGAACATCTTTTCTATCTTTTTGTAGCTTTCTCATGAGAGAAAGTCTGCTTTATTTGTATTAATAGTTGTAGGTGAGTAGTTTAGTTGAGAGTTTGGTGGTGGTGGGCTGACAGCAGGGCGACATGCCCGTTGTCAGTGGTCACGCCGAGCTGGAGCTGCTAACTCGCCGGCACGCGGTGAAAGTGTTACCTGGAGCTGGCGTGTCGGTGGAGGAGGTAAGCTATGCTGTTGGTGAGGTGGTGGGATTCGAGAGTGTAAAGTCAGCATCTAGGATGAATAGTGCTGTTGTGATTTTTTTAGATGAGGTGAGTAAAGTGGAGAGGGTGGTGGAATCAGGTGTAGTATTGAGGGACACGTTCACTTCCGTGTTTCCTCTGGTGAACGTGGCTAAAAAGGTAACAGTGTCAAATGCACCACCGTTTATAAAAAATGATGACCTGTGCAAAGCTTTGAGTAAGTACGGTCAAATTGTGTCACCAATAAAAATGGTCTTGCTAGGGTGCAAATCACCAAAGTTAAAACATGTCGTGTGTCACAGGAGGCAGCTGTTCATGATACTGAAAGACGCCGAAAACCCTTTAAACCTGTCGCTAAATTTTAAGATCGAAGGTTTTAACTACGTGGTTTTTATTACATCGGACACAATGAAGTGTTTTGGGTGTGGGGCTGAAGGACATCTCATCCGAGCATGTCCTGAGGCCAGAAAGGAGAACGCCGGGGCTCCGGGCCCGGAGCGCACGGCGGGTGAAGCCGGGGCTCCGCGCGCGGAGCGGCCGGCGGATGAGGCCGGGCCCCGCGCGCGGAGCGGCCGGCGGGTGAAGCCGGGGCTCCGCGCGCGGAGCGGCCGGAGGGTGAGGCCGGGGCTCCGCGCGCGGGGCGGCCGGCGGGTGAAGCCGGGGCTTCGGGCGCGGGGCGCCCGGCGAGTAAGGCCGGGGCTCTGGGCGCGGAACGCCCGGCGGGTGGAGCCGGGGCTTCGCGCGCGGAGCGGCCGGCGAGTGGGGCCGGGGCTCCGGGCGCGGAGCACGAGTCAGACGCCTCGGGCTCCCGTTTGAGTAAGCAGGTGCCCGAGGATAACAGAATGGAAGTGGGTCTGAGTGGGGATGCACCAAATGAAAATAATGTAAAAATTGATCAACAGAAAAAAACTGTAAATACTGTGGTGGAGGGAGGAGGAGAAAACAAATCAGACATTGACAGCATGATCGAAGTGATTATGGAAGACGTTTTTAACGAACAAAACATCAGTCTTAAATACAGCAAAAGAAAACCAAATGATCAGAGTCAGGGGGGAGGGAAGGCCATGAAGGTACTGGAGGACCTTTCTGAGGAAGAGGAGGAGGAGGAAGAGGAGGAGGAAGAGGCTGACTTTACTCCTTCTCAAAAAGAAAAAATCACAAATTACAGTGTGACAAAAATCAAAAAGTTTTTAGCTGACACTAAAGGTCAATGGGCGGTCAAAGTGGAAAATTTTTTCCCAGATTTAAATGGTTTTATAAACTCAGTGAATCGTTTTCAAAGAGAGAATGCGTTTACTGAGCAGGAAGTCTACAGACTCAGTAAACTCAAAAAAAGGGTCAAAGAAACACTCAGAGTGACAAGTAACTGATTTTTATGATATCGTGTTTTTTATCCCCTGTTTTTATTTGTTCGGTTCTTCTCACAGTTTTTATGAACATTCGCATTGGGACTCTAAACATAAACGGAGCTCGGTCAGACTATAAGAGAGCATCTCTGTTCCAGCTGTGCCAGCTGAAAAAGCTGGACGTACTTTTTGTGCAGGAGACCCACAGTGATCAGAGGAATGAGGGGGACTGGAGAAGGGAGTGGCCAGGCCAGGTCTATCTGAGTCACAAAGTGTCCAACAGTGCTGGGGTGGGGATCCTGTTCTCCAGGTTCTTTAACCCTCACACTGTGCAGGTGCACCAGGTGATGGATGGACACATTTTAATGGTTAAGGCTCAGTATGAGGATTTTAAATTTGTTTTTGTGTGTGTTTATGCTCCAGTGCTGGGCAGAGACAGAATGCTGTTTTTAAATACTCAGTGTGATGTGGTGGGGGGTGTGGAGGAGGGTTTTTTATTCCTGGGGGGTGATTTTAACTGCACTGCTGATGCAGTGATGGACAGGAATCACCTGGAGCCTCATCCTGCCTCATCCACTCGGCTAAAAAGACTGATAGAAACTCATGACCTGAAGGACGTGTGGAGAGGGTTGAATGGCTCCACCAGGCAGTACACCTGGTCCCACTGCAAAGACAACAGCTTGTCTCTTGCCAGACTGGACAGATTTTATTGTTTTAAACACCATTTCAGCATTTTTAGGAAATGTCTTATTGTCCCTGTGGGTGTGTCTGATCACTTTTTAGTCCAGTGTGACTTTTTTATTCAGAATGTGAAGACATCCAGCGCCTACTGGCATTTTAACACGGCTCTTTTAGAAGACTGTGCTTTTAAAGATGCTTTTAGGTTTTTATGGGCTTCACACAGGGACAGGAAGGCAGAGTTTTTATCAGTGCAGAGATGGTGGGACTATGGGAAGGTTTTAATTCAGCAGTTCTGTCAGCAGTATACTCGCAACGTCACCAAGTACATCACCAGATCCCTCCAGGTCCTGGAGACTGAGGTACAGAACCTGTTGGACTGTACAGGAGAAGGGAGGCATGTTGAGGCCCTCCAAAAGAAGAAGGCGGCCATAGCCAACCTGCTGGGCACTACAGCACAGGGGGCGCTGGTGCGCTCCCGCTACATGAACGCCTCCATGATGGACGCCCCATCGAAGTTCTTCTTCAGCCTGGAGTCAAAAAACGGACAGAGGAAGGTGATCCACAGCCTGCGCGCCACTGACGGATCAACCATCACTGGGGCCTCAGAGATCCGCAGGCATGCCACATGTTTTTATAGAGACCTTTTTAAAAGTGAACTGGTGGAGGATCCACAGCTGGAGGCAGACTTTCTGTCTGACCTCCCTCAGGTGGGACAGTCGGGGAACTCTCTCCTGACAGCGGACCTGACTCTGGAGGAACTGCATGTGGCCCTCATGAGCTTGGCCAACGGAAAGGCCCCAGGCATCGACGGGATCCCAGTGGATTTCTATAAGACTTTCTGGCCCGTGGTGGGCGAGGACTTATTGGAAGTATTTCAGGAGAGTTTGAGAACAGGACTGCTACCGCAGAGCTGCAGGAGGGCTGTCATAACCCTGCTCCCCAAGAAGGGAGACCTCCAAGAACTGAAAAACTGGAGACCGGTCTCACTGCTCTGCGGGGACTATAAGGTCCTCTCCAAAGCCCTGGCTCTACGGCTGCGAGAGGTGATGGCGGAGGTGATTCATGTAGACCAGACTTACTGTGTGCCCGGCAGACTGATCAGTGATAACATCACTCTGATTCGGCATGTTTTGGACGTCTCTAGCTCTTTAGGCGTTGACACTGGTCTGATTTCCATAGACCAGGAAAAGGCTTTTGATCGGGTTGAACACCAATACCTGTGGAAGACGCTCGCCGCCTTCGGGTTCAGCCCAGATTTTATAGCCAGGGTTCGGGTTATGTACCGTGACGTTGCGAGCATACTCAAGATTAATGGTGGTCTGGCTGCTCCCTTCTGCGTTCAAAGAGGGGTTCGACAGGGTTGCTCCTTATCAGGAATGCTCTATTCTCTAGCGATTGAGCCCCTGCTAGAAAAAATGAGGAGGACTCTGACAGGAGTTCTGTTCCCAGGATGTCCTTCAGCGATAAAACTGACAGCATACGCTGACGACATCATGGTGGTTTTAAATACACAGAAAGACATTCAGGTTTTAGAGGACAAAGTAAATCTTTTTAACAAACTGTCTTCAGCCAGGGTCAACTGGGCCAAGAGTGTGGCCTTCACCACAAACAGGGACTCCTTGGGGGGGCTGGTTCTTCCTGGGGGGCTCCAGTGGACAGTGGGGGGCTTAAATATCTTGGGGTGTTTTTAGGGGATGAACAGTTTTTAAAGAGAAACTGGGAGGGGGTCCTTGAGGCTGTCGAGGGCCGACTGAAGAGGTGGAGGTGGTTGCGGCCGTCCATGTCGTACAGGGGGAGGACCCTGATCATTAACAACCTGGTGTCGTCCTTCCTGTGGCACAGGTTGGCTGTTGTAGACCCTCCCCCTAACCTGCTCTCCAGGGTCCAGACTGTTTTAATTGACTTTTTCTGGGACAAGCTCCACTGGCTCCCACAGGCGGTGCTGTTCCTCCCTGTGGAAGAGGGAGGTCAGGGGCTGGTGCACCTGGCCAGCAGGGGGCAGCGTTCAGACTGCAGTTTATCCAGCGGCTGCTGTACGGGCCCCAGGACCTGGTGTGGAGGCCCCTGGCTCGGCTGATTCTGCGGAGCGTGGGCGGCCTCGGCCTACAGGAGACTGTGTTTTTATTGGATTTTAAGACTGTGAGTTTTTTATCCCTGCCAGTGTTTTACCGAGGTGTGTTCAGCGTGTGGAAGCTGCTGTGGAGGCAGAGGGTCCAGCACCAAACCTGCTGCTGGCTGCTGAAGGAGCCGCTGGGCCGTGGAGGCCTGCTAAGCAACCCTCCCTGGGCAGGAGCAGCGGTGGCCGAGGACCTGAGGACAGCGGGGATCACCACGCTGGGGACCCTGCTGGACATCACCGGACCCGACCTGCAGGAGACGGAGGAGCTGGCGAGGCGCTTGGGCTGGAGATCGAGGAGGAACATGAGCCGACTGCTGAGCCACTGGAGGACCTGCCTGACGGGACGAGACCGGCAACTGCTGGGAGAACAGCGACAGGAACAGACTGCCCCCTGTCCCAACCTACCGTTCCCCCCCCTCATCATCCGTCCGGGACCAGACCTGCAGCAGGAGGTGAGCCTGGAGAAGGCCGAGGGAAAGGCTCTCTCGGCTCTAATGGTGAGGACGTTAAACCGAGAGAGACTGCAGCAACACATCCGGTCCCCCTGGAGGGCTCGGCTGGTCCTGGGGGACAAGGTCCAGGCTGAGTGGAGGAGCCTGTACAAGCCTCCACTCTCCAAGAGGGTGGCTGACCTCCAGTGGAGACTAATTTATGGGATTTTAGCTGTAAACTCTTTTATTTCCATCATGAACTCATCAGTCCAGAACAACTGTCCGTTCTGTGGAGCAGTGGAGACCATCGTCCACTGCTTCACTGAGTGTCCTCGCCTCGCTCCTCTGTTCGAACTGATGGAATGTGTGTTCAGGAGAGCAGACGAGGTGTTTTCTTTTAAGACGTTCATTCTTGGTTTTAAATACAAAAGAGCTCAAAAAGAAAAATGCCAAATGTTGAACTTTGTGCTGGGACAATCAAAATTGGCGATCTACATGAGCAGGAAGTTGAAAGTGGAGGACGGTGTGGACTGTGACCCGGTGCTGCTGCTGAGCAGAACCATCAAAGCGAGGATTCTGATTGACTTCAAGTACTATAGAGAAATGCAGAACATGCTGCGGTTTTATCAAACATGGACCCATGGTGGAGTACTGTGCTCAGTTAAAGATGGTGGACTGGAGTTTTCAGATCAGCTGGTCTGATCTGGTTTTATTTATTGTTTTTATTTAAAATATGTATATATATATATATATATATATATATATATGTATATATATGATGCTGATTGTTGTTGTTGAAAAAATGACTTGAATAAAGTTGTTTTGAAAAATCAAAAAAAATCTCCCTCTCTCTTTCTCTCTCTCTAGCGCTCTCTCTCTCTCGCTCTCTCTCTCACACACACACACACTCTGTATAAAGTACAAACAAAGAATGAATACCTTTCTCTGTCTGAAGTTGCTCTGAAAGCTTCTCCATCGGTCCCAAAGTCGTCTGTAAACCTCAGTGGAGGTTTTCTCACTCAGGATGTTTGTATTTCAGTCATTTTCCTTTGAAATAACCACTTTTTTCACTTTTCTCTCTTTTTGCTCCATTTCTCCGCTCTGTTGTGTGTCTATCTGCTGCTTTCTTTGAGAGGGGGAGAGAGGACGGAGAGACAGATTTTCTCTCTAAACAGCAGGAGTGAAATTACCGTAATAACTGTATATTGTCTGTCTGGTGAGACTTCTCAGCTTTCAGAAACCATTGGAGTTTTTCTGACAGCACAAACTTTCCCACAGTTACGGTAATTTAAAGAGCGCCTGTGTAAAGGTGTCGGCGCCGACAGACTGTGAGGAAAAGTCTGTGTGGATGAAAACTCAGCTGACTGATTTTCACAAAGACGTTTCAGTGTTGAGAAGTTTGGTTCATTTTATTTTTCTTCTCTTTCAGAAGATGGTGGTCTGCAGGAGGTTTTAGATGAACATAAGATCAGTCTGAAGAGGAGATGTGAACGTGTGAATGAAGGAAGTGATGAAACAGGAAGTAGTCAAACCCTCCTCAACAGGATCTTCACTGAGCTCTACATCACAGAGGGACTGAGTGAAGAGGTGAACACCCAACATGAGGTGATACAGCTGGAGACAGCTTCAAAGATGAAGACCCTCCATGACACGCCCATCAGGTGTCATGAGATCTTTCAAACCTTACCTGACCAACAGGAGAAGGTCATCAGAGTGGTTCTGACCAACGGCGTGGCTGGTGTTGGAAAAACCTTCTCAGTGCAGAAGTTCACTCTGGACTGGGCAGAGGGTTTGGAGAACCAAGACCTCCATCTGGTGGTCCTGCTTTCATTCAGGGAGCTGAACCTGATCAGAAAGAAGCGCTTCAGTCTTCTGAGTCTGCTCCATGTTTTCCATCCAACACTAGAGAAGGTCACAGCAGAGAGGCTGGCTGTCTGTAAACTTCTGTTCATCTTTGACGGTCTGGATGAAAGCAGACTGTCTCTGGATTTCACAGACTCTGAGGTGGTGTCTGACGTCACACAGACGTCTTCACTGAACGTTCTGTTAACAAACCTCATCAAGGGGAACCTGCTCCCCTCAGCTCTCATCTGGATAACTTCTCGACCTGCAGCAGCCAATCAGATCCCTCCTTCACGTGTGGACAGGGTAACAGAAGTACGAGGCTTCACTGACGCCCAGAAGGACGAGTACTTCAGGAAGAGGTTCACAGATGAAGATCTGTCCAGAAGAATCATCTCACACATCAAGTCCTCCAGGAGCCTCCACATCATGTGTCAGATCCCGGTCTTCTGCTGGATCACTGCGACAGTTCTGGAGGACATGATGAGCAGAGAGCAGAGAGGAGAGCTGCCCAAGACCCTGACTGACATGTACTCACACTTCTTGCTGGTCCAGACTAAGAGGAAGAAGCAGAAGTATGAAGGAGGACATGAGACAAGTCCTCAGGAGCTGACAGAGGCTGACAGTGAAGTCCTCCTGAAGCTGGGGAGGCTGGCCTTTGAACATCTGGAGAAAGGAGACATCATGTTCTACCAAGAAGACCTGGAGCGGTGTGGTCTGGATGTCTCAGAGGCCTCGGTGTACTCAGGAGTTTGTACAGAGATCTTCAGAAGAGAGAGTGTGATCTTCCAGAAAACTGTTTACTGTTTCGTTCATCTGAGCGTTCAGGAGTTTCTGTCTGCAGTCTACATGATCCACAGTTTCACAACCAGGAACAAAGAAGCTCTGAAGACTTTCCTAAGAGGCAACGATGACAAAATGTTTCCTTATTCTTTTATAAACCTGGATGTCTTCCTGAAGAGTGTCATGAAGAAATCCCTTCTCAGTAAAAACGGTCACCTGGACCTGTTTGTTCGCTTCCTTCATGGACTCTCTGTGGAGTCAAACCAGAGACTCTTAGGAGGTCTGCTGGGTCACACAGACAACAGTCCAGAAATGATCCAAACAGTCATCGAGAACCTGAAGGAGATGAACAGTGAAGATATCTCTCCTGACAGAAGCATCAACATCTTCCACTGTCTGATGGAGATGAACGATCTGTCAGTTCATCAGGAGATCCAAGAGCTCCTGAAGTCAGAGAACAGATTTAAGGAACTCTCAGAGATCCACTGCTCTGCTCTGGCCTACATGCTGCAGATGTCAGAGGAGGTTCTGGATGAGTTGGACTTAAGGAACTATAACACATCAAACCAGGGACGACAGAGACTGATCCCAGCTGTGAGGAACTGCAGAAAGGCTGAGTAAGTCCAGGTTTTATTCTCAGAATAGTGTAAATGATCCCTGTAGTTCTTCTAATGTCCACGTTACTGATGATGTTCTTCTTCAAATAGAAATCCACTCAAATATCAGGGAGGGGGTTTCTTTAGCAAAAACATGATCCTGGTGTCTAAAGTCCTGTTAGCCCAGGATGAGGTCTACCTGTGGACCCCTGAGAACTTGTCCTGATTGTGGAGGACCTCTTTGTTTTGAATCGTGTCTGTAATGAATAAAGTGGAACTTTCAGGACAAATCAGCGACCATATCTGAGGACACACAGAGGTCTTCTGATGATGGTATCAGTCCAGATCAACATCTCAGTCAGTTGTGGTGAACTTGAGTTTGAAGAAGGTGTCTGCAGCTTCTTCCTGCTGGTTTTCAGGTTGGAAATGATGAATCTGTTGTAAATGAGGGTGTTGACAGCATTGATGGTGAAAATAGAACTGGATCATTTTCTACACAGTGGCAGAACTGTCTCTGTACCATCATGTTCATCATTCAATATTCATCATCAATACAACCATGAAAACTAACATCATTTTCCACCACTCACTGGAGATTATCTGCTGGACTAGAACATATGAATGATGAGAACACAGGAGGTATTTGGACAGCAGCTCCATGTGTCTGAAAACAACGGTGGTCTCTCTCTATCTCCCCCCTCTCTCTCTCTCTCTGTCTCTCTGTCTCTCTCTCTCTCTCTCTCTCTCTCTCTCTCTCTCTCTCTCTCTCTCTCTCTCTCTCTCTCTCTCTCTCTCTCTCTCTCTCTCTCTCTCTCTCTCTCTCTGCCCTCGGTGCTGCAGGTTAGCACTGACACTAGTCTGCCTCATAACACCTCATAGCATGTGGAAACAGCCGTGCTCTTCCACTGTATATATGGACACCATGTCTCTAAGGAGAAGCAGTGTGACTGCGTCATCATCATCATCATCATCATCATCATCATCATCATCAGTTTTCCATGGTGTCCCTTTGTTGTCATGGTGATAGTGAAGATGATTCCTCTCATGTTGAGGTGTTGGTGGGCTGTAGCGGTCTCATTTCTCCCACTCGGCTGCACGCCTCTGTTTCAGATGTTGATGTAAATTGGTCAGACTGCTGCCTTCTGCTGAAACAGCCTTTAAACAAACACTGCAGCAGACTGGGGTTTGATCCAGGTCTGAGTCTGAGAGACTGAACCAGGTCTAAAGGACTAAAACCAGCATTTCTGTCATTGAATTAATGCAGGTACCCATATTGGTCCTCCGTGTTGATATGATCAGGACTCATTATTGATACCTCACTTCATGATTTAGTGCAGACATTTAAAAAAGTGAAGAAAACACGTTCAAATGTGAATCTCTTTTATTTCCCCTGACTCCAAATGTTTCTTTCTGTATGAAACACAAACTATAAAAATTCAATCTGTTATTTTTATAGGAGTCATGAGAACGTACGCCCCCTAGAGTTCAAATAACCTCAACCCTGAATTTGACCACAGCTCCTCAGGTTTAACTTTGTTTTTATCGTTTAACTATCATGAAGTATTGGACGATAATGTGCAGACAGAGAGAGAGAGAGAGAGAGAGAGAGAGACAGAGAGAGAGAGGGAGAGACAAAGAGAGGAAGACAGACAGAGAGAGAGAGAGGGAGACAGAAAGAGAGGGAGAGAGAGACAGAGAGAGAGAGAGAGAGAGAGAGATGACCAGAGCCCAAAGACAGAGGTTCAGTGGGTCTTTGTTTCTGTCTCTTAAAGGTCTCTCTGGACTCATCAGGCTTTATAAATGTGTTTCTGCTGCTGAAGGGAATGTTACATGGAGAAAAAACTTCAAACCAGCTCTAACCTGCTAAAAAATTATTTTATCTGAACCAATCAGAGAAAAAGGAGCTGCTGTGATTTAGTGAGTCGTCCTCTGATTGGTCAACAGTCAGTGTCTATGGACAGACTTACATTACAGCAGGATGTCAACATTAAACACTGAGAGGAGCACTGATTCTCCAAGAGGTACTTTGGATACTAACCAATCACATACCAGGACCAAAAACCTGGTTCTCAGTCCCCTTCTCCAACCAGAACTCAACAATTCACTCAGTCATAATGATCCAGCTGCACTAACATGAAGACAACACTGTTAGAGAACAGAACGACTAAAATAAGTCATGGAGTCATTTGTCTTGAACATCTGAACAGTTTTTTTTTCTTCTAAACTTTGACTTCCTGTCTTCTCTCATGGCTGTGGTCCTGATATTAGTATCTGTCTGGTTAAAAAACAGGCCGTCTGTCAAACCAAAGATCATGTTTGTTTTTGGGGAAGAGAAACATCAAATTACCCTTTAATGAAATATTGTTGATATTCATGTTGTTACAGATTGTGGGGCTGTGGACTCTCAGCGACTCACTGTGAAGTTGTGGCCTCAGCTCTGAAGTCCAACCCCTCCCATCTGAGACATCTGGACCTGAGTCACAACAATCTGCAGGATTCAGGAGTGAAGCTTCTCTGTGCAGGACTGGAGAGTCCAAACTGCAGACTGGAGTTTCTGAAGTGAGACACCATTTCCTTCTGATCGAACAATAAGATGTGACAGCTGCTGCCTGAGATTTTTCTCTGTGGTTTTTCCATCAACTTTGGTCGAGCAGTTTGAATTTGTCGTTGTAAAACTTCGACACAGGAAGAAAAATCCGACATTTCAGAGTTGACTTTGAGGAGAACGATGGATGTAGAAAGGAAGCAGGAGAAAATCAGTCCCACAAATATTACACATGCTTGTAGAGGGCAGGAGCAGCACAGACTAAAGGCTGATTTTGAACTGATCCACAGTTAATGTGATCACTAATGAATGAATGAAGTGTCAGAGAAATGATGAGCTGCAGATTGAAACCTGAAGAACAAAGTTAATCCAACTCTGGAGATTTCATTTGGAAACTCTTGAAAACTTGAATTTCTTCTTTGCTCAGTCGTGTTCAAATGTAAAAACCAGATCCAGATTTTTCTGCAGTTTTCACTTCAGTTTGTTGAACATGAACATCATCTTGTCCAGTTGGTCCATAAAAACCTCTCTGATCAATGATCTGTTGATTTATTTAAGAGTAGTTTCGCAGTTGTTGACAGCAGACGGACAGACCCCTGAATAAACTCCTGACTATTTTCATCTTCATGAAGAATTCAGGACGACAAAAGAACCTTTGAGATTTCTCACAGGAGTTTCTCAGGATCTCACTAAAGTTTTCTGTAAAAGGTTTTCTGAAAAATTCCTCAAGATTTTCAAAAAGTTTAGAGAGGATTTTACAAAGTTCCTCAAGATCAACTCTGAAAAAGTTCTTCTTCCATGACCTTCAGAGGCTCAAGAACATTGAATCATTAAGAGCAGGAACAGTTTCTTCAGAGGTTCAATGATTTTTTCCTTTTTCAGACTGAGTGGCTGCAGTTTGTCAGAGATCAACTGTTCTTCTCTGGTCTCAGCTCTGAAGTCCAACCCCTCCCATCTGAGACATCTGGACCTGGGTCACAACAATCTGCAGGATTCAGGAGTGAAGCTGCTGTGTGATCTTCTGCAGAGTCCAAACTGTAAACTGGAGACTCTGGAGTAAGTTTAGTCTTTGTCTGTTTCTGTTGTAGATTTTTATGTTTGTTCAGTTTTTTTAATTCAAATGTTCATAGAATTCTTTGATATTTCCAGAACTTTCTTCTTTCTCACATAAATTCATAGTTTTTTATTGAATCATCAGTCAGATACAGATGGAGGAAAACTGTGAGTTATTTTGTTGATTGAATGTTGATGATTTTTTATAAATGGTTCAGATGATCACTGCAGTGATGTTGACGGGTTTACTTCCTCGGTCTCTAAATCAGTCAAATGTTCAAGGATGCAGTGAACTCACTATCCATGCAGCTCAGGAACACAGCTCATCTTTTTCATACAGGAAACTTTGTCAACAACAAAGGTGTGTTAAAGTCCCATCAGTCAGCAGCTTCAGTCACAAACCTCGCTATCAGAGCTCCGTCATTTCAACCCTCTGTATAACTCCTCAGCACAGACCAGACCCTGTGAGCACATCCTCACAACATGCTGCTTTAGTTACAACAACAACAATCAGCTGTTAGCAGAGATTTCATCCAAACAGTCCAGGATACAAACTTTGAAGTGGTTGGAAAATTCAGGTGTCCACCGCTCATGCAGAGTTGACTCATGTTGATGATGTTTTCATGTCTAGAGGACATGCTGGAGTGAATTCAACCAAACCTCCTGAGAAAAAGACAGCGGTGGCAGACATTAGATCAGGCTTCATGACGTCTGTGCGTCCCTTTATTCAACCAGATCAGCAGTCCCAGAGTTTTCCCTCATCTCTTTAGATTTGATGGTTTTTGTGATTTTGATGTTTCCACACAAACTTAAAATAAAATTTTAGATTTGACATTTTGAACATATTCATGAGTTAATATTGATTAATTACAACCATATCATACTGATATCAGACAGGAGTGTGACAGGTGTTTATTAGTCTTTTTGACACGTTACAATCATGAGGATAAAGTCATGGACTAAACTTGGGCTCCCAGTTTCCTTGTTGTTGTTTCTTCAGCTAGCATCGTTGTTTTCATCACAGTTATTAAAGTAATAATGATGCCTCATAAATTCAGAGTCACAAAAAAACACCAAACAAACCAAATCTGAACATGAGGTTTGAGTTGTCATGAGGAGGAAACGAGAAAGATCTGCTCTGACAGTTAGAAACACAGACACCTGAATTTACACTGACAGACACACAAATACAGACAGTGAGACACAGATTCAGATTCAGATTCAGATTCCTTTATTAACCATTGTGTAAAACACATAGGAATTTGCTTTGGCAATAGCATGAGTGTGTTCGGATGTTTTTTCACAGATAACATAAAACACAAACAACACAGTGCAGAAAAATGGATAAATATAAAGTGCAGTAGGATCAATAGTGCAAATGTTGTTGAGTCATTACAGTTTCAGAGTTTCAGAGTCATTTCAAGTGACAAAGTCCCTAGTGGGTGGGGAGAGGAGGGAGGCCAGACTCATTGAGCAGCCTGGCAGCAGAGGGGAAAAAACTGAGTCTATGGCGTGCTGTGGTGGCCTTCAGCAGCCGCATCCTTCTCCCAGAGGGGAGCAGGGAGAGGAGACTGGCCAGGGTGGGAGGGGTCGGCTATGATTTTTCTTGCCCTCCTCAGCGCCCTGGAGTTGTGCAGGGACTTGAGGGAGGGCAGCGGGCGGCCAATCACCCTCTCCGCTGAACGAATCACCCTCTGCAGCTTGATAAGGTCTTTTGCAGCTGCAGCGGGGAACCAGGTCCATCTTCAACCAGTGGGTGAGGATGGACTCAATGATGGCCGTGTAAAACTGAGTCATCATGGTCCTTGATAGTCTGTACTTCCTCAGCTGCCTTAGGAAAAACAGTCTCTGCTGGGCCTTTTTCAAAAGGGACATGATGTTCATGACACACAAATACAGACAGTGAGACACAGACAGAGACACAGACACACAAACACAGACACACACAGAGATTTTCCTCTTCGTCTCTTTGCTGTGATGACTGAAGTCACAAAAACAAAGTTTTCTTCGTCACTTTTATGATTGAACCAAAAAAGTTAAAGAGCCAAACTCTCAGATGGCTCATATGGTTTGAAAGGTTCCTGCAGCAAAACCCGATTAGAGAGTGGACTAAATGAAATGAAATCAGCTGACCTGTCTCATCAGAGTCTCATCCATTCTCTGTTTGGCAGAGCGCTGATGTTACAGTCTGAGAGCACATTCAGGTTCAGCTTCACATGGGCTGGATCTGCTCAATACAAACTCTTGAGACCAGCCTGGTTGAGGGAGGTGGGCTCAGTGTCCTGGGTGACTCTCTCTGAGCTCTTCTTGGTTGAGAGTATTTCTGGTTTGTCTCTGACTTCCATGAACTCAGATCTGGAGGATTGCTGGCTGGTCCGGTCCAGTTCTGACAGTAGAGACAACACAGTCTGTTATTCTGGGTTGAGTGTTCTTGTTGAAGATCAGTGTACAGTGAGGGATGAAGGCAGACAAAGATCCTCCTGTTTCCTCCATGTCACAGTTCAAGTTCATTTTGAAGACTTTGATTGATCCGAGCGCTGAAGAGGAACAGGAAACGTGGAGTAGAGAGTGAGGGAGGACTTACAGCAAAGGATCATGGGAGTCCAACCAGCAACTGCTGCAACAAAGACTCCACCTTCTGAACACCTGAACCTCTAATCCAAACCAGTGCTCCATCACATTTAATGTCTTGTTCGTTATTTTACATGGAGGGTCAGAGCAGACCAGATCATGAGCTCTGACAGACTGGATCTGGTCCAAAGGTCTCCTGTTGGAGTTCTCTAAGCGCCATATTTTAAACCTGAACACCTGAAGTTTAATTATTAATTATTTTTATCTTCATTCTCTTTCCTTTTTTCAGACTGAGGGGCTGCAGTTTGTCAGAGATCAGCTGTTCTTCTCTGGCCTCAGCTCTGAAGTCCAACCCCTCCCATCTGAGACATCTGGACCTGAGTACCAACGATCTGCAGGATTCAGGAGTGAAGCTGCTGTGTGACTTTCTGAAGAGTCCAAACTGTAAACTGGAGACTCTGAGGTCAGAATTTTTTCCTCCATTCAAACATGATCATGATTTGTTTGTGATGATGACACTAAACTGCTGACTCAGGACTGAAATACTGACCCAGACTGAACACCTTCAGTCCAGAGTAGATTTTCTGCATCAGTGGATTATTTGATTGACTCCAGTTCGATCACTGCTGAGCTCCAGTGAATTAAAACCTGAACCCAAGAAGAAAACTCTTTGTAGAGTTCACAGTGAGAAGCACATTCAGACAGAAAACAGAAGCAGGGGGAGATTTGTCAGACGAGAACCATTCAAACTTTTGTTCAGGACAAGATCAGGGAATAGAAAAAACTCAGAGTTTAGTTTCTGACTCTGATGAAAGTCCAGCTCTGTTACTTTGAATTTTGTTTTTGAATCTTTGTGTGAAAATCTGAATTTTCTGGTTTATCTGCACTTTTCTGAAGCCTTGCTGTGTTTAGACTGAAATATTTTCCTCTCAAAGACGTGATATTTTTGGTTCAGGAGAGTTCAAACACTCTGAACATCCTTTATTTCCCATCCGTCCTGAAGTCGCTGACATTCTCTGAAAATATTGATCTGCATCTACAATCAGTAAAAAAGTCTCTTGAGTTTTTTATTTCACTATTTAATGTGTTTTTGAATTCACTGTTTCAAACTGACTTCCTGTTTGGTTCAGCTCTTTGGAGCGTCACTTTTCTGTGATTCAGACTTTCCAAACCTTTCCCCTGAACTCTACAGATTTAAGACATCAGGTTTCAAACTGGATCATTTTTCTCTAAAATCTCATTATTTCCTCTTTATTTAGGTTGAGTCTCTGCAGTTTGACAAAGATCAGCTGTTCTTCTCTGGCCTCAGCTCTGAAGTCCAACCCCTCCCATCTGAAAACTCTGGACCTGAGTTTCAACAATCTGCAGGATTCAGACGTGGAGCTGCTGTGTGATCTTCAGAAGAGTTCAGACTACAGACTGGAGGATCTGGAGTCAGTATAGAGTTGGAGTTAGTCTGTGCTGATCTCTCCTGTTCCTCTCCACACAGTATCACAGCAGATATTCAGTATTTCCTGCTGACTCTTCGACCCTCTCAGAGGATTCTTTCTTTAGTGAAGCTGTGAGAACAGAAATCATCAAACCAGGAGTGTAAGAGTGTCAGTCATGAAAAAAGTGTCTCCTCGTCTCTATATTTCAGATCAAATGTAGAAATGAGACATAATGAAATAGAAATGTTCAGTTTCTGCTCTGAAGTGGAGTTTATAGTTCTCTGTATTCAACACAGACTTTATTTCTCTGCTAACTTGTTGATTTTGAGCTCTAAGTTTGAAAACAGACAGCTGTTCTTTATACTTGTTATTTTCACAGCAGGTTTGTTCGATCAGCTTTAACACATTTGACAGGAATGATTTCTTTATTTTGATGATGTTGGTTTATTTGTGAGGAAACCTGCTGCTTTACACCATCACTTCTGGTCTGAGCAGGACTGAGACCTGCTGGTCTGTAAACTGGATGTTCTTCAGTCCAGCTGATGAAGTGAGTCTCAGAGTGGAAACACTGATCGTCTTTTTTTCTCTCCTCAGATGGAGTTAACATCAGTCAGAGTGATTAAGAAGAGGATCACGTGTTTCCTGACGATCAGAGAGGTGGAGGCAGCAGCAGTGAGGGTGAGGTGAGTCTCTGACTGAGAGACTGACTGACCAATCACAGCGGGCGGAGAGGACTCTGGGAGCTGCACTTTGACCTGCTCTGAGATCAGCTCAGGACCTGGACTCTGGATATTTGATCTTTTCCCTCATATTCTGGGATCAAACAGTCTGAACAGGTTTGTTTTGTTGATGGAAACATGATCATAAATTTACACTTTGATTGGATTACTTTGTTTTTACCATGATGCAGCGCCACCCAGTGGAAATTTAAAGAGGTGGAGTTGATTTATTCCCACATATTTCTGCAGCAGGAGTTGATACCATGTGTGAGAGTAGATCAGTCAGAAGTTCTGATTAAACCCAAAGGTTTTTTCTTTCCTTTGCACCATTAGAGACCGAATATAAACTGAAGGGAGAGGAAGAGGAGTGAGGAGAGATGGAGGTGAAGGGAGGAGGAGGAGGACAGGGTTTGGGGTTTTAACAAAAATCTGAAGCTTTATTCTTTCACTTGATTATTTTTATTCATCCGTTTTCTTCTTCAGTTTCTGAAATGATTGTAAATATTGACTGGAGGTATATTGACCTTATTTTCTATTATTAGACATTATTTTCCGTCTCTTTACATGTTTTTGTTCTCATATCATCTTTGTGCTCATCAATAATCGATTCCCTCCTGTTTGGATGAACAAACACAATTATTAAACCATAAATGAGACCTGAGAGTAAAATGTGTGAAATATAATCAGTCAAAGGAAAGATTCTTGAACAAAAACAAAAACATTATTTTTACTTTATTATGATGGAGAAGTTTTCCTCTGACAGACAAAAATAACCGTATTGACTGGAGTCTGGAAAAAGTGAGATCAGCATCTATTCAGGGTGAAGTCATTAACGTGGTCGACGCTGTTTTATAAACTCAGTGTTGTTGATTACAATCTCAGCTTCATAAATTGATGCTACAGTGGAGTGACTTCCTGTAAAATCCACTGGCTTTGTGAGACCGTCAGCTTTCAGGAGATAAGTTTGAGTTTCTGTGACACTCCAAAGCTTTTCTATCCCACAGAGAAGATCGGTGTGTTTCAGAGACCTTCCTGATCCCATCCCTCCAAAATGAAAATAATCTGATGGTTTATGGATTCATTTCAGTAACAAAGTGTCATTTCTGTTGTTAGCCAATCAGAGGCTGTATCTGCCATCAGCTGACCTGTAAAGATCCAATCAAAAGCCAGGACAGCTCATGTCACAGTCTGATCGCAGCAGAGAAACATTAAACATAGAACTATTGTGAACAGATATGTCCTCTTCAGCTTATCTAGTGTCAATAGATCTATGCTCTGTCTGCGTAACTCTGTGTTGGTTCTTCATTTACACCAGATAATTTTTTATTTCATTTCACTGTAACAATGTCATTTAAAGACAATAAAAACTTTATTTGAACCAAAACATGTTCAAAACATCAACTCAGCTTGTTTCAGTCACTGTGTCCAATTGATTATTATTATTTTTCATTCAAACAAAAACTAGATTTGGTCTTAAAAAAGTCCTCAAAGTGAGTCTGAAAAGTGGAGGAAGGTTTTATCATCAAGGTGCTCCTATATTCAGGTCAATACGGCAAAAGTCGGTGTGTGTTTAGTTGGTCTTAGTTTTTATGAAGCAGGAACTTTGATTTGATCGTCTTTTCTTGGAAATCAAACTTCCTGTTGGACTCAAAGATAAAGTCTGTGATCTCCCGTCAGGTTTGAAGACTTTAGTCTCACAGCAGAGTGATTGTGGCTCTGAGATGTTTGGACACGTTGAAATTGAAGCTTTTCTTTGAGAAAAACAAACTTAATCATGCAGCACAGTTGATTCATGTGTTTTTATTGGTGATTTTCTCTCCAATGTCGGTTATTGTTCATTCAAAATAAAACATCTAAAAAATATGAAGATAGGAGATTTCTGCATGACATCAACGATATTCTAGATTTCTAAGCAACAGGTGCTCGTCTCTTATAGGGGTATTTTGATCCAGAAATCTGAAATCTGCATTTATAAGGAGAAAAAGATTGGGCCATGTATGGAGCCTTGGGGCGCCCCACATGGAAGAGGAGCTGAGGAGCTGAGGAGGAGGAGGAGGAGGCATCACCAAGGTTGACAGAGACGCTCCTGTCAGCCAGGTATGTCCTGAACCACTCCAGGACAATACCTTTAATCCCCACCAAGTGCTCAAGACGAGAAATTAAAATGTTGTGATCCACAGTGTCAAAAGCTGCAGAAAGGTCTAAAACATAAGTACAGCTGAATCCCCAGAATCAGTGAGCATTAAAATACCATTACAAACCTTTAAAAGAGCTGTTTCAGTGCTGTGCTTTAAAACCAGATTGAAACACCTTGAGATGCTGTTTGTCTAAAAACGATTGCAGTTGACTGAAAACAACTTCTTCTTCTCCATATAAAACTATCAAAGAGATTCTGTGTTTGTTCAGACAGAGTTGAGTTTGTTTCTCGATTGCCCATCTTTTGTTTTTCCATCGCCATAATCAGCCTCTCTTCACGGTTCGTCCTCAAACAGCTGCAGAAATGTCACTCTGACTCCTGCTCCTTAGCGTCTCATCACAATCATTAATCCATATGCAGTTACAGTTTTGGCCACCGGAGGGCGCCGATGAGTATTGACAATGGTTCTCACTCTGCTGCTGTTTTGATGGCTGAACTTTATGTCCCGATTTCTGAGCTGAAAATGGACAAGAAAAGCTGTCAGTTTGTTGCTGCCAAACTCCATCACACTCTATGTTAATTTATATTTTACAAGAAACCAAAACAAAACCGTTCCCGTCGCCAGAGAGTGGCTATGAGCAGAGTGAAACACGTTTAGCAGTATTGAGTGTGTAGCAGGTGGGATTCAGAGTCAGAGAAGCTAGATCAACTCCTCCCCCTCTTCAATCAATCAATTAATCAATCTATCGGGTCGGGCATCTGTAAATTGAAACACTATATCAAGCAAAATTGAAAACTAATATGTTTTAATGTTTGATAAAGACTGCGTTCTTACACGCACAAATTGAGTTTGAAAAGACAACTCCCGCTAAACCTTCTATACTATCGCCTATATTTAATTGGAAATACGTAGGTGTAACAGGGTTAAACGTATATTATTATTTTTTTATAATTACAAAAATTAAACCTTTGTGTTTTTATGTTTGTCCATGGACCCTTTTAGTGATTTTATGTATTTTAATCCTAGCCTCTCTCTTCCTGTCGATTTCTTTTCCTTTATATTTGAGTTGCCCTCCTTACTTCTCCCCTTTCTCTAACAGTCAGAGTAGAACAGAGCATTTCCAGTTGACACCACACGGTGGCGCCTCCCTTTGTTTAGTCACTTGGTATCACCCTTGCTTCTCTCTGCCAAAATCAACGAAGAAGAAGAAGACCTCAGTAATACGGACGCCGGTGAAGGCTTCAATCCACGAACATCTTTGCTCTTTGTTTGTATGGTTCGTATGTGTGAATAAATGTTCAGTGTGGAAGTCCCTCCACTTCACCTCCCGCCTCGAAACTTTATTTCATGCCGGAGCTAGGCTAATAGCATTCGCGGCTAAGCGTCCCTCCAACTCCACGTTACAAATCCCTGGAGGAGAGGAGCGGAGGTGGGCTGCAAGGCTGGAGAAATGCTGACGTGTCCTTTCATTCTATTACACTGATCTGAGCGTCACAACATATAAATTAACTGTGTGAGTGTGATGGAGTTTGGCAGCAACAAACTGACAGCTTTTCTCCTCATACCACTGTTTCATCTTCCTCTACTTCCCTTTTGGCGGTAAAACGTGGTTCACATTACCGCTAAACAGGTTTCACTCTGCTTAAGGCCACTTACTGGTGGCGAAAAGGGTTTATTTTGGTAAATTGTAAGAAATAAATTAACTCAGAGTGTGATGGAGTTTGGCAGCAATAAACTGACAGCTTTTCTTGTCCATTTTCAGCTCAGAAATCGGTACATAAAGTTCAGCCATCAAAACAGCAGCAGAGTGAGACGTCTTCCTTTTCCTCATACCACTGTCATTACTCATCGGCGCCCTCCGGTGGCCAAAGCTGTAACTGCATATGGATTAATGAAGTTTGTGATGAGACGCTAAAGAGCAGGAGTCAGTGACATTTCTGCAGCTGTTTGAGGACGAACCGTGAAGAGGGACTGATTATGGCGATGGAAAAACAAAAGTCGGACAATCGTGAAACAAACTAAACTCTGTCTGAACAAACCCAGAATCTCTTCTATAATTTTATATGAAGAAGAAGAAGAAGATGGGTTTTAGGCATTCCACTTGATAGCGCCAACGTGAAACTATACAGAAAGACAGACTCTAAGAGAGAACGATTTTGATAAATTTTTGTATTTCATTCTATTCAATGCCCAAAGTTCGACTATTTATTGTTAATTTAAAATAACTGAATTATAAACATTTAGCTTAAAAAATCAAACACGTTGAGAAAAAGGGAGACATTTTAAAGAAATGACATGTAGTGGCCCTCAGACTTTTACTTTATGGTCGATATAAATAAATGTGTAATGCTGTTTTTATCAGCAGTGGTAGAAATAATTATATTACGCCTCACAATCTGGGGCTCGTCTTCTTTTCTGGGACGAGTGGATGAAGAGGAGGGGGTTTAATCCATCCAGTGTTTTCTCTGAATCTCTCTCTTTGGAGGCTGCATGCTGTTCAGTCTCTCCAAAACTAGATCAACTCCTCCCCCTTTTCCCTCCCCTCCTATATAAAGCACCTGTGGCAGGAGAGCTACCTTCTCTATTGTCTGCCTGTTTGCTGCCTAACAAATATTGGGACAAAATATTGTCCTTTTTGTGCTTTTCTTATGTTTGTGGGGTCAATTACATTTATTTTTGTTTACAACATATATATTTGGGTGTGGAATATTTTTGTGTTTATTTAATTCTTCATGTAACAAAATTGTTTTTCATTGAAAGTTTTTTTTTACTTTGAAACTAAAAAGTGGTGTTTGAAAAATGTTTTGCAATTCAGTTAAATGTTTTTATACTTGAAAATTGTTCGTGTAGTCGATATTTGGGCATTGAATAGAATGAAATACAAAAAAATAGAGGAAAATCGTTCACTATTAAAGTCTACTGATCTAAAGTTTCACGTTGGCGCTATCTAGTGGACTGCCTAAAACCCATCTTCTTTTTCTTCTTCTCCCTCTAAAACTATCAAAGAGATTCTGTGTTTGTTCAGACAGAGTTGAGTTTGTTTCACGATTGTCCATCTTTTGTTTTTCCATCGCCATAATCAGTCTCTCTTCACGGTTCGTACTCAAACAGCTGCAGAAATGTCACTCTGACTCCTGCTCCTTAGCGTCTCATCACAATCTTCATTAATCCATATGCAGTTACAGTTTTGGCCACCGGAGGGCGCCGATGGGTAATGACAGTGGTATGAGGAAAAGGAAGACGTCTCACTCTGCTGCTGTTTTGATGGCTTAACGGCAGCTGAATTTTATGTCCCGATTTCTGAGCTGAAAATGGACAAGAAAAGCTGTCAGTTTGTTGCTGCCAAACTCCATCACACTCTATGTTAATTTATATTTTACAAGAAACCAAAACAAAACCGTTCCCGTCGCCAGAGAGTGGCTATGAGCAGAGTGAAACACGTTTAGCAGTATTGAGTGTGTAGCAGGTGGGATTCAGAGTCAGAGAAGCTAGATCAACTCCTCCCCCTCTTCAATCAATCAATTAATCAATCTATCGGGTCGGGCATCTGTAAATTGAAACACTATATCAAGCAAAATTGAAAACTAATATGTTTTAATGTTTGATAAAGACTGCGTTCTTACACGCACAAATTGAGTTTGAAAAGACAACTCCCGCTAAACCTTCTATACTATCGCCTATATTTAATTGGAAATACGTAGGTGTAACAGGGTTAAACGTATATTATTATTTTTTTATAATTACAAAAATTAAACCTTTGTGTTTTTATGTTTGTCCATGGACCCTTTTAGTGATTTTATGTATTTTAATCCTAGCCTCTCTCTTCCTGTCGATTTCTTTTCCTTTATATTTGAGTTGCCCTCCTTACTTCTCCCCTTTCTCTAACAGTCAGAGTAGAACAGAGCATTTCCAGTTGACACCACACGGTGGCGCCTCCCTTTGTTTAGTCACTTGGTATCACCCTTGCTTCTCTCTGCCAAAATCAACGAAGAAGAAGAAGACCTCAGTAATACGGACGCCGGTGAAGGCTTCAATCCACGAACATCTTTGCTCTTTGTTTGTGTGGTTCGTATGTGTGAATAAATGTTCAGTGTGGAAGTCCCTCCACTTCACCTCCCGCCTCGAAACTTTATTTCATGCCGGAGCTAGGCTAATAGCATTCGCGGCTAAGCGTCCCTCCAACTCCAAGTTACAAATCCCTGGAGGAGAGGAGCGGAGGTGGGCTGCAAGGCTGGAGAAATGCTGACGTGTCCTTTCATTCTATTACACTGATCTGAGCGTCACAACATATAAATTAACTGTGTGAGTGTGATGGAGTTTGGCAGCAACAAACTGACAGCTTTTCTCCTCATACCACTGTTTCATCTTCCTCTACTTCCCTTTTGGTGGTAAAACGTGGTTCACATTACCGCTAAACAGGTTTCACTCTGCTTAAGGCCACTTACTGGTGGCGAAAAGGGTTTATTTTGGTAAATTGTAAGAAATAAATTAACTCAGAGTGTGATGGAGTTTGGCAGCAATAAACTGACAGCTTTTCTTGTCCATTTTCAGCTCAGAAATCGGTACATAAAGTTCAGCCATCAAAACAGCAGCAGAGTGAGACGTCTTCCTTTTCCTCATACCACTGTCATTACTCATCGGCGCCCTCCGGTGGCCAAAGCTGTAACTGCATATGGATTAATGAAGTTTGTGATGAGACGCTAAAGAGCAGGAGTCAGTGACATTTCTGCAGCTGTTTGAGGACGAACCGTGAGGAGAGACTGATTATGGCGATGGAAAAACAAAAGATGGACAATCGAGAAACAAACTAAACTCTGTCTGAACAAACCCAGAATCTCTTCTATAATTTTATATGAAGAAGAAGAAGAAGATGGGTTTTAGGCATTCCACTTGATAGCGCCAACGTGAAACTATACAGATAGACAGACTCTAAGAGAGAACGATTTTGATAAATTTTTGTATTTCATTCTATTCAATGCCCAAAGTTCGACTATTTATTGTTAATTTAAAATAACTGAATTATAAATATTTAGCTTAAAAAATTAAACACGTTGAGAAAAAGGGAGACATTTTAAAGAAATGACATGTAGTGGCCCTCAGACTTTTACTTTATGGTCGATATAAATAAATGTGTAATGCTGTTTTTATCAGCAGTGGTAGAAATAATTATATTACGCCTCACAATCTGGGGCTCGTCTTCTTTTCTGGGACGAGTGGATGAAGAGGAGGGGGTTTAATCCATCCAGTGTTTTCTCTGAATCTCTCTCTTTGGAGGCTGCATGCTGTTCAGTCTCTCCAAAACTAGATCAACTCCTCCCCCTTTTCCCTCCCCTCCTATATAAAGCACCTGTGGCAGGAGAGCTACCTTCTCTATTGTCTGCCTGTTTGCTGCCTAACAAATATTGGGACAAAATATTGTCCTTTTTGTGCTTTTCTTATGTTTGTGGGGTCAATTACATTTATTTTTGTTTACAACATATATATTTGGGTGTGGAATATTTTTGTGTTTATTTAATTCTTCATGTAACAAAATTGTTTTTCATTGAAAGTTTTTTTTTTACTTTGACTGAAACTAAAAAGTGGTGTTTGAAAAATATTTTGCAATTCAGTTAAATGTTTTTATACTTGAAAATTGTTCGTGTAGTCGATATTTGGGCATTGAATAGAATGAAATACAAAAAAATAGAGGAAAATCGTTCACTATTAAAGTCTACTGATCTAAAGTTTCACGTTGGCGCTATCTAGTGGACTGCCTAAAACCCATCTTCTTTTTCTTCTTCTCCCTCTAAAACTATCAAAGAGATTCTGTGTTTGTTCAGACAGAGTTGAGTTTGTTTCTCGATTGTCCATCTTTTGTTTTCCCATCGCCATAATCAGCCTCTCTTCACGGTTCGTACTCAAACAGCTGCAGAAATGTCACTCTGACTCCTGCTCCTTAGCGTCTCATCACAATCTTCATTAATCCATATGCAGTTACAGTTTTGGCCACCGGAGGGCGCCGATGGGTAATGACAGTGGTATGAGGAAAAGGAAGACGTCTCACTCTGCTGCTGTTTTGATGGCTTAACGGCAGCTGAATTTTATGAACCGGTGTCTGAGCTGAAAATGGACAAGAAAAGCTGTCAGTTTGTTGCTGCCAAACTCCATCACACTCTAAACTAATTTATATCTCACGAGAAACCAAAATCAACTGTTTTCGTTACCAGAGAGTGGCTGTGAGCAGAGTGAAACACGTTTAGCAGTATTGAGTGCGTAGCAAGTGAGATTCAGAGTCAGAGAAACTAGATTAACTCCTCCCCCTTTTCAATCAATCAATCAATTAATCAATCTATCGGGTCGGGCATCTGTAAATTGAAACACTATATCAAGCAAAATTGAAAACTAATATGTTTTAATGTTTGATAAAGACTGCGTTCTTACACGCACAAATTGAGTTTGAAAAGACAACTCCCGCTAAACCTTCTATACTATCGCCTATATTTAATTGGAAATACGTAGGTGTAACAGGGTTAAACGTATATTATTATTTTTTTATAATTACAAAAATTAAACCTTTGTGTTTTTATGTTTGTCCATGGACCCTTTTAGTGATTTTATGTATTTTAATCCTAGCCTCTCTCTTCCTGTTGATTTCTTTTCCTATATATTTGAGTTGCCCTCCTTACTTCTACCCTTTCTCTAACAGTCAGAGTAGAACAGAGCATTTTCAGTTGACGCCACACGGTGGCGCCTCCCTTTGTTTAGTCCCTTGGTATCCACCCTTGCTTCTCCTCTCTGCCAAAACCAGCGAAGAAGAAGAAGAAGACCTCAGTAATACGGACGCTGGTGAAGGCTTCAATCCACGAACATCTTTGCTCTTTGTTTGTATGGTTCGTATGTGTGAATAAATGTTCAGTGTGGAAATCCCTCCACTTCATCTCCCGCCTCGAAACTTAATATCATACCGGAGCTAGGCTAATAGCATCCGCGGCTAAGCGTCCCTCCAACTCCACGGTACAAATCCCTGAAGGAGAGGAGCGGAGATGGGCTGCAAGCTGGAGAAATGCTGACGTGTCCTTTCATTCTTTTACACTGATCTGAGCGTCACAACATATAAATTAACTGTGTGAGTGTGATGGAGTTTGGCAGCAACAAACTGACAGCTTTTCTCCTCATACCGCTGTTTCATCTTCCTCTACTTCCCTTTTGGCGGTAAAACTTGCTTCACATTACCGCTAAACATGTTTCACTCTGCTCAAGGCCACTTACTGGTGGCGAAAAGGGTTTATTTTGGTATATTGTAAGAAATAAATTAACTCAGAGTGTGATGGAGTTTGGCAGCAACAAACTGACAGCTTTTCTTGTCAATTTTCAGTTCAGAAATCGGTACATAAAGTTCAGCCATCAAAACAGCAGCAGAGTGAGACGTCTTCCTTTTCCTCATAGCACTGTCATTACTCATCGGCGCCCTCCGGTGGCCAAAACTGTAACTGCATATGGATTAATGAAGTTTGTGATGAGACGCTAAGGAGCAGGAGTCAGAGTGACATTTCTGCACCCTTTTGAGGACGACCCGTGAAGAGAGGCTGATTATGGCGATGGAAAAACAAAAGATGGACAATCGAGAAACAAACTAAACTCTGTCTGAACAAACACAGAATCTCTTTGATAGTTTTATATGCAGGAGATGATGAAGATGGGTACTCTATGGTTGATATAAATACATGTGTAATGCTGTTTTTATCGGCAGTGGTAGAAATAATTAATTTACGCCTCGCAGTCTGGGGCTCGTCTTCTTCTCTGGGACGAGCCGATGAAGAGGAGGGGGTTTAATCCATGCAGTGTTTTGAGTGGTTTCAGGAAAAGTAAGACGTCTCACCCTGCTGCTGTTTTCATGGCTGAACGTCAGCTGAACTTTATGTTCCGGTTTCTGAGCTGAAAATGGACAAGAAAAGCTGTCAGTTTGTTGCTGCCAAACTCCATCGCACTCTGAGTTAATTTATGTCTTACAAGAAACGAAAATAAACCGTTTTCGCCACCAGAGAGTGGCCGTAAGCAGAGTGAAACACGTTTGCAAAAATAAAAACCTGTTCAACCAAATCTTAACATTTATTGGGGGATGAGAAGAGGAGTGCTCATCTGGTAGTTTGTTGGTTTGACCAGCAGGTGGAGCTGCTGCATTAACAATAAACTGAGACTCAACCAAACAAGCAAGTTCCTGTTTTAGTGAACTTTTTTTAATTTGGACTCGGGAGAGGAAGATGGTTGTCAAGAATACTGAATTTTAAAGATGATGAAAAACTGTCAGTAAATGAGGAGAAGAATCTGTGATCTGGTGGTTCAGGTTTCAGGGAAAACAGTCAGAGTGAAAGTGAAAGTATGTTAGTTAAACAAACAGACTCCATTTTGAAAAACGAAGAGAGGAGAGGACGAAGAGACAGGGTGAGAGTTTACTCTGTTTTAGTTTTAATGTCAAACTCTTTATCTGTTTTATCCGTTAATGAAAAATGATTTACTGACTAAAACACTTTAAAACTGTAAAACAAAGAAACCTGAGCAGACAAAGAGCTGGATCAGTTCTTCATACAGAAACTGTGAACGTGCAGTTCCTCCTCCTCTTTGTTCAGACTTGTCTTTGTGGTAAAAACTAAAATCAGAATCTTTTTAGCCTCTCATTTCAAATGTAATCCAGTTCCTTAAGTTTTTATGAGAGTTCAGGGACCTCACAGCTGATTTTGTTTAACCATGAATCAGACCAGGATCAGAGAGAGGCCCTGCAGGGTGGGGAGACATCAGAAGGTCTTGATATTAAACCCATAGACATATATAAGAAAGGTTTATATACATATATCTATGATTAAACCTGTATAACTCTTATAGAGGGGGATGAAGCTGTTTTCAGACTCTGTACTTCCTTTCTGATTCCTCTTTTATTTCGAAACTCTCACTTCCTGTTTGTGTCTCACCTGTTTGTCTACTTTGTCCTCAGGTTGTAGAACTCGGTTTCATCTTCCATAAATTTACACAACAGAAGATCGAGAAGATGGTGTCGAGGAAGAGGAGGGCAGACCAAAAGTCTGATATGTCCGACTGTCTGTCTATGAAGAGTGACCGGTCTAAAGATCTTCCTGTATTCTTCAGAAAAGAACCAGGACCCTCAGAGGAGGGCAGAGCTAAGTCCGTCATGTCCGACTGTCTGTCTATGAAGAGTGACTGGTCCAAAGATATTCCTCTACAGTTCAGTAAAGAACCAGGACCCTCAGATTCACGGTAAGAGAAACACTTTTCACCCTCCAAACTCTCAAACAACAACAGCTGATGTTTCAAAATCAGAACTTTAAATCCTGACCCCTCTGTTTTCTCCTCTGCTCTGAAAACGCTGATTTTCCTCTTGAACCTCCAACCTGGATAAAGGTCTGGTGAAGAAAAACTCACTGAGCTCAGATTTACTTATTATTCCTGATGTTGATAAAAATGAAGGTGGTATAAAACAGCATTAGAAAAGAATTCTGACCTCTGTATTTTCTGATTTGGTTCCTGTGATTGGGACGTTTTGAGCCTGTTAGTCTTTGGACTGTGGTGTATAGACCCCAGAAAACAGTCTGTGGGTCAGAAAATACCAGAAGACCAAAGAAGAAATAAATCCTGAGAAATAAAAACTCATTCAGAGCATCTGTCTGTTATTAGAGCTTTAGATCTGATTGTTAAAAAATGTTTGAAACTGTCAGAGAAAATCTCTCGACCTTCAAAAATCACAGTTGAGTTTATTCTCCTGTCTCCACACTTTGAGGCAGCAGCAGCTGAATATTTTACTGTTTTATGTTAGAGAAAAGAGAAACTCTGGTTTAATAAATGTTTCTTATTCTGAATCTTCAAACATGAAATAATAAAGAAAATAAATGTTCTTTATTTCCACAGAGAGACACAGAGATGTGACTCTGTGGAGGAGCAGCTGTCCAGCTGTTCTTTATGTCAGGACGTCCTGAAGGATCCAGTCTCTACCCTCTGTGGACACCGGTTCTGCAGACAGTGCCTCGCCTCATTCAGGGAGCAGTCGACTTCTTCAGCCTCCTGTCCCCAGTGTGGAAAAAGAACCAGAACAGTTCTTGTCTCTCAGACAGACAGCCTGTCCAGCTCTGATGGAAGTAAGTCTGAACATCTGTCCTTTAAACCCTAAATTACACAATTTCTGCTTGAATTATTCTGTTTATTTTAACCATAAAATTGGCAGAAAATGTCCTATGAGTGAGTGTTTTAACACATTTTTCCACAACACTTGGAACTTTCATTTCACTTTCAGATTTTTCATTTGAAATCAGAAATTTGAAGAGTATCAAACATATTTACAACAAAAACTTTGGAGTGCTGTCTCTCAAACTGCAAAAACAGGTTAAATAAATACAACTATGTCCAGGCGTTTCTTCCTCATTTCTCGTCTCTCACTCAGAGGTCTTTGTGGGTCTGTCAGAAGCTGTTCCTTTCTGTCTGCAGACACAGACACACATCACACCCCTCACACTTCCAGACAGTTCTCCTTATGACAAAGTTTGCAGCGTCGTCTCCCCATGCTGGTTGTTTGAGACTTCAGATGTCCATGGTTTGTTGGGACATGTAGGTGTTTGTCACCTGTAGTTTTCTTTGGGACTTGCTGGAGACAAGTCCCTAAGTCTTTCTCTCTCTCTCTCTCTCTCTCTCTCTCTCTCTCTCTCTCTCTCTCTCTCTCTCTCTCTCTGCAAACATCCTCAACTTTGATCACGACACTAAAAAAGTCGCCATATAATTCAGGCGCCATATTTCGGAGTCAGGGGTCAACAAATAACGTAAATAAACTAAAAACGACACAGAGAGCGCTTCATTCATCCAGAAACCCACACAGAAAATCAGCCGCTCAGTCTTTACCTTTCTCTGTCTGAAGTTGCTCTGAAAACTTCTCCATCGGTCCCAAAGTCGTCTGTAAACCTCAGTGGAGGTTTTCTCACTCAGGATGTTTGTAGTTCAGTCATTTTCCTTTGAAATAATCACTTTTTTGTCACTTTTGTTTCTTTTTGTTCCATTTCTCCGCTCTGTTGTGTGTCTATCTGCTGCTCCCTTTGAGAGGGGGAGGGGGGACGGAGAGACAGATTTTCTCTCTAACCAGCAGGAGTGAAATTACCGTAATAACTGTTTATTGGCTGTGTGGTGAAACTTCTCAGCTTTCAGAAACTGTTGGAGTTTTTCTGACAGCACAAACTATCGCAAAGTTACGGTAATTTAAAGAGCGCCTGTGTAAAGGTGTCGGCGCCGACAGACTGTGAGGAAAAGTCTGTGTGGATGAAAACTCAGCTGACTGATTTTCACAAAGACGTTTCAGTGTTGAGAAGTTTGGTTCATTTTATTTTTCTTCTCTTTCAGAAGATGGTGGTCTGCAGGAGGTTTTAGATGAACATAAGATCAGTCTGAAGAGGAGATGTGAACGTGTGAATGAAGGAAGTGATGAAACAGGAAGTAGTCAAACCCTCCTCAACAGGATCTTCACTGAGCTCTACATCACAGAGGGACTGAGTGAAGAGGTGAACACCCAACATGAGGTGAGACAGCTGGAGACAGCTTCAAAGATGGAGACCCTCCATGACGAACCCATCAGGTGTCATGAGATCTTTAAAACCTTACCTGACCAACAGGAGAAGCTCATCAGAGTGGTTCTGACCAACGGCGTGGCTGGTGTTGGAAAAACCTTCTCAGTGCAGAAGTTCACTCTGGACTGGGCAGAGGGTTTGGAGAACCAAGACCTCCATCTGGTGGTCCTGCTTTCATTCAGGGAGCTGAACCTGATCAGAGGTGAGGGCTTCAGTCTTCTGAGTCTGCTCCATGTTTTCCATCCAACACTAGAGAAGGTCACAGCAGAGACGCTGGCTGTCTGTAAACTTCTGTTCATCTTTGACGGTCTGGATGAAAGCAGACTGTCTCTGGATTTCACAGACTCTGAGGTCCTGTCTGACGTCACACAGACGTCTTCACTGAACGTTCTGTTAACAAACCTCTTCAAGGGGAACCTGCTCCCCTCAGCTCTCATCTGGATAACTTCTCGACCTGCAGCAGCCAATCAGATCCCTCCTTCACGTGTGGACAGGGTAACAGAAGTACGAGGCTTCACTGACGCCCAGAAGGACGAGTACTTCAGGAAGAAGTTCAGAGATGAAGATCTGTCCAGAAGAATCATCTCACACATCAAGTCCTCCAGGAGCCTCCACATCATGTGTCAGATCCCGGTCTTCTGCTGGATCACTGCAACAGTTCTGGAGGACATGATGAGCAGAGAGCAGAGAGGAGAGCTGCCCAAGACCCTGACTGACATGTACTCACACTTCCTGCTGGTCCAGACTAAGAGGAAGAAGCAGAAGTATGAAGGAGGACAGAAGAGAAGTTCACAGAAACTCACAAAAGCTGACAGAAAAGTCCTCCTGAAGCTGGGGAGGCTGGCCTTTGAACATCTGGAGAAAGGAGACATCATGTTCTACCAAGAAGACCTGGAGCGGTGTGGTCTGGATGTCTCAGAGGCCTCGGTGTACTCAGGAGTTTGTACAGAGATCTTCAGAAGAGAGAGTGTGATCTTCCAGAAAACTGTTTACTGTTTCGTTCATCTGAGCGTTCAGGAGTTTCTGGCTGCAGTCTACATGATCCACAGTTTCACAATCAGGAACACAGAAGCTCTGGAGACTTTCCTAAGAGGCAACGAAGATGACAAAAGGTTTTCTTATTCTTTTAAAAACCTGGATGACTGTTTCTCATCTCTGAATATCTTCCTGAAGAGAGTCATGATAAAATCCCTTCTCAGTAAAAACGGTCACCTGGACCTGTTTGTTCGCTTCCTTCATGGACTCTCTCTGGAGTCAAACCAGAGACTCTTAGGAGGTCTGCTGGGTCACACAGACAACAGTCCAGAAATGATCCAAAGAGTCATCAAGAACCTGAAGGAGATGAACAGTAAAGATATCTCTCCTGACAGAAGCATCAACATCTTCCACTGTCTGATGGAGATGAACGATCTGTCAGTTCATCAGGAGATCCAAGAGTTCCTGAAGTCAGAGAACAGATCAGAGAAGGAACTCTCAGTGTTCCACTGCTCTGCTCTGGCCTACATGCTGCAGATGTCAGAGGAGGTTCTGGATGAGTTGAACTTAGAGAACTATAGAACATCAGACCAGGGACGACAGAGACTGATCCCAGCTGTGAGGAACTGCAGAAAGGCTGAGTAAGTCCAGGTTTTATTCTCAGAATAGTGTAAATGATCCCTGTAGTTCTTCTAATGTCCACGTTACTGATGATGTTCTTCTTCAAATAGAAATCCACTCAAATATCAGGGAGGGGGTTTCTTTAGCAAAAACATGATCCTGGTGTCTAAAGTCCTGTTAGCCCAGGATGAGGTCTACCTGTGGACCCCTGAGAACTTGTCCTGATTGTGGAGGACCTCTTTGTTTTTAATCGTGTCTGTAATGAATAAAGTGGAACTTTGAGGACAAATCAGCGACCATATCTGAGGACACACAGAGGTCTTCTGATGATGGTATCAGTCCAGATCAACATCTCAGTCAGTTGTGGTGAACTTGAGTTTGAAGAAGGTGTCTGCAGCTTCTTCCTGCTGGTTTTCAGGTTGGAAATGATGAATCTGTTGTAAATGAGGGTGTTGACAGCATTGATGGTGAAAATAGAACTGGATCATTTTCTACACAGTGGCAGAACTGTCTCTGTACCATCATGTTCATCATTCAATATTCATCATCAATACAACCATGAAAACTAACATCATTTTCCACCACTCACTGGAGATTATCTGCTGGACTAGAACATATGAATGATGAGAACACAGGAGGTATTTGGACAGCAGCTCCATGTGTCTGAAAACAACGGTGGTCTCTCTCTATCTCCCCCCTCTCTCTCTCTCTGTCTCTCTGTCTCTCTGTCTCTCTCTCTCTCTGTCTCTCTCTCTCTCTCTCTCTCTCTCTCTCTCTCTCTCTCTCTCTCTCTCTCTCTCTCTCTCTCTCTCTCTCTCTCTCCGCAGTCACATTTCTCCCACTCGGCTGCACGCCTCTGTTTCAGATGTTGATGTAAATTGGTCAGACTGCTGCCTTCTGCTGAAACAGCCTTTAAACAAACACTGCAGCAGACTGGGGTTTGATCCAGGTCTGACTCTGAGAGACTGAACCAGGTCTAAAGGACTATAAACAGCATGGCTGTCATTGAATTAATGCAGGTACCCATATTGATCCTCCGTGTTGATATGATCAGACTCATTATTGATACCTCACTTCATGATTTAGTGCAAACATTTAAAAAAGTGAAGAAAACACATTCAAAGATGAATCTCTTTTATTTCCCCTGACTCCAAATGTTTCTTTCTGTTTGAAACACAAACTATAAAAATTCAATCTGTTATTTTTATAGGAGTCATGAGAACGTACGCCCCCTAGAGTTCAAATAACCTCAACCCTGAATTTGACCACAGCTCCTCAGGTTTAACTTTGTTTTTATCGTTTAACTATCATGAAGTATTGGACGGTAATGTGCAGAGAGAGAGAGGGAGAGGGAGAGAGAGAGAGAGAGAGAGAGAGAGAGAGAGAGAGAGAGAGAGAGAGATGACCAGATCCCAAAGACAGAGGTTCAGTGGGTCTTTGTTTCTGTCTCTTAAAGGTCTCTCTGGATCCATCAGGTTTTATAAACTTGTTTCTGCTGCTGAAGGGAATGTTACATGGAGAAAAAACTTTCATTGTGAAAACAAAGAAATCTTCAACTCTTCAAATGTTCAGAGTCAAACCAGCTCTAACCTGCTAAAAAAACGATGTTATCTGAACCAATCAGAGAAGAAGGAGCTGCTGTGATTTAGTGAGTCGTCCTCTGATTGGTCAACAGTCAGTGTCTATGGACAGACTTACATTACAGCAGGATGTCAACATTAAACACTGAGAGGAGCACTGATCCTCCAAGAGGTACTTTGGATACTAACCAATCACATACCAGGACCAAAAACCTGGTTCTCAGTCCCCTTCTCCAACCAGAACTCAAGAATTCACTCAGTCATAATGATCCAGCTGCACTAACATGAAGACAACACTGTTAGAGAACAAAATGACTAAAATAAGTCATGGAGTCATTTGTCTTGAACATCTGAACAGTTTTTTTTTCTTCTAAACTTTGACTTCCTGTCTTCTCTCATGGCTGTGGTCCTGATATTAGTATCTGTCTGGTTAAAAACAGGCCGTCTGTCAAACCAAAGATCATGTTTGTTTTTGGTGAAGAGAAACATCAAATTACCCTTTAATGAAATATTGTTGGATATTTATGTTGTTACAGACTTTGGTTCTGTGGACTCTCAGAGACTCACTGTGAAGTTGTGGCCTCAGCTCTGAAGTCCAACCCCTCCCATCTGAGACATCTGGACCTGAGTAACAACAATCTGCAGGATTCAGGAGTGAAGCTGCTGTGTGACTCTCTGCAGAGTCCAAACTGTAAACTGGAGACTCTGAAGTAAGTTTAGTCTTTGTCTGTTTCTGTTGTAGATTTTTATGTTTATTCAGTTTTTTTTAACCCAATTCAAATGTTCATAGAATTCTTTGATATTTCCAGAACTTTCTTCTTTCTCACATAAATTCATAGTTTTTTATTGAATCATCAGTCAGATACAGATGGAGGAAAACTGTGAGTTATTTTGTTGATTGAATGTTAATGATTTTTTATAAATGGTTCAGATGATCACTGCAGTGATGTTGACGGGTTTACTTCCTCGGTCTCTAAATCAGTCAAATGTTCAAGGATGCAGTGAACTCACTATCCATGCAGCTCAGGAACACAGCTCATCTTTTTCATACAGGAAACATTGTCAACAACAAAGGTGTGTTAAAGTCCCATCAGTCAGCAGCTTCAGTCACAAACCTCGCTGTCAGAGCTCCGTCATTTCAACCCTCTGTATAACTCCTCAGCACAGACCAGACCCTGTGAGCACATCCTCACAACATGCTGCTTTAGTTACAACAACAACAACAATCAGCTGTTAGCAGAGATTTCATCCAAACAGTCCAGGATACAAACTTTGAAGTGGTTGGAAAATTCAGGTGTCCACCGCTCATGCAGAGTTGACTCATGTTGATGATGTTTTCATGTCTAGAGGACATGCTGGAGTGAATTCAACCAAACCTCCTGAGACAAAGACAGCGGTGGCAGACATTAGATCAGGCTTCATGACGTCTGTGCGTCCCTTTATTCAACCAGATCAGCAGTCCCAGAGTTTTCCCTCATCTCTTTAGATTTGATGGTTTTTGTGATTTTGATGTTTCCACACAAACTTAAAATAAAATTTTAGATTTTACATTTTGAACATATTCATGAGTTAATATTCATGAATTACAACCATATCATACTGATATCAGACAGGAGTGTGACAGGTGTTTATTAGTCTTTTTGACACATTACAATCATGAGGATAAAGTCATGGACTAAACTTGGGCTCCCAGTTTCCTTGTTGTTGTTGTTGTTTCTTCAGCTAGCATCATTGTTTTCATCTCAGTTATTAAAGTAATAATGATGCTTCATAAATTCAGAGTCACAAAAAAACACCAAACAAACCAAATCTGAACATGAGGTTTGAGTTTTCATGTGGAGGAAATGAGAAAGATCTGCTCTGACAGTTAGAAACACAGACACCTGAATTTACACTGACAGACACACAAATACAGACAGAGAGACACACAGACAGAGACACTGACAGACACACAAATACAGACAGTGAGACACAGATTCAGATTCAGATTCAGATTCCTTTATTAACCATTGTGTAAAACACATAGGAATTTGCTTTGGCAATAGCATGAGTGTGTTCGGATGTTTTTTCACAGATAACATAAAACACAAACAACACAGTGCAGAAAAATGGATAAATATAAAGTGCAGTAGGATCAATAGTGCAAATGTTGTTGAGTCATTACAGTTTCAGAGTTTCAGAGTCATTTCAAGTGACAAAGTCCCTAGTGGGTGGGGAGAGGAGGGAGGCCAGACTCATTGAGCAGCCTGGCAGCAGAGGGGAAAAAACTGAGTCTATGGCGTGCTGTGGTGGCCTTCAGCAGCCGCATCCTTCTCCCAGAGGGGAGCAGGGAGAGGAGACTGGCCAGGGTGGGAGGGGTCGGCTATGATTTTTCTTGCCCTCCTCAGCGCCCTGGAGTTGTGCAGGGACTTGAGGGAGGGCAGCGGGCGGCCAATCACCCTCTCCGCTGAACGAATCACCCTCTGCAGCTTGATAAGGTCTTTTGCAGCTGCAGCGGGGAACCAGGTCCATCTTCAACAAGTGGGTGAGGATGGACTCAATGATGGCCGTGTAAAACTGAGTCATCATGGTCCTTGATAGTCTGTACTTCCTCAGCTGCCTTAGGAAAAACAGTCTCTGCTGGGCCTTTTTCAAAAGGGACATGATGTTCATGACACACAAATACAGACAGTGAGACACAGACAGAGACACAGACACAGACACACAAACACAGACACACAAACACAGACACACACAGAGATTTTCCTCTTCGTCTCTTTGCTGTGATGACTGAAGTCACAAAAACAAAGTTTTCTTCGTCACTTTTATGATTGAACCAAAAAAGTTAAAGAGCCAAACTCTCAGATGGCTCATATGGTTTGAAAGGTTCCTGCAGCAAAACCCGATTAGAGAGTGGACTAAATGAAATGAAATCAGCTGACCTGTCTCATCAGAGTCTCATCCATTCTCTGTTTGGCAGAGCGCTGATGTTACAGTCTGAGAGCACATTCAGGTTCAGCTTCACATGGGCTGGATCTGCTCAATACAAACTCTTGAGACCAGCCTGGTTGAGGGAGGTGGGCTCAGTGTCCTGGGTGACTCTCTCTGAGCTCTTCTTGGTTGAGAGTATTTCTGGTTTGTCTCTGACTTCCATGAACTCAGATCTGGAGGATTGCTGGCTGGTCCGGTCCAGTTCTGACAGTAGAGACAACACAGTCTGTTATTCTGGGTTGAGCGTTCTTGTTGAAGATCAGTGTACAGTGAGGGATGAAGGCAGACAAAGATCCTCCTGTTTCCTCCATGTCACAGTTCAAGTTCATTTTGAAGACTTTGATTGATCCTAGCGCTGAAGAGGAACAGGAAACGTGGAGTAGAGAGTGAGGGAGGACTTGCAGCAAAGGATCGTGGGAGTCCAACCAGCAACTGCTGCAACAAGGACTCCACCTTCTGATCACCTGAACCTCTAATCCAAACCAGTGCTCCATCACATTTGATGTCTTGTCTGTTATTTTACATGGAGGGTCAGAGCAGACCAGATCATGAGCTCTGACAGACTGGATCTGGTCCAAAGGTCTCCTGTTGGAGTTCTCTAAGCTCCATATTTTAAACCTGAACACCTGAAGTTTGATTATTAATTATTTTTATCTTCATTCTCTTTCCTTTTTTCAGACTGTTGGACTGCAGTTTGTCAGAGATCAGCTGTTCTTCTCTGGCCTCAGCTCTGGAGTCCAACCCCTCCCATCTGAGACATCTGAACCTGAGTTACAATCAGCTGAAGGATTCAGGAGTGAAGCTGCTGTGTGACTCTCTGCAGAGTCCAAACTGTAAACTGGAGATTTTGAGGTCAGACTTTTTTCCTCCATTCAAACATGATCATGATTTGTTTGTGATGATGACACTAAACTGCTGACTCAGCACTGAAATACTGACCCAGACTGAACACCTTCAGTCCAGAGTAGATTTTCTGCATCAGTGGATTATTTGATTGACTCCAGTTCGATCACTGCTGAGCTCCAGTGAATTAAAACCTGAACCCAAGAAGAAAACTCTTTGTAGAGTTCACAGTGAGAAGCTCATTCAGACAGAAAACAGAAGCAGGGGGAGATTTGTCAGACGAGAACCATTCAAACTTTTGTTCAGGACAAGATCAGGGACTCGAAAAAACTCAGAGTTTAGTTTCTGACACTGATGAAAGTCCAGCTCTGTTACTGTGAATTTGTTTTTGAATCTTTGTGTGAAAATCTGAATTTAATGGTTTATCTGCACTTTTCTGAACCCTTGCTGTGTTTAGACTGAAATATTTTCCTCTCAAAGACGTGATATTTTTGGTTCAGCAAAGTGAAAATATTCTGAACATCCTTTATTTCCCATCCGTCCTGAAGTAGCTGACATTTTCTGAAAATATTGATCTGCATCTACAATCAGTAAAAAAGTCTCTGAGTTTTTTATTTCACTTTTTAATGTGTTTTTGAATTCACTGTTTCAAACTGACTTCCTGTTTGGTTCAGCTCTTTGGAGCGTCACTTTTCTTTGATTCATACTTTCCAAACCTTTCCCCTGAACTCCACAGATTTAAGACATCAGGTTTCAAAGTGGATCATTTTTCTCTAAAATCTCATTATTTCCTCTTTATTTAGGTTGAATAACTGCAGTTTGACAAAGATCAGCTGTTCTTCTCTGGTCTCAGCTCTGAAGTCCAACCCCTCCCATCTGAAAGATCTGTGGCTGTATGGAAACAATCTGCAGGATTCAGACGTGAAGCTGCTGCGTGATCTTCAGAAGAGTCCAGACTACAGACTGGAGAAGCTGATGTCAGTATAGAGTTGGAGTTAGTCTGTGCTGATCTCTCCTGTTCCTCTCCACACAGTATCACAGCAGATATTCAGTATTTCCTGCTGACTCTTCGACCCTCTCAGAGGATTCTTTCTTTAGTGAAGCTGTGAGAACAGAAATCATCAAACCAGGAGTGTAAGAGTGTCAGTGATGAAAAAAGTGTCTCCTCGTCTCTATATTTCAGATCAAATGTAGAAATGAGACATAATGAAATAGAAATGTTCAGTTTCTGCTCTGAAGTCCAGTTTATAGTTCTCTGTATTCAACACAGACTTTATTTCTCTGCTAACTTGTTGATTTTGAGCTCTAAGTTTGAAAACAGACAGCTGTTCTTTATACTTGTTATTTTCACAGCAGGTTTGTTCGATCAGCTTTAACACATTTGACAGGAATGATTTCTTTATTTTGATGATGTTGGTTTATTTGTGATGAAACCTGCTGCTTTACACCATCACTTCTGGTCTGAGCAGGACTGAGACCTGCTGGTCTGTAAACTGGATGTTCTTCAGTCCAGCTGATGAAGTGAGTCTCAGAGTGGAAACACTGATCGTCTTTTTTTCTCTCCTCAGATGGAGTTAACATCAGTCAGAGTGATTAAGAAGAGGATCATCTGTTTCCTGACGATCAGAGAGGTGGAGGCAGCAGCAGTGAGGGTGAGGTGAGTCTCTGACTGAGAGACTGACTGACCAATCACAGCGGGCGGAGAGGACTCTGGGAGCTGCACTTTGACCTGCTCTGAGATCAGCTCAGGACCTGGACTCTGGATATTTGATCTTTTCCCTCATATTCTGGGATCAAACAGTCTGAACAGGTTTGTTTTGTTGATGGAAACATGATCATAAATTTACACTTTGATTGGATTACTTTGTTTTTACCATGATGCAGCGCCACCCAGTGGAACTATAAAGAGGTGGAGTTGATTTATTCCCCCATATTTCTGCAGCAGGAGTTGATACCATGTGTGAGAGTAGATCAGTCAGAAGTTCTGATTAAACCCAAAGGTTTTTTCTTTCCTTTGCACCATTAGAGACCGAATATAAACTGAAGGGAGAGGAAGAGGAGTGAGGAGAGATGGAGGTGAAGGGAGGAGGAGGACAGGGTTTGGGGTTTTAACAAAAATCTGAAGCTTTATTCTTTCACTTGATTATTTTTATTCATCCGTTTTCTTCTTCAGTTTCTGAAATGATTGTAAATATTTACTGGAGGTATATTGACCTTATTTTCTATTATTAGACATTATTTTCTTTTTTCTTTCCATGTTTTTGTTCTCATATCATCTTTGTGCTCATCAATAATCGATTCCCTCCTGTTTGGATGAACAAACACAATTATTAAACCATAAATGAGACCTGAGAGTAAAATGTGTGAAATATAATCAGTCAAAGGAAAGATTCTTGAACAAAAACAAAAACATTATTTTTACTTTATTATGATGGAGAAGTTTTCCTCTGACAGACAAAAATAACCGTATTGACTGGAGTCTGGAAAAAGTGAGATCAGCATCTATTCAGGGTGAAGTCATTAACGTGGTCGATGCTGTTTTATAAACTCAGTGTTGTTGATTACAATCTCAGCTTCATAAATTGATGCTACAGCGGAGTGACTTCCTGTAAAATCCACTGGCTTTGTGAGACCGTCAGCTTTCAGGAGATCAGTTTGTGTTTCTGAGACACTCCAAAGCTTTTCTATCCCACAGAGAAGATCGGTGTGTTTTCAGAGACCTTCCTGATCCCATCCCTCCAGAATGAAAATAATCTGATGGTTTATGGATTCATTTCAGTAACAAAGTGTCATTTCTGTTGTTAGCCAATCAGAGGCTGTATCTGCCATCAGCTGACCTGTAAAGATCCAATCAGAAGTCAGAACAGCTCATGTCACAGTCTGCTCACACTACAGAAACATTAAACATAGAACTATTGTGAACAGATCTGTCCTGTTCAGCTTATCTAGTATCAATAGATCTATGCTCTGTCTGTGTAACACTATGTTGGTTCTTCATTTACACCAGATCATTTTTGATTTCATTTCACTGTAACAATGTCATTTAAAGATAATAAAAACTTTATTTAAACCAAAACATGTTCAAAACATCAACTCAGCTTGTTTCAGTCACTGTGTCCAATTGATTATTATTATTTTTCATTCAAACAAAAACTAGATTTGGTCTTAAAAAAGTCCTCAAAGTGAGTCTGAAAAGTGGAGGAAGGTTTTATCATCAGGGTGCTCCTATATTCAGGTCAATACGGTCGTGGATCATAGAGACTCAAAGTCTTGATTCAGCTGAGGCTGGAGGACGCTGCGTGAAGGAAAGTCGGTGTGTTTAGTTGGTCTTAGTTTTTATTAAACAGGAACTTTGATTTGATCGTCTTTTCTTGGAAATCAAACTTCCTGTTGGACTCAAAGATAAAGTCTGTGATCTCCCGTCAGGTTTGAAGACTTTAGTCTCACAGCAGAGTGATTGTGGCTCTGAGATGTTTGGACATGTTGAAATTGAAGCTTTTCTTTGAGAAAAACAAACTGAATCATGCGGCACAGCTGATTCGTGTGTTTTCATTTGTGATTTTCTCTCCAATGTGGGTTATTGTTCATTCAAAATAAAACATCCAACAAAAAAGGTAAAATATGAAGGTAGGAGATTTCTGCATGACATCAACAATATTCTAGTTTTCTAAGCAACAGGTGGTCGCCTCTTATAGGGGTATTTTGATCCAGAAATCTGAAATCTGCATTTATAAGGAGAAAAAGATTGGGCCAAGTATGGAGCCTTGGGGCGCCCCACATGGAAGAGGAGCTGAGGAGGAGGAGGAGACATCACCAAGGTTGACAGAGACGCTCCTGTCAGCCAGGTATGTCCTGAACCACTCCAGGACAATATCTTTAATCCCCACCCAGTGCTCAAGACGAGAAATTAAAATGTGATCTGCAGTGTCAAAAGGTGCAGAAAGGTCTAAAAGCATAAGAACAGCTGAATCCCCAAAATCAGTGAGCAATAAAATACCATTACACACCTTTAAAAGAGCTGTTTCAGTGCTGTGCTTTAAAATCAGATTGTAACACCTCGAGATGCTGTTTCTGTCTAAAAACAACTGCAGTTGACTAAAACCAACTTTCTCCAGGAGCTTAGAGAGAGGAAGGGGGGTTTAGAGATCAGTCTAAAATTTTAAAACTTTAGAATTAATGATAATAAAGAGTATATGGTGGTTGTGACAGCTATTTAAAATGACACCAGAGAAGTCCTGTGACCGCTGTTGACTTAAGATTGTTGACGTTTTTGTCTTAAATTAACAAGTAAATTCTCGTTAACCTGTAGGTCTGAATTTCTAACAGTAAATTTCTGGGTTTTTTTCCATAAAGTTATGAGAATAAACTTGTAACGACCAGCACGACCTTTCTCAGTCAAAACAGCAGGTGGCAGAAACGCTCCAAACCTGCAGCAGCTTCAAAACCAACGAAGAAGAAGAAGTGTCGCTAACAATGGCCGCTTCCTCGGAGTTACGGATGGATCAGCTTCCTTCGGACCCGCTCCTGCACGTCCTATCCTTCCTCAACTACAGAGACCTGGTCCAGTATGTACCCGACCCTACAGCCCGGGCTTCCTCGCACACTTTGCGGGCGGTTTCTGTTTTCAGCAGTAAAGTTTTTAAGACAAAACAAACACGTAAACAACCCGCAGATCGGGGGCAGGCTAACGGCTGCTGCTAAGCTAACAGGCGGCTAAAAACAACGCGAACAGAGGGCAGTGATAAAGAAAAAGCGACAAAAAAGCCCGAATTAAACATAAATAATTATATTTTTAAGAGAAACAGTGAAAGATAAAGTGACAGAGAGTGAAAAACTCAGAAAGAGAGCTGTCAAATAAGATACGAGAATCGACGCAAAGGTGTGGACTTAATCGCCGTATCCTACTGTTTGTTTTCCTGATAAAACCTGCTGCAATGATTGATTTATATCAGTAATACAGATCTGATAAAGTTAAACAGGAGCAGACAGTCGTTGTCATGTAGCTCAGAGTTTAAAGAGAAAGTTTAAAACCAGATAAAGATCATCAGCTGATCACTGTTTACATAATTGATCATGATAAGTCTGAAAAACAGGACAGCTGACACATCACTGCAGGCCTCAAATAAAACTATTATTGAACTACAATTCACATATTAGACACCATGAACTGTAGTTTAGTCTGATAATGTTGGAAGATGACTTCATTCTGTAACAACAAGGTTTTTACAAAAGTGTCAGACTGTAAAACAAAATGAAGAACTCAAACAACAAGTTAAATTTAAGAAAAATCCAACATTAACTTAGCAAACAGTCAGAAGAACCCAACAGGACAGAAATCCAACAACATGAGGCGAGACCAAGAGACCCAGAGATGTAAGATTAATGGGAGAGACAGTTAAAAGATGTCAAAGTGAGTTTGAAGAGAAGATTTTTAAGATGTCTTTGATTCTGTGAGCGCTGTTATCTTTTTATTAGGAATTAAACTTGAATCTTTATCCCTGCATTCACAATGTATCTTTGTGTGTGTGTGTGTGTGTGTGTGTGTGTCCTACAGCTGCAGTTATGTCAACAGGAGGCTAAATGAATTATCCAAACACAACCCGCTCTGGAAGTCTCTCTGCTCCAAACACTGGCTGCTGACAGAGTGAGTCTTTTCTTCTTCTTCTCTGTCAGAGTCCGATTAAAACAGAAAAACTTATACAGGGGAAAAAAACAGCTCAGCATACAGAAATGAAACCTGTATAACTGTTTTAGTTTGATCACAAAGTACAGAGGAGTATTGAGAAACGTTTATTGTGGTAGGAAAAGAACTGCATTTCGTTAAAGGGATATTCCGGCATAAAATTAATTTAGAGTCAAACACACCATAACACCGAGTTAGACACCCCCTCCAGAGATGAATGTTGTCGACCGCTTGCTTCTCTAGTTATACCAACTTTAGTAACGACCGCAGGATAGAAATACAGAGAGCCACGCACTCAACCAAAACGCCACTCTATAGCCACAAATAATGCTCAGAACAGCACCTAACTTCATCAACAGGACATAGTACTAGACACCAAACATCTTTTTAACTTTGCTAAACACAACTCACCTACTCTTTTCCAGCAGCCACTTGTTTGTACGGAGACCTCCGACTAGTCCATCACGACTGCAGCAGAGTTTCACAGCTCAAGGAAGAACATTTATGATCATTTCTTCATGGAAATACAATCAGACCGAGACTTTAAGGCAGAAGAACTACAGCATCTGCAGTGAAAAATGATTAATATGATGATTATTACTAAGAAATGATCATAAATGTTCTTCCTTAAGCTGCGGCACCCCGCTGTAGTCCATAATGGACTGGCCTGAAGTCTCACTACAAACAAGCGGCTGCTGGAAGAGAGTAGGTGAGTTGTGTTTAGCAAAGTTAAAAAGATGTTTGGTGTCTAGTACTATGTCTGTGACCCTATATGTCCTGTTGATGAAGTTAGGTGCTGTTCTGAGCATTATTTGTGGCTATAGAGTGGTGTTTTGGTTGACCGGTGACTCTCTGTATTTCTATCCTGCGGTCGTTACTAAAGTTGGTATAACTAGAGAAGCAAGCGGTCGGCAACATTCATCTCTGGAGGGGGTTTCTAACTCTGTGTTACGGTGTGTTTGACCCTAAATTAAACTTACGCTCTTTAAACCTTTTTAGATTTTACATGAGAAATATTCAAAAGTACAGTGTTGATTTAAAAAAAAAAAAAAGCCATTTAAAAGCATTGATGAGTTTAAAGAGTAACAGTCTGATCACCCCATATCAAGCTGTTTTTCTTCATGTTTGCTCAGTGCGGATCGCCTGCAGAGCGGTGTCTCCTGGTACTGTCTGTTCAAACAGTACTACAGGGACCTGGGTCGCTACATCCAGTACTACCCGGTCCTGAAGAGAGCCTGGGAGCAGCTGAAGAGCTTCCTGCAACAGAGGTGTCCCCGCATGATTGCATCACTTAAAGGTGACGGGGACGGGCATCAGGAGATTGTAGACTAAGAATCTTTTCTACCTTTAAATATCATCTTTGTTAATAATGATGTTTTTGATCTAAGGATGAGTCATGTGACCCTGGTTTGTTTGTTTTTCCCATCAGAGGGCGCCACAGAGGTGGAGCTTAACGACATCGAAGCTCAGATCGGCTGCAGACTTCCAGATGATTACCGCTGCTCCTACCGCATCCACAACGGGCAGAAACTGGTGATCCCAGGGTCGGTGTCTGCCCGATGGACTTTGACTGACTCACCACCTACATTACCTGTCTGTCTGTCTGCTCACCTGTCCCTCTCTCCTCAGGCTAATGGGCAGCATGTCCCTGTCGAACCACTACCGCTCAGAGGTGCTGCTGGACGTGGAGACGGCCGCCGGAGGTTTCCAACAGAGGAAGGGGATGAGACGCTGCCTCCCGCTCACCTTCTGCTTCCACACCGGCCTCAGTCAGTACATGGCTCTGCAGGCGGCGGAGGGACGCAGGATGTACGAGAGCTTCTACCCCTGCCCTGTAAGTCAGCTTCCTGTCTGCTGCGCCTTTCAAAATAAATGTCAAACAGTGTGTCGTAAATTTGAGACCAAATATGACATGGGTTTATTTTTAAACATCTGTGGATCTAACGGTGATGATGGTGTTTTTCAGTTTTCAGTGCGAGTGCAAAGATTAAACATTGATCCGGCTTCATCGTTTCATAACAGGATAACGTTTTAAATCACTTCTTGTTCATGAATAAGTTTCAGCTTGGAGACTAAAATACTTTTTAGGATTGAGAGCAAACGAAGTGTGTTTGAAGGTCTTAACCATGTTTTTTGTTGTTTCGTTTCTCAGGATCAGACGGCTCAGGATCCTTCAGCCATCGACATGTTCATCACAGGTCTGCTCAGCGTTTCATCCTCCTGTTTATGGGTCATCACTCAAACAGATGCAGGAAAAAAAATTCATGATAGAGAATAAAACAACATGAGGATCAAATGTTTGTATCTTTTCAGGTTCCTGTTTCTTGGAGTGGTTCACCACCTACGTCAACAATGTGGTCAATGGAGAATATCCAATCATCAGAGACCAGATCTTCAGGTAGCAAACAAACCAACTGTGTTCTCACTGCGCATGTTTAGGCCTGAGGATGATTGAAATCAGTGTTGTTGTGTTTCTGTGTCTGCAGATACGTCCACGATAAAGGATGTGTGGCGACCACTGGTGACATCACCGTCTCAGTTTCTACCTCCTTCTTGCCAGAGCTGTCCTCCGTCCATCCTCCGCACTTCTTCTTCACCTACAGGATCAGGTATTTATGAGGGTTAGAAATGTTTGCAGGAAACTGTGGCGGCTCTTCTGCTGCCTCACAGGTGAACCTGCAAATATGTTATCATACAAATGTTAGACGGCTGCTCTGTATCTAGTCAACAAACAGATATTTGTCGGGCTTTTATTTTGAAACAATTGATTCTTATCTCAAAATACTTCTGTAAGGCTTTTCTTAAATGTCGTGGCGTCTTGGCTGACCGCTTTGATTGGACACGCCGGCATTTTGTGTAAAAATCATGAGTGCATGCAAAGGTCAGGTTACAACAGGAGTGACCGCTGCTGGACTAAAAAGCAACTTCTTCAGGCGGCCTGCTGTGCTGATTTTTCAGACTGTGTCCAGGATGTGTGAACACAGACGGTTATATTCTTGTCCTGAATTTTCCCCTCCAACCCTGTGCGTAAATTCTGTTTGTGTGGAGTTAGAGGGAGTTGAACCAACAGGGAGATTCTCCTGCTGTGAGTTGCTTGTGTGAGCAGCAGGTCCCTGAGTGATCTTCATGGTCGTCTGGAGGTTGTGTGTTGAAGCAGTTTCTCGTGTCCGAGATTTTTTTAACATAAAAGTGCGTTTCAGGATTGAGATGGCGAGCAGCGCGTCTCCTGAAGCCGCTTGTCAGCTGGACAGCCGTTACTGGAAGATCACCACCTCTGACGGGAACGTGGAGGAGGTTCAGGGGCCCGGCGTGGTCGGTATGATGCTCACACAACAGGAACACCTACAGAGCTCACCTCTGATTGGCTGATATCACCTGCTGAGTGTGTGTGTGTGTGTGTGTGTGCAGGAGAGTTTCCGGTCATGACACCAGGGAAAGTGCACGAGTACGCCAGCTGCACCACGTTCTCCACGCCGTCAGAGTACATGGAGGGTCACTACACCTTCCACAGGCTGGGTAAGGACGACGCTCGCCATCTTTGATAGAGTGAGCAGAAATGAAAGAGCGCAGCGCTCCAGCTGACACTTTTCCAAACATGTGTTTGTCCTGCAGCCAATAAAGAGGAGGTTTTCCACGTCGCCATCCCTCGTTTCCACATGGTCTGCCCGCCCTTCAGAGAGCCTGTGGTTCAGACGGTAAAAATACTCGCCGACCTTCATGATGAAACTTTTTATCTGAGTGAGATTCTCGACCTCTGAACTTCCTGTTTGTGTCTGAATGCAGCAGAAGGCATCCACCAATCACATGCCCCGACTGGACGACCACGACAATGACGGCGAGTTCTGTGATGAAGATGGAGATGGCGATGACTTCGGTGACCTGAGAGGAATCAACATGGCCGCCTTGGAGGGAGCATGGTGCCCTCGACACATTTGACCTCTGACCCCCTGATCTACCTGCGCTGCTGCGCTGTCATGGCTGTCAATCATTCAGGTCTGTTTTATGACACTCACACTTCCAGAATGATCTGAGTGATTGACAGGCAGCACAGCAGGGGATTCTGGGAAAGGTAATCAGAGCCATATACGGACAAGGTCACGTTTACTTCCAGCTGTCAATCAAAGGAATGAAATTTAAATGTGAAGGGGGCGGGGTTCAATAGAGAAGATCTGATTGGTTTAAACTTTTTCCTGTCACAACGTTAAACTGGCGGATACGCTCGACGGGGATGATGATGTCATCCTGAGGAGGTGACGCAGCAGGGACACATAATGGCGCCTCCGGTCACTGTTACTTCCTGTTACGACGTAAAAGAAGCGGTGTGGATGTACTCTGTGGGCCAATCAGGAGTGAGTCAGGCTGTTGGTGGGTCGGATGTTTGCTGATAGTTTCGGCTGAAGGTTTCCGTTTATTTTAATGAACCTAAACGTCTTTTTCTCTGCAGGAACGAAACCTGAGGAACGATTTATGAGGCTTTTTTTCTGTTTCCTGTTCATTTCAACCACTCTGGCGTGTTTGATCGCCCTCGGGACAGCGAGAGTTGGACACTGGAGGGAGGATCTCGCTTTTTATTTTACGTTTAGACGAGTGATGGAACACTAAATTAGACTAAATCTGGTCTACAGTCTTTGTTTATAGTTAAATGAGAAGAGTCATCAGGTGGTCAATAAGTTTACCTCCCAAACATCCACATTCGCTGCAGACTCTTACTCGCTTATTTAAGATTCATCAGATTATTTAAGATTCATCAGATGAATGATCCTGACTGTCAGAGATCAGAGTCAAGTTCCTGCAGTGGAAAAGATGAAGTGAAGCTGATTTTCTTCATATTTCTGATCAACTAATCTCTCGGCTCCTGCAGAGGGATTTTCTAGAACAAACTGGGGTTTTATTTTGTAAGACGACAGGAAGTGTGTCCTGCTCATGTTTTGTGCTCGGTGCTTGAAATCGTTTTCATTTGTGTTGATCATTTGTTTCCTTTTTCTCTCTGGGAGGGTGTGTGGTCACTCTCCTGTGATTAGTGGGTTTGTTTGGTAAGTTTTTTGATGAAATAAATAACAAGTATTCCTTCCTGCAGACTCGCTGTTCCCTGCCACAAGATAAAACACACTTGGCTGACCTCTACTTGAAACATGAGGTCGAAATGATGAACTGAAATCATATAAACCAAATAAATGACCTTTTTCTGTACATATATATACAATTCAAAAATCATCAATCCTTTATTTATTTAAAGCTTTTCATCTAAAAATACTTTCGTACTGATGAAGCCATTTACCAGCAAGTGTAGCCCTCAGCCGTCACAATCTTGAGAAATAAATGCACCGGGGTACGACATTGTTCAGTATCGCTCTATCAATCAAAAAGTAGATATTAAAGAGTGTTTATAAGTTAAAACAGCTCAGTTTATAGCTAAAGCTTCATGACTGCATCAAAAATGACCTTAGAGCACAGCTACTATACTCAGGCTTGAATTTACCAACTCATCAGACTCCACTGATAAACAAGCATCTGTTTCCCTCTGAGAAACTCAAATATTGGACTCTGATTTGAACAGAAGGAGGAGAGTTTCAGGTCCTTTGACAGTGAAAGAATGATCATGGGAGGACCGTTTAAAAACAGGCGCTCACACACCTGAGGTTAAAAAAAAACAGCTTTTTATTGACGATGTTCGAGCAGCATAAAAAAGTGTTTGTGTCGTTTTTTCACTCAGTCCAGAGTTAAATCTTTCCTTCGTCATGGAAACGTGTTTTCATCAGGAATCTCGACGTTAATCAGAACCACCTCCTTTCACTCCTTCAGTCCTCCTCCTCCTCCTCTTCGTCATCGTCATCCTCCTCCTTCACCAGCTTTGATACCCTCCTCCTCTTTCTCGTCTCCTTCACCTCCTCTACCTCTTCCTCCACATTCCCCTCTTCTTCGCCCTCCCCTCCTCCTCCTCCTCCTCCTCCTGCTCCTGCTGCTCCTCCTCCCTCCTCCCCGTCGCCCTCCTCTCGGGCGTTGCAGCGGCTGCAGTGTCTCCTGAAGCCTCCCAAGAAGTGAGACCTGAAGCAGCAGAAGGGACAGGCGTAGCGCCCGGGCCGGTGGGCGGAGCTGATGTGCTGCTGCAGCCGGCTGGGCAGGAAGAAGGAGCGTTTGCAGTCTTTGCAGTGGTACGGGCGCTCCACGTCGTGGCTACGCTCCACATGACTGATGGCGAAACCTGAGAAAACAAACACGAGTGCAAGTGATTAGAAACTTTATTGACAAAGACAAACACAAAAACAAGCAGGATATCAGATGAAGAAGATCACTGAAAACATTTGCTTGTACGTTTTTACCTTTGAGTTTGGTCTTCCAGCCACAGATGAGACACTGGAAACGATTCGAGATGAAGCGAACCACTTTTGATGTTGCCTCCAGCTCCTCCTTCAGCATCTCTCCGCTCAGTCCAGGTACCCCCTCCTCCTCCTCCGCCCCGCCACCCTGCGTCAGTTTGAGGGCAAAATCTACGTGCTGGCGGACGGACTGGTTGGCGTACGCTCTGGGGATGTCATGTTTTCTCACCACGTGGTTGATCCCGGGACCTTTCTTCGCGCTCCTCCAGTTACAGATCAGACAGCGGTACCCAGCGCCGTCGAACACCAACACACTCTCATCACCCCCGTTCTCCGTTTTCTCTGGCTCCACCTTCTGAGGGGCGGGGTCTTCAGGATGTTCCTCCCCATTCTCCTCCTCCTCCTCAGCTTCACTGTTCTTCTTTGCTTCAACAGCTTCCTTCTCCTTTTCCTCCACCTCCATCTCCTCTTCCACTTTAACCTCCACCTTCTCACCCCCATCCTCACCTCCTCCCTCATCCCCCTCGTCCCCCCCTCCCCCCTCCCTCTCATCCATACAGTGTGTGGTGATGAGGTGTTGGTACAGCTTAGTGAAGTCTCTGGTTGTGAAGAAACAGTCAGAGCAGTGGAACAGCCGGGCGGTGCTCTGATACATCAGGATGTTGCCGAGGCGACCCACAGAGACGTTGTCCAGGGAGGCCGGGTGAGAGGCCGCCATGTGGGACAGCTGGTGGGCGTGGCTTTTGGAGAAGTGACCACAGAAGGGGCATTGCAGGTGAGCTGCCACACCTCCACCTGCTTCACCTCGAGTCTGTATGATGACGGACATTTTTGCTTCTACCTGAAACAGATTTGAAAACAATCATTCACAGGGAAGATTTGATTCATGTTCCTTTCATTCTTTACATTTATCACAGCGGACTAACGTTTAAGATGACCAGTTCTTTAATTTCAAGGATCAACTTTTAAAAGTTTTCTATGGAAATATAATGAAGTTCTTGGAGTTAAAGGGGGAGTAGGCGGGAATCCGTTAAAGAAGCATCTTTTTTTGTAGTGTTTATACAAGAAAGCTTTTAATACCAGTCAATAGTTACTAGTTATTAATGACATTTGGTAATCACCAGAGGGTGTTCTCAGAGTGGCTTCACCCATCGAGGACGCAGATGGCGTCCATTCTATATACAGTCTATGGTTGCGAGGCAGACGTTTCTCCCACATATTGTGAGGCACGCACATCCTCAAATCACGTGCTCAAGCCTAAACAAAGTTAACGTTACTCCCTCGTGTTGTGAAGCATGCTCCATGTCCTCAAGTTACGTGCACAAGCTTTAACAAAGTTGGCGTGGTACAATATCGGACAGTAGAAACCAACCAGAAAGTACATGATGGGAGACGCTTCGCGACCTTGGTGACCCTGTACCCTTCTGCTGGACAGGTAAACCTAGTAAACCGCTTCAACAAAGTAAGCCAGGTGTCTGTAGAGTCTATTAACTTATAAAGATATCGTTGTGAAACCTTTATATTTTAGTGGAAATGCAAGAAAGGGCGATTTCACTTCATTGTAAAACTCCAAACACATCTTATATTTCAATATTGTTTAACGTTGACAGAGAATATCTACTCCTGTATAACATTGTGTCACATAAACATACATTAAAGTGTAATAATATGGTCATATTTCAACATTAGCTGCCGTAAATATAGAAGTTTCTCTGCACTGTTCTCCATATACAGTGTTTTTCATGTGCAGTTTATCCCGCAGTGTTTAACTGTGTTTTTACACCGTAATACAAAGATAACCCCGCGCATGCATGTGTTATAAACATCTTATAAAAGTTGCAGTAAAACCTAACAAGAATGGACCCTGAGTTAGCTGCCTGGCTAACACCCCGTCCTCACGAGCTTCAAAATCGTCTTTGATTACCCATCTTCAATCATTTAACCCATCGTATTCATGCGTATATGTCACAACTATTTCCCTATTTCTATAAACAACCTAAAGGAGTTATCTTCAACTCTTTACAATAAAACATTTTCATTTCAAACCCACCGAATAGCTTCAGCCTGCGACGCGCCAGCATCCACTTCCGTGTTTACTTATAGCCCAGCCAATCGTTTCGCTCGAGCTTGTTTCGATTGACCAATAGCAACAAAGCGTGGCTTTTTTCCTACCTCTATAAAACACAGGCTTTCTTTTGTTTTAATTTTGGGGTAACGTTTCCCGTAAAACACATTATTACTTGTTACTAAATAACAGACCGAACCAAAGCGTTCGCACTTATTTCCCTAAAAGCCACAGACTCGTTGTGAATAGCGGTTTTATTGTTTAAGACAGGAACTCTACCCTTGATATCGGGAGTTTCTCCTCTTCTTCTTCCTCCTCCTCTTCTTCCTCGTCCTCGCCAACAACACAACCGGCTGTGATCCGGTTAGTTTCCCTCTTGATGATGGTATTGGTTGAATTTGAAGCTAGCCGTAGCTGTTTGGGAGCTGGAGCATCCTCTTCCCCCTCCGTGGACCTCGCCTCTAATGTAACGGAGCTGTGTCTCGCCTGCAAATGCTTCTTCAGATTTGAAGTCGAGTTCTTTGCAGTTGATAAGATTTTATCCTCCAGACACAGCTTACATTTCACTAAGATGTTGTTCTGGTTTTTCTCGCCAAAAAATTCAAAGTAATGGGAATATTTCCACGAGACAAACGTGCCCTGTTCTGCCATCCCACTTCAGCGCTGGTTGAATGGGCTATCCGCGCCTGCGCACTTACACGGCTGTGAGTTTACCTTCCACTGGTACTCAGGTGTCCGCCATTTTCAGAAGGAACGTTTTAACACAAAGTGACTACACCGCGGAGATATGGAAGTAAAACGGTGCCATCTGATTTTGAGTTTAAATTTTTAAAGCTGTTTTTTTTTTGCATCAGAATCAGACTTTGAATTTAAAAACTATTGAATTTCAAGAACACATTTTTATTTCTTGCACTTTTTTTCACAATGATGAAAAAAATTCAGGGTTAAAAAAAATTTGGTCTCTCAAAATATTCGTGTAATGAAAATTCAACATAAAAATTATTTAAATGCCAAAAATTCAGTGTCAAACAGAACAACTCAACATCCAGGTAACCAGGGAGAGGTTCCTGGCTCAATCACCCATCATCCAGCCAATCAAATAATGCTAGATTGGTCATGTGACACCGACCCCAGTGGAAGAATTAAGAAATAAGGAATTGATTGCTTCTCCCTGATATTGAGTTGGTCTGTTTTACACTTAATTTTGTGACACTGAAATTATTTTATGTTGAATTATTTTTTTTTTTACACATTTTTTTAAGTCGAATTTTCACTACAGGAATATCTTTAGAGACCAAATTTTTTTACAATGAATTTATTTCATCATTGATGAAATAAATTCAATGCATGTTGAAATTCAAAGTCTGATTTTCATGCAAAAAAAAAATCAGCTTTAGAAATTCAAATTCAAAATCAGATGGCACAGATTTACTTCCATACAGAAACTGTTAACTCCAAATGCATCAAACTGCTCATCCCAATTTAAATAAAATTAAATAGGTTCACATGACTTTATTACACAGATATAAACTCACCTGTGATTGTACTCATAAAAAATCTATTTGCATTTTTTGTTTGTTTATCCAAGTTTTAACAGACAAATAGCATCAAAGCATAGACTGACCATAGTCTATATAGACCTAGGGCTGGGTGATATAACGATAACGATATATATCGAAAATGAATTTCCCTTGATATCAATATAAAACATGGTCAATATGCTTTTCGATAGTAGGCGTTCTGCCATGTTTTGGTAGACTATAAAAATGAAGCACAGTAATATGTACTGCAAATTATGTCAAGTACATGTTCGAGTAAAAGTCGGGGAATAACTCAAGTTTTTTCATCACCTGAAGCAGCGCCACGTGGCAGAGCACGCACAACGCAAAAGGTTACAAATCTCGAGTGGAGCAAGGAGCCCATGGCGCCTGTGCAGCCGAAACAGCCGATCATTCAGTCCGCACACAAAAAGACCTCACAGATGCAGTAGCTTTTTGTGTTGTAAAGACATGCTACCAATAAGCACACTTAAATTTCATTTCATTCAAAGTATAATATGTTTAGTTTGACTGTTTCACTGCTTCTGCTTAGTATTTACCCAATTAAAATTTACACCAGGGGTTAAACAACACATACATTTAAATTTCATTTATGAGTAAATGAACATTTAAGATTAACAAGTGATTTTTTTTATATTGTGATATTGTTATGACATGATATTGATATGAGAAAAATATATCATTATAAACTTTTTCCTATATCGCCCAGCCCTATATAGACCATATAAAGGCTATGAATCAAAGACTAGTATAATTATTTGTCTAAAGGGGGCGTTGCATGAAGTAAGAATAACTTATTTACTCCTATCCCTTTTCCTACTTTAACTAGATTATAAATGTGTTATTAAGAGACCAAAAAGACCATTTGCAGAAATTCCTCCAAGAAGTTTCTTAAAACAACAAATGATGCTGATTTCAAGGAGCTCATAAAGAGAGTTATGGTTCAGGTATCTTGAAATAAGATTTACATTTGGTCCAGTTAGGACAGCGCAGCTTGAATAAAGTGTAGAGAGTTATTTTGGCTTGAAATGTGGCAAATTTACTGGGTCTGAGGTCTGGGTTATTGCAGTAAGGAGATTGTCCGATCAGCTGGCTGTCATACAGCTGATGGAAAGGTATGACTTGAGTGTGCAGGGAGCGTCTACAAAATGCAATCTTGATAAGAGATGCTGCAAAAGTATTCAAATATTCAAAATCAGTTCACACATTAACTCAGATGCTTGTGTTGCTATAATACTTTCTAGTTTTCCATAATTATGGGGCATATCTTACCCTCTCCCCATCTGCTATGTGTCAAAAGTACTCAGTGCTTTATGTACATACCAAATACAGTACCTTCTACAAATACACAAGTGTACTAACAGACTGGTACTTCAGTGAAATATCATCTATGTGACTGGACTTGTATTTGTTATAACAAACATGTCTGGTGTTACAGTCTGCACCTGCTGCTGAGTAACTTACTAACACTTGTGTGTGTGTGTGTGTGTGTGTGTGTGTGTGTGTGTGTGTGTGTGTGTGTGTGTGTGTGTGTTTGCAGCGCAGACTATAAGATGATTAATGAAGCTATTTTTGGTCGGCGAGGCAAATACCTGGAGGACAGGAGGAGGAAAGGACCACATCTCCCATGAGCCTCGATTTGGCGTCATTACCCTGCAGTCAGGTGCGATTTTTTTTTTTTCGTGTGTGTGTGTGAGAGAGAGAGAGCCCTCTCATCTGTCATGCTGTCACCTCATTGGCTGCTTTGGAGATGGTTGCTTGGATGGTTGCCAGGCGACGGTCTCAGAGGTGCATAAAGAGATTTGATGCTAAACATGAAAAAACAGCAATGACTCAGCGAAATACAGCGACATGATAACGGTCTTTAGGTTTTTGATAGAGTTATTATAAACCCAGTACGCCCCAGAGAGAAATACTGCACAGGAAGAGTTTTATGTGACGTTTTCACTGTGCTCCTCGTCCAAAGTGAAAATGATGGAGGTTAAGGCGCAGTATTTTTTCCTCCAACGCTGAGGGGATGATGAGTGATCAGAAGTCAGGGTCGAGAGAGGATCAGTTTGAGCAGAGAGAAAGAAGAGGAAGGGAGAGAGGGGGCTTTTATTGTGGTAGAGTGAAGAGAGAGAGAGGGAGAGAAAAGGGGGGAGTCTGTGTTTGAACTTGTGTTTTCAGTCTGAGACTCACTTTCACACACACACCAACACACACTCAGAGGGACGCTGGGCGAGCGAGGACAACATGCTCTGCTTAAAAGGTGAGCGAGAGAGGTATAAGGGTGCGTGGAGGAGTTAAAAAGGAAGAAATGCTGCAGATTAAAGTGTGTGTGTATATGTAGGTCATTTAGTCAGCTACAGTCTATTAACACACACACACACTCTTATCTCAATAACCTTTCCTGTTGTGCGTGTTCTTGGTCAAAGAGGGTCGAGGGAGCTTCATTTTGAGCAGAGAGAGAGAGAGTAACGGAGGGAACACGTTGAGGAGATGCAGTGTTTTTCAGATTTACAGCTGCTGCAGTGCTTTTGTGCTTCCTATCGGTGACTGTTACTATGGTAACTGCTAATAGTCCCACTGATACCCCTGATTACTCTCATATTTAAACCTCCATCCTGGTTCTGCTGAGACTTTAACACTCTCGTGATGTTTTGTTTTGAATTTGAGAGTTTGAGGCAGAAGGGGAAGTTTTGGGTCAGGAGACATTCTTGTGTTTGACGTGTGTGTGTGTTGTCTGTGTGTGTGTGTGTGTGTAAGAGACAGTAATCTCCTTGCTGACCTGTTGAGGCAGGTTGAAACATCCCATTCAGCCTCCTAAACACAGCTGTTTCTGCGCGCTGATGTTGACTGAGTGGATTTACAGCCACGACATCGTCACAACAAGATGCTCTAAAGTCTGCATATCTTTTTTTGACAGCTGCTTAAACACAAACTTCACTTCAGTATCAATCAAAACATGAAAGAGATGGAATTTAATCCGATAAACGAGGAGGATAAGTACCTGTAGATGAGGGGAGACTGGGGACGGTTATAATGTTTTCGAGGCTGGCCCTCATGGATTACACTTGTCATGTTTTAGTGTAAGAAACATGAATATGTGCCTCGATTATCAAAGCTATCACTGTGTTTTTACAAGTAAAGATGACACAGTTTTATTTCATGTTATTGTGAGCAGGACCTGAATCAGAAGGTGCTCACTGCTGACCTTCTGTCGTCTGATTCTGTGATCCAAATCTAGAATTAACCCGTTTGTCACAGCGATACAGAATCAAGCAACATGTGGTGCGTTGAGGTAAATACCTGTCTCCCACAGGCCATCTGCAGACCTGGATAATCCCCGTTAGAAGATTAGAGAAGGAGAGAGGAGAGGAGGCACAAACACACACAGTCAACACCGTGTGAGGAGGAAATTTAACATGACAAGAGAATTTGGATTTTTATCATTTCTGGAGCTGTGAAATTTGGCTTCGCTTCAGGTGGTCCCATCTCAGAGGTTTTATTATGAAGGAATGTGTCGCATGGAGCTGCTGCAGTGGATGGTGATGTTGGAGGTTTGAGATCAAATCTGAAGAAAACTCGACTGTGGGATGTTTTTGAGTTGCTGTCTTGAAAACATACCTTTCTGAAATATCTAAGGAGGGTTTTAATGACTGTCTGACCATTTCCATGAAGGACAATAAGTCTGCTGTGTCGCTCTGAAGGACCTTCGAACGAGACACTTGTTGTTAGGTTATTTTATTTTGTGGATTTACTTTGGAGCCTTTCTATATCATTACCGAAGGTGTTGAAATATCAACATTTAGCACAAATATAAATTCTGCTCTCTGTGAACGATGGAATAGTTGAGGAGTTTTGAGAGCAGAAAGCTTCCCGTCATCATTTTGTTAGAGAACTCAGGGCTTTTACTTTGAAGGGCACTCTAAAGATTGTATAAAGGAAACACACTGTTGTATGGACTTTTATTGTGAAGGAGAGTTAAATCAAGGACTTTTATGATGACAGGATTTGAATTCCCAGGGACTTTTGAAGTGAAAGGCGTCGTATTCATCGTCTCCAATCTGTCCTAAGGGGCGGAGCCAAACACAGCAGGACAAGATGATTTCATATGTGGAGTGTCTGAGTGGTGAGGGGGCGGGGCCTGGTGTTGCATCTCGCTGCTGGAACACAGGTCCTGATGAAGAGCTAGATGAACTTCTTCCACGCAAGATGGCCGTCCTGCAACCTAAGACAGAGGGAAGCCTGCGCCGGCGCCTTCTCAGCGCCAAAATTCACCAGCACCATGACGCCATCTTAAATGCCAGTAGTGCTGGAAGGCCTGGGACACCCACATTTGACAAAAAGTCCCTCCCACCTCACTTGCAGTATCCAGGCAACAGCCCCTGGTACCTCCGCCAGCACCTCCCACCACGACCGCATGTCCACCCTACTTTTTCCCCAGAGGCTCATGGGAAACTTTTCCTCGCTCCAGAGGCTTATGGGAAACCCCATTCTGTACCAGTGCCCCTACAAGTGCAGCGCCCCACCTACCCTGTCCTCTCCCAGAGGTATCGGACAAGTTCAAGTCCCCCCACCCCAGAACCCCGTCCTGGCTACACCCTGCCTGTCCCCTCCCCTCTTAGCAACCCGCCCCCCATCAAAGAACCAGAGGTGCCGCCGCAGTACCGCTACAAGCCCAGCAGGAGGCGCAAGACAGGCTTATTTCGCTTCAATTTTCGCAGAGGGAGGAGCTCTCGGAGGGAAGCCACCCAGACCACGCCCCTTCTGTGTCCAGGTACTGCGAAGATATTTGAAATATTCCTACCGGTACAGTCCATGCCTTCTTCATTTTGGTCTCAGTCTTGGTCCATGCTTGCTAAGTCTTACCCCACCTTTCTTACTTTAACTTCCTGTCACCTTGGTTCAGTTGTCTTTGGCCCTGATGGTCCTAGCTAGTCTTCTTTGGCTCTCTGTGTTCCCGGATGTTGTTGGATGGCCTGGATGAACCCGGCTTGTTTGCCTGGCTTCGGTCCTGAACGTTCCCAGCTAATGTACTTTGGCTCTGTGTGGTTCTGAAATGGTTCCAGCTTTGGCTCTCATCAGTCTTGAGTAGTACAAGTTAGCCTCAGGTAGCCTGGTTGGGTCCGTTTTAATTGAACCAAGCTGGATTGCTTGTTTTGGTGCTGACTGGTACCATCTGTCATGGCTGTGTTTGGTCCTCAGTAGTTCTAGCTTTGGTTCTCTTTGGTCTACATAGTCCCCTCTCTATGAGCCCATTCAGCCCAGTTCAACCACATCTACCTTTAAGTGTTTCCAGCTGTCCTGATTCGGCTCGGCTTGGCTTGGAGCTTCCTCACTCAGATTAGGGGATTGATTTGTTCTGTCATGCGTAGGTTCCATCGACTGAAACTGGCCTAAGCGTTCTTGGCATGCTGCAGACTTTGACCTGGAGGTTGAACCACATCAGTGCGTTGCTATGAAGCTGCGTAGTAAAGAAAGCTGCAGTTTAATCGCCTAATTCAAATGTACTGAGAAGCTACGCTCTCTTGGATTTGGTTTAGGGATTTCTGACATGGTTCTTCTAGATATTTTCATTCATCGTACTCAGACATAAATGATGCAAAATCTCTGGTCTTTATTTTGAAAGTTACACCTTTTAAATTTGCCTGATAATGCCGTGTTGGCCTGGTTTATCCTTCTTTGCTTCACATGTAAATTTGATCAATCACATTGCTGCTTTCTGCCTGCAGATCTGTGAAAACGCTGCCTCTCTCTTGCAGCATTTCACAGTCTCATCAATAATGTATCACGGCTCCTCTTAGATATTTCTCTCAGATCAGGACTTACTTTAACTCTCACACAAACAAAAAAATAACACTCTGGTTCTCCTTATTCTCTCTTAATTAACTCCCCTGTGTGTATAATCTCCTGTGTGTGGGTGTGGGTGGGTGGGTGTGAGCAGGGATTAGCTGCTGCTCCATACGCTACGCTAATGGCTTATTCCTCTAATAGCAGATGTACAGGCTTTACCGTGCAACAGCTGCTACCTGTTAGCTTCAGCTGCTACCTGTTAGCTTCAGCTACTACCTGTTAGCTTCCTGTTATGCATGTCTGACTGGTTCACTTGAGGCTGACGTCTTTGTATTCTTGATTCTGGACCATATCGCCTTGAGTCCGGACTCTTGGCTCTGATTGGATGGCGGACTGTCTTTTCGTTGCTCCTCGGATCTTGAAGTCGTCGAACATATTCTGGCTAAAAACACAACTGTGACATAATGATGGTGTGGCCTACTTACTGTCTAATTAATGAAGTTAATTTAAACAGTGGGGAAGTGACGACAATCGGACTGTCAGGCATGAAGACAGAAGTAATTAGCTGCTCCAGTGGCCCAGATAGTTGGCACACTTACAAACTGGAACTGTCCCAGTTTGTGATGAAGGTGAACCTCAACTCTGTCAACTTCCAGCACCATAATACGAAAAAAGGAGGCTGAGGCACCTTTGGTTCAAATTTAAAGCCTTTTGAGTCCCCTTTCTTGACTCGGTCAACCACAGCAACCTTCAAGGGCCATAGGACTTCCTTAAAGGTCTGCTTTTACCTCTCATACACCTCAATGAGCTTATAAGAGATGACCTGGGGTTCTGACAGACCTCTGATGTTTGATTACAGACCTATAATTCTAAGAAGCCTGGAACAACTTACTCCTTAAATAACATTAAATGACTGTTTAAATGAACCCAAGTACTTCTAATAGCTGCTCAAAGGGCTCCTGGAACTTCCTCAACCTAAGACCTCCCACCTATATTTTGCTATTTTTGGTCACAAATATATACACATCTTTTTTTCAGGATCTCTTCTTCGCTTGTTTCCAAACATTGAGGACCATTATTTCTTATTTTGCAGACAAGCAGGGAACTTTCTTGTCTTTTGTTGATCTTTCGTTGCCTCTTATTGGACACTACAGTCAAGGGAACAATAGAAGAAGAATATGAAACCATTTTCACAGAAAAAGACGTCATCAACACCCGGAAGACATGAGTGGCATTAAGCGATCACAATCTTTTTTTTATCACAACAATCTGATAAATAATCCTGTTTTCACCGGTATATCACTGCAGATTTACCATCAAACGTCTCTGATCAAACACCTGTTTTTGTGGCTGGACTGTAAACCTTGTGGCAGGTGTAGAAATAAACCCTCGATATTTCGTAGAGATATGCAGTATAGTTCCTGAGAAACTGTAAACAATATTAATGGTGTCATGTGGGATCGCTGGCGATCCAGCTGAGTTCTAAGTGTTAAGGTTCCAGAGCACTTTCTCAAAGACCATTTGACTCTCCCCAGGGGTCTTTTCTATGTAAAGAGGTCAAGTGGAACCACCTGGAAGACTACGGTGATGCTCCTTGAGGACCCCAACCACCATTCCCCTCCAGAGAACATCCTTGGGGGTCATTTGAGCCACCACCAGGACCTTCTTGTACCCCTCAAGGATCCTTGAACGTAGTGCAATAATTCCAGGACCCCTCTTTGTGTTAAATTTGGCCTACAGTCCCTCAGACTGCTGATAAGACAAGAGCCGACATGTCCTCACTCTAACTAGATGTCCTCAGTCACTCAGTCCTCACAAGGATAGAAATTCAGGAACAAAGAGAATAGAGGATGAAGGAGCTCATATTCTACACACACACACACACACACTGCAAACACGACACTTTGTAGATGAAGGGAGATGAAAAAAGAGAATTGAAAGTCTGTGTGTGTTTGTGTGTGTGTAATGCAGTATTTGGGGGTAACCTTCATCACCTGGTGACACATATGAAGGACACACACGTATGCTGGCTTCCTGCCAGCGTGGCGTGTGTGTCGAAGGAAGAAAGAAAGAGAGGGGTGAGCGAGAAAAAGAGAGAGTGGTGGGAGGAGAGAGAGGGAGGTGGGAGGAGAGTGGCGTTGCAGCGAGTGGAGCTGCATTTCTGCTGCTGCTCCGTCTGCTGCAGCCTCACCGCTGTGTGTGTGAGTGTGTGTGTGTGTGTGTGTCCTCAGTGTGTTTGTGTGTGTCTTTCTTTGGCGTCGTCATGGTTCTGATCGGAGCGGCGATCAAATCCGTCCTGAAATATCTAAACAGGACCAGAGGTGAGTGTGTGCGTCATTTTTATCTGCATGTGTGTGTTTGTCTGTGATGATGGACCGCATTTGCATCTGAGCTGCCGGGCGAGCGAGCATCACTCTATGAAGAGAGAGAGAGAGAAAGGGAGAGAAGTTGACCTCATTACATGTAGATCTCTGATTGGTTGTCATTGTTAAGGTTAACAGCTTTAGCACCTCTGTAAGTGAGAGTTCCAGGTGTGCTCAAATACAGGTAACCAGTGAAGCGCAGACAGCTCAGTCAAGGACTCCGTCAGTCCCTCCAAGGACCCAGTCTCCCCTGGACTCTCTTTGAGGACCCTTACACCTTCTTAAGGACCCTCGGTACACCTTGAGTACCTGTAATGTCTCACCAAGGACCTCGGCACAAAGCTGTGTTGTAGTTTCATCCTTTGACCCTTGGATCTTCTTACACATTAAATCAGGATCTCAAGGGTCCATTTGAATCCCCCGAGGAATCCTGGAGATTTCTGTCAGACTATCAGACACTTCAGACACCCGTGGCATCTTTTCAAGGAGCCTTTTGAGCTCAACAGAGAGGTTCGAGTATCTTGGAGATCTTCCACTACACAATGACGAGAGCTAATCAGCTAATAAGAAATGTTTTGGTCCTGATTTGGCCTTCTGATCACCAGAGACCCCCCCAAGGATCATTTCAAGGTCCTATTTGTATGGTACTCTACATCCAAGCTGTCTTTCCACTTGAGTTTCGAATTAAAATAAGGTCCCACTGTGGAAGATCTGCAGCCTCTCAGTTTCTCGCCTCATTATCCATGCAGTGATTGGAGTGCTATGCTTAAAGGTGCTGCTCTGATTGGCTGGGGGAATGGTGCAAACCTGTGCAGATTGATGCAGAAAAATAAACAATAAAAATGGATGCAGGGCAGCTATTATTGAATTGTTACAGCAGTGTGTTTATCAGTGTTATTTCTACTCCTTTTCTTGTGGTCCACTCTTGATTGGCACAAACGTACAAATTAGCGCCAGTGGTGGCCTGCACAAAATGTAGCTGCTGTTATCTTTGGTCCTCCAGTGAAAGAATAGTTTTGCATGTATATATGCACAGTTTGCTCCTGTTGTGACATCACCACAGGAGCAGATTCAAACCTTCAGATAGGCGGCAAAAACAATGCAAACTTTTTGCTTCCATGATATCAGGGTTGATAAAAGTGTATGTATGGATAGATGAGGAAAAAAAGGGACCTTTGAACCTCCTTAAGAGCCTCTATGACTTCATGTTTCATGGGAACTCTTCAACAGTTTGTCACCTTGACAACCACAAACAACTCCAGCACACATGCGGGATTTTGTTGCAAGAAATTTGCAAGTATATTGTAAGGAAATACAGTGACCACATAATCTAATTGTTATTTATATAATGGAGGTTTAAAACAGGAGTATAACTGAAGATATTTCTGCTCTGGCGCTGTTCAGCTAGAGAGACTCCTGACACGGCTCTTCTCTTTTTATGTCTTTTTGAGTGCAGAATTCTGACTATAAATACTTAATATTCCTGCTGATGCTGCTGAGATTCAGCGCTGAGACAATAATCACAGCAGAAAGTCCACAGGCAGCTGTGTCAGAGATTTACTTGCTCTCTTAGTGTTACAGCTTTATGGACACACCAAACAGCAGCTTTTGAGGTTAATACAGGTTGTCATATAAACCTTAAAGGGGAAGCTGTTATCAGTGGGCTGCAATGTGCAATCTAACCACTAGATGGCAGTAAATTCCACACACCGCTCCTTTCACGAGATGGTCAGGACTGTTTAAAATTCTGCTGCAGGTTGGTCACTCAGTTTAAAGCATCGATGGTAGAAAAATGCAGAAGTACAAGAGTTATACAGAGTATTATAATAGTTAATGATGTTATTTAACTCGATATCATGTTATACACCGATCAGATGGAGCTTGTTTGAACCGTACAGCTTTGTTATGACTCCAGGATTAAATCTGACAACATGCGATAAATGTGTTCAAATAAATTAGCTGATTTCTCCCACATATCACTGAGCCTTTAAGTGACACTAAATCACTGAAGCAGTAAAAGTGTTGTTATCTTTCCAACAGTCAACGCATGTCGGTAAATGACCACTTTTCCCTCCAATCTGCAGAAAACTGTCTCGTTATCTTTCACATCTGTCAATTAAGCACCTCAGACTGCTGCTCCTTCACAATAAAAGCCCTCAGGCTCTGTGTGAGGTGACCTTGAGGAGTGCTGAGTGCTGCAACACTTATCATCACAGTTTCCCCCTCGCTTTTGTGTGTGAATGAATCTGCTGAAACGAGATTAAACCCTCTCTCTCTCTCTCTCTCTCTCTCTCTCTCTCTCTCTCTCTCTCTCTCTCTCTCTCTCTCTCTATCTCTCTCACTCTCTCTCACACTCTCTCTCACTCTCTCTCTCGCTTGCTGCAGCAGGAGATGGAGACAAGAAGTGGTCCGTCCACTACACGACCCAGAAGCCCCAGCAGGGTCTGGTCTTCATCCCTGGAAAAAGACGATCAGGCAGCGCAGACGATCTGCAAGGTCAGAGGTCAAAATGAGAGATAAAAACTCACCAAATGCAGCAAATGTGGGTCAATCTGATGCTGAAAATAGTCCCTGACAAATATATATATTGTGTTTAGTAGAAAATAAATCAAATAGTTAAAAAGATTTGATCTATCTGATGCTGTCAGATGTCTGATGCCAAGCTCCACTTTAAGAATCTCAATCAGTGAAGAAATCAGCCGATAAACACGCTTTAAAACCTTAATCTGATCATTAATTATGTTCATAATCCTACATGGAGAGTCTCTTTGAGATCTCAGGACGTTTTGTTCCTCACCTGTGAATAAATCCCCCTCTCTGTTAGGTTTGCTGCAGCCTCCACTGCTGCATTAATCAGGCTTTTATCGATTAATTAAAGCTCTTATTTTGGTGATTTTGGCTCTTATTGAACGCTGAGAGGGCAGACTGCTGCAGGGGTCTGTCTGCAGCACACACACTCACACACACACACACACACACACACTCAGACCGCAGACTGCATCACAGGCGCTGCAGTGCTACATGTCGCCCCCCGCCCCATTTCACAGACAAAAGAGCTCCTCTGGTGTTTAATGTATGGATTCAGGCTGGATCTAAAGTTGGTTTATTGATCGATTATTGGAAGACAGCCAAATAGAATCACTCCTCTTTACATCTGATCTGTTTATTTACCGCAGATCAACCAAAATGCATCAAATCTGTCCTCCTGTTCGGGCCACTTTTCTAATTATCATTCATAAAGTTTTGATCATGATTACAGAGATAACAATATCAGTGATTGATCATCTTTCACGTCTAATTTTGTGTGTGGGCAGCATGTAATGGGCTGACTCAGCATGGACGACCCAGCAGCTGTCAGCCCCGCCCACCGAGCCCATCATCTTCTGGGCTCGACCAATCAGAGGGCAGCACCCTCCGCAGACGATGGAAGGACAAAAGCAGGAAGATGGTTGGTGACACACACACACACACTCACACACACACTATGACAATATTTACATGGATACAGTGATGATCCATGAATTTAAATGAGGCTGAACAGACTGCAGTAAAAATGATTCCTCTGTTGGATTGTTTGGATTCATTTTGATTTTATTTTCACTCTGTTTCTGCTCCCTCTGCTCTCAGAGGTCCAGATTTCTGGACTTCTTTTCTCAGTCTTGCTTTGCAGTTTGTTTCAAGTGTTCAGTTTGGAGGAGAAAGGTAAATGAGGACAAAAGTAGACTAGACCAGACTAGGATAAACTAGACTAATGAATCTAGTCCCTAACTCTAGTCCCCCTTGCACCTAGATCTAAATGAAGGGCCCTGCAGAATCTAAACCCAAGTGTTTTAACCTGAACTTTATGTTACTGAGTAAAATCTCTGGGGGAATCTTGATAAACATATTCTGAACCAGATCACAATGCGGTCTACTCACTTAATCCAGGTCTGCTCTGGTTTAGTTAAACTCTAACCTCAAATGTCTCAGTTTGCCATGTTGGTGTGTGTGCTCTCAGTCCTCAGCTCTCTCTGATGAAGACGAAAGAATTATAATGAATAACATGCGACCCATGACCCCCTTGGTCCTCAACCCGGTCCACAGCACCACCTCTTGGGATATCTTTACCCCAACCTATGAGCCGACCATAGAGATGGAGGTAGAGCCGATGTCCAGGCTTCCAACACCAGAGGAGAAAATGAGACAGCAGGCGGAGGCGGTCGGAGCTGATATTGTCCCCATCAACATAACAGGTGAGGGACTGGACTCAGAGACAGGAGCTTTTGAACCAATCAACCAATTTTGAACCTAACTTGGAAAAGGTCTTTACTCGAGCAAGACTCTCTGTAAGCCAGTATCGGGTTTTAACTGGTACAAACGCTTGTGTTACAAACTGAGCAGAGTTACTCATGCACTCATTTCAGGTGCCAATTTTGATCGTCAGGCAAGTTTTCGTAAAACAGCTGGTAACACTGACTCTATAAATCGGCGACCCCACAACCTGGGCAGACGAAAGACAATCACTGGAATTCCTGAAGGTGCTGTCCAGAAGAAGGGTATACCTTTCATCCAATAATTACCCCAATCTCTCATTTTCATTTTATCTTTTATTTTCAGTTTTTGCTGTTAAGCTACTCTAATTTATTCCAAGACTTTTCTTTCTCCGCCCTTAGTCCCTCCAGATTCGCCCTCAGCATCTGCTGCTCTTCCTGGTCAGTTCTCCACCGTGGGTCGACCTGCCTCCTGCTGCATGTCCTCACACAAAGAGAGGAAAAAAGGAGAGGAAGCAGAGGAGAGAGGGAGAGGAGAGGTCAGAGAGAAGAAAGGACAGTCACTGGGAAGAAGGATCCGTGCCCCAAGAGGAGAGGGGATGTCAAGCCTCATGGCCTCCCTCACCACTTCGCCACATGGCATTTCCCGCCATAACCATGGCGCCTCATCGGAGTTCAACAGCCTCCCACGTTTGGCAACCAACTCCTCTCTGAACTCCCAGACCAGCTGCACCAGTGTTTCCTACAGGACGCTCAGTGCCTCGTCATCTCGCAGCCAGGTCAGTTTGAGAAAAATCCTCACAGGTATGAAAACCACACCTGAAACAGCTAACACCCTGACCTTGCCTTTTTTTAAATCTTTTTGCTCCAGTCACAGGATCTGCAGGGTTTTCCGAGTGACCTCCAACCCCTGCTGCCCTATGACCACACTACCACAGCTGTCCCCACATCTCCTTCTTCCTCTTCCACCTCCTCCTTTCCATCCTTATCCCTTACCTCCTCTCTTCCTAGCACCCCAAAACACACAATGCAGTCAGAGTGGTCTTACCCAAGCGAGAGGCCCTTGAATGAGGCTGCGCATCATCCCAGCTCACCTTCCTCCTCCCAGTATCTATCCTCTTCCTCAATTGCACATTCAGACTCCCAGTGTAGCTACCAGGGTCTGAATGGTCCAACTTCCACCTGGCAGAACTCTGAGTGCACCTATGATGGTGGCTCTTACAACCATGAGACGTGGGACTACAGGGTGATGTCCCCCAGCTCAAGTGTCCAGAGTGGGGTCGACTGGAACGGCCTCCCCCAGGAGATGAGGTGTGTTTCTGGGGATGGTTGGAGCTGCGACCCCCTGCTCTCCTCGGGTCGCTCCACACCCTCACAAACCGACAGCCTTTCTGTGTGTTCAGAGAAGATAACCTCTTCTCCCTCACTAAACCGGGACAAGAGAAAATCCAGTACCTCCTCCTCTTACTCTCGCACTTCCACTCGAAGCATCTCCCTGCGCAAGTCCAAGCGCCCCCCTGCCCCACCACTACGCTCAGACTCTCTGAGACGCCGCTCCGGTCGAAGCAAACCACCTCGCTCCTCTTGCAGTCCCCGCTTGGAGCACAACACCAAGCCGACGCCCACCTCTTCTCCTCAAACCTTCCATGATCCCTGGGTGCCGAGGAGCAACTCAAAAAGACGCCAGAGTGGACTGAATTGTGGAACTGTTACTACATTTGAACCGTTAATCCAGGACAGCCAGGTGGCGACCTCTGTCGAGTATCCTCCCTCTGAACAAATACCACCAAGTCCCCGGCAGTCCCAGTCCCGGGACATGACCCCTGGACTCCATGGCTCAGAGGAGGACACTCTGACATTGACTCTAAACTCCCCACCTGCTGCTTCTTCTGTGGCTGAGCTGCAGCGCCTTGCCTCACCCTCGAGCGGCTACTCCAGCCAGTCCAACACACCTACTCCTGGCACCCCTGTGTCCTCCCCCCTTTTTCCATCCTCCCCTCTCACAGCAAGTCCAGGGACCTTCTCCCACACACCAACCTCCCCTTTTTCCTCTGTGCGCCAGTCCTCCTCTCCTCTCGCTCCAGCTGCCTCCTCCCTGCCCAGGATAAGGTCTCAGGCAGAGGGACAATCAAAACCTCCTGTACCAGAGAGGAAATCCTCCCTCTTCTCTTCCCAATCCTCCTCATTTTCCTCCACTTCCTCACTCTCCTCCTGCACCTCCTCAGACTCTGCTCCAAAGCCTGCTCATCTCCCTGCTCCACCCCCACCTCCACCTCTTCCTGAATCTTCCTCACTTTTGCCTCCTGTCTTCTTCTCCCCTCCTCCTGCTCCTACGCTTCCCCAGCCACTGACTTCCATAACACTCTCTGCTGCTCCCTCTCCTTCACCTCCATCTAATCCTCCACCTCCCCCTCCTCCTCCTCCTCTTCCACCTTCTCCTCGTCCGCCTCCTCCCCCATACTCCTATGCTGTTCGGCAGTCCTCCAAGTTATCATCAGCCAAATCTCCAACAACCTCCATCCCCCAGTCTCCTCTTCCTCCACCCTCTCCCCTTCCTACCAGTTCAGAAATCCCAGATATGCCAAAAGCTGACCCTCCACCACCACCTCCTCCTCCCCCTCTTCCAACTACACCTCTATCCCCTGCATCTCCTCTGTCCCTTCCAGGCCTCAGTAAGTCTCTAATCCTCTTGAAAGCAACCACGCCCCCCTGTCCTTTAGTCACCACCCAAGCTTTGCAGGGTGTGAAGCTTCGCTCAGTCAGGAACCAGGATGACCAGTCGGCTGATTCCATGGTAACCACTGCTGATGGTTCACCCCACAGCCATGCGGACACAATGTTAGCAAATGTTCACCATGCAAATACCATCCATGATCTGCCGAGCGCAGATGGTGCTGCACTAGTTAATGCTGATCTTGATGACCAGGCAATCATTGAAGCTAAGCTAACTGGAACTGGATCACATAATGATGTATGTAATGATGCACAGCCAGTAGGACATGATCCAGAAAAGGAGTACTACGATCTTACCACTAACAAAGCCAAGACACCAAGCAAAGAGTCCCCTTATGCTAGTCCTCAGAGAATTCGCGGCACTACTGCTAGCCAAACACACCAAAAAAGCTACACGGCTAAGCTAGCTGATGGTGCAGATCCTAGAGAAACTCAGAACAAAGAACAAAAGGAGGATTCAGAAGTGTACGCTACATCATCGAACAATCATAACTCCAGTCCTGATGGTCCTTGGGTCAGAATGTCACTCAACGCTGACGAAAACTTGGACAACCCAAGAATCCAACACCTGCATTTGCATCACGATGAAGATGCTCAAGTGTCAAAGTCAGGAAATAGACAAGGAAACACTGAGGAGGTTTGGCAAATGGACCCTTCATACTGGACCCTCTCTGGAACCAAAAAAGAGTCTCACAGAGGACAGAGAGTGGCACAGACTGACAACAAACACAACGCAAAGATGAATAACCAGATGAGTCCTGAAAAGGTAAACCACGGCACAGCTGGAGGAAATCAAGGCACACACACGTACAGTGATTTCAAACACAGCAACAGAATTGCCGGATCTGGGAGTCCAAAGAATCTGAGATCTCCTGAGAAGCCAGTCCTGCCGAAGAAGCCCGATCTTTGCATCCTTGGTCTGATGGCTTCCCCTGATACCAGAAGAGGACCAGGTGACTGGAAGAGCAATGAACCATGCAGAGCACTCTCACCTGGACTTAACAACCAATCCCAGATTCTCGCTGATTTGATGGACACACCCTCAAAAATGCATCAAACTGCGCTGCACAGAGCACCCTCACCGAAGCACCTGGAGACAATGAATATGCAAGCAGTGAATGCTGATTGGCCTTTGAACACAACACCTACTGACTCACCTGTCAACTCCCCTCAGAGACAAAAACCCACAATTCCCCACAAGAAGCCGGATCTTTCACTGAGCTCGCCCAAAACGTCCAAAGTGGTCACCAAAGGGGAGCCACCCAAAAGCCCTTCCAGGACTTACAACTCTCTGGAGAATCCCAGGACTTCACAGACTCCGAGAACAACCAGCAACATGCCGGGAATAATGGGCCCCACCCTCAATGGGAACATGGGTACCCCAGGAACTTGGGACACCATGCAGACCAGAGGTTCCTTAGGGAACATGGGGATTTCCTCAGGGATCATTGGAGCTCCTGAAACCTGCAGCAACAAATTGCCTCCCAACAACAATATAGATAGAAGAACAGCTACTCTGGAGAACTGTGGCACCTCAGGCACATGGGGAACCTTGGAGACCTGTAGTTTTCCCTCAAGGGCCCACAGACTGACATCTACTCAAAAAGGAGGTCCTCGAACTGGAGCAGCAGATCCCTATGAGACTAAAATCATCTGCACAAGACCTCATAAAAATGATGATGTATTCCAGCAGAGAATGATGAGGTCCTCGCTGGCTGAAGAAGAAGACGAAGAAGAAAAGACCACAGTGATGTCATCGACCATGAGAAAAAAAGACAAACCAAGAAAGAGGAGGAAGAGGAGGGTCGGCAAGCAGCTGCTGATCATGTCATCAACACTGGAGCCCTCCCCATCTTCCTCATCATCCTCCTCCTCATCTTCCTCATCATCAACCTCCTCGTCATCCTCTTCCTCATCTGGAGACGAGCTAGATGTCGCAAATGACAAAACAATGCAAATGAGGCATATGACAAGGATGGCCAAAGCGTGTGACGAGGGCAGTAGTGACTCTGAAACCTCCTGCTCTCTGATTGGTCACAAGTACCCTCTCGCAGGTGCACTGTCCACCGACAGCCTGCATGGGGAGCTGTTGCTTCCAGAACTTCTTATTCAGGAACCAGAGGAAGAGAAGAAAGAGAGGCCTAAGGAGGTAGTAGCCAGGAGGCAAGAGGAGGGAACAGAGACCGGAGGACCATCAGATGGTGAGTATGGTTTGTGGGAGCCACCCTGAACCCTCTTTGTCCACATTTCTGTACATATGTTCAGCAAGTCAGTGAACTCTCTGTATTTTACTGTTTTAGCGGATCTGTTTGTCAGAGTTTCGGCTGATCAGATGTTTGTCTCCAGTCGACCACGGACCACAGATGATCTGTTTGCTGTCATCCACAGGTAGGAACATAAAAACACCCGCTGCAGATTCACGAACTGTGTCAGTCCGTCATGTACAAACTCATGTGTCTGATTCTTTCCTCTGTGTCGGTGAAGCAGTGCAGTATGGGAAGGTACAGCTTGAGTACCCTGATAGGCAGGTGCTGACTGAAGGTAAAGATCACAGGAAGCAGCGTAGATCGAATTTAGTTTTGACCCCTGGTAGTATGAGTTATGTAGGTTACCCATCAATCCAGATGTCCTGGTTTTCATTGGTCGTACACATCCTTACCCCTACCTCCCATTTCCTTTTTCCCAAATTGGAATCTAATTTATTTCTGTGTAACCCCCTTGACTCTTATTGAATAATTTGTTTTTATTCATGTTAATTAAACACAATCACTGGCTCATTAGTCTGTTGTGTTTTCTTGTCCTGGCAAGGTTTGAGGCTTTTCCTCCCTTTTATGACACGTTTCATATCTTCTTTTGCACCCATGTTTTGATAGGCCAGTTGGTTTCCCATCAGAGTTGACTCTGTGGGCAAAGTAGTCCCAGTAGTAACTGGTTCGGTTCAACAACACAAGGTGTTAAAGGGATATTCCAGCGTAAAATTAATTTAGGGTCAAACACACCATAATATCGAGTTAGACACCCCCTCGGGAGATGAATGTTGCTGACCGCTTACTTCTCTAGTTATACCAACTTTAGTAACAACCGAAGGATAGTAATACAGAGAGGTCTGAGGAGCAATAAACAAACCTCAACCAAAACGCCACTCTATAGCCACAAATAATGCTCAGAACAGCACCTAACTTCATCAACAGGACATATAGGGTCCCAGTCATAGTACTAGACACCAAACATCTTTTTAACTTTGACTAATTTCTTTAGCAAAGAGACTAAACACAACTCACCTACTCTCTTCCAGCAGCCGCTTGTTAAAAAACTAAAAAGATGTTTGGTGTCTAGTACTATGTCTGTGACCCTATATGTCCTGTTGATGAAGTTAGGTGCTGTTCTGAGCATTATTTGTGGCTATAGAGTGGCGTTTTGGTTCAGGTTTGTTTATGGCTCCTTAGACCTCTGCGTATTGCTATTGTCTTTACTAAAGTTGGTATAACTAGAGAAGCAAGCGGTCTGAAATCAGGATTTGTCAGGTCTGTCCACAGGATAATCCAGCAAAAACATTCTATCCTTCGTAGTTTGAAAATATTAGCGACTTAGATTAACTTTGCTCCTTTCCTCCACATCAGTGACCCCTCTGTCTCTGGACCCCCCCTCACCCTGAACTTCAGGTAGAGCTCAGCTCGACTGATCCGGTTCTTTCTCCGTTTTGCTCAGGTCAAAGAGAAAGATGCTCGGACGGTGGGGTTCGGATGACGACAGACGTCATACCTCATCTTCCTCCTCCTCCTCCTCCTCCCCTCCAGTCTCCCCAACAGACCCTCTCCCCCGTCCAACTCAACGTGCAACCCCCAGAGGTCAAAGGTCAGCGAGAAGCGAGAGCTTCAAGGCCCTCCTGCTGAGGAAAGGCAGCCGCTCTGATTTATCCTCTCGGGTTTCGGCTGTGGAGCGACTTCGAGTAGTTATAACCTCTACGACCAATGGCGACCTCAGGAGTGTGATGTCCCTTCCACCTCCACCTCCACCTCCACCTGAGGAAACTAACAACACACCAGTGCACTTGTCCTGCACGTCCAACACCTGTGACATGAACACCCACCTGACTCTGGATGTCCCTGTGTCTCCCACATCTCCCTGCGGTCAGAATTTCTCCATGATGCTCAGCTGGAGTCAAAACCACCTCCTCCTTAACTCCTCCTCCTCCTCTCACTTCTTCTTCCTCTCCTCCTCCTCCCTACGTCCTCGCTCCCGTACTCCTCCCTGCTCCTCCAGCCGACGCTTTGCTGCTCGCTGCCGCCTCTATGCCGCTCCCATGACGGCCATTTATGAGGAAGAGAGTGAGGAGGACAAAGAGGAGGAGGACAACGACGACGACGAAGTTTTTATGGAGTCTCCGGGAAGCGAAGGTGAACCGAGTCAGAGGTTGGTGGAGACTTTGTGAGGACGAGGTTGACAGAAATCAGCAGAGGACTTGATTTATCTCCTCAAAACCTGAATGTGACGGGATCCTAACCAACATGTCACACTGCCTCTGCAAACCGGCCTGATCTGACGGACAGTTGGAAGCCGCTGAATTGAATGTACAGAAGCACAAAGAACGTGCCTCTAGTAGCAACACTGAACTACAGGAGCCTGGAGGGGACATGTGGTTTAAGTCCTCGTGTTTTTTCTTATGCCTGTTGTGTAGAAATCTCAAGACGTCAAACTTGTTGCGATTATACGACAAAGTTCCTGTGAATCTGAGAAATAACTCGACCCCAACACCTCAAGTTAACGTACTTAAAGTAAAACTACGAGAATTTTCGTACATTTTTGTCTTTTGCTTGATTAAGATTTTGTCTTTTTATACTACTTGCACGATACTGGATAAATATTTATATTCTTTTTGTTACTTTAAATATGTTAAATTGTCCTGAACTTGTAAGAAAACTATCAATTCATACCCATTAACGTATGTTTATGTCTAGTTTAATGTAACAGATTTTGACGTAGAAGAGTTTGAGTTTCTGGGATCACAGAGAATTTTGGATGTTTATCATATTAATCTTTAATGCAAATATTCTATTGTGGAAGCTTTATGCAGCGTTGCCATCACTTATTATGTGATGGTTGAAGCAGTTAAGACTGCAGTCATTTAACCAATTTTAAGATCGACAATCTGCCTCAACTATGGGCACAAATTTAAGGTGTAAATCAGCAAATTTTCCAAAATGTGAATGTGAAAGTATCTCCCCCAAATTATCAATACAATGTCACGTATTAATTTAACACACGTCCAATTCTTTAAAAAAAATATACAGATTTTGATGGTTTGCAAATCACTGAAGGTCAATATTTAACTGCGAAAAGTGTAGAGACAAAAAAATATATAATAATCAGCTTTGTCTCTTTCTTATTCACTAAATCTTAAAGTAATATTATGAACTGTGGATTATTCTCGAGTCCCTTTGAAACACAAATGTTGCCAGTAAGTTTGAAAATGTTCCCCATGTGTTTTTTTTTAGCATTGCACAACTTTGTCAGTGTTATTTTTCCTCTGTGAACGAGCTGTTTTGAAACATGGTGTTTTATAAATGAGACTATTTTTAGTTTCAGCATTTGAGCAGTTGTTTTTGCACTCTTTCCAATTAGGCATGGACTTTCAATGATTTGCAAACCGTAAAAATCTGCTTTTATCAACATTTTAAACGGCGTTGAAATGAGCGTTATGTTTCAGCTGTGTTTAATGAGGAGATTTGTTGTTTGTGTAACCTGGACCTGACCTTAAACTGAGCACAGTGTGTCAGCTTTGTAATCTGTGAACACTCGCAGAAAACATCTGTTCATTTGTGTGTTATGATCCTTTTTCATGTGATTCATCTCAAAGTGAGACTCATTAATGTGCATAAAAATCTTAACTGTACTGGTATCTCCCTATAACAGAGATCAACGACACATTTTTCTCCCGATTGATATAACAAAGTCGGATTTAGTCCAGTCAGCATGGGCACATCTCCATTTTCTATACCTGAAACTAACATGTTTTGATTTGTACTTTAAGACTTTAGTCTCATTTTCTATTTAACCACCAGCTATAAGCTGAAACTGCATCAAGTAAGTGCTGTAGATAGGCCTGTCCTGTAAATAACACTGTGTTAAACTAACTCATCCTGTTATGATGTTTATTATATCCTGCTGCTGACTCTTTCCTCATCTCTTTTTGTAGCTCTTAATCAGCTAAGTGTTCGTCTGGACAAGTTTTCTTCTCCAGTAAAGTAGCAGATAGAAAGAAGTCACAAGAGTCCGAGTCACGATGTAAGATTTTAGGACAAAGATGTTGAATTTAGGAGCATAATAAGTGTCTGTGTGTGGGAGGTCAGATTGACTGTTTCAACCATGAAATACTGCATTTGAACAGGATAAGTGGAATTTTGGATGGAGATTGAAGGGCTGTGTCTGTACGTGCTGAGAGAAAGGCAAGAGACCAGAGTCATAAAACAGAAAGAATAACCGTGTAAATAAAGGAAAGTGTTTGTTTATGAGCAGATGGACAATAAAAGCAATAAAGAGCAAACTGAGTATCAAATCCTGGGATTTCTCTTCTTTTATTTCAACAGGATTGTGAGTAAAACTGACGACTTCCAGAGTTTAGCGATCTCTCTGGGTGCAGTTTGTCCCTCTGACCACTGGGCGGTGCTGTGGATCAGTTTACTCATCGAAGAGTCACTGCTGCAGCCTGACAGTGCTGCTCTGATGTCTGCTTCAGGACTCAGTGGTAGGGTGAAAAATGACCTTAAAGATGCCTACAGAGACTTCTGAGCAGGGGCGGAGCTAGAGTTTTTTAATAAGGGGGACCAAACCGGGACTCAGACTTTTGCAGGGGTGGCCAGGAGTGGTAAAACGTATCCGAAAATTACATATTGTGTTTTGTCAAATGGCACTGTGCCGTATCAAATCAGATTCTGTAGTAACATACTATGGTCTGTTGTAAATGTTTGCGTTATGTCTGAAGGTTTTAGAGGGTCAGAAAAAATGGTATCATCTTTGGAGAGGCTTGTTGAAGTTTGGGTTTTAACGAGGAGATTTCTGCGGTTTGGAAAATTAAAAGGATTCTTGAAAGTGATCCAAGGACCACTGGGTCTTTGTTTGAAAGGGTTTTACTATGTTTGGAAGTGTTGAAGCTTTTGTTTGAGGTCAAAATTTGTCAAGGTTTCAGAAGACTGCATAGATGGTTCAGGAGTCTGAGACGATTTCATTCACTTCATAAAGATAATTGAGAGATATTTCTGATTCATAAAAATGTTCACGATCAAGTACAAAAGGTCCATGAGGAGGTTAGGAGGGATTTTGAGGAGACATCTGACCATCACATCCTCTAAATCTATTTTTATGAATCAAAATTATCTCTGCTAAGATTAGTTTTGCATTTTGCTAATTTTGTTCTGAATGAACTTAATTAAACTTCTGCAGAACTTCCTGATCGAGACTTCCAGAGAACAAAAAACTGCTTGTTCCCTGAACCGCTGGGAGCTGTGTATATCTGACTATATGTGCCTGTGTGTTTGTGTGTGTGTGGATGGTGGAGGTCAGCAGCAGCACACAAACATCCTGATTGTGATTGTGATGCAGCAGTGTGTCTGTCCTGGAGGAAAATGAAAAAACAAGCTCTCATTATGGTGTGTATATTTTCCCCTCCAGACTTTGAGGAGCATGACACACTCCAACATTCAAATCTGAGGCTCCCGGGCGAGCACAGCGAGCAGCTGCGCGGCGGTTAGTTTGGTTTCACATCAGAACAGAACCAGCATTTGTGCACGGCGGAAAACGGTTATGTCAAGAGACAGATTTAGAGAGCCGTAATGTTTCATATCAGACGTCTCCAGAGTCTCCAGGATCACATAGTTTACCACGACCCTGCCTGATCCTTCACCCTGTCTGCGTCTGTGTGTGTGTGTGTTTAACCCGAGTTATTAAGGAGTCACACAAGTTTTTATTGTCTGATTTTTCAGCCAAAAACATCACCCCTCTGTTTTCTTTCACTCTCTTTTCATGTTCTGGTCCAGTTGCAGCACTTTCTGTGGTTTTGTGTGTTGGTGGTTTGTTTGATGAAGTGTCAGTCTGTGACAGTCCTCAGTTTATTTTAGGTGAACCTCCTGAGCTTTGGTTTGGTCGATGTTTTTTAAATCCAAAAATCTGTGAGAGTTTGGACGCTCAGTGGTTTACCATGATGATGTATAAACTCTGTAAACGTTTAGAAAGTTAGTAGACCAGTTTATGCTGTTTTGAGTGTGGAATATTCTCCCTTTCTTGCCTTTTGCAGGATTTGTGTTCAATGTTTTTAACAGGTGATGAGTCAGGACTGCAGCAGGACTCTTCTCCTACAGAGCCATGTTGTTGTAATCTCTACAGTGATTTCCACTACAGAGGGCATCTGTGCGGCACAATCGACGTCAACCGACAGGAATTATGTGGCTCTGCAAACATCGATCTGACGACGCTTCAGACTTTGTCCTAAAAGGAAACCAAAGCAAACCAAAACTGTAACACTCAAACATGAGAGTACAGGAAGAGCTTAAACCAGCTGTTGTCATGACGACTCTCCGGATACCTGCTCAGGTGAAGTCTCAGTTAACAGAACCAGGATGTGAGCGTGTGACTGGTTGTGAAACCTCAGACAGAGCTCATACCTGTACACACCTGCTGTTTTCTTTGGCTTTCGAGGTAATCTCATGCGTGGTTAAGAACTTTGTGTAAATGCTGTGTGTGTGTGTGTTAGTGTGTGTTAAAGTGTGTGTGTGGAATGATAACATGGGATGGATCTAGCAGAACGGAACGCTTTCTCTGAGTGTGTTTAGTTTTTCTAATGTCTCTCATCGCAGAGAAACCGAGGCGCTGTTAACATGTTTGCCTCTGTTTTCTTTCCTCTGAACAAATCTGGTTTCCCCTCAAGTTGCAGCGCAGGAACCATTTAGATCCTCAGAGGGTCTAGAAGACGGAGGAAGGTCTTTGAGTTTCTTATCGGAGGTGAGAAGACAAAAAAGCTGTAGACACCAGGGGACGTCTGTGCAAGGTGTTGATCATCTGTTGTGCAACTTTTACCAGGTCTGGGTAAAACGCTGCAGATCTGAGCTCCAGTCCTGGATCTGTGAAGTTAAGGGCCGTGAGAAAAGTGTCAGTGCTGCAGTGACCTGCATGTATAAACAGCCTCTCTGTGACATGCAGGGCGCCGCTCCTTAAAGCCTGAATAAATACAGGTTTCAAAAACATTAACACACACATGCATCTATGCACGTACACTAAAGCATGTTCATATAGGCTGAATACACATGACCCCCTCATGTAGTCCTGCTAAATCCTGATCCCCCTATACATCACATCAGGTCCTTTAAAGACTGATGTTCAGAGGCTCTTAAACTCACATCAAATTCACACACACACACATATTTATCTGGAGCAGCTGAGTGATCTGATATCTGATTACAGAGATGAATAAATAAGGGCGAGACTGCTGTTCACATTAACACAAGGAATGTGTGTGTGTGTGTGTGTGTGTGTGTGTGTGTGTGTGTGTGTGTGTGTGTGTGTGTGTGTGTGTGTGTGTGTGTGTGCTCCTGACAGTCTGACTCCATCACTATTTCATTATTTTCATTGTGCAATGTTATCTGAATTTTATCGCAGAGTTAGATAATGCTTGTTTGTGTTTCACTGTGTCCTCCTCTTGGGTTTTAGGTTACAACCTCAGGTCCTTCAGAGCTAGTATGCAGTTTAAAATGTGAGTAAAAACAGGTTCTGATGGTTTATCTATCACTTATAGACAAATTATAGTGCAAAGACAATATATCACATGTTTGAGAAATTAAATACAAATTTTAAATTAGATGTAACATGTTTCACAATCCGGATGATCCCTCTCTGTTTTAAAGCAGATGATGTGTTGTCCATGATGGTGTCTATATTTTGATTCATCAGGACAGTTTTCCACTCGGTCTCCTGTTCCTGGATCCCCATGCAGTGATTCCCACTACAAAGTCATGTTAGTGTTTAACGCAGTGCAGTCCGTGAATCCGTGCTCTTACTGTGTGTGCAGACTCACTGCCTCTGATCCGGCCTTGGGGGACCAGTTTCAGTGTCTCTTTGAAACTGAAACGGTTCAGAGTAAAGAAGAGGAGGAGGAGGAGGAGGAGGAGGAGGAGGAGGAGGAGCATTTTTCCTTCTTTCCACTGAGAGGGAGTGTTTCACCGCTCAACATCACGGGCTGGATCTCTCATCTGTCAAACTCTCTTTTAGTGCGGGTGCACGTGCGTGCACGTGGGACATCTGCACGTACAAATACGCACGCACCTCCCTCCTCTTGCTCTAGTTCCGTAGTCCTGCAGAGAGTTAGGCGCGTGAAGATCAGAGGGACTTAAACTTCAGAGGAGAGAGGAGCACGCGGTGCACACTCACCTGCTCAGGTGATCGATCACATATCAAATAAGGACGGACTGATCGGGATTAGGAGTCCTCTTTTAAGTCCGCAGGGACACGAACCGCACCGCTCGAGGACAGCTGTTGCTGGAGGAAGGCGATAATATTATTAATAATGATGATGATGATGATGGTGATGACGACGATGATGATGATGACCGTGCTTTCCCTGCTCCACGCGCTCCACCTTTGACCAGCACGGGTTTAAGATGCCACCGGGCCCCGGAGCTCGGCTCGTGGTTCGGATCGTGAATAACCCGGGATAACAGACTGAAACAAACGCTTAAGTACCAGAGCCGGGAGTCCACCCCCGAACCAGGACGAACCGGGACGAACCGGGAGGGAGAGGCCGGGACCAGAGAGCGGAGCGGCGGCGGCGCAGATCTAGAGAGAAGCGCGAAGGAAGGAGGAGGAGAGGTGAGTCTGAACAATAACGCAGTTTAACAAGAGAGGAAACTTCTTTAAAGATCATTTTAGTTAATGAAACAAACTTTGGAGAACAATCTGAGTCCGTATTTTACTACTTTAAAACTTTAAATGAAAGTTGTTTTGGATCCAGTTCAGACCATCAACCACAGTGGTCCTGAGCAGGGGCGTATCTAACTGAACTGTCACTGGGTGGTCCTCCTCATCCATCGGTCTGATGCACACTTAGACATGATGTTGCCTCCCAGTGTCTCTCAGTTTGGATACATTTTTTGAGTTTTCCTTTCACTCTGCTCCTTTTCCTCTCTGCTGAGGTGACTTTACTTTACTTTGGCTCTTTTCCGACATCCTGCGGTGTCTCGGCCACCTTGAATGGCCTCCATTTCCTTCCTTTTTCTTCCACACAGTCCACTCTGGCTCAGGACTGTTTGGAGTGATAAACGCTGAGTTTGCTAATGTTTCTACGGTGAACTGAATCTCCAGACTTTATGCTGCATGGTGGCTCTAGAACAACTCGATTTTCATTAATCGTTTATCTCAAATACAGATCGAACTGTTAGGGTTATTGGCATGAACAGCGTGGCGAAAGTTTGACTCACACTCTGACAATCTGGTGAAAAGAAGGCTAACCGATTTTTCCACAAGCCTCGGCCAAAACACACTGAAAATAGATAATCTGAGGGCTGAATCTGTAATACTTATGCAACAGGCATGAAAGAATTCAGCATTGTATCATACTGGGATGCTTTTCAAAGCAAAAGCCTGATCCGTTTCCCCCGTGGAGAGACACTTCTTGTTTTTACAGTATGCTTTTACTTTGAAATTACATCCAGGATGAATTAAATAATAACTTTCCATTCAAGGATCAATAGAGTTCTTCTTATCAGTCTCAGGATGGTTATTTGGTAAAAGAGATGACTTGTATAACTCTATTGGAGCCTAAGATGAACTTTTGGCAGAAAACGAAGTCAAACTTTCGAAAACCAAATCAGGCTGTTTGCAGGTAAAATGCTTTTATTTTGAAATATTGTCCAGGACAACTCTTGGTCGTCATCAGCAGCTCTCCCCGTGAAAACCATGAGACATGTCTGAGAAGAGCGTGTGCAGTAAAGAGCGTGTGCAGTGATGCTGGGAGCAATCTTCAGTCTGTTTTTCTGCTCCCCCAGGTCCTCAGGATGCGGCTCCCACAGCTCTCGGTCCTCTCGGCGCTCCTTGTGCTGCTGCTGGCAGCAGGTCGCTGCACGGCAGCAGCCCTGCTCAGGGGCTCCGGGACCCGGGGGGACGGGCGCAGTATAATGGAGCTGAGCGGCAGGTACCACAGGACGAGGCCAGTGGCAGAAGTTGGAAGACAGGGAGTGGATTCCTCAGAGAGAGACAGTAGGTCACACCACAGAGCGGGTCGATGTTCGTCTTGATTTAAGTGATCCCACCACTACATAAACAGTTTATACTGTAATAAAACAGTGCAGTCAGATCACGATACAGTGTACATAAAGATGATATCTTTATCGCTCTGCGGCCTGTGGCTCCTGTCTCAACTGAGGAAGTCTTTCTTTATGAATAATTACTCAAATTAGGAGCCAATGAATGAATGAACTTGTACACCCTGATCTGACAGAGTGAAAAAACAAAACAGGTCTGTTACTTCAGCAGAGAGTTTGTTTATGACTTAATGCTGCAGCCAGAAGAGACAGGAGCAGCTGGATGAGTGAATCCATTCTTAAACTCTGCTGATAATTAGTTTTTTATTTTGGGTGTTAATGATCCAAATCCACTTTTTTAACCAATAATTTCAGATATAAAATAAAAAGAATCAGCACAGACTCACAAAAGAGACTGAGCTTTCATTAAGTGTTATATAACATGACATTTATTCACACTATAAGATAGTAAATAACACAATAAGATATAATTTACACAATTTATGTGATGAAAGGTCATGTCATTTTAAATCATATCTAATATCATATCATATTATGCTATGTAATGCCATGTTATATCATGATATACTTTACTTTCATTATTTCATGTCATGATATGTCTTATCTTGTCATGTCATGTCAAATCATATCATATTGTATCATACATTTGATTATTTCATGACATACCATGACAAATCATTTGAATCATCTCATATTACAATATGTCATGACATGTCATTCATTATATTATCTTATATTTTGCAATGACCTGCCATATATTTGCTTTATCATATCATATATCATATCATATCATGTCATGTCATTGTTCCCCATTATATTGTAGGGGAGACTGGGGTAAGTTGAGCCACCCCCTGTTGTTTGGAAATGGTCAAAGAAATTGATCATGTGACCAAATATTAAGGAGACGGACATCAATTCATGGAGTGTGTGAAGGTTAGAAGCACATGGGTGAAGGGGTTAGACATTTATTTACAAAACAACATTTTTCTTCACTCTGTAAAGGGAATTTAGTCTGTCATCAGTTTGATTAGAATTGTGTTCATAATTTTAAATTTGTTTTATACATCAATTGTGGTAACTATGAGCAACAACATGTGGTCAATGAGCTACAACATAAAAGTCCACCATTTTATCTTAGAGGACTAATAAAGTCATCGTAGTAGTTCAGGGGTAACTGAGAAAGTAAAGGAGTCTGATGAGAGGATCAGAGTTTACGTTTAGATTATTTCAATGTTTGACTTTTTCTTTTCAAAAATACAGATCTGTGAATGTTCTCAATCACTTAAAGACATTCTCATGTTAAAATGTTTTTTCTACAAAACATCTTTTTCTGTTTCTGTTGGTTTGCAGGGATGAACAATATCTTGAAATATATGCAGATACACTAGTTAGAGACAAAACTAGGATTGTCTTGATGGAGTGATACGAAATATGAAAAATGGATCGTCTTACCCCACTCTCCCCTATTTGTGTTTTATTGTCATACCCTGTTGAATGGTTTTTGATGTCAACAGCCATTGTGACTCAAGTTTTAACTTGTCATTTCAGAGATTCCCCTCAGAGACCCTCACCATAAGGAGAAGTTCATCATACTCCTGACAGGTAAGACCCACTTTAGAAAAAGGCCTTTAGTTTACTGAGGGGGCTGCTGATCTCCTACTACCTTTATAAAATGAATAATTGAGTCACAGCTCCGGCCTAATTTTTTTTCCTCCAAGGTTTATTCCAGTTTTTATCAGTGTGGCCCGTTGTATTGGAGGAGGGTGATGTAACAGCTGGTTAGAAATGGTCTTTTTCTTCATCAAACAGGTCTGTCTTTCTGAGGATCCTCTCTGTAATGTCGTCTAACACACTTGAATAACAGTCTGAGCCTGTCAGGGACCAAAACAGTAACTTTTATTTGGTCCTAATTCTGTATGAGATCTATGAAAATATTGGCAATATAAAAAATAAAACTCCTCACACTGCTCTTCATATCTCCTCCTGGGGGTTCTCATTTGAGGTGTTAAGGAGGAAGTTGTTTCTCAACTACTCCAGCAGCCTATTAAGGAGATTTTACGAGCAGATCCGTGTTTTCTCAGTCATGCATGAACCTCGAGGCACACTTCCTCTGATCTGCAGGTGGCCATAATGAAGACCAGGGGCAACCTGTAAACAATGGCATTCCCAAACAGATCGCACAAAGAAATAAAAGATGATGTTTGCAGGTGTTTTCATTTTAAAGGAAATTCACCCAGTATGTTTGTTAGAGATGAAGGATTTGGAGCATATGAAGCGCCCTGACCTGGTTGAGGATCCTCACATCTTCTTGAGTGTCTCTGCTGGTTGATTTGAACACTCAATGAGCAGTTTTAAACTCAAAGTGAGTAAACATCTCCTGTGCCCCAGGTCTTCAAACACTGCAGCCTTAAATATATCAGCCGATCAGACAAGGAGAGCCATTATTCCAATCCGATCCTGCCCACAAGAATCCTCCAGGTCATCTGAGTGTTGGCGCTTTGGATGTTCTTTGCAGATTGAGTTCCTGTTTGTCACCTTGTTTTATGACTTTATCATGTGTTAAAAAAGTGAAGACGCATGATAAGGTTGGAGCACATTGTTTGTTTGCCTTGGTTAACAACATCACGTTTACAGCGAATTATTGAGGCACAAGGAAAGTTTAGCTGATAATGTGACTTCAGCTGACTCCTTGATCTGACACTTTCATACGAATATTTTTCCCCTTTGGGTCCAAAGAAAAAAAGATGCAACTGCTAAAATTATCCTCTGGAAAAGTTGCTGACATCCTGGTGGCTGTTTTCACCTTTCACTGTCAGCTGATAACCTGCCAGTTAGTCAGCAGAGGATGCTTGATCCATGATTTCCAAGACGAATGTCAAATTTTGATCATTCAGACTGTTTTAAACTCGGCCTGGGTTTCTAGATCATGCTTGTGTATGGTTTCTTCTCTGCTTGGTTCAGTTTTGACCTGCAGTTGTGAATGCAGCAACAAACTGTGTTCATAATAATTTCTCTGCAGTGACTCCCACTGCAAAGTCTTGTCTGTCTTCAATGCTATGATGACTGAATGCTCAAAGATATATCCAACCAGCATTGGTTAACTGCCTTGTTCCTCCTGCACTGATATTTTTGTTGAGCTTTTGGCGAACGCGGTCTCTCACTGACGGTGAACACACGTTTTTTTTTTCTTTTTCATAGCCTGGCCGTCCAATCAGAGTGCAGTATTTAAAGGCCTGTTTTTTTCCTTCCTTAGGTCCTCTTTACATCAACCCAAAGTGCAAAAAACATTTCAACAGACTGTACTACAACACCAGAGACTGCACAGTACCTGCCTGTGAGTACACACACACACACACACACACACACACACACACACACACACACTCTTATCATGAGTGAAATCATGTCAGAACAGCAGCAGCTCTTGTGATCTTTAATCATGCATGTAGGGCTGTGTTTATTATCTGCTGTTTATCTTGGAGAGAGTAAGAGGGAAAAAATGTCTGTATATGTGTGTGTGTGTGTGTGTGTGTGTGTGTGTGTGTGTGTGTGTGTGTGTGTGTGTGTGTGTGTGTGTGTGTGTGTGTGTGTGTGTGTGTGTGTGTGTGTGTGTATAAGACAAGTTTTATCCTGTTGTTGATGTCAAACAAGCTCCTGCAGAAACACCACATAGTAACAATGACGGGAATCGAACCGTTGACCAGTGAAGTCACTCTGACCTGGTTTTGTGTGTAGAGGATTAAATCTACAGGAGCTGTGGAGGTCCAAACTTGTTCAGAGTTCAGCTCACAGAGTTTACGCCACTTTTCAGCTACACTTTTAAGTTGTCTCCCCGTAGTCAAATTGCGACAAAATGTGTGAAGTCACGTCCGGTCGTCTGTTTTTGGCGCAGATGTAAAATGAAACTCCAGAGGTAACTGTCGTCTGTTCGTTATAGGAATCTCCAATCTTTAAATTATTGACAGACTCCAGAAGTTGAAAGTCATCTCACTGCCTAAAACAGCCCCTCAGTACAGAGGGAGCTCTGATCGTGGCTTTGTGGTCAGGAAAGGTAAGCCGGGGTGTCCCATGTGTGCTTCACGTGGTGTTTCCAGGCCCGTGTCCAGGGGCCAAAAATGTGGAGTGAATCTAAACTTTAATCAGTGTTTGTCACAGCACTTTAATATTACTCTGCAGCTTTGCACTGGAGTGAACATTATCCTCATTACGTTCATGACTTGCACCTGTGAGTTTCCTGCTGCCATAAGTCCGCTGTGACTGTAATACGGAGGGAAAACCGCAGATTTAATCTGAAAAATGACCTAATTCACATGATCCCTTTCACAGCATTTATGAAGCACATTGGGAGGACCCTGCTCCAGGCGGGCGTTCTCTCCCTGCTTCACGCCTTTGTGCTAAGCTAGGCTAAACACATCTCTGGTCTTGTGACTCCAGCTCCAGATTTTGTCTTTTTTTTTTTTTTCAAAATTAGAAACAAACTTGTTTTTTAACCGCAGATGAACATGTTGTGTTTTCCCCTTCACAGATTATAAAAGATGTGCTCGTCTGCTGACTCGGTTGGCGAACAGCCCTCGCTGCTCGGAGAGATAAACACGCAGAGACGGTAAGACGTTGTCCACACTTAAATGTGACATAGCACAATGAGTGACAGACAGGTCAAAGGTCAGCGTCACAAAGAGCAGAAACCGTCCTGTGGTCTCGTGTCAGCTTGTCGTGTGAGAGGTTTTGACTCCTGCCGGGAAGTGTCTGAACCCTCAGTCCAGGTGTACATGATGGTTTGTTTGTTGGTCTCGTGCTGCCAGACGCTCTGCAGGGAACCGACCCAAAGATTCAAAGTCCTGATTGTAGGTTTAACATCATTATCTGATGTCAGGGCAGCACTGCAGGCCAGCAGCAGTTTTACATGAACCCATAGAAGAAGAGCATTAACAACAACAACAACACAATTAGGAGGTCGGTCTTTGAAATGTACGAACATGCTCACCAATCCCAGACCTGACAGAACCGCAGGTACCCAAGAACCAGGAGCGTCTCAAAGAGGACTCACTGATGTGGGAAACAGAGTCTGTCAGATTAAAACCGATGCTGAACCTTCATTTGCAAGTTTACAGCAGCTCAGTGGCTCAGTAGTAGAAGAGTCCTGCTACTAAACTGGCTTGCCTGCAGTCCTGATCTGTCACTTATTAAAAACGTTTCCATGACACAAAGGAGACCCTGAAGTCTTGTATCAGGTCATTTCACACCATCAAATTGTATTTCCTGGTCTGTAGATCTTGTGAAGGCAGTAAAGTTATCAGAACAATCACAGAAGAGACAAAATTGAGATGTTTAGAGACCCCGAATCTTTCAGAAAGTGTAGTTTAGAGAAGCCACAGAGTCCTGAAGTCTCTGCGATGGTAAATTTAAAACCTACTGTGATGGAGAGGCTGTAAAACAGTGTTAAAACCCTGAAGTTCTGGATTTTGCAGACCCTTTATTCTCTTGCCCTTGGGGGACGTGTATTTTGTTTGATACTTTGGAGCACGTAGAGTCAATAAAACTACAGAGAGCTGAAAACACATGTGACCCGCATATTTGATGCGCTGCTGATTTGATTTGACTCTTTTCTTTTCTGGTTAGAGAAACGAAATTAACAAAAAGATGCTTAATAACAGTCTTCAAGTCTAGCAGCTGGATCGAGTTCCCTCTCATTACTTCTTTTCTTCTTTGTTTTTAGTTGTATTTGTTTTCACTTTGTTCTGTTGTAACTCTAATCATTGCTGCTCTTTCTTCTTCATTTCTTTGAAAATCTTTCACATTAAAAATCCGACAAAGAGGATTTCCAGAGCTCTGGAAACGAGCATGTGTGACCTTCATGTGTGAAACCAAGCAGCTTAAAAACAATTTCTGTTTGATTCTGTCAGACTGACTTTATTTATTTTTCATCACAGACTCCAGAGCAGAGATGCTTCGACGATAAGAAAACGGGGAGAAGAAGAAGAAATCCTCCGACCAACAGAGGCTCCTCTAGTTGTTCTGCTGCAGCCTGAGGACTTTGGGTTAAGGCCAAAGAGAGATGCAGTGATTTATTTCTCTGCAGAAAAACATGAAAATCACTCTGATATCATCACAGTCAGACCTGCAAACCCTGATCCAGACTTTTCTAAACCAGCATCCTGATGTAGATATTCCTGCATTCTTTCAGCCTGTTTTTTCTCATTAAATCAAAGTTAAACCTGTTGATTTTGGCTTCAAATCGCCCTAATTAAACGGATTTTAAATGACTTGTTTGATACAGTGAAGCTGAGACGTAGTGAAGACGGGTGGACCCCTCAGATACTTTGTGTCCATCAGAGAAATCCTGGTTCTGATCCAAGCTATCAGGTTGTCAATCTGGACACTGTTCAGCCTGGAGTAGCCGGAGGCAGCAAAGTTCATACAGACACCGGGGACATTAATCCAGCTGTGTGAACTCATAACCTGTGACTAAGCATCCTCTTTTGCACTAAAACCTTCGTTACCGCCTCGCCTCAGCTGTTGGACTGTTGTCTGCTCACTTCATCAGCAGAAGATTTATTTCAGCCACCCGCATTCAGACTGACAGGAACAAGGATTTCTATCAACTAAAGATGACTTTTCTGGTTTTTGACGGGAAGTTTACTGTAAAATTCGATCGAGCTGGATTGTTTGTTTGAAATGGAGAAGAAGAAGGAGCAGATCTGATCTGGACGTGGACACAGTCAGTTCTCAGCAGAAAACTCTCCTCCGGGACCTGGTGTGTTTTTCCTGTTCTTGCAGGACAGCAGTGTTTAAAGTTTTGTGTATTTTGGAAAACCAATTCCTGAACATGCCTTGCCTTTAGAGGAAAGAATGAACTGACCCTCTGATCAGACATCAGCTGTTTGACATGATTTAATGCCTGAAATGCTGTGTATGTTTAATGCTACATGATGCTCAGTTATCATATTATTATTGTTATTAATATTATTATTATTACAGTATATTTATATTGTTAAAGTTACAGCTCTTGTGCAATATGTACATACTGAGAGAGGAATAAAGGCACATGATTCATTTATAAATAATCCTCAAATTCAGACTTTTATTTTTACTCTCTTTACTCAAACCAGTAAAACATAGTCTGGTCTTTTCTTTCAGTGAGTTGGTCTACCTTTAACAAGACTGAATGTGTTATTATTATTATTATTATTATTATTATTATTGTTGTTGTTGTTGTTGTTGTTGTTGTTGCAGCGTCCACGACTACATTGTAGCCGATGTTAACTGTTGCTAGGTTACTGTTGCTAGGTCCCGCAACACTTCCGCTTTCCTTAATGGTGTTTGTTAGGTCTGTTTTTTAAATAGCTCTGTACATCTCGTATCTGCTGTCTTTCGACTGCTTTTCGAAGGTAAACCTGCAGATAGTTAATAGAAATCGTGTCCTAAAATTAGAAGCGGCCCTAAACTAAAATATTATGCCTCGAAAATACGAGTATAGCCACTTCTCCTCCGTACAGATTTCCACTATCGTTTCAGCAGACGTTAGTAGAAGTCCCGCCTCTTCTTGATTCTGATTGGTCGGTGGTCGTGGGGTGACATTGATGAGCTTGTTCCCGACTTAGAGCCAAAATGGCGGACTCCGGGAAGTTTTTGCGCTGAAAACACGAAGATTCCCTTTAGCCGCCTTCACACCAAGCGTAAGTAAAATCATCTGATATTCGCGTGTTTTTATCACGTCTACAATACTCGTGTGATTATGAAAGAGTAGGGAAAGAGAGAGTCAAAAAGATTCTGTGTTTCTCGGCACAACATGGACATCGGGTTGATTGGCAAGTCAGTCAACGACGTGCTAATTGGCTATGGATTTAGCCGTCAAAACAGGGTTAAAATTTGTACTTTTAACTTGAGTTTTGTAAACCTCGTAACTTTTGTGTTGCAACTTGTGTTTTTAGGTAAGAAATTAGGGTCGCACTTGAAAGTGGGAAATTTGTGTGTCCGTTGGGTTTAGTTTTAAATGTGCACAAAATAATTTTACAACTTAAAAACTATGTTACATATGCACAATCTTTCTTTTAACGGGTACACAATCTTTTTACAAGCACAAAACTTAATTACACATTTGAACATTATTGTGTAAGTGTAGAATCATTTTGACCCTTACTCAATCCCATATCCATGATCCCCTGAAAAAGTAATTTAAAGGTAGCGTAGGCAGGAATCCGTTAAAGAAGCAGCTTTTTTTTCAAACAGCTTTTAATATCAGGTAAGTGCTATAAGTTATCGATGACATTTGGGAAAATCCTGAAATCGCTGTGTTCTCTTATGCCTGTGTAGTCAACATATAAAATCTTTTGAGCGGTCCATTCATTCTGATTGTAATCAAAGCCATTCTCCTCCTCCCCGACCTGATTGGTTGTAAGGCGGACGCTGCTCCTTATGCTTCATTTGGGTTTCCTCGGAAGTCAGAAGTCGGAGCTGAAAATGACGTCACTTTCTATTTCCCCGTGTTTTAGTTACCAAGTCAGAAAAAAGCAACATCAGAGGCCTGAAACAAGATGGCTACATCTACGAAAGTTATTTTAGCGCTTGACTTGTCCAATATAAGGCAAGTGCTCAAATAACTTTCGTAGATGTAGCCATCTTGTTTCAGGCCTCTGATTTTGCTTTTTTCGGACTTGGTATCTGAAACGCTGGGAACTCAGGTGTGACATCATTTCAGCTCTGACAGCTGACTTCCTATGAAAAATAAAGGCCTGCTGGACAGGTAAACCGCTTTAACAAGGCGAAGTGTCTGAAACAGAATTATTTCTTGTCAAAAGGGACCTGTGTAAAGTATTTATCTGCATTATATCTGAATTTAATTGGAACAATGTGAGCGAGCATGAGTGTCAGTTTGTGGGCGGGGCTTGCTGGAGCACAGCGGGAGGGGAGAGGAGGAGCTGAGGGGAAAACTGGCTGGGAGGGGTAGAGTTTACATTCAAGATTTCTCCTAAAAACTGGCACTTCCTCAGATCCTGACTACCCAACCTCCCAAAGTTGTGTCCTCCTCCTGCCCAGATCATTACCCCGATAAATCGGTGTCAAAATGGTCCTGCTTCTCAGTCGATTAATCTCCTTTACTAACAAGTCGATGGTCCCAGTCTCTGGTTTCAGGACTTCTTCCGTTCCTTTTAAGATTCTGGTCCTGTTTGTAGTCACACAGACCAGAACGCAGGGGAAGAGTCAGGGCAGGGCTTTGATTGGCATTATGCTGAAGTGATCTGTCAACCAGGACAGAAGCGTAACGATGCAAATTCATCCGGCCTCGGGAAGTATTTAGGGCTTTGAAGCCTATTTGACACGGATGCCAAACTATGTAATTGAACATTCTGGGTCCATCACATGATTCACACTGTCCCAAATTCCTTTTGATTTCCTCACATTGAAAAAGAGACATCTGTAATTTAGGCAGAGGGGTGGACTGCCAATAACACTAAAAACTGCTACAAGGGGAGGAAAGTACCGGGACTCAGTTCACCACATTTTCACCTCATGATTATCACAACCAAAGTGTGCATGAATAATGTTATTGTGGTATTCAGGGAAAACGCTGTCAGGGAAAGTATGGAGGACACGTGACTTCCTAAACACCAATTAATGCATTTGATATACTTACCCGTTTCTAATGATGATCAAAGTTATGTTTTATCCACACCATCAGCCCTCTGACCCAAACTTCTAATGAAACACAAACTTTCGCTGGTGTTTCACAGAGTTATCAAACACTCCTATTTTGAAATATCAAAGTTAAACTAACGAGAAATTTTTATGGTTGGTTCTGACTCTTTCCTTCACTTTTCCTTTTCCTGAATTTGTTCTTTGATCAGGCTGTAAATGTATTTATTTTAGCTGTAAGGATGAGCTCTTTAGAGTGGGTGTGTATGTGGTTTTTAGGAATTTAGTGGCCAGCCTCGAGTGGACACTTGAGGTACTGCAGTTTTTGGCACCTCTGCATTGGTTTCCTTTCTGAAAACTGGAGGTTGTATTTTTATTCATCCTGAAATATTTGACTGTGTGATGATTTTATCTGACCAGAGTCTTAAAAATTTCAGAGGAGTATCTCAGAGGACGCTGCGGGTGCAGTTTAGGTAATCCTGGAATTCTGCGATTACTCAATTCTCTGTTCACTGTTTCACAGGTTGTTCTCATCTATCAGATTTTAGGTGTGTGTTTGTTTTGTTTTAATCCCAGCTGGTAGTGAAACTGTGTCTGAGGTCAGAGACAGGAGCTGATGGAACCTGGGTCTGACTCCGACAGGGTGAACCACATAGCAGCTCTGTTGACTTTGGCTGCAGCTGCTCAGTTTCAGGTTGTAAGTGAATCTTTCCTCCCTGAGTGCCGATCTGATGAAGTGTAAAACAGCTGAAGCTAATGTCAAACACCAGAGAGGTTAAATCAGTGAGTGCATGCTGTAAAGTGGACAATAGGATGCCGAAAGACACTGGAAACTTTCCTCTCTGGTGCACCAACAACTCTGTCATTTTTCAGTTTTCACGGTTTTCCCACATTGAGCAGAGCCTCTTCAAAAACATGTTTTCATGTATATTCAAATTTCTCTTAATATAAGATTTTATGACGTCTCCCACGATGATTTTAGCAGATTAAAGTGTCTGCAGTGAGGCGCAACTGAAGTTATAACAGTCACAAAGTAATTAACGAGAATTCCTGCAGCCAAGTAATGATTCGTCTGTCTGTCTGCCTGTCTGTTTGGCTCGACGGGCCCGAAGTATCGCTTACAGCCACATTACAGTAATTAGGTAAACTGTCAAAGGTGTGTGTGTGTGTGTGTGTGTGTGTGTGTGTGTGTGTGTGTGTGTGTGTGTGTGTGTGTGTGTGTGTGTGTGTGTGTGTGTGTGAGTGTTTTAAAACGATAACCAAAGGTGCTGCCAAAACTGCGGCAGAGCTGGTCTGACGGCACACACACACACACAAACACACACAGTCTGTGAAGCTGAATCAAACCACCTGTTAGTTTTACCAACAAATATTCACGGCATGGTCAGACTGAAGTTTAAATCCTGCTTGCTGTAAATACTGTCTGTTTATACGTATGCTTGCTGTCTATGACTTCATATGCACTCTTGGCATTTGTTCACATCTTTTATAAATACTTTAAATGTGATCTTTTTGTTTTCTTGTCC